ACTTGCTGTTAGTGCTAACAGTAGCAGTTATTAAGTTTCTGGAGGTAGCTAGCATACACGGAGAACTCCTGCAAGGGCGGTAGATTGTGCAGGAGCATATCCTGCAGCTCGCGAGATATCCCTTAGAATAGCAGGGGCGTTAGGGTGCTCTCTAATATTTCTCCTTCTAGTGCTAGGCGCTAGAATTCCGCGAAGTAGGTGCTAAAATTAAGGTTCTTCTACTTTAGGTTAAAAAGCTTGTTCTAAGCGTTCTAGGTACGGTCTAGGTCCCTAAACGCTTGTTCTAGGTATTTGAGCATCTGCGGGTAGTCCACGAACTAGGGGATTCTGTATTAGATCTTAGGTAGCATAAGCTAATAGGCTCTTCTAGTTAGGCGTCTAGCGACGTAAGTTATCTAATTTGTAGCTAGAGGGAAGCAGTTAGCGTTAGCAGTTATCTTACTATAGATCTGCTAGACGAAGCGCTAAAGGTCGTCTTAAGTTCTATTAAATTCCTTTAGGTTAGGTATTTTCTCGCTAAGGCTAGCAGTTCTAGAATGTAGGGCAGTAACAGGCGTAGGCGGTCTCGCTAGGTTATCTGCACGAGCTTTAGTAGTAGCTTAAGGGGATAGGGTAGAGGCGCGGGGGGTCTGTACAGCGGGGCTTGCGGCAGCAGCAAGGTAAGATTTCTTAATCTCAAGCTAGGTAATCTGCTTCTGGTCGGCGGCGAGTTGCTCCTTCTAGTAGCGGATAATTCTATCGCGCTTAATAACAGAGGTCTAGAGCTCTTGCTTAGTAGTGCGCGCGTCGCTTAGGGAGCCCTCGAGGCTCTGCAGGTACTGGTAGTTATTGCGCAGGTACAGCAGCTAGGCATTAGGGTCTCTCTGCACCTTAGCTATAAGGGCTTCAGCTAAGTCTAGGGTTGCGGGAGGTTTAGGGCGATCTATAGCGGGCCTCGCGGGGACAGGCACCTATAGATAGGAGCTACGTAATGTTACAGGGTCGGCAGGCAGGGAAGGTAGGTGCACGTAATTAGTATATTCACTACGATATCGCTAATAGTACGGGGTTAGGCTAAGACAAGGACGTAGCTTAAGGAGCGTACGACAGGGCGCGTTCGCGCAGGAATTTCAGCGATCGCGCAGCTGCTCGCTTAGCAGCTTGGCGCGCTCTAATAGGCTATCTAGGTCAGCGCCGTGACAAGTATTAAACTTAGAACAAATACAAAGTAATATATATAAAAGGAGTAAGCAAGTAATTGATTAATAGTAAGAGGTAGTAGGTACTAGATAAGTAATAGTAGAAGTTTAATAATACTGTAACACGGGATAGCTGTGAGGGGTAGTTATAGGCAATAGTATTTGCTTCACACTACAAGAGAATAGTGGGGGAAAGCTCTGTATTACTACACTAGGTGGGGAGGTCGTGAGAATAATTCTTGCCCCTCTTCTAACGCGCGGGGCGCAGCTTATGAGCAGGTTTGGAGGCCAAGGCGATTACGAGAAAAGCAAACATGTTGAGACCATAATCGTCCCCCTCGTTCAGCCTCTGATATCCCGTGTTACATCTCTTCCCTAAGTTTAAGCGGAATTATTTAATAAACCTACTTAAAGAGGTATTAGAATAAGGTACTAACCTATAGAATAGAGGACTTATCTATAGCACACTAAAGTTAAACTTAGTACATTTAATGTAAGGGGCTACGCTCGGGGAGCTATCGCACAGGTATACTGGAGTTGTATTCGATAGAGAGCTAAGCTCTAGGCTACGTAGCTATCTATATATACTTAGGTGTAGAGCTGGAAGAACTATTGGCCGATAACGTCCGAGCGCCTATCGGGCCGAAGAAGGAGAAAACCGAGGTCATAGACGAGGATAAGAGAGCAAAGGGCTCTAGCCCGTCACATTTAATGCGGCATTACTTTAAGAAATACCCTAAGTATGCTAAAAAGGTTGTCCTTAACATTAAGGGTGCCTTTAGCTGTAACACTAGACTAGCAGGAAGTCTAGAGGCTATTCGCGCGTCTATAGAGCAAGCTCTTAAGGGGCTGGGAGGCGCGATAGCTATCAATATATTCGAGATAGGTACAAAAACCTTTAGAAACTAACCTAAGACCTATAGTCAATAAATATTCTAGCACGTGTAGTTCCTTACACGCCTATTAAGACATCTATTAAAGCTTTAGCTAAGCTAGTAGAAGAGGGCAAGATTAGTGGTATTGGCCTTTCTGAGGTTAATGCGAATACTATTCGCAAAGCTTATGCCGTGTATCTTATTGCAGCCGTAGAGATTGAGTTAAGCTTGTTTACACCCGATCCTCTCTATAATAGGATTTTGGAGACATGTTATGAGTGTAAGGTGATATGCAGCTAACATTGTTATGAAAGACTAATACTAACAACACTAACGTAGTCGGCATCTGCGTTATTGCGTACAGCCTAGTTGGACGAGGCTGGTTAACCGGCAACTTTAAGAAGATAGATGATCTTTCGCCCGATGACTATCGCCCCCAGATGTTTGACCGCTTTAAGCCTGAAGTGTTTGACTAAAACTACAAGCTTATTGGGGCCGTAGAGAAGGTCGCCTAGCGCAAAGGCCTTAAGACATTGTAGGTCGCTATTGCTTGGGTAGCACGTCAAGGGGCGATTCCTATTCCAGGATCTACTAATATCAAGCGCGCTGTGATGAATTGCAAGCTGTTAGAATTGACTGACGAGGATATGGAGGACCTTTAAGAGGCACAGAAGACCTTCCCTGTAGCAGGTAAGCGATATAGAGGCGCGCATGAGAACCTACTAAACAGTTGAACATTGCACCGTGGTTGAGGATGTTATTTTGGAGATTTCAGAGTTTAGACGGACGGAAATATTCATCCGTTGCCTTACCTATATCTATCTAGTCTGTTCTCCTTCCCTCTCCCCGTTATTATTTTTGCCTTCTAGAAAGTTCCTAATATGCTTTACTACGTCTCAGTCGCTATGGATTTAGTACTCGAAGAATTAGAAGAAGTAACGATTACTTCGCAGAACACGACTTATGCACATTATGGATTATGTACAGTCTGTGCGAAGGCCAAGAGCAAATGTGTAAGGCGTAGAGGAAATGACACTTGCGATAGGTCAGTGACTGCAAAATAGTTAATCCAATAGCACGGCTCATCAGTCTGTAAAGCGTATAGTAGACGAATTTAAGTAACTTAACATGTTCTCAGATGCACACGACTACATAAGGCCTGCTAGCCTCGGAGCCAGTGAAACGCAAAAGCAAGGCAAAAAAAATCATGTAAGTCAAGCTTTGAGCCTCGTTTTGACTCCATGTTTGTGGTGTTGATGGATGTGCAGACGATCCGCTCAGTTGCAGCACCTCGAACCAAAGCTCGCAGACATAGCTCAAGCTTTAACCAACAAACAAGCGCGAGAAGTATCTCCAGGACCAAGCCTGCAGACTCTTATATCATAGCTAACGAATGGAGTACATCAAGACAGTCATGCTATGCATCGAACACCGCCGGTCATAACTCCAGGCGTTACAAGGTCTACCGGTTCGGTGGCCTCTGCTCACGGCTCAACACTTGAGACGAACAATCGCAGACAATTATTACCAGGAGGTGATGCAATAGACACTGATGCCTTACTGGATCGCTATCAGAGACTGATGGCACCTCATATGCCGTTCGTGGTAATTCCAATTGATACCAATGCTTCGAGCATAGCCATAAACAAGCCGTTCTTGTTACAGGCCGTCGAGACAGTAGCTTTCTTCCATGACACAGCAATACAGCAGTCTATGGTCAAGGACCTCATGCGACAAATCTCTGAGAGAGTAATGGTCAATGGCGGGAAATCACTTGATCTACTTTAAGGCAGATTAGTATTTGGGAATTGGTGTAACCTACATCTATTCGCCCCACCAAGCCTTACAGTACTCCTTCATCTTACCATGGCGCTCGCCCACGACCTAGATATCGATCGCGCACCAGGGTTTTGTGAGAAGACGGCTTCGCACCGCCATCTGAGAACGCTCGTTCGGGAATCTCACTACTCACACAGTCAAAGAAACGGACCTACGGCAGCGGTTAGATGGCATGTGGCACTGCATGGACGCTGCGAAAAGGTACACAGACATATACTTGCACTTACTTGTTGAAGACTATCCTCTCATTCCTTTCGGTGTTTTTGCGCAGTTTGCGTACATTTCGTTGTACTTGTCCGAGCAAGTTTGATCCAAATGGACGGCTGGGATGTGTAAGCTCTGAGATCTTCTGTCGGCTTTTCGTCGCTTTTGGAGCAAGTTCCGCAACGCTATGATGCTGTATCGCAGTCTCATCCTAATGGTCTGGTCCTGAACAATGACGCTTTTGCAAAGTGGTCTGCCAAAACAAAGTGGGTGAAGTCTTTCTACGATGCCAAGTTCTTGCCCATGGAGTCGAATGCACTAGTGGATATTCGGCCTCCGTCTGAGAGTAGGACCACTGATGCAGATAGAACCCAAGAGTCGTACAGAGCCCCTCCCACAGTGATAGAAGGTCTGGCGGAATCCTCAACAAATCCATTCACTTTCGGAGGTTTCTTGTGGCCCAGTTTCGGCGACCCTTCAGCCTTCTTGGAAGACCTTGACTTTGGATTAGCCGACGTGAAGTATTAGCTTCATCATTCGCTGTGGTTTCAGAATTGGTCAATGTGTTCATGAAGCGCGGATAGGAAGGATGTGCGTGTTTACAAGCCGACGCCACTCGTTGGTTTTGCTTTGTCAGTTACGGTATAGCTGCACACACAATGGAATCGTGGAGAGATTATATCACGCATAATATTTGCAATTGTAGGGTGGCGTTTGGTCGACACTCTCGCTGCGGAGTAGTTCTTTTTGGGGGTTGTACGCAGGTAAGCTGTAATCCGAAGGTATTCAACAAGTATTATTCTAGCGCAAATTAATGCAAAATTCTGCGAGTTGTTCGAAGGTATACAATGGGTTTCATAGTTAGGCAATGCTATTCAGGAAACGTGCTTCTTCGTACACATATTCAATCTTTCTTTCTGCCACCAATGAAGAGTGCTGCCAAAATCGCTGTAAGCCCACAAATACCCCCAAGCACTGCATTCATATTTCCGTACCCAATCTTTTCTCGTAGAGCCCCTGCCAGCAATGGGCCTACAGTCAATCCACCGCTCCAAACCATGCTGTTGATGCCGTAGAGCTGAGCGTACGGAACCTGGTGGAACATGTCTTCATTCGCTTTGTAGTAGTTTTCGACGACGTTCCCAGCCTCGACAATACTAGGGCTGTTGATAGCTGCCAGACCTACTCCATTCATCGCTAATAGTCCGGCATAGAGTGCGATAAGATGTCCATTGTCTAGCTTCTCGATGAGACCTGACTCGTTCGGAAGCCGGAGTAATACAAGCGTTGGTATCAGCCAAGTAAACCCAAGGAAGGATGCTAGCTTTGTACCATAGCGGTCGACGCACCACCCAAAGAGTGGACCCAGTAAAAAGTCCGCGCCGCCAAGTGGTAGAAAGAGCAATCCAGCTTTTAGACTGTTGAAGCCGAATTGCTCCGAAGCCACCAGCGGTACGGTAGCGTCGAAAGAACCAAGCAGAAGGGCCTGCATGAAGCCGATCCAGATAGCCGTCAACAGACCCGCGTCACGGAACAGCATGAGGATGGGAAAGTTGCGTGTGAAGCGATTCGTGGGTTTGGGTAGGCGATAGCGGTCAAGCGTAGTGCGGCTGTTTGATAGAAGAGGTGTTTGTTCTGTGTCCTCGTGGTCGTTTTCACCGTCGGATTCTGAGGCATGTGAGTCAGGACCAGGGTACTTCGCGGCCACCTTCTTCTCCACCATGAGCACTCTCAAGATGAAGTCTATGACAATCAAGCCTATGCCTACGCCAAAGACGCCTTTATATCCAGTTCTGGCATAGAGGAGCCCTCCGATGAGAGGCGAGAAGAGTCCGGCAACTGAGATAAAGCTAAATATGGTGCCCATAGTCTTGCCTAAATTTTCCTGGCCTACGGTCTCGATCACGATAGCAATGCCGATGGTCCATACCACGCCTCCCGATGCTCCCTGCAGGAACCGCGCAATGGCCAAAACAGCAACGCTACGCCCAAGCGCGAGAAGGATAGTCGAAAGTAGAAGTAGGATGAGCCCGAGGAGGAACGGTAGCTGTCGAGATGAAGAGAATCTGTCCGCGAGGATGCCGGCGATTGGTGATGCCGCACACGAAGCCGCCGCATAGACCGCTAGAAGGTTTGATATCGTGCTTTGGATCTGGGAATCTGGAAGTCCAATGCGGTCTTTGAGCAAAAATGGGAGTACTGGTACGATAAGTCCGTACAGGAACAGATCCACGAATGCACCCATGCCCACCGTGAAGACGACGAATAACGGGTGCGATCGCCATCGCATTCCTTTGGGTGGAGACATTGTTGAGGCGGCTTTAAAAATTGATGGTGTGATGGCAGGACTTCAGATCGGAACTGCGTGATGACATGCAAAATTGATGGTCCTCAGCTCGATCTGAAAGGCTTCCGAAAGATGTCTCCGCACGAGCCCTTAAACACATACTGACGTCAGTACTGCTTGATATGCTTGATATGCAATGCAAGCAGCCTGTCTACGCGTAGCAACAGACAACAGAGCACGAAAAGTGTTTGCGGTAGAAAGAAAACATTGCATCGACAGAACAGCAGCCCGAATGATGCCCACGCAGTCGTCTATGCCGCATAGCTCACCTCGAGGGAGTGTGATTTTTGCAACTCTACTTGCAAACTAATAGCCATGGCCTCTGTTATTTTCGAACAGTCAAAAGGGCGAGACATTTGGGTGCGGATGGCAGCCCTGGAGTAAATCCAAAGTAGGTGCTGCGCTCACGGTCACGTGGGGACGTAGCCTAGCGTGCTTGGCGCGGATCTCGAATTCGAGCTCCTGATAGCTTTCAGCCGTTAGGTCAGACCAAGCCATATAACCCCACTCCACACACAACAGTCCCTTCAAGATGGCGGACAAGATGGAGGGCGTAGTAATGGGTGGTGGTCTCGTAGACCCTAGCAAATACCCAGTGCCCATCGAAACGTAAGTGCAAGATCATGCCCAAAAGGTAGGTCCCCTTGATGCTAATAGAGAACCACAGAATCTACGTGAGTTGAAGACGAGCGCGCCAGCAACGCACTCACATTGCACTCGGTGGCGCGATTGCTGACAGCACTAGGTCAACAACCTCGAGGAGCGCGTTAAGATTGATACCATGAAGCAAGCCTTGACACGAGTCTTCCAATACTACGGTCCGATTCTCGATGTTATCGCGAAGAGCAGTCTGAAGCGAAAGGGCCAGGCATTTATTGTTTTCGATAGCGAGAAGGCAGCGCTGGAGGCGGTAGAGGAGATGAACGGATTCGAGATGTACGGCAAGGTCTTGAAGGTGCACAGGGCGAAGACACACAGCGACGAGACGGTCAAGCGAAAGGCGCCGGAACTGTTCGAGGATCACAAGCGGAAGCGCCTGACACTCAAGGGTGCGCATATCCCACTACCTCCTGGCGTCTCATACACTAACGACCACAGACTTCAAGCGCGCAGAAGAAGACGCGAAAGCGCAAGCCAACCCCGTCGCTGCCGAGAAGCCCCGTGCAGCCAAAACTGGAGCTGCCGCTGTTCCCGACGAATACGTGCGGCCAAACAAAACGCTCTTTTTACAGAACATTCCCCGCGATGTCGACGAGGACGATCTTACTACAATATTCGAGCGTTTCGAAGGATTCAAGGAAGTACGTCTCGTCTCGGTCAGGGCTGTGGCCTTTGCGGAATTCGAAAACGAACAGTTTGCGATTACAGCGAAAGAAGCGACGGCCAACACGCCGATTGGCGCCGAGGGCAAGCCAATGAAGGTCACTTACCAGCGGCAACAGTAGGTTACTGTATATGGATTTATTGCTATGGATTTATGCGTTTATGATACCTCGTTCGGCATTCTCCTCAGATACAGGCCGGCATAATAGAGTCTTATTATCTGACGGCCTATCTTCACATCTATCTGGCACAATGCTTATCTCTTATTTAGCTTCGCAGGAGACGCCCAGAATTGGGCTGGAAATGGAACATGGTCTTACAAGGCCGTGTCAGCATTCTGGAAGGCCCAATATTTCAAGCGAGAACATGACGAGTTTGTCCTAGCAAGGTCGAGGTACCGCCTACAGCACCGCCGCAGACAGGAAAACACGGATAATTCCTACTAGTCGTCCGTCGACTGCTCAAAAGATGACGTCCTCGTTGTCCTCGTCGCCGAGCATATCCTTGCTCTCGGCAGCATCTTGTCTCGCCTCGCTCTCAGTCTCCTCCTCGTTCTTCTTCTTTGCCGCTACCCTTGCGGCTTCTTCTTCGGCAGCGTCTTTCTGCTTCTTGTTGGATACTTTCTTCAGGCGGTAGAATTCCTCTCGGTCTAGCTCGTCGAGCTCAGAGTTGATGTACTTGATGGTGTTCTCGGTTCGGGGGATAATGACGTGCTCGCTGTTGATTGTTAGCTTTGGCAGTTGTCTGGAAGGAAATGATACCCACATGGCGTTTACACGGCGGTTGACCACCTTGATAACCTCGTCCAATATAACAAAGGCAGTCTGTAGACTAGCCAGCTCTACCAACGTCTCCACAGCTCTTGCATACGTCTCTCTACATCTTTGTACTTGCTGACCACCCTTGCCCAGACCTGTCAAGGCGAAGTCGTTGTTCTGCTCGACGGTGAAGCTCTCGAATTGAGGGAGGAAGACACCGGAGACGTTCTCTTGTTTCGTTCGTACGCGGAACCGTGCTTGCTTTGCGGATTCTTGGATCTGGTAGCCTATGTCGCCGCCGACGGCGTAGGTAACTTCGGCGAGGGAGAATGCAGCAACCTGCATGACCCGGCCCATCTTGCGCTTCGCCTCATCGATACGGCGCGTTATTTCTGGAAACATTTTCAGCTACATGGGCACATGGTGGGGAATGTACAGTGTAGTCGTACCTCGGAAACGCCTGCATATGGTCAGCAAAGCTTCAGGAATGTGTAGTAGACAATGATTGCATACTTGGTTAGGGCTTCACTCTTTCGCTTCAGCAAGTCGTGACCGATCTGGGCGCCCTTGAGCTTGCTCTTCATCAGACCCAGCGACTGCCGTGTCGCGAAGACCGCCTCTCTTGCCTGGGAGTCGTGTTAGCATCATACGTCCTAGTGCGTTGCATAGCTATAGTTGGCCGTACCCCGCTGCCAGACATATTTGCGGCTCGAACAGTTGGTGGAGAAGGTGCTGGGGCTAAAACCAAGTATAGAGGCTGACAATGCTCCGAAGATAGTCTGGTAGGTGTCTCGGAGCCAGTAAGCGTGCGCAGTCCGATCAAGTGAATCCAACGGAACGTGACGCAGCTATGCCGGGGAGCTATGTGAGACGAGTCCGTGCTCGCGCGCCTGCCAACTCTGCGAAGCGGGTCCTCGGGATGCACGTTGCTTATTGGTTGCAGACTACCGCTGACCGCTCGGACTCCATCGCTCTTTCCCTCAGAACTTTAACGCTGCGACACGCTCCATCAGCCGTCCAGCACCGCATCCCATCGCCTTCCTGCCCACCGCGGGCCAATACACGCCCTGGCTCTGGCGCAATCATGCCTGGCGAACTCCTCAGGACCGTCACCGCGAGCCTCTCGCGGCCCACCAAGCGGAAGATGGAGCCGTCGTTGGACCTTTTCCTCATCACCGACCAGGACGTCGCGTACGAGCAGGACATTCAGCGCAACGCAGGCAGTGTGAAGCCGTGGCTGGACTACTACAGTTTCAAGAAGTCACGTGGGAGCATCTTGGAGCAGGCGTTTGTACTGGAGCGCGCCGTCACGACTCTGCCGCGCTCGTACAAGCTGTGGAAGCTTTACCTCGAGCTCCGGACCAAGCACCTCTCCAAAAAGAATCCTGCCAAGTTCGCGGCACACTATGTCAAGGTCAACGCACTCTTCGAACGCGCCCTCGTGCTGCTCAACAAGATGCCGCGCATCTGGGAGATGTACCTCAACTTCCTCATGCAGCAGCCCCTCGTTACCACAACCCGCCGCACTTTCGACCGAGCACTGCGCGCCCTTCCCCTGACTCAACACAACCGCATATGGGCCCTATACCGACCGTTCGCGACGTCTGCGTCTGGCGAAACGGCCGTCAAGATCTGGCGTCGCTACATGCAAATTCACCCAGAAGATGCCGAGGACTTCATCGAGCTACTCAAGGACATGCGCAAGTACACCGAGGCTGTGAAGAAGTACATGGAAATACTCAACAACCCGCGCTTCAAGAGCAAGGAAGCAAAGGGACCCTTCCAGTTTTGGACCGAGATGATCGATCTGATGATTGACCACGCCAAGGAAATCGACACCAGCGACGACAGTGGTATCGATGTCGAGAAGATCATCCAGAGCGGCATTTCAAAGTTCCCCGATCAGCGAGGTATTCTCTGGGTTGGTCTGGCACGGTACTGGATGCACAAGGGCGAGTACGAGAAAGCGCGCGACGTCTTCGAGGAGGGTGTGACCACAGTCATGACTGTGCGCGACTTCTCCGTCGTCTTTGACACTTACGTCGAAGCCGAGGAGGCCATGATCGGAATCAAGCTTAACGAGGCGGCTGCTCGATCGGAGAAGGGCAAGGTCGATGAGGCTGCCGACGCGGACCTTGACATCCGAATGGTCCGCTTTGAATCACTCATGCAGAGAAGACCGTTCTTGCTGAACGATGTCATGCTAAGACAAAACCCGCACAATGTCATCGAATGGGAGAAGCGCGTCGCTCTTTGGGGTGACAACAAAAAAGAGGTGGTACAGACCTATACCGATGCCATCGCCGCCATCAACCCGAAGAAAGCACTGGGCAAATTTCACGAGCTCTGGGCCAACTACGCCAAACTCTACGAATCAGGCGGCGATCTTCAGAACGCTCGTGTCATTATGGAGAAGGCTGTCAAGGTGCCCTTCAAGTCGGTCTCCGAGCTGGCTGAGATGTGGTGCGAATGGGCAGAGATGGAGCTTCGCAATGAAAACTTCGACAAGGCTGTGGACATCATGGCCAAGGCTACGCAAGCGCCTAAGCGATCCAACGTTGACTACTTCGATGAGTCGCTGTCGCCTCAACAGCGTGTACACAAGAGCTGGAAGTTGTGGAGTTTCTACGTCGATCTCGTCGAGAGTGTCAGTACCCTGGAAGAGACGAAGAAGGTTTACGAAAGAATCTTCGAGCTTCGCATCGCCACACCGCAAACTATTGTCAACTACGCGAATCTATTGGAGGAAAACAAGTACTATGAAGACTGCTTCAAAGTGTATGAGCGCGGCCTCGACCTATTCAGCTACCCTGTCGCTTTCGAGATCTGGAATCTATACCTGACCAAGGCCGTAGACCGCAAGATTGGAATGGAGCGGTTGCGGGATCTGTTCGAACAGGCTGTCGAGGACTGCCCACCCAAATTTGCCAAGGTACTATACTTGATGTATGGTGCACTTGAAGAGGATCGCGGGCTAGCTAGGCATGCCATGCGTATCTACGAGCGTGCTACACGCGCTGTAGCAGACGAAGATAGGCTGGAGATGTTCAACTTCTACATTACCAAATCAGCATCCAACTTTGGTCTTACCTCCACACGACCAATCTACGAGCGCGCCATTGCTGCCCTCCCCGACGGCGAAGCCAAGGAGATGTGCCTTAAGTTTGCCGAGATGGAACGACGATTGGGAGAAATCGACCGAGCTAGAGCAATCTACGGTCATGCCAGCCAGTTCTGCGATCCGAGAACCAGCCCCGAGTTCTGGAAGAAGTGGGAGTCGTTCGAAGTCCAGCATGGCAACGAAGACACTTACAAGGAGATGCTGCGCATCAAACGCAGTGTCCAGGCTCAGTACAATACCGACGTCAACTTCATCGCCTCCCAAGCTGTCGCTCGCGGCCAACAGAATGGTGCACCTGCCGACGAAGACGCCGACGCCACCGACCCTGCTGGTGAGGACGCAATGGCCGCTCTCGAACGCCAAGCTCGCGCACCAGCTGGCTTCGTCGCCGCCAGTACCGGTCCTCAAGGTGGTAACATCAAGCCTGCCGAAGAGGCAGCCGCGAACCCCGATGCGATCGATCTGGACGACGACGACCTATGATTCACGAAACCAAGGTTGCTTTCCGTGCAAGCACCTTCAGGGTATTTTATCAGGTCAAGGGTGGGTGGATTAGGATGAAAGATATGCATTTTCAACGGCGTTACTTGAGGAAGGTGACAACAACACACTTGGCTATCTTTGAAGGTACCATGCTACTCCGGAACTATTTCATTGCTTTGTGTACATTTGGGTTGATCCAGTGCGGTCTCCCTTGCTTCGACCTCCCCAATTTTTGAGGTTTCGACAGTCTGATCTTTGTGTTTTACTCGACTTCGATCGATACCTTGACAGCTTGTCTCAACTTGTTCGTTTTGCATATATGGCGTTTTTTTCTTTGTGAGGGTTTTTTCCAAAACGATGTCCGAGGCATCTTGATCGGGAGAGAGCCCCTGGTGGTGGGCTGATTTCTTTTGTCGAATGGTCAAACAAACAGTATGTTCTTGGCAACATCTTCCCAACTTCACCATGTCATATTAAATACTCTAGCCAAAAACAAGCACTATTCACTCCTCAGTCAACGTCCTGACTTTCTTTTCAAGTATGCGATGGGTCTGAAGCTGGTTCTTGCTCCGTTCTATACCTAGGTCGTGACTGTTACAAGCCTTCAGCTCATGCAAACTGCATCCCACCTCTATGGCTTCATTTTGCAATAAACACGTACCACATGTACGGTTTACCCAGGTACTCCAAGAACTGGTTGCTCCTAGTGTATAGGGAGGGGAAAGCGGGGCCAGCCACGTGCTTCATCATGCGCTTTCTCTCCTGTTGAGCTGAATTTGCAAAAAAAGACGGAAGGAGCGACCATCAAGCTTGCAGCGACGCGAGGCATTCACGTCACGTCCGATCATTGCATGGTTACATGGTCCGCGTTGTCGTTCAGATTGCTATGGTACGCAAGTATATAATGATACCAATAAGGGATTCGTTCGTCAACAAACCCGTAGCTGAATGAGCCCTGTGTTCGTTCCCACGTAGTACTTCTGTTCCTTGAACTGGAGGATTTCTGGTGCCACTTAATGCTCTGTTTGTTGTTTCCCTTGCCTCTACACCCTTGGTGTCTTCACGAGTCCGATCCGTATCCGATTCTTGTTCGTCGTTTCTAGCTAAACATCGTGTTCTAAAGGGAAGTAGCAGCTCAGCCCGCCGAAAGACGCTGGTGCGAACGCGTGCTAGCATCGTGACGAAGTTTTCTTCAGGCGGATACTCATTAAGTAGAGGCTTGGGCAGGTATTTTACATGAGCGTCCCGTGCGATCAGTGTCAAATGACGTATTATAGGACAAGACACATCGAATCAACTAGGGAGGCATGCGGGGCACGTTTTCTTCGCTGTGGGGGCATTAATAGTGGGGAAATAGTTCCACACGATACACTGCTCCAAAAGACGCTGCGTGTCACTTATTTCTCGTTGCTTCACGCATGCGTATGCTGTGCTCGACGAAACCAGTTACCGCTCACGCTGTATTGACGTCGTTCTGAACTTGCACCAACGGCAGTCAAAGCCCAGCATGTTGATGCCTATCAAACTTTCTCTTCCATCACGGAGATGCGCGAGTCCCTATACGTGTTCCCCACGATGAAGGTCTATCCCAGTACCTCCCAGTACCAGATCAAGCAGGTCAATATACCCCTTTAAGTAACCAGGCCCACCCTCGTCGATGTCGGAGTGTCACCTGCCACTACCTCAACAGGCCCTCGTACCCTTGACTATGATGCAGCTCCAATCTCCCAGAGTTGGAAACTGAGCAACAGCTGGTAGCAGTGGTTGCACAGCAAATGGCAACCGGTGGCACGAACCGCAACTATGAGACAGCCTGACAGCCGTGTGCTACCACGTCAAGGTATGACGGGGATGCGCCAGTGTGGAGATGAGAGTAAATCAGCAGGCTAGGGCTTGTCGGCATCAGCCGCATAACGTGCACTGATCTATCCGCCCTGGTGATCATAAGAAGTCGATGTGGTGGTGTGGTGATGTTTCGAGTGGCACGGGGCTGAACGTGGCACTGTCGAATTGTGTGGCGTACCAGGAACCGGGTTGTTGGTTGTTGTCGAGTCATGGGTCTGGTTCAACTTGTTCCTGATTAGCGCAAGCAGTATTCAGACACGCGACGATGGGCTAGTTGATGGAAGTGGTTCATCGTGAAGTCGAAATGTTGAAGTGCTGAGGTATTGCAGAATATGTTGTGCAAAGACGCAGCTGTCCGGCAGTCTCTGTTTCAGTGGTGTTACAGAAGCGAGGAGAAAAGGAGACACCTCGACTGCTTTCCGTGATTCAATCTGCGAACTTTTAACTGATATTATGAGTTGTATACAAGCTTTCGTTATCTCATTCGCAGTATGCGCATTTGTGTCGCGCGTTCGTGCATCACCACAGTGCGCGAACGTGCCCCAACACTTCAAAGCCCAAGTCCAACTGCCACTTCAATTACAGCTGTGTCTAAACACGAAAGGCGACCCACGACTATTGCAGGATGTGCAATCACTTCAACACCCACTATGGTCACACAAACCCCCTTGTGCCCGAGGGAAGGACAAGGAGTATTGTACATACACGACTTTCGAGTCGCGTGGCGGTCATGCTTTGAGCATTATCGCGACATCCGTCGCGGCAGACGCGATATCCGCAGCCTTTCTAGCCTTGGGAAGCGAAGATGAGAGCGGAAATAGCAGCCTCGAAGTTCGCTCCTTCCCAGGCAAGGGCAAAGGTCTTGTCACTACAAAAGCTGTCAAGAAAGGAGAGAGGTTACTACTTGATTCCGCACATATCATTGCAAGCTCGCATTTCCCGACGCAGGTCACTCGTTCGCAAGGCAAAGCCCTCTTCAGTGCCGCAATCGATCAGTTGCCTCGGGTGGACCGCGACTTAGTGCTCACACTAGACCAAAGTTTGGGGGGTAGCAGGGTTGAGGATATCATGAAGACCAACGCCTTTGCGTGTCAACTGGCCGATGGCGATGTGGACGACGCTTACATGTGTCTCTTCCCATCTGTCGCTCGAATCAATCATGCATGCCAACCCAACGCACATGCGCGCTTTGTTCCGAAGACTATGTCAATGGAGATCAAGGCCCAACGGGACATCGCCGCTGGAGAGGAAATCGGCATCTCGTACGGCCGTGTCGACTTGAAGCACGCGGATAGACAGGCACTGTACCAGGAAGGTTGGAACTTCGGGTGCACATGCCCGCTTTGCACTGCTTCACAGTACGAAATAATTGGCAGTGACCAGCGCCGCGCTAGGTTCGCCCAACTAAGAAAGATGCTGGAGAACTTGACAGCGGAAACTTACGACGCCCAACAAATTGTAGCGTGGGAGAAAGAAGTAATGGAGATCGGTCAAAGGGAGGGCTTGGAGACTTTGCTGGCCCAAGACTATGAGAGGCTGGCGTACGTGTACGCGGGTCATGGGATGGTGAAGGACGCAAGACGTTGGGCCAAGATGGCCAAGGAGAGTTTATTGGAATGGGTGATCGTTGATGGTGGGCCGGACAATCAGGTTAGGAGGATAGAGGAGTTACTCAGAGAGCTGGATGGCTAAGCTGGACTGGTCATATCTCGGCTTGATAGTCGAGTCAACTTGGGCTACAACGCTGCCTGGAGACGGACCGTGGACGCTGTAAAGTTTAAGAGAAATACACCACGCCTTACAAGATTCGCGTCTGATTGCGGAAAGGCCTCTGGTGTCCGCGTACGGTAGCCGTGCTAGTGAGCTTGCAATGACCAGACGGTTCTACGGCGTACAACCCCCCAGCCCGAGCTAAAGGTGCTGACTCTTCTTCGTTCTGCCTCTCGATCGTGACGTGGACAGTGAGCGAAGACATGGTCGGGTCGGTCCATATTCCACAGGTCGGCATGGCTTCCGAATACTCCGAGTAACCCACATTTCATCATTGATCAATCAGCGGTGCTGGAATAGTCGTTGATACTAAAGTCGCAATGCCTGAAAGTGATCCCCAAGTGGGGACTAAACCTCAATAGGATCCAGAGAGTTGGTCGTAAGATGACGTGAGCGACGGATTGGGCAATGGACAATGAGTAACGCGCAATGGGCAATGGGCAACGAGATATTGAGAGATGAGGCTCCTTGAGACCGTGTGCAAATTAACACACGTAGTAGTTCGTTATCACCCGGAGTACCTGCCGGCAGCAGCAACAGGTAGAATGTGTGGCTGGTGCCACAACCAAGGGTGCCCAGATCTGCACGTACCGGGTACACAGGCGAAGTGAGATCTGGTGGGCGATCATCCCACAGTCAGAAGAGGTAACGGTCGAGTAAGCCATTGCGCTGAGTGATCTCGATTGAGGGGGGGTTGATAGAGATGGGCGGCAGATGTGCGATGTGTCGCGCCTGCTTCGGCCAATTGATGACATCCGACCTATTGATCGAGTGAACGATTTACGATTGACTTTTGCCAACATCATCAGGCGAACTGACAGGACGGGTCGGTCGCGGCGCCGTTGTCAACGGTGATAAGTCGCATCGGGGGACAGAGAGTTCGATGGTGGAAATGCAGGTACGAGCCGAAAAGGGGTCTGTGATGCTGTACTAAGCTGGCACTCGACCTATCAGATGCTAGACGTGGCCTACTCCGCCTTGCATCTCAAACCTTCTGCCATCCCTTGGCGCATCATCGCCCCAATCCATCATTTGCTGTGAAGCTCTCGTCTTCTTTCTCTACCTACCTTATGCGGCTAAACTGAAGCAAAAGCACGACCAAACGACCCGTCATCGCAAAACAAAGCCAAAGTGGCGCGTCAGCAAGCGCCACGATCGTGTACGTGGGTCCGAAAGCGCGCATCCCTTCGAACAAGTGATGGAGGAAGCGCTGTTGCGCCTTGTTGAATTAGACTTTGTCGTCTTTGTACCACTGCTTCTGAAGTCAAGGCTGTACACTTGCGTCGAACTGCTTGTTAGCTGCGTCACCCCAGCCTACCGCATACGGGTCCCTAGGTCTTTCGAAGACCGGGTTTGATTGTCCTGTTTCAAATGGTGGCGGGGTCTACCCTGTAACCATCAGCTTTGCCAGCTGGAGTAGAGTTGCACAGGGCTTCGCCGCATAACATTGCGAATGTAGGGCCCGAGACTAAATATGAACCTGCATGTCCTGTCGACTCTCATATAGGATTCATTAATGGTCTAAAATACCCTTGAGTTCTCCATACTCGCAGTTCACACCATCACTTGTCGTCAAATATCTCCGACCCATTGCTTTTCCAACCAGTCACTCCTTTACTTCTTCTATACTGTCTTTTGCTTAATATGGTGTCGAGCTGGTCCCTCCTTACGGTCTTCGCGACCTTCATTGCGGTCGCTACCAGTCAAAAATGTTACGCGGTCGACGGTACGGCCCTCGACAATACATACACGCCATGCAATCCTAGCGCGAAGCACAGCAGTTGTTGCGCATCCACTGATATTTGCATGAGTAATGGCCTGTGTATGGGAACAACGAACGAGTCGATTGGCATGATCTTTTCAAGAGGTTGTACAGACTCCAAAGGGAATGACGCATCATGCCAACAAATGTGCCCTGGTGGTACGTTCATAGAAACCTGGTTCATATTCTTGTTCTCCAACTAACCCACTACAGTTTCCGACGACTTCAACGGTCTCAAGCCAGTAAAAGCTTGGCAACTTCAAACGTGCGACTCGGGAGAATACTGTTGCCGCGGCGCCAATGATACGAAAAGCTGCTGCAACAACGCAAAGGCACCTCAAATTACAACAGCCTTCAGCGCTACCCTCCAATTACAAACCCCGACCGCGACCATTGCTCCTACAGAAGTCGTCGCAACCGTGGTTTCCACTGGAACCCCCTTCGAAACCACTACCGCACCACGCGCCAATGTCTGCGCAAAAGAGAAACGAGAAACAGCGATAGTCGGCGGTACCATCACAGGTGTATGCAGCATACTTATAGTAGGCCTGGCTGCCACTATCTACTGGATGCATAAGAGGGAGAAGAGACAGCGCAGGTTAAAGGAGCACTACGAGGAGCAATTCTCGCAAACCAATGCATACCGAAAGGCGTTGGCGTCGAGCGCAGGATCTTGCAGAGGCAGTATTCTCCTGGACGATCTAAAACTGAAGTCCAGTAGTTCGGAGTAAGGGGCACACACGACCGATTTTTCTTTTGTTTCACTCTTCCACTTTAGCGTCGGTGTTTCATGGGTCCAGTCATGGTGATGATGGGGTGGAGTAATGTTGAGCTTTGGCCTGGTGTTGACTGGTCTTGGGTATTAGCCCATTTGGTTGCTTCATTCGGCAGTTGCGAATACCCTTGGGTGCATTCTTTTTCCTTTCTCTTAAATTAGACGTTCGGTTTATGTCATGACGATGTTCAAAGGAGATCACACCTAGAAAGATGTTGTTAGACACCTTTGTAGGTGCAATAGATATATGTATTCCAATGTAACAAATATGTACATCAACGCTCAACCTCACCCAACTTTCCCATAAGCAGCGCCTCGACTTTCTCCCCTTTCTTCAAACTACCTTCACCCTGTGGCATGGCAAGTAGCGCGTTTGCACCCCTAAAGCTGCCAATTCGACTGCTCCTCTGCCCACCTGTAGAGCTAGCATATAGCAACCCATCTTCCTTGGTCACTACAAGTGCACGGTGATACTCCGGACGGCCCTTGTCCATCTTCACATCCTCATCTAGTATAACTTTGATTCTCGGCAGACCGAGTGGCTTGATACCAGCTTGCTGATGCAATGCAGGTAAGACGAAGAGATGGAAGCATACAACGGCCGAAGCAGGGTTGCCAGGAAGGGAGAAAATTGATTTGGTGACAGGGTTTCCAGAGTTGTCCTTTACAGGTACAGTGGCGAAGGTGGTGGGTTTGCCAGGCTTCATATTCACACGACCGAAGTGGATCGTGCCGCCGAGAGAGCGCTCGATCGTTGGCTTGAGGAGGTCGAGTTCGCCCATTGAGACGCCACCAGAGGTTATGATAACGTCGCACTTACGCATCGCGTCGCGGAGAGTCTGCTCGAGGGTACCAGGTCTACACATAGTTAGCGACAGCTGATCCGACAGTAGTGTTGCTCAATTTTACTCACTTATCTGAGACGATACCTAGATCGATAACTTCGAACCTGTGGCTTCGCACGGCAGTGATGAGAGTAGGACGGTTGGTATCACGCACTTCTCCCAGTCGCAGCGAGCCTTCTCTGTTGTGAGGGATGATCTCGTCTCCTGTGCTCAAAACTCCGACGATGGGCTTCTTGTACACAGATACCTCTTTCGTACCCACAGATGCAAGGAGACCAAATTCGCCGCCCACGACTGTTACGCCTTCACCTTTCTTCAGGATGATCTCGCCCTCTTTGACGTCGCTGCCCACCTCGCGTACGTTTTCGTTTGGCTTGATCTCATCAGTCAGTATATCGATCTCCTTCTCTTCCTTTCCGTCCTCCGTCAGACTCTTCAGCACTGTATCTTCGACCATGACCACGGCATCGGCACCAGGAGGAAGTGGGGCGCCAGTCGTGATCCTCGCAATTTCTCCTTCTTTCAACTCTTTGACTTCACCAGCCTGAGCATGAGATACAATCGTAACAGGGTATACTCCTTTCTCGAACTTGCCAGTAGAAGGGATCTTTACGGCGTAACCGTCCACGATGCTGGCTCGGAAGGCTGGAACGGACTCCGTGGCTTTGACATCTTCGGCAAGAACAGAACCACTTAACCTCATATCTACTGGTACCCGCTGTACTACAGCAGCTGGGGTCTGCTCGGTGATGAGCTTAAGTGCATCGTCAACAGCTAACATAGGGTAAGGCGATGACCGGTATCTGCGTGTTGGTCCTGCAGAAGGATCATTGGACTGTGGGCGCTCTTCTGAGTTCGTATGAGCTTTTGGTCCTGCGTGGCCGCCGTGGCCATGAGAATGACCATGGTGGTGATGGTGATGCCCACATCCGGTTCCTACTCTTGTTAGTCGCAGTGTTGCTAGGAGGAATGACACATCACATACCTGTAGTAGTAGTACTACTACTAGCGGAAGAGACACCAGCGTCCTTCTCGAGCTTCTCTACGCCACCAGCATGTAGCGGTCTTGATTCTGCACCAGCTGCTTGAATGCACGCATGTGGTAGCAACTTGAGAACTGCCTCCAAATTCTCTTTGGCACCTTTTGGCGATCCAGGTAGAGTCAGGATCAAAGTCTTCTTTCGCAGACCCGCAACAGGTCTCGCCATGAGTGCAACTAACAAACGTTAGCCTGTGTTGTTAGCTTGATGTTCCTGGTCTCACAGGGTGTGACGGCATATGAAGTTGTAAGCATGCCATGTCTAGTGTCTATTAGCATTTCCACGTCTAATCAGAAGAGAGAGCATACATAAGACCGGGAGCATGCCTATCGATTAACGGTGTAACTGCCTTCTTTCTATCAGCTGCCCATCTTCCGTCATTATGTGCGTTGGAGCGCGCACCTCCGGAGTAACATCTTTAGTTGCAAAACCAGTGCCTCCACTAGTAACGATCAGACTGATCGGCTCTGGACCGTCAGTCCATTTTCTGATTGTCTTCTGAATCGCAAGAGCATTGTCGGGCACGATCTCGGTTTCGCTAACATCCCATTGGTCGTTTCCGAGCTCGCCGAAGACTTTCTTGAGGGTTGGTATACACTTGTCGGTAGACGGGTCTTGAGAAGCAGTCTCAGATACTACCAAGATTGCTGCTTTCAGCTTGGAATTTGTGGTGGCCATTTTGGTAGATGTAAAGGTTGAGTGCAAGCGGAGTAGAGCGGACATCCCACTCTGTAGACTCTGCGCACGGACCACTGATTACAAGCCCAGTTGATCTGCTTCTTGGAATCACGCAAAGGGATTACTTAACGATATATAAAATGCCAATCGATAAATGGTATTTAACGCCGATACTCGCTCATATTACATGCATTATACAAGCGCCTTCCCCATGTACATCGTACAACCTCTACAAATGACCTCCAGTAACCTCTTGACCAGCTCCACAAGCTGGAATTTAAATACCCTCCTCCTTGGCGTCGTTCTGAGCGGGACTGAACTTTGATATAGTCCGTGTGATAGTGCCCTGGGGCGAATTGGCAAAATCCTTCTATGCTCACTGGAAGTCCTTGGCATTGCTCTGCATGAGCAGTCCGATGATGAGACCAAACAGTCCGAGAATGGCAGCGAAAATCTCGATGGTGAGAATCTTGACGAACCTAGGACAAAGTTAGCAATGAAAGAGAAAGCCAGAGATGATAGGCGCGTACATTGCAGGGTCCGCAGCGTCGGCCAGCGCAGCGCTACTTCCGTTGATGCCTACGCATACACCGCAGATCAGGTTGCACATGCCCACAGTTATTCCAGCCCAAAACAGCGCGTATCCGGTGAAGTAGTTGGAGCCGGAGTACAGTAGCTCAGGGTCCGAGAGCTGGTTCATCTTGGAGGAAAAGATGATGGCCATGATGACACCGTAAATGGCGACGACTTCGCAGAAGATGATGGAGATCAAGTTCTTGGTTCGTATCCGAGGCGCCTTGACACCTCCACCAACGATGGACACACCGGTTGTCCAGATGCCCCTTTGCGATTGTCAGATGCCATGCGTGTAGAATTCCGACCGCTAGACGTACCATGCCGAGCCCACGACAGAGAGACCAATGCATAGCGCAATTCCAACACTAGCAAATGTGTATGGCGATATGCTTTCGAGGAAAGCTCCGACCTGGTGTACAGTCAGTCACGACCGTATCATGTTGTTGTAAAGGCGTGCGTACGTTGAAGGCCTCTCCTTCGTTGTTGAAGAGCATGTCTGATGATCATTAGCTATCGCCCACGCCCCTGCGCGCTGTACATACACAAGCCAACCACACCGAGGGCGGCAGTCGCACCGCCCGTTCCATACGTAAGAGACATGTTGGGTTTATTGTTTGTAGAGTCGGAGATGGATGGTAAAAGTGGCGGCTGGAGCTTCGTCGTGATGGACTCGCTGCGAAGCTGGCGATGATGCAGGCGGAACAAGCCGCGTCGCGCTAGTATCCAACAGCTTAGTAACCGCCTCCGCGCGCCCCCATCACTCTTCCCGCTCAGGCGTCACCCAGACCCAACCACCAGCTTGTCGCAAACACCACCAACATGGCTACCGACAACACCAAGTACTATGAGCTCTACCGCCGAAGCAGGTACTATATGCGAATCTTGGGGAGCTTTCTCGTGGGCGCTGGCTAACGGAGGACAGTCTGGGCGGCTCCCTGACAGACACACTGGATAACCTCATCACCGAGCGCCGCATAGAGCCCCAGCTCGCCATGAAGATCCTCTTGAACTTTGACAAGGCTGTTGCCGATGTCCTCTCCGAGAAGGTCAAGTCGCGCTTGACATTCAAGGTCAGTTGCGCGCGTGAGACCAAACGGGAAGCATGCTATACTGACTTGGAACTCTGTAGGGACATCTCGATACCTACCGCTTTTGCGACGACGTATGGACCTTCATCATCAAGGACATCAACTTTAAGCTGGACAACACCCACCAAGTTCACGCCGACCGCGTCAAGATTGTTAGTTGCAACGCGAAGCGTCCCGGCGAGGCCTAGAGCCAAGTCACTCGCCTGGCATGTCCTTCATGGTGACTCTAGAAACACTCGAGCACATTGGGATGTGTTAGCAAGGAGACAACCGCATTTGAATGGAAAAGAAGGGCGTAACTTGCGTAAATTACGGTCAACCAGGCAGAGCATATGTCTTGCTAGACTGGTACTGTCACATGTTTTCGGCGTTATGGACAAACCAAGGCTTTCACGATACCTATGGCATAAACGGGAGTTTGGGATTGGATGCGCAATCTGCGCTGGCTGAATGCCGACAAATTGAAACAATTATGATCTTATGCACATCTCAACTATCATACTATTTGCTTGCTGTGACAGGTGATCAATTCCACGCTCGACTGGAGTGTCCAACCAATTGCTTTTTGATTAGCACCATAATGTAAATGAGAGGAAAGACGAGTAGTGTTTCTGAATAATCTTCCGCAGCATGCGGACTGTAAAGAGCCTGCCTCAAGCATTGCGTCAAGATGCAGCTTGTATCGACTACCCCATACATTGACTAAGCGCGGAAGCGCATCCGGTACCTTGCAGATCGTTAAACCTACGTCTGTCAGTGAACATCGACCTCTTTCCCCGCAGCGTTCTATACGGCTGCGACCATGTCCCTTCCGCAAACCAAATCAGCGTGGCTGATGCTTGCCATCTCCAGTGGCGCTTGTGCAGCTTTTAATGGCGTGTTCGCAAAGCTGTAAGATACCATCGCGTCGCCCTAGCCCACAATGCATGCTGACGATGATGTAGCACAACAACAGAGCTCACAGCCTCCTGGTCAAGCTCCATAGCCCTCTCATTTGGGCTGAGTGCTTCTAACAAGATTGTTGAATATGCGATACGAGGTGTACGTCGCCTCCACCTCCGCTTACACCCCTCCGTACTCGCAGACTACTAATACGGTGCGCAGCTCTTTTTCGGCATGAACCTCCTCTTCAATGCGATCATGTGGGGGCTTTTCACACGCGCCCTTACTCTCGCTTCCTCCACCGTGCGCGTCAGTATCATAAACACGTCTGCGAACTTCATCGTCACCGCCGTCCTCAGCTTCATTATCTTCAGCGAGAATCTACCGGGACTGTGGTGGCTCGGTGCAGCCATGCTAGTAGCTGGGAGTGTGATTATTGGAATGAGGGAAGAGACGGAGAAGAAGAGTGTGGTAGCTACAACGGGAGAGGCCCCACTTCTCGACCGTGATGGCGATGCGAACGCCGAGGGCTTCAGGGACGACGATGACGAAGGCGAGGAGAGAGTCGAACTCAACAGTGTGAAGAATACAGGAGGAGACAGTAGCGACGAAGACGGTGTGTTGAAGTAGACCAGACGCAGATGCATTGTCATGATAATACACAATTCGGACTCTCACTACTGGAGCCTGACCACCTGATTACCACGGTACCACTCCCCCTTCCACCCCTCGTTCTTCGTCATCGAGGACATTCAAATTCCCTCAACAACTCCATGCGAAGGTCCGATCAGCTTGCCAAATGGGTTCAGTGTGTTCACAAACAGGTACAGCACGCTCCCGCTTCATCGCCGCTTGAGCCGGAACAGTGCATTTCCATCGCATTCGGAATCACACTCTTTCACTTTCACTGGGGGCGTAAGGGCGAGTGCACAGTGTCTGGACTGGAAAGTATTTTACTATCTGGTTCGCTTGCTGCCCACTATTTCTACACCAAAATCCGACGCGCTCTTTTCCTTCTATTTGACAATTTCCCACCACCCATCACCCGCTCTCTCCTCTACATCGAAATTTGCCGCATCATGCCGACCACTCCAACCCCCAGCCTTTTGAATGCCACGGCCGCCGAGTTTGCTCCCGGTCACAGTGCGCATCCCAGCCCAGCCCCGAGCGAGCGCTTCTCTTCCCCTTCGACGCCCCTCTCAGCCGTGAACTTTCAATCTCAGTTCCAGTTCCCGCCACAGAAGTACTACAGCCATCAGAAACAGTACGGATACCAGCCATTCCCTCTATTCAACGGCTACACACAAACCTACGACTTCCCAGCTACTCCACCTCCTTACTCTGCACAACCCCAAGGAGCAGTACCTTGGTATCCCCAGCAAAACGGCTGCGTCAGCTACACGGTCAACTTACAGGAGCCTTTTGACGACCAGTTCAGAGAGCTTCAGGGTGTGCGAAATGGTTACATCCCTAGCCAGCAGGTACGTTCCAACTATACGAAATACGTGTGAGACATGCACTGACTTCGTATCTTGACTTCCACAGAACACATGGTACCACTACGGCACCGGAAACAACAATATCAATTTCAGCAACGGTGCTCCCAAGAAGAAAGGAAAGAAGAACAAGCGCAACAAGTTCAACAAGTTCAAAAGGGGGCAGTACCGTACTGAGGAGCAGAACGTGGAGCAGCCCACTGATGCTGAGCCCAAGCTCGAGATTGATGTCGATAGTCAAAACATGGAATAGCAGACTGGGACTGAGATCAAGGTCAAAGACCGATGTGGAGTCTGAGACCAAGGACTACATCACTATCGAGGAGCAAGACTGAAGATGGCCGAGTCTTCCGCAGTGGATACTGATGCTAGAGCACGATTGTGTGGGGGGTAATAACGATAACGAAGGCATTCAGACGTCTAAAAGTGGTAGTGGTAATGGGCACATGTTGAGATTCAAACTGTACAATTATATAGCAAGCAAGGAGTCCAGGCGCGATAATGAGATGGGGCATGTAGTGGGAATTAAGACAAATATGGTACGACGACACGGTAGCGAAGGCGTTCAAGAGTTGAAGATTTGCCCTTATAACGGGAAAGAAAAGGCAGTGAATTTGTATTTGCGTAGTAATAAAGTAAAGTGTGTGGTTTCTTCTCCTTTCTTGAATCTATGCAAGGAGTAACCTGAACTCATATTCCTAGCTTAATCATATACCTTCATATCTCTCTAATGTAACCGTCTCAATCCCTCAATCAATCCCTTGACTTCTTCGAGCTCCACACCGAGCCCCTCAATCGCCTTTCTCTGTACCTCCTCGCTTATGTCCAAGAATCTTTCCACCAGCTCTCCATCCACAAAGCGCATAGGCTCCTCTTCCTCTCTGACGGTGTTCTTGAAAGCGCGGAATTTGGCAAACTCCATGTCTCCGGGTGCGGCCACTAGGGCGCCGAGGTTGGATTGCAGCGTCATGAGGAGATTTTGGTGTGCGGGAGAGATGAGACCGAAGAGGTAGATTGAGCCTTCGACCTATAAGAAGGTTAGTATCCGCATTTGAAGGACAATGTAGAGTAGACTTACAGTGCCGACAAACGCTCTGGGAACGACTGCAGCGTCCGGAGTCGTCAGGACATCGATCCGGCGTATCCTGTTTACCATTTCTCCAAGTAGCATTTCGGAGCTAATGTTCAGCCGCCTCTTGTCGTCGTCTGTAACACCGTTCGGGTCGCGGTACAAGACCATCAGGTTTCCTTCCGCATCGCTCTCAAGGAATGTGTTCGTGTCTACCTCAGCCACAGCTGTCGCCCAAGTAATCTGATAATGCCGCGCAACCTCCACAAGCTTGTCTGGTAGACCCGCCTCGCCCTTTGTGTATTCCACAACTGTGAGCGATTTCATGAGATCGGCTATGGCAATCATAGTACCATTGACCGTAACATCGATCGGTGCAGTTGAGCACCTGAACGAGGCTAGCTTAACCAGATCAGGGGAGCTTTGCGTTCGGAATTCGACATTGTATACCACGATGGTCTTGATGAGTGCTGCGACGATCTTGCCTTCGCATATAGCTAGACATCTGCAACCACCCTTGACAGCAATTTCAGTGACGAGCTTGAGTATGCGCTCGGGTGTGACTTCCAGGATAATTATGCGGCCACGTTCTGCAGTCGCGTTCTGGTCGTCAAGGTATGCAGTACCGACGACGAAACGCTCTGCCACACCGCCTGAGCCGTCTGGTAGTTCGCAGCGCATGACACATTCGACTAGTTCTTCTTCGTTGAGAGCATATGTGTCGAGCTCCTTGAATTGAATCTCGTCAACGAGCTTGAAGTGACTTAGCATAATCTCCTCGCCGTGTTTCAGTATCCTCTTGATGGTGCCGAGACCGAAAGCTTTTAGACTTGGTGAGTATGATATTCGTCGTACGGTCTCGTCAACCTTTAGTGTCTGTACGTGCGTCGTCCGCTCTGTGTCTACTAGGGCAATACGGAGATCTTCTGAGGTCGCGATGGCTACTGAGCCAGGGTATGCTTCTGAATCGAAAGGACAGACTGAGGTCGCTTTCTCTGCTGTGACAGCGGAGTATACAAGACGACCTTCTGAAGCGTAGATCAAAGATGGGTGTTCGCATGTTGCAAAGACGTTGAAGAGCCCATCGCCCCGAGGTAGGGCACGGAAGCTGGCTTCGCGCGTACCTAGTACGATGCTTTTCCTTCCAGAGAGCTCATGCGTTGATGGGTCATAAGTATATGTGACAACATTACCATCGGCTAGTGCAGCGAAGAGAGATGGTGGTTGTTCCGGGAAGATTTGTGTGAGTAACAACGAACGGGGAACAGAATCCTCCGATATCTGTACAGTCTTGACCGCTTCCAGAGTATCGAGAGAGCATATGGCGAGTTGTGAGTTGCTCCAAAAGCCGATGAAGCATATCGAGCTTGAGACTGATGGAAGAGTAACGCAGGCGACTTGGCTCTCAGCACCAAACTTCTTCTCTTTGACCACCTGCAAACCATCCGCCATACTTAGAGAGACGATAGTAACACCCCCTAAGGAGACTAGAACATGGCTGTCGTTGACCGATGCAGCAGTGATAGTTTGCCCATCCGTTGGCATCCATTCAGACGTGATCATTCCACCATCCAGATCACAGATTCGGGCCCGTCCGTTGGTGACCTGGACGACGCGGCCTTGTGAGATGTTTGTTGCGGCCAACGTTGTCTCTTCCAAAGCGAGCGAGGCAAACTCATCCACCTCTTCTACCTCGCCCTGCGGGTCAAATCGGAAGATGCGCGACTCGTTGACGAAGCTCACTAACAATGTGTCTGCATACTGGGCAGACGCAGTCGACTTCAGACTGAAGAGATCAGAGATGTGTTCCATCTCACCCAGCACACCGAGATCCTCCAGTCCGACTCCGCTCCGAACGCTTCTGAGACTTCCGTCCTGATATGCGCCACTACCGGTTACTATTCGTGCTTGGCCAGATGAGTATTCGTTCGCTTGCCCTTCACCGGACCTGTTGCCCATATCCATAATCGTAAAGTCAAGTATAGGCGCGATGTTGGAGAATGTCTGGACAACTTCCATGGATTTCTCTGCAATCTTGATGACTTGCGAATCGCCCTGATGCGATCCTACGAAAACGTAACCAGCGTCCAGGTATACCAATGTAGATGCTCGAGACGTCTCCCCAATCACATCGAGCTTCCACGACTGTACTCTACCCTGGCTGCTCAAGACCAGCATGAACATGTACAGGCGACCGTAATCATCGGCAAGTAGGAATCGTTGGGCGTCGATGCGTTCCCAGGCCACAAAGATTGTCGCCTCGTCCAGCGGTTCGGTTTGCAATTCTCCACTCTCGTCATCATAGTATCCGATAGACGTCTCCCCGACAACTATGAGGCCATGCGAAGGTTCCTCGACAGGTATGAGGTGGCTCGAACCAAGCTCCAGTTCGCTCTTACACGTTTCCCCTTCTTGCAGTTCTACTTCTTCGCCAGCGAAGGTCAATTCCCGTAGTTTCAGCTTGACTTGGGAGTGTGTGTCTTCGTATAGCAGAGCCATCTTCGGCTTGTCCTCGAAAGATCTTGGCCGTAAGAAGGCAGACGAACGAACGAACATCTCCGGTAGTCTGACTGGTTGAGGGTCTCCCAGGTGGGCAATGTCTGACTCTTGCTTCTTCTTCTTTCCCCTTTGGACCAATGGTATGACAGTTACGATGCCCTCGTAAACCTCGACGGTCATGAATCGTCCCGTTGGATCTATGTGACATCTCTCGCCTGTTTGAGACTCTCTAGCAGCATTGTCGGCCACACTCGCAAACGACTTTTCCGTCTGTAGTTGTTTCTTCTCGGCGTTCCACGACAGGGTGAAGTACATGTATCGATCGGTGCCGACGAAGAGGTGGTCGGTGGGTGATAGTGCCGGGCGGAGCTTCTGGAGCATAGTGACCTTGCCATAGATGGCTTTCGAGTGCTGTAGGGCCAATCCATCGTCCGTTTGCGTATAGAATTCGAGTCTGTTGGACTTGCTGTAATCATGTTAGCATCATGTGGGTACTTTACATGTACTGCTTACGCGACTACGAGGCAATCCTCCTCTGGGGCGAGGAAGTTGAGCTTGAGCGCATGCCGAACGCTGCTTGGCCGGTGAATAGGTGCTATATAGGCCATGGCGGCGTTCTGATATGTTCTGTAGCCTATGGATAGCTTCAAGAACAGAGACTACGATTGTCGCCGTTGACGGGCTGGAGATATCGGATGTATTCCGTCATTGAGCTGCACGGGCCGCGGCTCCACGCGACTTCGCGTTGCGGGGCGGACTTAACTTTTGGAACTTTTGAGTGACCGCGAATCTTTTTGCTCGCAACCTCGACGCGCGCACAGAATGGCTTGTAAGCCCAGCCCTTGACCGCCAAAACACCACACCGCGACCCCGCTAACATGATGGATAACCCAGCGGCCATGGAAATTGAAGACGACGACCCTGTCGTGGCCGAGTACGATGTCTACATCACCCCCGAGATGGCCGAGCAGCAGCTCTACGTGCTGCAGTACCTGAACCGCCCGCCAGACCAGCCCTTCACCAAGGCCACCGACAGCCAGCCCTCGGAATTGCGCATCAAGAAAGAATCTGGCTTCATTGAAGTCGACGTCCCCATCAACATCTACCGCAACTACAACCGTGTTGCTGGTGTGCGATGGGGAGAGGCCATGCGCAAGACCAAGGGCTTTGGCCAGAAGGCTTTCGGTATCGCATCTGGATTCGAGCGCACTATGCCTCGCAGCACCAACCGACCTGGCGCCGCCGGCGAAGGAGCTCCTGCAGCACCCATTGCGACCGAAGACGACGATAACTTTGACGAGTATGTGACTCACTTTGAGGACGCCAACGAGAAGGGCCACGTCTTCAACTCGCAGACGTTCGGTGGCCAGATCATGCACGACGACGGCAAAGGTCCTAGCTATATGCTCGGCACCTTCCGCGATAGTGAGTAGCGCATAGCAGAAAGTATGGCTGCAAGACTGACTCTATGCAGACGAACTTCACCTCACACGTTGCAACGGTCTCGTCCAACTTCGGACACAATTCCACCATATCGATGCCTCTGCTCAGCTAGAGGCTGTCCAGCGCCGCCGCGAAAAGGAATCACAAGAAGGCGCCAAGGTCGCTGAACCCAAGGCCTTCCTTGCACAAGTCAAGAAGACGGGTGGTGATACAGCTGCAGAGATGACGCAGGCTTTCATGAAGTCTACAAACCAAGAGCAGTGGCAGAAGCTCGACTACTTCGACGAGAATGTACGTTGCCCTTTGGCGCCTTGCGCTTCATTTTCGCTAGTGGTAAGCTGATCAATTTCTAGGACGAACGAGCTTTCGACGCCTACCACGACCGCCTGTTCCTCGCAGATGTTGCTTCAGCACCCAAGCTCCAGTCCAAGATCGACAATAACGAGTTTCTCGACGCCATCAGTTCTAGTGGTAAAGGCGGCAAGAAGAAGCCCAGGCGCGGCGCCGAAGACCTCATCGAGATATCCGACGAATCCGACGAGGAAGAAGAGGCTAACGAGCCATCAGTGAGTTGAGCAAGTGGATTTCGCGCCCATGACACTGGCTGTTGTGCGAAAGAGCTTCTCGCAGCATCATCATTACCGGATATGGCAGCCGACATCTATCTTTCCATTTACCTACTAGATACCCCCAAAATATTATTAAACTCTTACTATATGACGCCGCAACAGGTCTGCGCCTATCGATGTATTTCTCGTCTCCTCAAGAGGCCTGGACCATCTAGTGATACAATGCTGATTTGACCTTTCTTAGTTCGATATAGACTTGGGTTACGAGGCGGTACCACAACAGATTCGTGGCACCCGGATGGTACGAGACGAAGATGGTTGGCACCGAGTTCGTACAGTTGACTGGTACTACTTCAAAAATTGAGCTGCCTGGGGGAATAGGAACGTACGTACAAGAAACGCAAGATTAAGAGGACTCTAGGCCTGGTCACTGGCCTGTTGGTTGGTGGCCGATGCGCAGAACATGGAGACTATGCGGGAAGGAGGAGTACTAGTATCGGTACTGTATAGTAGTAGTGGGAGCTTCGTTGTCGTCGGCCTGTTACTGGATACTTTTCGAAGGTACCAGGCCTCGCTACCTAGGTAGGGTTCATACATTGAATAGCCGATTTAGGATGTCATGAATTCCACCAGGGTCCTTCCAGGTGTTTAGAGACCTACATTATCTCTTCTATGTACAATCGTCGCTCGAGTGCTTTGCGCCGCCTATGCCACTCTAGCGACATAAGTAAGATAGTTACCCTGGCCTGATCATTAGTGTCCATATGTGACAATCTGCTGCAAGCATCCCCAGCAAGAACAAGAAGGTAAAATGAGATGTGGTAATGGGTATTGGCATCGCCGTAGTGTGGTTGGAAACAACATCTGGTTTTCACTGTTGAATATAGTATACTTTATGTGTCAGTGAAAAGACAGCTCGAAGCACAAGCCCTCCAAGCTTGGCAATTAAATCTCAATGCATTTAAATTGTAAGTGAAAATGCTAGTGAAGATAACATTAAGAAGGACCCCCAAGACCAGCATCCACTCTCTAATAAGCCAAAGATGTGTGCAAATCGGGCAGATAAACATAACTTTCCAAAAATGAAAAGATTCTCCAAGAACAGAGTGAAATGACATGAATGGGAATAATACAACGATATGTAGACAACGCCAAACATCCAACATGCAAACCGTGGTATCGACGTTGGGATACAGAACATAACGCTAAGCAAACGTGATCCTGAAAAAACCTCTATCGGAGCACTTCCGGGATTTTATCAAGATATGAGATTGGGTATCATGAAAGAAATTACAAAGGGAAGAAACCTAGGCTCAACCTCGTCCATGTCCTCACGCATCATCCGTCATGCCTTGTTGTCGCATGCCTCGCCCTCTTGTGTCTCGGTAGATTCTTCTTGTATTTCTCAGTGTGCGCGCAACCCGGAATGTCACACGAGTATCGGATACCCTGATGTTCGCTCGCTTTATGCTCTCGTAGATTCTTTGGGTGAGGATAAGATACGGAGCAGATATCACAGGCATATACTGTGTGTTGCCTTTTGGTGTGGTTTTCCAACTGAAAGCGGGTTGTAAAGACTTGTCCGCACGATTGCTGTTTGCAGGAGAATCTCGAAGAGGTGCGCTTAAGAAGTTGAGGCACCTGACTAGAGACAATAGCCGATGGTGGATGTTGAGGTTGGATCGAGGGAGCAGACGGGATTGGTTCAGATTATTTCCGAGTATTGTGCTTTGATATTTGAGGCGAGAGAATGCAGTCCAGGGCCTTGTTCTACAAGAAGAAAGCCCGGTGGTATAGACAGCGGTCGTTCTTCACCGCCATAGTATACGTTGCATCCATAGAGATGCCGTAGCATCGCGCACATCAGCTTGAAATTGCCAACTCTAACAAACCAGGCGAAGCATGATGGGCAGATTATCGTACCGTAGGCATCGTCTAGCCCTTCTTCCGGTGCTGATGAGAGATTGAACACTCTATCGACAGAACTTGTTGGGCCACAGTTATCTCGAATGCATGTCGAAGCTGTGTGACTGTTGCTTTGCGAGAAATCGTTGTCGTGTAATCCGATGTTGCTCATTTCTAGTGCAGTTTCCGTGAACCACTCTCTGCAAACCGATAAAGGCATAGAACCCGTTTGTTCAGAACCTTCGGTTTCGTTGGAATCCGGCCTACGATCGCAACGTAATGCACTATGCGCCGGGAGGTCCACATTATCTGGAAAGCAAGGGCTTTGGCCATCGTAGCAAACAGATTGGGGGGCGTGTATAGTGGCGAGAATTTTACTCGTATCTCCACCCGCAAAATTGTTGGTAAGCATGTCGCTGAGATGAGTTCATGCGAACCTTGATGTCGGACCCGATATATCGAAGAAAGTCGATCTGGAAGGAGGGAGGGGTGTTAAGCTGTACCTGTCAAAACGTTACTGAGTAAAATGATTTGGAAATGATCATAGCAGAACAAAGCCATCATATGGGCATCTTATATCAGACCTCAAGAAGGTTCATGTCGTCTGCAAAGTCTAAAGCCTTCGTAGCGGTGTTCACCAGCTGATTAGGAGCTCCTGGTAAGCGATGGCCAATAAGAGATTTGAGACCCTTCGTAGTAGCCAATCGATTACATGAGACTATCCAGATCGAGAAAGGAAAGCCAAGAAGTATACAAAGAGAACTGGAGGGTCTCATTCAATACTGCATGGCCCTGTTGGCCTCCGAAGGCCGATTGGCTGTTATTCAGCCACGACAGCGAACAGAATCTTGGCGCAGGCATCTAAAGCCACAGAAATGAGGCACCCTATCCACGAGAGTGCCATAGTTCTTCGATGCCTGGTATGAGGCCCACATTGCGTGAGCCTTGTCGAAGGAGGGTGAGCGTTCGCGGGCCAGTTAGACTACACCGAGAATAATCCGCCAAGCCCGGCGATTGAGACCCTCAATCATACTTCCTATCGCAGCTTAGAGAGTAGATCCTGGTTTTTCCTTGGCTTGAGGAGAACTGATACCATCGGACCAGCATGGTCAGCTTAGCCCAATCATGATCAGGGTACTTACAGTCCGAACTCGATGAGACCCTCACTCATCATCCATAACTACTTTGAGACCCTCGTCGCCTTGCAATGTACTCTTGAGAGCACTGCTTCAGCTGCAGTTGGGCTGATGAGACCCTGGCCAACATGCCATCGTTCGAAAGGCATAACGTTTGACACCAAGGCACGTCTCTCGTGACCCTTCAGCATGTGTCATCTTGAATGAGACCCCCCAGCATTGATATAGAGGCTCTCAAAACTCTCAGTATATAGAGACAATAGTCATTGCAGTCTAGGTGACGAATGTTCAAGCCTTCAGACTACCGTCCTAAAGATCTCGAACTCTGCTTCAGGACTTTTTATCTCATTCAATGACTTCCAAGTCTAGCGATACCACTTCCTCCGGAAAGCATCCTAGTACAACTGGTTCTGCAACTGGGTACAACCTAGGTTCACCGGCTGATATCCACGCATTCCTGAATCGCATGCCTCATCGTATGTATACGGCTCCCTCTTGTGTCTTTACAAGATTTGTATTGATTTGGAATTCAGGAGATGATATTGTGTTACCCCAGAGTCCCTGGGCGGTATCATCGGGCTATTACACACGCCTAGATGGCACCGTGATGTATATCGAGCATCAACATCAGGTCCGTGAGACAACGCTGAGTACCAATGTTAGTTCCAGCATGAAGTGCTTGCCAGGAGGATGTAAAGGTTGCAATACAGAAAACGGTGGGAGAAACTAGTAGTACGGGGTTTGGTGATGTGTTGCGCGGTGGGGATTGACGGATTTGGAGATTTTGCGGGAGGAACCCTATACTACCTTCCGAAAGGAGATAGACACAAGAGAATCTCTAGGCATCATCGTCACTACTTTGCTGCGTGAGTGTCTACTTCGATGACTGGCACTGTGGAGGACATGAGAGAAAGATGGTTGCGACACACGGCGATGATGAACCCTCAATCGTCTAGTCCCAATCGAGCTTGGTGCTCACTTGACCCAGTCTATCTCTCCACACCTCCACCTCGTTGCATCGAGTTCACGTGAATGCTAGCTTTTATAACACGTCTTCATTCTAAACGACGTTCCAGCCTCCTACAATCATCCACAAAATCTCAAGTTCCACTTAATCAACATGTCGCCCACAGCCCCACCTTCCTATCCCCGACCAGACTTCCTCCGCGAAGACCTGACATGGACATCTCTCAATGGCCCCTGGTCTTTCCTCTTCGACGACAATGATGTCGGACTGAACCAAGGATGGCATTTGACCAACCTTCCGGACAAGATTACCGTAAACCCCATCAACACAAATAGCGCCGAGAACACCGAAGCCCACAGCATCACAGCCAAGATAGCTGTTGGTACGCAAGAGTTGTTGCAGGGAAATCAGTTCAAGAACGAGTACACTGTACACCAGAAGAGGGACATACAGGTCCCGTATGTATTCCAATGCCCTGCTTCGGGTATCCAAGAGACAGGCGTGCACGAGGTGTTGTGGTACGAGAGGGTTATCGAGGATTTGAGAACTGCGGAAGAGAAGGCGGCTGGAAACCACGTATTGCTAAGATTCGGAGCCGTCGACTACGAAGCCAAAATCTGGCTCAATGGACGCTTCTTTGGTGGTCATCGTGGTGGACACGTTCCCTTTGACATTGACGTTACAGATGCTTTCACGACTGAAGAGACCCAGAGACTCACTATTCGGGTGTTTGATTCTGCACACGATTTGACTCAGCCGCGTGGAAAGCAGTACTGGAAGGCACAGCCGGAGAGTATTTTCTACACACCCAGTGGCGGTATCTGGCAAAGCGTCTGGCTTGAGTCAGTGCCTGTGGTAACGATCGGAGATGCAAGCGCGGGCACGCTATTCAAGAGTAATGACATCGAAAGCGGCAATTTGGAAGCCAGTATCAAGATCCTCGGGCGACCTGCTGGCCATGCGTACAGTGTAGAGCTCGAAGCCAGCCTAGAAGGCATATCCGTCAGCAAGACAGGAAAGATCTCGTTACCACGGGACTCAGACAACGTTTCCCTAAGCACCAAAATGCGACTTTCAGACTCGCAGACTTCGCAACTACCTTCAAGTTTCACATCCACCGCCCCGCTTTCCGACCCAACGGCATGGCTCAACAACCTAGCCCTCTGGTCTCCGGAACACCCTACACTCTACGATTTGACTATCAATCTATACGACAGTGAAGACAAGATTGTTGACAAAGTCCACACAACAACCGGCATGCGCTCTCTCCACTGGGACAATTCTACCTTCCGTCTAAACAACAAGCCCTACTTCCAAGCTCTCTTCCTCGACCAAGGCTACTGGCCCGAAACCTTCATGACACCCCCATCCTCGGACGCACTAAAGCTAGACATCGAATTGACCAAGAAAATGGGTTTCAACGGATGCCGCAAGCACCAAAAAGTCGAAGACCCATTATTCCACTACTGGGCTGATCGTCTTGGCTTGCTAGTCTGGGGCGAAATGGCAAATGCATACGCCTTCTCGGAAGCGTACGTAGAGCGCATGGATCAAGAGTGGCGGGAGGCGGTTCTGCGGGATCGTAACCATCCTTGCGTAGTCGCTTGGACGCCCGTCAATGAGTCGTGGGCGTACACTGATCTGCATACGAGCAAGCAGCAGAGAGATCACATCAGGAGCTTGTACTATGCAACCAAGGTGCTGGATTCCACAAGACCCATCAACGACAACTGTGGCTGGGAACATGTCATCACGGATTTGACCACGTTCCACGACTACGCGGACGCGGACGAGCTTACAAAGACTTGCTCGACGTTAGAAGGCATCATGAAGAAGCAGTCAAATCGACCAACTTTCCTTGCACCTATTGAGAGCTTGTCGGATCCAGGATCGAAGCATACGCCTGGTGCACCAGTCATTTGCACTGAATTCGGTGGCGTCAACATTGCGAGGGAGGCAGCGGGTGGAGAAGAGGATAGAAAGAGGGACTGGGGCTACACCACTGCGACAGACCCCAAGGACCTGCTCAAACGCATTGAGAAGATGATGACAGGGATTGTCGATGGAGGGCATTGCTGCGGATTCGTATACACGCAGCTTACAGATATCGAGCAAGAGGTCAATGGAGTATACACACCCGACCGAAAAGAGAAATTGGATGCCACGGAGGTGAAGAAAGTGGTCGAGCGCGTCATGGAGAAGTATGCGCAAATGCACAAGTAATTGCAAAGATTACATGAGCATGTATATACATATAGGAATTCACTCAGTTCAAGAGAAGCAATAGTTGCGTAACGTCGTTGCTTCTACACCGACACTCTTGTGCCTTCGTGCTATCTATACATGGTTTCGTTTTTCATCAAGATATACCTTCAACTCTGTAGTTGTTGACAATTCGTCCATGACCGACACCTGTCCTGCGATGTCATACTGGCGTACAACAATCGATCGATGATGCTCTGCAATGCACAGAATCCACCTAGCAATCCAGGATAATAAGACGCTAAGGCTGCTAACAGGTCATGCGAAATGGAAAGTCCGAGTGACGGGAAACGGGCGATCTTCAATATGCGGGGCTCCGGGATGCGTGACAAAAAGAAGGAAAAGGGTATCGTCCGTAGGAAAGCCATAAAACTCCGCCCATCCTGCTACCGATGCATGTCAAAGCACTCAACCACCATATCGTACACCACTTCTCAAGTATCGCACACTCTCTTCCTCAAGACGTCGTGGCTGCTGATCTTGTCGGAAGGGAATGTAGTCATGGTTTGGAGGAGCGCGTCTCTCATACACCCTGTTGTCAGGCATATAAGCACGAGATGGCTGAACAGTGGGTACATCATACTGTGCACCTCTCACTTCATGTGCAGGCATTCGGTGAGATGGTCCAGGAGCATATGCGTGTCCACGAGGATCAGCAACCGCAAACGAGCGTGCAGGTACATCGTAACCTCTGCCACCACTGGTGGGCAGATGATAGGGACTGGTGATTAGATCAATAACTTGCTCCCTAGGTGGTACCCTTGGCCCACTGTTGGGCGCCATGCGCTGGTTTGAATGGAACTCTGTCGGGCCATCATAGTAGTTCAGGGAATGCACTTCCTCACGATATACGGGCCTTAAGCGCTTGGTATAATGCTCGGCATGAGACTCGCTGCCATTGGCAAAAGAAGAGAGCGCTTTTCGCTTTGGTGACGGCACCTCATTGTATGGCCTGGTGGCATTCGCGTTATGGTGCCTGACAGGCTGCTGAGACGCTGCCGCACGTCGTGGCGATGTCAGATCAACTGTTTCAGGCTCAACAGAAGGCAGCACAACATCTTGATCCGATGGGCGCCTTATGTGCGCTGGTGGTCTGTCAAAGGCACTGTGACGAGGTGATGGAGGCTGAACATAACCTTCTTGCACGCGGCGCGGCACAGCATGCATGGGAGGATCATACTGTGACCTTGAAGCACCACGAGTTTCCTTGATGGGTTGCAGCTATACATGTTAGCTCAAGAAAAGGATAGGGATCGGAATACCATTGTCTCCTGCTTGTGGAGCTTGACTCTCGAACACTCACTTGGTACAGTTGGCCATTGATCTCACGCACAATCGGCTGTGCGCTTTTCAGGCTCTGGCCAGCCTCAGCTGGTCTCGCTCGTCTATAATTGTGAGCATGGATTTAGATGTTAGCTGTCATCTGCACTTACGGATCGGTCGTCCTTGTTCGAGCTGACTGGAAAGGCTGCTGCGACTGGGAACGCGAAGTGCCAGACAAACCAGCGGACTGTGGAGGTGGTGGGTAGCGTGGAAGGACTATGGTTCTTCGTGGGGCTCGCCGCATATCATATGCATATACGCGTGGGTAGTTAGTAAGCGATTCCGGTTGTAGATCTCGGGCAGTAGCACGACTGGAAACAATTTCCATGCTTTGCTCACGCTCATCAGGCGTGGACATTGATCCTTCATCGCTGCTTGCGTCATCATCATCGTCGAGAACAATGACTTCGCGGAACGTTTCTTCAAGTTCATCGCTCTGCTTGCCATCTTCATCTCGCCACTCCTTGAGTTTTGCAAGAGAGACCTTCTCGACCTGGCTGCGGGCTTCCGACCAGCCGTCGGTCTTGAGCAGTTTATCGTAGTCTGTATATGTGTGGCGGATATGTGCGACAACAGCGAGTTGCACTCTACGAGCCAACGAAAGTTCCTTGGCATTACCTACCCGATTTGTCCCTTCCTCGAAGGCATGAGAAACGATGGCTTGTAGATCTGCCTCTGGGATCTTGGGAAACATCTCTCGAACAGCGCCATGAATGTAACCCTTGGTTTCCTTTTCAGTGGCAGGATGACCATGCTGTACTTGCCGCGAAGAGTAGTCTTCAAACTCTTGGGCAATCCAGTTGGTCCTTTCGCCCTCTTTGTCTTTCCGCAAACCGCGTCTCTCGTCATATATGTATCCGAATTTGCTGCATGCAAGTTCGATGATGTGAATAGGAAAGTGATGTCCGACTCGGTGGACATGATGGGATAGCTTCTCGGGGTCGGAGTGGGTTTTGTTCTTCGGCTTGGCCTGCGACGTTGTTAGTGGACGGCCCATTGGCTTGGGAGAGGTGAGATGCTCACAGAGACAACGTGCACATCAAGGTTGCGTTGTCGACACTGCTCTTTGCACCATTCGGTGAATTCTGGGTGTCCGGCTGGGATGAAACCAAAGCCGATTGGGGCGTTCGACGCGTATGTTAGCTATTCTATAGTTAGTGGTGTTACAGGACGGTGAAATCGCGTCGTCGACGGACAATGGAATGTAGCTTTTTCTTCTCTTGTGTTACCGCCTCTAGGAGGATCTTGTAGGGCTTCTTCTTCTTGACAGCGGCTCGCGACTGATCAAGCGTACCGCTGCGCTGCGGCGCCTGTTGCGGACGCGCATGATATACTCTGGTCATAGCTCTGGTATTCAAATGATGTTCATAGATCCCACAGCGGACCAGGGCAATGTGTCGCTACTGGATGACTGAGCACCCTATGTGGCCTGAGTCGACGAAATTAGTGATTAATACGGCAAGCGTAGCAGTCACGATGGAGTGCAATTGTCCAGAATAGATCCAGATTGCGTGTCTACAAGCCCCAGGCGATGCAAAGGCACAGGCGGGGTGATGAGTGGTACGTGTTGGTGAGAGAGGAAAGTGGCGAAGTTGGAATGCGGGCGGCGGTTATCATCGCCGGTGATACTTTTCTCCGCCACCGCATGATCCTCGGTCTCAGAGTGATCGCGATCTTGATCCTCGAATATGTCACAACAAGCAGTCATTCACGCATATAGGCACCTATACCGGCATAGTCTAAGGGCTATCCAGTTTTCGAAGCCGGCTCGGTATACATTGCGCGATCGACTTCGCCTAGCCTTTCGCAACGGGTCCGCTGCCGACTATGAGCCACAGAGAATCCAGAACACGCTTGAATTCCTGCAGTATGCGACTAGAGAGAGTGGGCTGGAACACAAGATAGTGAAGAACCTTCTGTTCGTGTGGTGGGTACAGAACAACGGAGGTCGCTCAAAGCAAAACCCGAAGAATATGTAGGTAGCCAGCTTATTCTGCTCCATCTTCAATGCCGCGCAGCTTACGCTTCCCAGAACGCGCGACGAGATCGAGATAAAGACCACCGCGTACGATACTTTCAACCACAATATCCGCATGCTAAATGAGAGCATGGGACTGTGCCTTCCAGCCATGACTATCCGCGATCCCAGTTGAGGCGACCCCACTAGGCCGAGACCATCGCCATACAGCTATTGTCGCACCCACATTATATGCGGATGCGCAAATACGAAAAGGCACTTCACATGAAGTCGTCGAGGAAGTTCTCATCGCGGTTCTCGTTGGTGTTCTCCTCCAGGTTCTCCTCTGTCATGACATCGTCGTAGGCATGATCTCTGCGCCATGCAAGCTCCTTGCGCTCCTTGGCTATACGGGCCTCCTCTTTGCGCTGCGTCACATTAGCGTCCAGCCTTGGTTTTTGGAGTCAATTGGAAGAAGTGTGTTCGCATTTGAGCTTGGGTGATTGGGGATATATAGCGTCCGAGTGATTGGGAATGGCATAACAGACCATGAGAGCAAGAGCATGTGTAAAGGCTTGCGCGATAGCGAAAAATATTGAATATAGTAAAAGAAAACAAGATTGAATAAGGATACATACCTTAGCCTGCAAAGCACTCTGGTCTCGTTTCCTCAACTCGGCCCGCCTTGCTTCTCGCTCTTCTCTTAGATCCGGGAATTTCTCAACTTTGGTCTTGTTAAGACGATTAACGATGAGGTTTTCTCGTTGCTCTACGTGTATGCGTTTGACCTGATATGTCGTCAGTATACCAAATATCAAATAATCATCAAGCCAAGAAACGTTCTACATATCGTTTGCTACAAGAGAGCGACGTGCCTACCTTTCGCTGATCCTTGAACCCAACCTGACCCACGGCCATACTTCCATCTTTCTTCAAGTTACTCCAAGGCGTGTACACAATCGTGACGTTATCTTTCTTGTTGCCCTCAATACTGTTTGCCTTGGTAAGTTGGGCACAGTCCACCAGCAGCTCTTTAGTCATCTTCTCCCAATCTTCGCCCTCAGGTAACCGGACGTAGATATGTGCCGAGGACAGGTTGTCTGCGTGGAACCAGACATCTTCGTCCCAGCCGTATTTGATGAGCTCTTCATCTGTTCAAGCGATCAGTATGTGCGGTTGCAGCTGTTTGACCTTTGAGTGTGCAACAGCGAATCGAAATGTACGTACTCTCAACTTTGTCCTTGCCGACGTAGATGAAGGCTGCCGGGGACACAGTATTGGAGGAGAAATAGTACACCATCGTGCTGGGCGGGTATTCCTAGATTTCGCGGGCCAGTGTCAAACAGCAAGTCAGAGACGTGCTAGGATCGTGAATTTGGCAAGCACGTGTGGGGTCTAGCGGGGTATCCATAGGTAATTGAGCCACGCTCCAGCCTCAGGGTCCAAAGCTCACAAGTAGGCAACACATCATGGTGATCAGATCTCTTGAAGATAAGAATGCGTAATTCAGTAAATTTCAAGCTTCTTGGCTATTGTTTGGTCGTGACATCGTAAAGTATATACATCAGAGGCGCAGGTTCTTACAACACCTACTGCGCGCCCCTCTTGTTCAGAAGCGCATCCTGACTCTCTTCCTCTTCACCCGGCGCAGCCTCTACGTTATGGTCGCCAGCACCATGCTTCAAGCTGTTCATGGGGTTATCCTGTCTGGCGTGCTTCGCATACTGGTCATGGCCCTTTGCCCTCGGGTCAAAGTTCGCATCATCCAGGTTCTTCTTCTCAACACTCGTTGGCAGTTGGTCACCGGTACCGGTAATGACCTCGCCTGTTTGTCCGCAATCGTTGACACTGCGCGGTATGTCGAAGGCGTTATCCGCTGCGTGTGCGATGTTTGTATGAGTCTGGTCTGGGTGAGACGAGGGTGAAACCTGAGTTCTCATTAATACATGGATTTTATGAAGACATACAATCCCCAGAGTAAGGGTAAATGCTTACTACGTTCATCTTTCCAGCGTCACCAGGGATTGAAGTGCCTTTAACGGCCATGTCCTCAAGACGGCCTCCTTGGTGTGGGTCTGATGCCATAATGTCTGATCTGAGATATGATTGAAGGAGAAGTTTTGAAACTCTTATATGCTGTGAAGCTTGGGTACGTTCAAGTAGTGAAATGAAGCTGTGTGTTAGCAAGAAAGAAGCCTACAGCAAGCACGCGAGCTTTCATTATGTAGCTCTTCCATTACGTGCCTGAGCACCAGTGGACCATCTGTCGTCATAATGATGGTGATATCACAACACTGTTTTGGTGTGCAAGAGATGAGGATTCCGACTTTCCGATCAAGTACCTGAGGGGTGAGATGTGCCAAGCAACTCACGCGCGGAAAGTGCGCCGCGTGTGGGGACGCGACTCTGACCACGGAAACTCGCAGAGACAGTAAACAAATAGACAACTCCCAAAATTGTTTACTTGCACAATCAAAAAATTCCAAACATCATATTGAACATCGAAGATGCCAGCAGCCGAGCAGTCATCAGCTGATGCCCGCCGAAAGGCCGCTCGTGAAGTCATCGACATTCTTCATGAAATCGCAACATTGCTAGTACGGGGCACCGCGCCTCACTGAAGCGCCCGGTATCTGACATCAGCTACAGAATACGCATCTTGATCGCCAACAACTGTCTTACTGCGTATCGCTCATCGAGAACGGCGCGAACCCGGAGGCATTAGCGGTACGTAGCCCTTACGGCACAGCAAGATGTAACAGCAGATCGCCTCGCGCGCGGTTCGAGATGCTGCGTCGAAGTTGGGGCCTTTTCTGCGTGACTACTAAAAATACTGACTGTGGCACAGAAAGTCATACTGCAGCTGCGCGAGGAATATCCAGCGAGTTCGGTTGACGGCGATACAGAGGCTGGTGCAGCCGCGCGTTGAGTCCGAGTAGGTTCGAGTCCGAAACTGTTGTTGTGCGGCCTTACACGGGCGGTTCCGTGTAAGCTTGTCTGCAACTTCACATGCAGACCGAGGAAGGAGCGAACAGGAGGAGTCAATCAATAGTGGCTATGGCATCATTTGTCCTGTGTTGAGCCTGGATCGTTATCATCGTAACAGCCAACATACTCAGACATTGGCGTTGGACTAAGCCCTCGTCTCCGGTTCCGCATGTACGTACTTGGCATGCATCATGCAACCTTGACAGAAAGCCTGGAAAGCCTAATCTTCCCTTGTACATGGAGGGGCAGTAGCGAGTAACGTGGGGCAAATCTACCAACGAACCGGAATCTAACGCCAAGGTGCTGATATCGAAAGGTAATGCACCGTTATCAGTACATGGAGCTTGTTTTCTCAGATGTTCATGGATCGGGAGGCATGTCGCGATAAGGGCAGCCCGGGTTACAACCACAAGGTTTGTGGAGGGTGCGCGGAACAGTCGGGTATGCAATACGTATCAGTGAATATTAATCTAATCACCTTCAGGCGGGATGCAAGTCACCGGTCAGCGGAGTCGGGCATCATGCAACTAGTTCTGCTAGATATCGTCATTGCATTCTATCAACAAAGGGCCGTTGTGTCGTCTATTATGACTCTGATGTGTGATCCAATGACAGAGACTCGATGCCGAATTAGGAACATGGAAAAGCAAGTACAGAAAGCTTGATGCTAGCAACGATAACGATCGTTTGGGGTATCATCAACGAGAGGAATGGGGTATCTTCCAAAAGAAACTTGTCGCCGCGATAAAGTAAAGACAGAACACCTCCTGCTGTCCTAACAAAAAGAAATGTGTAATGTGTCTACCTGCTGCCCCAAGTGGGAGAGCTCTGACGCTGACGGAAGTTGCCCTTTGCATCTGCGACTTTTTGTAGGGCCTTTTCGGCTTTGGCATCTTGCTTGTTAATGAAGCCGTTGAAGATGGCAGGGAGAACGCGTTTGGAGTCTTATGTACTGTTAGCAGTGATCTAAGAGTATGAGTAGGTGTGAACTTACTGGCATGGTCAGCATCGAAGACAATGCCATCTGCACCTCGCTCTCCCGCAATCTTGACAGCTTCCTCCAAAAGACCCTCACCAACACCTTTGCCGCGGTACTTCAACTTTACAGTCCAAGCGCGCACAACTGCCTTGCCCCTCCTTCTCCTGCCACGCTTCTTCGCGGCATCATTATCGGCCCAACCCAACACCAAGGATCCAATAACGTCTTCACCCCACTTCACCACGATGAGCCTGTCATCGCCAAGCCACTCCATGTTGATATCCTCGGCCATGCTGATGTAGCCACCAGTCATCCATCGAATGAAAATGAGGAAAGTCATCGAGATGCCTCCAATGGTCGTGAGAAGCATCAGCTTGTCCTCGTACCAGCGTAGCGTGTACTGGGCCACAATGGCGACGATAGCGAAGTAGGCGGCTAGCGAGACGGGGTGGAACAGCATGACCTTGCTCGCGATCTGGCGCTGTTGTGCCACTGAGTCTGCGACTAAGCGCAAACCCTCAATGCGGTCATCCTCTGTCTCAGCAGTGTAGGTGGAGAGCTGCGGCAGTTCGTCGGTGGGTGGTTTAGCCGGGATGTTTGCTTCGGTTGACGACATGGCTTGGGATTCGGCGGGTGAAGGGTACGGGTTGTACTGCGCAGGCAATGTTGAGTAGGAAAGTGATGTGGAAGGAACTTCTTGACAGAAGTTGTTCAATCGAAAAGACGTGGGTGTTGGCAACGGCGAAGGTAAATCAGGGTCGATTCTGAGGTTTGCGCTCAGCGACGTCAAGAATGCTGTTGTTCGCGCGTTAGCTCGTATTCGTACCCATAAATCTCGCGCGTCTATGTTGCTGCATGGTTGACATCACAACCCCAGTCGCGGCAACCGAGCACACGACTATCAACACTCGCCAAAGAAAAATGAATGGAACCAAACATACCCGCACTTGTCCTAAATCCAGGTAACGACGGTATCGCAGGAATGGCCTTTTCGATTCCTGAGTAATGATTCACAATAACGGTATCTTGACTCAAAAAGTGCTGTTGTCTTGGAAAAGCATGCGGACCAGGTGGGACCTTGAGATGACTTGGAGGAAGTTGGCGACGCATCCTTCTTATAAAACAACTCGAGGCTCAATCCTTTTCGAAATTCGATTACATATACAAGCGTATGTCAAACACGTGGGCGGACCAGCCAGGAAAGGGAAGACAGAGTAATTAAATGAAGTAAGGTGGGAAGTGAGTCGGGAATTGGGGCGTGTAGATGTGGAAAGGTTAGAGGCTAGAAGCTGAGCCAGACAACCGCAAAAAAATCCAACTCGCGAACAAGTGGGAAAACGTGCGTTAAAGTATTGGCTTATAAGCCAAGACAACTATAACACAGATCCTTTGACCACAGGATTTCCCGCGTTAACGGGGTCTTCTTTCGCACGAAGCGGGTCCAACACAAACGCACAAGCCATGTCATGGTACGTTCCGCGCATTCCTTGGTTGCGTACGTGCGGGTGGGAGCGAAGCGCAGGAGTCGAGGCGCTGCGACGACGATCTTCACAGGCCCACCCTGAGCTCACTTTTGACCCCCCTTGTCCGCACTGCTTCAGCTGCAAAGACAAGTGTATGCGATGGCTATTGGCTGGGGGCTGCAATAGAGATAAGACGCTTGAGGGCCAACAACACGACTGCATCCAAACAGACCTGGATCATGGGATGCATTCATCGGCGAAAGCGGTGTGGCGGGGTTGGATATGGACAGTCTGCGGATCCGTTTTGCTGCGCGTGTGAGTCTTTGTGTTGGTTTTTGATGGAGGTGTGGTTGTTTCTATTTTTCTAGCTCGGGCTTGTGCAAGCGGCTATCTAGAAAAAAATTGGCAGACGTGCAAGACACCGCCTCTATGAAGACGTTTGTTCTTGTTGAGTGGGAACACGGCCATAAAGGCATACACCATCTTTTGTTTTGTTGGCACGTTGCTATAAACCAGGGCGAGCATCTCTGGGGTAGGCTTTATCAAGCACGATAGTCGTTGGAGCAAAGGTGCTTTTTCCTATTGTGCTTATTCCAGTTCATCCAATTCTGTCCTCTACGCCTCTTTGTCGCCCCGAATCGAATTATGCCATCTGCAATTCGCTTGATACCCAGGATCTGTCATGATGACAGCCGTCACTCCATCTTCGTCATGCGACTCCCGCGTCAGGGCTCGCTTGCGCTTACCCTTCACAACCCCTCCAACCCGTTCTTGGCCACCCGTGCATCAATCTCAAACGCCGCCCTCCGCGTCAAAGCGGACAGGCTGAGACTGCGCAAGCATGCGTCTTGTATTACCGTAGTTCGTTTCACGTTCGTTTGCCCAGGCCTTGCATAGCACCCCCTGCTTTCGATTGACGATACACATGGACCCACTTTACTTGCTTGCGCGTTGCTGCTGGACGCCGAACCGGCGTTTGTCAAAATCGAGTATCGTGACACAGGCGTGGGATGCACATATTGTTTACAGAAAAGACGTGCTTGCTGCATGCCTCGTCTCTTCGCAAACACGACCCATTCGCCAGTAGAATGCCATGGTTCCCAGTCTACTCCTGGCAAGTACCGCGATCTAGTGCGATAAGCCCCTCCCCTCGTGATGAGGTCTCGCGGTATAGCCAACATACATCTCTCCAACCAAGAGCTCTCAACTCCACATTTCAGCTTTCGGAATCCGGCCTAGATCCCTTGTACAAAAAACTCCCGCATATCGCGCATCATATTCTACCTGCCAGCCAACCATATCGCATACATTATCCTTTGTCCCCCGGCTTGGCTTAACAATACTGCCATCTGACGTGTGTGCTCTCCACATCTAGTCATCTACTCCACATCAGTCATCCACTTGCAGCCTCAGATCGCAACGCCTGAGGTATTGCATGCACGTCTTGCGTAAACACGCGTCGCCTTCTCCACAAGGCAAAGAGTAAGCCCGTTGGACAATGGAGAGTAAAGGCTTGTTTGGCGTTAACGCGGACGATCCTATGAACAGAGTGAACCGTGTGTTCGAAACGAGCACCGGTGGATGCGCATGTTTCGGCTATGGCAGGTGAGTTGTGCTTTGTTTCGAAGTGTCAAGATCACCGCACGACAGGCGAAGCGAAGGCTGGGGAAAGGAAAACCGGCCGGCCAAACACGACTGTTATACAAGCTTTGTATAGTTTGATGTTCGACGTAGATGAACTGTATAGAGCTCGTCATCGGCATTCGCATATCAGCACTAGAAATTAAAGCGTGGGCAAACTTCGTCGATCCTTTTGTACATTTTTTCCGTGAGGCATACAGCTATTTACAGACGCCAAACTCCATCAGCTCTGCTGGCTCGTATTTTCCATATACTAGGTTTCGTCAATCTTTCCTATTGACATGACAACATTCAAAGTATTACACAAAAAGGCGTACGGAACGCGCGATAGTTGAAGAGGAGAAGTACCGCCTTTCTAGTCGGGCTGGAACACCTTATAGCATGCGAACAAGCAAAGTCTGTAAACACCCGCCTGCTAATCGTCCAAACGCCAATATAGAAAAATAACAAGACCCTTATCAGGTTCATGGACCAAGCTCATTTCTTTTGTTGCGTGTTCGGAGCTGAGGCGACGCCAGCGCCTGGCTCGAGAGTATGGTCGTGGTTGTCACATCGAAGCACCCGTCCGCCCTCTTCTTGCGTGCACACTGCACTACCAGTGACCCATTTATCTTCGAGGATCTCGTCAAGAGTCGCACGTTTCTTCGGGTCAATTTCTAGCATTCTGCCGATGATGTGCCTACTTTCTCTTGGTAGTAGACGGAGAAGACGCCACGGGCCTTTAATCACTTGAGGAGGTTGCTGGCTCGTCGACGATGTCGAAACACGATGGTCGGCCGTAGAATGCTCTGAAGTTTGGTGGCGAGATGCAGGCTCTGATTGCGACCCTGATTGACGGCGATCGTCGCCTGCGCTGCTCTGGAGGTCAGTGGCCGACTTTGAGGGGCCAGTGATCGATCTCGGTCCATCATTGGGAGGCGAGACGAAGAGCTTGTATGAGTTGTCGGAGACGCGCGGGGCTTTCCACGGGAATCGACGGAGCGTCATACAGCAAAACATGATAGCAAGAGACCAGATGTCAGTCGGTTGCGGGTCGTACTTTGAAAGGTCGTACACTTCTGGGGCGAGGTACGGGTCTGATCCGACGATACCTAGAGGGATTAGAACAAGCTTTTCAAAGACGACATGATAGACTTACCACTTGCAAGGACAATCTCGTCCTCAAAAGGATACTTGAAGACAGCAGCACTTCCGAAATCGATGATCTTCATGATTCCGTGCTCGTTGACAACGACATTGTCTAGCTTCAGATCTCGATGTGCCAAGCCCATGCTGTGAAGATACGTCACTCCATTGAGGATTTGTAGAGTGCAGCAGGTGACCTCTTCGCGACTCATCTTTCCCGTCATTACTATGGCGAAAAGGTCAAAAGGTGCGTACTCCATCACAACGAAGTAGGCGCCCTTCTCATTCACTAGGTCCATGGTCTCGATGATGTTTCCATGGTGCAGCGTCGAGCCTATACAGAACTCGGCAGTCACCTTCTTGTTGTAGTCCTTTTCAGACTCGTACGAATGCCTGTTGCGGAACTGCTTTACAGCGAATGTGGTACCATCACTGCTTCGCTTCATGAGTCGAACGGAGCCACCAGCACCTGAGCCCAGCACTTTTCCAAACTTGCCGTACTTGCTCTGGAGGCCGTGATCATCGGCGAAAGGTACGCTCATCGCTCCGTTTGTAATGGGTGGTGTCATAACCCCTGATTTATTCGACTTGATTTTTTGACTTTTGATAGACGGCGCAGGCGATTCTTTCCGCTTCTCCTTGTCCTTGTCCTTGTCCTTCTTGTGTCCGATCTTGAAGAAGCGCTTCAGCTCGGACATGGATCCATGGCTGTGTTTGCCTATTTGCGATTTGCTGTCCTCCACGTCAGAGTGAGCCTTTGTTTTCTTCCCAAATATGCTCGTTCTCTTGCTCTCCTCTTTGTCAGAGTCGGTACCTCTGGAGCGTGGTAGTTGGTACGTAGATGATGCTGCCGAATTGCGTCCATCGCGGCCGCCGTAAATGTATCGGGCTTCGAGTGAATCCAGATTCCTCGATTGCGCTGCGCGTTTGGAGCGAGCATAAGTATCGTCTCTATCTCCCTGTGGTGTATATGGCCGGGAGCCTGGTGCCGGGGTCGACGTTCCTGGCGTACGTTCTCCGCCGGACCCAGCCGGACTAGCATCCCGGGAAGCTGGGTTTGAGTCGCCAGTAGGGCCCATTGTGAATGCAGGGCCGCGTTTTGGGTGCGGCTGTACTATGCCGGACAGATCTGACGAAGGTCGAGGGGATTGTGGTGCGGTTCTGGGAGAGCCGGGAACTGGTAGTGAAGATTGGCCATCGTTTCGATTTTGCACTGATGAGTCCATGGACGTTGGCGGAGCTTCATGCGGGGGTGAGACTTGAGGCGTCATCATAGCGGGATCGCTCGGGCGCTTTCTATGTCCCTCTGTGTTAGCTCTCTCTTCGCGAGATGAAGTGCCCGCCGGCGTTAAGGGTGGAGAGTGCATGGCGGATGCAGGTGACCCCGGAATGGAAGAACGGTGTCCTGAGTGTGCTGAAGCTGTTCGTGAGGCTGGAGAGGGGGAAGGTGCCTTGGGCGTGTTAGCTGTATGCTGATGGTCATAGGCTAGTTTATGAGGCTTGCTTACTCGAGAGGGCGGAAGCGAGACAGGTTCGAAGGAGAAGTTTTCCATGCGCTTTGCCTGCATTCGTGATTTTTGAAGCGTCGACGACAGATTACGTAGTTCTTCTTCGGCTTGAGGGCTTAACGGGCCATCATGGGCTGCCTTGTCGGTGCCCGTGAGCTCCGCGACACCCCTCACAGCCTCTTCTGGTTCAATTTCCTGGTTGACATCACTGAAGCGGACGGACTGGGCGGGGGTAGTCTCCGTCATGATGGGTGGTGATTGTTGAGTGTGAGTGTGAGGTGGGTGTTCTATCAGAGAGGGTCAGCTCCCTTGGTCCAGGCCATGACGAAACATGCAGATGTCTAGGTCGAACAGCTCTAGCTTACCCGGGTGGATTCGTGATGCGTGTTGCCCAGAGCTCCGTCACAGCTCTCGTGCAGGCCAGATGTAGCGTCCCAATGCGCGCGCGGAGGAGCCGGAAACGATTAGAATAGCAATTCGCGCAGTGGTGATGCTGGAGGAGGAGTAACAAGGTGCAATACTCGAGTCGTGTGCCTGACTACAAAGCATCGAGAATCGTCATCGGAGACTAGAGTAAAGAAGCCCCGCGCTAGCCGTCGATTGCGTGCAACCAATTCGTCCGTAGAACCGCGGATGCTCGGAATCTGGAAGGGGTTGCGGCCGGGGGATTGGTCCTATGTATATGTGAGAGAGGATAGCAAGGTCGGCGTTGGGCGTAAATAGCGACAAGAAATTGATCTTCGGAGGGGTTGACGATACTCGATAGGTGCTACCTCCAAAGGCACAGGGCGCGCGGGTTGCCCTATCCGTTCAACATCGGGAGGCTACGGCTAAGCCTCTCCCATGCACCGCCGCCTCAACTCCCATGTCTATAGCGTCTTTGGCATCTTCACCCAACACGCCAAAGACCCTCCCCAAGCACCGAGGTCCCTCAGTTCCCAACCGCAGCATCTCGTGATACCCCCGCAGCACATCAACGCCCACCAAGTGTCCCGACCGTCTGTTCTGACGTCGCCCATCACACATCGCTGTACCTACCTGCTCCCGGCCGTGCTCTCGTCACTCCGAAAATTTCAAATCCAGACCTGTTGAACAGAACCTTTCCAGAGTTTTTTCTGCCCTCCTCCAATCAAACCCCGTGACCGCCTTTACTTACGCACGTCTGTTATTTTTGGATAGTGCGTCGACCTGCCCACAACATGTTCAGCTGGGCCAAGTCAACGTGAGTGTAACCCTCGCCTCCACACGTGCCTGCGCGACCGTGGCGTACACGGTGTATTAGTAGAGGACGCGTACTTACAAATGCAGACTAGCCGCGGTTGCCGGCACCCAGGAGCCCGAATACGGCCCCGAAGCCATCCAGCCCGTGGGCAAGAAGGGAGGTGAGCCCGCCTACACGGAGCTGACCAAGAAGGACCTCAAGTGGGTGACGCTCGACTACACCAACGTCGAGACCCAGACCTTCTACCTCTTCACCGATGCCGGCCACAAGGGCTTCCTGCAGGTCATCTACAACAACATCGCGTGAGTGTCGTCTCCATGTCTAGACAGTCGTAGTACTCACAGCTCGCAGCGGTCTACGAGTAACCGTGCAGTTCAACTGCAAGCTCTTCTACCCCAACAACGAGAAGCCCTTCCTATGGGCGAGTGACCCCGTCTCAAATTACGGCTTCGACGAGGAACAGCATTCCTTCTACGCCGATGGCGTCTCGATCGAGCTTTCGGAAGACGGCAACGCGTACACCATCAAGGCAGCTGTGAACGACAACAGCATGGTCAACGTCAAGTTCACCAGGACTGCTCCTGGCTTCATGGGTGGAAAGGATGGCACAACCAACTACGGCACCGACCCCAAGGCGCCCTGGGGCTCCATGCACCACCACTTCTGGCCACGATGCAGCGTCGAGGGTTCCATCATCACCAAGGAGGGAGAAGTTGACGTCAAGGGCCGAGGCATGCTGAGCCACGCTCTCCAGGGAATGAAGCCACACCACGCTGGTAAGCATCTCATCAAGTATTCCCATGCTCCCCACTAACATGTACAGCTGCGCGATGGAACTTTGTCAACTTCCAATCACCCTCATACTCCGCCATCCTGATGGAGTTCACCACTCCCGCCTCCTATGCGTCGACCGTTGTTCGAGTCGCCGGAATCGCAACCGACGACAAGCTACTTTTCGCCAACACTGAAGGCGATGTGAAGCACACCGAAACCAAGCAAGACGAGACCGGCTGGGCGGAGCCTACCTCGGCAAGCTACCACTGGGTGGGAAAGACCGAGGATGGCAAGGAAGTCACTGCAGACCTATCTGGTGCTCTAGGAAAGAACATCGACCGTGTCGATGTCATGGCCGAAGTGCCAGGCTTCATCAAGACTATCGTCGCAAGCGCAGCTGGCACAAAGCCATACATCTACCAATATGCGCCCAAGATGACCATCAAGGTCAAGGTCGGCGATGAGGTTAAGGAAGAGGAGGGTACCCTATTCACTGAAGCTACGTTTATCTCGTAGATATGGTCTCAAGGTTGGATACAAGGACCCTACGATCATGTATACCCTAGTATTAATAATGCATCAGGGCTAGCACCTGGAATCTAATGAGGCACGTTTGCCGCGCATAAGATGTTTGGCGTTTAGTGGCCTTGTGAAGATCAAAAATAGCCATCACTGTCTATGGTACTAACTGGCAGATTGTGATGTATTCTCATCTTGTTTTCATTGCCCATGAGAGCAGGAAATACTACCCCGCTATTAATACCCCGCGTCCATCGACCCCTTCACCGCAGACGTTCTCACCTGACAACGCGAACGCGTCTCAGCGCGTAGCGTTACAGTCCGTGCACCAGCCGTATCACCAATGTGACTTCGTCATCGCTCACTTTACCTTGAGCACAACACCAATCACGCGGCATCATGGTCAACGGGAGACCCAGGCAGTTCGGTAGCCCATCCCGCCACGCTTCGGCAGCGCGGTCGCATGCATCAGGTGCCACCGTCTCCGCTTCGCCAGTTGTCTCCAGAGCGGCAAGACTAGGGCTCGGGTTGGGCAAAGGCGCTGTTGGCCTCGGAAAAGGAAGAGGCTTGGGAAAAGGTGGGCAAAAACGACACATGTGAGTGTACAGTCTGCACCTTGAATCATGTAAGGACTAATGGGTTTTAGGAAAATACAAAAAGACACTATATACGGGGTTACGAAGGGTGACATTCGGTGAGTGGTACCGGATCACGAAAAAGCAAGAGCATGAGCGATCTGGTCGTAGAGTGCTATTGCGATTGAACACTGCGAGATCTGACCCGTGATAATAATAAAACGATCTACTAACTCACATCTCAGACGACTAGCTTGCCGTGGCGGCGTGAAGCGCATCTCAGGTACGATCTACGACGATGTTCGTCAAGCTCTCAAAGAGCGGCTAATAAGGGTCAGTTGCTCGGGAATAAGGCATTGCACGCATTCACTAACCGAATGTTAGATATTGAAAGATGTCTGCGCCATCGTGGACTCAAGTGGACGCAAAACTGTCTCAGTCACTGACATCGTCTTCACCCTTCGAAGAGTAAGTCTATGTCCTAGATCCTTCTGGGTATGGACGCTAACAATCTCGACAGCTCGGTAACCCCATCTACGGTTTCGAGTCCGCTTTCCTCAATGCTCGCTGAGTGCATGTTCTTCACGATGCACAATGTCCGACATCCACCTAAGCGATGTGCACTACCACAACAGCTCGATGCTGAGTACGAGACAACGACATGGATGGGGTCAAAGGCGTGCTGATGACTTCCGATCGTGGACGATATATCATGACAACCGGTCTCTGGATAGACCCTTACATGTGTATGATTGGTGAGAGAAGAGACAGATTTCATATGCAAGGGAATAGGCGTTTTCTTTCCTTACTAGCGATGATACCCAAATGAGGATCTACATGTTCAACCGACAACCATGTCGATTAATTACCACTTTTCAATAGCCTTCTTCACTGACTCCATCTGCTCCTTCCAGTCTCCTTCATTTGCCTCTTTGCTCCAGCGTGTCTTATACCACCGCCCTAAAATGTGGGTGTACAAAGTCAGTGTATGTCTCATATGCAGTTCGTACAGAGATGTCTCTTACCTAACGCCTCCAGCCACCTTAACACCTCTCCTCGCATCGCAGCCGCCCCGCTCTTATTCCTCTTCCAAGCCTTCTCCACACACCCCATTGTCAGCACCATAGCATGATGCTTGAGAAACCACTCAAGCACCGCCTGCTCCTGCAAACCCGGCAACCCAAACGGATTATGAAATGGCGACTGCTCAAATGTATAATCCCATCTGATAGGCTTATGCTGTGACCTCGAACACCACAAGAACCAAGCAGCCAGCCGGCAGAACACCAGAAAATGGGATTTATGAACAGCGGAAGGTACGGTATAGATGTTTCCAAAGGGTTGACATGCTTTCCAGTGATCCTTCATGTATCCATCTATCAACCAACCTTTGGGTGGATAAGTGAAAGTATTCTTTACACTTGGCAAGACGTTGATTTCTAGACGTCGATTCCGAGATAACAGGAGAGCGCGATGCTGTTTCGGTAGTTCATCGAGCCATTTCATTACAGGATGGAAGTTCAGGTTCCGGACTGTGAATTTGAAACCTGTGCTGGTGTAGTAGTCGTATGCTGCTTCTATTCTGATTGCGCGACAGGTGTGGAGTAAGGGAGGTGGCTGTTGTTGGCCGTGTTTGACGACTGCGGGCCAGGAATCGGATATATGGTGTGTTGAAGGGAGGATGAAAGTGTATATCAAGCTGCGTAGTTCGGATGGGAGATCTGACAAGGGACATGGCTTTGAAGCATCTTTGGGTTTGATTGGGTAGAGATCGCGATTGTAGATGAGCTGTTCTCTCGCTTGAGGTGTGAGAAAGGATGGTCGTTTGAGGGATTTCTTCGGTGTTGACGGAGCTGGAGCGATCTCTTTGGGTGCCCTGGAGATTCTTGTACCGGATGGTGAAGATATTATCGGTTCTTCTGTGATGTGAGTATTGTTCAATGGCTTAAGGCTAGCTCTGGACGCGGACGAGGCTGTGGCGCGGGCATAGGATGGGGGCGCCATCGCTACAACGACGTGCTTCAGTACGCAACCTTGGAAGGAGAGAAAGCAGAAACTCGACCCTGAGGTATCTTGTAGAAGCAGTGGCGACTTGGATGTGTCGTTTATACGCCCTGCTGCATCCAACTCCTTTGCCTACGCCATTCTGCCTTGACTTTCATTACCCCAGGTGTTGCCAAGGATCCGATCTTCAGTGTAATTCCGATGCACACCCCTCAAGGCTGTGAGGTTTGATGCGTGGCGATGCATGGTGCAAGCGTAGGTGTCAGGTAGGTGCCCGGCCACGTGACAGCGCGAAAGTGGGGCACTTGATCCATCGCGTTTCCTATTTCGCTCACACTTCCGTCGTGCATCACTCCCCAACATCAGCACAAACCGTTGTTCGAATGCGCAATTCAGTGTGAGAGCATGGCGGATGAAATGGAAGTTTCGCCGCCGTCACCACGCGGAACGAAAAGGAAAGGCGACGATAGCCTCCCACTTCCTGCACCACGCAGGATCAAGGCGCTTTCGCAAGATGTCGTTAACAAAATTGCGGCCGGAGAAATCATTGTCGCGCCGGTGAACGCGCTGAAGGAGCTGGTCGAAAACGCTGTTGATGCAGGGTCGACCGCATTGGAAGTCCTAGTTAAGGATGGTGGTCTCAAGTTGTTACAGATCACCGACAACGGACACGGCATCGATGTATGTACAGTCGCTCTCAGAATCATCACATACTGACTTTACTCAAGAAAGAAGACTTGCCAATCTTGTGCGAACGCTTTACTACTTCCAAACTTAAGGCTTTTGAAGATTTGACCTCCATCGGCACGTACGGCTTTCGTGGCGAGGCGTTGGCGAGCATCAGTCACATTGCTCATCTCAAAGTCACTACGAGGACGAAAGAGTCAAGCTGTGCGTGGGAAGCACACTTTGCGGATGGCAAGCTTGCAAGTGCGAAGCCCGGCCAGAGCGCAGAGCCCAAGCCCAAGGCTGGTCGACAGGGCACAACCATCACGGTACGTTCTTCCCTGTTTGAACTATTCACGATGGTCGCTGACGAACCATATAGGTTGAGGACATGTTTTACAATATTCCTTCACGGCGTCGAGCTTTCCGCTCCGCTAGTGAAGAGTATGCAAAGATCCTCGAACTTGTCGGAAAATATGCTGTTCACTGCGCGGGTGTTTCCTTCTCCTGTAGGAAGGCGGGCGAAAACAGTGGAAGCATAACGGTGCCTGCTTCTGCTACCATCAAAGACCGAATACGACAGATCCATGGCAGCGCTATCGCGAACGAATTGTTAGCCCTAAACGTCGAAGATGACCGCTGGGGCTTCAAGTGCAACGGTTGGGTCAGTAACGCAAACCACACTATCAAACGGACGCAGATGCTACTCTTCATCAACCATCGATCGGTAGAGTCATCCGTGATCAAAAAGAGTGTTGAGCAGACTTATGCCACTTTCCTACCGAAAGGAGCACATGCGTTTTTCTATCTGAGTCTCGAAATCGAGCCGCAGCGAGTGGATGTGAATGTACATCCTACCAAGCGCGAGGTTCACTTCTTGAATGAAGACGAGATCATAGCTGTCATATGCGACTCGATCCGCGAAAACTTGAGCAAGGTGGATACAAGCAGATCGTTTATGACTCAGTCGTTGCTTTCAAATCCCAAAGCCCCCTTTGCAACACCCGTAAAACAGATTATACCTGCGACTCCTGCGACCGGCGATGCATCTGACCGTAGCGGCTCGAAAGCACCGCAAACAGCAACCAAGAAGCGAAATGACAACCACCTTGTTCGCACAGATGCCTCAGCACGCAAGATCACATCGATGTTGCAGCCGCAAAAATCAGTCGAAGAGATTGCAATGGATGAAGAAGAGATGGAATACGAGTTCGCGCAAAAGGAACCAATAGCCTGTCGTCTCACATCCGTCAAAGACCTTCGCGCTGAGGTTCGAGATGCCATGCACAACGAGCTTACGGATATCATTTCAACGCATACGTTTGTTGGAATCGTTGACGAGCAGAAGCGTATAGCAGCCATACAAGGCGGCGTCAAACTCTTCCTTGTTGATTATGGCATGCTCTGCAACGAGTACTTCTACCAAGTCGGTCTGACTGATTTCGCCAATTACGGATCAATACGCTTTAATCCGCCTTTGTCACTACGTGATCTACTCAAGGTTGCCGCAGAACAAGAAAAGAACAATGCAGGCGACACGGCGGATGAGGTAGACTGGAACGAGGTTGTCGAAGTCGTCAAGGACCAGTTGATCAGTAAGGCAGCGTTGCTGAGCGAATACTTCTCAATGGACATCACTACAGAAGGCGAACTTTGCTCTATCCCGTTGCTGATGAAAGACTATACTCCTTCTATGGCCAAGCTTCCTCAATTCCTACTGCGCCTCGGACCACACGTTAATTGGAATGAGGAGAAAGGATGCTTTCAGACGTTGCTCCGAGAGATTGCATCCTTTTACGTACCCGAAAGTCTGCCTCTGCCGCCCTCGGCACAAAAGGGCGATGATAGTAAAGGCGAGGGTCCGGTTGCTGAAGAAGATCCTGAGGTTGCAGCAAGGAGGAAGAAGTTACTGCGAGTAATCGAGTATACTATCTTCCCAGCTTGCAAGGCAAGATTAGTGGGTACGAAAGGGCTACTGAAAGGTGGAGTGATGGAGGTAGCGAATCTGAAAGGTCTATACCGAGTGTTTGAGCGATGCTGATGCGATAAGTACCACTCTGGATGCGGTTGCTATAATTCCATTAATTACCGATGTGTCTGGACAGTCAATATAGAACTAAGATCAAATCCAGACACTCTTCTCTTTGCGTCGGAGCTAAGTGTTAGAGCTAGGATCTCGCGGCTACAAACGTCACCATAATACTTCGATCTAAAACCCGCCAATACGTCATAGATCTGCCTATCATCGAGCAACCAGCTCCTAGAGGAAATAACCGCAACAACAAATAAAAGCAAACGGCCGCCATGCATTTCCTAAGGGCATCAAGCCTTTTAGCGACGAATTGTGGTCCACTTTGCGTGACGATACTTGCGCCTCATCCGTGTCATCCAGATCACCATGTCACAACTAATCTATCGCATCCGCCTACCACGCGCATTTCGCCCTCCAGCTCAGATCAAGGCAGAAGAGGGCACAAATGGACACCCAGAGACGAATCGCGGGAAAACAGCGCCTAAAGAGGCTGAGAATGGCAACGAGAAATCGCAACAGTCTGACATGCAACCCGTGGGGTTCTGGCATCCCGATCTTCGACAAGTTCGCAACCGCGCATTCGTGAAATGGATCATTACGACAGCGTTCTTGATGGCATTCATTCTGGCGATACTATCACTGTACTGGGCAGTGTTCTTCAAGGTCGTGGATAGGCTGAGCCATTTGTTGGTTTATGTCGTGGATATGGATGGTGCGGCGCCTTATGACAACACCGGGAACGCGCCGTTCGTTGGACCGACTATTACGCAGCTTGTACAACAGCAATTAAGCAGCGGTAAACCGACGCTGGGATGGGGTCTACGCCCTGGTTCAGATTTCAACAATGACCCGATACAAGTCCGACAAGCTGTCTATAATTTCGATGCCTGGGCCGCTATTGTCATCAACCCCAACGCAAGCGCGCTGTTGTACTCTGCCATCGCCAACGGAAACGCGAGTTACGACCCTCTTGGGGCGTGTCAGTTGATCTATCAAGATGCGCGAGACGACACAAATTGGTTTGACTTTATGCTTCCCATCATCAGCCAGTTTATGACCCAAGCGCAAAGTATGGTCGGACAGCAATGGGCACAGATGGTGATGCAGAATGCGAGCGACCCGGCCGTACTGTCAAACATACAAAACGTACCTCAAGCAATCAACCCGGCAATTGGCTTTTCTGAGTTCAACCTGCGGCCTTTCTATCCGTATACTGGTATTCCTGCCGTATCCATCGGACTCATTTGTAAGATTGCCTGTGTTTTTCCAATTTAATTCTAGCTAACGATTATCGCAGATCTCATCATCATCTCCTTCTTCAGCTTCTCTTTCTACATGCCCATCCACATGCAATACCTCAAGCCCGAGAACCACCCACCACTCAAGTTTCCCCAGCTCATCATCTGGCGCTGGTGCGCTACCATATCCGCCTATTTCATGCTCTCCCTCGCCTATTCATTCGTCTCCATGGCTTTCCAGATCAACTTCTGGCACACAAACTCCATCACGAGCGAAACGCAAGCCACGAATATGATGGAGGGCAACCCGATCGCATATGGAAGCGGAACGTTCGTGGTATACTGGATGCTTAACTTCTGCGGTATGATTGCACTAGGGTTGGCATGTGAGAATGTGGCGATGATAGTGGGTATGCCATGGATGGGACTGTTTTTGATCTTCTGGGTCATTACCAACGTTTCTACCTCTTTCTACGACATTGAAATTGCGCCTGGTTTTTACCGATGGGGATACGCCTGGCCTTTACACTCAAGTAAGTGACGCTTAGTTCGAACGTCCAGCGAGATTAGTGGCTAATGTTGAATTACAGTTGTTGAAGGAAGTCGGTCGATACTGTTCGATTTACACTCGAGAATAGGGTTGGATTTCGGTATCTTGATTGCTTGGGGAGCAGTTAACACGCTGTTCTTCCCGTTCTGCTGCTGGTTCATGAGTAAGTCTCTTCCGCATCTTGGGACACTTTGGCATACTAACATCGAACAGGATGGAAGACACAACATAATATCCATGAGTACTGGCCTCTCGACTAAGCTGGAAGCGCTTCTCTAGCACATAGAACATGTCTTTGTGGCTTTAATCATAAGAACATAATGTATACATACTAATGCACATATTCTTCTTTGCCTAGCCAGCTAAAGTGCTTGTTCACCTGATCGCATATCCACCGCAACATAATGGATGTTTGATGATAAGAATATCATTGCTACATAACGAGGGTATCAAGTCTTCGTGGCCATAGTCCGGACCGGACAAACTCCACGCTATTCAGGGGTCATATATCAGTCGTAATTCATAACTCGTCCTTCTCATAGTTGTGCCATCTTGACCCTGACATCTGTCAAAGGCTCATGAAGGCTTTCCTTGCTCTGGCTGCCTGCAAGAATGCTCCGTAGCTCCACGTCAGGTCCTCAGCACCCCTCATGTAGCCTGTCACACGATCGAACTGCTCACTCATGCTTCCTTCAGTATCAACGTGCGTCTTGATGACCTCGAGGAACTGATCTCCCGTGGCGTGCAAGCGCTCAAGGACAGAGTGGAACAGCGCATCGGAGGGGCCGAAAGTGCCGACGTCGACATCGAGTGATGAAGTTGCAAGGAGAGCTTCGAAAAAGGGTAGACCGGTTTCAGAGATGGTCAGGTTACCAACAACCGAGACATGTGATGCGGTGCGGTAAAGAACTTCGGCAGCTGACGATGTGCACAGAAACCAAGGGTTGCCACCGCGGTTAGAGGTGCCATAGCCGTCATATATATCTTCGGGATAACGGCCAAGACCAGTTCCTTCGAATGAGTTTTCTTCCATTTCATCATCCTGGTCCTCGTCGGATGGGCTGCTGTTGATCGGGAAACGATCGCGTTGGTCGCGTGCAAGGGCGAGAAGCGAAACGAGTATCTCATCAGACCAAGGTGGGTATGCAGAGTCGTCTCCGAAATCTTCTGCGGGCAGAGCATGTAGAGAGCCAAGGAGCAATGCGCAATCTAGTCCGCTCCTCTTGCTCGACAATGTCTCTACAAGGTGACTTTTCTGAGCATCCCAGAACTTGCCGAGGAAACTCTCGATATGACCAGCCTGCACTTCATACCATTCCGCCGCACCTATGTCTCCGAATGCCCTTGCAAGATCGCTTCCTTCCCTCAAACTTCTTGCGCTGACCATTAGATTGAAGAAGTGCAGGCCCTCGACTTCCTCCCATAGATCGAAACTCGACTGGTTCCAGAAGTGACTGACGTATTCCAAGTCAGCTTTGACGACGCTACGCGGAGGCATCTCCACAGTGTAGTATGGTCCGAAGAAATCCTCAGATGACTCTGAGCTCCAAAGCGAAGGGTGTGAGGCATTGTATTCACGCAGATAGTGCATAAGCGTCAACGCCCGTAGAGCTGGTCCATCACGCTGAGGTCGTCCCCAAGAGCCAGTAAATGGTGTACCATCGACGTGGAACTTAGGTTCACCAAGTCCAGAGAGATCGTCAAATGTGCCTGAAGGGTTCGAGGTATGTTGGATGTCGCTCGAGAGGGAAGTATATGCGCCCAGGATGGTAGATAGAGCGGAACCGCGAGAAGAGGACGGGTCATCGGCGTAGAGATCTACGAGAGTGTTCATAGTTATCGCAGCATCGCGGACCCCTGTTTGATATACATCAGTAAACGATTGGTAGTAAGCACAGGTTGGCGAAACTCACATTGGAACCAGTAATCTGGGCCATCCTGACTCGGACTCGCAATGACCGTGCCATCCGCTACACCCTTCCCTTGGACGTTACTGCCACCAGGCGCGACGTTTGCCAGGAGTTTGTCTAGCGCTATACGCCCTTCCCTCTCGATCCACGCATCGAGTGAATCTTGTAGCGGTTGCTGCTGTGTCTGCGTGTGACTCGCGCCAATAAAACTGCTCAGATGAGGAACGTGTGGTATTGAGAAGGCATAGGCATGGTGGAGAAAGCCTGCGAGGAGAACTACGCGAGGTAGCATGACGGCTGGTTGTCAGATTGGCTGGGTAGGGCCGATGGACTAGGACACTGAAAGAAGTGTAGTGTAATGTAATTAGCAGCTCATAGCTAGCGCGGGATGGAGTAGAAAGCAAAGGAAGAGGCAGAGTAAAAGATCTCGTGAAAACTACGGGTTAGTAGTCGATCAAAGAGGCTCAAGAGCCACCCATGGCCCCCGAACTTTCAGATGTCCATGCTTTCGACTTCCGCGGTCATCCTTCCCACCGGCCATATTCTCGATCACGATGATGACGGTGAGTCGCGTGCCAACGTTAGCGAAGTGCGTGGACGAGTAAGAGGCAATGGAGGTGGTCGCGCGGGCGGTCAATTGTCTTGTTTAACCTGGCGGGTGATGTGTAAAAAGCCACGCGAGCCGACGCCAACAATGTCACGCGACCCACTTCCGCGGATCTGGGGTAAGCATGCAAGGCACTTTTCCGCTGGGCATGCAACACATGAAAATGGCCGAGGTCTGCGCATAGTCGCACATGAAACTCGAGTTCAAATGCGAGGACGGAATGGTGTCAACGGATGATGAGTTGTTGAGTATCGGCTATACTTTGGCTAGTTTGTAACATCTTGCTCCTGCCTTGTATCTAGGCCATATCATGAACTGCTCATTCGAACCAGCTGAGTTTGTCAGCTTTAGTAGATGTCTGCCGACCATCGGTTGTGAATGGTAAGAAAACACCATCAAATCGCATTATACAGACCGTATAGATATTTGTCCAAGGCTCCCGATGTTGCCCGAGGTTCGCATGCATGAGGGGTCCATTCGGCTACTCGCATGTAGCCGCAATGCAGGTCGGTTACTCCCGATAGCTCTGACCTCAACCAAGGTATCATTTGTCGAAACCTGGACCCAAATTGTGTAACGAAGATACGAGCGTATTCTCCCGTCAGTTTTCTCTTTTCCGCTGTTGGAACCTGATCTGGACTGGTTTCGACGATTCTTTCCTTCCAATTACGGGAACAGTCTATGACGTTCATCTAAAAGCCTGTCCTATCCGATATGCTTTCACAGCAAGCGCGTGTCTTGCGCAACAACGTTCGAACGGCGCGAACACCTGGCCCTCGGATACCCTGTGCTACATTCTCGGTCTCTTCTCGACTCAACAATTATGATGACACCATTCAAAATCTCAAGATCGGTTCGCACACACGTGTTATATTTCAAGGATTTACCGGCAAACAAGCCACCGCGAATGCAAGAGAGTCGATAGAATGGGGGACCAACGTAGTCGGCGGTGTAAAGCCTAACGGATCGGGAGAGCATCTCGGGCTGCCTGTCCTACCATCTGTGAGGGCTGCGATGGAACAGTTGAAGCCAGATGCTACGGGGATATATGTGGCAGCACACCAAGCGACTGCTGCGATCGAAGAGGCAATTGAAGCTGAGGTACCACTCATCGTTGCAGTTGCCGAACATATTCCGTTGCATGATATGATGAGGATACATTCAATGCTGCAGTCGCAGTCCAAATCTCGGCTTGTAGGTGCCAATGCACCTGGCATCATTTCAGCTATTGGAAAATGCAGGATTGGATTCCAACCACTTCCAACATTCTCTCCTGGACACATCGGTATTGTAGCAAAGTCTGGTACCCTCTCATACGAGACTGTCGGATCTCTGACGCGAGCTGGTGTTGGACAGAGCCTATGCATTGCAGTAGGAGGTGACGTGATCGCTGGGACCAACTTTGTCGATGCCTTGAAAGTTTTTGAGCATGACGAAGATACCGAGGCTATTATCATCGTCGGTGAACTAGGTGGTACAACAGAAGAGGAGGCAGCGGACTGGATCAAAGACTACAGAAAGCGTGTCAATAATCCGAAACCTATTGCTGCTGTTATTGGAGGGTTTGAAGCTCCACATGGCAGAGTGATGGGCCATGCAGGAGCGTGGGTTGGTCTTGGAGAAGGTACAGCGGCATCAAAGTACAAAGCGCTAGAAAATGTTGGTGTGACAATGGTGGACCACCCTGCCAAGTTCGGTAGTGTGATGAAGGATATCCTTGCCAAATCCGGTCGCAATGTGAAGAAGATCGTATGTTTAAAGTCAAGAGAAAATAAAGCTATCAACACTGACAAGGACCAGGAACAATCCGCAGCTCAACAGCGCCGCTCCTATCACACTTCAAGCTTCACAAGGCGGCCTACCGTTTCCACTAGACCATCGATCCCTTCTCAGCAAAAACGATCCCTCCATCTTACCAAGGACCAATATACGAACCTTCTCACAGAATACAAGATCAACCTAACAACACCACCCGAGGGCTCACCTTCAACACACTATCTAGGTATATCTCCTCATCGCTCAGCCCGCAGTCCCTCAATTATAGTATCACCCACAGCAAACCCTTCCACGCTGAACCAACGCGTCCGTCGATTCCCTTTCGACTACCGTTCTGGCCCCAGTCCAGAAGCCATCCAAGCCGCAATCGCACACATGCAGCTTGACGCCGCCCCACCAAAAGCCAAAGCCCAAACCGTCGAACTGATCAAGAATCTCTGGGCGTTATACAGCGAAAAAGAAGCAATCGACGCCCACGTCAAGCTCGCTTTGTCGGTAGAGAGCGACGAGATACTAGTTTACGAACCATACTTGTTCTTCGATGATGCGGCATTCAAGTCAGGAAAACGACAAGCTGAACTCCACGCTTTACGCGATCAAGAGTCAATTTCCGCAACCGACCGAGAAGCCGAAGAAGCCGGTATTGTTTATATACCGTTGGGCTCTCCGGAATTTCCTGCCGGGACTACTCAGGCAGGGACTCAAACGCCACCTTCCTCTACTGCAGAAGAGGGCCCGCGAAATCTGATTGGTACATTGGTGAACGGTGCTGGACTCGCACTGAACACTATTGATACACTTTCCTTACGCCTTTCTCAACCGCCTTACTCGACCTCTGCTGCCAACTTCCTCGATACTGGTGGCAAGGCGACTTCCGCCACTATCAAGACCTCGTTCAAGCTTATACTTTCTGATCCCCGCGTGTCCGTTGTCTTTGTGAACATCTTTGGAGGACTGACGTTGTGCGATATGATTGCCGAGGGCATCATTATGGCGTTTAAGGAAATCGGAGTAGAGAAGCCAGTCGTGGTAAGATTGAGGGGTACGAACGAGGAGAAAGGACGGAAGGTGTTGGAGGAAGCTAAACTACCCATCCATGCATTTGACGACTTTGAAGAAGCAGTTCGAAAAGTTGGAGAGTTGGCTAATGCTAGTGGAGCAAGGTAAATGATACCAATACGCACACAATAGACCCTCAACATTTCTCACTTGATAATATACAACGCTGCAGTGAAAAATGGGGGATATCAGATTAAAATGCTCTACTGTTGACCACCCGGACAACCTTTTCTCTGGATCACAGAACGAGTGTGTTGCCGCTCCCACCTCAGAACATGTCTCTTTCCTTCCAAAGGGAGCCAGCCACCGATGTCCTTCATGCAATAGCGTACAAGCCTCCCGTACGCCTGTAAAAAGATCAATCAGAAAAATTTGGGTGTTGGTATCTGCGAAGAAATCGAAGTGAAGTAAGGCACGTGGAACTCAATCGCGCGAGGGAGAGCCTCCAAATACCCAAAACATGCGCGAGACGGTATGGTTTAAAGGAAACAATGACACAGAGTAAGATGGTCGACCTATACAAAGTATTGGAACGCAGTGCTGCTTGTCGTTAGCTGTATGCTCAATTTTGAAAGTGTTTAGTAAAGACTTACCCAATGATTGCCATGACACCCACACCAACAAGTGCTCTCCGTGTAACCTTCTCCTTGGTCATCTTTTGCTCGGTGGTGTATGCGACCTTTGCAAGTTTGGTCAAGCGCTCCTCGGCGAGATCTTCAACATCCAAGACATCTTCAATTCCGCGCTTTGTCGACTTGGTGACCTGGGCCGACGATCCGCCGTCTAGCCTTTGTGCTTCTGCGACCATTCGCTTAGCCTCCTCAATCATAGCGGTAGGGTCTTCCGGCTCGGGAAGCGCTGCGTGGCTATGCGGGACGTCCACAGTGACATTGGTGCTCGTCTTTTCGGTGTCTCCGTTTGTCTCAACGGTCTGCTCGACTTCGATGTGGACTGTACCCTCCTTGACGTCTGGCTCTGCTTTTTCGATTGCCACCTCCTTCTCCTTGAAGTCGCCATCGACAGATGATGCGACTGACTCGGAAGGTGTCGCACCGTTTGCGATTATGGTTTGCAGAGCACTCGATGGAGTAACGACCTCGTCGGCCTTGGTGAGTTCAGGCTTCATCGCACTTCTTGTAGCTCGTGACTTTCGTGGAGTCGCAAACTTTCGGCTAGGGGTTGCGCCTCTGCTAGGTGATACAGATCGAGCTGAGCGCGCGCGGGTTGTGCGAAGACCAGGTGCGGGGAGAGTCGCAGGTGTGGCGTTTGCGACATCGAACTTGGGAGGCATTTGAATGTGGGTGTTTGATTTATCCTTGTTGCCCTTCTCGATTGGCGCGGGGTCCAAGAGTGCCTCGATCCAGTGGCGCATAGAGTATTCATCAGACAGAGCAAGAGCTACATGGCGTTTCTGTTAGCGCAAATTCTCGAGCAAAAGTGAAGATAAATCACTCACCCTCTTCGGGCGCAATCCACACGCTTCCGGCAACCTCTTCGGCGCCCGCGGAAGGGAAAGTCTTTTGGTACTTTCGCTCCAACTCCTCTTCTGCGAGCGAAGCCCAAGGGAATGCGGCCTTGAACATGCCTGTTGCACTGATGTAGCCATCGCTGCTGCGTCGCTGTTTGTCGCGTTAGTCGAGTGTCTGCGCTAACTGCGGTGGTTTTTCTCATCGCATACCATCAGGAAGTAAGATTCGGGGAAAGCCGAGGTCTTGTTCAGTGTGAAGATGCCGGATCCCGTCAGGTCCTTTGGCAACGGAACCCTCAGATGCGCGTAGTCAAACGTGCCCATGTTCTCCGGCTTGGTCGCATTGGTAAGACCACTGACGCCGGGCTTTACGCCGAGGTTTGTCTGTCCCAGTCGGCGTCTCTCGATGAGAATTTCCACTGCGCACAAATGTTAGATGACGGCTAGTTGAAATGACGCGATGCGCAACGTGTACATACCAGCCGTGGCATCGGTAGGCTCGAGAAGAGGATTCTTCCTCTCGGGCAGATTGCGATGAGATACCATTTTGGAGATGTCGCCGGTACGCATTAAGGTTTGGTCCGATGTGCGCGTAATAGAAGAACGCGTGTTGGCGATAGGTGGAGCGCGCAGCGCAAATGTGGTTGCGGGAAGTTTGGAGCGGTTTTGGTTTACGTATGACGCGCGCAATCGTCAGTAATAACGTACTGCCGGACCGAGTCGTGCGACGGGTGAAGACAGCAGAGTGTCAGTTCGGGACGAAATGGCGACGTGGCGAGGGTGAGTGAAAGCGCGCGATCGACGTGATGAAAGATGCTGCGATGCGACAGAGACGGACAGGAAGGAGCGATGGGTGTGCTATCCCTGTGCACTAGCGCTCCCAGGAAGATGACGCCCCCAGCCACCCCGGACATGTCTGCGCAAACGCAAAAGTTTCGCGACACCCTTTCTAGTGTATTTGCAGTGCTTGTGTTGCTTGCCGATTGGCTCTGCCGATATTGTCATGGCATTACAGGCCCGAAGAAGCGTCGCCTGTCTTTCCGTGTGCTGGATTAGGAAATCGCAGAAAGTTACGCGTTTTCCTACTTTCTCGTGACCTTGCGACGCGTTGCTCTTGAACAATATCACCCTTCCATTCTCAAACAATGCAAGCAGATGGCTCCATCCAGTCAATGCAACATCAATTGATACAGTGTGGAAAGAATGCCAAGGGCCCTGAAATAGATACCAGGTCCCGTGATCATCTGGTAAAATCTCGGGGGATACAATCTAGTGGGAGCCCACGGGGAATCATCGAAACCGGTGCTGGGAAGCTACACACAAAGAAGCTTGTCTGTTCCAAGTTGTTTTCTTGCCCGGGCATCACCTGGTACCATCACTTTAAGCTTATATCTCCGAGGCGGAATGCATACGCTACCACGCATAGCGCTAACCACGTCACGAAGCTCACTGACAAGACGTGTCGGTCTGGCAGAAGCTCTAACCCATGGGCGCATACAACACGACCCTGCAGCTTTAACTGGCCAGTTCAGAAAGAACAAGCGGGGATTGGTCTATGCTCCACCATGAGACAGTTCATACTCCAAGAATCTTCTCTCCCTGGAAATAGGATCATGGTAGAGGTAGTCGTGTTGCAGCAAGAGTCTGGACAGCCTGCGGCATATCAAAGGGTCCGCAGCACTGCGGCACACCAGGAACGTAGCCAATGAGGAGCTCTGACCTGCTGGAGCGGTGAATGTGCCCCGCTAACCGCGAGGCTCAACACGAGGCCGCGCCCCTCATTCCTACAATTGACCCTTTGACTTCTCCACAACATTTCTTTTGCTGATTTACACGAATCACCCAAGCAATCACTCCCAAGCAATCACTTACATCAGCCATGGCCGACCACGCAGACGACCTACACGCCGAGCAGACCGAGGGCTTCAAGGTTGGCGAGAAGAAGACCATTGACGAGTACCAGCAGCTAGGTGGGTTCCACAATCTCCCCGAGGAGCTAATCTCCTGTACACATAGCTAACACGTACTGCCACAGACCAGAACGACGAGTCTCTCCAAAAGTGGAAGAAATCCCTTGGTCTTGGACAAGGCAAGGACATCTCCGATCCCAATGACCCTCGCCGGTGTATCATCCTCTCCCTCGCTCTCGAAGTCGAAGGCCGCGATGATATCGTTATCGACCTGCGTGCACCTGGTGCCGTCGAAGCTCTGAAGGAGAAGCCCTTCACCATCAAGGAGGGTGCTCGGTTCCGCATGAAGGCACAGTTCAAGGTCCAACACGACATTCTGTCTGGTCTGAAGTACCTCCAAAAGGTCACACGCATGGGAGTCAGCGAGAAGCTGCAGGAGATGATGGTAGGTTCACCCGCTACAATAGTGTGTCTGGAGAAGTGCTGACAGCCGTAATAGGGCTCATACGGTCCCAACACAGAGGAGAAGCCCTACTACGAGAAGAAGTGTACGTGCAACCCGACAATGTCTTGCACAATCTACTGACACGCGTCCCAGTCGAACCCGAAACCGCTCCCTCCGGTATGCTCGGCCGTGGCCACTACACCGCCGTCTCCAAGTTCGTCGACGATGACAAGCAGACCCATCTGCAGTTCACCTGGTCTTTCGACATCAAGAAGGACTGGTAAACCGGGGTCGCATAAGTTTGGCTAATGGGGAGAGTCATGTAGCCATGTGGTGGAAGATGTCATTTTCTTTCGATTGGAAGCGATGGATATCCAGGGCAGCCTAGGCTCCCACGAAGTAACGAAGCGACGGCTGACGGTCGACCATGTAGATGGGTTCAATAAGTCCGGCTCGATGGCGCACATACGGCGAATCAAAACTGCAGGATCCTTTCATTTGTGGTCACTAGAGCGCCTTGTTTTTCATTCTTGGTCTGCGTGTGTTTGCCGGGTTTCGAGATTGTGGAAGCGAAACCACCTTGCTGCTATCCTCTTCACCTTGACGGTGCGACCTGCCCAAGCTCGCTCGCCGCTGCCAGATCCGAATCTCCGGGCTGACACATTCAAGATGGAGACTTCCTGTTCCCACGGATCTTGGGTCTGCGTTTCAGCGGAGAGCTCTTCGTGATCATTTTCCATCTCTGTATCCTCATCATCGTGTTCTTCCGGACGCTCGCGCTTTCCCTCACACTCGGCAATATGAAGCGTTACACCAGGTTTGAGCGTAACCTCGGCCGCTGCAGCAAAGCATCTGGATAGGCCTTGAGCTGAGAAGGATGACGTTGGCGCATGTAAAGCGAGTGGATTCACCAACACGATGCTTTCCTTTTCTTCGGCTTCACCGAGGAGATTAGTTCCAGACCGACCATATGCAGTCAAGTAGGCTAACAAGGCTTGCACAGACGCGCAGAAGGCAAGTTTGACATGCCGTGTCGTGAGTAAGTTGTGAAGAGTGGGCGCGACCAGCTGCTCTAGACCATCTGTGTCATGATCGCCGTGATTCTGCAGTGAGCTTGCAAGGTCCTCAATGAAGATGTCTCGACTCGAGCATATGATCAGCAGCGTTGGACATGTGTCGGATTGGGTAGTAACAACGTAATGAAGCAAGCCCGGGAGGGTGAGCGGGTAGAGCACCGTTGGCGCTGGCGACATAACAGAGAGCGTACTTTTGGAAAGTTTCTCGACTGTCATGTGTCGGTCCAGTCTGTCATCGGTGTACTGATTCGGGGCGGAAGGTAGCCCTTGGAGAAGTGCAACATCGAGAGCTTAGACGCCAATCGGCGGTAGTACCGACCAACCCCCACTACTTACGTTGTCCATCCATCAGAACACCAAGTGCATGCACGCCGGCACTTTTAATCACGACCACCAGGTCCAGAACCTGCTTTCTACCTTGCCTGACTCTGCATAGTCGGCATCCCGTTCGTGGGCAGAGACGAAGCGCGCACGCTCCGGACCGAAGCGCTCTCCCAGGCGCAAGTCGCGGTCATGGAGTCCATCAGTCGCATATCGAGCTTGCTGGAGACAGGTATGGCGCCTTTCACAATTTTCATACAGATATACTGCATACTTTCTGCCTCCCTCATCTGGCCTGTTGGCCTTTTGGACATGTAATTGCTTGGTGCCGCTGTCATGCATCCCTCGAACTTCGCTCACTGGTCTCTCTCCGCAGCACGCGATCTCACCCTCGAAGCCGCCCGCGATGCCAGCAATGTCCGCCGAGCCCCTACCAAGGAGCTGCCTTCGGGCCAGCTCAAGAAGCTTCTTGACAGCAGAACAGAGCGCGACGTACTGGAAGGTCTGCGCAGAGTCGTCACTGTAGGAAGCCCCCCGCCATGGTCTCGAGCTTCTCAGATCATCAGCCCATTGGATGCTGTGGAACGTGTAGTAACTGACTATAGCGCATCTAGATGTCCTACCGACAGCCTCCATCGCAAACTCTACCCTTCTTCTCTCACGTAATCAAGAACGTCGCGTCACCGTCTCTCCAGGTCAAAAAGCTTGTCTACATCTACCTCCTTCAACATGCCGAACACGAACCGGATACCGCGCTCCTCTCCATCAATACGATACAGAAGTCGCTTACGGATACGAATCCTCAGCTTCGCGCGCTTGCTCTACGCGTCATGTCCAGTATAAGGGTGCCTGTCATCAGCCAGATTGTGAGCTTGGGCATCAAGCGCGGTTCGGGAGATATGTCGGCATATGTGAGGAGGGCAGCAGCTCTAGCAATACCAAAGTGCTATAGGTTGGATCCAAACACCGAACCGCAATTGCTAGAATACCTTTCCACATTACTGGGTGATAAACAGTACTTTGTGACTGGTGCAGCTGTATCGTCTTTCCTGGAGCTATGTCCGGACCGTCTGGATCTTATACACCCGCACTATCGCTCACTGGTACGAAAGCTAGTCGATATGGACGAGTGGGGGCAGTTGGCTACATTACGACTCATGATGATATATGCAAGGAAGTGCTTTCCGCGTCGGACGAGGAGAGTCAAGAAGGCAGCTGGGGCCAGTACCAACAGCAAACCCAAGCAGTCGACAAAAGGCTTCTACGACTCAGAAAGCGAGTCAGACGAGGAGCAACAGGAACAGGAACAAGACATGGAAGAGATTGCAGTACTAGATCCGGACCTTGAACTGCTACTGAAGGGTTGCCAATCGCTTCTGCAATCTCGAAATGCGGCTGTGGTGATAGCAGTAGCAAGAACATACCTGTATCTCGGCACCCCGGAGTACCTGACCCAGGCCATTGGACCGCTAGTATCTCTCTTGAGATCTGCAGGTGACATCCAGCATATAGCACTGTACAACATCGTGCAGGTCTGCCTGACACATCCGGAACCGTTTGTCAAGTACTACACCCATTTCCTGGTCCGATCAACAGACGCGCCACACATCTGGCAACTCAAGTTAGAACTGCTTACTCTGATATTTCCTCACGCACAATTGAGACTACAGAGTCTGATCCTAGCCGAGCTGAGCCATTTCTCGCATTCTGGCAGTCTGGATCCTGCACTGGTCAAGGAGTCAGTGCGCGCAATTGGACGCTGTTCGCAAAGTCCTGCGACAAGCCCACAGACCTCAGCAAGATGTCTGAAGCTATTGCTAAAGCACATTGGATCCGCCGACACCCACCTGGTTGCTGAGTCGCTAGAAGTCATCCGACATCTGATTCAACGAGACCCGAACGCTCACCGAACCACTGTAGTCCGGTTAGCGAAACACTTGGATGCAGCAACAAGCCCCCAAGCACGAGCGAGCATCATATGGCTGGTCGGAGAGTTTGCTGGAATCGATTCCGAGAACAACATCGCCGCTGATGTCTTACGGATCCTTGTGAAAGGCTTCGCGGATGAAGCCGAGCCAGCAAAGCTTCAGATCGTACTGTTAGCAGCGAAGGTCTATGTACATCACTTGGCCGCAAACCCGCCTCCGGAGCTAAAAGTAGAAGAGCCCAAACCGAGCCCGTCGCTCATGGATGATTTTCAGGAAGAGCAAGGCGGCTTTAGAGATGAGCGTCTTGAGTCCACTCCACAAAATGAGGAGCCTCAGGAGGAGAAGCCACACATCATCGAAGCATTATACAACTATGTGCTCCTACTCGTGAGATACGACACCTCGTACGATCTCCGCGACCGTGCCCGCGTCTACAAGGCGCTGCTGGCAACACCAACATCAACACAACTTGCGTCGCTCCTACTTCTCGCACCAAAACCGGTACCACACATTCCCAGTCCAAGTGAAACAAGGAAAGGCTACGTGCTCGGCAGCGCTAGTCTCGTCATCGGCGACGAAGGCGGTGTTGGCGGTCTACGGGGCTACGAAGATCTACCCCGCTGGGTCAAGGAGGGTGATGAACCAGATCCAGCTCTACGCGACGAGGCTGTCTCAAATTCTTCTTCAACCTACGTGTCGGCATACGAGACTGCGAAGAACATGTCTGCAGCAGAAAGGTTAGATGCTGCAGCTGGTGGTAGCAGCAGGATGACACCTGACAGCATGCTGAGTCCACGAAGTCTGAATGGCATGGGTGGAGATTCCAGTCTTGGCGCGGCGAGCAAGGCACCGCAGAAAGAGAAGACATTGGATGACTGGCTTGCTGAAGAAGAAGAAGAGGAGGAGAGTGGCAGTGAGGAGGAAACGGATGAGGAAGAAGAGACAGAGGAGGAGAGCGAGTACGAAACAGATAGTGAGGAGGAGACTGACGACGATGAAAGAGGGAACCTCATCAAGTAGGCTTTAGTTCTATGGGATACAGAGCTGTAATACACTGCTAACGACCAAAGACCACGCATGCTCTACTAATAAAGAAATAAATCTGGATACAACTTGAACACCGGCTATGTTCCACCTAATGACCACGGTCCTGTCGATCGAATTCCTGCTTCTCATTCCCGCCTTCTTTGCTTCCCTTCTTTACTTCCCTTCTTTACTTCCCTTCTTTACTTCCCTTCTTTACTTCCCTTCTTTACTTCCCTTCTTTACTTCCTTTCTATCTACGTCCTCATTCTACTCACGTTTCTAATTTCTCAAAGGTTTCCTTTTCCATATCCACGCCATACTTTGTCTGGCATGTAACACACGACGGCTTTATCATATTGCCGTTTGCATTGGGAACTCTGCGATAGTTCAACGGTAGCTTGAATTCCTTGCACTTTCTTACCTCTTTGATTTGTTCTTTGGTCAATCATTTTTTTTTCTCAAGGCTACAGTTGGGCTTGTAACATAGTCTGTCATGCTCGGTGAAAGTTCCGTGTCTGTTTTCTTCGATATCACATCCGTTATGCTGAGCGTATAGGATGCACATGGCGATGTCGTTGTGGACATGAATTTGCAGGATACGGTGGAATGACCGGATCGTCGAGCGATTATATGTAGCTGTGTAGGCATATGTACAGGTTGCCAAGTTTGTAGAGGTTGGCCATTTATATCATGGTAGTCTCATTATGTGATTATGTGGTAGCAGTAGAGATGAGTGCTCCGACTCTGGCATCGGCGAATTATACTTTCAGCTGGATTAAAATCATATGATGGGGTCTGAGACGACACTACCAGTTGTTACATGATGGCACATGTCGAAACACGAAACTGCAAGTAGCCAGCCGTGTAACGGGACCTAAAGTCGCGCCATGTTTCCTCTCTTCCTCATGCTCTTCGCCTTCCCTTCCACAACTCCTACATCCTCGCTATCTAGCTCCCTTCTATCAAACACGGCATCATCCCAAAGCTTCTCACCAACCAGATCCGCCAGCGCCAAAACCCTCGTTTGCACCGTTGCTCCATCGCGCCTATTCTTACCCTCCCTTCTCGAAGCACTAATCCGCTCAGCGAAGCGCCACAACGGACCGTCCGCAATGATATCACCGTTAGACCCTCTTTGCGGAGTCCATTCCTCCGCCAATGTGATAGTGGCAGGAGTCTTGTCCTTGGACTTCGTAACGAGAACCATGCCTTCTTCTTGGAAGCGTGTGTAAGCATTCTTCAGCGTTTCTTTGTTTACGGCTTCGAAATAGGAGAGGTCGCCTTGGTGGTAGAGGGTTTTACCGAGTAGTTGAGCGCGATCTTGAACCTTCTTGAGGTCGAGCCAGGGTGATGAGGATGGAGATGTAGGTGTAGTAGATGTAGTGGTGGGGGAGACGGGCGGTGTAAGCATCATCAGACTGATGGCACCGAGCCACGCGGCTTCGATAAATGGCCAGATGAGGAAACAGTAGAAGTCATAATTCTCACGTCCTTGTGTCCGCTCAGCAGGAGAAAGCTCGATGAAATCAACAGTCTCTTCGCCGAGTTCGGTTTTCGATCGTGACATTGTTATTACGCCATCCTTTTCTAGTCCGTCAAGAGTCTTGGCCAGGTTTGTATCCAGGCCTTCGGTGGGGAAGATGAACTCTCCCCTGAAGAGTTGCGAGAGGAAGTGTACCTGCGCGCGGAGATCGCCGTACGACATGCGCTGGTGCTCCGGGCCGCCACCCTGCTTGACATGTGTGTACAATGCTGCACTGACTAGACTTTGCAAAATGAAGAGATGGATGGTCATGTTTCTGTAGAAGGAGAGTTGGAATCTGTCGACGGCGTAAAATGTATCCTCTGGTAATCCGGGGACCAAGCCCACGAGACCAGGTCCCAGAACTTCTAAAGCGCGGTCGACGACAACGCTGGTGGGGAGATTGCCAAAGTGTGCTACACGACCACCCTGGGCACGAACACGGTCGCTGAGCCACTCGACGCGGCGGATGAGCTCGGATTTACCTACGCCACGACCTCTTAATGTTAGGAGTACGGTACCAACAAGAGCGGTGGGCATCACAACTGAGACGTCGTTGATCTCTGACAAGACTTTGTAGCCCAAAGTACGGAGGAGGCGAAGTCGATCCTCTTTGGTATCAAGTTGTTGGGGTAGTTTTGAGAAGCGTTCGCGTTGTTGGTTGATGAATGATTTGAGCGACCAAGGTTCGTGGAAACGAACGTCTACGCGGCCGAGTTTGAGAGAGAGGACGGAGGAGGCGGAGAGGAAGTCCATCAGGTTCTCCTTGGGTTTGGGTTGGCCGAGAAGTTCGCTGATATATGAGCTGGGACATGTCAGTATTTCTCAGATGGCATTGAAAGTGCTTGAAGAGCTTACTCAACCTCAATGACCTTGTCATACTGAGTCGAAACCGGACAGATGATGGCATCTTCCACCCTGCCACTTGCGACACTGTCCAGCATGTAGCTGAGTATGCCAAACTTGGGGGGCAGAAGCTTGCCTGTGCGACTCCTCCCACCTTCCACGAAGCACTCCAGGTTGTATCCGCATTGCAGCAAAGTATCTATGTACGATTGGACTAGCGTGATGTACAGCTGATCGTCTCCAAAGCTTCTTCGTATCCACATTGCACCCGCATGTTGTAAGAAGGACCCGAGGACTGGAATGTTCAAGTTATCGCCAGCGACCACGGTTGGTAGAGCTAGCCCGAGCCGATAGCAGATGATTTGTAGGGAGACGTAGTCGACGTGCGAGCGGTGACATGGGAGGAAGATGATGGAGTGTTTGTCTTTCGCTGCCTTCTCGGCAACAGCACGTAACCGTAGCACTTCCTCGCTCGAAACGTGGACGCCCTGATGGTATGCTCTTGTCAAGAGTTGTGTCGCAAAATAGTATGCGCCTCTTATGAACCCCTTGCTCTCCATCTTGCAGATCATCGAATCTGTCCAGCCCTCGCTGACCTGCATAAGCGATTCCTCAATCTGCACCTTCCTCTTAGCCTTGTTGTCTTTCTCGCCAACACCGCCCCCATTTTGCGCTTCTTGGCCCAACAAACCTTCTTTCGCTTCTACGTCCACTCGCTTGTCTGCCAGTTCGCGAACCTTGGCTACAAGCATCGGATTGCTCAACACCCTCGCCTTCATGTCCTCGCTGAAGCCCGAGTAGAACTCTGGCTGCCCAATATGATCGTCAAAGGACCGCCATCCTGTGCCTGAAAAGTGTAGCGAAACCTCACGAATGAAGTCGAGCGGCGAAGAGCGGAAGCGCGCGAAGCTGTGTATAAGGCCCCGATCGGGCGATTCGTTATAGCCGGCTGCGTGCAGGTAAACATTATCGTCGGCGGTTATGCTGAGATCGGGAGCTTGTTCGGGGCTTGAGGGGCGGGTGGTGGAGGATTTGCGATCCTCATCGGAAGACGCCATGGTGCTGGGAATGTGCCAATATCGAGCCGACAGCAAGGAGCGTCTCCTTAAGGAAAGAGTGCGGCGAAAAGCGCGAATGGCATGAGTAAGACGCGCTCACGGACTGATGGCGGGATGCAGGTTTTGTCGAGTGTTCGTTATTCGTTGGTGGTATTAAGTCATGCAAGGGTTGATGTTATAAAAATCGCGAGGCAAGCCATTGGGAGGTGCCATCATGGACGGCGCGAAACGTCAAGCTTGAGGTGAGACCCACTTCCCCGGTCGCTATGCCTCGGCTTCCCCACAGGAAGCCACGCCGGCGTGCATCATCTCCGATTCGCTATCCATCACGACCACCGACTTTGGCCATTGTATGGTAGACTCCTGCTAATGCAGGGCTCAATACTATAGTACGTTTTGACTACATACTTTCGTCGTTATCCAGCTGCCTCTCAAAAGACCCCCCACAAACTGACTTTCCCGTCCTTGGCTCCAGCAGCAACCCAGTGGTTAAGTTTCGTCTGCTCGTCGCGCTCTCTTTGCCGCTTGTTGACAACCTTGTCGCTATGACCTGCTTCTTCTCGTGTAAAGATAGCCCCGAAAGCAGTTGAGTAGACTCCTTCTTTGTGCCACTTGAGCACTGCAACTTCCTTGAGTGTTTTGGTGCTATATATGCGGATGCGGGAGTCCCAGCCACCCGTCACGATGAGCCTACCGTCGGAGCGGACGCTGAGGGACTGTTGGCCTGCATGTTTGGTGTCCACTACTTTGTACGGCGGTTGTAGGCTGACCACCGCTTGGACTGGCGGAGCCGGTTTGAGCTTCGGTAGCGGTGCTGAGGCCGAAAGCAGTGAAGATAGACCGCTGGGTCCGGAGGTCTTGGGCTTAGGTTGGGTGACAGTTTGCTTTGAGAAAACCCCTGGTGACGGCTCGGAAATAGACGTATCCAAGCTATTGCCAACTTCACCGGAATTGCGTGGCAACTCTGGTATGCGATGCTTAGCTATTACAGCGTCTGCTGAGGATGTGTAATAGAAGTCACCGTCTGGTGAAGCATCCAGTGATAGGATAGGCTGGGAATGGGGCTGGCTAAGGTATACGAGTTGGGCAGTTTCTACGCCTGTGTTGAAATGTTCTTCTGGCAACATGAATGCGGCCGTAACACCACCTTCATAGCCTGCAAGAACTAGGATTCTCTGCGTGACTTGATTGCGAACAAGTTTCAAGGCCATGGCCATCCCAGTCTCGACCTTTTGTATTCGTGGGATCCTGACCTTGAGTAATTCATCTGGGAAGCTGTACACATCGATCACTTTGTCGTCCGTTGATGGAACGGCGACAAAGATGGAATCGTCTTCTGCGGTTGATGTTGCAGGATGCCGGTAGCACATTGAGAAAGAACAGAAGTTCAGAGTGTTGACGGGAAGTGAATAGAGAAGCCATGGTTTGGGAGTGTTTTCTCGGTTCCCATCTTCGGGCAGTATTGACGAGAGTTTCCCTGCCTCATCATCTAGCTCCAATCGCCAGATCCTTATTCTGTTGTCTCGGCCATGTCTATACACAGAGTGTCAAGTCAGTAGGACTCGACAGATAATCGTTGAACAGTCTATGGAAATGAAGACTGGTTCAGTTCCCAAAGTGACTCGCAGGTTGTCATAACATGACTCACGTGATGATTTTTGTTTCTCCCCATTGTGCAAATCCTAGAATGGGACCATGATGGGCTGGCCAGACTGCGAGTGGTCGCTTAGTCTGAACACTCCAAAAGACGACCCAACCATCAGCGTCGCCTGTCAGCAGACGGCTGTTCTGGCGAACAAACAGAAGGCTGTGAATATGCGAAGCATGGCCACGGAGAATAGCGACGGGCTGTGCTGGTGGGAGAGTGGCGGTTTGGCGCTCTAGAGCCATGTGCAAGCTGAGGTATTAGTTTCGGGCAGGCCGGCACGAGAGACGATCGTCTAGAAGCGATGGTGGGGCCAGTGATGAGCGGTTGAATATCGGTTATGGAACGCGAACGACAGGTACATGCGCCCTTGGAACGATTGTGAACTAGGCTGTCCCCTCTCAGATGGTGCTTGGTAATGGTGAGCTCATTTCATTCAACAGCCGCAGCAGGAGAAGAGTATGGCCATGGTGAATGGTAAAGAGGAAGATGATTCATCTCCTTTCAGCTTTGGAGTGGATACTGAGGCGTCGCCAGGTGTTCAAGGATGCCAGATGCTATGACGGTGCAAAGATTGCCGAGGCGTGCAGGGATCTATTCTGGTCTTGAGCTTAATCGCAAAACTCTACAAGATTAGACGAGGGATGATGCAGCCAGTCAGCATCTCACGGAGCGTTGAAGCTGCTTGGGCGCGATGCAGCATGCAGATTGCGGAAGCCGGCTGGGCGCTATCTGTCTGCGAATCTTGTGTATCTGTTCAGTAGTTTCTGGTGTCTTACCTGAGGGCAAGTGATCCACTCGGGCCCTCATGTCAACATTGCCGCCTGCGCCACAATGCGCAACTCTTCGCACAAACTGCCACGAAGGATGCTAACGTGCTGGGCAATACGTCTCGCTACAGAAATGATATACAGCAACTGAGGGTCCGCGGGACGGGAAGAGCGGTTTCCATGCTACGTCGCCGAAGGTCACAACGAATCCAAGCCAGTTTGCACATCATTACTGGGAGGGCGCGCACATCATGGCGTCGCACCCCGGACTGGCGTATACCAAGGCCCAGATCTCTCCCCGACAGCGCATTTCTCCTTCCTCTGCCGTCTTCCATCTTAGGATCGTCGTGATAATTGTCCACATGTCCACACTCTGATATCCGGAATCCCGGAATATGTCTTGTTTCAGAGTATAGCTGTCAACGTTACAGGCCCCTCGGTTCACGGCCTCGCGTACACCTGCCCCCGCGACCCTCCCTGAGCATTCTCCTATCGTTCGTCATAACCTGCATTTACGCCAGCCCGCCCAGGTATAATCTAATATTCCACCTCTTCTCACGACTCGCTCTCGACACTTGTTTGCTTCTGTCCCGCCAAAAGCATCATCCTGTCCCATGCCTTTTCTGGCCCACCCCTCAACCTAGACACCTCCGCGTTCCTGCATATCACCTGCGGCCGAACGCCTGCAGATACCCTCTTTCGCAGCTCAACACCGGACAAGACGACGTCAAAAACACCCCGTATCCCTGCGCCGGACTTTGAGACTTCTGTACTCGCCTTACGACGACGAGACCGTATCTTTGTGTTTTTTTTCATTGTCTTCAAAACACACCCTGTCGCAACCGCCTTACTGCGAATCTTACATTGCGGCGTCGCGTCCGGTCGCAACCCAGCTGCCAAACTCCTACGGCGCTCGACTGTCGGATACCAGAGGCGAAGTGGAGGGGTCAACGTACTCAGTTCACTGCACGCCCTGTCACGGGGTCGTGATCGCCCTGCGTCGGCGACCGACGGCACAACGACTGTACTTGAACAAGCCGCGAGCCGCGTGTGGTGAAGAAACGTCAGCATGGCCAACACGGCTACACCACCGTCCAACAATGACTCGCCGACGAGCAAGCCATTGCCCTCGAGGAAGAGAGCCAGCGATGCGACACCAGACGACAAACCCAAGCGAACACGTACCGGCTGCTTGACATGTAGAGAGCGCCATCTCAAGTGCGACGAAACCAAGCCGACCTGCAGCAACTGCCTCAAGTCTCAGCGCGAGTGCAATTGGGGCAAGAAGCTCAACTTCCTCGACACTACCTGCGAGAGGAACGCGTACCTGATTCCCCAGGGTATCGACTACCAAATAGCTTTCATGGACGAGTCACGGACTATCGCCTCGGAATACGTAGGCGGACGGGAAATGTATCCAGTAGAGGATACGGAATCACAGGTACCCATGGGCAACAACGGGTTTGGTATGGGCCCACCAGCATCGTCGCGCCAACACATCACTCCTATACAGGGCATTGCACAGGAGTCGTATCAGCAAGCGCAACTCACATACAACTTCGACCAACAGCAGACACAGCAGCACCATGGGCGTTCAAGTAAGTCAAGCATTCGTGCAAGGAATCCATGCTGACTCTCATAGTATCGAGTTATTCCAACGGCCCAACCCCGTCCCCGTACACGATGGAACACTCGGCGAGTCCCGGGCCCCTCCCCACGCGCGACTACCTGAAGAGCCAGGAGGAGGTCTTATACATGCAGGTTTTCGTCGAGGAGATTGGTATTTGGATGGACAGCATGGATGCACACAAGCACTTCTCACGCTTGTTACCCTTCCATGCGCTTAACGAACCTATGCTATTACACGCCTTCCTCGCATGCGGTGCGCGCCATCTTGCTCTTGTCAACCCCAAGTATAGCGAAGAAAAGGCACTCCACTACTACGATGTAGCCACACGCGATCTGTTGCACTCTTTGCAGGACCCCGACCGCGACACCGTCCTATGTGCGACCACCGCGGTGATATTGAATGTATACGAAATCATGGGCGAACGTGCGCTACAACGCATGAATCATATTGCGGGAGCTCGTGCTCTGATCAAGGAATGTCGCTGGAATGCTAGGTCGACAGGCATCGGAGCGGCCTGCTTCTGGCTGAACGTCGGCATGGAGATACTGAGTTGTTTGCACTTCAACTGGCAAGTCGCGTGGGACCCAGACGAATGGGGCATCGAGATGGACTTTACACCGGAGACTGAGTCAGGCAAGGAAGAATTATGGACACATCGCATCCTCTATGTCGTTGCAAGGATCTGCAACTTCCGTGCGTCCATACCGCGAAACCAGGACGTCGCCAGGCAAACCTTGCAGGACCGACACAATGAGTGGCTTCGGCTAAAAGACATGACTGACCGGTGGAACGAGAACATACCGCGAACCATGCACCCAATGGCATATCTATATCCTGGGCAGACGATATCTGGCTCAGCGTTCCCCGAAGTCTGGCTTATCAAGAGGGCATCGATAATAGCGCGGCTCTTCTACCACACATCCCTTGTCTTATTAGCGCAGATCAACCCACTACAAGGTCCTAGCGAACCTGACATGTGGGCTATGCTTGAACAAAACTCCAAGTTCATCTGCGGTATCAGCGCACACGTCAAGGACCGTGGTGTAGCTAGCGTCGCACTTCGATCACTCGCTATTGCAGCCGAACCGCTCACAGACCGACGCGAGCAAGAAGAGGTACTCCAGATATTCGACAAGATCAGACAAGAGACAGGTTGGCGTGTAGGTTTCGTCAACACAGAGCTGAAGCAGAAGTGGGGCTGGGATACACCGCAGAACCAAGACCAGAAGTCACAGCAACAACCACCGCCTCCGCCGCCTCCACAACAACAACAACAACAACAACAACAGCAGCAGCAAATGAATGGTCATATACAAGAAGGCAACGTTGTGTACCAGCAACAACCCCAGATCGTCGTGCAGCAACAGATGCCGCAAGTCTCGGTAGCACCTGCTCCGGTACAACGACGTGCTTTTGGTAACCCTCTGCTTGTGGCAGACTTCAGCATGCCACAACATCCATACCAGACCCACTATGTTCCCGCAAACATAGTTCAGCAGCAGCAACCGCAAACATTACTTCAACCGCCACTGACGGCGATGAATGGGTACGGCGGACAACATTTCTTCTAACGATCCTTGGCACGACCTCCATTTCCAGTCCTAGTCTTTGTTTGACTTCTTGATTTGTATTACTTGGTGTCTTGCTCTACGGCCATTTCTACACAAAAGGCAAGGCGCTTGGAAAATTATTTTTTTGTGTATCTCTGCCTGTGACGAAAGTCATCTTTTTAACGATGTCATGAATAGCATATTTGCGATACCTAATAACAAGATCACGGGAAGGATGTTTTGAAATAGGTTGGTACACATGGGAATTTTGTATATATGTACCCTTAGGTTTGAAAAGTATGGTTCAGTGCTTGACTTATCAGCATCTGGCCCCTGTTCACGCTTGCACACTATCTGATATTCAAATGAATATCCAATCGTGCCACCTTCCTAACTACAATGTGCATGCACATTTCCGCTCGCAGATAGCTCGGATCGTGAAAATTAGTCTGAGACTCGGTATTCGCTTCGGCAAAGTTCCATTTGGTGTGATGAAGTAGCTTGGTCTACTAGTCCTCGTTAGGCCGCCTGTCACCTCAGCCCTAACGCTGGCTTTGTACGCCACAACTGCTAGTAAAATGAAACTCTGCTATCTCCCTCCGATTTTGGTAAAAAGCACTCGCATATTGACACACTGGGTTATTCAGTCGAAGCGACGAGATGTGAGTGGATTATGGCCGTATAAGGCAGGTGTGTATATGGCGTTACCCCTTTTTGCTATATTGCACCACACGCAGCTTTATGCACGATCACAGTATGTGGTTGCTAACATCCCATTTTGGTAATGCCATGGAATTCTCTCAAACGCGTTGCGTACGGGATCCGTTTCTTATCGTTCGTTGTTTGAGCAAAGACCACCCAACGAGTACGAGTAGTTCGTCGATCAGGTTCATGACATTCAGCATAACATGTCCACATGCAAAAGATATTTCGAGCACATTTGCACTCGACTGCCCACTGCGCTATCCGTGAATTTATCCAATTGGTCGAGTCCAGCAAGATGGTGGCGCTTTCCCCTGTGTTTGGCGAGTCAGGGATGAACTGTGCCGCAATATGCGATTATAGGTACGTACCCAAGCGCCTCGCCTGCCTACCAGATAAAGGAAGTACGAATAGGCATCCAGCCGCCAACTACGCCACACGAAACTTGGCTCATGTATCAAATCAGAGGAACGTCGCTACTTGAAGATGTCAGCCGTGTCTCGCATCTCTTTCCCTTGGAAATCGCTCTCCTTCTATTCTTCACGTTCCTTCCAAGATGCGTCGCGATTTCCGGGATGACAAAGCTCAGTATTATGTGCCGAGAAGGCAATCTTCTCCGGTAGGATTAAGGAGACGCAGTCGACGCACGGTTCTCCTTGGGGTTGCCGTCTGCTTTCTCGTTCTTTACAAGTTTCTTTTGCCGCGACGTGACGGGATTGACGTCCATTCACAAGGCACCAACGATACATCGATCTCTGGAATACCCTCTGCACAGCAAATTTCGCAAGGCGCCGAAACACCAATATGTCGGGAATCACCAATCGCAAACGATGTCTTGGTAGTTCTTCGAACAGGCGCAACGGAAGCTCTCGAGAAGCTACCCGTTCACTTCGAAACAACACTTCGTTGCGTCCCAGACTACATTGTCTACTCTGATATGGAGGAGGAGATCCAAGGCCACCAGGTCTATGATGTTTTTGAAGGAATCAGCGACGAGCTCAAGGCTTCAGCACCAGAGTTCAAGCTCAACGACCATCTCCGGACACACGGCAGGGAGGGCTTGAAGAACACGACGCACCTTGGAAGTGGACCAGGCGGAGCGCTGGATAATCCCTCATGGAAACTTGATCGCTTCAAATTTCTCCCTATGGTTGACAAGGCTCTCAAGTACCGGCCGAATGCGAAGTGGTTCGTGTTCATAGAAGCAGACACTTATATGGTCTGGCAGAATCTGCTCGAATATCTGAGCCAGTTCGACCATGATCAGCCATTGTATATCGGTAAACACATGTACGTCGGACAAACCGTGTTCGCTCACGGCGGATCTGGGTTTGTTTTGTCCTCCGCTGCCATACGCAAAGTAACTGAACGACGAAATGCCAACCTCGCCGAATATGACGAATTCACAACCAAGAGCTGGGCGGGCGATATGGTACTAGCCCAGGCCCTGAAAGAAGTCAACATAGACTTATTCTGGGCTTTTCCCCATTTCCAAGGCGATCCAGTATCATCACTCGACCACAACGTCTCAAAGCTTGACAAAACACCTTGGTGTTACGCGCCCATTACCTACCACCATATGCGTCCAACAAACATACAAGACCTATGGAACTTCGAGCAGACCCGCCAGCAAATTGGCAGAACCCGACTCCTCCACCGCGACGTTTTCAAAGAGTACATCCTCCCCGAACTCTACGCCGAAGTCAATGACTGGGACAACCTATCCATGGATGTAGAATCCGACGACACGGGCCCATTCGAGGCATGTAAACTACTCTGCGAATCCAAACCAACCTGTCTCCAATTCTCCTACGCCGCTGGGAAATGCTCGACATCTACAAAAGTGGTGCTCGGTGAGAGTGCCAAGACGCGGTGTATAGAGTATTCTATTGCAGCGAGTAAGTGCATTCGCTGGCAGGAGGGTACACAGTTTGCTGGCTCGATTCAATCTGGGTGGATAATGGACCGACTTGAGCAATATGTGGCGGACATGGATAGTACGTGTGGTGGGGACGAGGAGGTGAGGTGGGTCGTTTGAAGAAAGGTTATCAAGTGGGGATTAAACTGTCGCGCCATCTTGGCTAGTTTAGGCAGGGCAGCGAGGACGAAGAGTCTAACCTGCCAGTACCTTCCAGCTTGTTATCTGCGATGCTGCACATCTAACAGCTCGAGTGGATCTTCTGGGCAAGGATCTGGACGACTGTTATAGCTACACACTCCAGATGGCAGATGTTTAGGAAGCAGCGCTGGCCTCGAACTCTTAGCGACTCTTGCTCTCAACATTTTGTCGCCCCTAAAACGTCTCGTATCGCGATTCGTGAAGCAGGCCGGGCAGACTTAGCGAGGAATATTGTGTTTGGTTGGGCTAAAAGATCAATCTGGATAGCACCAGTTAGGAAGAGAGGAAAAGGATAGATTTCGGAAGGAAAAGGTGACCTTATGAGAGACAGTGGAGCACCGAGTATTGATACCCGCCGAGTATTGAGGCACATGATCATCTTTTCTTAGCAATTCGCGAAAATGCGAATACTCCAAGCGTGAATCACAGGCACGAGTATGATGAGCTATTGTTTAATATAATAAAATCTTGCTATATACATTACATTCGTTTCATATCTGCAGTATCGAAGATCTCCTACTTCGATGTGTCCAGGACATAGCGTCCAGCAATGGCACCCTTGTTCATCTTGTCATAGACCATCTGAAGTTCGGACAGACCAACGATCTTGTATGGAGCCTTGATCAAGCCACGGCGGAAGAACTCAATAGCCTCTGAGCTGTCCTTACGGTTACCGACGTATGAACCTTGGATCCTAATCATCTTGATGACAGTCTCGAAGACGGGTGCCTTGAGGTAGGCGCCAGCCGGGAGGCCAATGCAGATGACTGAACCGCGTGGGCGAACATATTCGGCAGCTTGCTGGAAGGGCTTCTCGTTGACGGCGACAAGGATGACAACATGGGGACCAAGGCCATCGGGTGTTGCCTTTTGTACGTCGGCGACGAGGTTCTTGCTCGTAGCGAAATCGACAAAGGACTCGGCGCCAAGCTCTCCAGTGCACATCTTCTTCTTCTCATCGCCTGTGTCGATGGCAATTGTTCGTACACCCATTGCCTTTGCGTACTGGCAGGCGAGTGAACCGAGACCACCACCAGCACCAACAATGGCAGCGAATTGGCCGGGCTTGACGCCCGACTCTTTCAGACCCTTGTAGACAGTGATACCAGCACACAGAACTGGAGCAATGGCGGCGAGATCACACTCCTTGGGAATGCGTGCAATATGGGCAGCTTTGGCGATACAGTATTGTTGGAATGTGCCGTCGACAGTGTATCCAGAAAGAAGAGGCTTTGGGCAAAGGGGCTCATCAGCTTGCTGACAGAAATCACAAGCCAAGCAGGAACCGTTTAACCATTTGACACCTAACGATGGATTAGCAGTGCTCAAACGTATATCATTTGGAGATAGCCCCAAGATATGCAGGTGTAGCTATGAAAGGATGACTTACCAGCATAGTCACCAATCTCTACATCTGTGACAAGTTCACCTCGCGCGACTACGATACCAGCACCTTCGTGACCGCCAACAAGAGGTAGTTTGGTAGCCTAGAAGCCGTCAGATTATGTCATGATGGAAAAAAGGAAATATGCTCACCAATGGCCAGTCACCATTCACAGCGTGAAGATCAGTGTGGCACACACCACTGTACTTGATGTTGACGAGAACCTCATCAGGGCCGGGTTTCTGGACGGGAATCTTCTTGTAGTCGACGGGTCCGCCGGTCTTCTCGATGACCTGCGCCCATTGCTCCTTGGGAATTTCGCTCATATTGATAGTGTGTAATGGATGTTGGGGAGTTGCTAAATTGTTTGCAGTAGTAGATCGATGGTATGATTGATGGTAGATGAGTTCAACCTTGCAGAAGGTATACGGTTTATATATTCGTTCGTTGCGGCACAGAGAAGGTCAAGAATTTGACCCCACCCGGGAACAAACCTGTGAGTTCATCAGGGTCCGATTGTATCCGTGCCTCCTTACAGAAAGCTACAGGCACTACGTCCGTTCATCCATAGCCAAGCAAAGTCTCCTGCTCAACATGCCGGAGTTGGAAGATCGCTGGTGGGCCGTTTTCATTGGTCAATGCCTGCAAAGTACACATGTACAGTGGACCCTAGAGGGGTACATGTAGTAGGATTGGATGGTGATCGGATCATGATGCATCGGCTGGGTGGGAGTGACTATAGCGTGAGCGCGGAGTATCCGTGGTAAGGTGGAAACTAAAGCCGGAAAGAGGAAAGTTGGAGTGGCCTAGTTCTAGCGCATGTAAATCAGCTCAAGGATCATGGTTCGACACAAATTCTCGATTGCTGTGGCGTGAGGGGTGATTTGGAGGATGTGTTGCCTAGGTGGGGTCGGCGTCAGGCAACCAGCCTCTTTGGACAGAATATCTCCTGATACTTGTTACTCAGCACTCATCGTCCACGGCCGCTGCCGCAAAGATACCAAGGCGAAATTCTATTCTTGTCAGAGTGACATGTTAACTGAAGACACAGGTGACAATGGTAACGTCCTGTTCCAGGCTCGGCCACAGTTCGGTTTAACCGCGCCTCGTCTCCATCGGGTCCCTCCATCAGCATCATTCAACAGCTCATGTGAGAAGCAAACCCCCGTAAGTGCGCATTTGAGTTGACGAAACCTGCCAACTGGGTCGGTCGAGCGCAAACTCAAACGCTATTCCCAGGTCTTCTGCGTAAGCTTGTCGAGCCACATGTAGCCTTGCATCTACATCTCCCAATTGAAGAAGTCGAGAAAGTTAGCTGGCCAATAAGAGATCCCTACCATTGCCTCCAAATGGCTCCACTACACGCGGCTCCTGTTGTACTATGCGGGGGTTCTGGGTCCCGAGAAGCATGGTTGTAGCGCGTCCGCAATCGCGGGGTAGTTTGTGGACAGTGGCTCGCTGGCATCTATCGAAAGTAGCCGGAGGCTACGGAGCAAGGGACGGCCGTTGATAGCTTTCCTGTGAGCTCAGAAACGCAAGCTCCGAGCAAGATCTAAGGTGGTTGGAAAGTGCGGGGCTGGAGATCTGGTGAAAAAAGCACAGGATTCCCAAGGGCCGTAGACACGTATCTTGCTGCTAGCTAGCTATACAGCCGACAGGAGGGGAAAGATCTGGAGTGCTCACAACATCAGAGCAGAAGACCCCTCTTATACACACGTCTTCTTGAGAACCCTGTTGCATACATGAGTACCTTTATGACTTTCTCTAGGCCTACATGCCTGGCGCGATGTGATGTCTGGTGAACTGGACGGCCAGACTCGAGCTACAAGGCGATCAACTCACGTCACAAGCGCTCGACATCCCATCTTGGAAGTACTGAAAATTTGCATAGAGCAATGCAAGGTCATGGCAAGACACACAGAACCCGAAGTATAGAGGCAAGGGTATCAAAAAGTTCATTGTGGTATCATAGCCAAGTGAGAGGCTTCAAAGTCTTTAATCATCAGGAACATTACAACACAAGTCAAGGCGTGTACATGCTTCAACAAAATATGGACGCACATCAGGGGTACGTCTCTACTGCACCATAACGTCGGCAGCTTCGCCGTTCCCATTAGCTGGCCGCTCATCGGCGTCCTGCAGGCCAAGAGGTAACGCGGGAGGGATATCTTTTTGGGCAGCTCGGGCTTTGGTTTCTGCCCACTGTCGTAGACGCACCAGGCTCCTCATACGGGATTCTCCGTGAGCTCCCATACTGGTGAGTATTGCCTCATTGACCTTGCTCGCAACGTTGCGACGAAGCGAGGGTTCAAGTAGCTCATTAAGCTCCTTCTGTAGTGTTCCAGGAGCGGCAGGAAGGAAGATAAGTAACGACATGGTAAGCTCGAGGTCCCTCAAGAAGTCATTGTTCGTAGCTGCACGGGGAGCGAGCTGAGACGAAGCGAAGTTAAGCGCGGGTGTGATGTCGGAGGTAGAAGATGATGTGCATGCGCGGATGAGCTCAATGAGCTGCAGCCGCAACAGTGCAAAGTGCAACGATGGGTCTGTATCTAAAATCTGACTCAGGAATTAGCAAAGCCCAGACAAAGGTGTGCGATATGAGTAGATGTAGTTGCTTGCAATCATACTGAGGACTGAAGGTTTGATTATCATCAAAGAGATTCTGCGTGGTGCATGAAACTGGATATAATCCTGCAAGATGGGAGAGTAGTGAGCAGAGAAAGCATACCTGAGGGTTCAGATCATTGATCTTAGTGATGGCAGTATCAATATCGCCAGCGTGGATCGACCGACGTATTTCTACGCGGGATTGAATGGACTCCTCCTCAAGAGGGAGCTTTATGTTGGCTTCCTTGGCAAACTTTTCAGCAGCTCTAGGATAGCCTTCGCTAACCAGGTAGTCCATGATGACGAAGTTGATGTCTCTGTAGCGGAGTCGTTAGCTTTGCGATCCAGTAGCAAACAGTGTAGTACGCAAAGCAGAAGCTACTGCAAGATCAGAGATACAAGTTAACATGTTCTCCACACGTTGTTTCGGAGAGATTCCCAACTTATTTTGAAATCATCATGTGGGGACAGTAGCTGCGGCGACGCGAAAAGGTAGCAACTTACGTCTTAGACGGCTTGATGTCATCAATCTTCCTCTGGAAAGGATGCTGCGTTGGCGTAGCCGCCGACACAGAAACAGTGGATGAGCTCTGCATGATTGTTAGAGGATGGGAAGACTTGCGACAGCAGCGCGTTGGAGCTTACCATGGTGAAGCGAGGCGCTCAGCAAGCCTCAACCGACGTCCATCAGCGAAAGATAGAGCTGCCCGACCGTTGGTCGAGTGTGCTGGCAGTCACGCAAAGCTTGGTGCGTGGTGGGAGAAAGTTTGTGAGTTCAGGTTCGTGGAAGACAAAGACTGAACTTGCGAGCTTGGCGACACTAGTGCGGTGGGTCGTTCTTACGTAAGCCTGACACTAAGTCTAGAGCCGCCCGCTGCACAAACCCGATTGTGCTGGAACCCTGCATACACTCGATATCTTCCAATCTTGCTACGAAAGGTGCGATCTGGTAGAATATGAGGTAGTAGAAGTACGGTTTCACTTGGAAAACTAAAGACATCACAAACATGGCCTCGGCAGGCCGCAGGACGCACTACGAACCGCCATGGGGCAACGCGAGCATTATTGGTGTAGCTGGCAGCTCGGGATCTGGGAAAACATCTTTGGCAATGGCTATCGTGGCGTCTTTGAACTTGCCATGGGTTGTCATCCTGTCTATGGTTCGTACCAGCCTCGCACAGTGGGTCACGTGCTCCAATCAGCTAAGGACCACTGCATGTAGGATTCGTTCTACAAGCCCTTGACACCAGAGCAATCTGCAGCGGCTTTCCGGAACGAATTCGACTTCGATTCGCCAGACGCTATAGACTTCGATATCCTGGTCGAGCGCTTGAAAGACATCAAGAACGGCAAGGTGGCAGAAGTCCCAATATACTCCTTCCAGAAGCACGCCCGCCTGTCTAAGACGACAACGATCTATTCCCCACATGTTATAATTCTGGAAGGCATCTTCGCTCTACACGATACACGCGTGCTTGATCTCTTGGATCTCAAGATTTTTGCGGAAGCCGATGCCGACCTGTGTCTCTCGCGACGTCTCGTACGGGACGTAAAAGAACGTGGCCGCGACATCGAAGGATGCATCAAGCAATGGTTCTCTTTCGTAAAGCCCAACTTCTACAAATACGTTGCGCCACAAAGGGAAATTGCTGATCTTATCATTCCAAGAGGTATTGAGAACAAGGTCGCAATCACCATGGTGAGCAATCAGGTTCGGCAGACACTAGAGAGTAAGAGTATACAACATCAGACGGAGCTGAGACGACTGGGAAAAATCGCGGAAGACAACCCCTTAAGCGGGAACGCTATCGTGCTGAAGCAGACGAATCAGGTCAAGGGAATGCACACCCTGCTACTGAACCCGAGCACATCGAGAGAAGACTTCGTGTTCTACTTTGACCGCATGGTGGCGCTTTTGGTCGAAACTGCTGCGGATTTCTTACCTTTCGCACCGTATGAGGTCACTACACCGCAAGAGTACAAGTACCAGGGACTGAAAAAGGTTGCGGAAGTCAGTGCAGTTGTAGTCCTACGCGGTGGAAGTGCATTCGAGACGGGCCTTCGACGGACAATTCCAGACTGCAGGACTGGCAGGGTCTTAATCCAAACAAACTTCAGAACTGGGGAACCAGAGTTGCATTACCGGGCCCTTCCTGCGAACATTGCCGAGCATGGGCTCGTCTTAGTTCTGGATCCTCAATTCTCTACAGGTGCGGCCGCACTGATGGCGGTCAGGGTACTGGTCGACCATGGCGTTCCCGAGAACAAGATCGTCTTTGTGACGTATACTGCAGGTCGTGTTGGGCTCAACAGGGTGTTGAGCGTATTTCCAGATATCAGGATTGTGGTTGCAAGACTGGGTAACGATGAAGAGGCGCGATGGATCGAGACGAAGTATCTGGGATGCTGAAAAGGGAGCGCACATCACGAATTACGCATGTTACGGCCAGCTGGCTAAGATTGCGGATGATCTTCACTATATGATTCGATTTCACGTTCGATTGTATATAACCAACATATTCTTGTCCGAACGCCATGCCTCTTGCCAACGCCGATAAATGCAAGGTTCGCGCCGAACCAGTAATGCATCGCCATGTTTGTTGGGTATCATAGGAAGTACTCCGTGGTGACCTCCTTTCCTTGCTGTTGCTGCTGCTCTGCCCGGTGCACATCGTTATCAGGACTCGCGTCGAAGACGTTGAAAAAGCGTTCGCCCGTATCGCTGACCTCCAGTACACTCGCCATGTTGCCGCACCGGTAGCAGTAGTTCGGTGCACTCCAAACCGTGCTGAGCCTGTCGTCATAGAGAACTTGGTACCCTTCTTGACATAGCTGGTGTGCGCGTAGAATATGCGACATGGAGTTGACCTCCAGGAACTTCTTGACTACTTGTGCCCCAAACGTATAGCCTGCGCCCCTCGGGCTGAGCGAGAACTCGTCTCGTTCAGGATCGGGGTCGCTCCAAACTAGGTCCGCCATGGGTCCCTCGTGAGGTATTTCTCGGAAGCGATCTATGATTTTGATTTGGTCGATGGAGTGAATCGACGGTGATAGGCCGCCGTGTACGCAGAAGATCTGGTCGTTAATGACGACGGATAGAGTGAGAAAATCGAACATGTCGGTAAAGTAGTGCCATACGTTCGCATTGCCGTACTTCCGGGAGCATTCGGTGTAAAAGCCATAAGATTGGGTGACTCCGCGAGATTCATGGTTGCCGCGTATAAGGTGGACTCGATGCGGATAGCGGAGCTTCAAGCATACAAGGAGTGATATAGTTTCGACTGAGAAAAGACCACGATCGACGTAGTCACCTAGTACATTGTCAGCGTCGTGAGTCAAGGTCGCGTGCCGCACGTGGCCAATGAGCCAGAACATACCCAGGAAAAGGTAGTTGGTGTCGGGACATGGTCCGCCAATCTTGAATATCTCCATCATATCGAAGAACTGCCCGTGGATATCACCCACGACAGTAACAGGCGCTCTGATATGCACCACATTGCTCTCCTTCATAAGCAGCTCCTTCGTCTTTGCGCATATTGCCTCGACTACCGACTCGGCGAGTAGTTCCTTCTTTGATAGGCGCGATATACATTCATCAAGGTCTACGGTAGCTGCTAAGTTGTCAGCACAGCCATGTACACAATGCGCAGGCGGCGTCGGCAACTGACGTACACGGTAGACCGGGCATGGTGGCGTTTGTGGGGTGAGCGTGGGAGTGGGAGCATCCGCGGCACAGCTCAGGGTATTGAGTCTATACTGGTCGCTAACAGATGTCTATATCGTACAATCATCCTCGGGGGCGCATCGAGGGACGGTATACGGGCGATGGCGCAAACGCGAGCAACGGGAATGGGGGGCAATGTGTGCTGTCGGTCTGAATTGCGGCAGCATCCCGCGCTGGTCTTGGCCCGAGCGCAAAACGTGACTACGCTCCAGACTTCATCTCAACGCGACGTCGGTTTGTCAGGCTTCACATATAGGTGAAGCTTTCGAAGCCTCTGCCTCTTACGTCTCTTCTCCTGCCGCGTCTACTTTTGATCCTGACATTCCGAGGATACTCCCCTGCACCCTTCTCTATTCGCCATCTGCATCCTGTTGTGCTCTCAATAGCAACTTCCAAGGGTTTTCCTCACATCAGCCTGGCTTGTTTCACTCTTCCCGTCAACTCAATCCCGTCTTTCCCATCGTCATAGTCTCGCCCCCAAACAGTCAACTTTCACGCATTACCAGGGCATTCCTGAATTGAAGACCCCTCTATGAGCTTGGGCTTCTCTTCGTCCTGGCTCGTGCGCTCGACCAGACCAAATTTTGAGACGCGCACCTCGCCGGCTCGCACCTCGAGATCTCTTGTCCACATCAAGTTCAACCTACATCACCACTTCCGAGCAATTCATCAAGTCGCGTTAGTACTTGTCCGGTCTTGATTGTCTTGCTCGTATTTTGCATCACAACAGGTAAATTGCTTTAGGTGGCATGTCGTGGAGCGGACCTGTGACGGGTGCGACGCCTTTCCAGCAACAATCATATGCCAACGGTCAGCCATATGGCCAGCACCCACCCTATCAATACGGACAGCAACCAGGACAGCAGCCAGGATACGGACAATATCAGCCAGGAGCGGCTTACCCGCCAGCCGGCCCACCCCACCGGGCTCCTCATGTTCAGTAGGTCACTTCTATCTTACCACGTACTCCCAGCTTGGCCGGGCATTTTGCAAAATTGCGAAACTACAGATGATGGCTCGTGAAACTATCTTCTGACATATGCATAGGCCGCCAAAGAAAAAGGGAAATCCTATAATTACCCGGTATCCTCCTCCCCCAGGCTACCGTGGACCGGCGCAGCCTCAGGGTCCTTTTGGCTCCAATCAGTTTCCCAATCAGTATCAACCGCCGCAGCCAGCATTTTCACAGGCACAAGCAGCACCTCCAACTTACCCACAGCAAGGTTACACTGCTCCTGCTGCGCACCAAAACTATTCTGCCCAAGGTTCTGGCCAGCCGCCGCCTCAAGCCTCCAACTATCCACAGCCCTCGTATCCACAAGCACAACCTAACTATCAATGGCCACAACCAGGTTACCCATCAAACCCAGGCTACTCGCAGCCTCTGAACCAGCCCTATGCACCACCTCAGAGCCACTATCAAGGCTATCAACCCCAGCATCAAGCTGCTAATCCCAACCAGCAGGTTTACGGCCAGAATTCAGCGTGGTCGCAACAGCATGCGCAAGCATCTTATCAGCCGAACCAATACAGCTTAAGCAACGGACTACCCCACGATGCTCACCCTGCGCCAGATCCTCATGCCACGCCAACTCAAGCGACTGTTCATCTTAACACAGCCCATCCTCTTCCACCATCTAACCAGTCAACCAGTGCTGTAAGTGAGGAAAGTTCGAGCGAGAAGCCACAACTATTTCTTGCCTGGGACGATTGGGATTTCGACTTCGATGGTGCGATATGGCCGAAGAGTAATGAACCTGTCGATCCGGCGTTGAGTCTCGGAGTCATTATCTGGCACCCCGCAAAGCAGGTGACACGTGCATTACCCTCAACCTTCGCCGAGGCCGAGGCAGAAGCTCTGAAACCCACGCCGGAGAAACTGGACAACGGAGATTCAGTGTCCATGTACTTCACAGCTGACAACTCGCATGAGGCCTTCTTGAACGTTAGACAGACGGATGAGTGGGAAACACTCAAGGACGACCCAGTCTTTGTCGAGTTCACAGATGAGGAGATGCGATCAAATCTAGTCTCATTAGAGGACTGCATTGCCCAGCGAGACCGTCCAGACGAATTATACAAGGAGGCACGACAGGACGAAGATCTAGAGATGCGCGACGCTACATGGGACATCATGGATAACCTCGAGCAAGCACTTGCTACTAACAATGGAGTCGCAAAACCAACTGCCATGAAATCTGAGACAGCTTCTCCTCAACAGCTAAGCCAGGAAGACATTCTTGCTAAGTTGGGTGTGACTGGGACTCCGAAGCCACCATCGAATGAGCCGATCTCATTACCGTTGTCAGCCTCTGATTCGAAGCCCCCTGCATCGCTTCCAGGGAAGCCATCGTTGGCTCCTCCTGCAATGACTACCGAGCCTGTTCTTCCACCACAACGTGCGCAATCTTTTGGAGGGCACCGTAACAATGGGCATGGACCTCCGCCTCCTCGGCCCTATGGTTCTATGTCCTCTTCCGCCAACTCAAGGCCTCCTCCGCCACCTCCACCCCCTGAAGAACAGCGGTACGATCCTTGGAATGCGCCTCAGCGTAGTGGCCATGGCCTTGATGGCTCTAGGGGCAGCCCAGCGCCCTCCGAAGGAAGCAACCATACAATGGCAGGGTCTGACTTTGAACCCGAAAACCTCGACAGCGGGACACAGCAAGACACGCCGGCTGCACCCTCACTCGGTCAAGGCGATAGCTCCATCTCTCGGAAGAGGAGCTACGAGGATGCCGATCATGAGCATGAGCGTTTGCGGCAGCAAGAGGACCACAGCAAACGGAAGAGGCGCTCTCAGGTTGACGCCGCATATAGGTAAGGCCTATCCCGTTTCTTTCAATATTGTCCAATCCCCCTGCAGTTTCTTACTAGTCACAGTCGCCGTTGAATGGCTAAATAGTACGTCGGCACACCCGCTGTTCTCTCTGCCCAGTATTCTCGTCACATCAGTATCGATCACTGCGACTTCCAATCCACCGACTTGGAGCACGCTTCCCCACTACCTTAACTTCGGACTATGGTTTGTCCATGATCCTGGGGTATGCATTCATCTTAGCACGTCCATGTGTCGAGAGGTTCCAAAAACCGTTATCTATTGTCTTGCCATCACATTCTTACATCGAAAGGCGCAAGAGATTGCGGCCCCATTTTCTATCTCAAAATACGCTTTCATGAGCCTGTCTGGATGGGTGTCTTATGGGTATGGCGTCATTCAATGCTCTGTGTTTATTTGACAGACTGCACATCATGTCCTTTTCTCTTCATTGTCTGTTCCAGACGTACTGCATTCTTGTCATCTTCACCGATATTTATATTAATCTCATTCGACCTTCACCGTCCCTCAGTTGGCGAATTAAATCGCCTTGAAACCTCTATTTTCCTCATATTGTCGCCGCATCCGTTCATCTTCTATCACGCTTGGTCTTTATGTCTTCAAATCTTGTCTCTCTGTTATTTGGCCCTATTTTCCGCTTTACCATTACAGGTCGTGTTTTGACTACGCGATCTAGCAAGATTTTATAGTCGTGCATGCAGTAAGTATCTGCTTGTCTGCATCCTGTTCGATGCTAGCTCCTTAGAATCAAGCGGCACCAGCAACAGGGCCTATTCCGCTCTGGCAAACTTGTAGAGACCTATAGAACCTTGTCCGTTATTTAGCGAGTGCAGAGGTTTTCGAAGGGTTCCAATGGACCTATTCGATCCAACATGTGCCGTAAAGTTTGTGTGCAAATTCACTGGCCATGATTTCCAGGATTGGGGCGTGGAGAATGTTTAGACATGCTTTTCTCTGTATGGAAGGAAAAGTATTCGTAGCAGGTGGATTCTATGTAAGTGCATCTCAACGTAGATATGGAATATACAAAATTACACAAATGTTTCGTGCTCTCAAATTTCGTGGTATCGACATAAAGCTGTACTGTGAATGACAGCTGAATTGCACGAGCTCGCCACTTGATAAAAATGTCATCAGTGGCTCAAGAATGACCTAGAAAAATCTAGAACTGCAGACATGTCTCTGGACGTTGACTAGCACCGGCGTTGCCGTAATGTTTCGTATATCGTATTCCATGTTCCTCGGCTGCACGCGCCACAGCTCAGCCACAACGTGCGTCATCTGGTCAAGCGACTTGTACCTCTCGCTCAGGCGACACTCCCACGCCAGCGCAACAACTACAACCTTGCACATACAGCGCCTCGATTATCTCAAAATCTACTTCGAATATAATCGTCATCATGTGCGGTTCCGACTGCTTTCTGATGCTCCTGAGCGTCCTGGTACGTTCACGCCCCCCACAGCTGAAGCAAGCACCAGCTGTTCATCTGCGACCCACCGCTTCCAGTACTGACACGTCGACTAGTTCCCACCCGTCGGCGTCTGGGTTAAGAAAGGACTCTGCAGCGCCGACTCCCTTATAAACCTCGCACTCTGCTGTCTCGGTTTCCTGCCAGGCCTCCTGCACGCCTGGTACGTGATCCTGCAGAATCCAGACCCGTACGATGCATACCAGCAAGTACCCGACCGCGAGCATGGCACAACAGGCGGCGGCCGAACTACATACTACGTTATCACACATGAGCAGCCGGCTGGACGACAGGCGAACTACGGCACTGTGGGTAGCCAGCCGAGCAACGGACAGTTCCCCGGACAGCAGAGTGGCGTGACAAACAGCTTTGCGCAGCCAAAGGGACAGAAGGCTGCAAAGGGCACTTCGCCTGCGCCTGTGACTGCACCGCAAGGCGGCGAGGGTAGCTCGAGCCAGCCTGAAGGGCCGCCACCGACCTATGCCGATGTGATCAAGGGTGACAATAAGGTACAGGGCCCGTAGGCTGATAGTTTTGGGTATACCAGTCTCAAGAGGAGGGAATAGTGAAGTAGTGTAGTTTGTGGTAGCTGGCGTACAGGAGTGGCTGGGATAACAGCATGGCGTTTAAGGATGATGGTTATCGATATTTCCTGTGGAAAGGAACAGTGTATACTATACATTACTTACCAAGGCTCAATAACCTTATTGGACTATGCACTTACGAGCATTACACATGTGACGAGCGTCCTGATCATGTATGTGTCGGTCCAAACCTCAGCCCATACGTCATCGTACGGCCTGAATATTATGACTGCAGGAACAATGGCACACGTACCCGACATAAGATCCTAACCCATGCTTTACACCAAGATTGAGCACCACGTAGATGGACAACTTCCATTCGAAATGTTACACCACGAATCAGATTGTTGCGGCGTGCCGCCACGTACGTCGACGCGGCATGCCCTCGGCGATTGCGCACCAATGCTACGACAACGGCCCCGGCATTTCTTTTGCTTTGAGCCCGCCGTCATCTATGACTTTTGCGCAACTTACCTAGTTGGGACAAGGACATGGGAAAAAGCAAGACTCGTTGGAATTGTTTGATGCGGACCAGAGGATATGCTTTCTCTCGTGTACGATCTTTAGTTGAGGGGTGGATGCGCACCGTCATTGCCGTGTCATTGTCGTTCTAACCGTCCAACTGAGGCACCGGTATGATGCGCAGACAAGCAGGTAAAAATATGTTGCATGCAGACATTTGATTAAGCGGGAGCTTATTTCGGGTCCCCCGTGTGGTTGCAGTGTGGTTGCAAGCAGGCATTGTACAACTGTCTTACGCTTACAGTGTACACGTAGATCACTCTTGAGATTGCAGTGGTGAGATCAGTATAGCATATGTGGTAAGACACGGAGCGAAGCCTCCGATGCGAACCAAGCATTCTTGAGACGAAAGCAAGGAAGACTTAAGACGTCAATTGCTTCCCCAGATCAAGAATCACGATGCCCGGCCTGCAGCTCATATTTGCCGGAGACGACTAATTAAGCGTTCCGCAGTCTAGGCGTATCGTCATGCCCAGACCGCCTCTGCGCCCCGAGTCTTAGCCCAAGCCCCTAGCCAAGTGCCTTGAGTGCATCTTGGTCCTACGTGACAAGGCTTGAATGTTATGACGTGAAGCTTCGCATATCACTCTTCCGTGGAGCAATCAACTAGACTCAGATAGCACTGATTTGTGTTTGTATGCACGTGCTACCGAACACAGCCTTTGACAATCGCCATTAGCTCTCTTAGTCGCCACGTTCAATTGTGGCTGAAGCATTCGCCGCGTTTCTCATTCGTGCGAAGTGCACAACAGCCACATCTACTGACGAGTGTTCGTGCGCTGGCCTCCTGTCAACAGGTTTAATTACCCTTAGGTCCTTCTCCCTTTGTTCATTCATTTCACCGGTCCTTCTTTCACAGGCAATCCCACCACCTACAATTTCCCGACCCCGACTGCTCCATCTCTCACCGGTCGCCTCAGGTACAACAACTTACGCGCGTGTTGACCCAAACAATTGTTCGCCCCCATTTCATCGGTTTTGGCCTCCAGCCACTCGTTCCGAAGCACAAGCACTTCGTTCCGAGTAACCACTACACGTATCGACTTGAAAGTCGCACTTGAGCGCGACTCTCGATTGGACTAAACCTCCACCCACCACCAAGTGGAAAAAGACGGCCCAGCTGCCGCGAAAGTAGATCAATGCGTAAGTGGATCCACATCTCCGAGGCATCGAGATCATGTCAAGTCTTGATCACCCAACAACTCAACATCTCCTGTCAAACACCAAATTGCATCTAACGATGAATCTAGATACTGTACGAAGGCAGGCGCATCGCGTCGCATCGCAACATGGTGGTAACGGCGCAGCCAACTACAACCCATTCGCCCGACAACGGTCGCGCGACATTAATCTAGATGAAGAGAACGCAGTATACAGGACGCGATCGGAAACACATGCTACTCCTGCGATTGAGGAGCAAAGACGGTTAGAAAGCAGCGAAGCGGGAAAGGAGTTCGGCATGCCTGGCCACCACAACACCGAACCCTCCGCATCTTCGCCAACATACGGCAGCGCATCTACGACTATTCCAGAATCGGCAACCGAGAAGGACATGGCCTCTGAATTTAACGGCGCACACAAGACATCCGGCGACAGCACAATCGCGCCCTCCAACCAAGAGAACAATGTTGGTCCCACCCGACGAGCGAAGTTCAAGGGCATCTTCCGCAAAGATCACCAGGACGCAGAAAACGCCGAGGCCGAGCATCCAGAGGCTGATGAGCTTTCGTTGGAGGAACGCAAGAAGAAGGCTTTCAAGAGAAAGATTCCGGTCGGCGCACAGATCAAGTTCGTTCTCTTTGGTGCTTGGATCAACGTCCTCCTCATCATGGTACCCGTTGGTTTTGCTGTCTACTATGCCCGTTTAAAGCCCGTTCCGGTTTTCATCATCAACTTCATCGCCATCATCCCCCTCGCAGCCATGCTGAGTAACGCGACAGAGGAGCTGGCCATCAGAGTTGGTGAAACACTCGGTGGATTGTTAAACGCTACCTTTGGTAACGCTGTCGAGTTGATCGTCTCCGTCCAAGCCCTACTCAAGAACGAGATCACCATCGTCAAGACCTCGCTCATTGGCAGCATGTTGTCGAATTTGCTGTTGGTTTTGGGTATGTCGTTCTTCCTTGGAGGAATCAACCGCTTGGAACAGTTCTTCAACGTCACGGTCGCGCAGACGGCAGCGTCACTGCTTGCTCTCTGTATCGCGTCGCTTATCATTCCAACTGTTTTCCATAACACCATCGCCGAGGATGACTCAGTCGCACAAAACGGTGCTGCAGATGCGGTCAGGAACCAGGAGCTGTCTCATGGAACGGCCGTTATCCTTCTCCTAGTCTACGCTTGCTATCTTGGCTTCCAGTTGAAGACCCACGCTGCAATGTACAACGAGCCCAGTCAGAAGGTTCCTAAGCGCAAGTCTGGCAAAAAAGAGGAAGGCGACGCATCGCGCGGTATCGCAGCCATTGGCGCTGGTACTGCCGCAGCTTCTGGAGGTGGAGTCAACATGAAATCTCTCTTCAAGAACCCTGATGGCTCAGAGGATGATGAGGAAGAAGAGGAGTTCGAAACACCCTCGCTTTCCGTTGCCGGCGCCCTAGTCACTCTTGCAATCTCCACTACTCTCGTTGCTTTCTGCTCAGAGTTTATGGTTTCCAGTATCGATGGTCTCACTGCTACCGGCGGAGTTTCTACCACATTCGTCGGTTTGATCTTGCTCCCCATTGTCGGCAACGCTGCCGAGCACGCCACCGCTGTCACTGTCGCTATCAAGGACAAAATGGACCTTTCTATTGGTGTCGCTGTCGGCTCCAGTATGCAAATCGCTCTCCTCGTCTTCCCGCTTATCGTCATCTTGGGTTGGATTCTCGGGAAGGACTGCATGACGCTTTACTTCGACACCTTCCAGATCGCCACACTGTTCGTCTCGGTATTGCTCGTCAACTACCTCATTCAGGACGGCAAGTCACGTAAGTTCCCACTCCCGACCTCCTCATCCGCGCACTTTACTAACATTACGCAGATTGGCTTGAAGGCATCTTGCTCATGGCAAGTTATATCATCATCGCGCTAGCTGCCTGGTTCTACCCAGACATTGAAGAGAACCAGTGCTAGAGCCATACTCACACAAGCTCTCGCTCTCTGTTTCCTCTTCCCTTTGTTCATGTACATACTCGTAGGGTCTCTTCAAAAGGGGATGGTGCTTCGGGAGTCTAGTTGGGTTTCACGGGATTACATATTGCGACTACTGCCTTTTCCTTTGAATTTGTTCCGATACCCAATTGTACAACCAGGTCTAGTGTAGCACCTTATTTCAATAGCAATACACGCGATAATATCTAGTTATGGTTCCCTTTCAGAATGCGTGTTTTGTAGTAGGGCGACGGTTCTATTGATGTTGCACGTAAAGGGCAGGAGCTCTTGCTGTTGTGGGCACAGTGTGCCTTCCCTAGGCCTGCTGCACCCCATCTCTTCGATCTTCAAACGTTTCCCTTATCTACAGCCGGTGCGCAGCCTGAGTTCACACACTCGTTGTCAGATATACGCTGACCTGCTCACAAGTCTCAAACCCTCGGTTAGGTTTGCCGCCTACAAGACCCTACTTCACTTACAATCGCAACTCTCCCGAAGGTGCCAGGAGGTTCTCAACGTGCCGAGTACACTGAAAATGTGGCATCTATGGATCCCGGGTCTGTAGACTCCTACTCACCTCGACTCCAGACCGTCAGTCTCAGGTGTTCGTACATGTGACTTACCCAACCAAATACCTGTCGGACATCGCTCTCTCACTCACAGTCTGGCTCTTCAGGTGCTGCTGCGCAGCTCTCTTACCTGGCTTCCCTGACCCATTGCCAACCCACTGCTGTCTATATAAGCCTCACCTCCTGCTACTCCTCTATCCTTTCTACACCACACTCCGCTTCTTCCTCTGTCGGTTCCTCAAGCCTACTTCGGCCTACACTTGACCCTCAACTCTACCCCAATCTTACATCAACTTCAAGCCATCATGGCCGAGCCTGACCATATGGACGGCATCATCGGCACCCAGATACCGGCTCCAGATATCGAGGGTCTCAATGACCATGATGCGACCGGTGATGGTTATGAACCTCAGCGCGATAGTGTCGAACAACAAGCTCAAGCAGTTTCCAATCACGGGTATCAAGACGATGACGAGGAAGGCTTTACTCATGAGGCTCATAACGACCATGAAGAGATTATGGAAGAAGAGTTCATCAGCCACGATCAAGACACACCCGTTGCCTCAGTGGAGCAATACGACGCCGCAGAAACCACCAGGCACGATACCTCTGAACAAGCGCCGCACATCCATGAAAATGACTCTACCTCACTGTTCATCTCTGAGAACAGCCCGCCGTCCCCAGTTATCGCACCTCGACAAGACTCCATCGTGCCTATGGCCCCTCCTGCATGTCCTGCCCCTCCTCGTAAGAAGATGCCTGGTCTCTCGGTCTTTGGCGCGATTAAGAAAATGCAGAAAAGGAGGCAGGAACAGAAGCTCGTTGCCAGCAGACAGGCTTCGACATATCAGACCACTGCCAACCTTGACAATGAGGCATACCTGGAGGCCGTCATGCTAGGACAACCCTCATCTACCGCAGTTCCAGCTATCGACCAGGATGATTTTGCAGACAAGCAAGCGGCCAGGGATTACGAGAAGCAGAAACGCCATTATGATGAGATCAAAAGGAAGAACGGTACGCTTTCATTCAAGCAAGATGTTGAGTGGATGAAGATCAGGGGTGCTGAAACGGCTAGAAAGAGGAAGCGACTTCGTGATATTGAGAAAGCTCGGGAGGAGAATGAGGATGAACCAGACCTGTTCCTGGAGTTCCACCTCCCAACAAACAACGAGCAAGAGGAGGAGTCCGACAATGATTTCTGCTTTGAGGACTCCGAACCTCGCAAGCGTCGTCGACCGATGCCCACGAAAGAGGAGAAGCAGATGACGATACAGGACGCTGAAATGCAGAGCATGCGAGTTGCTCTTGAGGCCGAAGGCGATCTACCGCGAAAGAAGAAGAAAGGAGATGCAGCCGGCGATGATGTCCAGGGTTCTGCGACCTCTGGTCGTGGCAAGGATTCTAAAGGAAAGTCGATAGGCAAGCCTAGAAAGCCGAGGTCTGGTCCTAAAAAGCCCACTAAGAGCCGTGGTGGGAAAAGTTCAAGGAAGGAAGTTGTGGAACATGCAGTCAAACAAGCAACTTCTCTTTTCAACGCCGACGTCTTCCAGCAACAAGCTGGTGCGAACGCAGCTGAGCAGCCTACATTCAGATCGAGAGTCAAGGCAGATGCGTTGAAAGAACTCATCGCCAGCGTACCTCTAGATGACCAGAAGAAAGCCAGGGGTGACATGGCCATGCTGTTAGCTGCAACGAAAGATTTTGATGGCAAGGGCAGTGTCAAGGCAGATGGTTGCGGCCTCTGGAAAGTCACCGGTATGAGCACCTCACTCAAGCCTTATCAGGTACTTGGCACCGCCTTCATGCGTCGTCGAGAGAACGCAACGGAAGAGCCAAGGGGTGGCTTGATGGCCGACCAAATGGGACTTGGCAAGACCCTCATGATGCTGGGTATGTGTATCAAAAAGACTTGCTCGAACAGAACTGACTCTTACAGCGAACATGGTTAATGGACGGCCGGCTAAGAATGACAAAGGCCCCAAGACAACTTTGCTGGTCGCCAGTCCTGCACTATTGGCTCAATGGAAGAGCGAAATCGAACTGCATACCGATGCATCCAAGGTCAAGATAAGAATCATGCGTTATGGCGCTGGCACGCGCCTTGATTCGACCAACGCCTACGAGATCTTAGCAGGGCACGACGTCGTTCTCACCACCTATACCGAGATCATGAAGTCTTACCCGAAAAATGAGCCACCTATCGAGTGCCAGACCGCCCAGCAGAAGATAGAATGGTGGAAAGAAGTCTTCAGGAATCAGAGAGGCCCACTACACCGTATGATGTTCTTACGCATCGTTCTGGACGAGGCTCAGGCCATCAAGAACCATATGTCACGAACGTCGATCGCCTGTCGGGCTCTAATGGCGCGCCACAAGTGGGCTCTCAGTGGCACTCCGATTCTCAACAGTTTGACTGAGCTTTACCCCTACTTCAAGTTCCTTGATGTCCCGCACACCGGTAGTTTTAAGATCTTCAAGAACAACTATTGCGACAGTAAAGATGCGGAGAATACTGAGAGGCTGTTGGTACGCCTCTCACAATTCATGATCCGACGCACTCACGCGGATAAGATGTTTGGGGCTCCCATTCTGAAGCTTCCTCAAGCCGACCAGACAACCTATTGGTGCGAATTCAACTCTGTCGAGAGAGCCATTTATGACATCGTCCGCATGCGCTTCGCCAAGTGCATCAACATGTGGGCGCAAAATGGTACTTTGGATAAGTCATACAGTAACGCATTGGTGTAAGTACCAACGACTCCTTCCAGCCTAAGCAACCTTACTAACAGTCTGCAGGATGCTGCTTCGACTTCGTCAACTGACAGCGCACATCCTTATGCTCCAGTTTGTCGTGCGAGATCTGCTCGAACGCGAAGACATCGAAGCCATCAAACAGGTGGTTGACAAAGAGGCACAATTAAGCAGCAAGCCGGGTGTAAATACGATCACGGCTGTCCGTAAGCAGCTCGATAAGATCGCAGCGGACCAGAAGAAGAGGATGGCCGCTCTTGAGGCTAAGAAGGCGGCCAAATCTAAAAAAGCTACCGCCAAGAAGGCTGCCGAAGCTAGAAACGAGGCATACATATCAGACAACGACGATGACGACAACGATGTCTTAATAGAGGAGGACGTCGACGAGGCCGTTGATGATGAGTCTGCAGATGATATAATCCGACGCTTCACCGGGGGTGGTGAATTCGGCAAGGACTTCAACTTCAAGCCCTTCCTGAACAGTCTCAAGACTGGTGAGAGCTGGGAGAAGACAAAGCAGAAGGCTAAGTGTAACTGGTGCGGAAAGCAACCCAGAGTACCGCTATTAACGTCCTGTGGACATCTCATCTGCAGCGAACCTTGCTACGAAAACTTGCTGGTCGAAATGGCCGGGAACGACTCCGATATCTTTCTGCCATGCAAGGCGTGCGGTAAAACTCCTACAACCATTCACCCCTGCGAGGTCGATGACGATGATACACCAGATGCGCCAGCACAAGGCACACGAGCCAACAAGAAGAAACATAAGGAGCAGCAACGCACGCGTCAGGATCGCGAAGACATTGCCGACGACTGGCTTGAGTTGGCTGGCGATGATGTTCTCCCCTCTGCGAAGACGATCGCTGTCAAGAGTCAGATCATGAATTGGCTTAAGGAGAACCCGCACGTCAAGATCATCGTCTATACCCAGTTTCTGCCTATGTGAGCCAGTCCCCGCTCCTCTGCTCGAATAAACATGCTAACAGACCCTAGGATCCGCATTCTGGCACGAGTATTCCGAGGAGAAGGCTGGCAGACTGAGCAGGTAAGCACCCAGCTAGGCGGCGACATGGAGTTCTGTGTCTTCGTTTGATGCTAAAATTACCCCTGGATGCCTCCAGACACTAGTTTAGGCCTCAGTCTATTGCCGACTTTTGCTAACATATCTGTCAGTACCATGGCAGCATGAGCTTGGGCGCTCGCGACAAGGCTATCAACTCATTCGACGAGAATCCGGATTGCAAGATCATGCTGGCTTCTCTTCGTTGCGGTGGTTGTAAGTACAACCAATTCCGCCTTGGGATTTACTGACTATCGGTAGTGGGACTTAACCTTACTATGGCTTCCAAGGTCATCATGATCGACCCCTGGTGGAATTCGGCATCGGAACAACAAGCTTTCTGCCGCGTCTTCCGTATCGGCCAGCTTGAGAAGACATTCATGAGCCGCCTCTGCGTCAAGAACACGGTCGATGAGCGCCTCATCGAGATGCAGGAGCGCAAGCAACATGAGATCGCTTCGGTTATGGAGGACGATGGAAAGACGATGAAGAAGTAAGTGACTGCTCGCGAATCCCTTCAATCAGATACAACTAACGGCTTTAGGATGGATACACGCTCGTTGATGCGACTGTTCGGTAACTTGGAGGAGGATCCGGATGGTAGGACGTTCATCATGGTCGACAACCCGGATCCACGCGGTGGTTTCCGGGCTGATCGAGATGATGAAGGCTATGCGGATGATTTCTAGGATGGCTTGGGGATTACGAGGGCTTTAGGGTAGGCGTTCAGGCGTTCGGGAAAAGTGCGAGGGACTTCGGGGTACTCTTTTAGGCGTTCGGGAAAAGTACGATATGGTTCAATTCTGGGTAGGTTTTGGGGTGGGCTGGAGGTCTTTACAGTATTTTTAGGCCTGCTTCTGCTCGCAAGAATGCACGGAAGGTCTCCCCGCTCCACCATGGGCGTTTGTTTTTGAGGCAAAAATCCTGTTAATTACTTCAACTGCCTCATTGCTTTATCGCGCCTTGCTGCAGTCATGGACGGCGTTCGTTGGCTAAGGGGATGTCTCCAGATAAGGGCCGAATTGAGCCAATCACACGACTGCTGATAGCGAGGAACCTCTGCGACGCAGGACGGTCGCGTAGTCACTCTTCACCAGCCCAATGCGACGCCCATTCCGATTCGATTCCGCCCGCTTCCCTGTCCTTGGTCAGCCATGTTGAGCCCGCAAGATAGAGGCCTGAACCACGACCGATTATTATATCCACTGGCCGCTGATTAATGTCGCGCTGATTGAAAGCGCGCCCCGCCATTCCCCCACATTTTGCTTCTCCGGCCAACCTCCAAGACCTGTTATGGAGAACAACAACACTGCGGAAGCGCAAACAACTTCCGATACGCCGCCCAAGAAGGGACGAAGAGGCAAGAGGGATGCGGGAAGCGAGGACTCTAAGAAGAGGCGCTGCATCTCTTCCGCGTGTGTTCCATGCAGAAAGCGCAAGTCCAAGGTATGTTAGGTAACGAGAATTGGCTCTGATGCCCTTTCTCCGGTCTATACACACATTCTCCGGATGATCACCAACGCCCTCGGCATCACGCGCCAGGCCATCGACTCGTCGCTAATCCGAGACATAGTGCGACGGTACCACTCCGGCTTGCTCAGCATGTGCCGCCGTCTACAACACGCCATGCATCTACGACCCCAACTCGGACCACCGCCGCAAAGGTGTCTACAAGAAGGACATAGACAACCTCAAGACGCGCAACTCGACCCTCCAAACCCTTATACAAGCCATTCTCAACTATCCCGAAGAAGAAGTCGCCGATCTCGTACACCAAATACGGACATGTGAGAGCTTGGACTCGGTTGCGGAAGCTATCATTGCAAAGGAGAATGGCGAAGACGACGAAGATGAGCCTATCAGCCCAGTTACAACGCCCATCATGGCGCCCGCAAAGGGCACGTTCGAGAGCCAGCTGAGCGGAAAGATGGGCGAGCTGCGGCTTGAGGATGGCTCGACGAGATACATTGGCGGTACATCACACCTCATATATATGGGGAAAAGCAATGACGAGGTGGAATCGCCGGATACATACACCGAGGACCAGTACCAGGAAACACAGGATCCGTTCTGCTCGTGGACAACCGTCACCTCGGACCCGGAGCTTGTGCAGCATCTGATTAGTATGTACTTTTGCTGGCACTACAGCTTCTTCACTACGCTGTCGAAAAATCTCTTCCTACAAGAGTTCAGACTGGGCAAACCACTGCCAGGATCCGGGAGGAAGACGCAATACTGTTCGCCGTTACTGGTCAACGCCATGCTAGCACTGGGGTGTCACTTCACCTCGTGGCCTGCAGCCAGAGCTATCCGCGATGATTCTGCGACGGCAGGCGACCACTTCTTCAAAGAAGCCAAACGGTTGATCATGGAGGACGATCTGCACGAGATGCCAGCTCTGACGACGGTGCAAGCTCTTGCCTTGATGTCTGTACGAGAAGCTGGTTGCGGACGGGAAGCAAAGGGATGGGTCTACAGCGGCATGTCGTTCCGCATGGCATGCGACCTCGGCCTGAATCTCGGCATGCACAGCAAAGACGCGATCGACGAGAACGAAGAAGACGCGCGAAGGATCACGTTTTGGGGCTGCTTCTTGTTCGACAAGTGTTGGAGTAATTACTTGGGACGGCTACCACAACTGCCCAACACAATCCTTACGGTTCCCAAGTTCGAAGTTTTTCCTAGCGAAGATGCGGAAACGTGGAGCGCAGTTACAGACTCGGGTCTCAGTCAAGCACACTCTCAGCCGAGTCGGACGCGTGCGGTCGCTCTCCAGATCTCTAAACTTTGCGAGATCTCGAGTGACCTGATGAACTCCTTTTACAACCCAATCGATATGGATAAAGTCAAGGGTAGACAGGCAGAGCTGAAGAAGCTTAGCGAGATACACATGCGATTAGAGACATGGAGAAGAGAATTGCCAAAGGAGTTAGAGCCGAAGGAAGGTGGTTTGCCACACATGCTTGTCATGCAGTAAGCATCGCCTTACGTATCATACATGAGCAGTCGTACTAACGTGGTCATAGTATGTTCTTCCAGCTGTTGTATATCCATCTCTTCCGACCGTTCCTCAAGTATAGTCCGAACAACTCCCCACTGCCCGCAACTGTATCGCCAAGGAAGCTGTGCACACAAGCTGCTGCCATGATCTCAAAGTTACTTCGACTGTATAAGCGATCGCATGGCTTGCGCCAGATATGCAACATCTGTGTATACATCACACACTCGGCATGTACGATACACCTTCTGAATTTACCAGAAAAGAACGCGAAGCGCGATATCATACATGGTGTCAAGCACCTCGAGGAGATAGCAGAAGGATGGCTCTGTGCTCGTCGGACGCTCGGTATTCTCAGCGTTCTGGCCAAACGCTGGAAAGTCGAGATGCCCGAAGAAGCTGCCACAGTATTGTCCCGGACTGATGCCAAATATGGCCCCTGGAATGAGATCAGCACGCCTAGAGCAAATCGCCGCGCATCCATACAGACGAGCACTCAGCACCCATCACCTGCAGACCAAGCGTCACCAAGTCTTCAACCATACAGTATGAACATGACAAACATGGCAACACCGCAGTTCCTTAACCGAGTAACAGCAAACACCAACAGTTCCGTAAGCAATGATCCTTCTGCTCGCCCTTCTAGCACCCACTCCATACCTCCCTCCGACGCAAACGCCCTGGCTTACATGCGCAATCAGCACCAGATCAGCACACCACAAAATTCATCATCCGCCCTCAACGCACCAACACCGGCCTCCACACAGGGTCGGCGCTCCGTCGATGGCGGACAGACTACTGCCGGAAACTCTCCAAGCCAGCTCTTCGGTGGTGTGGACCAGTTGTTACGGGAAGGCCAAGACTGGATCTATCGCGATCAGACACAGCTCGCGACTGATTTTGAGAACTGGAACCAGCAAGGCATCGACGATATCGCGAACTGGTTTGCCAACACAACCAGTCCAGCAGGTGCGTTCCAGGGTAACACCAACGCGCCTGTTATGAGCAATGAGATGAGTGGTGGGCCTGTGGGTGGCAGCACGGTCAACGGGTATACGAATGGGAACGGGAATGCGAACCCGAATCCGAGCCCAAGTTTAAATGGATTTGGCACAGGTGGCTTTAATGGTATGGGAATGCCGGGATTTACTTATGATGAACAGAGCTGGTACCAGTAGGCCAGGTCGAGGTATGGCTTGTTGTTGTATTGGAGTGGTACTGCAGCAGCAGCTGTCGGTATCATACTCTGTTTCTGGATTGCTTCTTGTGTGGATATAGGGAAGGGAGGACATGGAACCACTGTTGATTCATTAAGGGTATCCCAGGCGTCTACAACGGCGTCGCAATGTTAGAAATGAACTAATGATACACTTTGTATGCTCCAAAATCAAAAATCAAAAAATCCTTTAACCTTGTCCCACATCTTTCTGATCTTCCGTCGGAAGGGATGCCTCTGCCCCCACGCCGCATGCCTCGCCGCCCTATCCCGCAGCTCCTGAATAAATCGTATCTCTTCCTCCTCTGGTGCCTCAGGGCGCCTTTCTTCCGAAGAGAAGAGAGGCTCGAGCTCCCCATCTCTATCCCGGCTTACAATGGTGATCTTGCTTCTTTGGACATCCTCGCGCGTCACTCTCCGCACAGGGAGGAGATGAGCTGTGCTCAACGACGGATCTTCGTCTTCGGCGCTGTATGTGGCTCTGGAGGAAGTCGCACGGTAGGGTGGCTGCGGTGAGTACGCGGGATGCCCATCGTACTCTCCTAGATAATGTTGCGGACGCAAGTCTGGGGATTCATTGAGGGGACTTAGACGGTGGGGTCGGTATTCAGAAAATGCGTCCCGGATTCTGGGAGGCGACGGGGTGCACGAGTATCGGGCAGAGGTTGGACGGGAGAAGTTGATGCGGTCATAGTGCTGGGTGACTGTATCATTTGTTACTCAAGGGACGGCGATATAGGATGTTTGTGGTCTTACCTTCTAGTACCCTCGCAAAATCGCGAACGGCGGGCTGTCTAGTTGAAGTCGGAGGAAGTAGAGGGGTTATCGGACGTTCTCCAATGGAACTCGGGCCCTCTACCACAGGACTAAGCCTCGTTCTCTGACTCTCCCTCCTACCAACAGGAACACTGTCTTCTGACACCACACTCCCCAGCTCATCCAGACTAGACCTTGGTGGTAGTTGTCCCGATAGATCCCATTGCAGGTCTGGTGCATTTCTCAGTGATGGTGTTCGTCTTCCTCGGGGAAGACTGAGAACTCTTTGTACGACCTCGCCGCCTATGTTATCTTCTTCAAACCTCTGTCGACTAGGTGATGTTGGTGATTGGGGTGCTGTGGTGTGGCACTCGCTTGGGGCATGTCCATTTGGGCTCACTGACGGCACGCTGCCAGGTCTGGATGGTGGAAGAGGGACTTGGTTCTCAGGCCATGTGTCACTGTTGGCGCGCGATCTTACATTCAAGCTGTGCTGACGCGCGGCTGTTGCGTAGTCGAATGGGCTAGGTCGTGGTCTCGCCTGGGTCTGTTGTGCTTGTAGCTGGTCGCTGTTTGTGGGGGTTGGTAGTGTTGCCAATGGAGAGGAAGCTGAAGGAGCGGTGCCTGATGATACCCGAGAAGACCCCGTTTTGTGTGGCGTGCCGATTGCTGAATCGTGGGATGGGCTTTCGTCGAAGGACGGCGTTGGACTGGGTCGATTCATCGCTGGAGATGTAGGAGTTCGTAACAGTGAGTGTATATATTCTCAGTAGCGACGTGTGATGTGAACGTAGACAGTGAGCGCCACGAGATCGTTCAAGATTGTTGAAGAATAACGACGGGTGTTTAACAAATGCGTGCGGATAGAGTGTGTGGAAGTGATAGAAGACACCCATGTGGAAGAAGTAATGAGAGCCCTTTTAACAACCAGGCCTGCCACAGCTTTGTCATTGTCAATCATCGCAACTACCTACTATTGCACAGCCGTGCCTCCCTCCACATCTCGAACCGGCTCTTCAGGAAGTGCGAACATGGGCATCCTGCGACTTGGACTTCCTAAAGGGTTCTGTATGCCTTCCAAGGTCGCTGAGCTACGCCTTCTTACACTTTCTATCGACTGCTCGGACGTTGATGCAAGTACTTCAGCGGATGTGTTGTTTGCCTCTTCGACTTTCGCTCGTATACTAGCAAGCGCTGAGTCGTTGTTTTCGTAGGAGTTGTGGTTGTTGGGTGGTGATGGTTGTATATCTGGGGGAGCATGGTGCGACGACGATCCATGATTGGAAACTTCGGTATCACTGACTGGTATAGTATGACAATCCTGTGATTCTGTGTTTTGCTCTTTCGCAGGTGTGTTTTGCTCGGAAGGTCCTTCGCTGTCTGTCTTGGGTGTGGCTCGTTTTTGCCGCGCTCGTGCTATCAAGTCGTCGAATTCGGTTTTGTGTGACTTCGCATACCCATTGCCGTCAAAATCCTTCTTCATGATTTTGCTCTCTTTAGTGCCCGCCTTTCCACCGAGCGTCTGCTCCCATTCGTCTAACTCTCTCAGCAGCTGTCTTTTACTCTTCCGTACGCTCTCATCAGCGTCGCAGTTCGAGTTGTAGATGTTCAGCCACTCGATGTGTCGCCTCTTCATCAAGTCCTTTGTACCCCAGGTAGGTATGCCGATTTCTTGTAGCTTCTTGCGCAGCGCAGTCTCCTTCAACATAGCGTAGTTGAGCTGTGATAATCTGGTCGGCGGAGGCGATGGGTCTTTCTTTCGTATTTGGAAGGCGGGTGGAAAGGCGCTTTTAGTCCTGCAGTAAATCATAGTCAGCCGACTGATCTAGTAAGGAGGCGATATCTTTGCATACCTTGACCGAGTGCTGCGCCCCTGCGAAGCTTCAGGCCCAGTACATACGTCCAGATGATTGTAGACCAGCTCCGCCTTCATGGCCCTGTTGCACATTGGGCACTTGGCCATACCGTCTGGCATGAAATCTTCGTCGCCGTCGTCTTCGCTATCCGCGACCACCACTGGCGATCCATTTCTGTCTCCATTGCGCTGGCTTCTAGTTCGCGTTTGTCGCGACCGTGTATGCCTAACATTCTCCCCATCTTCCATATCCGTATCATCCAGTTTTCTCTTCTTCTTGCTAATTGCTGCAGTTTCCTCTTCCTTGTCTGCGCGCGCCAACTCCATAGCCTTCGGTCTCGCCTCTTGGAACCGCATCACCACTTCTCTGACCGCGATATTAGGCGCCAATTTGTCGCTGGAACATCCAGTCTTGCAGCTGGGACATTTCCCGTCTGCTGTGATGCATCTCCGTATACATATCGAACAGAACGTGTGACTACACGACGTGATGACAGGGTTGTTGTAGAACTCCTTGCAGACTTCGCAGCGCAACGCAGCCTCGAGCGGTTCGAAGGTGGGCAAGGATGTATTAATCCAATCGGTGGAGTCGGGGAGGTCGAAGGAAGAGTCCATGGGTCTATCGCAGACAGGAATCACTTGGGATGACAGGCAGTTGACAGACGTATCAATTTGGCTAGAATCCGACGCGCCGGCTTCGATCGCGTCACGTCGACCACGTGACTGCACTCGGGGTCTGATCGCTTTGTCATCAATGGAAGTGGGTCTCGATCGGGAAGTCGGGAAAAAGGCTAAAGCAGGTTGGTTTGACCTGCGCCGTTTGGACATGTTCCTGAATTGTACGTGGTTTTCTCATGCTGCTCGCAAGTTGAAGTCTTGGCTTGAGCAGATGCGAGTGAGACTGAGTTGGGTAAGAGCGTTTGCGCATACCCTTGGTTGCAAGACACAGATCAATGATGCATTAATCGTGCTTTCACTCTCACTTTGCACATTCTGAAAAGGTCCCCACATGTTACTAGTCTTTGTTATTATTCAAACCACTTGCTGCGCCCTAATGGATGTATCCTATCTCTCACATTGGCCAGACATACATGGCACAAGCGATTTATGAACGCCAGGCTATGCCAACTCCCTTCATGCTAGATTTCGTTTCCTCGTTACTGCTGTGTGCAGCCATCCCATCCGATAGCAGAAGCATGCTTTATCACAAGGGGACCGGATCACTACACCAGCATTATGCCCTCCAATATGCCTCTTCAGATCTTGAAAACGGTGCTCTTGCTCTTGATCCCATCGAACACACAGTTGTTATCAACAGGAACATATTGCTCTGTAATAGCCTTGATGATCTCCTGTGAAACGATCCCGCCCGCCAAGGCACCGATGTTGTGTAGTTCAGCACCACCCGCTCGCACACTGTGGTTTGGTCAGCCGACAAATTCCTGATATTATGCTGCAATGATGGTGTCAAGTATAGGTTGGTAACTTACAGCTCGCGTGCGTACTCTCCAATCTGTGACTTGATCGTGTCATATTCATCTTCTTCAATAGAGGCGTTTGCTTCTTTGACAAGATCGTTCGCGATCTTCAAGGCTATTCCTGTGAGCTTCTCTGAGTCGGTTTCGGGGTCGGTCTCTCCAGCGACACGGGGTGCTCCTCCTAGACCATCTTGGTAGTGTGTTGCAACAAACTCGTCCCAGGCTAGGAAAGCAATATACAGCGGGATCTGAGAGTCGGGAAAGGTGAGCATTTGAGCTATATCGTGTTAGCTCAGGTTGCGAATGTCTAAATTGGCTTACTCACCGATTGACTTCGCGCGGTCACCCCATTTGATCTTCTCGCCTGCTTGTACAACGTGAAACGGCCGTCCACGCACTAGTTTGATGTGTGCCGCGTTCTTGCAGAATGTCTCGATATCCTTCTCATCAATTGGCGTGCTTCGGTTAGCGTTACGCTCCAAGAAGCGGACGCTGTCTACCACCTCTGCCAGATCCTTTCGTGCTTTTGATTTGTACACGTTCTGCAGCTGGATGTAATCCGCCGACCGGGCCTTCATGTCGGGTACAGAGCCGGGAACTGGAAGGACGTTGTACTTGGTGTAGAACAGACCGATGGCGTTGGCAATTACCCAAAAGCTTGGTGAATCCTCGCGGACCAGAAGACATTCTGGCGCCGTAAAGATCTCTTTGACAGAACTGCTTGCTTGTGGTGGATTCAGGGACTTGAGGACTGCCGCCACTGCCTCGTCGAAGTTCTCTTCGCCACCTTCTGGGTTGTTGGTGTGCGCGGCTTGTGCTACCGATGTCCTGAACTCGGTCTTCTCCTTGTATGTTTGCGGCACCTCTCCGCCGTGGTCTTTCTTCCAGCGCTCAAGGAAGTGCAGCAGCAAGGCTATCCATGGCACATGCCCGTGATCTTCTGGCTTCATGTTGTCCAAGTCGGCCGTCTTCTCTTCCGCGTACTGTACGAGCTCTGGCCAAGGTCGTAATAGGCGCAGATCTGATGTGGTCTCGGGGCTAGGATGTGTATCTACGATGGGGAAGGCAGGAGGTAGGTGTACGGAGAAGTGGGCGTAGAAGCCGACTGAGTGGACATAGAATAGCGGAATAAGCGCGGCGCTTGCGTGGTTGGAGAGCTTAGCAAGGATTTCGGGACGAATAGGTGCGGTCGCGATGATGAGGGTATATGGTTGCAGAGCGTCAGGTTTCGCAAGCCAGGGTTCTATAGGCTACTTGGATCAGTGGGTGACGTGAGAAGACATGGTCTGGCCTACCTCTGTAATGAAATGGCCATCCACATCCGGGTTGAGTTCTTTGAGCAGGTTGCACGTATGTTCAGCCCGGTAGCCTCCCAGATGCTGGTCCTCTAGGAAGAAGTTCACGCCTAGATCTGCTTCGCTCACGATAGCAGAGTCCTGGATCGTGAAGTTGCCGATGCAAGGAAGCACGAGGTTCTTGAGTGTTTCTACACCAACAACACCTGGGCCGGAGTTGATGAGCAGGATATGCGAGTTCTCAAGTGCGATTTGGCCGGTAGCTCCCCAGAGGCGCAGTTGGCGGTCATATCTGGTCTTGTTAGAAGGTAATCGAGCAGAATGTAAATGCACGAGAAACCAGAGACTTACTTCCTCTCTTTGGCAGTCGGGCCCTGGATTGGAGGCGGAAGATCCTCCATTGTCGCGACTTTTGTACGACGAGTGTGAGGGCGAGAGAGATGTTTGCTCCAACACGACTGGGAGCTCAAGCTGCCAGGCACCAAACGCGTGCTGTCAGCCCGCGCGCTAAGGCAACATCCCTGTCGCGGGGTATCGGTGCTGGTGGGGCTCAAATCGTCATTTTGGCCGAACCCTCAATCATCTCGTCACGAGCAAATCATTCATTCCGTGCCGTCTCGTCGCGACTCTTGGTAAGATTTCAATTGACTTGATCGTTGCAAGTAAATTTGTATCTTGGTTCATGCCTTTGAAGCTGAACCACGTCTGGGCGGCCAATATAAATCAGCAAGCGCGCAGCATCAGTCATCTCAAGTCTCGACTGCCCCTCCGACCACTGTCAAATTCTAGATTACATATACAGCCGTCTAAAACTTACAACACCGGCAAATTTCCTTCTGCAAAACCTCTTCAGTCTCGCTATCCCTCCTGCAGAGCTTTCCACACCACGGGATTCCTTAGTCACGCCAAAACCATGACCGACACAACCGTTGAAGCCGCAAAGCGCGCTGCCGCACACCAAGCAGTAGCGGATCATTTCGATCCAGCAGCCACCCACGTTGGAATTGGCTCCGGAACAACCATTGTATACGTCGTCGAAGCCATCAAGGAGCGCTCCACGAATCCCAACATCCTCTTCGTACCCACAGGCTACCAATCGCGCCAACTCGTAGTCAACGCCGGCCTAACTGCCATCTCCTTCGACAGTCTCCCCGATCACGTAATGCTCGATGTCGCTTTCGATGGAGCCGACGAGGTCGATTCGGAACTCAACTGCATAAAAGGAGGAGGTGCATGCCTGTTTCAAGAAAAGCTAGTCGCTGAGCGCGCCAAGAAGTTTGTTTGTGTCGCAGACTACAGGAAGAGACAAGATCGTCTGTTGACCAACTGGCCAACGATACCAATCGAGGTTGCGCCGCTGTCTCAGCTCAAGGTCGCTGCTGCGCTTAAGATGCTTGGTTCAACGGGTCCTAAGCTAAGGACTACGCTACTCGAGAAGTCTGGGCCCCTGAAAACGGATCAGGACTTTTACATTATCGATGCCCCGTTCCCCGCACTGCTCACTTCCGCCGACGTCGCAGCTGGCAAAGGCAAGGGCGACGGAACAGATGGTACATGGGAGGTCAACACTATCAGCAAGGCGATCAAGGGCTTGACTGGTGTATTGGAGGTTGGCATCTTTTCTGGTCTCAACGGAATCGATGCGCAGCAACTTCGCGAGCAGGATCAGTTGACCAAGACCGTACGGGGTGGTCAGAAGCCTGTCGCTGTCTACTTTGGCATGGAGGATGGAAGCGTCAAGATGCGGACAATCGAGGGAGAGAAATAGGCATGTAGCCCATATAAAGCGTAAAGAGTGCAACAGGTGAACATGTATCATTCGTAGCTGGAAAGCGAACCTTATCCCAAACAGAGCTCATGGGCTCGCGAATTGCCTTCGCAGAAAGTAACCTTCTTTTCTTCTCTTTTCCTTTCCCCCATGCAGGAGTACCCATTTACAAGGCAGTAGCAGTCACGTAAATTGTCGTGGTAACAACCTCAACATCCGTCACAGTGACGCACTTCCATCCCTTGGGGCACGACGCCTCAGTCGGCGCAGGCGCGTTCGCAGACGAAGGACCGACGGTAATGGTAGAGACGGGCACCTTGGAAAAGGTGGTTGGCTTTGTGGGCGCCGGAGGAGCAGCCGAGGCCTCAACGATAGGGGGGCTCTCGTACTGGTCGTCCACTGTAGGCATGGGTGCAGCAGGTGTAAGCTTGTCAGCTACAGGCGTAGGAGTAGCTTTCGCAACCTTCTCTTCCTTCTTCACCGAGCTAGTCTTTGGCGCAGCATCCACGACACCACCACCTACAGTGGCCATGATCTTGCCAACATCAATGCTCTTCTTAACGGGAGTAAGGATCTTGCCCTTGTTAGGGGGACCTTTGAAGTTCATAGCTGTGCATTGAGCATTGATGTCCTTGCACTTGTCCTGCCAGATCTTGCAGCCTGCGTTGCCGGTTGCGGGGCTAGTGTTGAAGCACACATCGCTCTGGTCCCAGCAATCTGTGGCAGAGGCCCAGCAGCCCTTCTCCGTATCGTACGAAGGGACTTCCTTGCCGCACCAGTTTGCGTTCTCCATGATGCAGCCCTCGGGCTTCAGACCATCGGCTTGAGTGGTCGAGGCCTTTTGTGTGCTGCCAGCTGTGAGCTTGGCGACCTTGGGGCCAGGGACCACGTATTCGCTGCCGGGTGTGTTGTAGATATTGAAGTCAGTAGACGGCTGACCGTACTTCACGTAGCCAGGGATGGAAACAGTGCTCTCAGGTACTAGGTTTCCGCTGCTCTCAAGGAAGATCTGCGCGCAACCAGTGTAGAACTGAGGGTCATTGTCGTTTGCGGCATGGAGAGCAAGGATCTCGGGGCGGGCAAGATAATCACCTCCCTCAAGGCCCTTGGGAAGGTTCACGTTCAACAGACCCTTGTTGTCGATGATCTCGTCAGTGCACCAGCGGTCTGTGGACGCGTCGTAGCCATGGTCGAAGATCTTGAACCAGCCATCACCAGCAGCCTTGTCGGTGCTAGCATCGGCAACCTTCTTCAGGTAAACGGCACAAGGACCCTTGTGGCCACGGTCAAGGCGCTCCTTGCTAGGGTCGTTGGGCCATGAACGGATCTCGAACGTGAGCAGGGCACCATCCTTAACGGGCTGGACGCGGGAGACTCCTTTGGTACCACCGACATCTAAGGATCGATCGTTAGCGTTGCATCGGAAAGAGTGATGTAAAAGAACCTACTGCAGGCCATGTCCTCGCTATCGAGACTGGCAATGGGGCTGCTGGCTTTCGCAGCGTTGGGGTTCATGCGGATGGCAACACCATCACCCTGATTTCTGTCAGTATATACTACGTATGAAATGACTGGCAAAACAAACTTGAGGCATGCCATCGACGAAGAAGTCGGTGAAGACGGTGTGGGCAAGGGCAACAGGGGCCGAGGCCAGAGCGGCGAGAAGCATAGATTGGGTCTTCATCGTGACTGTTTTTCGATTGTTGTTCGTAGTAGAGGTATTGTACTTGTATTTTTCGACAAGATATCTGTGATAGTATGACACACGGCGAGGACGTTTGGTCACTAGGACTCAATGTGCAGAAGAATAAGTGAATGAATGAATAGGCCGACTAGCGACACTGAAGGAATGGAATGAGCAGCAAAGCGCCCTAGAAGGAGAGACAGGAAGTTGGGTTTTGAAGAGAAGATCTTCGTGTGGTCAAAGGTGAAGAAGAAAAGCCAGTTCGAGCGCGGCGGCTCGTAGCTTTTGATTCAGATGAGCTCAGCCTAGACCAGTGGTGCATATCCGCCGTATCATCAGTACACCTGACTCCTACAGACATCGATATCCCTGTGTTGTGCATCCGCTTTGCCGCCGCTACGGATTTGGTTCCTTGCAACAGATCGCAGGGCGTTCGAGCCCGCTGTTCTGTTTCCTAGCAGTAACGCTGGATTCCGAAGATGCAGTCAGCCTCAGGCACCATCGGCCAATCAAAACACAATTGAGGTTGTGCCGCTGAAACATGAAACACAAACGAGCTATTTTAGCGGGACCCTAATCGGGGTTTTGGCAAGCTCACCCGCTAGATGGCGCTTTCTCAGACGACACTAACTCAGGTACCGCGCCTTCATTAAACAACTTTGCGCCTTTGCGGGTCGATCTCGTTGTCGGCCATGTGCACATGAAGCCGCCGTAGAACGTCAGAAGCGGGGTTATCGATACAGACTGCCGATGCCAGGAGTGAGCGCATCCACTCCTTTCCTGGGCGCTACCCATCGTCGAACATGGTGAGTTCTACGAACTTTGGTTCAGGAGGCAGCTTGCGGTGTTGGCGGATTAGGCTGCCAGTAATGTAATTTCGCGAACCATCCACATTGCAAATCTCGGCCTGATGCCAAGAGTACCCGCAGCTTCTCCTGGGGTCATGTAGGATGCCAAATTGCGGCGAGGTCCCACCCTTGAGAGTGTTTACACTGCAAAACACAATCTGGCTATTAGACGCAAACTATGAAAACAGACGTTTCGTGATGTCACCGTACAGGAGGGCGGGCAATTGTGATGATATACGTCTTGTCTTGGAGGCGTGCACATATGGTTTCCTGCTGCTGGCTCCCCGTGAAATTATGAGTTGTGCCACAACGAATTGGCCTGATAGCCGTCGTCGGTTCCCGAATCTCGCAGGACTACCCTGGGGCCGAGAATTATCGTCGCTGTTGGTTTTCAAAAAGAACAACAAAACAACACATCAAAGCTGCCCGGGTAGCCCTGGCATGTCACGACTTCAAACGTTGGCAGACCCCAACCGCTCCTTTAAAACGCATGTACCATACCCGACTGCCAAGGCACAGAGATGTAGTGGAAGCGCAAAAGTATCCTACTTCTCGTGGAGTGCATCGGATGCCAAAAATCGACAAAGAGCTCCTGCGGAAAACCCCAGGCTGATGCTGATGCTGCAGTATAAAGCAGCAGAGTCATGAGCGCGTCGTTGACTGGCTACAGCCTCCAAATCGTTTCAATATCCCGTGTTCAATGGAAGACATGCCGCGCAACTTAGCCGTACGATGGCCTCTTGAGAGTCGGTGATACATGGGGAGATTGCGGGTACACGTCCATGCTCACATGCTGCACATTTTGCGTTGACCCTGGAAGGGCTGCCTGTGCCTCCGCTCTCTCTAGAATACCCTTGATGACATTCCTAAAATTGGTCGAGTCTCGGAAGCCTGGCGCCACATGTTGTGTCACCGCACCGAACCTTCGTGTGGCCCACTTTACGTCCGAAACTTTGATCCCATAAACATGACGGAATGGGAGCTTGCTGAAGCAAATCTCAATACCTTCAGAGAAAACCACGCCCTCACGCTGCTGATTGAGGCAGCATAGAATGGATGGCTGTAGAGGTGAAAATACGAAGTCAGTGTATGTCTCATATGCATCTCGTACAGTCACCACTTACCTCATATCCATGTTCAGCATGCTCAATCCCTATCTCGCGAAGGCCTTGCTTCACAGCATCTATCAACCATTGGCTGCCTCTTTTAGTCAAAAAATGCAGTTTCTTTGAGTCGCCCAGTGAGTTGGTTGGCAGCTCACGCTCAGACAAGCGTCTGCCGATGTAATTCGCCATTCGTACAGTATTCATATAACGATCCAGTTGAACAGCGTCCGTAGGGCAGAAAAGAGGATCCCAAGGCAGTGGCCATGAGCTCAAAGAAATCAGAGGCCCCAGGAGAAAGCCCTCTGATATCATGAGAGCGTACGTTGGCCGAGGCGCTATAGTGAATGACGGACGCCTCCCGGGATGTGGTGGCATTGCATCGTGACCAGCAAATCCAGGCGTCTCGTAGACATGGTGTTTGACAGACATCATTAAATTGCTCTTTTCAACGACGTTTGTAGATGCGAAAATACTGGTTGGGTCCAGATTGAGCTTGAGGGAATTCTCGATTCTCTTGAATACCCACAGCCAGTGGTCGACGAGCTTTATCTCAGCAGCCACTTGTCGAGTACGGTCGCGTGCTACACCGAAGCGCCCAATAGACCCTTCATAAGCAACACTGTATGCAAGAGCGGCGTTCGTATGTTCCTGCGTGTGCAGACATACGTCTCCTAGCCACCGTGCGGCAGCTATGTCACCATCATCCAGGTTCTGGCGATTGAGATAAATTCCGTTGAACACGCTTTCGAACATACGTTTTGCTTTGGTAAACTTCCCAGTATAGGAAGCGCAGACTCCAAGTAGGTGTCTAAGAATGCGTCGATCAGGCTGGGTCCCAGACGTGCATGTTTGTCCACGTTCTACAGCGGCCAACTGGTCTTCGAGGAGTTTTTCTGCCGTGACGAAGTCACTCTGAGACCACGCAGCCACAATCCGGTGTGCCGTCCATTCAAGGTCTATCGTGACTGATATGTCTTTTTCATAATACGACGGAGGCGCAGCAGATGTTTCTGTCACATCTGTGACTGAAGGCACAGATGGGGGAGGTCTGGTCGGCTCCACAGACACTATCGTAGCGGGATTGTCCACGGGTATAACGGAAACCGCAGCGCTTGGAGGCGGGACTAGGACGCGTCTAGTCGCGGAGCCTGCGGGAGTTGCAGGCAAAGACGATGGCTGTGGTTCCATATACAGCGACGAGGCTTCTGATTCGGAATGCCATGAAGACGTTTGCAAAGAGGTGGTAGAATGGCCTCGAGCGGTAGCTGAAGGAGCTAGGTAGATAGGCTGGTCTTGTGTTATCGGTGGGCTTGATACGAGAGGGTGCTCTGCAAATGGAGCTGGGGAACTTCGATGCACAGGCGTATTGATGGCCGGTACGTCAAGTCTATGCGATTGTTCCTCGAAGTCGAATTCGGGAAGAGCTGTGCCAAGATCTTGCGGCATAGTTGCAAAGAACCCGTCCTCTGGCCGCTCTTCCAAGAGCCTCCCTTCATTGACAGCTTTAACAAGCCAGTCTACAATGACATCTCGGTAACTCAAAGCCTGCTGCTGAGAAACTCCCACATCTTCGAGATCGCGGAGGATCTGACTCCACGCTTCCCCGTCGTCTTCGTCGTTATCCGCTATGCCCCCAGATGTGAGCCTTCCAATGGAAGCGATGCTTTCTTCGCGATGGCCGCCTTTGTAGTCCTTCTCCAACCTCTCCAACGCTTCCAGTATAAGAACCTGGCTATCGTGTATCAAGGACGTGTAGAAGCTATTAAGCATCGACACGCTGGCGATAAGGCGCTCTCGTAGATTTCGCGAACGGTCGGGGTCGTACTTGAGGCGGTCCCATGCGCGCTTACTCTTCGTATCGAGCCCGTTGTAGTGCAAGACAAGCTTGTCTAACTCCTCGAGTACTTCGATGCATGGTTCGTACGCATCGATAAGCTGCTGTCGCTTGTTCTCGGGTATCTTGTCATACTTGTCTTGTATGTCCTCGAGTAGATTAGATAGCGTTCTAGCTTGCGACGTGAGAGTCTTGTATTCGCCCGAGCAGTCGCGACCTGTCTTAAGTTCAGCTTACTGAGAGCTACGAAGCGTGGGGCAAAGCGGACAGTTCTTGTATACCCTGCCAGCTAGCTCGCATAGCTTGAGAACATCTCCAATACTGATGCCGAAACTCATCCTCTTAGCTAGTGGAGACGTTGCACTGCCAAAATGGCGCGGCGCATCGCATCACCGGCAACCATTTCACGTGTAGCAAGGCGAATGTATACGGCTGGAGGCCTGATCGTGTGGCTTGGAGGGGGACTACTTGATTGGAAGTCGGGACGGGAAAGAGCTCAGCTCGCCCAAACGATGCGACAGCACCTGCAGGTGGGCAGGCCGCAGATAAGAAAACAAGGTGTATAGCTTCATTTCGTTTATGTTCATTTTGTCTCGTTCAGCGATTTGCATATAGTTATGGTATTGTATCGCATACTGCAGATGCTAGAGTATGGGTTCAAAGGACCCCTTGACGTCACCTGACGGGAGACACGTGCACTAGATCAAATGCGACTTAGTCCAAATTCTCACATCCAGATGTTGTGGTATCGTACAGTGGTCGCACAACATCGAAGTACAATACAGACGGCCTTATCGCGCAGCAAGAATCAACGCTATATTTGCTTTTACCTTAACCTCCTTCTCAAAACTATGATGCTCGCTCTCAAACATCGGAAAGCCGCATCACAGCTATGTCCATTGAGCTCCATAAACGTCTCAGGCGACTGGTGAATGACAGCTAATGACACACACATTGTTTACATTCATGTATCTGTTTTGTGGCGGAGACTATGCTCAATGATCGCTGTTAGAGAAGGGATAGTGGGTATAGACCAGACAACCGGCATAAAGCTATTGTACGTCTTCAAGCTCATACGTTGGTTCAAAGATGGTGCAGAACACAAGTGCTTTCATAAAATACCGCATTGTGAGACTGGTATATTGCTATCTGCGTCAAAATGTTCAGCCCAAGTTGAACTCGCTCGCCATACCCGCATGACGCATAAACTTCTCCTTCGCACGAACCGCCTTCCTCATCTTCGCCGCCTCGTCCGTATCCTGACCCTCCGGAAGATCCAGATCCACAACCGCCCTCTTCGACGCACCAGTATCAGCCTTGCGACTGGCAAGGTCCACCTTCGCACCACCGCGCACCCTGGCAGGTGTCTTGTCGTTGCGTCCAGCACCTGTTCGTTGTCCCGGAATTTTCATTCCAGATGGTCGCTCACGGAGAGCGAAGGCCTTGGCCAAATGACCTAGGTGAAGCGACTTGATGTCGAAGTATTGGCGTTCGTCAGCAACGTGAGTTGCGTACGCGCGAATGTGACTCTGGAAGGCTCTTCGGGCGGCTTCAAGGCGAGCGGGGGATGCTAGAGCCCAACGCTCAACCGCAAGCTGGAGGTCGGTGGCTTTGTCCATGTAGGCGTTCTTCTCCATTACTCCGCTTGTTACCAGGCCTCGGTTGAGGATATCGTCGGCGTCTTGACGTGAGATGTGGACTCCAGCTTCTGTGTCTTTCCTATCTGACTTGAGGATATCGACGTAGCCTTCTTCAGTTCCGGGCATCAAGAAAATGCAAGCCCGTCCGTCGCGACCTGCACGCGCGGTACGACCGATACGATGCAAATGGTCCTCCCGGGCGAAAGCAGGATCAAATTCGATGACTAGGTCGACGTTCGGAAGATCGAGACCACGAGACGCGACATCGGTAGCGATGAGGACGGAAGGGTACTTATTCTTCGTAAATTGAGCGAGTGTTGATGTTCGCACGGATTGTTGGAGTGAACCGTGGAGACGATATGCTGTTACTGTGTGCGTCTTTGCAGAGAGTACGGGTGACTCTGCACCCGTTACTGTGAGCTTGGTCGGGTCAGATTGCGCTATCGCTTTTGCTTTCTTTGGCTTCTTCTCTGTGCCTTCAACTGCCTCCTCGACCTCTTTCTCCTCTTCTTCTGTGTCTTCCTTCTTCTTCGTCTCGGTGATCCCTTCAATTTCGCTGGTGAGCATGTCAAAATGAAAGTCGACAGAGTCAGCACACGAGATGAAGACGATGGCCTTCATCACCGATCCTTTTCGTGCGAAAGCCCGCTTCAGATAGGCTATCAAAGATACTAATCTGAGCTTCGGTGCCACCACTGCGTATGACTGCTTCAATTGCGCTGGTGCAAAGAATGACTGATCGTCTTTTGCCTCGACCGTTTCTGCTCCCTTTTCTGATGGATCGGCTCGAATGTGTACTGCGTCTTTCAGACTTATCTGTCCAAGTCTCTCCACGTCCATTTTCATGGTCGCAGAACAGAGTACTGTTGTGCGCTTCTCCGGCAGCCCAGGTATTCTCGAATGCTCGTCTTTCTTTGCGCGCATTCGTAGATTCAGTGCGCCTACAATCTTCTGGATCTCCTGCTCAAACCCGAGCTCCATCAACCGATCGCCTTCGTCCAGAACAAGCCACCTGACATTGCTCACATCCAAAGCTTCTGTGTGCTCCAGGTGATCGACCAACCGACCCGGTGTCGCGACCAAGATGTTGATGCCCTTCCGTAATCGTGCCTTTTCAGACTTCTTCTTCTCACCACCAATGACGGTCGTAGCCACAAGCCAATGCGCGCAGCCTAAAATCTTCTCTAGTACGGTCGCAATTTGCTTGCTTAACTCGCGTGTTGGCGCCATGATGATGGCAAACAGACCCGAGTTTCTCTGTACATTGTCGTCGACTTTCCGCTTCCTCATGTTCGCGGACAGCTCCATAAGTCTTTGCACGATTGGTAGCAAGTATGCCAGCGTTTTTCCCGAACCAGTCTCGGCCTGTATGAACGCATCTGAGTCGTCTTTGACGAGTTGTGTTATCGCGGCCTTTTGAATCGCGGTAGGCGCCTTCAACCCCATCTTATTTAACAGGTGCGTCGCCAGCGTCGTAGACATGCCAAGAGATGTGAAGGTATCCAGCTCGCTGCTGAGTGGTGCGTTAGAAGGTTCAACGGACGCATCGTCTTCGCGGCGTTCGTTCGCTTCCGGCTTCGTCTTTGATGTGGGATTGTAGGTGAACAGCGAAGAAATGACCTGCTTTCCACCCTTTGGTGCATTATTCTGCTCGCTTGGTCTCTTCGCAGGATTCGGGTTCGGGTTCGATTGTGGTCTGAAATTGGCATCGTCTGTCTTTTCGGTCGTCCTTGGCCTAAAATCCCCGCTCACACGCGCTCGCTTTACGGGCCTGTCGCCAGCATCGGGAAACTCTGGACTCTTGGACACGCGTGCCGTCCTTGGGCCTAGCTCTATGCGGTTCACGTTTGTCGCATTATCAACCGTCTTCTTCGGTACAGTCTCGCCGTTTAGTCGTGCTGTAGCCTTTGTATGCCAGTTCTGGGCCGCCTTCTTCGCAGTGAGCCGGCTCTTCCAGTTGCCGCCCTTGAAGGTCGGTTTCGCTATTATGCCGCTGTCTGGTATGGAAAAGTTGAGGAGCATGCCATCGTCAGCCATCTTGTCCTATGTCGTCGCGTGTGGTCGTGAGTACGGCGGGGTGTAGATGCGAAAGAGTTCGAAATCTCGAACCTGGGATCTTTTTAGTGGGGCACTAGGCTTAGATGGGCTTTCCCCCCATGATGGGACCTTCAGCGCAGAAACGAGTCGTCTTGACCTTTCTCAACTTGATGACCATGGCTGCCCTCTCGCTGACTCCTTGCGCATCGTCCGCTTTCAAGTTGCGAGGGGACGCTTCTCGCATCCTCCCCATTTTTGCGCGATCCAACGGCTAAGAGAGGGCTCTGTCCGCGACACCTCCGCAACTCTCCGCAATGGCATCACTCCGTTTTGCTGCCGGTAAATGTGCTCCTCGATACAGGCCATTGAACCAAACAATTAACACTATGCAGTGCCGATAGTACGACGATGCCTCTCAAGAAGCTCTCCGCGTCCATTACAAGCTCATACAAGCCATGGCATCCGGTGCCTGGCTACGAGCCCATCACTGCGTAATACCTCGTCAGCAGCGCAGATGCAAATCTTCCGCGATGTCGCGCCGTTGCGCGACTACAGCCGACGTCTTCGCTCCGCCAATCGCACAGTTGGCCTTGTCCCAACCATGGGTGCCCTACACGAGGGCCATGTCTCGCTCATGCGACACGCAGCCGCTGAGAACACCGACGTCTTCGTCACCATCTACGTGAACCCTACACAGTTCGGACTGAACGAGGATCTCGCCTCATACCCGAAGACATGGGAAGCAGATATGCAGGTGTTGGAAAAATTGAACCAAGAGCTGGCAACCGCAAACCAGGGACGTGTAACAGCTGTGTTCGCACCAACCACAAAGACAATGTACCCTACACTGCCGCCCGATAGCAGTATACCGGGTGCAGGAAGCTTCATCGAGATGCGCCCGCTTGGCCAGCTTCTTGAGGGCGCGTCAAGACCTGTTTTCTTCCGCGGCGTAGCAACAGTCTGTATGAAGCTCTTCAACATCTGCGCCCCAGATCGCGTCTACTTCGGCCAGAAAGATGTCCAGCAAACCCGCGTCATAAAGCGGCTGATTCAAGACTTCCACTTGGACATGAATCTGCGCATTGTTCCTACCTCTAGGGAATCAGACGGACTTGCACTATCTTCGCGCAATGTGTATCTCGGTGCACGGCGTCGCAATGTTGGCATCGTTCTCAACCAAGCGCTTCGCAAAGCAGAGCTACAGTACAAAAATGGTATGAGGCTTCGGAACGACGTCCTCTGGCCTGCGTTCGACCACGGCGACATGACACTGCTCGAGCAAGAGCAGATGGAACCCAGCAAACGCGCCAAGTTTGAGGTCGATTACATTAGTCTTGCAGACCCTGACACCATGGAGGAGATTGATCAAATCGACGATTCGAAAGGTGCCATTCTCAGTGGTGCGGTAAAAATGCTGCCGGTCGAAGAACCGCAAGACGGTGAGGATTTAGGTCAGCTGGATGCTGAAGGTCGTCAGGTACCTGTGCGCTTGATTGACAACATAGTTTTGGACCCAATGAGATAACCAAATCTCATGTATACAGCTGGTTATGAATGAGAAGGGATGCATCACATTCAGGGGTGCGAGTATCTGATGTAATTGTAAATGCACTGCACTGCCTGTGTATCCATCGGATGCTACAATAGCACCGGACTGTTCCTGAACCGATCTGTTCTCGTCATACATCTTGTCATGACATGTTCGTATAGTCCCCTTGCATCTCGGTTTTGCTGGGACTTTCTGATCACAAGAACTGTTGCTCCCTCTTATTACTACAAAGCGAATACTATTGGAGACCCAGACTGCAACCTTCCGGCACACGATGCCCCTTTGCGGGGGCGACTTCACGCACTCGTAACTGATAACAAGCGATGTCTCAACGCATAGTCACTCCATACTTTGCCTCTTCTAGTTCATTTCCAGATTTACCTTAGTTGCCGGCCTCGTCAATCCGTATCTGCATGATATCATGGAGGCTACAGAGAGAGGCGGTGGAGGAACAAGAGAGGAAGATGGTAGTGGAGTTGTAGGCAGTTTACTTGAGGTGCGTTATGCCAACGCTTTGCTTCTATGAACACATGGGATATACGTAAGATGCAGGATACATTCACAAATCGAGCAAAGACCAAGCATGCGGAGTAGCGGACGGAGAACTGAAACGCAGGCTTTCAACCTTCTTCTCACTTGTTATGCAACGGGTGTATCACGTCAGGATGTAAGAATATAAGGCGTGGTTAAATAAGCATATTTCTAAGAAACGTCGTGGTAAACGATTATTGCGGTAGCCGTTCTTCTGAACTCCACAGAGGAATCAGAGTATACCTACGCAGTCAACTCCACATCAACGAGTACCCAAGCTGTCACGCGCGTACTCTCCGCTGTCTGACCCGACATGGTGAGATGTGATGGGAGCGTTGCCTTGAACATGTCCACAGGTTGGATTCGCTTGCCCGTGTGTTTAGTTATGGGTTGTTGTTTCTTGTAGATTGCTATTAAGATGAAGAAGGACTTCATTCGCGGTTCGGAATAAAATGTACACGGAACGTGACATTGTGAGTGGCTTTGAAGAGACGAGGCCTCCAAGCATAGGTCGGCCCGTGAAAACGAACTGCAAGCCGTCTTCAGCTGCTCCAGAAGGTCAGTACACCGAACTCATCAGCACAAACCTGTTCTTCGACACGTCTGTTTAAGCTTTCGGTCGTTCCCCTACTTCGAATGCTCACTTTACCAAGAACCGCTTCATCTCCGTGACTGCAGTCTGCAAGCCATTGTAATCCTTCATCTTCGCCTCTACCCGTCCGCCCGTCTACCACCAACATAATCTCATCATAGATATCTTACGCACAGCATCATCGAAGCCGTAGACCCCAGCGGCCCGCATATCCACAAGCAAGCCTGCTCCTCCACCACCAACATCTCTTTAAGCGCCGGCAATGCTAATCAAAGATCGTCCCTGCATGCTTCCATCCTCTTTCCAGAAGGTAGCTGGAAGAGAGAATGCTAATTTTGGTGACGGGTGGCTTGACGTGGTTGTCGTATAGCTGTCCGATTGGTGGATAAAAGGCTTTGTGGCGTTCCCGAGTACCGGTGGGAGATTTCAGAGTGATAGGCGGAAGTGAGAGGCTTGATACATGTTTAAGAGATGCTCCGGCGGTTTTCAGCTATGTGGAAATACATCTTCAACATCGGAGATGACATGCGAGATGTGGAGATAATGGTGTGGCAAGTGGGCTGAAAATATCAGTTGAGGATTGCGGATGGAGTGTGAGCATGACGGGAATTCTGGGAAGATGTTTCGACGGAGAAGAGTAGGGAAACTTCGGATAGAAAACAGAGGAGAAGAGATACTCAGAAAGACACAAAAACAACAAGACGGCCTCGGAAACAGACGGTGTGCTCGATCGATGAGTTACGATGCTCCCCCAGCACGGCGCATGTTCCAGATACCAACGCAGGTGCAAAGTCATGTTTCCTGATAAGAAGTATGAATACAAGCAACAAGCGTGTGGAAATGATGCGACGCTTGCGGCTGATTTATTGGAACCGTTTCATCATCGTCATGGCACGTACGTAGTGACCGACTGGGCACTTCACCCTTCATAGACATGTCGGGGGCTAAGATTGTCTAGTCAACCACACGAAACAGAGTGTAGGGTTGAAGAATTTACAGAGACTTTGAAGAACGAGGTTGGAGATACGATGAAGAAAGCGCACATGAAGTGGCCGTAAGGTTAGTGGCACGGTAACGTCATCTTCAAGATCGAGCAGAGCCCAAGCTCCAAACTTCATCGTTGCGCTTATGTCGCGTCTTTAATTTACTCGTCTCAGGAATAATGCAAAATCAATGCGTCAGTTTTCGCCAAACATGCTACAGTAACCTCTCAACATACTGATATGTCACCAGACGCTGTCTGAGGCTTCCAAATGCTTACTATTCGGTCCGAGATCCAGTGAAAACCCTCACCTGGATCACCTTCAAATTATTCTGCATACTTACAGTTACGCGACCATATTACGAACCTGATGGCTACTAGTGAGCTCGCTGCTCTGATAGTGCTATAGCTGCGGCCTCACGTATACCTCTATATTTCATCTTTTAAGATCCCCACAAGATGCGTTACGTTCTTCATAAACTGATTCAAGTCTAGTGTTTCTACGCCCTGACGCTGCCCCGTACAGAAAGACGCGCGGGATTACAATATAGTTTGAGCACATGTAGCCGGACGAAGGATCAACCCTAAAGGTCTTTCGCAGCTGCACGACCGATGTTTAGATATTGGCATGTTTGTGCTTCGCATATAGCGATCCGCTCTGAGCCAGGATCCACACCCTGTACGACCATGCTTCTCCGCATTCCGCTTCGTCGCCGCAGGCAGCCTCCTCTTGGAAGACCACGGCTAAGGCTCTGAAGCTTACCCCTTTCAAGCTTCAAACAATGATGAGGCGAGAACACTGCAATGGGAGGTAACTTTGAGTTGCTGTCCTATGTAGTAGTCGTAAAGACTTAGCTTACACCTCGGACCAAATGACACTCTGCTGTGTGGGGTTGCGGACCACGTGGATCCATCGAGGCTGTTTGGTTTTCGTGAATCATTTCAACCACGATATCGCACCCTAGCAAACCTGGGGAATATTACCGGTAACCCTGCAGTTTTCGCATACCCCACATCTTAAGTACAAGGTCAAGGCCGCAAATGGCATGCTTAACAATTCTGCACCATGGCGATACCAAGATCCAAGAAAAAGCATAGTTTCGGAAGGCTTCTCGAAGGCCTTAATTACTCGTGGAGGCCAGGGCCGGTGGTCCACGAACCTGTTCATCTATTACAGACTAATCAAGGGTGCCTGGTATGACCTTACAGGTAGCTATTGGTAGCTATAGGTGTCTGTAGGGTACCTCGCTATATCGACAATTCTCTGTTATAGCATCGTCCTACCGACTATATGTGCGCGCCGTACATCGATCTGTCTTCCCCTGGGCGTGACGCAGAGGCTGACTCTTGTGTCTGACGCAATTGTGTTAGCACGATCGCTTATGGCATTCCGCTCACTGCTCGTCGGGCGGATAGGCACCCGATACTGCTAGGGTCACGTCCTGCATTCAAAGTATGATCTTGAGATGTCATTTTTGACCTTCCCATCGTTGACTTCTACCCAAAGCTTCTCGAGATGACAACTCGGGAGCAGAATGACAATAAGAGCGACTTGAGTAACGACGACAAGTTCCATCGAGGGGACGCGCGAAGCGAAGTCTACAAAGTTGCGTAGGTATACGCGACGCTTGCATCGCGATCCCGCACATCTACAGTAGCCCGAGTCTAGTCAAGCATGGTCGGCCGAAAGTCTAGATGTAGCTCCCGATACCGAAAGGTTCAGGCCAAAGCCATGCAACCATTATCAACCCAATTATTGTCTGTAGAGGACCCGATTGGCCACAAAAAGAGTTTCGTCAATAAAGGACATCACTGGCGTCTCCTCTGCACTAGTGACAGCTGTCAACTGTCCAGTATCTCGGAAAGGCGAGATTTCTGCAGGTGCTAGGGCCGCGCCGCTATTGTCCTTCATGAATTTACGAACAGGTAGTCTCGAGCTGCCTGCGCGCGCTCGCTTGACCCGAAGTGGCTCTCAGAGCCTGCCAGCGCAGCCTTGGTGGCCACTTTCGGAACCAGACTCCAGCACCCCATGTGCTAGTGAAGTAGTTGCTTGATCTGGCTTTACTGCTTTGGTATGCTAGACTGCGTTGGAAGTTTAACCAACTAAGACATCGAGCAACGACTTCGGAGTGCTCTGAGCTCAAACCGACAATTACTACCTAGGGACAAGGAGGCTAGTAGCGCACCAGTGATGCCGAACGTAACGACGAATGGATTCTTGCATCTTGACAAAGGTTATAGATCCTTCGAAAAGGAAGCGTCCGCGGCGTAAGGCTGACATGTGAAGATCAGTAACCTTACAAAGGGGTCAGGATGTGCCTTACTTCTCGTCAAAGTTCGTCGCCGCCGTTATGATACTCTTCTTACGGCATGCTGCGTGTAAGCAGCCTTCCTCGGGACGACCCTCTACACAGCTAAGGATAGTCAACGCCCTCATCGGTCAACTGCGACTCTGACATCGCTTGCCTCAAAGTTACGCCACTGTAGGGTCTAGGATTGACTCTGCTCGACCTAGCACAGCACCAATATCACAGGTGTGGTATGCATATGTGGCTGACTCCTCTACCAAGACTGTTCGACCCGTTATCAGGCTAAATGCTGACAGCGGGTCAAAATGGTCAAATATCCACTTTTCCTATCCCTGTTGTTACCGTAAACATCATCCCTGTCTGCTGATTACCGAGATCTAGCAAATGACAGACGAGCACGCAAGCATCGAGGAATACTTGAGGGTACAACCGAGCTGCAACCAGTGAAGGGGTACCCATGTGCCCGAACAACTAACCCCTACCTACCACGTTCCCCACATCCTGAACTGTCGATCGTGTAGGTCGCTTCTACTTGTGGTGAGCCGTGGAAGCGCTCTATGTTGCCGTCGCGTGCATCTCGTACTCCATTGCCTGCTACGATCTTAGCCACCATCGCATGTTGTCTCTTTCTGGCCATGGTCGACGGAGCTCAGCAGTCTCTCTGAGCCAAAGTAGCACGGATTCGGCGCATCACATGCAAGCCTCACGCCAGCCGCACGCCATCTGACTGATCCAGAGCGTACATGTCTAAACAACCTCAGGTTGACGTCTGGGCAGCCGACATCGCCAATGAACAGACGCCAAGAACAGGTTACGATGTCACTAAGAGCCATAGCAGTCTCTAGGTCGTACAAGCTATCTGACACCAAGAAAAACCGGTTACAGTAGCCTGCCTGCCGCAACGGCTGGCGACGATCTGTCAGAGAATGACCCGTTCTTTCATAGCAGGCCGCAATTCCGGATCGTGGCTGACTCTTTGAACACCGAGCAGCCAGTGATTCTTTGTCTGCTCACCGCATTCCGGACTTTTGGGACCCACGTTGATTGTCTAACGTCACCACACGGTAGACGTATGGCCCGTAAAGCGCGTACCACGCGCTTTGACACTGTCTCACTATTCTCCGCATGCGAACTCATACGGCAGTGCACAGTGCTGCGTGTGGGGTCTTTTTGCCCTTTGTAGGCCTTTTCCTTTGTTTTCATCTAAAGAGATGAGCCCCTCAATATGTCGAAGCTTCCAAAGAAGCCCTAAAATGTGGAGAAGCATGTTGAGAGAGTGGCGTTCGCCCGCGACACATGGTGCAGACGTGGGGATGGGATGGCTAGATTGATCCGGTATTGCACGCAGCACTACCGTGAAGGACTGCAGTGTCACCATGATTTGTCTCCTCATCCTGGGTTTTCCATTCCCTTTGTACTGGGTCATGCACAGATGTAGCGGAGAGTAGGGAGAGACTCCGGCTGAGGTGTGCCAGTGATGAAGGGGCTTGCAGCTTGCGTGTCGTATGACTCTTCGTGCGAATTTGTAAAGTTGAGGGCATTCACAACTTCTTAATAGCGGTACTAAGACGACTTATACACTGTTGTTCACACCACCAAAGCTTTAGTGTACTTGCGGCAATGGATCATGAACGCATAATCTATCGTTTTCAATATGCACCTTGCGCTGCAAAATTTCATCGTTACCCGCAAGACGGATTGGCTCGCGAGTCCATGACAAGCGGTTAACTGTACTCTACTAACGTAGGTTGCTTCAAGCATCTGTGCGTCTCTTCGTAGTCGCTCAAGCTCTACAAGAAATGTCCTGGTCGCATGCAAGGGCTCAAGCAGCAGGGCTCTTCGGGAGGAGCGGATGGTCGCTGACCCGTAAAGTCCCAGGCTCCCTAGACGGTGTTGGCCAACAGTGCCGCACCCCCAACGTTCAACAGATCTGGGGTGCATAGCAGGGTAATACTCCTTGCATTTCCTCATATAGCGCCGGTAGGTGGTCTCCGTACCCTATGTTTCAGTGACATTCATCTACGATGGAAAACAGTCGCTCCTGCCCAATCGCGTCACTATCCTCAAGAGTCTCGCGCTGCAACGATCCTTAGCGATGTTGTCGTGTGCGTTGCATCTGGCGAAATTTCCGTCTCCTCGCTCTACCCAGTACACTTGGAGTTTCGAAAGTGCATACAGCACGTTCTATACTCCTGGTTCAGACATGATCTGTTGCCGGAGATTATCGAAATCTCGCCGGGTAGGGTGTTGGACCGGGAAGCCGAACTCTGGTATGCTAAGTTGAGAAAGGGTCACAGGTCGAGTATTTGGTAACGGAAAGGGTCACAGTGCATCAGGTGTCCAAGTACCAGCGTCGCTTAGTACGTACAACTCATGCTTTCTCGCACGACTTTCTGTCACGTCCTTGACCTGAGCAGAATCATTTGTACGTTTCCATGATATGCTTGGCTTGATGGCTGGGTTGCTCAGATCTACATGCTGCGATGAAGTGCTATCATTCAAGGCTCTTATCCCGATCAATCGCTACACCGCCATGGCAGGCATCGCATCTCACTTTAACTGGCCAACGGATTGTGCGGCACGGCCGTCAGCACAACACATGCCAGACACGCGCGACCCACCTAACGGTTTGATCATTCCGCCTCAAATACAGAGCTATGTGTTGTATTCTGAGGTAGCAGTTGCTCTCTGGTCCTTGGTTCAGTCGAAGATTTAACGAAGGAAGCTTGGGGCTCGCTAACCGCAGGGGTGTACTCTTGAAACATCAACCCGGGCTATAGTACCTTGAAGCAATGAGCTAGATAGGTGGCTGTCCGCAGGGCGTGACTATAGCGAGCGATCATGGCAGCAATATTAACGAGTCGTTGGCACGGTACAGCGCCTTGCTCTTTACTTTGATAGGATCTGATGTCGTGTAGCTTTGCTCAACTTGTACGCACTAAATAGCAAATTGAGTTCGTAAATAGTCAATTACTTAGGATTGTTCGGTGTGTGTGTGCACGCGAGGTGGGACGAATCGCATTCGCATCCAACTACTGACTCATCCACTATTCTCCACTGCGTTCTAGAAGCGAAGCCAGGAGACGAAGGGACCTTCCGAAGGTCTACAAGAGGCTAACAGCATAGAATCCCGGAGTAGCTAGACCCGAGCCAACGAAACAAAGATACACGGAGGACTTTGCGCTTTTCGAGATATGACGTGATACATGTGAAGAAAATTGTGGAACAGGATGGCGTGCATAAGGTTTAGTACGAGAACGCCCATCGCAACCATCGTGCCGCAAGTCCGAACACCAATATCTCATGGGACGAACCCATTATGTTATAACACCAAAAACCAGTATACATGAGACCATACACCACACTAATCGTGAGCGTCCAACCTCAATGAAGCTAAGTCGAAGTCATGTAGCAAATGACCCGTGCGCCGGAGGAAAGGAAATGAAAACGGACGAGGCCAAGAACAGCGCGATGTCAGGGTATCGGGTAATGGATGCTAGGAACGCACAAAAATGAGCAAAGTGGCAGGCCAGGCTGCCTTCAAACAAAGAGCGTGTCTCGGCCGAGTGAGAAAAACTCTAACCGCCAAACGGTAAGGTGAAAGGGCGTGTATTGCTATGTTGTCGCGAAATGCGGTGTTATGATTCCGGACGACAGGGGTCGATGACGGGAAGGGATTGGCGAAGCGAAGCGAAGCTCAAACGCGAGTTAGAGTGCGAGTCCGGTGCCGTCGCCGCTCCAGCGGTAGAGGCTCAACATCTCGCGCCGACGCTGCTGCGCAAGTTCCGCATGTTCATCCATGCCGCGACCGCGCACTTGCTGCAGAGCAGAGCGCATGACTTTACGGAAATTTCGCTGTAGAATGCTTGTTAGCCCGGCTCCAGATCCTTGGCATTATGCTGTCGTGCTGGGGCGACAAAGGTTGATTGCAGGATGCAAGAATGACGAATAATTCGAGACACTTACTTGGTATTCGGTATTGAGGGTGACGATGCATGCTTCATGCGCACGTACGATAACTTCGCATGCTCGCACGATGTTTGGGCTTGCCTCTCCTTGCAGTTTGTCGGCTATCAGAAGCAGCAGAAAGCTTCCCTGCAGAAGGTAGATGCCGAAAAAGAACGGCATGAAGCTCAGATCCGGATCATATTCCAGTATTTCGTTCAACGCTTCGGCGGCTGATACTGCATGGCCAGTGGCATCGACGAAACTTTGCGAGGATATCCAGAGGTCGTTGTCATCAAGGAGCGAGATGGGATCCCATTTACCATTAAGCAAGATGTGAAGCGTGTGCATAAGATGTGTACCGTAGGCCTCCACGATCTTAGCATGCATCAGTGACTCTTGCGCTCTGGACATGGTAGAGTTGACGGATCGGCCAGATGGTGTGCCAGGATGCGCTGGCTCATGTTCCGCGTTGGCTTCGTTCACTGCGCGATTTCGTAGCTCTTGTAGTGAATGTCCGTAAACCACAAGCTGCTGGCTGATCTCAAGCGCGTGGTGATCCCAGTCGGTCTTCGTTCCAAAGCGGGGATGGTTGCGAGCATGGTATAAGTCGGTAATTTCCCCAAGGATGGTCATCAAAGGAAGGAAAAATCCGAAAATGGAGTGTCCGGTGCACTCAAAGGCAGGCCCTCGTCTGCGAAATTTGGAATCTGCAAACGATTGAGCGGAGTCCTCGAAGAATTCGCCAGATTGCCATACGTTATCGTCAAGTGGCTGCAGAAGGCCCGAACATTCGACGTCTAATAAAGACAAAGGTCTGTTGTAGCATAGCGCTAGGTGGCTGTTGAGCGATCAGTGTATGTTGACTGGTAGATTTGGTGTATGCGCAAAAATGTTGGCAGGAGTCGAGCAATGTCTCTTTGCGGGTGCCACGGGTGACAAAGGTCGGATGGCTTACCGATCAACAGTGAACAGCAGCCACCATATACGTCTGCGCTCTTCTCTTTGCTCCTCTGTAAAGTCCCCGGGGGTGTGTTGACTGGTCGGGTACCCTGCGCCCATGTGTTCCGCGTCGAGGTCTCCCGATGCATCTTCGCTGTTTGGCTCGGGAGGTGGTGTGACCGGCACTTCCTTGCCCAGTTTAAGTTCCCTGGCCAGTGACCAAGCCGCGTTCCACCAGCGCAGTGATGCAGCCTTGTATTCGCTGGCCGAAATGACTATGGCCAAGTGCATATAAGTCGCTACATCATCAAGACCCCCTGGTGCTCCCGCTAATTATCGCCCTGTTAGTTGGAGGAAAGTTCAGATCTGGAAGTGTATGCGCGACTTACGTATACCAATATCAGAGTCCTGTGCAGGCATACCGAAGCCACCCATGGTGACACCGTTGACCACACCACTACCGTTAAATGCCGTGGGGCTAGCGTCGGGACCACCCGGTGTTTGATGCACAAGAGGCTTCAAAAGACTGATGGCAAGATTGATAAGCTTCTCCGATAACTGGCTTCGCGCAGATGGAGATGAAGATAAGTATGGGGACTCGCTTGTCAAGCAGCCAATCCACAGCATACTTGCTAGCAGTGCTGGACTGCACACACGGGGGCTGTTGGATCGGAGAAAAGATCGTTTTCGGAAGACGTAGCCTAGTACGTAAGGGGAGACTGGTTGCATGAAGGCGGTTGATGAACTCTGGAAGTAGAGCTCAAGTAAGTCGCAGGCTAATGAGATCGGCATGACGTTTGCGAGATGTGGTACTAACGGCTGCAAAACAGGGTATCTCAATTGCTGAGAAGGGTTTTGATGTTGTGCGCCCGAGTACATCGTTGCGGAAGGTGAAGGTAGCATCCAACCTGGAGATCCATCAACTGGGGACTGAGCCATGTAACCCATATTGGATGCCTCTTCAGGCATCCTGAAGGTATTCGTTGGTGCTTGTGTGTGCGCGCTTTGCGGGCTCATCATGCTGTAGGGGCTGTCAGAATATTCGATTCCATGACCATGAGAAGGTAAGACAGGATGCATTCCGGGCTGCATCATTTGGAGTGGTGACTGGTAGCTAAGGTTCCGGTGATACTCCTCCATAGACGTGTACTCAGGCATCGGATTGTGCATGGGCAGACCTTCAGTCTGGATCCGGGGCGGTTGCATAGGATGTATAGATTGCATGCTCTCGGTCATATGATGATGCATCTCGGCTTCTGGCAAACCGTCAATTGCGCCCATGCTCATCGTCCTGTTCTGGTACATTGGCGCGGTATCCATCTCGGGCCTTGTTGTCGCGATACTGGCCGATCGACCGGACAGCTCTGGAAGAGATCTTTGACCTTCAGGAAGTTTAGGACTACTACCGTGGATAGACTCAGCAGCTTTATCCGAGGATTGTGAGGTGCTGGAGTCCTCAGATTTGGGCGCGCCAGTCCCCGCTGCGGCGGTAGCAGCTTGCTGCTGAGCAAGATCCTTCCGCGATGCTTTTCCGCGTTTCTTGCGCTCACGGATGTACTCGCAAGTCAATCCAAATTCTGACACTACGTTAGCTAAGCTGTCAGATGTGGTAGCACCTGGGTGATGAAAAGTGGGCGGCAGCTTTAAGCCCCGTAGCTAAGAGCCTCTAGCAGACGCTACAAAAGCGGCTTTTGGCCATCTAACTAGATGGTTCTCATCTCGGTTCAATCACCGCCGAGCTTTTCGTCCTCAGTCGAAACGTACCTATACAGTGCGCGCACTGCTCAGGTCGTTAGCATGCTGATTCACGAGGCGCAAGTCTGCGAAAGGACTTACAGATTGTCTACCATCGCACTTGGTTCGTAACTGGTTACACTGATCACAAGCCCGACTGATCCTGCGTCGTACTGGTCCAGACGTTGAGTTACCTCGTCCTGATCGTTCGTGGAGCATCTCTCGCTGGTGTCGAGGCGCTATAGGACCGCTGGCGTACGGCAACCGATGAGGCTTGACGATAGCTTTCCCGTTGGGTAATACATGCCGGTTCTGGTGAAATTGTAGAGCTGTGTATTGTGATGTATGCGCGAGGGTGTCGAGTGGTGATTGTCCCATATGCTGGGCGGCGAGATGATGATGTTGATGTTCGACCATGTTCGGCGCGGGGAGATGGCTGAATGCCGAGGGGTATTGATGGAGATTCGTGGAAAGCATAACTGCGTTCTAGCGTCCGTCTCCACCACAATTCCACCACTCGAGGGCAGATCTTGGGGTGTCAATAACGGGAGGAGCAACAATGCAGTCGGAGTTGAGATTGCCCAAGGGGTGGCGAAGGGCGAAGAACTGGCAACGAGGCCGAGAGGTGTCAGCACAGGGCTGGATTCCAAGGTTATGTCGTCGAAGGACGTCAAAAAAGATATGCAGGTCAGTTGTCCAAACGCTGTCTTTTGACCACTGCTGTGCGCCTAGGGTACCATATAGCACTCGGCCGTTACTGTCTCCGCCTTAACGCTGAATCTTAGTGGACGCAGTGGGGTATAATACAGAACTGTCCAGTGCCTGGGGGTGCAGGGTGAGAATACCGAATCGGCATGGACAGGCAGGTCCTTTCTCCGGGACCAGCTGCATCGCGCGTCAGAGACATCTCTGGCCCCATGCTGCAAACGAGATGGGCAGCAGGGCACGCATGTTCGCGCGTGCGTGCGTCCAGGAGTTTGAGATGGTCAACTCGCCTTCCGCTCTCCCATCTCCACTTTGAGCAATTCACCCCTGCACGACCAGGGTCTTGCTGCACACCAACATTCCACGTTGAGCACAATCCAGAAAATCCGCTGGATCATCGTTGCCGCGGACTTGAACGGATACATCCTAGGATCCTCGCCGCAGGTTAGACTCGCAATCAAAAACCATATTGGTTGATCGGTGCCATCCCGACCCTATATGCAGCGTTTTAAGAAAGGCGGCGTACCGATGCCGGCTCAACAAGTACCTTGGGGTACCCTGCCCGAGCTCAGGACCCACCCACTACCACCCCTTCGCCCGTTCCCCGTTGCTGAGCGATCAGAACAAGGTGCCACGTTGTGATTGGCGACCGCAGCCCGTGCTGCAGTGCGTCTGTTAGCAGACGAGCCGCTGACAACACGGGACCTGGCAGTCTCCGCCATCGCCCAGACTGTCTTCGACGCGACCACCACGGGACAGCCGTTTTTTTAGTCGCAGCCCGAATACGCCTCCCCTGGCTCGCGATGCACCCTGACAGCCAGCGCTACCCGCCATGCTGCCGGTCATCTGCACCCCAGCGAACAATCCGCCGTATGTTGCAGCCTGCGCTGATCGCTTACATCCCTTTCACGTAAAAACGTATATCAGGATACATAAACCATGCTAAGTAAGAGCATGAGGAGGGACATTGGACCCTTCGAACTATCCTCTTTCTCGCTCCGTTTCTCAAAGCGAACGAGCATAAAAAGGAACATTGCCGATGCAACTCGCTTGCGCTGACGCTGGAGACCGAGACGATCTTCGCGTGACAGTCTATTCTCATATCCACTTCGGTAATGCATACTATGTACTCTTCCATAACCACGGGCGAGCCAGATTCGCCACCTGCAGTGACAGATGTATGTATGCCAAGATAAAGAACGAATTGACCTGGTGTGCACAAATTCTTGTCTATAACACGTTGTGTTATGATATCGAGTGCGGTAATACCTGGCCTGCATAACGGTTATTCGAAGCGAGTGGCGCCAGTGATGCTAGGAACTCACGCTATGCGCCCATCTTCTCTACGGTGCGGCCTGCTCCGCCCAAGTCGTTAGAGTGGACATCCACAGGTTGGTAAAGAAGGCGTTCGCTACAGCAAGGCTGAGTCGAAAGTGACTAGCTCCTTGAATAGCTGCCTGTAGGATGCCTTGTGGTTCAATGTCTAGCTGGCAGATCTCCACAATTGACACTGGGCGACAACGCAGCGGAGCCAGCGGATCGCTCCGCATGTCGACTGTTGGCTGCTATCCATGGTGGCTTAAAAGCGCTTTATCGACGACTCAGCCTGCATTTACGGCAGCAATGTTCCACACTTAGTAATGTAAGTGCAGAGTTGCAGCCCCAGAATACGAGAAGTATCTCAGTACAGATCAATATCGATTGGAATTATCGTTGATAGATCGAAACTGGACCTCGCGGCTTCAAATATAGGAGTAGAACTGTATGAGTGCATTTTTACTGTGCTCAATGTCTTCTTCGTTACGAGACAGATACTCCACGAGTCTTGGCGAGCAAAGGAAGTTGGTAAGGACAACTCAAGCGTTGTGTCAAAGCTGTCACTCAGACGGTCGCCTTGTAGTATTATAGGCCAAGGTATGATAACAGACTCCGGGGTTTTAGCAGAACGAGGGTCCAGAAGCCCGGGCTACGCCGATTCAAATACGGCTGCAAATTTCCGCAATATTAATAGCAGTAACATGACCAGTCTAGATCATCTACAGTCTGGTGAGCTCTTCGCGTAATGTAGATGGTGGGCAACGTGTCTTATCAGGAGCCAATATGGGTGTTGCGTATTCCTCTGGTTCAAGGAACTCAACGAAGAAGCCGTTATTGGGCCATTACGAAGGCTTATGTGCAACCGTTTCTGATCATCTCACTGTTTTTGTATAGTAATTTTCTGGCCATGACGACTTATTGGTGACCATGAGGCGAGTAGAAAGACGTAGCAGTGATACGAACGCTTCAGGATATTCGAGATGCATTCTGAAGTTAGAGCGCGTTGGATGCCTTGGCTCGCGTCTGTGTCAATAGTAGTCTGTAGCACGGTTGTATACTGAGATGCAGGCTGCTGGCTAGATATAGACTGCCTCACGGTTACTGTGAGGCCATGTAAAGACCACTGCTTCGAATCGTGATATCGTTACTGCCGCTTAGTTGTTCAACATGGCGGGGTGAGACTAATGGCTATCCTGATGACAACCTAGAAGTGAGTCGACGAAGTCGAGACTTTCACGCGAATGCCCGACCCCCTCATCATAGCAGCGGATCATTAATAGTGAAGAGTTTCTGGACGAGGTATGTAAGCTGGTAAGCTAGTATAAAGCAGTACAGGAGTTTGTCAAGTTCTCCACTGCAATGACATATGCCCTGGGACCGAGAAACTAGACCACACTCTGCAAGAGGTTCCTCAAGCCTATCATGAGTGCCTTGACTCTTCTGGGCTGTCATCCACCTGCATTCTGGAACCAAAAGGGTGAATACGCAAGGCACCACGGCTCCCCAGCTCCGACCTGGGCTGGGTTTGGTGACCTCCAGATATTGCGCACGCAGCTTCTGACGCCGCCGCCGCATGCACCGCGTGGACTTTATTGATGAGCGCAAGCGAGGGCCGGTCATGCCGCCAAGCTATGCGCCGTTAGTAGGGCCATGTACCACCGGTGATCTTGTGCAATACATGCTGACGCTCAAGGTCTGGTCTGAACTCCCCATCGCTGCCTTCCACTGGCCGAGAGCTGAAATGTTCATGAAGCTTCCACGGACATGGGGCACCAAAGTGAACGTTGTACAGCTTGCATGAGTGAGCGCAGTAAAATTTGTCAACCGAACGTGATCTCTTCAGAAGGCCGCGTGATAGCTGAGTGACTTTCTATCCAAGGCCATCTGCCCCTCCGCAGATTTGACGCCACAAAGCGATAGGAGTAGATATAGTTAGTGACGATGAGCGGGAAAGGTCCACGAAGTGGCATCCTTATTCCCTGGGAAGAGCCATACGATTCTCTTTCTTACGTTTCGCTCGGGACACTGCCTGGTGGGCGCGGCACCAGCTCTATGGATGCTGTCTCAGTGAGGAGGGTAGCATCGGTACGCCTGCCTGATTGTTATGGTTGGCCTCTGAACACTGCGCATGTGGGTCCCGTATGATCTGGCTGTGTCGACGAATCGGCGACGCCGTGCCTTGCTCGCCATCCTGTTCACAGATGAAGGGTACGTTGATCGCTGAATATCATTAGACTGTGGTGGGCGGCTCGCGGCGCGGGCTGATCGTTCTCGTACATAATGGCAGCATGTCAGTGAGGCAATCAGAAAAGGCCCGAATCTGCGCTATCAGCAATCCAGCATCTCGACTCCAGCTGCGATTGTCTCCGAGTAAATGAGAAAAGACAGCCACGTGTGCTTGTAAATTACCAGGTTTGCGGGGGGTAGTACCGGCATGTTGATGCTGGCGGCTTACCAGAAAATGGAGTAATATCAGTTGGCAATTCTTCTGTGGAGCTTGCACGATGAGCGCGTCTCGTTACATGTCAACGCAATGCGTCGTCTTGATAACAATTTTCAGAGAGCGCCATGATGTTTATCGATAGCAGACATTGGAGTCCGTTTTTCGGCGTAAGCTGTGAATGTCCTCCACTGTGGTGGGACGTGCACAAGCTAGTGCTAGCCTGTCATACGTCATCTCCGATGTTACTGCGGGCAAAGCCTCAACTCAAAATTAACTGCTCGCAAGACGCCACTGAATTAACACTGTCGTCATTGCTCACAGTACGTCTCAATCTCTATTTATCCAAATAAATCACGAACCAAACACGCGTCATCAACATGTCGCTAGAGAAGATCACAACCATCTCTCCCATTACGAATAAGCCAGTTCTCACACGCAATGGCCTCTCAGATGCAGATCTCCAATCTTTACCTGAGACAGCCGTAGCTGCGTTCGAGTCCTATCGACGCACATCCCTCGCCGAAAGGCAGGAGATTGTCAAGAAAGCTCTCAAGCTACTTAATGACCGCCAGGATGTGTTGGGCAAGGAAATCACTGAGCAGATGGGCCGCCCCATTGCGTATACCGCCAAGGAAGTCACTACTGCGGTCATGCGCGGCGAGTATCTACTCAAGATCAGTGAAGATACGCTCAAAGACACCCCAGGCGAGGCGGAGAAAGGCTTTAAGCGCTACATCAAGAAAGTCCCACTTGGGCCCGTGTTGATACTGTTTCCATGGAATGTGCGTGTGGCCACAGGCTATATTTGCTCCCCACGTGCTGACTTTACCTGCAGTACCCGTATCTAACCCTCATCAACTCGCTGGTGCCTGCCCTACTTGCTGGTAACTCGGTCATCCTGAAGCCTTCCCCACAAACGCCTACCAGTGCCGAGCAGATCCAGCAGATCTTCAAAGAGGCCGGCTTGCTAGACGGTGTGCTTCAAATCTTTCACAGTGGATCCATTACCCAGATCGAGACGATCGCGCGCTCGCCCAAGATTCAGCTGGTCTGCTTTACTGGTTCAGTAGCCAATGGCCTTGCAGTCCAGCAGGCTGCAAATGACCGTGTGCCACTTCGAGTAGGTCTCGAACTTGGAGGCAAGGATCCTGCATATGTACGTTCCGACGTTGACGTCAAGTGGGCCGCGGAAGAGCTCGTGGATGGTGCCGTCTTCAATTCAGGTCAGAGTTGCTGCAGTGTCGAGAGGGTATATGTGGACGAGAAGATTCATGACGAATTCGTATCAGCGCTCCAGAACGTACTCAGTGGGTACAAACTCGGCGATCCATTCGACAAGAGCACGCATATTGGCCCCGTGGTCTCAAAGCGATCGGCAGAGACCATTCGGGCGCACGTTAAGGACGCTCTAGAGAAGGGAGCCAAGGACGCTACCCCGGACAATGCCACGTTTAAGAACCCACCTGCAGATGGTAACTACATCGCTCCGACGCTTCTGACGGACGTTACACATGACATGACTGTAATGACAGAGGAAACATTCGGTCCTGTGATCCCGGTCATGAAGGTTAAGAATGACGCAGAAGCTATCAAGTTGATGAACGACAGTCAATTCGGACTGACGGCCAGTATCTGGACCAAGGACGTGAACAAAGGTCACGAGCTTGCCGACGACGTCGAGGCTGGCACAGTCTTCGTGAACCGATGCGACTACCCCGCACCAGTAAGTTGCTCTGATATCAGACGAATACCTTACTGACATATTTAGGATCTGGCATGGGTCGGCTGGAAGGACTCTGGAAGAGGCCAAACATTGAGCAGATTCGGGTTTGATCAGTTCGTCAAGCTCAAGAGCTACCACGTCAAGGATTATCCAAAATAGATGATACTGCATGCAGAACACAGGTACCGATAATAAGCGGACATCTTTCTCTCCCTGAGGACGATCCAATACCTGCTAGAGACGTGTCACACAATCCGATAAATCTTCAATCTTGGGCGCAATGTGACATCGTCAGTTCTTAGTTGAGTGCATCCGTGATGACCCCAAGGCCATTGAAGTTATGGTCACAAGAGTACTACATGGTGTTATTAAATCATTGTCAACGTGTGCCGCGAGGTCACCTGAAGACGCGTTCCGGAGGACGGTGAATGTCACATTATCAAGAATCTATCAGGACTCCCTAGCACCTTTTCAAGCACGATTAACTGTTGTGTCACACAAGATCGAAGTCCAAAACAAGGCGAGATCGTCCTTGAGTACGCGCTTTCTCTCTTGTAACCCAACAAAGCATGAAGCTTAGGAGCACAAAACAGCACCTCGAATCGAGATGCTGGCGACTAGCTGAGCAATTACAGCCTCCAGCCTTTGCTCTTAGTGATAGTGGATACTTTTCGCTTATGAGTTTTCCCTCCAAATCTCCGATTCGTCCTTTGTCCGAGTGTTTGAGAACTACAAGGTCCGGAGCACTGAACGGCTCCTTACATTCCGCAACCACGATTCCCACTCGCCCATCTCCAACGTAAGCAAAGGAATGCCAAATCGGAACAATGACCGCAAGCCGCAAGGGGCGATCCAGCGCCACGCGATGGGCTAAGCAAAGTAAACTTCTTGCTCAACTCTCATAACTCTTCGTCCACGTCCATCTAATCTCCCCCCTTAACGTCGCTCATCTGGTAACTTCTTATAGTAGTTTGCTATCGTGACCTCTTCTCATCCTTGGTATCTTATTGTTTTTCGTGTTAGTGTGGAATTATCGTCCCTTACACCTTTAGTTTGGGCGCTACCGTCTTTGTTAGATATTTACATATATTGCATTACGTTTTACGTTCAACCTTACATAATACGCGTACTCCAAATTAAGATGGCGTTCAAAAGCTTCATCGTGCGACTCAAACGAAATCTGCTCTGCGACAAACGTGAGCGAAAGCCAAGTCTGAACATTGTATGTATTCACAGACACTCCTCAAGCTCATATGCGCGCTGACAAACACCCAAGGGCGAACCAACCGACGTACGCGTAATCGACGTCTCAGACTTCCTCCCTGGCCTCACAGACGCCCAACGTCGACAAATCAGAGAAGAAGCTTCTAGCGGCGTCCTCCGGCTTCAAAGCATACAACCTCAGCCTCCCACGCCTCCTTCACCCACCAAATCAGATACGCGCCATCCATCAGTTGACACCAACACAAAAGTTACCTCGCACTATCCCTTCTTCGACATATCTCCGGGGGAACCCACCATGGCACCTCTCAGCACCATTTCTCAAAAACTACCCAGTAGCGTTTCAACGTCACCTCGCCGCAAACAAAAAGAGTACGATTCACCCGCGACGCACATGAACAGTACGCAGAACAGTGAACGGCCATATCGCAGCGATCCAAGTGGCGAAGAGGACATCTCTTACTCTTCATTTTCTTACGAAACGGGCCTCAAAGACAAGAAAATTGGTGCACACTCTCCGCATACGCTGAGCTTAGACGAGGGTAACCAAGTACAGGATGGCGCGCATGGTGCGAAGGAGGCGAAGGAAGAGAGCAGTACGGACGCGGAAAAAGCCGCTGTTAGGCGAGGTGAAAAAAGATGTAGAGGTGGAACATAATTGTGATAGTGCCGGGGTGGGTAGCTTCACCGCGAGGGTGGAAGAACCGCTCGTTGCATGCTAAGAGTTTGGAGCGGAGGTAGCGGATACGTGTTAGTGAGTGTGAAGCATTAGTAAGAGAACTTTAAGAACGAGTCGGAAAATACTACGGTATCGGTCGATCGAGTGCACGGGATTTTAGATAATAATCAAAGATAGAATATAGAACAGATCAAATGTTGTTGCATAAGTATACTCTTGCTCCCGCCACATATGAGTTGTATCAGGAGAGCTCAAAGCAAGGGGGAGAGTTTTCAATAGATGTTTTTGTAGATTCCAACTATTTGGATATGACGATGCTAAAGATCGTCGCTAAAGCCGGCAAGCTTGGGATGATGCCATTAGATTAGAAACGCCAGATACACCATGTGGCTGTACCATATGCTGAGGGGTATCGATAATGTGCCTTTTCCTTTGAACGCCGAATGCATGCTGATGTTGTGAGAAAGCACTAAGCCTTCAATCCGCGTCGGATGGCGAAGATGCCGACATGCTGGATGGAATTACCGGAGTGTAACATTGCTATGTCATGCGCATTTGCTCGCCGTTACACTCGGTAGCTGAGCGATCAAGGTTCCTAATCTGAGTCGCCATCACCATCCGGTGTCCTAGAGTTCCGCTTCTTCTTCGATCCAGAAGGTCTCCTTGCCTTCTTCGGTGTATTACCTAAGCTAACATTGCTCTTCCTCTTTCTGCCGCGACCGCTAGTAGGCAATGGCGTACCGTCCTCGCCGTTTTCATTTGGCGTCTCATACCCTGCACCAAGTGTATCATCTCCTTCGGCGTCGATAAAGGTCTCGCGATCAATGTCCAGCAAGTCTGCAAAGTCGTAGCATTGTTTCACCATGCTCTCACGGCTGTCGAGCGCGCGCATGATTGTTTGGAAGCGTTCCCAGATTTCCTTGCCGGTAACGAGATTGTTACGATGTGCAGGTTTGATATAGTCTTTCTGCGAAATGGGTGCGTTACTCTTCACTGAGTAGCATCGTCGAACGAAGGTGCGAGTCTCCCATACCATCTGCAGGATCATGCAAGCTATGGTAATCTGACGAAGCCTGCCATCGTCGATTACTGGAGGGGCAAGTTGAGATGCCGTCGGAACTGCAGCTGGCAACATGGGTGGCATCTCACTTATACCATTAGCTTCTAGCATTTGTTGTTGGAATATATCCTGAGGCGGAGGTTGCGCCACATTCATGTATTGCTTTGGAAGTTCGTCGGCAATGACAACTCCAATAGCGGGCCCTGTAGTGTTCAGAACCATTGCCTCAACCGCATTAAGAAACACAGCAAGCTCTTCTTGGTGAGGAAAGTCGAGCAAGGCCAGGTTTTCCAAGCAGAAACGGGCATACAAGATGGCTTCCGGTATGGTACCATTAACATCCAGCTTTGCAAGATCGAAGTCAACTTGTTTGCAAAAGTTGGTGATGAACTTTTTGAGGCTTGCTTTCTTGCCCGTCTTCAATGCCTCAAACAGCTTTGCAAGCTTCGGAGTGTGCGTGGCTTCGACCATGCCGTGAGGATCGTTGAACATGTTCAATTGATACTTGAAAGCCATGTATATGGCCTGCATGTATTCCTTTTCCAGATACGACTCTTGCTTTTCGTGTATGCGCCTGTGCTCATCCGCTGCAACTCGAGCCAAGCTTGGGTTTGGTGAGGTCGCTAGAGCGACAAGTGCAGCACCGCATTCCTTCGGGTGGACGAGACCTTGTCGACTAATACTGGCAATGATGTCTGTGGCAATGACGGCAGAATCGTTTTTATTCTCCAACGCCGCTTTCACGAAATATTCCAGAAATTTCTGCGCCAGATGCAGTGTGGCATGGTCATTCCCTGTAGCAGTAAATGATGTTTCCAGGCGCGCCGAGCCATTGGCAGCTCCTTTGCCCGTTGCAATCTGCGCGCCGGTTTCAGAGCGCCGCTCAGCGACAGAGAAGAACTGTCTGAAGAAAGACAATGCGATGTGCCTAAGAGAGTCGTTCCCTTCATTGATAAAGACAAGCTTGACTACTTTCTCCACTTCACCACGCATGAAATGCTCTGGCGACTGCTGGCATATGCCACCCATGCTTTGCAAGGCTTGCTCGCGAAATTTGAGCTCCCAAGTTTGCATAGTAAAAGGTCGAACGGTATCTAACAGTAGGAGAGAAGGAGGGGGAGGGTTCTTCTGGTTCAACAACGGCTCCATCTGCTTCTTCACGGCCTCATTCCTACTGATGAAAGTACGAAGCTTGGTGATGAAAGACTCAGCCTGTCGATCAAGACTACAAACTTGACCGAAAGCGCCAAGCAAGATGAGGTAGGACAGGATGCGATCATTGTTTTCAGCTGCTTGCTCCTTTGTTGAGGCCAGGAGTGGTCGAAGGTTGCAAATGACGGAGCAAACTGTAGCAAAAATCTTGTCAGCGTCCATACCCGGCATTTCGCTGATTGCCCACAGGCAGTGGATGACATCAAGAAGCGTCTCTCTGCTTGTGGGCCAAGCCATCGATGCGCACTTGGCCAGCTTGGGAACATTGCGCATCAGACTTGCTCGGATCTCTTCTGCGAAAGCGTGTTGAAGGGGTGGAAGTGTCGGCAAGACATGCCGGAAGATGACGACCGTCGGTCGCACAAGGGCTACGTCGTCGTTGTTGACGATAGTCTTGATGTATAGCTTTAAATGCCGCAAGTGATCGACCGTAAACAGGGTCGGTCGAATTTTCGCGAAAACGCTGAGGGTGTTCATGACGCGTGCTTGAGACTTGGTATCTGTGCCATTTCCGGGGTCAATGACTTCGTCCACTAAGTCCGCAACCAGCTGTCCACAGATCTTGAGGTTGGCAGCCGGACCTTTAGCTTCGGGTGATAGACAGTGAACAAAGAACTTCTCAAAGGCTTCTAGATGTATTGTGCTTTTCTCAACAGACTCCAAGAGATCTACCATGAAGGCGGCTCGCTGGACACGATTGAGCCTGTGCTGACTGTCATCGGGCTTGACATTGGCATTTGCCGAGGTTAACCATATCTCCTCAAGAACGTTGCGACCCAGTTCGGAAATGGCGTTTTCATCATCCTGTGAAGGTAGAAGTAGCGGGGCAGCGATCTTCAGCCTGACCTGCTTTGAAGTAGAGCGGAGATATATTTCTTTGAGCAGCTTGATAGCCTTCTTCTTGGGGCCATTTGAGGGATCTGTAGTCATCTCCAGAATCTGTGGCAGAACATGTCGTTCGAGAGATGGTTCTTTGGCCAGGCAGTTCGAAAGAAGCGATAGTGTCGCCTCTCGAACCATTGGTGAACTGTCTCTTAGTGATGGAATCATGTTGATAACATGCTCGTCGGAGATGACTCGAGAGTCTTTGTCCAGCAGTTGTTGTAGTCCTGCTGTCCCCCTTGTTCGGAGCTTCGAAGAGCTCTTGTCCCGAGCATAGATCTGCATTTGATTGACAATCTGCGAAAGGTACCTGCACACCTGGCTTTGTAAAGTGATGACACCAGCGGCTAGCTTGCTCTGATCATCCGATACAGATTGGAATTTGCTATCATATGGCGTCAGTTGCGAAACGATCTTAGACAATCCGGAAAACTTACTACTTTTGAGCGAGCCATTTGGGGTCTGCAACCATGCTTTCCAGACATTGTTGAACAGTTGTGATTGCTTGAGGTCTATGACCCTCATCTCCCTCGGGAAATGTCTTGACGACAGCCGTCAGCCACGAACTGACATAAAAACCAGTCGCAGCCTGTAAATGTGGGTCTTCTTGAGAAGGTCGCAAATCGAGGTAGTCAACCAAAGATTCAAGAACCATGCGATATGGACCATCAAAAGCTAGCAAATCTACATCGTTAACCCTCTCTTTGATGTCTTCACTCATGGCATCGTTCACGAGACGATCTAGTCGTGAAGACAGATCTGACTGCGAGATGTCCAGTCTTTGCCTCATCTTCTTGAGTTGATCTCTAAAGTCGATCACGCCGCATCCGATCCTTGCCATGGTTGTGAGTGCCATGTCTTTGTCGACTACAGAATGCTTGGTCGCTTGGTCGTCCTGGAGTATGGTTCGCATGCGGACTAAGAGCATTTGCAATAGCATGACAGCAGCCGGCCATTGGGGAGAACCAAGGACATTACAAAAATCATCCACGAACAGATCCAGGAGGTTGCGGAATGGTTTGTCACCCGACTTGGAGGTATTCGATGCCTTCTCGCAAAGTTGTGTTACGATGTATGAGGCTATGTTGGCGGCGGTCATGTTCAGTTTTTGAGCAGTTACCGCTGGCGGTTCGCTGCCACCTCCTCTCTTTGAGTCCCTGGAGAGTGCCTGACCAGGCTCATAATCGCTAACATCGTCCTCGACCATGTCTGCGAGCGCGTTGTCTGTTTGCGACACAGTACGAGTGCTCGAATTTGTTGCGACTACCTGAACGAATCGCATGAACAGCGCAGATATAGTCATGATAGGAACTTCCCGAGCCGACAAAAACTGCCTCGCACTCGCCTTCTTGTCAGGCAGCTTTTCTAGATTGCTGATAATACCTCCCAGAATAGATGATTGTTGGCTTGGGTGGCGAGCGAAGATTTGGGCAAGAACATCCATGGCTTTCTGTCGAAAATGTTCAAACTTCTTGATACTGAACACGGAGTCTTTCTCATTATCGCTGTTCTGCTCCACCAGTAGTTCCAGTGTCAGATACTCCAAGGTATTGAGTGCTCGGTCCGACAGGTTGTATTTGCCGATGAGCGTAGCAAAACGGGTCAGAACGGCTCCACACAGTCGCAGTACCATCTGTAGGTCTTGCCTGTGAGCTGACGCTGCATTGAACAGATCTTGAGCCTCGCCAAACCGTCGAGATCGGACGACAGGAATGATGCAGGCGTCCTTGATCAGCTTCGTAAGATCGACAATGGTATCAATAATGTCCTCTCGTCGCATTCGGTAGTCATCGCGACCTTCGATCATGGTTTCTAGTAGAAGTTTGGATGATTTCAGTGCAAATTTGGCTGTTGCAATGCTCTCCGTAAGCTCCAAATTAGCCTCCTCCTGGGGAAAGAGCCCATTCTTGGTAGTTGATACGACAGCCGGGTGCAGGAGCGATTGTATCTGCATGGCCAAATCTACAGGAAGCACATTGAAGCGACCAAGACTGACTACACCAGACATCTTTTCGGAAAGATTATCCATGGACCGGGACTTGAGCACGCTGAATTCGCCATCAGGAGTCATGACTTTGGTAAAATGCAGTGAGCCGTCCAGATCATCCTTGTCTTCGGTCAAAGTGGTGACTAAAGAGTCCAGCACGTCAATCTTGCCGTCAGCGATCTCCCGTTCGTGAGGTCTTAAAACTGTGGCGCCACCCTCGGCTCGGTTGTCTTCCTTCTTTTGAGACAAATTTCCTATGTCGATATTGTCAATGAACGTGTAGTCTCCGCGTGGGACGGCTTTTGGCTTTATCATAACGGCCGGGCCGGGAGGTCGTATGGGTGTGCTGCTGGGAACTGATGAAAGAGCGCTCGACGAATATGGTAAGTCTGCGTTTTGTGCGTAGGCATGGCCGTTGGGGGTGGCAGGCGGCTGTGGGGCTGCTACGCGAGCCTGTTGTGGAGGAAGAGGAGGAGGAGCAATTCGGGGAGGATCGTTTCTGGGAGGAGCGTTTCGGGAAGGAGCGTATTCTTTTCGAGGTTGTTCGAGTGGCTTGACACTCGGTGCTGTTCTAGTTAGTGGGCGCATGATGAAGGTGACAAAAAAGCCTACCTGTAAATGCTACATCCGTCTGTTCATAGAGCTTGCGCGCAAAAGGGCTCAACGCAGATAGAAATTTGGGAGTGTCTCCGTTGGTGCCCTTGACAGGACTGTCGGGTGGAGGGGTTGCTAGTTGTGGCATAGGCTTGAAGTGACTGAAAGTATTAGAGACGGCGCTCAGCTGGGGCAGGAGCATAAACTTACTACTCTGGCAGTTTGTCGCGAAGCAAAAGGTTACGAAGCTGATTGAGGGTATCGTGTAGATGCTGGGCGGTGGACTGGCCTTCGATCTCTGCGTTCAAGATTCCCACAGCCTTCTTCGCAGCCTTCTGTTGCTCGAGGTTCAAGGTGGAGGGTGGGGTAGGAGGTTCGGCGGTCGGAAAGGGTATCATGTCTGAAGACTGTTAGTCGGGCTCTACGCCAGGTGAGAGAAGTGCTCTGGCAATTTGCGCAAGTGAAGCAGAGTTACTGACCGGGCGAGAAGGGGATGATGGAGGTAAAGGGCGAGTACGGAAGGGCCTCATCCACTGTGGGAGGAGGCCTTCTGAACGGGAGCCCGCCTCCGTTGCCATTATGCCAGTTGCCATTCATTGCGCTTGTCGTGGTGAGCACTCGTGCATGTAGACAAGCGCAGTGGAGATGCGGCGGTGTTGGATTGTGTGGGTTAGGGCATATGGCTATATGAGCCTACGCGCGTGCATGCTTCTTCCAGGCCGCTGGCCGGTTACTGCCTGATGGACTCGTAGTAGCAGACTTGTGGTGAAAGTACTATGCGATGCAATCATCAAATGCATGTGGTGGTGCACGACATTCAGACGCGTTCTCACCGCCTACCGTTCTCGTCCTAGCTTGGCTGCAACCGCGGAAGTCGCGATTCCCGGTAACTTTTTTCCTCAACTCCAACACCAATCACCCACTTTAAGACGACATATTGATACATCACCCACAATGTCAGCCATTGGTAGTCTTGTCTTCTGCACTGACTGTGGAAATCTCCTCGACGGATCCGCCGGCAAACAGAATGTTATTCTTACCTGCGCTGCGTGCGGAGCGCAATGTAAAGGTATGCGCATCTACATTGCGCAACATCGGGGATGGGAGAGTTAACCTGCATTAGACACATCATCCAAGACTGTCGTCACAGTCTCTAAGCCCACCGCTTTCCCGTCGTCGTTGCGCGCAAAGAGATCCGAGGTGCAGACCATTTCCGAGGCCGATGTCCAGACCAGCAGCATAATCAACCACCCCTGCGAAAAATGTGGAAGGGAGGAGGTTCGATACTACACACAGCAACTGCGAAGTGCAGATGAAGGGAGTACTGTCTTCTACGAGTGCGACTGCGGTCACAAGTACGTTCAGAGGTCCGTGTACAGAGCTGAGCTTATGCTAATTGCTATCTTACAGATGGAACACCAACAACTGAAGCGCATGTTCTACCTATGTTGGTTGTGTTGAATTCTATATACCCAAAACGCCGTGTTCATGCAATACCTTCGGTTCTAAGCTGCCACAGCCTGCGGCACGATGGCATACTCCATCTCTCCATTCTTCTCGAACTCTGCCATGTCAAGCGCTACAACCACACTGTCTCGTACCACCTGTTCTGGGTCATTCAAGAATTTACGCAGGGTATCCTCGACGCCTTCTTCGTCGCCCAAACTTCCAAGTGCTTCGGCAGCCTCATGTCGGACCATGCTTGCCTCCTTTGTGTTACTGAGCGCTTCTGTAAGACTGGGAATGGATGCAGGGTGTGAGAGCTGTCCGAAGACAAAGGCAATCTCGTGGCGGAAGAGAGCAGACGGGTCTGTAAATCCGCGGGCGAGCGCTTGTACAGCCGGGACGGCAGTTGGAAGGTCGGGCGGGGAGGAGAGATCGCGCAGGGCGAACATGGCTCGGTAGCGTTGGAACAGTGGCAAGGACGTGTCAAGCAGTGTCTTTTCAAGTTCTGGGATCGATGGCTTCTCAGTGCTCTGTGGGAGCGGCGGCGCAGGGTCAATGGACGTGAAGTCACTGTTCACTTGTCAGCAAGCATGCCAAATACATCAAGTTGCGTACAAGCATACCTCTTCTTCAACTTCTCTTGCCCCTTTTGCAGTCCATGATCCCACTCTATGCGGTCAACGGCAATATCGCAAGTCTCGCGCACAACGTCGATCTCCTTGACATCGTCCCTCAACGCCCTCAACAGCTCAAGACTGCCTTTGTCGCTCAGTGCACCGAGCGCCTCCGCAGCCTCGTGTCTGCACATGGAGTCTTCCTCTTTGTCCTCCAATACCCCCCTCAGCGGCGCGATAGCAGCATCATGTCCAGACTGGCCCAGGCAGTAGGCAAGTTCATGCTTCAACAAAGCTGATGGCGATGCGAAAGCAGCAGCAATGGCCTCGATTGCGGGGACGGTCTGCGCATTGGGTGGCTGCAGACCTGCAAGGTGCTTGAGAGAGAAAAGAGCGCGAAAGCGGCGGGCAAGAGGCTCCGACTCCGAAGTGAGGATTTTGCGAAGCGTGAGAACTTGGGTGTCCTGTTCTGTGACTGCCATTTTGTTGTTGTGGAAAAGAAGAGTGATTGGAAAACCTAGTCTTTCACGTAAATGTCTTCCCGATCGCGGCTCGACTCTTTTTTGGCGGGGATCCAAAGATTTGGTGGGGTGTCAAACTCCCATCTGATAAGATCTTCACCGCAACCTGCAGGCTCCGGCTGACGCTAGCCAGAGCCGGTTAGATCGCATGTGACAGCGTGGCACACCGAGTCCAGGGCTGCAGGTGCGGGTGCGCATGCAGGAACAAGCCTTACCTTCACTATGACTCCTTTTCTCCTCGTCTTTGCTCATTGTGAGTGAAAGACCACCAGCAATTCAACAACGCGACAAAGAAACAAAGACGGTACATGGGCCTGCCGCATGAGGGATCGAGTACGCTTCACCCTCACCCTCACCGCGACTTCGCATATCGACTGGAAAGCCCCACCAAGTTCTTTCCACATAACGCCAACGACCACCCGACAGCAAACTTAGCTCTGCGCGAGTACGCATAAACACTTCAATCCACTACCCACCATGGCATTTCTTCGTGGAATACCTGAGACTATCTGGAACTACGTCAGTCCGCGCAAGATACAACACCGGCGGGAGAAGCCATTCGCGTTCAAGACCCCCGCGATCCCCACCCGAACCACGCCTCTCCCCAAACAGACCGCACCACTCACACGAGAGATGAGTCCAGAAGCGCGTGTCAAGACTTGCGATCCGCGAGCACCAAGCTCTCACTTCGACATCGATGCGACGTTGTTGCCGCCTTCTCCTCCAGCCTCAGCTATCTCGTCCAAGGATCTAGAAGACGACACGCTGGTTGTGAATTCGCCCGCAGCGCCAGACAACGAGACAGAGGGCTCTTCGGCCGACTTGTGGGACGCGAACGAGGAAACTATGGTTGTCGATGACGGAACTTACATGGTTGTACAGAAGAAAGTGAACTACCACCAGGAGCGTCAGAGACAAGATCAACAAGCTCGTGATCTACGCGATGCTGGCTGGTCCGAGGACGCTGTCTTTCTTTTCCAGAAGTTGGGTATGCGCGGCTTCGAGCCACTGATGCCCATTAGCTGGATTGATGACCTTGAGACTGTCCCCGCAGATCTCTTCACTGAGAACATCGACAAGGCATTCATCAAACCAGCCTACGGCACTGAACACAATGGTATGTTACAGCCCCATTCACTGTGAAAATCTTACTAATGATGTCCAGCGCAGTATGCTCTTGAGAAGCTCTTCGATCTGGGCAGTGTCTCTCGTGACGCCTGGTATACACGAACCAAGCGGGCTCCCCACTTCCAGATTGGCAAAGCCGTCAAGGCGTACACAAAATGGGCCATGAAGGATGGTAGAGTTGAACACCTTTGGTCCCAACTCCCGCTGTTCCAAACTGTCACCTTCTCAAAGCATGTGCACCCGGCCGTCGGGGAGCGTAAGATGATCGAGAAGCTTGGTCGACTACACGAGCTGTGGTACGACGCTCTGCAGATCGACGAAGCCGTAGATCGTGGAGATTCCATCGTGCCTGAAGTTCCGACGCTTTATGGTATCACTGCAACACACACCGTTATGGCTTTTGTGAGCTATGCGCCGCCGACCAAGAAGAATGAACAGCCTTCTGTGCGTTTACTCGCCATGTACGACTTCATGCAGGAAGGTTGCGATGTCTGGAATTCCCTCGCCATCTCCATCTTCATTATTCATTGCAGGAACAGGATGATGCAGTTGAGGGAATGGCTGCCAGAGCCGGAGGTATCAACTGAAGAAGACCCTGATCTTTGAACGACGAACACGACACAAAATCACGAGACTGAAGGAAAGAGATAACGAACCACGTAATGAAGAGATGGATGTGAATTATGAACATCGGATACGACTGAGTGCGCGGCTTTTTGCTTCGCGATATACCCTGTAATGAGCGCAATACCCCAACCTCCTTTTCTTTTCTTATGTTAATCTGGTTGAGCCACCAATGTTTGGCTCGGGGGGAACGGCTGGAGGAGAAGACTCTATCAAATTGCGGCATTTTGCACACGATTGCATTGAAGCATACACGTAGCGGTCAATGAGGTAGAATGAAGAAGGTGAAACTGATCGTAGCAATCACATAGTGATCATGTGAACTACTGGGAGATGTCATGCAATTGCATTCTTCTGTGTGATTGTGATGCTGGCTGGTAGACGTCAGGTAAACACAATCACCTATATCAACTTCGACTTGAGCATCTCGTGGGTCCCAAGACCTGATTTTCAATCTCTATACTCACCTCATCTCCCACGTAGCCCCTGGAAATCCCCATTCTGTCACCCCGTACCTGCTCAACCCTGAGAGCCTTAGGCAACTGGCCTTTTCGGCTCCCACTTCCAACCAGCTCCCCGCTGAATCCTCAACTCTTCGAGTTTCTTCTCCAGGATTTCCATGCAATCCTTGCAATGACCGGAGAACTCCGAGACAACTTCTATGACGATTATGCACGGTAGTCGAAACCGGCTTCCCGGGTTGTCGCCACACATGGTGAACGGGTTCGCGTGGTTTTGCTTGATGTGCTCGCACGCGGTGTGCCAGTAGTAGTTGCGTCTACACATGGTTGTTAGATCTTGGTGTTTGTTGTCAATGTAGATTCGATGTTGAAGTGTGTAGCTGAGAGGTCCAAGGCTGAGGAGGTTGAAGAATACACATCGTTCGTTCACTGTGAGTTGAAAATGCTTGCGTTATCGCCGCCTTCAGGGTGAGGTGAAGGTGGGTGCAGAGCTACTTTGAATAGCATATGGAACTTCACGGTGAAGCATGATTCTGCCACTTCTAGCATCACGCTCATCTGAGATGGAGTGTGGCCCGCAGAAGAGTATAAAGGGATAGAGACTGTCGAATGAATTGTATACCTCAGAGATATCAGGAGCACTCCTTACTAGGAAATCTTGGTTTACAGCATTTCCGGGGGGATACAAAGAGCTCATACAAGATTTCACCAGAGACCGGCGAAGGGATATCAGGTGTCTCGTCGAATGTGACACTGCCCTGAGCTGTCCAGTGAACAGCGATCCTGACGTTGCTGTCTATACATGTGTCAGCCTGGTGATGGATGCCGTTCAGCAATTACACCTATTCCAACGCATGGTGTATACATTGTTTCATTCAATGCAGACTCTTGTGCAGCAGTTTCCATAGTTTGACCCTTCATAATTAGCGGTTCAACCAAGCTTCCACGCAATTGCCCTTCACCCACCGGGACAAGCCTGGACAAGACATCTTATACAGTACCAAGAGCCTGGGCGAGCAATCCCGCTATGCAGTGTTTACATCCTGGAATCCGGGGTGCAGACGGCTGTGTAAAATCCACCGCAGACGGGGCTTCGTACTATGGTGGGTAAATCGTGATTCGTGCGTTAAGTTTCCCGGATCACCAAGCTACTTGCAATTCTCCGGGTTAAGGGCAAACGGCACCCTGTGATCATCTCGCGTTCTGCAAATGCAAGCACTGCAGTATACGACTAGTGTTTATGTTTGGAAGAAGCATCATGGGCTGCGGTGACGCGGATGTGGTGATGTGTCGGTTATGGGTATGACAGTCTCATCTACTGGCATGAAAGGACTCATTTGCGTACTCTTGGTAGTGCAATAGTTCACTTTGATATTGTGGGGTAATTCGGATTGCTAGCCGCATGCTTCCGTGACCAAAGATCGTTCCAAGATGGTACACCTAGGATCTCGAGGGGTGGAACTGGGAATATGAGTGCTTGACCGGGCTGAAGGGTCGAAACGTCATCCGACCATGGTGACTTGCTGGTGTGGTTTCGTCTCTGTTCGCTGATCAATTAGCCTAGAACACGAGAGTCATGGTGGTGGAAGAAAGACACCAGGATATGCGGCTCAAGCAAGGTGCAGGGCCGCAGTTTCTTGGCAGCATCCCTGGACGCCCCACGAAGACCTCTCAGCCCCCTTTCATCTATCACTGTAACATCGCCAACACCACACAGCCTATGCATGAAATGCTATACTGCATGCTAAGCTTCTTGGATGTCGAATGGCCACGGAACGATGTGTAAGGACTACGCCTTTACCGCCACCTCCAAGCGCCACACATGTCACGCGGCTTCGCATAGATTAACAGCTCACGGCTCCACGATTCGGCATTCACGCCAAGATTCTCTTTAACCGTTGGGAGAATACAAAGGCGGAGAGCTTGGCATATGCACGAGTAAGAGACAGGAAACATAGGTGGAGGAGTTCTTGCCATGACGGCCGTAGCGCCGCCATGACCCGAAGCCAACCCCATAACGGAGATGTTGACATCTAAGTTAATGACCGTACGGCCTTGTCCCATGAACGTTTGTTTCAAGTCATAGACCAATCAAATTCGACATATGTGCTGGAATTCCAGAATGTTTCAAGCTGATATCAATGCTATTGGCCTAGCCTACTCATTTTGCAGGCACATTTCTTTACGAAAGCCAAGCCTAGCATATTAGTGACTCTTCCGCCTCAGTCCTTGATCTACATCCTAGCTGCTCAGAGATGGACGGCCGTTATGATGGCGAGAATGTTTGGCTTGGCTTTGCCAGCAGGACCGGGCCTACTCCATTCGACCATCACGCCGCGGTGTACACCAGCGACGGCTATAAAGCCATCTTGAGTCGTCCTTGTACATCACCACCAGAACCAAACATTGTCCTTCGTTCTCTACCATATTCAACTTACATTCAAGATGGTCTCGTTCACCTCTCTTGTCACTGCTGCTATTGCTGCGACGGGCGTTTTCGCTGCTCCTACTGATGTAGCTGCTCGTTCGTCTGGTGACCTCGTCGCCCGTCAAAGCACCCCCAACGCCGAGGGAACGCACAACGGCTGCTGTGAGTAGATTTGTTAAGCTGTGTGTAAGCAGTAATTGACCACATACTTTAGTCTACTCTTGGTGGACTGATGGCGGCTCCCGTGTCACCTACACTAACGGTGCCGGTGGTAGCTACAGCGTTAACTGGGGAAGCGGTGGCAACTTTGTCGGTGGAAAGGGATGGAACCCTGGATCGGCCCGGTACGCCAATCCCTTCGGCTAGACGCTTGACGAGACACCCTTGCTGACCATATATCAGCACCATTACCTACTCGGGCACGTACAACCCCAACGGTAACTCTTATCTTGCCATCTATGGCTGGACGCGTAACCCGCTTGTTGAGTACTACGTCGTTGAGAACTTCGGGTGAGCAATCTCCTTGTACGAATTACATGTGAAATATATACTGATCTTTACAACAGAACTTACGACCCGAGTTCCCAGGCTACCAACAAGGGCACCGTGACTGCCGACGGCTCTTCTTACAAGATCGCTCAGTCGACCCGTACCAACCAGCCATCTATCGATGGAACCAGGACCTTTCAGCAGTACTGGTCTGTTCGCCAGAACAAGCGCTCCAGCGGATCTGTCAACATGAAGACTCACTTCGATGCCTGGGCCAGCAAGGGCATGACTCTTGGCAACCACTACTACCAAATCGTCGCTACTGAGGGTTACTTCTCTACCGGTTCTGCGTCTATCACCGTGAACTGCCCATAAGCCATTCAATAGCTATACGGCTTGATGTTCCGAAGTAATGGTGACCGTGTGGATTCTGTGAAGGAATACGCTGGTGTGCGCGTTGCTGGCTTCGCTAGTAACTTCTTTTCTGTACATATCTTGCTATGCTGCTAGCTTGCTAGTGCAAAAATGTCAAACTTTTGCCATTCGTCACGTCATGTCTGCATTAATATCAGTCACTGCTGCAATGTCTTCATGATCGCAACTGCTCAAAACAACTTGCCAAGCCAGTTGTCTTTCCTTGTTTGCATCACTCTGACTACATTGTTCCCAATGTGCTTCCGCAACTATGTCGAATACTCTTGTCCAAATCAACACATCCTTCTTAGCTCCATGAATCCCTTTACACTATGCGAACTAGCCCAGCACCACCCGATACAGCGTCAATGTAGTAGCATCGTTGATGGATTCCAGCCAAGTGGCGAGTGGTGTATAGATTGCTGGATGCGAGAACACAGTAGTAAACTCAAGCAAGGCGACGTAGGCAAGAAGCTCTGGAATGATCGTTGGCCAGGTGGCGCGAAGTGGTCTGGATATGCTGGAGATACGGGAAGGGATATCAGACGGGACGATGTACCGCAATAGGTGGCAGCGGTGTCAGATGCTAATCAAGAATCAACGTGAGGCGTTGCCCGGGTATATAGAAACTATTGATACTCTGATACGTCCAGGGGTGTCGAAGAAACTTTGGTAGCCACGTTTCTGGCTGAAGCCACCTTTACTCGTTCACTCAAAGCTATAAACATTAGTAGCCGCGCTAGAAGCACTGATTGGCGCAAGTCACTACGCCTTTTATTCCTGTACTACATCCTTGAGCAAAAAATTATCGGCCGCTCTAGTTTCACAAGAAACGAACTTGAGGCACTAAAGAGAGCATGTACCAGCATCACTAGTACGCCAATTCGGATGCAGATAAAGCCAACCTGGCCGCTTCTAAGACTCCAGAGAACCAATTTTACTAGCAAAAACCCTCAAGCTCAGCTAAACGCAAGAGAAAGTGAGCGGGATGACAAGAGGTCATCCATGAAGCGAGAGCCTTTGCCCGTGGTGCCGGTGGAAGTAACTGAGAACGACTCTACACGCGCGGTTAGTACCATGGTACAACAGGGCGACAAAATCGCTGCGCGGCTAATCTAAAAATCCGTAGTCGGTGAACCGGAACCTGAGGCTAAGAAAGAAACGCCCGTACCCGCAAATGAGCCCAAGAGAAAGAGGCCTGCCAACGATATCGCTATGAGAGAAGAAGAGCCACAAGGAGATCCAGAGCTTGTGGTAAGTCGTGTGTTCTTATCAGTAGAGAGTACTAAGAGAATAACTACATCTTAGTTCCGCCGCTTCAAGCGCCTCGTCCGACACAAGATTGAGAACCTAGAAAGGGAAGAGATTGCGGTTCAAATCACACTAAACGCATAAACAATGTCACTTACAGAAACCCAACATCATGTCTTCAGCTTGAAAGAAAAAAAGCCTTATTAGCTGCCAAGGCAAGGCTCAAGGCGGTGCAGATAGTAAAGGCAGCCACAGAGAGAAGACTCGAGGAAGTTCGAAGTAGGGTGGCAAAGAACAAGACCTTTGAGAGGAATTTTGACGCCTTTCATGCTTGAAACATCTGAAGAACAGAAAGGGATTGGGCTATACCCCTGGAGTTGATAACGCATCGACCACACGTTTTGCGATGCTGGGTGGTTGCGGTGCGCTTCTCTGGGAAGCTGCGAAGACGATGACTGATTATCAATAGAAATTCTCTACTGAATGGAAGTATGAACTTTACATTCCGCTGCCAACTTACACCTAGACCATCTGTCTACATGGTTCCGCCTTATAGCCGCGCGTCAACATCAGTGTATAGCGGCATCGTACCTGGAGTCGTCCTCAATGCTTCCTCAATGATTGTCAATGCGAGATCGAGCTGCTCCTCAGTAACTGTGATCGGAGGCGCAATGCGGAACACTCCACCGAAAGATGCCATGGTGGCTAATTGAGCCCAAAGGCCCATCTCTACCATCTTGTTCGACACTGCAGCCCCCACTTCCGGGGCGCCAACCTTCGACTTTCTGTCGCCGACGACTTCCATGCCGGCCATCAGGCCTCGGCCACGTACATCACCAATACAACCATATCGTGACTGTAGTCGCCTGAGACCGGCTTGGAGCTTGACACCGAGTGTCCTGGAACGAGCGCAGAGGTCGTCCCTGATAACGATCTCGAGAACCTTATCGCCAACAGCAGCTGGAAGAGGATCGTTGATGTGCGTGGTATAGAACAAGAAACCGTGGTTTTTAGCATGCTGGGCGATGCGGTTCGATGTCATGACGGCGCTAAGTGGTATTCCATTTCCAAGCGTTTTGCTGAGTGTCAGGATATCCGGTACGACGCCCTCATCCTCGGGATGATGTGTGAACGCGAACATATCACCAGCTCTTCCGAGTGCTGTCTGTGCTTCATCAACGATGAGAAGCATACCTCGCACCTCACAGTGCTCCTTCAAGGCCCTCAGGTATCCCGGAGGAAGCTCCAGCATGCCTCCGCTCGATAAAATGGGTTCGACGATAACTGCCGCAAGTGATCCGCAGGATTGCTTGTCTAGAAGATCGAAGCCATAGTCCAGCTCAGTCTTCCAGTCATGTGAACCATCGACGTGCCTGAATATTGAGCGATAGGAGTTGGGGGTTGGTAGCGCTAGATTTCCAATCATGTTCGGACCGTAACCGGAACGTCCTGCATGATACTGAGCACCCAGCGATCCGCCTGTCATGCCATGCCATGAGGCAGCGAGGCCCACGATTTCCCACTTGCCGGTATAGAACTTGGCTAGTCGAATGGCGGCTTCGTTGCTTTCCCCTCCAGTGGACAAGAAGAAAGCCTTGTCGAGCCCGGCAGGCGCGACGCTAGTTAGTCGTTTCGCAAGGTGAATCACCGGAGGGCTAATCATGCCGCTAAAAAGATGATCGAGGTGCTGCGCATGATCCGCAATCACTTTCACAACTTCAGGGTGGCCATGTCCGATCAAAGTACTCATTTGGCCAGAGGTGAACTATAGATTGTGCTTAGAATTGAGTTCGCGACGTGCTCCAGGGCTTGGAGCCACTTACATCCATCATTCGGTGGCCCGAAGCTGTCTCGACGTTAATGCCATCAGTTGAAGTGATGATTTCCGGATGAAATGCAGTTCCATATGTAAGTAGACAGTCGTCCGCGTCACGCTGAAGCTGCGCAATTTTTGCATCTGCATATGGAAGAGAAGACATGGTATCCGTCTGGCTACAATTGTACTGATGATTGGAGAACAGGATGTTTGGAGGTGCTTGTGTTCATCATGCTAAATCTTTGGGCGTTATATAGATAAGCTTGCGTACTGATCGTCCTCTACGGAAAGGTGCGCATGAAGGCACATTGTTACCTTTTCCGACGGAGACGTTAAGAGCATCGAAGAACAGACACGTGATCTCTATCCCGTCGGAAAGAAAGTGACGGGGGTGAGGTAGTGATAAGTAATCGATTGGAGCGGTCATGGCGGTGTCGCAAGAGATAACCCCTACAGTATCCGTGCACCAGTTGAACAGGGTCGCCAGTTGAACACCCCACCCACAACAGCAACTCAACTTCAACGCGTCATAACTCAACTAATATGAATCTGATTTAAGGAGCGATTGCAGAAATCGAATCGCGTGATTTAGGAGATGAATTCTCGTACTCACAAATTGCTAAAAAGTATGGCGTCAACCGCGTTACGCTGATGAGACGGCATAAACACGAACACGAGGCCTATGGCGTACGCAACCTCTCCCTCTACCCACAACACGAAGCTGAGCTTGTACGATACGTCAAAACGCTTACCGAACGACGTTTGCCACCTATAAGAACAATGGTACAGCAGTTTGCTAGTGAGTTGGCTAGCAAACAGGTCTCCGAAAGCTGGGTTACCTGGTTCCTCCGCCGGCATCCTAACCATCTCATCTCTCGCTCTAGCAAAGCCATGGCTAAGGAGCGGACTAAAGCTGATTTAGGAGCCAAGTACTGCTTGTACTTTAAGCTTTTGCATGAAAAGATGGAGGAGTACAACATACAGCCGATCTATATATTTAATATGGACGAGAAGGGGTTTTAACTTAACGTAGGTCACAAGCGAGTGGAACCTTCAAGCGAGTGGAACCTTCAAGCGAGTGGAACCTTTTTGCCAAGACCCAACCAAACCTGCAACTACGCACTACTATGCAGCACCGTTAAGAACAGTAATTAATATTCGTAGTAGCCTAATTTATTTAGAAATATCTACTACATCCTACGTACATGTGCGCGAGTTGTGTCCTACCTCGCCGCAGCGTCCACAGCGTCTTTAAGACGATTCGCCTACTTCAACGCGCGCCTTCTTCTTTGCCTTCTTCCCATCGCTGCGCGCCCCAAACTCCTTTAGAGTTGTTAGTCGAAGACCTTCCTCTACTACAAGGGTCCCCTCCTTCTGTACTCGCTTTCTTTTATACGATTTACGTCGCGTGGCGGCCTCGTTAGCTGCTTCAAGCTCAGCGATACGCTTTTGCGACAACACTAAAGCATGCGCCATTATCTCTGCGCCTTTAGAGAGGCTTTTCACCGCCTCAACCATCGAAGTAGGCGAGCTATCTACATGCCTCTGAGACCTCTCGAGAACTAGCTTCGTTTGAGACCCCAGTTCTACGGTATTACTTGGGGTTTGCGACTGCTAGGGACCGTCCTCGACGGTGGGTAACGGTAGAGTACGCAGGCGGACGTCGAGCGTCGATATAACAGCCTCTGGATCGAATGGAACTAAGCCAGCGCCTCGAAAGCCTCCTAGGATATTGCTCCTTGTAATAGAGGCCTTGTAGGCGGCAATAAAGCACGGTAAGAACTCTGTTTTCGTGATGTGGGTGATCTTATTGCGCATTAGCTTCTCAGCTTGGCACCCATACGCCTTCTTTAGCGGCGCAAAACAGCCAACGTTAAGCGGCTGCAGTAGGTACGAGGAGTGTAGAGGCATACAGAGGGTGATAATCTTCTTCTCCTCGCAGAGCTAGTGGAAATCGATCGAGCTGTAGCTCTCGTGACCGTCGAGAACTAGCAGGCGATAGCTGCCAACAACCCTCCCCTTTGTATACCTGTCAAAGTGCTCTAGCCACTTAATACTAAGCTTGTTTGTCGTCTAGCCGTTCTTGGAGACTGCAATTACCTAGTCTTGAGGCAGGCTCTCCTCCTTGTACCAGGCGGAGAGGTAGTGCTTGCCTTAGAAGATGATAAAGGGTAGAATCGCCCACCCCGTCGCGTTCATGCCCTAGATAGCTGTAACCTACTCCTAGTTGCCCTGCTGCACTGTCTTTGGCCGTCCTCGACGGTCTGCTGCTGTAACTACCGCGCCAGTCAATATCACGCCCATCATGAAGCTAGTCTCATTAAAGTTGTACGTGTCTTCGTCCTAGATGCCGTACTTAGCCTTCGTATTCTGTACTAGGCGGAACTAGCCTTGTATAACCTCAGGATCCTCGCAGAGGGCTCTACTATAGTCGTACTTTCGATTGAACTTGACTTTGAGCTTAGGGCGACGCTTTACAAAGTTTGCAGCCCACCTCTTGCTAACTGGCTTCTAATTGCGGATCTTAAGCAAAGAATTGGCCATCTCTTCAACGTCAGCAAGCCTAGGCGGATATCCTTGCTCTATTAGCTTAAGAACATGCCTAACAATCGCTACCTCTTTAGATCCTCGAAGAGCCATTAATTTAGGCTCACAATCGCGTCGATAGGGCGTTCCAGCGAGTCGTCTTCGTAGTGTGCTTTCAGAGACGTTATAGGTAGCTGCAGCGCGTCGCGGCTTAAATGTCGCGTCTTGTTAGATAGCCTGTAAGGCAAGCTGTATATTTCTTTCGTTTGAGGTCTTTTTAACATTGTTGCGTTAAGACATTACAGGTAGGCTTCAAGTTTGGTTGGGTCTTGGCAAAAAGGTTCCACTCGCTTGAAGGTTCCACTCGCTTGTGACCTACGTTAGACGAGTTAGTAGAACGAAGCGTATCTTTAACAAGAGACTCTACGAGCAAAAAGGGGTAAGGTAAGCCCTTGAAGATGGTTCAAGCGAGTGGATAACAGTGATGGCTTGTATTTGTTCGGATGGCAAAGCTTTAAGTCTAACACTTATCTTCTAGGGAGCTAACGGAGCTGTTTAATTAAGCTGGGTTGATGCTATACAAGCAGGGGAGCACTTAGTATTTGTTACCTTATCTCCCTCTGGTTGGAGCAACAACGATATTAGGTTAGCTTGGCTTAAGGGGGTGTTTGAGAGAGAAACTAGACGGCATGCTTTAACTAGGTATCGATTACTACTCCTTAACGGCTACGGATCCTATGTAACTATGAAGTTTATTGAATATTGTAACGATAAAAAGATCCTGTTGGCTGTATTCCCCCCTTACGCTACCTATACGCTTTAACCCCTTGACGTTTGTATGTTTAAACCCCTCTCGAACGCTTACTTAACTTAGTTGGCTGGATACCTTTAGGACAGCTAGGGGTTGCTTAATTTAACTAAAGGAGACTTCTTCCTGCTCTTCTGGAGGTCCTGGACCTTTGTATTTAAACCTCTACTTATTAAGAGGTCTTTTAAAGCTACTAGTATACACCTAGCTAACCTAGACGCTGTATGTCACGGTAACCACCGTGGTTCCCTTGACACTGAACGCGCTACAGAATCCGAGTGCTCCGCCAAGCACCCGAATTCTGCTGATTGGCCGGCCGGGCCTAGCGCCATGCGCACGGCCCCCGTCGATAACTTCTCACCGCCTGTACATGCTGATTCTGTTTCCTTACGCAACGTCTTGTATTACACCAGATATCGTACGTAGCCACAATTAACGCTTCTAGTAAGCTCTTAAACACGTGCTCGTAGCATCTCGTGACAAACAGAAAGCGGAAGGCTGCAGAGAAGGCTGAAACAGACCACTAGAAGAGGCTCCGCGACGCTGCAAAAGCTATACAATTGCCCTAAAAGAGTAAGCGCAAAGCTTTACAACCTTATAAGCTAGCTACAAAGCGTTAAAAGCGTGTTGGGGTTGCTCTAGCTGTAGTAGGAGTCGCAAGCGTTGCACTGGGTACTCTAGCGCGTAGGCGCCGTTCACGACTAATACAGCCCTTAAAAAAATTATTTGACTAGCGCAAAACTCTCCCAGGCCTGTGTATAGTACAAATTATTATTTGCGCAATTTTATTACGACAGGTGGGGGCTCTACAAGTCTATCTTTTTGAAAATATTTTGTTGTTGGGGTGTTCAACTGGCGACCCTGTTCAACTGGTGCACGGATACTGTAGCTAGCTACGGACGGTGGTTGATACACGATGGATATGCTACGGAAACCAAGAACGCGATCGCGCTAAGTCCAGATAACATTATGACTTGCATTTAAAGGCCTATGCACTCCACATCGACACATGCCAGTTTCAAGACCTTGCTGTTATTGTTGTTTTTCATTAGAACTGGTGGCTTCCTTCCCCAATGTTCCAAGGTTGCGTACCGCGCCAGCGACCTCAGCCAGAGCTGTAGTTTCCCTCCACCCAGCCACCTAAATTTTAATGTAACAAGTCAGTATATGTCTCACACGTAGTTCGTAAAAGGAGGCTTGCTTACCGTCAACAAACCACGACGCTTTCGTAACGTGAGCAGCCTCATCACCAAGTAGAAAAGCGACGGACCCAGCAATCTCCCATGTTTCTGGGAGCTCACGATTCAGAATACACGGAATGTTATCTTTATTAAGATGGAATTGGCCATTCGGCGAGTTGAATGGTTGCGTCATCATTGGTGTGTTGAAGCATCCACTACTAATGATCAGCTCAGATTCTCGTCGATTACTACTATCACTTACGGGCACAGCGCGTTAACTCTGACTCGCCTTGATGCTCCTTCAAAAGCAGCAACTTTCGTCAAGCCGATAAGTGCATGTTTAGCTGCGACGTAGGCTGATGTGCCATATGTGGCGTACTATAGGGGTGAAGGTAGGAAGTCAGTGTGTGTCTCACATGCATTTCATACAGTCTCAACTTACCTGGCTCGCAATGCTTCCGACGTTTACGATCGAGCCACCATCTTTGATGGCCTTCATCTCTTCTTTCAAACAATGAAAGGTGCCGACAACGTTTACGTTGACTAGTCTCGCAAAGTATTCTGGGTCAAGATCTGTGATCGGGAAGATTTCACGTTGTTCCACCGCTAAGCATTCGACTAAAAACGTCTCAAACGCCTGGAAAAGCTAGTCGAGCTTACCTGCAACGTTTGCAGCCCCATCGAGCTTTCCAAACTTAGCCACAGTCTCTTCGATCCAAGAACGAACACTATCCAGATTGGCAATGTCCACAATACACGTCCAGTACCGGCTCTTGGCATCTGGAAGTTCATCGTCAATCTCTTTGGCAGCTTTGGAGAGATTATCAGCTGAAGTTGCACACATAGAGACCTACATGTAAGTGTATAGAGTCAGTATATATATCATGTGTAGTTCGTAAAGGGACATTACTGACAGTGGCACCCCGAACCAGCAAGTACTTGCTAAGAGCTAGACCCAGACCTCAGCTGGCTCCAGTAACAGCGATAACCTTTCCATCAAAAGGAAGGGGGTTGACGGCATACGGAAGGGGTTTCGACATGTCGCCCATAATGACACACCGCAAAACATGAAGAGTATACTACAACACGAGTTCGACAGCATCCTGCCGCTCATATACCCTACAGCCATCGGTACCTCTTGAGTAATGACCGCAAGCAACGAGTCGTCTCTGCACAACCGCGCCGCAGATGCACATGAACCAACCCATGGACAGGGCCGCTGCTTGGTTACTTGGACCCGTGCCCACGTGGTAAATAACATTGCATCCTTCTGTAGGGCACTACGTTGTGCCGTAGCCTGTTCAGGAAACCCACCCCCGGGGCTAGCGCAATCCATCCGCGCCGCAGATGTGCAGACAGTCCCACAGCCATATCATCAGAAACAATATCTCCTAGAAATCAATCGTCTTGAGGTGCCTGTCTCGGTCTTACAAAGTCGCTGAGACCTCGTCATTGTACAATCAGATACTCTTATCCCAAACTTGAAGACGAATGAAATGCTGGGCACATCGCTGGCTGAGGAGAATGATTCTGGGTTCAAGCCAGTATAATCTCGTCACATTCATGGATCCGAGTTCGCCTTATAGATATCTACCGGAAAAAATGTGATCAAAAGGGATGCACCGAGATTTGGTGACGCATAGCAACCACTCCATTGGTACCATGTAACGATGAGGCGCAGTTAAATCTAGAAAGCCGATGGGTCGACTCGGGGTTTATAAACATGCGTATTTTACCTTAGCTGTCAGACTTTAGATCTCAAGTTACAAAGTATCCTAGATTAACGAGGATGAGTGTGACATCAGTTTACGTGGCGGTGCCACCGTCCGGTCAGATCAGACATGCAGTTGACCCACCGAATCTTCACAGAGAGCTTGCTGCTGTTGGAATCTCGACAACCACACTTGCTCTGGTAGCGGTAATCTTACAGCTCTTCACACGAGCGCATGTGACAAAAATGGGTATGGGGATTCTATTACTCTCGCAAAGCTGAACGATTTCTAGATATGAAATCCGGCTTGGGCTACCATATGTGGGAAGTCAGGACCAGAAAGCTGTATGTTTCCTTTTCAGAAGGTACGTGTAGCACTACAAGCGTATCGTTGCGCGACTGAGAAATCACACAGTGGACGCTAGTTGATACAATCCTATATGCCACCAGCCTCGCCTTCTCAAAGCTCTCTATCTTACTTTTCTACCTACGTTTGTCACCACAGAAATGGTTCCGCACGTTGGTCTGGATTCTCATCGCCTGTGTCGTAACCTACGCAACAGTTTACGACCTTGTCAGCATCTTCGGCTGTAGACCGATAGCGGCTACATGGGATCTCACACTCTTGCCCGGCGCTACATGTATGGATCCATCGACAAAATACATGGCGCTCTCAGTACTCAATATCATCATCGACGTGTTTACCTTGGTGCTTCCGATCCCCATTATTGCAAGACTACGGATGCCGCGGAGACAAAAGATCACTGTGTGTGGCATATTCGCGACCGGAGGGTTGTGAGTTACAGCATTTGTTGTCCAGAAAAACTCTGCTGACTATGTGTGCAGCGTCTGTGTAGTAGCAATTCGTCGAACGACACTCTTGAAACCGCTCATGATCTCAACAGACTATACATGGGACGCGGTCGAACAGTTTCAGTGGTGTTTTGCTGAAGTCAATGCTGGAATAGTCTGCGCCTGCGCTCCCGCCCTCAAGCCTTTCTTTGCACGCTACATCCCTGGTCTTCTATATTACCACTTTCGCAGTAACAACCGAGAAAATGATGGATCGAAGGACCATGAGCCAAGGCTACCTCCGTCAAATAGCCGGGAGCAAGCCAAGGAGGCATCTGAACTGCAACTGCGGGACGACATATCTGAGGAGACAGCAATGACGAAGCATAGTGGAGTTGATGACGAGACACAGCTCTGGCAAGGGACTGCAAACAAGGAAACTGAAAAGATATTGTTCACTACCTGTTCCGTTGGACGCGCCTGTTGATGGAGTGGCAGCTTCAACAACCTGACGTTCGGTAAGCTAGGAGACAATATCAATAGTTGCGACTTCTCGTCCGGCCTCGGTTGTAGTAGCACAGTATACGCATTGAGTTTGAAACCATCTGCTCATTGGCTCGCTCAAGTCTGCCGATTAACGCTTTCGAAGCTGTTATTGTATGCGCCAATGTGGCGCGGCCATCGACCATAGCTAAAGCGCTGCGCCGTAGGCCCCAACCTCGATCATCGAACAATGGCGATCCGTCTACAGGAACAGCGTCAAATAAAGTGATACAATCTGTTCCCATAAAACTTCCTGTCTTATACGATGGCGTGGCGAACGTTGACAGCCAGCAGCAAGGACGAGCGGCATGAAGCACAGTGGATAGCAGGTGGATCTCCAAGGAGACTACGTAGCTAATCTCCGCGGCTTCGGATACGCTAATGCATAGCCATCACATCCAGGCTACTTCGTTCACCATTGCCGTGCTTGAGTTCCGTATCGACATACCCCGTATGAGATAACTAGAATCATTGTCTTACCGTCCCTTGTCAAGTGCAACCTTCACAACGACTTTTTCATCTAGCAATGCTCTTTGGCTGAGCAAATTGTAGGGAGTCTCGATCTCGATCTTGATCTCGATCCGAAGGCGAGGCTCTGTGAATATCTCATCGGCTAGCTAGCCGTCTGTTTCGCCGGGATCGCATCCAACCACGTTGTGAACTTACCCTTTATAATAAAGAAGGCCGCAGCAGCTGTAAGCCAACAACAGCCCAGTAGCTAGGGTTCTGTACCCAAAGAAGAGTTTTGCGTCCGAAAGCTTGCTGATGTGATTTCTAGCAAATCTTGTAGTGCTCGAGAGCTGAATTTGGAAGAAAAGATATACTGTAATGGGGGCGGGAGAAGTGTTTTAGTGGCGTAGTGGAAGATACACAAGAGCGTCTGGGCCACGGCAGTAGAGGTATGCGATACATACAAGGTTCGCTGTGGCTACAACACGAGAACCTTGGCCTGAAGTAGACACTGGACATGTCACGGGGAGTGTCGGACGCTCTTGCTCAGCCTTGAGGGTTACAAGACGTTGATCTTGCTCTGGTGTGTGCGCAGCTACGTACTTACGATGCGTCCACGGGTGAGATCACGCTCTTTGAAACCCGTTTTGCGCTACGCTTAAAACAGTCAAGTGGACGATTAGCGCGTCACAATCCGGATCATCCCCACCTCTAGGGCGCACTAACAACGCTCCCGTCGGCAATTTAATACCACACAAGACGAACCTTGCAAGACCCCGGCAAATATGACGGATCCCGAAGAGTTGCTGGACCTCTACGATATCGCGGTTTTACTCAACTATGAACGGAACATTACGGAACCTCGGTTTCGACACACTAAATTAAGAGAAGTCGCCTATCCGGGTACGCTGTAGAACAGAAAGAAAGGTTGATTCATGCCTAACCAAACATTCCTAGGTACGCAACCACAAACAATCGCACTCAAAAGTCCGGTAAACCAAGGCTGGAATGATAACGCGTGTACCTGGATTGTACTAGATCAACAACAAGCGAATAATCCGAATGGTCCAGATTTACCGACAGAGTTCTTACAGCAGGACAAAGTCATAGACAGCCCGCTCTCGAACGAGCAATTGGAGACTCTATTTCACCAAGCTCGCAATCATGATGGCTCCTATCAGGCCATCAGTCTTCTCCAAATGTTCTTTGCTCTCTTTGGGAAGGACACAAAGTTGAGGGTGAGACATGCACCTTATGGTAAGGAGCCAGGTTCGTCTTATACGACAACGATTAGTAGGCGTGTCATCATCGAAGAGTCCTTCCGCAACCCGAAATTCACCACCGCCATCTGCGTACTCCCGGAGGGTTCAATGCACGCCACTGGTCACGAGCCACATCTCAGACACGCGGTCGTAGGATTCTCCCCACCCGACAGCGACACCGTTCAGTCCTTTCTCGATCTCTCTTCCATGCAGTTTGGCGATATAGGACGCGGACCCGGGCCAAAAGGAAAGCAATTATTTGCTCTGGATACTCCTGAAGAGTTTGCGATGCGTTTTAGTAAATTGGCGACGGGTGCAGACCCAAGTAAAAGCCAACGCATTCTGGCGACAAGCGGTACACCTGTAGATGACTGGCTCGGAGAAGTGGCATTGAGAGCGAAGAAGAGGTGGGATAACCGAGCGAAAGAGAAGTGGTGCGGTCATTGCGGAGCCCCAAGCGCGAAGTCCAAGTGTGCTGGATGTGGTGATGCGTACTATTGCGGGAGAGACCATCAGAAGATGGCTTGGGGCTTTCACAAGGGTTATTGCTCAAAGCCATGATGGATTCATCGGATGGCATGACCATCAGCACGTCAAGATATCGCAACCAGCCGCACTATGCAAAAAGACTCGCCCGCTGTATACTTCCTGCTGGAACATCCGTTATGGCCCTCTTTCGAGATGTACAACAGAGGGTATAATTAATAAAGACTAGAAGTATGTCGTACTTGATAGGCACACTGATCTCTCGCCCACCATGTGACATGCAGTATGATCCTGTTCAAGAAAGGACAGAGACATTGACCGCTCTCTGAGAGCGTGAGCATATTAATTACGATCCACCACAGTATCTTCGTACTCACGTCCTCCCAGCCGGTAGCTCATTAACGTTGGCCGGAACCGCCGGCAGCATGGACGGTGTATATTGCTGTACAGGACTCACTGGTCCACTAGTATCTGCATAGTAAGGATTTGCCTGCACTGGATTCGTCGCAGCTGGTGTCTTCTCGGGCATTGCATAGCCGCCCTGCTGCTGCGCAGCATACGCAGACTGAGCATTAGGATCATAGAACTGCGGCGCCTGTTGTGCGTTGGGATCATAGTGACCGTAGTGTTGTTGGTGTTGAGGAGGTGGGGAAGGCATCTGTTGGACCTGCTGCTGAGGAACGGGCTTTTGCTCATGGTAGTATTGGACACCTGCTGGTGGGGCTTGGGGTGCGGTGGGTGGTAGTTGCGTGTTATTGTTAGTGGTGGTGGTGTTCTGCTGCTTCTTCTTGCGACGGAGGAGGAAGAAGACGCCTAGGACGACAGCGGCTAGGAGAGCGACGCCACCGACCACTCCACCAGCGATGGCGCCAACTGGAGTTGATTTCTTGGTTTCCTTAGCTTCTGCCAAAGGTGGGAGAGCTTCCGGTATATCTGAGGATCCTGGGGAAGCGGAACGGGAGACCGGAGTGAATGATGAAAATAGGGGAGTATTCGTTGATCGGCCCGTATTTGGGGAGGTTGAGGAGTCTTTGAAATATATTGTTAGCAGACGCGTGGTTGGGAATATGAAAAGATTTGCATACCATCATCAGGTGTGACCATCAAGATCAATCCACCCGTCTCTGTCTTAGCATCACACCAGTAGTTAGTCAATGGTGCAGGGTCATTGATGTCCGTTGCCAATTCCCAGTAGGAACACGTGCTGCTTGCGCCTCCACTGTTATACCATGTCAACATCCAGTATGGAAACAATCGGAAGATCGAACATGAGGTGGTGCAACGTACCAGAAGATGCTTGTGGTTGGGAAAACAGCATAGTCATTTTCACAAGAGAAGAATTCGCAAAGTGACTCTGGTGCACAAATTTTGTAAAGGCTACCGCTCGTTGCGATCACATGGCCCTCGTTATTTGCGGTGATAGTTTCATCTGATCAGTCTTAGTATCCGCGAGAGTTCGATTTGGGTGATCACTCTTACATAGTGTAGTACTGCCATACATGCCCGTAGATATGTACCCGATGGTAGTGATATCCCTGATAGCTAGTGGAGCAGCTGTAGCAGCGGGCGCAGGCGTGACAGCAGGCGTCGGCGCCCGTATCATAGCAGCGTTCACATATTCCGAAGAAAAGAGAACGACCAGCAGCGGACTAAGCTTGGTATATGCCATGGCGCCCAGGACTCGGATATTTACAAGAATGAGAATGAGAATAGTCCTGCCGCGAAAGAGCAGACTCTCCAAGCTAAGTACCAATATTGGGTTGCGAGCAATGCGAAAGGTGCTGCGCCATAAGCCGTGCAGTGACCCGCTGGGGCTTGCATGCCGCGGTTAAGATACGAGAAAAGGGTATTGGCAGGCTGATCACCTGAGATCTGTGTCAATTGAGGCTTGAGCGAAGAGTACAAACGAACTTGCTTCTCAAACAGAAGAGATCGTTGGGATAGCTGGACGATATTTCTTGTTATTATTGCCGTTCCCTCAGTACTGAAAACTCAAATGTTCCTCACCTAAGCATACCATCCGTCTGGACGCTAGATGCAACGGTGACCGCTGCAGGGACGACGGGTGTATAACGAGCATGGGGTAGCGAGGTGGATGTTTGTTTCTTCTTCAGCTCGCTTGTGCAGCCTCTTGATAGGTCACAACGTAAGCCACGCGGACCCAATACAGCCGTGCGCTTCCCCATCTAGGTGACCACCAGGCACGTCGGATCTTTTGATCGCAAGATAGTCTCACCGGTAAGGCATGTGCTGGCGGCGCGGCAGATTCGCATGTAGATCCCTGTTGTGGTATTGGAGTGCCGAAGCGGGACACAAACTTGGAGCGCAAGATTTTGAGAAGACTCCTCGTTCTTTGAACTAACAGCTGTTGAATATGAACCATCGTCCGATTGTAAAGTCAAAGGGCTGTTTGGTGTGGTTTGAGGTCCGCAAGGCTGAGTTGCCTACACAGCCTTGAGAACAGGTGCTGGGTTCGGTCCGAAAGGTCCTACATATTAACTGCATTCAGCATTTGGCCCCCAAACTTATCATGAGTCAGTGCCTCGGCAAGCAGGTTTCTGGTCAAAGTCCTCAGTGTGTTGTTCAAAACTGAGTGGGGACGGAGGATTAGCATCTTGCACGTGGGCTTTGAGCCTTCATTACGCTTTCGTTATCTTTTCAGTCGGTTCTATCTCTTCTCGACGCTAGGACATCTAATGTCCATGGCCGTCGTCACCACCTCCGCCTTGCTCCTCTGGATCCAGCTTGATCAGGGTATCGATCCGCATAATGGCCACACACGCTTCCACTGCTGACTTCAACTGCTTGACCTTGCTCATGCTGGGTTCCAGCACACCGGCTTTTAGGCAGTCGTGTACCTTACCGTTCATCAGGTCCAGACCATAGTTCTTGTAGTTCTTGGACTTGGCCAGCTGCTTCGCATCTTGCGACGAGGGGTCTGAAGGGTTCACTGTTCGCTGTGAAAGAGCGTGCCGTGATCGGAGGTTAGCGACAAGCTCAGTAGCGTCCTTGGCGGCGTTGATGGCAAGAGTCTTGGGGATAGCAAGAAGAGACTGGGCAAAGGCAGCTATCGCCAGCTGTTCCCGAGAGCCCTGGATGAATATGTTTAGTGATACTGTTCGACACACAAAGATTGAAGTGACTTACCACCGACGTTGCCCACTCTTCCAGGTAGATGTGCAACGCTGTCTCAACAGCACCTCCGCCAGGGACGATGCGTCCGCTCTCCAGAGTTCGCTTTACGGCTGATAATGAATCGTGTACTGATCGCTCCATCTCGTCCAAGGCGTAGTCGTTGGCACCTCGCAGGATGATGGATGCGGACGAGAAGGCCTTGGTGCCCTTGACCAGAATGCACTCGTCGTCGGAGATGCGCTCTTGCGAAACCTCCTCAGCATGACCAAGATTTGCCGCCTCGAACTTCTCATCACCATTCAGATCGGAAAGTGTGCTAACTAGCGTCGCTCCGGTGGCCTTCGCTATCCTTCGTAGATCCTCCTTCTTGCACCTTCGCACAGCCATAGCACCCTTCTCGATGAAGTGCTTCAAGCAAAGGTCGTCGATACCCTTTGTGGTCATGATAACGTTGGCACCGGCTTTCAAGATCATCTCAATGCGCTCAGTGACAATGCCAGCCTCGCGCTCTCGGATCTTCTCTAGCTGCTCCGGATCGTCGATAGTGATGTGAACACCTAGCTTCATTCGCTCCTTCTGCAGGTTGATGTCCAAGCAAGCAATCTTGGCGTCGGTGATGCGCGTCTTCATGGCTTGCGAGGCGACTGTGCAGTTGAGAGCGTATCCCTTGACCAGTATCGACTGGGTAGCGCTCTGGCCGTGTGCCTTGAGGATGTTGACAGCCTTTACGGGGTATTTGATCTCGGCCTTGTTGTTTGTCATCTTGACAGCCGTCATAGCGTCTACGACCATGTTGGCGAAGAAGTCGGAGTCGGAACCGATGATCTTGCTGGACATGGACGTCTTCGCGATGTTGACTAGCGAGTCCCGACCGAGCGCATCGACCTTGGTGCTGATGTTCTCGTTCATGTACTTGACCGCCTCCCTCAACGCCAGCCTGTAGCCTGTGATGATGGTGGTGGGGTGGATCTTGTTCTTCATGAGCTCGTTTGCTCTCCGCAGCAGCTCGGCTGCTATTATGACTACTGAAGTCGTGCCATCTCCGACTTCCTTGTCTTGTTGTTGTGCGAGGTCGACGAGGATTTTGCCTGCGGGGTGCTCGATATCAAGCAAACTGAGGATGGTAGCGCCGTCGTTGGTCACGGTAACGTCACCGATGTCGTCGACCATCATCTTGTCAAGACCCGAGGGCCCAAAGGACGACTTGACTACATTCGAGATTGCCTGGGTCGCAAGGACGTTTTGGTCGCGAATGTCCTGTCCGCTGATTTTCTGACCGCCGAGGACTGCACGTGTTAGCTTTTTGCGGCGTTCCTTTTGGCGTTTCCAGCTTACACAGAGTTCCTCCGCTACGCGACTGTTCGAAGATTCCTGCCATTGTGTCGGGTTATAGCTATTCTGCTTCGTTGTTGCTGCCTCTACGCGGTCCAGAAAATCTCCAGCAACGCCCGCCCGCGCGGCGAATCGTAGCTCCGTTGGTCAGTCGCGCTAGTCTGGACCCCTGCGCCGATGACTCGGCCCCCTCCACACATTTGGTGGTCGACTCACACGAGACTGCAACGAGCCGACTCTGTCTTAGCTTTGGGTGAGTCCGCTGTATTTCCATAACCTATACCTCAGGTTCCAGACTTCTTCCTCAACTTTCTACAACTCAATTGCGCGTAAGCAACCCCAAGTCGCGTGTTGATACCCCGCCTGCCCCGCCAACTCCTCACATATACAAAGGGTTTCTGGCACAACATCTATACCTATCGCGATCCCGATAGCATTTTCCATATTAGCTGTCGATGCTACTATACCCCCAACGGCGCTAACATTGCTATCCTAGAATAATTCAACATGGCCGAAGCCACTGCTGCCGACGGGCAGATGAAGGATCTTTCCATCTCCCAGACCAAGAAGAGCAAGAAGGATGGCAACCCTCAGAAAGCCGCGAAGAAGCCCCAACAGCAAAAGAAGAAGGTCAGTTCGGGACTTCAGATGTACTTCCCAAATCGGACGCGATATTGACTATGTGACAGATCGAGGGCTCAGCGCTCATTGGTATCGATGTCGCAAAGGAGACTGACCTAGGAGACTGGTACCAGCAAGTCATTACCAAGGGACAGATGATCTCATACTACGACGTCGCTGGATGCTACATCCTCGAGCCCTCCTCATACGCCATCTGGGAGAACATCAAGTCATGGTTCGATGGCCAGATCAAGACACTCAAAGTCCGAAACGCCTATTTCCCCATCTTCATCAGCGCAGATAACTTGGAGCGAGAGAAGGAGCATGTTGAAGGTTTCGCTGCCGAGGTCGCGTGGGTGACCAAGGGTGGAAAGTCTGACCTTGAGAAGCCCGTTGCTGTGCGCCCTACCTCAGAGACCGCCATGTACCCCTACTTCGCGCGCAAGATCCAGTCGCATCGCGATCTGCCCCTGAAGCTGAACCAGTGGAACAACGTTGTTCGGTGGGAGTTTAAGCGTGAGTACCCAATGGACCTTTGCGTCGCCTACGTCTAACCCATGTTTAGACCCCATGCCCTTCATCCGATCGCGCGAGTTCTTATGGCAAGAAGGCCACACCGCACATCTTACCCAGAAAGAGGCGAGCGATGAGGTACTACAAATTCTGGACTGGTACTCTGATGTTTACCAGGAACTGCTTGCCGTTCCCGTAGTGAAGGGAACAAAGACCGTCAACGAGAAGTTCCCCGGAGCTGACTACACCACAACCGTCGAGGGGTTCATTCCCGCTACTGGACGTGGTATTCAAGCTGCAACATCACACGCCCTTGGCCAACATTTCTCAAAGATGTTCAACATCACAGTCGAGGACCCTACGGCAAAAGAAGCCGGCAAGTCGGAACACGTCCACGTATGGCAGAACTCATGGGGTCTGACTACCCGCTCGATCGGTGTCATGATTCTGACTCACGGAGACAACCGAGGTCTAGTCATTCCTCCTAGGGTGGCTGAGATCCAAGTTGTTGTCATTCCTGTGGGAGTTACCGCCAAGTATGTTTATCACTGATGACTGATAAATGCCACCATGCTAACGAGATCAGGATGTCTGCCGAGGCCAAGGAAGATCTTTACAGCAAGGTCAGGAAGATATCTGACGACCTTACTGAGGCTGGTGTTCGCGTCGAGACCGACTACCGTGAGGGCTACTCTCCCGGCTGGAAGTTCAACGACTGGGAATTGAAGGGTATTCCTCTGCGTATCGAGTTCGGTCCCAAGGATGCTGAGAAGGGCGTTGTTACCACTTCCCGCCGCGACATCGATGACAAGGATGCCGCACGTGGCACCATCGACGTTGACAGCCTTGCGCAAGAAGTTCCCAAGCTACTCGAGCAGATCCAGAAAGACATGTTCAACAAGGCTGACAAGGCATACCGAGACCACCGTATCCAGCTTACCAACTGGGACGACTTCGTCCCCACCCTCAACGGCAAGAACGTCGTTCTGGTTCCCCACTGCGAGGGCGACAAGTGTGAAGACGAGGTCAAGGCGAAGAGCGCGCGCTCAGCGCTCGGCGATGGCGTTGCCGAAGATAAGCAGGCTCCAGCCATGGGTGCAAAGAGTTTGTGCATTCCCTTCGACCAGCCTGAGGGCATCGAGCCTGGCAAGACCAAGTGCATCAACCCCGACTGCCAGACTCCTGCCAAGCAATGGATCTTGTTCGGACGAAGCTACTAGTGCTTCACCATTTGGCCGGGTTTACGTTTTTGTTTGAGCATTTGGTGGCATGGAGTTTGATGGCACGGTGTTCACGGCATGGAGGAGGGGTTGTCGTCACACTGGTCATTTACGATTTTGCAATGTTGATACAGCCTTTAGCATAGAACTAGAAGTTCTGATTCGCCAAGCTAATCTCGTCTTCCTGTGTGTACTATGTGGGTGTTAGATGGGCAAACACGTGGGCCAGCAAACGGGTAAAGGTGATGTGAACAAGATAAGCCAGCGCTTACACACCGATTATGAATGACAGAACCGCTACCCGTTTTTAACCACATTGTATTGCGTGACACTGTTACAACTCACCTCTACACTGTCACTCTGCCGCTCATCTACTCTGATATTCCAGCTCTCAATCCTAAACACCCTATCAGTTCATCCACCAAGAATCCAAACTCCCTCAGAGAACCTCACCGTTGACTAAAAATGTGTCATAAACTTCTTCAAGTCTACGCTTGTAACCACAACAAAATCATTTGTACCACGCCATGCCCCTACGCCATCGCTACAGGACGCAAGATTCCCGACGACAATCACGGAAACATGTCCGAGTTGTCGCGCTCAAGCTCCGTTATATCCTCCATAACGCCCTCGACGACTGCTTCCCCACCGAGAGCTGCGGTACTGAGCAGCCAAGTACAAGGACTGCAGCAGGGTGATGGCGCACCAGCATTCCGCTTCGTAGCGCCTACTATAGGACAAGAAGGTCCCCCAGCGTCCAGGTCTCCAACATCTCCATCTTCCAATGCACCTTCACCCAGCTTTTCCACCACCAGTACCCTCGTTGATGTGCCCATCTCATCCTCACCTTCGACATTCTTTACTCCCGCGAATCAGGAGATCGACACTACGTGAGCATCTTCCTCTTCCCTCTTATCCTTGCCCCCCCTTTTCTTTCCAAGGCTCAATTACTAACATTTACACAGCACCGTGGAGCCAAATTTCTGCGCCTACCACTTTCCCCACTATCTTACCCACTCGCGAGTACCTTGTGTAGGATGCTACTCGCAACCACAGTGGAAGAACCGACAGGACTCTTAGATGAATGCATATCGGGAACAACATCCAGGAGTCACGGAGGATATTGAGAACTTGAGCGGGGTGAGTGTCGTCAAAGAACGATTTGGTAGGTAATCGATTTCTCCATTGAACTCAAGGAGAAAGAGAAGAGCAGATAGTAAGATGTAAACCTTGTGAAGGTCTGATAGCGGTTTGCTAATTACCCGAACCTGATGTAGATTTTCATAAGTGGACAGGAAGCGGCCTTCTAGGAGAAAAAAAAACGGGAAAACTTGGATAGTGGACAGAAATGGATGAATTGCCCTACCTGTGCCATGCAATACTCATTTTATTGGTCGTCATCTATGTATGCATAAGTCGTATATCGGTCGTCATTCAATGCCGGACTGTATCCAAGCCTCCACAACCACTTGGTCATCTAGCTAGTGTCCATTTCGTCATCACCCTTCTTCTCCTTCTCGACAGTCTTCTTGACACCCTCCAAGAATGCCTTGACCGCGTCCGGGCCACCAAGTGGCATTCCTCCACCTCTAATGTAGCCTCCGTTCTCAACATCAATCTTCAGTGCCTGGCTGACGGTCGGCAGGGCACCGGTCTTCAGCGCTTCTGTCAAACTACCCAAAGCCGCCCTTAACTGGGGTGCTCGTAGAACCCGATTTAGTACCTCGATCTTCTCATCTCGGCCCAGCGTCTGGATAGCCATCTGTGCGGTCTCGGAGTTCGGGTCGATTTCGTCGATATCTTCTACTTCGGCTTCTAGGAGGAAAGGAGTTGTCGGTAGCTGTGCACACAGGGCGTCGATGAGTTCGTCGGACGCATTCTGAACGGTCGGGAGGGTATGTGAAGGCCAGAGGAGGTCGAGGAGGGTAGTGAAGGGTTCTGAGCCTCGTTGTTGTGAGCTGCCGCCTGCGTTGCCGCCCTTGAGCGAGTTCATAAAGTCTTGGACAATGGCAGAGACGTCACCCGAGCCGGCTCTGTCGACACGTTAGCGGTATGTTCTAGAAGCAAAAACAAAGTAAAAACGCGAAACGAGCGTCGCGGCGTGGCCAGTGGAAAACGGAGCATGATGCTTATTTTCTATTGTTGTACATGAGCAGCCAGTACCAATTGCCATATGTTTGGATGGTCTTATGCTTCTCCCAAAACGCCGTACCGTAACAGGATATCTTTAGAGTTTTGTAAAGAGTGGTTGATAGTCTTCCACAGCAGCTCGATTCTTTCCGGAAAGGTAGACCGCGCCACGACGCCGGATGCGATACAAATAGACGGAACCTACGCTCGACCACCATCGGCGCCTCCTTCTCGGGACTCTTCGCCTTCATCTCGGATGTCACCGCCCGTGGCACCAGCCCCTGCGCCTCCGGTGCTACCGTGGCGGTTTCGGCTGGATGGCTCTACGTCTTCCATTGACTCGTCCTCATCATTGCCAGATGAGTTTGAGATACCTGCGAGTTCAGCCTGCACATCAATCTCTTCGCCCGTCAGCAGTAAATCAATTACTTGTCCGATCTTGAGATCACGCTCGCTGAACCAGCTCGCACCCCGCGGGTGCTGCGACTTTGATTGTAACCAGAAGAGATGGCGTTGTGAGCTCGAGCTGAACTTGAGGACGAAGATGCGACCGTCGGTGGGTGACTTGATGTTCTCGGAGTCGTCGACGGAGTCTTTGCCGGTGTAGGGTTGGAAAGAGCCATCACCGGGGATCATGATTAGGTCGAGATCGGACTGGTCGAGTGGGCGGTCGCGTGGTCGCCAGCAGAAGTGCACAAATTCTAGGAATGTAAGCTGATGAACAGAGTGTTTTGGTCGCGAACAAACCATCTTCTCCTTGGTACAGATAAACATAGCCAGGTGTCGGTACTGGCTTGACTGTCTGTTGGTTGCCTTCTCCGCGCTGTATTTGTTGTTAGTCTACGGCTCGATACCAAAGAGGCAGCATCGCTCACAGTCAGCTCGCACTGGCCGGCCTTGAAGGTGATGAGCGGTTGGACAGACATGTTTGTGGTGTGTGTTTGGTGTTGGGGCAATGATGTTCAGCCGCCATCCCGCAAGCATGGCCGCAAGCTGCAAGCTCCATGCGGGTTACGTAACCGACGGAACAACTCGCGGCCCGGTCGCGCGTATCGATTGGACAGCTTGGCACACATTCGAATTCACGAAAATACGATTCCATCGCCAACACCACCGACCAGCACTAACGACCACAGCGAAACGAAATGGCGGCCAAACAAGAGGACACGAAGCCCACCACCCAGAAGTTCTCCAAGGGGGAGAGGTCGATACCGCACCACTCGCAGAAGGCCAGCAAGTACTACCCTGCTGAGGACGTTGCTGTCCCCAAGAAGGTACGTTCGCGATAGAAGATGGTTTGCATGGAAGAGAAGGACTGCAGGGGTATTGGATGCCTTCACTGCGACACCATGCGGCGGATGTGTCTGGGTGTGCAAGGATGAGAATCAAGACGTCAATTGGAGCTCCGCTAACTGCGACTCAAGGCCCGCAAGTCTGTCCGCCCTGCGAAGGTTCGCGAGTCCCTCCAGCCCGGTACCGTCGTCATCCTCCTTGCTGGTCGCTTCCGCGGCAAGCGCGTCGTTGTCCTCAAGCACCTCTCCCAGGGTGTCCTCCTTGTTACCGGTCCCTTCAAAGTCAACGGTGTTCCCCTTCGACGAGTAAACGCCCGATATGTCATTGCCACCTCCACCAAGGTCGACCTGAAGGGCGTAGACGAGAAGGTCATTGAGAAGGCTAGCCAGGACGGTTACTTCACCAAGGACAAGGCCGCCCACAAGCCTGGTGAGGATGCGTTCTTCAAGCAGGGCGAGAAGCCCGAGGTACGTACCCATGACTGAGCCGGAACGCGACAGCACTGACAAATTCGACAGAAGAAGGAGACCTCCAAGGACCGCGTCGAGGACCAGAAGGCCGTCGACAAGGCTCTTCTGGCCACCATTAAGAAGGAGGCTCACCTCGCCGACTACCTCGGTGCCAGCTTCAGCCTCCGTAGCTCAGACAGGCCTCACCAGATGGTCTTCTAAGCGACGGATAACGATCGGGCATTCGGCGTTCAGTGCATGGGATGAAAGATGACTTCGGCATACTGCAGCCGTACTAGCGAGGAACAAGAACCGCAGCGGCACGGCAGCCAATTTTTTTTCATGGAGGATACCGACAAGGCATTTACCATAAGACTTTATAACAAGCAAGCGAATCTGAGACGGTCCAAAAGTGAACATTTGGTCACCGCTTGCGTGATGTCATAGTTGGGCGTTCAATTGGCGCGGTATATACTGGGCGGTAATCGAGAGTACTGATGCATGAAATAGACATACAGACGTTACATTATTCGACCGATACTGCGCCGACTGCCACGCGAACTCCAAGCGACATGATGTGAGGGTATCAGAAGCGACAGCTAATCAAGGGTATTCTCCACCACCAAACCAATTGCGCCAACACGATTCAAGGTCATGCCTCGTTACAACCCATTGCTTGCCGATTGACCTACTTCTTCCCTCTCCCCTTCTTAGCCCTATCAAACTTCCCTGCCAGCCCGTTGGCCGTATCCCCCGCGCTGTTTATAGCTTTCCCCGCCTTGCCCTCCACATCATGCTTCTCCATCTCCGCCTTCAAGTCCTCAACAACGTCCTTGCCCAACGTCGTTCCGTGGCACCAGTCCAAGACACCTAGGCATCCATAGTTGCCCTCTCCCTCACTCATCATGTGCGCATCAGCACGTCGCGCCATACCTCGCAACATGATAGTTGAGGGTAGAACATTGTAGCCAGAGTACACAAATGTCTCCTCCAGACTGAAGATAGCGATCAGGATCAAATAGGTAAGGATATGCATCCGTAGAGCAATCGCTGGAAGGTAGAGGGGGAGAAAGCGGTGCAAGAGGTGGCAGATGGGATGGTCGTAATTTGCAGCGAAGGAGTATGGGATCTTGACGCTGTGATGCCAGCCTTGATGCAAGTCCGAGAGTGCTCCGCCGTTCGGTGAGTGCAGCAAGTGTGTATGGACATAGTATTGCAGGATCTAAGGCATGTTCGTTAGCACGGTTTACTGGACGGATATGATCAGGGTAACTTACATTGCGTGATACAAGTCCAATGATGCCATGTTTAACCATCGTCCACGGGTTTGGCAGATGATTCAATCCCCATTTACTGCCTTTGATGAGTAAGAGACTCCTCATTTGTAGTATGTCGGTAATCAGGAACTCGATGCCCGCTTGCAATGCAACAGTGAGCAGTACATTCGCACAGCTCCACGCTATAACCCTCCTCACTGCTCTTGCGCCACCCTTTTGGTTGCTTGGAATACCCCATTGTCCTTGCGATTTGAACTCAACTGCTAAACTCGGTACGCCGATATCAAATAGCAAGAAGATCAGGCTAGGAATGATGTACAGAGATAGTCGAAGGACCAGTGGTGCAACTAGCTCAAGCTGGAGAGGAGAGTAAGATGCAGCGATCGTTGTCCATGCAACAGAGAGGAAGATAAGATTTAAGCCTGTAGACCAGGAGGATAGCATAGGAATAGCTAAGAATGAGCCCAGTGGTAAGGCGATAGGCGCAAGGACGGAGGACAATAGTGCGCCCATGCTGACGACGTTGCTTAAGTGGAGATAATCGATGCTCTGGGGCCTTGGGAGTAGAAAGGTACGTGTATGCACATCGTCATGTGAGAGGCGGGGAAACTAACAGATTCAGCTCGCGATAGGTATTTGTGGTTTGCGCTTGATTGCGATGTAGCGATGACGTAGGGCCAGTCGGCGAACTTGGTTCACGCCGCCAGCCGCGTGGGAACGCGTGCGTAGCGGTTTGGGCGAAATAAGCGAGGGCGCCTTGCCTCTTACCACTCTAGATCATTGGAACCTTTCACATATCTCACCCGTTCCTTGTCAGAGAACACTAGCGACGACTTGCATATGAAAGCAATGTGTTCTTCAGAGCAAAGTTCATCGTGACAATACGTATATGTGATAAGATCGCTCACCCTCGTCCTCAGAACCTTGTACTTTTGTTCCAGCCTTCTGCAGCTTGTTACAGCGACTAAGAGCTTCCTCTCCACTATTACATATCTCTCGCCGTCTCAGTATCATCGCCTCGTCGAGCGACCTCCACGCTTGTATTCAACTTAATCCTGCAGTCCAGAGCTATCTCTAACCTCCTCATATCTGGTCTTGTAAGACTCAGCTTCTTCAAACCGTTTCATCCAGATTTGTGCCTCTTCTTGAGCTGTCCGCGCTGCTGTTTCGGCATCACGAGCGAGGCCTTCTGCGATCATCAACCGGATGTTGAGGTCAAAGACCTTCCTTCGCAGCTCATACTCGTCCCGCTCGCCTGTATCGTTCAATCTTTCGAATGCCAACATCTGGTCTCCGCCAGGACTAACTTGTTGCGGATCTCTTGGTCGTGCTTGGACTTGTTGTGGATGGTGTATGCTGGTATTGACGTACATCTCAAGTGGGGAGTGCAGGCTCTGGGGTGTCTCTCAGTCTTCAGTTGGCGGTGGACTGGGTGACGGGCTGCTGAGTACAGTATAGGATCTGTCTGGGAGTGGGTTGTTGGCAATCTGCTCGGAAAGGTAGGGAGTTCTCTGTTGATAACGGGCTAGACTCAAGCGCCAGTTGCTTGGCCCAGTTCATAGCTGACAAAAGACGTATACTCATAGATTTCTCCTTGTCCTGCAATTAGACTAACTTCTTGTGCATAGGTTGCACCGAATGACTTCGCACCGGGCGTTGATCCCTGCGATACTGCGTTTGCGACAGCTCGACAGGCATAGGGGAATCTGGCCACGTATCTATTGAACACGTCTAACCCGTCAACAACTCCTTTGCTCCAGCCTTTCGCAAGGAAGTAGTAGCGTAACATGGCATAGAAGCACGCAACTTCCGTCTCGCTTTGGGTTGGTAGGATGAAATTGAAGAGAAACTTGAAGTTTCACAATGAGACGTTCTCTTCCGCGAATTCGATGTGACGGATTTATGGCTCTCCCTTTCGGTTCTTTCCAATATGGCCGATTTGTATGCGGCTGCCTGTAAGCCACGCTATGATGTCTATTGGCTTCCCTGTTTTGGTGTAGGTGTTCCCGATGATGAGACTTCCAAATTGTTGTCATGACTGTAGCCCCAGACGATGTTGAACTGAGTCCTGAAGGCTTTGGCGTCAGGAAGAAGCTTGAATTCGGCAGGAAAGTCCTGCATTGCCCATATCTGGATGTCTCGGAAGGTAAGTCCGGTGGGCGCCATGGTGTGGATGCAGGTATCGTTACATCGACTCGGGCAAGAGGAGGTCGAGCTACTAAAGTTTCCGCCCAAAATGAGCTCATCTTCACCCTGAAGTGACGACCGATAATCCCAAAAGAGGCTAGCGGCCTCCGCACAGTGCGTCGGCCAAGCCGATCAAGGGAGGTGCGATGAAAGAGAAGGAGCGGATGACTTCGCTTCTCGAAGCAACAGATAACAGGAGATAAGATACTATGCTATAGAAGGAATCCTGGAGGCTGCGATAGATCTATCGAACATACAAAAGTTACAGCGCGTTCGCTATCTCACCTTGTAGGTTTTCTGCGATTCGAAAGTCACCAGGCTCTAGTCGTCGAACAAGTAGCTCGCCTCATTTACGATGTTGCAATGAAGTCTGCTTTACTTCGCAAATCTGTTCTTTGACTCTCCAATGGCCTTACTCCACTCCCGCATCTCCCAGATTCTCATCTTTGATTGACAGTGGGCTTATGGAAGTTCCAAATTCCAGGCAATGGCGCATATGCGATACTCTTGGGTTCATCGAGGTGGTAGTAATTGAATGGGATAATTAAAGTCGGAACTCTCGTGAAGTCCTCTGCAAAATTCTTTGTCGTATACTTGATCACGTCGCCAAGTATCTTCCCGGCGATAGATAAGGTTGGGGTTTTGGATTAGAGTTGATAATGTGTGAATAAAGAGAGGGAGATAGTAGTATCGCGGAGAGCAACGAAAGTCGATATTGGAAGTTCTAACGGCGTGGTGAAGGATGCGTCATGGCTCGCATCCAAAAATAAGCTTATTCTATCTCACTCGGAGCTTCCTCTGGATGTGCACATTTTGGTGGTGAGGATAAAAGGTGAAAGGACTGATTCTCCAGTGATCCTGGTGAAGAAGCACGTGGCCGACGTCTGCAGACGAAGCGGCACACGGGAAGACAGCACAAAGCCCAGAAATTGTGATACTATAGCACAGTCTTTGTGCAGAAGCGATGAGAAGTTCTTAATAGCACAATTGTAACAATGAGCATTGAGGACGTCGGTTTTCATCGGAGGTTCTGCAAAAGGGTTACAGGGGTGTGAAAACATGTGGTCTACGTATTTACAAGCTTGGTGGGGAAAAGGGAAAACCCACGAAGACTTTCAGGGTCATTCGCGAAGCCTCTCGTTGGCGATGCAGCTGCTGCTTACCACGCATTCCGATAAACGGCGGGCAATACCCACATGGCATACTTGCAGGGGCTTGGTATTGCCCTTGACTTGTACACAAACGCGCCCTGCCAAGATAGCATAATGCTGGCACGCCCTAGGAAGTACATCTTAGTGACGGCCGATGCAGCATCAATCGATTGTAAGCCACGCGAGAGCAATTGCGACTGCCGTGTTTGATGGAAGGAAGTCGCGAATGGAGATGATAATGACGTGTGCGGGGAGCGGGGCTGTCATTCGCTGAACACTCGGAATTAATGCCGTGTCCGCGGATATTTATCATCAACGAGCATGCTTCTATTTAGGTAGCCTACTTCAGCTGAGTAAACCCTTCACTTGTCTCTCGTGATCCATGACTTTGGCTACACATCTTCTCCGCTCTGCAGATTTACTTTCCAGATCGACAACACGACTTTCAGCCATCAACTCACAGATTGCTCCGAGAGCACCCAGCATCAGAGCCATGTCATCTCTTCCAAAGACTATGAAAGCCGTCTTCATTGAGAAAACTGGTGGCACGGAAGTCTTGCAGTACAAGACTGACGTACCTGTTCCTGAGCCGAAAGAGGGCGAGGTGCTTGTCAAGAACGAGTTTATTGGCATTAACTACATCGACACGTGAGTACTACGTGACCATGAATTTTAAGAGAAAGTGCTGATGGAAATTCACAGCTACTTCCGCTCAGGCGTCTACAAGCCTCCGCAATTCCCTTATATTCTTGGCCGCGAAGGCGCTGGAACCATTGCCTCCGTCGGACCCAATGCACCTTCTGATCTCAAAGCCGGCACGCGCGTAGCTTACATGGGTCAATCAGCATATGCGGAATATACTGCTGCACCCGCGAACTACACCATCCCTCTCCCTGACTCAATCTCTACCAAGACAGCCGCTGCTTCGCTTCTCCAGGCACTAACCGCTGTAACCTTGATCCGCGATGCGTATGAAGTCAAGAAGGACGACTGGATCCTCGTCACCGCTGCAGCTGGTGGTGTCGGCTTGTGGCTATGTCAGCTGTTGAAGGCGGTTGGCGCGAGGGTCATTGCTACAGCCAGCACAGAGGAGAAGAGAAATCTGGCAAAGCAAAATGGCGCAGAGGTGCTACTAGAATATCACGAGGAAAACCGGGATGTCTTTGTCAAGAAGGTGCTGGAAATTACCGGAGGCGAGGGCGTACACGCAGTTTTCGACTCAGTTGGCAAGTCCACCTTCGACAGCTCGTTAGCTGTGGTGAGGAGAAAGGGCACAATGTGTTCGTTTGGTAACGCGTCAGGACCGGTTGAGGGTTTCGCTCTTGCGTAAGTTTTCCCGATTTCATCCGTGTCAATTTGTGGCTGACACACTATCCAGTCGTTTGTCAGCAAAGAACGTCAAGCTCATCCGCCCTACACTGTTCAACTACATCGCTACCCGCGAAGAGCTTCAGACGGCGGCAAAGGAGTTGTGGAACTTCATCGAAAAGGACGGACTAAATGTCAAGATTCATGATGTGTACCCATTGAGCGAGATTGTAAGGGCAACGAAGGATATCGAGGGCAGGAAGACAACTGGAAAACTGGTGTTGACACCATGATTAGAGAACAATCGCGGCTAAGCTACATCAGACGCATGGAAGAAGACATGATATCAGCACCCCCAGAGACCTAACACCTTTTTTCCCCCGTCAGAAGTTAAAGCTGGAATCTTCCGCTCAAACACAATTGACGCCCTCGCCATGCACTCTATTGAAGCCAATGCTAAACTTCGTGAAATGTACCTGAAGAAAGCTCACCAAGCTTCTCGCAAAGATGAGAAAAGTTCAATCCGTGATAGCGACCATCTCCTCAAGCTCTACCCGCTGTGACTGAGCCATTCTAGAGTCCCTGCTCATAAGCTAGTTAGCGATGTCCTTGGCGTGGCAAGTACATTGGGCGCAATCGTTGATACAGTCCATCTCAACTGGCGTACGCAGTTCAGATAAAGCCATGGCAGAATTCAAGGGAATCAGATGGCTCCGCTAATAGATCCTCAGTACGTTGGTTGAGATGCTGAAATGTCAAAGGGTAGGGCAACTTACGGTCATGAACGGCGTAGCTATCGTGGTCGATTTCTCCAGCCTCTTCCGTACAAGTGAGATCTTCCTGGGCGTCGAAGAAAGAGTCCTCACCGTCCTCGTTGGTGTCCTCCTTCTTGACAATGCCTTTCAGCTTAAGCTTAGGGGTAACCTTGATGTTGTTCTTTCCGACCTTCGTACGCTTGGGCTTGGGCTCCAGGAGCTCTTCCTGGTCGTCCTCGTTCTCCGGGTCGGGCTTGAACTTGGCTTCGTCCTCGGTGGGAGCGACCTTCTTCTTTGGTGACGCACGCTTGCGCTTGGTAGACGGCGTGATCTGGGTGTCGTCAACGTCGCTGCCGGACGAAGTGGCAGACGTGCGAGACTTCTTGAAAGTAGACTTCGGGGTAGTCTTGGCCTTAGCTGGAGAGTTGTCAACAGGCGAAATGGTACCTGGTGCTGTGTCATTCTCTTCAAAGACCTTCTTCATCCGTGAATAGCGCTTCGATGCGGCTCCTGAGGTGGTGTTGGCCTCGGCTGCGATCTCATTCCAGTTCGGTGGCTACGAAACTATTAGCAATCCTAGCACTCCGAAGAATGCAGCTGAGATAATTCGGTACTCACTTGAGTTCGCGTGTGGTGCTTGGCACAAAGCCATAGAAACTGATACGTGGTACCTCCGGGAACCTCGTTCTTCTCCATAGCCTGCTTGAGGCGCGACCATCGCTTTGTGACAGCGCCTTTCTTGAGGTCTAGTGCGGCGGAGACGGCGTTCCAATCGATCTTTCGTGAGTTAGCATATGGAGTAGTATATGATACAAAAGACTAGATCAGTTGAATAGCGATAAAAGCCTTCGTTCATATTTTTTTTTCCAAGAGGAAACGGTGGGGCTTACCACAGGGGTTCCATCGTTGGTCAGCACCAAGTAGAGATAGTTGATGTTTTCCGCTTCAGATGGCATCTTGAATGTTGTTTTTGAAAGTTTTCTGGATGCGAATGCTTCCTGGCTGATGCTAATGGCGTAGGTCGAAGTATCGTTGTTGCAGTCCCTAGCTTGATTGTTGGCTGTAGGACTGAGAGAAACAAAAGACAGACAAATCAGATATAAACCCTCATTCCCTTGGTGAAGGCGGGCTCTCACAAGGCAGCGACAACAAGCGACACACTAACATGATTAGCGCCCTTTTCTGCAGAGTCAAGTGGATTCGCCGTGAGGAGGAGTCTGGAGAAGTCTAGGTGAGAGTGAGAAACAGCTACAGATGGGGCAGGAGTGGTGGGCCTTGACTATGAGAGGTGTAAGCTGCTGCCACAAAGGACGCTAGTACCATATCAACAATACACTGCGTTGTGCACCAATTGCTAGCAATGAAGATTCCTGGGGCGCATCATTCGATTGTGGACCGCACTCTCAACATGCCTATGCGGACACACCCAATCCTACAGGACCTTGTGCATCTTCACCATCCTGTCCCCCGATCCCGTTCCCGACCAACTCGGTGAAATCCAGTCCGACCTCCCTCAGCATCTCTGCGTGTTCGTGTGCCAATCTCAAGCACTCGTTCCACACATTGCCGCCTTCATCCACGCTACTCAGCTGCCTCTTCAATAGTATGTTGAATTGATCAATGTGCTCTTTCGCCCACTTGACGCACGCAGACATGAGCTGTTGTGGGAAACACTTTTGATACATGTCGACGGTGTTTTTGATGATGGTGAAATAGATGTAGGAAGTCTGGAAAATGTAGTCGGGGAGGTTGCCTTCGAATATACATTGCCTAGAAAGAGTCAGTGAATAACGTCGATCATGATAAAAATGGAAACATACCGTGTGCGAGTCTTGATAAGGTTACCGCGAGCTTCCAGATAAGCTTCTCGTGCGCGATCTTCGAAACCTAGTTGGACGACCCAGCTGACATGTTGCCTAACAGACGTGAACCAGTTGTTGTGCTCTACCATGTGCTTGACCAACACGTTGGCTAGCTTTGCAGCACGTTCGTTGACTTTATATGTGACGATCGTCTTGGCCATCTCGTTGCTTTTGATATTCTTCGCAAGCGCTTTGAGGCGATCGACTTTCAGGACAGCTTCTTGGAAGTGTTGAAGCGCAATCTCAATGTCTAGATCGTCCAGTTGACTTTCTACCCACCGGATATTGCGCTGTTGCCCATCCATATCGATAAATGTACTGACTTGTTCGTTGTTGATGCCGTCAGAGAGGTTATCCAACAGCTCCGTTCTGTTCATGAAAGCAGGGTCGCGTGAAAGGAGGTGGTTGTAGGAGTCTTGCGTTCGGTCTTTCTCTTGCACATCCGCTTCTTGGCTCTTGCGCAAGTCGTCTTTAGTTTTCCGGAAGGTAGCAACGAAAGCAGACTTGTCGCCGCTATCCTCTTTCTTGGTGTCGTACGTGAAAGACTCAGAGCCAGCACGTATGATGATGCGTTCTTCTGGTGTCCGGATCACCTGGGTATCTTGCAACGGAAAACATCGTTGAGCTGTAAATTCCATATTCGCTCTGTTGCCATCACGTTGACCAGGAACATCATTGCGCGCCTTCTTCTCCGATGCGATAAGGAGATGATCATTCAGTAGCAGTAGTCTCACTCTTCGTCTCGCCTTGAGAGTCGCAGAGTCCAGTTCAAACCATCTCGTCGATTTCCACACAATGTATCGTCCGGGAATAGGTGGTAGATACTTCTGCGAACCCTCAACATCTCTGTAAAGCTGCTGTAGCTGACCTGCACGTAATTGATTCAGGTCTCCGATTGAACTTCTGTTGGCTCTTCGGGAGCTTGCAGCGTCATTTGCGCCCGTCGCTGAAGCCGTCTGTTCCAATGTAGTCGTCAGGTCAGCCATCAACTGACGAAGTGTTCGCATTTCGCCTTTGAGTTTCTCGGCCTCTTTACTGATTTTGATGAATTGTGTGCGGTTCTGGTATACGTTGTGCTGCAGGTCGAGGGATGTACGGTGCTTCGTCTTGCGCAGTTCGTCCTGGTAGCGGTTGATGTCCGCTTCAGAGGCGTCTGCGAGGATGGTCGATACATCTATGCGAGTCAGTATCCAGTCACTGACTTCACCGCCACATAATAGTTCTCACATCGCTCTACTTCGAGGTTGGGGTCTCTCAATGCCCGCGGGTCAACCTGCAATGCCCGCCCATTGGAGCTTCCAGGCGGCCGTCCCTCTCTCGTCTGACTCTTCTCTCGGTACTGAGCCGGCATCTTTGGCATCTGCGGCATAGGCTCCCCATTGCCAAAGTCGCCGGGCAGCGTCGTAATCTTCTGGGAGTACCTCCTCTTGACCAGGTCCGCCGTCTTATCGGGTCGCTGCGGTCGTGATTGAGGAACATCTTGTCTGGTCCTCGAGCGGCTGGATTCGTTTGAAGGGCGTCCAGAGCTGGGGAGTGAAGCAGCAGCGACGCCCGCGGGCATAGGCGCACTTATCTGTCGCGGCGCGCTGATGGTGGGCGGCGGCGCGTTCTTCTTGCTCTTGTCCCCCCGCTTCTTGCGGAGAGAGATACCCTTTTGCTTTTCCGACATCTTGCCTGCAAGACACACGGAATGCTGTGGTAAAAGAGCGAGGGAGTGTGGTTGCTGACGGTCGTGCAATGGTGACAGGTAGCGGGACGCATCACCCATGCATGTAGCCGCGGTCTCGAGTGTGAGCTTGGGCCCACTTTGTTGAATCGTGCCTTCCCTGAACTTGTCGAAAAAGTTAAACACCACACCACATCACCACCATCTCCTTCCGCCATTTCCGAGGGGTATATCTGTTCTGTCCTCGCCTGATTGCGCTTTTCACACCCGCAACTTGCACCACCACCATGTCCAACTCGTCATTAAAACCGTCGACCATTGCGGTCATTAGCGCCGGCACCATCGTAACAGGCCTTCTCGCATATGCCGCCTACTTCGACTACAAGCGACGAAACGACCCCGGCTTCCGCAAGCAGCTTAAGAAGGAGTCGAAGCGAACAGAGCGGGCGGCCAAGGAGGAGGCCGAGGCACAGGGCGCCGAGCAGAAGAAGGCTATCCGGGAGGCGGTAGAGCGGGCAAACGAGGAAGGCTTCCCCAAGGACCCAGAGGAGGTGGAGGCGTACTTTATGCAGGAGGTTGCACAGGGAGAGGGAATGGTACAGAAGGGTATGGCATAAGTTTGACCGTCTTGGTAGGCCGTGGTGCTAATTCTATGGCAGGTGCGGATAACGTGGAGGCAGCGCTATGCTTCTACCGCGCATTGAAGGTCTACCCCAACCCGCGGGAATTGATCAACATCTACGACAAGACCGTGCCCAAGGTAAGTTGCTGCTTGCTATCGTATACCAAGCATTCGCTAACACCCGGCAGCCTGTTCTCGACATCCTCGCCGAGATGATCGCAGTAGACACGTCAATCCCCGTTGGCGGCAGCAAGACGCCGTCTGAGGCTGGTTCGGCAGGCGACCTCGAGTAAAACTCTTCGACGATAGCACTTCGATGAATTCAGCACGCATTTTTGGACCCCTCTCCACCTGATGACGACCCTCTGTAATATTCTTGTATACGTATCAGCATCAGCGCGGTCGGTCGGTTCCACGGCCGGCGTTCGGGTTGAGCGTGATTCATCTGGCTGGGGCGGGCGTTGGCATAGATGTGGGCTTCCAATGCATACAATCCAAACAGCACTCGGCATCTCTCCATTGACGTCATGCAGTGGTACGCATGGGTACGCACTGCTATACTACAGATTACGTGTTCGACGTTAAGATGCATGCAGCCCATGCCTGTATGCCTGAACGCCTTGCTGACAATGACTTCCTCAGACTTGCAAATCATCCCAAATAATTACAGTACGCTCTCAAGCGAATGAACCGAATTGACTGCCGCATGGCCATGTCTTGTCTAACACGAGCACGAGTTTTCTGCTGGCGGCTGCGAGGGGTTGATGTTCACGTCAATCACTGGACCCTGGATTAGCATGGCATTCACCGCAATGTGTACAACTGGACGTACTCTGACTCTGCCCTTGTTGGCCTTCGCCCTCCATACCCGGTAACGCTTGCGCAATCCTCTTGAACAGCGCCTTTACATTGTGACCGACCTTTGCGCTAGTCTCGATAAACATCAAGTTGTTCTTCTTGGCTTCCTCTTCACCCTGGGCTGTGGTAACCTCGCGCTTGTCGTTCAAGTCGGTCTTGTTGCCTACAAGCACGATAATAACATCGTTGCCGCGCTCGCCTCTTACATCATCTACCCATTTCCTTGTGTTCTCGAATGTCTTCTTGTTTGTGATGTCGTATACAACCACAGCCACACTAGAATCGCGGATGTACGAGGGGATCAAAGAGCGGAATCGCTCTTGGCCGGCGGTATCCCAGAGCTGCAGGCGGACGGTTCGATCTTCGAGGTACATGGTCTGCGGATGGAAGTCAGTCGTTGCACAAGGACATGGTTCTGCATTCACTTCACGGAGAGCATACCTTGCTCAGAAAGTCGATTCCGATTGTCGCTTGGTACGTGTTGTCGAACGAGTCGTACATGAAGCGGGTGATGAGAGACGTCTTTCCCACTGTGAGAAGAGGTTAACAGACATGCCCCAAAATACTATGTTTGCGACGGTATGCATACCACTTTGTTCGCCCAGGAATACGAGCCTACAGCCGGTTAGTATACGAAGTTGGTTTCCGCCGCGGAGGACAGCTCACTTGAACTTCTTGAGCGGGTTTGAGTACCCCGACTGCGCCATTGTGAAGAAAAGGTGAAGATTTCGTAAAAAGCAAAAACCTCAAAATGTTTTATCCACGAGTATCAGAAGCAATCTTCTGGCCGTGTGGCTTGGTGGGGGTGTGATGTTTGAATAGGAGTGTCGGTCGAATCTGGAGGCCTTGCACCCTGGGCGGCCAACACCGACTACCGAGAGGCTGCAGGGGTCTCAAGTGGATCTAGCCCGTGCGCCGCTTTGCTGGTCGGAATTTTGGGTCGAACTTTTTGCGACAGCCAACAACCCCACAACTTCAGACACAGCGACCGTGAGACATAATGGCGGATACCGAAGCAGCACCCGCGCAATACAAGCAGCCGAGTCGCAAAGGCAAGAAGGCTTGGCGCAAGAACGTCGATGTTACGCAAATTCAGTCTGGCCTAGAAGACGTGCGCGATCAGATCATCCAAGGGTACATTTCAATCTCGCTGTACACACGACAAACCTACTAACGCTTCTACAGTGGTGTCATCTCTGAAAAGACAGCAGACGAGCTTTTCGCTGTCGATATAGTCGGATCTGCCGAAATCCAAAAAGAAGTCGCGAAACGACACAAGCCTCTCAAAGTCGACGAGATCCTCGCCAAGCGTTCTGCCGTTCCCGCCGTCTCCACCAGGAAGCGACTTTCAGAAATCGCCGACGATGGCAAGAGAAAGAAGGCCAAGGTATCAGGCAAGGAATACGACAGGCTAAGGGCAATCGCGTACGGAGGCGAGCAGGTCAACAAGGACGTCGTGCAGACTGGTGACGCTGCTTACGACCCATGGGCGGTACAAGAGGTCAAGGAAGATCCTCGATTTAGTTACCTGGAGAAGAAGAAGCCCAAGGTCGAGCCGAAGACCCTTAAGCACGCACCCATCTCCCAGGCAAAGACCGGTAAAGCCATCCCGTCAGTCCGCAAACCCACTGGTGGAAAGTCGTACAACCCCCTGTTGGAAGACTGGCAGAATGAGCTTATGCGCGAATCCGACAAGGCTGTCGAGGCTGAGAAGAAGCGCCTGCAGGAGGCTCGTGAAGAGGCTGAGCTTATGGAGCGAGCGGCCGCCGAGACGGAATCCGACTCGGGCGAGGAGAGCGTCTGGGAAAGTGAGTGGGAAGGTTTCAGTGATAACGAGAACAAGGAGGCCAAGAAGAAGAGACCAGAAAGGAAATCCCTGTCACAACGGAACAAGATCAAGAGGAGAAAGGAAGCACAGCGAAAGGCGGTTCACGAAGCAAAGATGAAGGCCAAGGAGCAACAAGTGCAGGAGATCAAGAGGTTAGCGAAGAGCGTAGAAGAGAAGGAGAAGGCGAGGGAAGCTGTGCGACAAGCTCTTGAACAGAAGAACGCTGAGCTAGCGGATGAGGACGACGGGGAAGAAGTGGAGCTGAGGAAGAAGCAATTTGGCAAGACACCGTAAGTATCCGTTCATGCTCCACACACCGATCATCTGCTGACCCTTTTCAGTCTACCAGAGGCCACGCTCGAGGTTGTTCTGCCAGATGAGCTTCGCGACTCTCTACGTCTTCTCAAACCGGAGGGCAACCTGCTCAAGGACCGCTTCAGGACTTTCATGCTTCAGGGCAAGGTCGAGGCTAGGAGACCGGTTGCATACGGCAAACAGAAGAAGTATCACTTATCCGAGAAGTGGAGTTACAAGGACTGGAAGCTTCCCGAATAGAGGTACACGGAACGATAGGAGAGGGACGAGATACGTACGAATGCGATTCTTTCGCAACCACTATGTTCACCTGTCTCACATGTTGTTCTTTGGTGACTCTCGTAAGGCCGAATCTCTGCTGTCATTGGATAGGTTGGTGACTTGTGAAGCGTAATGTACCAGCAGAAAGTGCCTGAGACTTCGTCACTTCCTGCAGGTGTGATTGCACGGTTGATTGCTACAGACAGACCTCTTCTGCCCGTCTCGTGACAAACTACGTCTATGTACGTGGTTTCCACTCCTCTCCACGTGTTGACACAGGCAGCCCGACACCAATCAGCCACCTACGTTAACTCAGCTACACCACCATCTCCACTCCTGGGTCAATCGAAACAAATCCCACCGCCAACACGATGATATGGCAGTTCTAGGTAAGCAGAAGCTCTTTGGTGGTTTCGTGCTTTGTACTAAGTCTTTAGCAGGCTCTTTTCGATGCTCAAATGGCAACGAGATTGAAGATACCAACAACCTTCTCAAAATGCTGCGGCGGGTGTAAGAAGGTTCGGTGTTGCTCTCGAGGCTGTCCGAGAGCGCACTGGAAAGCTGTTCACAAGGACCGATCCAATAAATCCCGTCACCACATGGGTGAGGAATGGCCTGAGCAACAAATGCCCGCACGCGTCTATCCGCACAACACCCACCTCATCTGCGACCCTACAGAAGGCTCCGACGGTGTTGAATTCGATTTGAACAAGGGTGCGTCCTTTAGAAATCTTGCGCAAGAAGCTTCATGGGTCGATTCGACCGGCTTCTCCTGAACAAAGACGAGCTGACAACCTACAAGCTCCTAATTGAGAGCTTCCGTACTTGGGACGAGGCGAAACGCCGTAGCCTCAGGACCATGGTAGACGCACGCGACGGGTCCCGCGACGTCAGTGTCAAGTACATTACAGGTTACCTCTTCCAAGAACTCTCGAAGCATATTGCTAATGCCGAGAAAACCGCAGGGCTTTTGCCTCCATGGTGGGACGCAGAGAAACGGGATGCATGCATCAATGTCGCCAAAGAAATATATCGCTGGTCGATCTTCCCGAGGTGAACAAGCCGCTCCGTTATGGAGGTTCGCCTCTGAGACACCCACTTCGTATGCTGGGAAAGAAGATCGAAGGTACCGATATAGTGGAGGCGGTGGTGTTGTGATATTACAAAATGCAAGAATTGCAAACGGAAAGTTATGCTTGCATAACATGGCTCATGCGTAGTAGTCTGGCGTTAGGGGACAGTGTGAAACGGGTACCATATTGCGCTCTCGACTGCAAGCATCTGAAGCAAATTGACAAGTCGTGTTCAGAACATCAGATTTAGCACGCCACGAATCAAGTGAAGTGTAAGGAAGGACATACAAGGGCTAACCAGGTAACGATTGTGGGGTACAGAAGCGCACGGGCTTCTATGCGTCATCTCACGAGAGACAGCTTTGACATCCTCGAATTTACGTGACCCGTCACTGGTAATGAGTTCGTACCTTTTGTAAATGGCCGTATAATGCTCGATGTGATCTCTCATTATTCGATGCGGCTCAATTCTGACAAACGAATCTAAGCATGCCCTCCTCCTCCCACCGCAGACAGCACGAACCAGCATCCAACAGCACCGATGAAAGCTCGCCCAAGTTCACACCTTCCGCTCGCTCTTCGCGTTCCTCCGATGGCTTTTCCATGATACATGAGCCGAACTCTTTCGAACTCCGAACGATCACCCCACACGATGAGCCCGTATCCAAAGAAGAGCTGGGAGAAGAAGACGAGGACTTTCTGCCCAGTACACGACGCGCCTCATTAGACTCTGTCCAGAGCTACGAGCTGTATACCCCGGATGAGGATCGAACAGTGCTTAAGAAGCTTGATCGCAGGCTAGTCGCGTTTATGGCCTTGCTGTACATGTTGAGCTTCTTGGATCGGTCGAGTGAGTACTTTCTACTCCGGAGAGGCTCAGATGGGTGATATGTACGTCAGATGTGCGCGAAGCAGATCTGGTAGGGCTGGCGACATATGCTGATGGATACAACAGATATTGGCAATGCGCGTATAGCTGGTCTCGCGGACGACCTGAACCTCAGCTCTACCCAGTATGAGTGGTTGTTGTGGGCGTTCTACATCACTTACATTCTATTCGAATGGATGACGCTCATGTAAGTCTTTGCAAGTGAAGAAAGAAGCGCAGCTAATGTTGCTAGGTACCGCATCGTCCCACCGCACATCTACATATCCCTATGTATCCTATCTTGGGGCATAGTTGCGTCGCTACAAGCAGTCACAATGTCCTTCGGTTTCCTCCTCGTTCTGCGAGCCCTCCTCGGTATCAGCGAGGCGGCATTCGGACCCGGCGTACCCTTCTACCTATCCTTCTTCTTCCGTCGATCTGAACTTGCTTTTCGAACTGGACTCTTCATCAGCGCCAGCCCCCTTTCAGCATCATTTGCTGGAGCACTAGCCTACCTCATCACCAAAGTCGGTGAACATGGTCCGCTTAGCCCTTGGAGGCTGTTGTTCCTGCTTGAAGGCTTCCCGTCCGTACTGATTGCGGTCTGGGCATGGGATTTTGTGCCAGATGGCCCAGGATTGGCGAAGTGGCTAAGCCCGCGACAACGCGAAGTTGCAGTAATGAGGCTAAGATCAGAAAAAGAGAGCGAGGATCAAGACCAGGAAGAGGAGAAGTACCAGGGTGGGCGAAGGAGAGGACACGTCGATTTCCACGAAGTGCTCCAAACTCTAAAGGATCCGAAGTCTTACCTCACAGCACTCATGTTCTTCTCCTGCAATGTTGCTTTCAGCTCTATGCCTGTGTTCTTACCGACTGTCATACGAGACATGGGATGGGAGTCCATTACAGCGCAAGGACTTTCAGCCCCTCCATATCTCTTCGCCTTCGTCATCGTCCTTACAACTGCGTACTACTCCGATCGCTTACAATCACGCTCAACATTCATCATGCTTCACTCCCTTCTCGCAACGCTCGGGTACGGTACTATCGCAGTCTCCGGGTACCTGCAATCCGATAAAACTATGGTCCGCTACATCGCGCTCTACCCTGCCGCTGCAGGCTTCTTCAGCGCAATCACCATCATCATCACGTGGACGCTTAACAACCAAGAAAGTGATAGTAAGAAAGGTACTGGTATGGCTCTTCTGAACATCATCGGTCAGATGGGTCCACTGGTTGGTACGAGCATCTTTCCAGATGAAGATGGTCCTTACTATGTCAAGGGCATGAGTATCTGTGCTGCTTTCATGCTCTTCGTAGGCTTTCTAGCTGCGATACTGAGGTGGGTATTGATCAGAGAGAATCGTAAGCTGAACAATGGTCGCAGTGCGGAATATGCGGGTGTACCATTAGACGAAGGTGGTAGTACGAGAAGAGAGAGGAAGAAGTTTGTTTTCATGCTGTAAATTGCACTCGCGAATACAAGACATCGATCCTTCTGCTCTTGCATACAACGAACTTTTATGTTCTTGACCCGTTTACGGTGCTTTTTGCGAAAGTCACGTCGATCATTCCTAAAGATAACCGTGACTGATCCGTTCTATTCATGTCATCCTCAGACCTTGTTGTCAAAGCCTGAGTTCTCACGATTGTATCGATGCTGTACTAGTTACTATCGATCCCATAGCACCGTTTTGCTGAAGTAGTTGTTCCTGCTCGAATGTCGGCAAGCCGGCTGCACGTACTGCTACTTGGGCAAAGGTGGTTGATTGGGTCGGCGTTGCAGGAGCCGCTGGTGGATGGGAAGGGGCAGTGCTGGCAGGCACAGGCGCTGGTAAGGGTGCTGTTACATGTGTCGGAACCAACATGGATCCTCCTCCTCCGCCGCCAGGTCCAGGAAGAGTATGGTAAAGGGAATCATAGATTGGTGGACGTCGGCTACGATGATACGAGAAGCATATAAGCACTCCGATAACAAGGCAGGAGATGAGTACCGCCATGAAGATCATACCTGCTCTGTCTCTTTCGTTCATGTCTGCAACGAGCACAGTCACACTGATTTTGAAACAGGTTGAGTCAGATGAGAAGTATGAAGCATGCACAGCAGTAGTTTACTTTTTGTTCATTAAACATAGATAAGTTGATCATGCCGTAGTTATACTGATTGCAACGATCGTTTGTTGACAGCATATCGAGACATCAAAACAGCCTTGGAAAGCTGTACACGATCGCTACTGACTTTTGAGGTCCATTCTCTCTAAATGCCAACGGCTCGCTCCGTCCGATCCAGTGCGGATTCGTTTCAGTACAATGAATTTCGTACATCCCAAGCCTTCGACATGCATCCCATAGTTTCTCAGCTAGGAGCCAATGACCTTCTCGGCCTCTCTGCCTGAGCCAGCATCTCTTTTTGCCGCTGTCCTCCAAGCTCCTTGTATCTAAGATCTAGGCCGGTTGCCTCACAAACGATGTATACGATGGGTTGGCGGCGTGTGTTTGTGGATAGTACCGAGGAGGACCGGAAGCGTATCTGTATGACACATATCTCCTGGAACTATTGTTAAACTGTTGTTTAAAGTGCGGAGAGAAATACGCCGAATCGAATGGCGCTGAGTCGAGATGAGGGAATTGCATCGCAGCTATATGTGACGAAGTTGATCTGCGAGTCTTTCTTCGACGTTGAAGACGACAGTTGCACCAGAGACATAGAGAAGCGATGACAATGAACAGAGGAAGGAATACAGCTACGAAGATGACGCCGGCGAGGTCTCTTCCGTTCATGACTTGCAACCGACGTGTATGTAAAGTTCAAACAGTGATGGTAGATATCTGAACAGGCACCAGTCGAGATGAGTGAAGCTGCGAGAAGCTAATGTTGGGTTGAACATCGCCCTGAGGTTTGTGGGTTCGCTGGTATCGTTTGACAGGTCAAACGTTCATTGTGGTAGGCAAACGTCAATATGTTTGCGTATCTCAGTTTCCAAATGATGGACTAGCCGGCGAAACTTGTCAAATATTGAGTCAAGGTAGACGATCTGGACAGTGTTCAAGACCACTAACATGTAGAGATATGTAGGTATGGAATGAGAATCAAGTGAAAATTATCCAGGCTAATTATATTTTACAGAGAAATTTGAGTCCTATCGCATGGAGATCCTCCCAAACGACGCCTCATCACCTTGAGACCACAAGACCTAGTATAGTGCCCTAAGCGTCTGCTCGACCGCGATACCCAAACCTCCAACTCCCAACACAGTCCATAGCCACTTGTTGCTTAGCTCGTCGGCACTTGGCCAGAAAGCATTCTTATCCGCCCTGAACTTCTCCAACTCACGGAACTTGTCGGGTTGGGAAGCAGAGTATCGGCGCTTCTGATGTTTCTCTTTTTCCGCATCGCCACCAAAAAAGCGGAGGAAGGCGTAGTTTGCAGCGGGACCTAAAAGTTCGATAGGAGCAAGCATGTCTGAGCCGTAAAGCATGACAATGAATGAGATGTGTACGAGGGCGTCACCCAGGTAGCTAGTAGGTGTTAGCAAGTAGTATGGAATTTGAACAAGAATACATACTTGGGGTTGCGGACAATGCTCCATACACCCTCGCGCATGATGCCCTTGTTGCCCCCTGCCTTGAACTGGTCTAGTTGGTAGTCCGCCAGTGTCTCCAAGGCCAACCCGGAAGAGAACAATCCGACGGCAAACATCTGAACGAAGGGATGGTAGCCTGTCATGACGGCACCCTCGTGTCGGAAAGGCGCGGTGAATGGAAGGCTGATGAGCATCTGGAAGAAGGCCTCAGGGATGAAGACCTTGAACAGAGCGCTGTTCCAGAAGCCTTCTTCCTTCTTGACCTCGGCATATCGCGGATCATCCTCACCTCGCTGGATCGAACGACGAGCGATACGATAGAAGAGACGTCCTCCCCATAGCGTAACACCCGTGAGAATGACACGCTCGTGCCACGACAGACGACCAAAGGCCTGGGAAACCGTGTAGCCTTGAGCGAGACGACGCCCGACAGCTGACCACCAGGCGTTTACAACCTGACCGCTTGGCCAGAGCCAGTCCTTCGCTTCGACGCGATCTGTGTATCGTGCAGCCCCATATGCGATGAGAGCCAGGCCGGAGTGTAGGGTGAGCGAAGGGACAAGCGTGTCTTTCAAGATGCCTACATCGAAGAGCGAAGCATTTTGAACATGCGTCATGGAGTGAGTCGTATCCACGTAAGCCGAAGGTGCTGAGGCTGCTGAGCGGTTCGTAGCGGATCTCGAAGCACTAGAACCCGGCTGCAAGTAAAAATCGTGAGGTTTCTGTTCAGCGACTTGGACGCGGACATCCGGAGGACGCCTTGGGTCGTTCGACGACGAGCCGAACCAGCCAGACGCCATAGTGTTAGTAGTTTCTATCAAACAAGATGTGGTGTGAGTTGAGGTCGCGCGAACTGTCGCAAGCAGACGGCTTTAACGCGCTCATAGCTGGAGCTTTCCCCGCATTCTGACGGATGCAGGCGCGTGTCTGGCTGCATCTCATTCGCCCGGCTGCAGATGTGTTTTCATCCGTCGTTGAAGTACCCCACTATGATCCAATGATGTGTTTATGTTTAATCAGCCATCCAGGCTGTGTTTGAAGTTTGTCGTGTCCGGTTTGCGTGGTGAAAGTGGATTCGCGTGACGAAAGACCGTGATGTCACTGTGGTCCATGCTTCAACCCCACATATACCCACGGCAGGTACACGCGAAATGTACCCCTCATGCCGAGATATCCATCCTCAGTCATATACCACAGGGGAAGAGAAAGTAGGAATCATTAACAAGCATCACACACCCAAGTGTTGTGAATACCAGTCATGGCAACCAACAAGCCCCATGCGTTCAATCCACCGACGGTACCAGAACCTGCGCAAACCTATAATCAAGTCTGCATCACTCCCGTAATGCCTTCATCCAAGTTGATCACTCTTGCCGGTCAAACAGGCATGCGAAAAGACAAACCCATCTCCTCAGATATCAGGGAGCAAGCAAAGGGCGCTTACGATAGCATCCACAAGTGCTTGGCCGCTGCTGGCGCAACACCGCGGGATATTGTATGCTTTAGACTTTGCTCATGTCCCCCCAGCCGACGTTGATTGGTGCTGACTTTACTAACTGCGCTTCTCACTCAGGTGATGGTCCGACATTACATTGTCAAGGAGACTGGTAACCCAGAGCAGGACGGAAAGGACGTTGTAGATCGTGGCTGGGGAGAGCTTTGGATGGATTATATGGACAAGGAGGCCGATGGACATAGACCACCGGATACAGTGGTTGGTGTTGCAAGTCTAGCAACGAAAGAGCTATTGTATGAGTGCGAAGTGACAGCGCTGATTAGCTAGTAATCAACCACTAATCCTAAGCTATTCCATGAGCTGGGCAGCACAAAACAATACTTTTGAATCGATTCAAACACAAAAAAGTCTGGTTACTTGCCGATACAGTATACTGCTAGATGCAGCAGAGACGTGCTGAGTCATTTGCGCTTACATGCAAGCTCAGCTATGTCCATTCCTACTAAAGCAACTATTTCGTGCATAACGCTACACAACACGAATAGTGTCTAGAAGGGTCTGCGAGTCGTCGATAGTTAAAAGGGAGGAGCCGTAGCTCCTAGAACAGCAATAGAGAATTACCAATGGCAGGTTACCAACAACCCACAGCGGATACAGTAGCTCAAATCAAGCATTGCTACCAGGCGTACCGGCACACCGAAGACATCGATCGCAAAGGATTCTTCTTCTCTCCAGACTGCATGCAAATATGCCGACCAGCGCCTTCCTACGCGACGACCAGTCGTGATGGGATCGTGCAGTATCTCCGAGACGCACAACAAGGGAAGATACCAGTAGATATACTTGGGTCGTCTCCGACTCATATCTCAGACGTCTCTGATCACTATGAAACGGGATCGGGGCCGAAAAAGCCAGTGCAAGGCCGAAGCGTCTACATTATACGCCCTTTGCAACCCTGCGAGTTCGAATTCGGCTCAGACGACATCGTTGCGCCTATTGGTTTGACCGTAGAACAGCTGAAGTTGAAAGCTGTCCAGGAGAAATGGGTTGGTATGCGTGTCAACCTGTGGAACGAAGGAGGAGAAGGAAGTCTTTTGGTCAAGGTTCAATACTGGTGGCGCTTAGAAGAAATTGCGAACCATGACCAGATGGTGGGCGATTCTCCAGGAACGGGGTGGAAGCAGTGCTTGCATGACATCATGTTCCTTGGTCCCAAGAACGGAACAGAAAACGACGAAGGGCTGGAAATTTTAGAATAAACACCCGCGGACAACGAAGAGTTCCGGAGTTGCGAATTGCATGCGAGTTCTGGAAGAGGTAGCAGACTAGCAGCCGTTGCAGAACCGCGGGAGGATCGAGGGGTATGATCGGCCAGACCTGCCGTTTGGAGCATGGAGCGCCTGCTCGGAATGTTATCAACAAATAGCGAAGATAAGCATATAGTAATTATAGCTATGTGAGAGGCTTTTGCATTCTTGCTCACTGTATCTCAACTTTTCAGCATTGCTATATCCATAATGGCGCTAAAATCATTGCTGTTTCTACTGCCATCTCTTCAGCTCTTCGCAAGCGCTCGAGACATTACCTTCCCTCCAGTCTCTGGGTACTCGTCGCAACAGATCATCCCCCAGCAGAATCTTGAGATAGACATCACTCAAGCGAAGTTCGCAGGGCTAATGACATATGCTAATCTACCTTACGTACATTGTTTGGCCCCGGAGGGTCAGGATGTAGAGCCATTTGACATCGCGATCCTTGGTGCACCATTCGACACAGTAGGTCAAATACCACTTATAGACAAAACTTCAAGCACCAACATCGGGTGCGTCGCTTTAGTGAAAATTAACAACTGATAGGGCGTTACGGCACGGCCTGGAGCGCGCTTCGGCCCGAGTGGCATTCGACAGGGCTCAAGCCGGATATCACCAGCTGCGGCTTGGTCCATATACACAGGTATGTTGTAGTATATTGAGTGTGCGCATGTAGGAGCTTGGTCTCGCAGGCACGGACTTCGGTTGGTCGTGCGAGACAGTAACACCAGCGACGACGCCCGCACCACGTTGCCTCGACGAGCTGTGTTCGTAAGGCTTGCGCTCAGATTCGCTTGCTGTGCCCTGGCCAGCCTGATGCATTTACGTTCACACCTGTCGTCGCAAGGCTATGTTCATTGTTTCGAGGTAAGGTTCCAACGCATTGACTAAAGCTGTCCAGGTGAAAACGTGTTCGTGGACTGGGCGAAGATCATTGACTGCGGTGATGCGCCATTGACATTTTTGGTAAACCGATGCTGGAACAACAGAGAAGAATGAAAACTAACGACTTTGTAAGGACAACACTGCAGCATTGAAGCAGCTTGACAAGGCGCACAAGGTTGGTAACTCCGAGTTGTAATCGATCCAAGCGTCTGACTGTCGTTCTCAAGATCGTGTCCGCAAGGCCTACCAATTCAAGCGAGCACGCAACACCAAAGATAGTCACGCTAGGTGGTGATCATACCACAACGTTATCCGCCCTGCGATCGACTTATCATCATTGGGGCCCAGTTAGCGTCATTCACTTCGACAGTCACCTGGGTAAGTTAGGAACACAACAGCCTGGACTCTGCTGATTGCTCTGAAGATACATGGGATCCGGAAATCTTAGGTGAGAAAAGACGCCTCTAGGTGTGACTAGCTACTAACATACAGCAGGCGGAGGTATTTCCCATTATGCGTAAGTCTGTATATCGAGATGGATCCTGGAACTTGCTGAAAAGTTGCACTAGTGGTGTCAATCACGGAACATTCCTGCACATTGCGCATGAAGAAGGCCTGATCCGAAACACTAGTATGCATGCGGGCATTCGAGCTCCCATGGCACGACCAAAAGGTGATCTGCGAAACGATGTTCGATGCGGGTTCGAGATTGTCAAGGCCAGAGAAATCGATCAATTCGGTGTGGCGGGTGTCATCGCTAGGCTGAAGTCTCGAGTGGCTGGAACGAAGGTTTACATCAGTGTCGATATTGATGTGCTTGATCCCGCGTTCGCACCTGGTAAGTCATTGTATGGGACATACCACTGCGCAACACAAGTGCCACCGTACCAAGAGCGGTCGTCTCTAATACAGCAGCACCATCTCGAAACCTCTGCTCCCGAAGGTTTGGCAACAGTGTGACTGACGCATGAGTATAGCCACGGGAACAGCCGAAGTCGGTGGCTGGACTACACGAGAGCTCTTGTCCGTTCTGGATGGCCTTGAAGGACTGGATGTTATCGGAGCAGATGTCGGTATGTATATTTTGATGACAAGTGAATCTCCTGTAAGATCAGTAATCGCTGATAAAGTACACCCCGCACAGTTGAAGTGGCTCCTATATACGATAACCCAGGGGAAACCACCGTTTTGGCTGCAGCAGAAGTTGTGCACTCTCTTATCACACTGATGGTGAAGTCCCCGTCTTAGCACTGGAAACATAGTACTGTCCCGGGAAATTACAATGTGGATGTAGGATAGGTAGACTAGGCCGCAGGTTAGTGTTGGGCTGTGTCACTTGTTGAGTCGCTATACAGGTTGGAGGAGGAGGAGGAGGAGGAGGAGGAAGAGGAGCTATATAGAATCCACCAGTCATCGTATCCTTGCACCATGAACAAGTCAATGGCTTCGTGTTGCCGAATCGTACGAGATTGATTGACAGCTGGAGGTGAAATCTGCATATTCAGTTGAAAGTCGTCATGAGACAGAAATTGAGGGCTTCCCTAAGGACAGAGCGACTGCGACGGAATGGATGTACAGCTAAGCTTGTAGCCTTGTTAAATTGCTTCTCTGCATTGTACTAGTCAACGATGGGTCGCCTTCTGGTCAGAACTCGGAGACGAACGCCATTCAAAGGTTAGCACCCTCCGAAGGCAACCGGCCGACTATGTTGTAACGCTTGCTGAAGAACGTGTGCCAATCGTTGAGTACTTGCTTTTCCTTATCGGAAAGCTCGGAGTAGTCAGATATGCAATCTTCAGGCTTAAGAGAAGAAAGCCCAAGAGCGCGGTTGGGCTCTTTCCCCGCAAAGACTGGAAGAGTAGGTTAGCTTTTGTGACAGAAGATGTCTCTTTTGGAGGCGACAAACCGTGATAGCCCTTGCCAGGCGCATACGTCTCTTTACCACTCACGTCAAAGACGTCACCCTACAGTATGGTCAATTCTTCTGCACGTGCGTGAGGATACCATCCGTCAGGAGTCGTCGTAGATACCTTGATAGCGACTAGAGTTGGAAAACCATCATTTGTGCCTGCTGATAGTCAGTGGCTGGCTACCCAATATCAGCCGGTTATTGAAAAGCCATACCATCACACTTTGCGAGGTAATCACGCTCAATAACATCATCCTTCGGTGGATTCAGTGTGACGGGTTGTTTTGGCGCGAACTTCTCTTTCTTCGGTTGTTCTGTAGCGTCTGACATGGTGGAGAGCTGTATATTGGTGTTGATTGATGCGGAACGTCGGATGCCTTGACGGGAAGTCACGATGCTGGCCTCGGCATGGCAGGTGGGGCTCATGCTAGGCTGTCGCACAAGCCTCATTTCGCCACGAACTTCCCCATCTCACAAAGCCACAAGTGGCATCCCCTTGACACTACTCAGTTTGCGATCAGTGCGCCCATCGCCGTCTACCGCTGACAGATGCTGAGGTATTTTCCACAAAGCTTCGAGTCATTCTCAATGCGCCTATCTGGTAGAGTCACTAATAGTATTGAGCTTCCCAGCGATCTGTCGAACACCGTTTACAGCTGATGTGGATTTATCTGTATGTCTACCCTATGTTTGGTAATATGTACGTATGAAACGACAGTCCACAGTGAACGTGCGGTTACCGAGGGTGGTGACTTGGCCGTTCAAGTACGTGATATTACAATCGCTAAGACCTGTCGCATAAGCACGAAAAAATCGCCCAGGCGTACGACGCTGGCAGGATCCTGACAAGTATGGTGAAAGCCAGTTCATCCAATATCCTATCCAAATATGCACAGTTTGCTGGGATTGGCTTCGTATATCCTACTCGGTAAAGGGAAGATTACCCTCCACCAGCGACAGTGTATGCTGACTGACCCGCATGAACTGCTGCGTTATACTGACTCTGTCTTACACAGTTGCTGCAGTTTGATTCCTTTTGATCCCACTCTCGTCTGGTGTTCCATGCGCCGAAACATTGATGACCGGGATCGTTGCGTGCGAAATGGCAATGCTGTATGAGTTGATACTCATGATGGCCACAAGGAAAGTTGATCTTCTCGTAAAAGCACATTTCCTAATGTGTGGATTATATGACTGTTTGATACTTTGTTCGATAACTAAAAACATTGTCAGCTTGCTTGCTACGGTGGAACCTTGCGAGCGTACATTAAAGCACGATTCCGTGGCTTGTACTCGAGATTTTCCGACCACAAGATACACGTTTCGAATGTATCTGTCACAAGCTATTGGTGTGCAGAATGTAAAGAGAATTGCAGAGAGAATCTGAGGAAGTCTGGGAGTTGTACGTCCAAAGGGAATGTCACAACTCTTTATACGCCACCAACTCACGTCACCGCGGTGGCTACATACGCTTCTTTAGCATATCCTTTAGCCGCGCTTTCCTTTGAGTAATTGCATGTACTAGACAGAGCTCTTGCAGCAGCTGGGTTCACACATCACAATCTCAGGCTAGCTGATTGCCTGCCAGGTCAGCATCTGGTCTGCCTTGTCGCATTCTTGCAGCCTCATGCTACAACCCTTTCACTCTTCTCCAACAGAATATGAAGTGCAGACATGGTGCTGTAGTACCATGAGTGTTAGCAATTTGTGGTACGGTTCCACACCGCACAGATACTTATCGCATCTACAGCAGGCACTGCCTATGCATTCCGTTCCACGAGCCCGGATGCTGGTAGTCGAACCTCAGAATCAGCTGCTTCGGCATTCACCATTCGTGATAACACCGCTCTCAGCTTGTCTGTTAGAAGCTAGACTAGAAAGACGGTATTATAATTTGAGTTCAACTCACACCCTCGTTCAATACTTTCGTTTGGTTCTGCTGCTGTATTGGCGGATATGGTTGCGATGTAAAACGCGCCTCCTATGACGATAGAAGTTTGGCAAACATAGGCTGCAGATTCACCGAAGATTATCCCTTGCAGTTTGACACAAACCGGGATTAATGTACACCAGTCATGGCATGAAAGATACGCCTCCATATACTGAGTCCTTCTGCACGATTATTAACGCCACACTGAGCATATCAGGGGTCGGAATATGTGAGTCTAACTACAAATAATCCAGCACATACTTACGGTACCCGTTTCCCCGCTTCCACGTTACGACCCGGTACACAATTGTGCTACAACTGCATAAATTTCAGGTTTGAGAGGATGATTTGTAGTTTCTTCATGGATCGGGAGCCGAATCAGATCAGCATGTTCGGTCTTGATGCATACAAATCACGTACTAATGAACGCACGCAATTTCCTACTTCTCGATCTGGTATGAAATTGGCTATCGCGACAATGCGAAAGACGCAGGAGCGGGGTTCGCCCATTGAAGGTTGGCCGATAGTAAGATCATGTCGAACGCCGTTCACGATCACGAACGTCTCCAATTGGCCGCCTACCTACTTCCCCTCCCGCTCTCGCTACTGGCGAACGATGAGCGCTGTGAGCGCCCAGAAGTTATCAAGCCACCGTCTTACCCTCGCGGAACTTACACCATAACTCGCTATACAAAGATATTCGTGGAAACAAGAGCATAGCAGTCGCCGCGGGGAACTGTAAGCCGTGGAGTACGATATCGTGTGGGAGTGTTGAAATCACTAACCCTACTTTGCTATCTTCGTGCAACTGTTGTAGACGCCCACAAAGGTGCAGTCCTGCACGACTCATAGCTCGGTCCAAGTGACCAGTATTCATGGAAAAAAACCTGAAACCATGTGAAAACTGCGCATCCTGCTCTCGAAAAGCTCGTGCATGCAGCGATGTAACCCAGAGAAGTTTCATCACCCTGAACTCCAGCTAGTGAACACAACACCTTATGCTCAAGGCACCCACATCACATAGACAATCCAGGGTTTATGGGCGACATTGTACGCATTAGATCTAGCTACTAAAATGTAGTATTATATGTCGATATCACGTCCACGCCTAGAGAAACGAACGCGCTCTACAACGACAACCGGCTAACGGAAGTGGCTAATTTATCAGAGCCAATCTGAACTGTGCTTATAGCTCGTTCTGGAGGATCGCGTACTCTCTCCGAATCGGATAGGAAGCATGACTCAACGTCTTAAGGGAACTGTTCCTAGGCTGACATAGAGATATACCACAGAATTATATGACAAGTAACCCAGCGGACTCGACGAACCCGATCAAATTGACCGATCCACACAATCGAGTACGATCGATCTCATCTCCCGGTACGAGTTAAAGATCAAAATAAACAATGCCATCAACTTTGTACGTACCTAATGACTCGTTAGGAAGTTCGAAACAAGGTTTCTACGTATCGGTACGTGAGATGCATCCCTGAGACGGTGGTTACACCTAGGAAGCTTTCGAAGCACGGGCGGGCCCGCCTGTGTATGAGAGTTGACGCACAACGTTCCTTTTGGGCACTGTCCAGGTGTATACGGGACACCGCATATGCGGGTGCTGCCACTTTATCGGCTCTTAGAGACCAACACTGACATTCCGATCAAGGTTCGTACGAGAGGTAACTCCCGTTGTCGCCGTTCGGGGCGTTTCGCCGAGGGGAAAATGTTCAAGAATTGTTTGGTCATCGCGAAACCACCTGATTCGAAAGTTGCGATGAACGGATGGAATTGTTGCAAAATGCACATATCGAGCGAATACCAAACAGCGGCCCAGACTTATGAGTATGTCAGTGCCACTACAGATCGTAGCAGTCTATGGATAGCTCACGCTAGGGGCCCTCACACCTCATTATCCCTCATACGACACGTCGCTTCGAGTCCTTAGTACTCCCACGTCACTCCCCACTCTTCAACTCGCATCCGTCTTATCATTCGTTTCCCTTGCAGGACACCTCAGAAATGACTGCGCCTCGACGGAAGCAGCCTAGAAATCAGTAAATCGACAAGGAGGAATCGTATCGAATCACCGAAATAACGGTATCACGGCAAGGAAAGGATACAGGGACAAGCAGAGTCGAGTACGGTCTGGGGTAGAGTACAGCGTTCAGGCGCTGACTGGAGATAGAGTAGGCTGCAGCTGAACGTTGTGCGTCTTCGTCATACTCGATGTTTTTTTGATGTCAAATCCGTGGAAGAGGACAGTGGATGACAAGGTCAACGAAACCATGGATCAACAATCACTTTTTCCATTCATATCAACGCCATCGCTAATGCTATTAACGAGATGTAATCGTAGTCACTATTTTCCAGCCTTCCTCGCTTTCCTCGCTTGCCTCTTCTTCGCGATGATCCTCGTCCTCTGTGCCAGTTTCCCATCTTTGCTCTTCACTGCAGCGGCGGCTTCCGCGCCAGCTTCCGCAGCACCCGTACCCTGCTTCCCTGTGCCGTTGTTCTTAGCCTTGCCCGCTTTTTGACCCGCGGAGCTAGAATCACGCTTGCGCTTCTGGCCTTTAGTCGCACCCGGCTCAGCATCGTCGTTATCAGCCTCACCATCGGCCTTCGACTTAGGTGCTTCTCTAGACTTCTCCTCACGGTCCGAGCGTCGGTTGACAACGTTGGCGTTTTCGATGGCGAACTCGACAATGAGACGTTTCCGCTTATCTTCTAGAGCTTCTTGGGCAGCCTTCTTGTTCTTTGGCGTGGGGCCAGATTTGATCTTGTAGTCTACGGCGTGGCCGTTGAGCCATCGTAGACCCATCAGTGCGTTTCGGTGCGTGTAGTACTCAATGAATCCGTATCCTCTACTCCTTCCTGCACCAGTGTCTTCGGAGACTTTGCTACCAGCGGGTGTCTCGAAGACGACCTTGGCTTGCTTTACGATACCCTTGCCCTTCTTCTTACGCATCTTCTCCGCAACAAGCATCTCTTGACCGCCACGAATAACTTCCTCCTTGTTGAGTTTCTGGCGCTTGCCCTCTTTGACATCGGCTGCGAAACCAACGACGGCGCTACGAGCGAGTTGCTTCAGGTCCTTGGACGTGATACTGCGGGGAATGTTGCGTATGGACAGACGGGTGAGGGATAAGTGGAGCGAAGGGTTCTCTTGGATCTGTTTACGGCGCATCGTTGCGCTCTCTTCACGCATCTTGATTTCGGAGGGGGAGAGCTTCTGGTATAGAGGCGAATTGGAGGAGATAGTTCCCTCAGAGAGAAGGTAGAGACGGCGCTTGTCTTTGTCGCGACTAAAGCGCGAAGCAGCGCCTTCCGCTGTCAGACGAGTCGCCTCGTTCTTGTCGACTGCGCGTGAGATTTGTAGGATGCGACCATCGATAGTGTATTTGCCCGTTGGGTCGGCATCTTCGTCTTCGAGAACAGAGTGTGTAACAGTAATGGTGGAGCCATCTTTCTTGTCGAGGTTCCTCTTCTGTAGCTTGACACGCGGTACACCCTTTAGGCAGTTGATCATGTCTTCTTCTGAAAAGAACGAGACGAATCCTGTACCCTTTGGTCGTTCTGTCTCGCGATCGACCACGACACGGGCAAATCGTATGCCACCGAACTGCTGGAAGTGCTCCTTGAGACGCTCGTCGTCCACTGTGAAGGGTACATTGCGTACAAAGAGGGTGTACTCCTCGCGCTTCGGTCGGTTGTCTGCCTGATCAAGCTCCACTCCGCCTTCCTCATCATCCTCCGATATGTCTTCGTAGTCGGTGTTGCTATCGTCTTCATCCTCGTCGTCTTCGCTATCGTCTGCCTCGGAGTCGTCTTCATCCGAGCTGACCGCAGAACTCTCAGCATCTTCCATATCTTCATCTTCGTCTTCTCCCTCGGCTTTGGCATCGTCTCCTTCCTGCTCGGTCTTTTGCAGGCTCTGCCATGTGTCTCGGTCCACAGCCCAATCGACAGCAATCGGCCGTTCGTCAACCTCCTTGCCGTTGAGTTCCTGTATCGCTCTCTCCGCGTTCTTCCTTCCTCGTAGTGAGACGAAACCGAAACCTCTCAATTCACCATTGGGCTTCTTGGGCAGATTGACGAAGTTGACTTTGCCATAGCTTCTGAACAACTTTTGTAAATCTTCTGGTGTCTTGATAGTCCATGGAAGGTTGCGAATAATGAGTTTTGGTGTTTGCGCATCCTTGATCTGCTGCTCGCGCTCTGCTTTGGCCCGGTCACCGGCCCTAGGACGCTTCTCTTCGCCCTCACGTTGTCTTGCCTCAGCAAAGTCGACCTTGATCTTCTTTCCCTTGATCTCCGTGTTGTTCAACTCCTCCTTCGCTCTTTGCGCATCCTCAACGTCGGCGAATGTTACGAAACCGTAGCTCTTTGATTCCCTAGTTTCCTTGTCCAAAACGACAAGCGCATTCTTGATGGGGTATGATTCGGAGAAGTATTCGGTAAGGTCCTCTGTCGTAACGGTGGGCGCAAGTCCGCGAACGAAGAGTTGTCTGCGCGCAGCTTCTTTAGGCGCGGCTGTGGAAGGATTGGAAGGCTGTTCAACATCCGCGGTCGCTGTGACGGCTTCTGCTCCATCGATTGAGAGACGCTGGCGCTTTCTACGGGGAGCCATTGTAAAGGAGTTATATGACAAGCGTTGTTTGCGGGTTTGGACTTTTGGTATGTCTTTGAAAAAAGTTCCAGCATCACGGCGCACAGATCCACCGCTCCGGCCTTGGCAGCACATGCGCCAGAAAGTGGAGCTAGACCCTTTCAGCTGAACGTTGCATGGACGGCGAGACCTGCGTCTTCCAATTCGCATGCACTAGAACCGGATTCTTCCTCTTCACCTTCACTCACTCTCGCTCACCGTTCAATCTTCCTTTCGTTCGCGTTGAATCTCAGATCGCGATCTTTTGCATGATGTGCCCGCCCAACTGGGCAAGCCGGGTGTCAGCCTGCACACCCCCCACTCAATCTTGGGTCATGGGACACAATCTTTCGCATGTTGCTATCTATTGCCGCATGTTCTAGTCGAGCGATGTCTCATTGCTTGGGTGGTCTCGAATCTACGATAACATGCGCTTTTGAAATCCCATGCCAGCGACTCAGGACGCATGCATGCAAATACGTCACCGCACATGACCTTTTGTTGACAACAACAGGCTGCGGGAATAGTAGAGATCACAGAGCAATATCTGTATCCCTAGGTGTGAGTATGTGCTACATCGCTTACGTTTTTTAACACCTAGGGACATCCCTTCGCGTATTAGAGGAGACTTTTACGGTTTGAACTGTAAGCTTCAACAACCGTTGACAAGATAATCTCTGTCGGAAGATGTTCCGGCCGCACCCACTAGCCTTACGAAACATGTTAATTTCTCCAGTCTGATGTTCTGCGTTTCTCATCTGGAACTATTGTCGTCCCTATTGCACCTTTGCTAATGCCGGGGCGTGTTGAATAACAAGATCTACCTCGTCCACGCCTCAAAGCGTTAGCACCCGGCACTCAACGTCTGCACACAATGTCATGGATGCAGCTCCTTTAACATTTCTGACACCGAAGCTAAACCGGCGCAATCAAAGGGCTTATCAGAGCACCGCTTAACTACTGCCCAACGCATCTTAGCCCTCCCCCGCCGCGGAGTGTGGTGCCGCCCATGTAAAGCCCATGGTACACACACAGGAGGGGTAAGCGCCGAAGAAGGCTCTCTCAACAATTCGCGATCTGTCGAATACTCAGACAACAATCCAACAATGTCGCGTCGAAGTTCTGAAGCGGGCGAGGGCGACGCCCTTTTGAACGCCGGCGAGGTTATTGCATCTTCTTCTCGAAACTATTCTACACTTGATGACCCGACTCCCACCGAAGGAATAACTACAAGAGATGGGACGTCATTGGACACAGACAAAGAAAAGCCTGTGGGCCACGATCAGTCTGACGACCCGGAGCGTTCACATTCATTAACTGAAGAGCTTGGCGATGAGAGCATCTCTTTGTACGAGAAGAAATGCTTGCTTATCAATCGCGAGATCGATCTCATGGGAATGGGACGGTACCAGTGGTCGATTTGGGCGCTCTGTGGCTTTGGCTACATGATTGACTTGATGTGGGCACAAGCGTTTGGCCTCGTCTTATCGCCAATCCAGCAGGAGCTTGGATTTGGAGCTGATCAAACTGGCAAACTGTCTACTGCCTTTTCAATAGGACTCACAGCGGGCGCGTTTGTGTGGGGCGTCCTGGTAGACGTGATTGGGCGAAAGTTCTCTTTCAACCTGACAGTCTTCATCGCGTGCATCTTTGGCACTTGTATCGGCGCTCCGAGCACTTACAACGCCATTTTGGTCCTCACGGCGTTTACTGGGTTCGGCGTCGGGGGCAACATTCCTATCGACACCACGATAACTTTAGAAGCCACACCACAGAGCAAACGCTATCTTCTTCCGTTGTTGTCGATCTTTCAACCCATCGGTGTTGTCATCTGCTCGGTGCTCGCCTATGGTTTTATACCAAACTGGTCTTGCAGTCCAAACTTCTCAGAGGGAGATCGAGCGTTGCCTGCCTGCGGTGCTGTTGCTGCAGGGGAAGCGTGTTGTTCAAGAGAGGCCAACATGGGATGGCGGTATCTACTCTTCACCCTAGGAGGGATCACCATACTTGTCTTCGTCTTACGTTCGGTGGTTTTCACCTTCCAGGAATCCCCCAAGTTCCTCATATACCGTGGCAAGGATGCCGAAGCCATCCAAGTGTTGCACTCTATGGCTCAATACAACGGTACAAAGTGTACCCTGTCCCTAGAGGATCTTGAATCTCTGGAGCGGCCATTTGATTCGTGCCAGAGTACTGGGCCGATGCTCGGAGGCGGTGTCAAGCAGCTCAAATCCACCTGGACTGAGAAGCTCAAACTAGAAGGCGATCGGTTCAAGATTCTGTTTTCGAGCTTTCAAATGACAAGACTGACACTTTTGGTTTGGTTGACTTACATATGCGATTACTGGGGTTTCACTGTTGCCGGTAAGTTGCACACATGTTCTCTTTAACGAGTATATACTAACCTCTATTCAGGCTCCTACCTCCCACAAATCCTGGCAGTGAAGAACGGCGCTCTAGATCTTTCGCTTCGCTATACTTATCGCTCTTACATCTTCATCTATCTTCCCGGAGTCCTCGGTGTTGTGCTCGGGACCCTGTCTTACCGTGCGTCGCGAGTTGGCCGTAAATGGACAATGGTGGTTTCCTCAGCATTGATGGGTATATCCATCTTCCTCTTCAGTTCTGTCAACTCCGCAGCCTCGAACATCGGCTTCAATGTCATGGAGTACTTCTTCCAATCTATGTTCAACTCGGTCTTGTACGGTTGGACACCTGAGGCTTTCCCAGCACCTATTAGAGGTACAGCATGCGGTATCGCGAGTTTCTGGGGCAGGCTGTTTGGTATCGTCAGTCCGCTTATTGCGCAGCATTTATACGCGGGTGGTGGAGCAGGCAGGGATATCAACAGCGTGTTATATCTAGCTGGAGGAGTCACGTTGGGCTGTGTCATCACGACAGCCCTGCTACCTAGCAAGCTTGTAGGTCGGCAGAGCTTGTAGGAACAGCAAGCGGGTGAGGTACGACGGAGAGCTGAAACGGGTGAGGGAATGTTTGTAACCGTGTTCGGCGCTCGAGATACCCGCTACACTAGGTAGCATTCATTACTAGGATAAGACGAACAATATACGGGTAAAGCAACCAAGAACAGTGCGTTTTTCAGTCAATTTCGAACTCTTTGTTGCGAACCTAAGATGGTTCGCCTATACTCCTTAACGCCGCTCAATGCTTGCATATGATATTATTTCGAGGTCATAATTTCGTCTTCCCCATCACGTCTGCTCGCCTCTGCTCCATCACATACCCACTCGCCACAGGACTCCAACCTTGACTAGCGACTTGTGGTATGGGGAACGGCGGCTTCTTTAGATTCTGCGTGAAGAAGACGGGATGCCGTATCGCGCTGTCGTATACCGGTGTGAAGAAGGTGGCTGGTGTTTGTGGGGGACCAAAAGGTGGCATGGCTTCGATCTGTGATCGTGGTTTTGGAGGGTTCAGATGTGAGTTTGAGGGCTGTGTTGTAGGTTGTTGCGAGGCCTGTGATGACGAGTGGGCGGCGCGTTGCTGTTGGTGCGCGTATGAAGGTCTTGGGGACTGTTGGGGAGGCTACGTTCTGTCAGCAAGCGTGATGAGATTAAACGTGAAGATGACATACCTTTGGCCTCGACGGCTGCAGGCTAGGGAGCATGTCAAGTTGCTCGCGTGAGGACTGCCAGAGCCTCGAACTGTCGCGACTGTCGTTGCGGAGACCCCATCTACTACGTACCTCGGCAGACCGAGCGACCGCGCGCGACGTCATTCCTACTTCGTTCTCGCGGACACGGACACTTTTCCGCTACGGCAAACACCACCAAATGCAGACTGTTTATCCCATTTCAATATGAGCGTAACAACACCGAAATTCCGAAATGCGAAAAACGCAAGCGCTGTTCTTTGCAGCCACAAGATGTACAAGACTCCAGACTTCACGTAGACTGTATTCTTCGCCGTCTATTGTCAAAATTACCAATGGCACCTTCTACCGCCAACATCCTTCGTCCAAAGGCCATAATGCGACTTCAAACCCGCCGTTGTTCTCAGCCCTGACTTTGGATCTACCATCTTTCTCAACACCAAACCAACATTGGGTGGTTTTAAGTCCATCGTCTGACATTCGCACGGCGTTTCTCCAAATTCTTCGCGGTCAATTACTTTGCTTCCCCCCAACAGCGCGTTCTTTCCCTTACCTCCTCACCCCAGCCATCACAGAAGAGAGACCGCGCCTGCGCTTCCCAGAGCGAGCGATCGAGTATGTGGGCTTCGATGTTGAGCGGAAAGCTTTTGGCGGCGCGTATCTATCCGCACGGTATGAGTCCCTAAGAGAAGATACGGATTTTACCGTTCAGAGATATCTCACCGGCATCGTAACGATGAACCCTGGAGAAGAGGAATTGAAGGCAAAGAGCGTGGATGAAGAGGATATGAAAAGGGTTATGCGGGATTTGGAGCTAGAGAGGTTTATCGACAAGCCGGTTAGTATGTTGAGTAATGGGCAGAGCAGACGAGCGAGGATTGCGAAGGCGTTATTGAGTGGGCCTGAGATGCTGTGCTTAGATGCGCCCTTTAGTGAGTCTTGACTTCATACTACCAGTATGTGTCCGAGGGAAGTGAGCTAACAGCATGGTAGTCGGACTGGATCCTATCGTCACAAGGCATATCTCCAAGGTTTTGCATCGTCTCGCGGAAGCAAATGCACCACGCATTGTTCTAAGTCTGCGACCCCAGGATGATATTCCGGAATGGGTTACGCATGTTGTATATGCTGGGGAAGATGGACAGGTGCATAGATTGGGACCAAAGGAAGAGGTCCTGAGGTACTTGGAAGAGAAGTATGGGCAAGACGAGAGTACTAGGGGTGATAAACGTATCTCGACGATTACGGAGACAGTGGAAGCAGGACGACATTCGGCAAGAGATGACTCTAAAACATCGCCAAATGCGCCAACACTGAATCGAGATGGCTACGAAAAAGTCGATACCTCTATGCCTACGATCGGCGAACCCATCGTCGAAATGCAAGGAGTACGCATCGCCTATGGCCAGAACTCTGTCTTGGGAGACTGGCAACAGGAGGTCAATGGCTCATCTCGACCCGGTCTTCACTGGAACGTCCGTCGGAATCAGCGCTGGGGTATCTTTGGTGCCAACGGTTCCGGCAAGACTACCCTCCTGTCTCTTGTCACATCAGATCATCCACAGACTTACTCTGCTCCTGTAAAGCTTTTCCAGCGCTCTCGCTTACCCGAGCCCGGCATCCCAGGCATAACCATTTTCGAGATACAATCGCGAATGGGTCATGCGAGTCCGGAGGTTCATGCCCTGTTTCCGAAGAGGCTAACTCTCAGAACAACACTGGAGAGTGCATGGGCTGATACGCCGATCACGAAGCCAAGACTTGATGAAGAGGCGAAGAAGAGGGTGGACGCATGCTTGAGTTGGTTCGAGGCAGAACTTAGGCCGGGGTTCGGCGGTGGTGAAAAGAGTAGCGAGACTCTCGCATGGGCGTCTGACACTCTGTTCGGTGAGGTGTCATTCTCAGCACAACGGGTACTCCTCTTCCTGCGCGCCACGATCCGTAATGCTGATATCGTTATTTTGGATGAAGCCTTCAGTGGTATGGACGACCTGGTTCGGGACAAGTGCCTTTTGTTCCTTAGTCGTGGCCAGAGCATGGAACTCAAGCCGTCTGATGACGGGCCAAGACCGGTGAAATGGGAGGGTGAGGTCGTAGTACCAGGACTACAAGAACATCAAGCTTTGCTTTGTGTCAGCCATAGTAAGCACGAAGTGCCTGGATGCATACGGGAATGGGTATGCCTACCCGAACCAGGCACAGGACCACCTAGATTCGGTCGGTTTAACGGGCCTGTTGAGTTGGATGTGGGACGATGGAATGAAGTGTGGAATGAGGCCTCTTAAGCTTTGACGTTTGACAAGAAAGGAGTAGACATTTAAGCCTTGCTTCTTATATGCCACATCCTATTGCACTGCGCATAGGGTATGAGCTTCACTTCGAGTTGTGAGTTCACACATTCTGGAAAAGTGCAAAAGTGAAGAGTGAGCTGAGTGGAAATGCTTATAGACCGTAGTAAGCTACAGCGTGTATGCTATTCATTGCTCGTCCTCCTTACCACTATCCTTCTTCTTCTCTTCTAGCTTCTCCGACCTTTCCAGAATCTCGCCCGCCAGTCTCTCCAAGTAAAACTTTGATACATCGACTGGTAGATCTTTGAAAGCTTTGACAATCTTCTCCACATCTCTCCTACCATTCTCGTATGCTTGCAGGTCTCTATTCCCGTATACATCCTTACCGGCTGCATACCCCCTCTCCAGTCCCTTCCAAAACACATTGACTGCCACGCTGACACCATCTTCCGGCGTAGCTGTATGACTCCACATGGGCGGTATGTATAGCACATCACCAGGTTTAAGTAAAGCAATATGAGGATGAGTGCGCCTAAGTTTGGGGTTCTTGGAGGTCAGGACATCGATATTAGAGGACGAGCCTCCGGGTGGAAAGTCCAGCAGGGAGACATCGGTAGGTGGGTAGAGGAATAGGGTCTTTGAGCCGCGAACCTGGCAGAGGATGTTGGAGAGGACATCATAGTGTAGCCACAAGGTCACAGGTCCGGAGATCCGGAGGGGAGAGCTGTGGTAGTTTTCCTTGACTATGTTGCATACCTGTGGTACGTGGAAGTCGTTGGAGATTGCTGGAAAATCGTCTTCAAGTTTGGTGGGTAGCTTGTTTGGCTGACTTGACGATACAGCACGAAGATAGGCATGAGAACCTTGAGCTATTCCGCCCAGGAAGTCTGCTACTGACTTCTTGACGTATGCGAAATTCTTGTCCTTGAACGTCATACGATCCGATGAGCATTCATGAATGACAAGTTCCCTCTCTGGTCCGAGCTTCTCTTTTAGGTAGTCAAGTGTCCATAGGTCTGTGCACGGACCGATATCGAGGCCTTCGATGATGGCCGGTTTCAACGAGGCCGTCAGCTTGGCAAAGTCATCTGACGACTGGATCTGTACCCTTGCGATCTCGGTAGTACGTGCAGCAGTAGCAGGTCTCTTCTTTGCATTGACTTCTCCTCGCCGACCTTTGGATGTCGTTTCAGCAGTCCTCGCTTGTGCTGTGCCTTCTGTGCCTGCTGTGCCTTCTGTGCCGCTGATCTGACTCGGCACAACGCGACGCCACGGCTTGGCCCCTTGCGCAATGCCAGGAAGGATGGTGATCGGTTCTTCATTCCAGTAGCTTCCCATTGAGAAGCATACCGCCCCTCCTCCTGCAAGCACAATCTCGCCACGAGACGTTGAAACGGCCCCTACACCCACTAGCAAAGGCCATGCAGTTGGTGGCAAGACCTGCATGCGGAGGTGCTCCACCTCGATTGTCGTTTCCTTGCATTTCAAGAGTAGAAAGTCGTCTGATAGAGAGTGGATATGCTTCTTTGAAACACCTCCAATCAACAGCAGAGAACCGTTCCAAGGGACCAGGTTGGCACCTATACGCGCGCATGCAGAGTTTTCTGGACTGCTTCGAACGTCATTGGTTCGGTCCTTAAAGTTGAGTCGAGTTGTTGGTGTGGCGGAAATGGACCACTCCCACACCGCGTCTTCCAGAACCACGCCGCTCTCGTTTGAACCTCCTGTCAGCAACCCCCAATTTTGAGCAGAATCGATCGTGGACATCGCGGCGCCGAAGCGTGCAGACGGGCGCGGTCCGTCAACGGGAATGCTGTGCCATCCATCGTTGGCAGTCCATAAGGCGCAGTAGTGTTCGGCATGGAGTACTGTGCCGTCACTGGCTCTCCCACCAAAGATGAGGACACCGGGGGTCTGTGACTCCCCACTTCCTAATGCAACAGCTACAGCAGAATGGCGGTATCGCGCTGGCACGAGGTCATCCACTTTGGTCCAAGCTCCATGACTGAAAAGCCAGCAATCTGCACAAGCCTGGGTAGGCGATCCACGCCCTCCGACCAGCAACGCTTTACCGTTATGCATTGACGTGATGGTATGGCACATACGTGCAGTAGGCAGAAAGTCACAAGACTTGATGATATGATCCTCGTTGTGGTCTTCCCGCCTCAGGACATCCATATCGGCGAGACGGGCTTGCGTCCCTTGACCTCCGTGGAAGGCCACTAAGTCCTTGTCGTAAGTGAAAGCTGCTGTGAAACGTCGTGGCGTCACAGCACCACCAGTCGATGGTTCTGAGGTTTGAAGGGTAATAGTCTCCGCATCGGTAACCTTGCTGCACTCTCTGGGGGCTGCTGCCTCACTGTGGATTGACTCGGGCGTTCCCCGTTGCTCCGCGTTTGAGGCGACGAGTAGGAAATAATGACCGCCAAATAGCGCAAATTCCTCCCACTCGTCAAACGGCTCTATAGCATCCAGCCCGCGTCTGAGCATGGGAGAGGTAAAGGCATCATCGGACCAAAGGTCCCACAGATTGCGGGCCATGATTAGAGTAGACCACCCTGCATTACGGAAACGAGCGGCTTGCTGAGTTAATGATGAATGCAACTTAACCGCGTTGATTGAGGCTTGCAGCTTGTCGAAGTGAGACAGCATGGTCTTGGCAAAGGGATGCGCTGAGCCCTGGGGAAGGTACTGTTCTATGCGGTATGAAGTCAGTGCGAGAGGAATCGGAGACATATGTGAAGGATTGAGTACCTAGTATGCAGAAGCGAGCTGCATATGTTAGCATACCACTACGAGTAGGATTCATGGAGTCGGCGAACCGTCTTCAATGGTACTAGCCCACTGTATGAGTGCATCAGAGTCCTTTAGCGGCATGTAGGTCACCGACACCTCGGCGACGAACATAATTGAGGATGACGGGACATCGAATTCGGCCCGTAGAAGACGTTCAAGTGTTGCAAGGTCTTTGAGATCACAGCCCAAAGCCATGTACTTGTCACTACGAAGATATACAGGCTGTTCGGACTGGCGGAGTTTGGTCTTGAGTAGGGCGTCTCGAAGAAGACCGTTGCTGAGCATAGTATCTCGTTTCCGTTCCATCAGTTGTGGGTAGTCGACGTCTACGAATGTGGATGATTGCGTAAGAGCCGCATATCTGTGCCAGAACTGAAACGGTAAGGGATCACTTTCAGAACTTAGTAGCCGTTCCTCGTTGCTTGTCGACGACGGATGTCTTACTCACTATCCACATCCCAAGTTCACGACAATCTTTGGCTTTCCATTCTCTTCTTCCAGAAACAGACGGACAGCTTGTTCAATAGCGTGCATCCGTAGCCAATATCCACGATTGATTAACGGGTCTTGCAACGGGAGTCGAATATCAGTGTACGCTCACGTGGAGTTGGCGCGGAAGTCACGTACTGCGTCGAAGGAACTTTGGTACAAACGGCTCATAGAAGTCTGGCTCATGGCTCAGATATAACTTGGACACACTCCTTTTGGATACAATGCTGCTGTCATTTGTCTGACATGGATATTAGTTTAGTGGTTTGGAAGAGGACCACGGGCTGAAGAGGTTGGGAAACCTCACATTCATAATGTCAACGTCCCTTCTTTCGCGCAGTGTTTTCTGCTTGCCTTTGGTCCTCGGAGGGGCTTTCTTCAGCCGCATCTTGGTATCTTTCGTCATGACTCCGATCTGACTGACGTTGCCGACATGGGCGTGGGAGAGCAATGTTTTCTGGTGCACCAGCCACTACGTGGGGCTAAGCTGACCTCGGGATCCCTGCATGGGCGCGTGAACCATCGTCAGGCGGTGGTGGCTGCAACCTACGCAATAGCTCCAAAGTATTGCATCTCTCACCTACCCAGGTATATACTCATGCTGGTTTCTGCATTGCGATCGCTCGGGCCTGCGATTACCTTTACACGCCGCCTATAGGGCTGACCTCTCGCGAACGGCTGCCCAAAGCTACACCGAGCTATCACGCGGATAGTCCCCAACCTTCTCAGTACGGCGAACCACGCAGTCCAAGACACACCGCAGCCATGAATTTCGTCACATTCAACCAAGACCACAGCCATCTAGGCGTCGGTATGCGCCATCTCTGTTTATAGCTTCATGGGTACTGATCTGGCTCTGCAGGCACACCCAACGGCTACCGCATATATACCACCGATCCGTTTAACAAGCAGTCTGAGTCGCGCGAGGGAGATGTTTCCAGCCTTGAGATGCTCTTCTCGACATCGCTGGTTGCACTCACACTGTCACCACGAGTCTTGCGGATACAAAACACCAAGGTTCGTCAGACAGGCGACTATGGCTATACAGGTACTGACAATGTCAAGAGGCACTCGACCATATGTGAGATGACGTTCCGAACAGCTATTCTGGCGATGCGGATGAACAGGAAACGAATCGTAGTCGTGCTCGAGTCGGAACTCTATATCTACGATATAAGCAACCTTCAGATGCTAAAGACGGAGAAGACGTCGCCTAATCCTAACGGTACGTCGAGAGAAATGGCACTCCAAAGTTTTGCTAACAAGTATAGCAATATGCGCCCTCTCAGCATCGTCCGAGAACAACTACCTTGTGTATCCGCTACCCACCAAGGCCGCACCCGCTACCTTCCAGCCGCCTTCGCACGCGCCGCCCAAGACGGATCATATCGCACCTACGAGTGGAGAGGTCCTTATATACGATGCAACAAAGATGGAGGCAGTCAACGTCATCGAGGCACACAACTCTCCGCTATCTTGCATTGCGCTGAATAGCGATGGTACCCTGCTGGCGACGGCATCAGAGAAAGGCACCATCATCCGTGTCTTCTCCATACCCGATGCACAGAAGCTGTACCAGTTCAGGAGGGGCTCGATACCAGCGAGGATATACAGCATGTCCTTCAACTCGACGTCGACCTTGCTCAGCGTATCATCGGCGACTGAGACTGTCCACATCTTCCGCTTAGGAGCGCCCAACAGCAGAAGTAATAGCGTCTCTTCCGGGCCTACCAAGCCCATGGGCGCATCCCATGCGCGGAGCAATAGCAGAACGAGCCAAGAGACCGAGGATGAGTTCGGTACGAGCACAGCGGATATATCGTCTCCAGAGCGAAAAGCAATCAATCCTACATTCGGTAGCTTGATACGGCGCACATCGCAAACCGTTGGAAAGTCCTTCGCTGCTACCGTCGGCGGATATCTACCCAGCGCCGTAGCGGAGATCTGGGAGCCGTCGCGCGATTTTGCTTGGGTAAAGATACCGCGCTCTCCCACGAGCTCATCTTCAGGACCTGTTAGGAACGTGGTAGCACTCAACAACAACGGCCCTCAGATCATGGTCGTCACCAGCGAAGGCAACTACTATGTCTTCAATGTAGACCTGGAGAAAGGAGGTGAGGGAACATTGTACAAGCAGTACTCGTAAGTTGACCATTCGCTTGCTGTTGCTTGATGCCTGCTAACGCTTATCGCAGCCTTCTTGAACCGAACGAGCTTGCAGCAAGCAACTCTCAGGATCTGCCGGAATAGGCTTCCTATCGGCTGCCTTGCAACTTCCGCCAACTTGTTTCTTCATGCATTGCCTGTGGCGTACTTGGTCCTACATTATTCCCCGTGGTGTGGCGCACGTGTCTTTTGGGTAGCACCATAGTTTTCTCTTCTGTGTGGGTGCACATTGAGCAGCTCTATCGCTCAGCAATATAACTTGCTTTCTCGTATCATCTTGGTTCAATGGTGATGTCATGGAAGTAGTACAGTCGAAAGTTTATCGAGTTTGGCACTTGCATCGTGCATGAACAGATATCGTGAGACCTGCAGATCATTGAGATCTGGCATGTGCTAGCGCGTATTAGACCCCGCCCACGCGTCATTGGTCGCTGCCTGAAGTCGCATGATGGATACATTTGTTCCTTCTATGCTTTAATGCTCCATCACGCGCTCTCTTACGACACTTCTGCAGATTGCAACTGATTTCTACAAATCTCCTGAGCCATCTTACACGACCTCAAATACCCCCAACACATCTTGCGCCCGCAAAGATGGTAGATGCAAGAACTACGGGCAACCCGCTGAGCGCGGGTTCTCTCGCCCTCTTCATGGCTACGTCGCTACCAAAAGGCGAGTCATCACAACTCAAGAACGGAACCGAGGCTGTCGCGCTCGCTGTTCACGCTGGAATGCTTGCCGTTGGCTTCCGTCTGATCGGACTGGGCGAGGACGAGCGCATAGGTAAGCATACATCTTTTTTGTTCTGATCATCATTTATCATAACTCGGGAACTCATAGAAGCGCATGCAGACGCCGAAAACCCTTTGCCACTTCCCAAAGAATGGAACGCATCGTCTTCATACGCCTTCCGATACGCGCACGCGCAATCAGCCATGGAATACCTGGTCAAGGTTAACAGACTGGGAGGCAAAGCGGTCGTCTACGCCCTGGCGCTAGGCGATGACAAGACTACACATTTCGAGGTTACAACCAAGGACTACATCTCCGAATCACAACTACCTTTCAGTGTGTCGGAGGGCACGTCAACAGAGGACGTGTCACAGAAGCTGCAAGACCTGTTCATTTCGCCAGGCAGGCTGAACGACCTTGGCTCGCTCCTCAAGATATCAGTTATTCAGAAGCTGGCACCGGGGCTCAACAAGCCAGGGTACGAGGAGGGCAACACCGATCGCGAGCGTACCCCTACAGCAGACCGGCAGGAACCACAACGAGGGCAGCCTGCCAACCCACGGCAACCCCCTCACGAGCCAGAGCCCGCGCGACCGTATCCCTTCCACGACCCTCTCGCCGCACAGCCAGGCTCAGGACGACATCTGCCAGAGCCTATACCTGGCTTCGATGATGAATTGGGCATGAACCGGCAACCTGGTCGCATGCCTGGCAACAACCCTATCAATATCGGACACGACGACTTATATCCACAGGGTCTTGGGCCCAACGATCCCATTCGACCACACTTAGCAGGAGGACTGCCACGGCCTGGTGGTTTTGGCGGCGGCGGTATGCATCCCACGTTCGACGATCCGTTGTTCCGCGGTCAAGGCGGACAGGGTGGTTATGATCCGAGAGCACCACCAGGCGCTCGTTACGACCCTATGGGACCTGGCGATCCGTTGAGGGAGGACAGAGGAAGAGGTCCCATGTTTCCAGGCGGAGGAGGCTTTGGCGGACCTGGTGGTTTCGGCGGAGCAGGTGGACGACCGCCGAATCCGTTCGGTGGCTTTGGTGGTGGAGACTTCATCTGAGCGCTTCGCGAAAGTCTGCATGTACGACGAGTGAAGCGATAGGTGTAGAGTACACGACGAAAGATTTACGAATGATGATCAAAACGGAAGAACCACGGTTAATGTGCATGCGGCACGGACAAGGCGGTGCTGGCTGCGCCGCCTCAACACCACATCTCGGTGCTTGTGCAGGTACAATAAGTATGTAATTGAACATGTAATATATTTAGAACTTATAACTTGCATACCCCAGTGCTTTCCGCAGTCAAATCCGTTATTCGTTTCCATGCGACGAACGAAATCGATCGAGCATCAAGACTTGGGGCTTAGACATCTATTAACCGCCTGAAGATGTTAACCGCAGTCGGGGACGAAGCAAGACCATCGCTTCTTATTCAAACTGCTGCCTGAGCACATGCGCTCTTCATTGGGACTTGAACTTGGTGGGCGAGATAATTGTAGTGACAGTTAGGTCCAGCTGCCACTGACAACTTCGCATCAAGACGCCCTACCATATTCCGATGAAAGTCCATAGTGACTTGTTGCCTGGTCACTATTAGTCTGTTTCTATGATCTGCTTCGAATAGACGTGCATGTGATGTGATAAAGTATGCATAGCCTTGAGACATGTCTGCTAGTACATGGAAGTCCTCGTATCGTCGCAGTGCTTTCATAACCCAACAAAGAATCCGTTGCTACCCATACCACGACAGCCATAGTCGCTGCTTAAATATCTAGACCGTATGTGAGAACCTGTATACATGTATATCATAGTAGTCCGTCGTTACGAGATAGTGGCGCATCAATGTGCTAAGATGTGGTGATTGGATAGAAGCTGTAGAGGTTTGAGTCAAAGGACGTCTCGCTTGTGCTGGGGCGCCACTGTGCAGGCCCTGGTTGTTGAAAAGCTACTTCGCCGTTTCCGGAGACTGAGATTCTGGCGGTGAAATAAGCTCTTTGGCAGTGGATGGGTACAGCATCGTACTCTTCATCCTATCTCTTCCCATGCAGACTAATACAATCCAGTTCGTTGACTAACAAACTGGATGTTATTTCCCGTGTAGAGGAGGCGAAGCGCGTGAGGAGCAGGTTTACACGCATGGGTTGGGTCAATACGTGAAAGGAACAAGGCACGTGTGTGTTTCACCGCACCATCCCGTGGACTTTTAGCAGAGAGGTTAGTGGCAGAGGCAATAGGGAGTTTATACTCTTTGGCTATTGTGAACGTTCCTTCGACGCGGGGCGGACTTGTTATCTTCTCCAACAGGAGAAACCTAGCGAGAAAAGTGACAATGACGAGCTTCACGGTGGCTTTCTCACACACACGCACATATAGGCTACCTGTCATGGTTCTGCGCCGAAACAAGGTCGAAAAGGCGAATGGCGGCTTACTGACTCGCTTTGTTCGGTGTCCTTCATGGATATACCTTGGTGTAAGGAGATCCGTTTACCGTCTTGTTGGGTTCGCACACGGCTAGCATGTGATACCAAAGGGTCACCCTGAGTGTGGTGGCGACTAGCAATATATACTGCCGGTGGCTCAAGCAGCGGCTGATTGCTCGTGAATGGTGATTGCTGGACTACTCAGGCAGCTTCGCAGTGATTACCTTCCAGTATCTAGCATATCTCACTAAAAACCCATGCGTCGTTTCGGTGTGATACTAGGTCCCAGTATTTTGATGTCAAATAGTGTGGGGGCTGAGAATGCGCTTGTGCCGTGCGCCTATAAGCGCGAAGAACGACTTCAGTGACAGTGACATGAAACCACGGCTTGGAAGGACCTATTTCTGTGCTCCTCACAACAACCGGTACATGCATCTTAGGGGATTGCTGCACTTTTGTTCTTGCCGCTGCGGGGATGGTAGTGGGCATCTTACCTGCTGCCAGATGGCAGCCTCACCCGCGAGGCACGGAAGCTTACCTACACTTCCTCTTGTCCCTGCGAGGCCCTCTTAACCCAGCTCCCCTATTTTCTTGGCCGTGTTTTTCAATGGAACCTGACGAATGCCCAGGACGCAATGTCTCGTCTTCGGATCCGACAGTTGTCTGCCCGGGGTACTGTACACCGGTACAAGTGGAGGAAGTAAAAGTACCGTTCAGTGTGGAGCTTTACCCAGATTGGACTGTCCTACACGGGAGCATACAGCCTGGGAATACGAAAATTTCGGATGCCGGCGACCTCTTTGCTCAGCCTCGTCTTCCGTGGGCCGTCGCGTCTTCCAAGCGCGAACGGCTAAACCGTTAGGATGGTAAATTTACCGCCATTCACGTCCAACATTAACAAGTATAATCGGCCCATCATTTACCTGTTTCGACTGTCACCTGCCTAGATAAGCCAATACGTGTTCGACCATCCCGCTCGATTTATGCAATTATCCATCTTTTGTCTCATCCCATGAGCGGTAATGGGGCTAGATGCAGGGCGGTTGGTGATAGCTATGTTGGTGTGATGCCGATCGGCAGGCGACAGGCGCGTAATCAGTGGCCACAAGAAGGCATAGCACGCTGCACGTCGTGGTGATGGTCACATACACGATAGAGAATCAACAATACCCTTTTCTGATTTTGCAAAGGCGGGATAGATCCGGCTGTGACCACGGTCGCATATGTGCTCTTGCCTGTGTTGGGTTGTTAGACTGGTACTACAGGGTTTGAGCGTTGAACCATATCCACTACAACTTCGTTTCGCTGGATCCTCATCAACGAGTGAAGCTGCGTAGCTCGGTAAATTCCACCCTGCGAGATGCATCTCGCTGGGGCTCGTGGATGTGTGCGTGCCGGCTTTGTCTGTCAAAGGACTCGGGTCTGTATTGGTGTGACAACGTGTGTGAACGCCGAGAGATCGCTACCAGTCTGCTGGATGTGTTGTCATCTCAAATGCAGCATGCGAACATCATAGCTCGACATCAATGTCTAGTTATTTGTGTTTTCGACGCTCATACGATAATTCGGCAGGAAGGCAGGGTTGTGCTTCCCCGCAAGCGAGATGAGGAGGTCCAGGTTCATCCCCCGCGGAGGTTTCCTGCCTGCGCTCGGGTTGCGTTCATCGTTTGCCATGATCAGGCGGCGCAGTTTCGCGCGCGCACTGAGTCAACGATCTCGGAGGAACAGCTGTTTGGGGAAAGCGAGCGGTCGCGGGAGTTTCCAGCTGCCGTACCGATCTGGCTGTGCCACAACGTTGTAAGATTGCAAAGGGGGCCGGGGGATGCTATCGGACAACATCCACACTTCGACGCCGATGCTTGACGCTTGAGACTCAACAAGGCTGCTCTTACAATAATTGAAAAGGACAGCTACAACATTGGACAGCATCTTACCGAAGTACCGAAGCAAGGTAAACGCCGTAGGTCTGCCAAGAGCCCTAACTATTTGAAGATGGGCCCCGAACCTGGCGAGCCTACCTGTGACGGCCAACAGAGATGCCGCTAACATTATTCGCATACACGACTGGAGGGAATAGTCCAGTGTCATGAGGATGATGAGGTTTTCGAACCAACAGCCTGGAACGAAAAGAGCGCTTTTCATCAGTGCTTTCCGTAAAGCCAAGTTATACTTTTCAGCCTCGTTTGAGCCATCGTGCCTGGCGTTGAATCAGCTTTGATGTGTGCGTGCACGATGTGCGGACTGACTGCAAAAGGTATGCATCTCGCTGCCTTCCTTTTCGATTATGGAAGGTAATGGGAACCTGCCAAGTAATCAGAGTTACAGTAGGATTTCAAGCGTACCCAGCTCCCGGAATTTGGGGTGGGTTTTGCATAAAATTAGTGTCACAATACAGTACCACATACAGTCCGGCTTGTATCTGTATGCGGTAGGAAGTCCGTGCGCTCTACAGCGCTATTGGCTGGGGAAGAGGGAAGCCGTACCCGGAGATAGTAAGCTAGCTTGAACAATTCGTAGGGTTGGCTTGCAGTGTACACGAGAGAAACTTGATGAGGCTCCAGTGGACACCGGAGATATGTGGCCTAATTCTCCGTTTCGGCGCCATGAGGATAGAGGTAGTACTCCGAACGAGCTATAGAAATGTGCGCTCGAAGAGTTCACCACGGAAGCGACCCATGCACCAAGCGAAAACACACTTTGCAACCGAAGAATGTGGTGTACTGCGTCTTCCAGCTACAAGATTTTGTAATCTCATGGTGAGGACAAACACCCGATTGATATCTAGGTAACTCCACTGGTTCTGCAGGGTATCGCGGCCTGCCGCTAAGCGTATAGCTCCGGCACTCAAAGCCACCGCGAGAGTCAGGCCGCGATACATATGCAGGGTGGATATTGTCATAAGCCCTGAGTCTGCTCCACAGTGGCCAGCGGATCAATGTAAGCCGCTAGCGCTATGCCCTTGCTCGATGTGAACACGAAGAAAGTATTTGCTGATGAACGAATGGAAGGGAGGTCTGACCAGCTGTGACCTCACGCACCTTCGGCTTTGCTCAGTGCAAGACGAAACAGACCAGTACTGAAACAAGAGAACGTGTCAAAATGAAGTTATGCCCGGGCGCATTTCTTGCTCCCCCGCCCAGGTTGTATAAATCTTAGGAACCGCAGGTGCGGGGTGGCAGCTTCGAAGATGTGACGTTGTTTTTAGCTGCGTTGCACGCAACTCTAGCGAGCCGGCGTTTATCGCGGAGTGAAGGCGCGGCAACACACACCACTAGCAGGGGTTTTGCGGTTCGCGCGGACAGCGGAAGCATCGCGGCAGCTCCAGCTTTTTTTTTTAAACGCCTTACCGATCGACTTGGATCCCTAGAAGCGCCGTTTAGCGCTTTGCGAAATGCGATTCGCACAGCATGGCGCGAGAAGGAGGGCGTGCATGGTAATCGCGTGGTATTGCATCCAGTGCCATGTGTGTGGTTTCCCAGCAACCTGAACATGATTTGGTGAAGTGGCAATGCACAAAAATTTGTAGTTCTAGTCCTTCACTCCAAGCGCGATGTCACAACAAACGATGACGTTGACGGTTTGTTGAATCGTGGCCTTGCTGATGTTTGCCATCTGTGTAGACTGTCCAATTCGCCTGCAGGCCTGTCAGACTGCAAAGGCGCGATCGCCAGCCCTACCGAGCAGGTACCTGACTGCATATGCGTCATGGGCAGCAGGAGCAACCCAAGCTATCCATCTTACGCATACGCTGCGCAGGCACGCGTTTGCGTTATCACGATTGTCTAAAATTTGGTTTCTCAGGCGGGGTCTTCCGGCGATGCCACGGTGGGGACTTCCGAAGAGCCATTTGGGCCGCTAGTCGTTGGGCCATGAAACGAGTTCTTTGCAACGTTGTTTTGAGACTTCTGCCCCGACACCTTATTCATGAACCTCATGTAGCTGAACAACCGCTGGGGTTGCTCATGTTTTGCACAGTGTTACCCAACTACTGCACCTTTCTTCCCGTTAACATGGGGCTATAGGTCGCTTGGGAGACTGCTGACTGCTTAGATTACTCGTGGATTTTCCGGTCAGCTCATTGCAGGCACGCTATGGGTTGCACCACACAGTTGGTTGTATATTGCTGAGTTCGAGTGACCAAGTCAACGGTACTGCGTGGGTTGAGCACGGTGCAATGTTGCAACGACCGAGGTTCGAAGCTGTGGTACAACAGGCCGATGACCACCAGAGACGACCCGTCGTGGGACCCGGCGGAAACAGGCTCGAGCTCCGCCAGAATGTGATGGGGTTCATGGATTATCCAATGAAGATTGAAGCGATGCTCGTATAGGCAGGCCATCAATCCTCATCAATACATGCAGACTGTACAGTCAATGTGGACGTGATTGCGAAGAAATGCCGATGTTGCAATGGCCTAAACAGCGACCCGACTGCTGTGCATTGCAGCAGAATGTCTCAGTCGAGATAGTGTTGGCCAGCGTTGAGGGTCCGGCCCGGCACAGTGACTTGTTCCTTGATCCCGCGGCATGGAAAATGTCTTCAAGGTCGAGCGGCGACGGCTAGCCCAAATAGGATGTGAAGGTCCCGTCCCTTCGCATACGAGTGCTGTCACTCGCATGGAACGAGCATCACCTGAGTGGCGCCGGGTACCAGAGCCCTCCTCGCTCAATTCGAATCCCTTTCCTTTGGTGTCGTCATGTGCCAATCGATGATGTCTAGCAAGACGCTGATCGCATCACCTGTATCAGTGCGCAAGAGGGGAAGGATGTTAGGGGCCAAAAAGCGTGCAGCTGCGGGCTGGGCGCGACCCAGAAGCCCGGGTTAGGCAGCAAAAGGCCGTTATTGCAACGGGTTCTAGATTGGCGCAAAGGAAAGGGTAAGCGAAAAGAGACGCGTCGAAACGAGCGTGACAGAAGGGGGAGGTCGCTGGGGGATCATGGTGGGAGGAGCTTGGCTGCCGTGACGTAGGGGGACTAGCGCACTCGAGGGCTACAACCAACGAGCCGACATAGCTCGGACCAGATAAGACAAGGCCAGACGACCAAACATTAAGCGCCCGTCAGGACGCTATGCGACTAGTCTTTCAAGTACACGGGTAAGTTGCAGAGACAACTTCCAGGATTAATATGCGATATGTATATGCGATGTGGGTCGGGAGCGATGTGTGACATGCCGAAAATGCTCCAGCATCCCATGAGCAACAGCCGCCTACTACCTTGTTGCTGTAGCTGCCCCAGACTAACCCTTGAACTGAAATGACAGGTAATATAGTCTGCAAAGGATCATCCTGCGTCTAATTAGTAGCATCATGGGCCCGTCCGCGAGCTGCATCACCGTGCCACAGCCCCGGCGTATCGTTGGCCAGTCAGCTGCGGCCTACGCGAAATCGCTCACAACGAGGGCGCTTAATATGCACCGAACCTGCAACATTTCACAAACAGATGGCATCCATGTAGTTTTAGCCTGCTTGACAAGGGCCACGCTTCGTGGCTTGCGGTAGTGATTCCCCGTGTATCCCCGTCTTAGGTGGGTTGTGCAGAAAGACGTTGTGGGCAGTGCCGGCTTATTGCAGCCAGTCTCTAGGGATCGATCTAGGTGGCGTCCTTGAAGCCACTCTGGACTGCCAAGGCATCATGCTAGACGAGCTTCTAATGATTTGAATTTTCTACGTTGCAGAAGAGTCATGAAGTAGTTGTGAACGAGCGTGATCATGTTCACCTAGTAAATGAGAGGGGCCATCATGCGCTGAAGCTGGGCAACCTCACTACGTAACTGCAGTCTGTCTATCGCTCTCAAATTCTTTGAGGCGCACCAAAACGCCGTAATGCAAATGTCCACCCACGCAGTACAAACAGAATATCCCAACCAGTCAGCGATAGGAAAGCCATCGTTCACCGTATAAGCTTCAACATAACCAAGCTGCTTCCAGCATGCTCTTCCGTACCGTATTTGTTGAATGCTTTCGAATTCCAAGCCCCCAGCGATTGAAGAGTCGCGTGACAGCTGAGTTCAATCAACGTCAGAGTTTCGAAAGCCCATAGCATGTGTCTTCCGGCGACACCTCGTTGCGGCGAGGGCACCCATCCATTTCGTGTCTAAGCATCTGTTAGTGAGATGAAACGAACAAGCGCTCGGCTCGTTACTGACCTATGGAGCGTGTCTTTGCGAGGAAAGGCAGAGGCGCACTTGGAACACTTGTGTGGTCTGATATCCGAATGCACGCTCTGGTCGTGTCGGGCTAGATCTGTCTTGCGCACGAACTGTTTCCCACACTCAGGATGGGGGCAGACATTCGCCCTTTTGCGGTACGAGTCATGCGTGAGCATGTGCTGGTTAAGGTTGTACCTCCTTGCAAAACCTCTGTCGGGGCAAAGTTCGCAGTGAAATGCAGCAAGGGCAGGATCAGTGTGTCTGCGGTTGCGGGCACGTCTGCGGTTTGCCAACGACATTGTGTTGGTAGATCGGGTGGTTCGTGTGGTTCGGGTTTGTGGGCTGCTACCGCTGGCCACTGACGGTGCCCTTTCGTAGGTATGGTCGTCATAATTGTACGCTGACGCAGGCTCGTATCTGGGCATGGCAGGCGATGGGTATGCAGTCTCGTACGGGTACATGTTCGAGCTGAGCCGCTCCGGAGCTACAGTAAGTGGCGGCTGCCTCGACGAAGAAGGGCCACCCATTGCGACTGGCGCTTCTGTACCGTATCCAATATGAACTGTCGAGTTCCATGACGGGGCCTCCATCTTTACATCAGGGTAAGCCGCAGACTCCGATCCATCATGCGAATAGGCGGCAGACATGGCGCGCGAACTGTATAGGGGTGGAGATGTAGGAGGTGAGGGTTGAGCGGAACTCCAAGGCACTGGCGAACGAGAGACTGGATGATCGAAAGCTCCTGAGAGATATGGGTCTGCAGTAGGCTCTGTGGAAGTACCGTTCGAATAGTGACCGCCCCAGCTTTCCGATGGTTGAGGTGATGGGGGCAGGCCGTTTTGCAATGACTGTACTTCATATAGACCAAGACCGTGTGTGTAGTTGGGTCGCGACTCCTGTCGGCCCGGTGAAGGATAGGGCGATTCAAGTAGGGAGCCTGTCCGTGATGTGTGTTGTTGGTAGGGCGAGTTGAAGGGTGGCGTAGGCTGGTCCGCGTACGAATACATGTTGAAAGGATATGAAAGGGATGAATGCGAAGCGCGTAACAAGTCTTTGAGGTTGAAGAGGTTGGCGAGGAATGAAGGCAGGCAAAGATAAAAATGATAGGGTAGAAGCTGGGTGAGGATGACAACTGCAGGGCGTTCTTGGACGAGTTATATCTGTGCGATGCAATGCGTGACTAACTCCAAGATGGAACTGATTTCTATGCTGTGCCAGTGCGTTCTCGCAGAGTACATTTAAACAGTGGGCGTTTGGGTGTTAGGCAGATTCTGAAATTATGCTAGACAGGGCAGCATGAACAGAGAGCTCAAGCCGCCTACGCGGCAGGCGCCTGTTAGCTTCATGGGGCTATGAAAGAGTGGCAGGGGCGGTGGATGCTGGCTCGACCGGGGTGGGTGGGTAAGTGAACCAGACGGCCGGGTAGCTAGGTCTTAGCGGGCCGAACACAGACATCCTTGCTCCGACCGGAGCTTGAGGCGCAAGAGGAGAGGGCGGTTGTACCCTTGCTCGATGTGCGTCCCCATGAAACTGACCAGTCTGGTGAAGGATGTCTTGCCTGCATCTGCCGTTGATCGTTCAACCCGCTCTGGCCCCGATGCCATTGTTACTGTGAGACACCAACACCTCATTTCCATACACGCTTGTTTGAGTACTTCTCAAGATGGATAGATAGGATCATCTTAATTTTTAACCGGATTCACGGTGCTCTTACCTAGCAGAATATACCTATATTCCCGCGGCTGCAAGCGCCGACCATCAAGCGACCGATGTGCTCGCTTCGCGTTGCTGCTGGAGCTGCGACACCATCGCAGTAAGTTCTTCAACTTGCGTCGAAAGCTTGAGGACTAGTGTCTTCAACTGAGCATCGGTTTCTGTAACCCCTGCGGGAGCCTGAGGCTTGTGGGGCCTCCTTGCAAGCGCATTTGGTGCATCTGCCATCAGTAGGCGTGGTGAATTGACAGGCAGCCGAAGAGCCTTTCTGGGCAGTGTAGGTGTTTGCGGTCCACTGAAGGACATCGCTTTCACATGACGGCTCCGAGTATCGATAAGCTGCTCAAAAGCCCAGATTGCAGAGACGAGCGGTAAATGTGTGGCCTTGAGCAAGACAATCCGGACACTCCTAAGCCGCTCCGAGGGCAAAACGAGCCGCAAAGGTCGAATGACTAGCGGAATGAGATTCTGGAAGCCGGTCAGCCTTGCAAATGGTGAGCACAGTTGCGGGTTCCACTGTGTCGTGGGTTCGCAGGGATTCACGGCATTTTTGGGTCGAGAAAGCCTGAGCGGCAGAACAAGGCTTGCCAGTGACGTGACAACGGCAGCGCACGAGCCGACGATGCTTTCCTCACGAGCCGACCATGGAGCTTTGACTGGTTGGTTCTGAGTGCATCTTCCATGATGGTCATAGAGGCTGTGTCGATTGGCCGTTGAACGACCCGGCGCTTAATGCCCACTTTTAACCTCCCCATAATAGCACTGAGCGACGTACTTACCAGTGGAGGCAGAAAGTATGTCAATCTATTTGAACTTGATGCTTCGAGCACATATACGGAATAGCTATACCGTTAGTGTCTGGCGAAAGGCGCATTACGATTATACCAACGTACATGAAGAGATACTCGTCTCGCGCATGATCCAAGACCTATTCGTTGTCAATATTGATTTTCTCAAACGCAATATAAGACGAAGAAAAATAAGTAAGATATAGCCTGTTATCCATGGGTGACAGGGCAGAAGGCGACAGTGATGGATCTGGATCTACAGTCCAGATGTGGTTGTATCACACACCCGAAACACCAACCGGAAGAAATCAAGTGCGCTTCCCGATGTGAATGCGCTCCAGGGGACTGGGGATGAAGATGGCGCGGCGCAGTTTGCAGTTGGCCGTTGTTTTGTTATGCTTGGCATGCATGCGACTTTGGGAGTGCGGAGTAATGAGAACAAACAGGGAATCCACGTACCTTGCTCAACGAGTTACTCAAAAGCGATATTAAGGACGTAATGAGCAGTATGTTCGTCAGAGTTACGAAGATCAGCTAGCGTGTGGATCAGCAGACCGCGAAGCAATGCGTCCCAAATAGTCGTACCATGACGGGGGGGCCGAAGAACGGCGAGCTGTGCAGCGTTAGCGACCCATCGATACTACTGTTCGGAGAAGTGCATACATCTCTTCGGCGACATCTGCAGACGGCTGTTGTCAGTCACTTGTAGTGGAGGCGGTGTATGTTCCCGTTTGGCCGTTGCCTGGGATTTGACTCACCGAATCCTAGGTAACTGGAACTGAAGGAACATTAGCTGGTGCGATAACAGCAGCAACGTCGCTTTACTTACCCAAAGAAGACTTTAATTAGAATCCAACTCTAGGATGTACGAGTCAGCAGATTGCGCGTCAGTGACCCCGATGGAACAACTTGCCATCTGCTTGGGATTAAACCTGCTATCGCGAGCTAGCAGTACGAAAGTAGTCAAGAATCCTGTTTTACCGGTGAGCATGAATACAGCTGCTTGGATATCGAGTGGCTTACCTAGGTACAAAATGACTACAAGGGACAGAAACTTAACGAAATCCTTGGTCATCTCCTTGAGGCATGGAATGAGGGTTCCAAAGTAACGATTGAGACTCAAGAGAGCAAAGATGCGCGGCACGAGGAAGAGAGCCTCTAGTCCAAGAACGTCATACGCGAGGTCGATGGTGGCAGCGTTGGCTGTAGTTAACCCAACGATTCTCATAATGCAGAAAACCAAGCCTACCACGACAATGCTAATGTCCCAGGTCCACCAAAAGTCCGAAGCGTAGAATGAAGTTTGCCCCGCATCAAGCCAGTCTGCGAACTCGTCGTATGCGAAGCTGGCGATCCACACGTAGAGCAGTATTTCAGGAATGGTCACCCTGGTGTTGTTGCGCTGCACCAACACTGCATAGTACAGCCCCAAGAATGCCGCAAAGAACAGCGTCTCGAATATCTTTAGGTACAGTGGGACACGTAGGCGAGAGAATGGGTCGGCCTGTTTCCGATTGTACTTTTTCGGTTTCTTCTCCGAGTGTAGACTGAGGGTCTCCCAAAACACGATGTCGCCCTTCCACAAGCCATTGATAATTTTCTGGACCGGTCTCTGCGATAGGAACTTCTTTGCACCGGATACAGTCGCAAGCTCCAGCGCACTGAGATTCTCGCATTGCGACATCAACCACCCGAAGCGAGATCTAGAAGAGTCGCTGTGGCCAAAGTAATCGCCGTTGGATATCGGCAGTAGAGGCGATCGCTCGTCCGCATGTATAGTGTCGCGTCCGTCCTCGTACATGTGATGGCCGTTCGATGCATCTGGGGTGCTCGGAGCCGTTGCAGGCGGGAGTTCCACTAGCAGAGACTCGATGACATCTGCCTCTTTTAGGCTCGTCAAGAATTGCCAGGCAACGAATTCGCATGCATAACCTCGCGCCTCGTTCACACCCGGTTCATCGCTGGCTTCCTCCAAGGCTGAGAAATGCCCTTTTAAAGCTCTTCAATATAGTCAGCTCTCTTCACGCATTGAAATTCTATCGGTCTGGTATGGATGATGCGGGATGCTTCGACGTACAGGAGAGCGGATACGAGGGCAGGGTGATCGACTTGGGTGGACAGATGTAGGATGAGAGGCTGGAGGGCCTTCCCTTCTTGCGATCTACGTAAGTCTTCGAATGTATGCGGCGTCTTGATAGTATGCTCAAAAAATCTACTCTTGGGTTAGGTTCCTGAACATGGCGCATTCACATGCATTAACTGACTGGCACAGTTTGTCCGCCAAGTCTCCGAAGCACTCATCACCGACTATCTCAGGCACACCAGTCTCATCTGCAGGCCATCTCGGTGTAGATGGCATTGACATGATCGAATGTTCTTTGGGGTAGCTTGCAATTGAGAACCTTCCGCCATAGTCTTTGCAAAGTTTCGCGACGCGTCCACGGGTGGGGATGCGGTTGTACCCGCAATGGTCATAGCTTTCTTGGCAGCAGCCTTCGCTCTTTCCATCGAACTGTCATCAGCTTTGGACCTTGTTCCTACACACGGCAGTCTCTTGATGTTCGCATGAACGTCAAGCATCTTTGATCACATATTCCTGTACTCCCACTAATCTATACATGGACGGCCGTCCTATCGACTATCTATGGCGCATGATGCTAACTTTGTAGGCAATCATTTGCGGCTGAGCGTTTTCATTTAATGTGTGGAACATGAGGGTATGCCAGCCCGTCCGTCACGCTTCAGTCGGCAACCTCAGATACTGGGCAAAGCAACCAAACCTCTTGTTCCGATACCTCCTCGAGTTGACTGCAACGTGTCAGTCCCAGAAGCGTACAATGAACTGCTAGTCTTAACCTCAAAAACATCGACCGAGGGAGGAGCCATCATGTCTTATGTGGACGAAGAGGCCGCGATAAATGCTGAGCCAATGCAAATTAGCGTTGGCGAAGAAGAAGATCTCTCAACAGGTTCTATGCATGTAACATCGATTAACGATACGCCGCAATCTCCTGTGCACCACCTCCGTTTGACACCCGCTAGTGTCAACGACCAGGACTCTCACAACCGCCCAGACGAAGGCCAGCGTCGCTCTAAGTTCAGGAGAATTTTGCATTCCACGCAAAAGGTAATCGCAACAACTACCATCGTGGAGAAAACGTCAAGAAAGATCAAAGAGCTTTCAAGCACTCGGAAAAGGCGTCTACTGGTGCATGAGCTCGCCTTATTGCGGACGACAACACTGGATGGACTGCCTTTACCGGGTGTAAGCATTCTCCACAGATGCCACTGTGACAAAGTTTTGACCAGCTAACACTGCTTGATCTCAGGATGCCACTGTCGGCTCTGCTTACCCCATCATTGTAATTGATCCTATCGAAGATAATCAAATGCGCCTCGCTGGTATACTGAGCAATCGGGTATGTCGGCTTATACAAATGCTGAAACTGCTGACGATTACACATACTCTGCGCGACTTGTTAATCATCGAACGCCGACTATCACCTTGTATAACTCAACTGCCGAACGCGGTCCGCTCACCAAACACCAGACTCTCAAAAAGTACCGCAAGACCCTTGCAGGGCCTCCCAATACCATCTACCGACAGAATGCAGCATCGTCAATGCTTCCGAGATACTTATGATGGGTTTGTTGGCCCTGAACTCCAGCTCACTTCCACAAAAAGACCAAGCCGTCGAAGAAAAACAAATCAGATCAAGAGGCAAAAGCCCGGGACTATGCGCGAATTAGCTCTAGGAGCTGGGTTCTTGCCCGTATTCGCAGAATGTGACATGGTTAGTTCAGCTGTTTTGGCAGTGGACAAGACAACAACCCCTCATGGTCGGCCTACTTTGTTCAGACCTGGAGATACTCAGTCTAATTCAAGGATCAGACAACTGGTTTTGACGAGGACACAGAGCGCTCTGTAGGCCAATGTAGTAGTTAAGGGTGTCTTGAACTGAGCGACGGTGTAGTACTTCACCAGCTTCCTGGTATAACGGCTCCGCCTTGGTGCAAATCCAATTCGCGGTTGGGTACTGGGGACAATGGAAGTGACGTTGTACTCGAAGAAGACCACGATACTGATGACGCTGATGAGACAGCCCACACACTTTCTAACTCAATCTTCACGTTTGTCGGCGATGCCAGCTATTTTCAACTTGTAATGCAATATTTAGAGGTCCAAATTAAGATGGAGAACGATGATGTATACTTCTAATCTCAGGACGATCCATCACGACGAGAAGCTTCGTTGCACTGCCCATGATGTACGCTCACCGGTCCCTTATCTTTGGCATGTGGAGACAGCCAAATTGCGAGCGGAGAAAAGACGCAAGAAAGACGCGAGACAGAAATGCGAGCCACCATAAGCTGCTAGGGGATTTACTGTTCAGCCTGAAACGTCTTCATCATTTATCAGCAACTTCACCTATGGCACGACTACACGACCTGCGCTCTGACACTAAGTCGATATTGCACAGCGTGCATCGATGACTCCTGTGAGCATTCGAAACAACAATGGAGTGAACTGGTGGTCATTTCTCTACATCATCAGCGTTTAGTCGGCATGTAATCTTCGCGCAATACCGCTTTGCTCGACCGTCAAAGTCAGTCGCTGACATTCTTATAGCGTCAATCTGACTCTGTATCTGACAGCTAGAACCTAGAATCGACAGCATCATGCAGACCCCACTTTCTGATCACCTGGAATTAACATGATATACACGGGGTTATCGTGGTGAGGAAGCGGCCTTGATGCCCCACGTCGTTCTAGCGGTAGTCCCGAAATAGCGCAAAGATCGGTGTCTCGGCCTGGCGATTCAGACACTAACATCAAACACCACACTACTGTTTGGACGCATGGACAAAACACAGCACAAATGTTCTGCTGGCATATTGACACGGGTGGAGTGTTGGCTGACATGGTGCGGTGTGATATATATGGCGGGCTTTGCGCCTCGCTGCGCGAAGACTCCTGTACTTTGACTATTGACTAGTCCTCCCATCCAGCTCCGTTGCATCGCTATCTGCTGGAGGAGCAAATCGGATCTTACAAGGCGAAGCAATCACCACTCAGCAGTAACATGGCATCGCAGGGCGGTATGCCTCCTTCTACGGTGAGTGTACCCTACCACATAGGTTGATCATATGGGATCAACACATGAATGAAGGCGAAGTCGCTAACAACGAAAAGGCACCACAAGGACCTCCATACCCTCCCATGGTTTGGCCACTAGGCGGACCTCAAGTGAAGCGTATCGACATTCCAGCCCAAACAGTTTTCATGTTCTTCTTCATGATTGGAGCAGCGGTACACATGAAGATATTCCAAAAGAACAGAGCACGAGGACACAAGTTCCTGGCAAACATCTTTATCTTCGGTACGTCTTGTCGTATTTTGGGGCCGACTTGAGGCTGACTCTTTCGAAGGCTTTTGTATGGAGCGCATATTGACATCGATACTACGACTCGCATCAGTCTCGAATCCAACGAACGTTCCGCTTGCCATCGCCGCGCAAATCTTCATCGCGGCAGGCGTCCTTATCTTGTTCATTATCAACATCATCTTCGCGATACGCCTAGTAAGGTCGACACATCCATCAGTGGGTTGGCATCCTGCCTTTAGTATCGCATTCAGGGTTCTTTACGTATTGATCGGTTTGACTCTTATCGCTGTCATCATAGCTACTGTCCAGAGCTTCTACACCCTCGATGCAGGTACTCGAGCTACCGACCGTGGCTTCCAGCAATACGGCGCAACGTTTCTCGCCATCGTCGCTACACTACCTTTACCGATTACAATGCTTACGCTGCTCATTCCCTACTCGCCACTCGATCGCTTCGGTATCGGCCGTCTTCGCACGAAAGTAATAGTTCTACTAATCAGCACAACACTCCTCTCGATTGGTGCATGGTTTCGCTGTGGCGTTACCCTTCAGACACCAGTCCCACGATCGCAACCTCTACCAGGATATCTTGGCAAGGCACCATTCTACATCTTCAACTTCCTCGTCGAAATTCAAACCGTACTCATGTATGCCATACTTCGCGTAGATCTTCGCTGGCACATTCCCAATGGCGCAAAGGGACCGGGTAGCTACGCTAAACCACAACGGCAAGACGTGGAAATGCAAGATTCTCGACCTACGTCCTCGGATAGCGTGCAAGATGATAGCAAATCCCTCAAGACTATTAGCGAAGACGAAGAAAAGGAAATCGATGATGAGAAAGCCGAAGAGCTTGCTGCACCCAGGATTATAGAGATAGACCTTGGAAATTCTTCACGCAGCTCCCTCGCACCACCAGAGATGGAAGTACACAGGAGTTCAGCCCGCAGCTCTCTTGCACCACCGAAGACGGTAGATAGATCAGCCCGCAGCTCCATCATCTCTCAACGCCTATCGTCATTCATCAGCAAATCTACCAGTACACTGACCACTTTTGCCACGGCAGAACAGAAACAACGATGGCGCGAGAGCGAAGAAGGAAGAATAATCAGGAGATTGGGCGGACCATGGCAGCAACTCCCTAGTCCTACTGAAACGGCTTTCAGCATTAGCAGGAGTCCGACAAGGAGCGTTTTTAGCCACACGACAGGAGATGAACCGGAACCACCTCAACCAGCATACCACCAAAGGAGCGATAGCGGTGCGCCTAGCATACCCGATGTCGTCAGCGAGGGTGGATGGACACCAAGGATCGAGTGGGAATTCCGCAGTCCGAGACGATTCCTCAGTTTGAAGAAGAGGAGTATGATTGGTTTGCAACTTCCGAAATGAGCGCGCAGATGTGTGCAGAGAGCAGTTTGATGAAGTGCTTACAGCGATGGCGTTCTTTGGGGTTGGGAAAGGCATTAATTCACTGCTGGGCAGCAAAACTCTTTCCTTGTGTTTAACATACCCCATTTCTATTTGTTATGGAGACGATGGTCTATATAGGCTAGACAGCACTTCTCTTTTTCTTATCACATGTACAAAAGCAGCTACAGAAGCAACGACATAGCAAACGGTTATTGTTCTTGAATCCAGACCCAGTATACCACAACCCCACCACCACTCTCCATCGTAGCCTCATTTTTACACCACCAACATTATTCGCGGGCACCCTGACCGATGATCAGCAACTAGTTTAGTGCCGCGGCTCCCCTCCCAGCAACCCGGACACTGTGCCTGAGAATAAGACTTCAAAACAAAACAATAGCGCGAAACGCACATGAAGTTGGTTCAGGGAACGCTTGGTCTGCTGTCACCTGTTTCGAGGAGGGGTACTAGGGTCGCGCTAGTGTATTAGCTTTAGCAGTTTCCATCGTTTGGTGTTTTATTTCGAGGATTGCAAGCCTTAGCAAAGGAAGACAGGGTTTTCAGGCAGGTGTTAGTGACCGGTGAACGTTGAGGCTAAGAATGAAGTTGACAGTAACATTGCAAGTACTCATAGTCGTGAAATCGTTAATTACTTGGGACCCTCATCGGCCCTCGTTCGTTGCTTCCTTTCCCTCTATTAGTACAAAGAGCTACATAGGAATCCTCCTCATCTCGTCCAGGCTCCAGTATTTCCTCATATTCTCCGCCTCCAACTGCTTAACCTCATCGTCTAGATGTTGCCATAGCACATCCCCAAACGAATCTAGAATTTCCTTCAACTCACCCAATCGCAACTCCCTCTCTCCGCTTTCACAATCTTCCAGGTACTTTTCCAGCTTATCGAGACCTTTGTGGATCTGCTTGTGCTGCGTTAGAAGCTCGAGTTCCTTTTTGAAGGCAGGCATCTTTTTAGCTAGCACAGGGAAAATGTGCTGTTCTTCTATTGTGTGGTGCACTGTGAGGTGATCTGTATGAAAATTGTTAAATAAGTTTGCTTGAGAGCTTTGTGGTTTAGTGCTTACGGCAGAATTGTTGGCCCATGCTAATGAACTGGCGGATGGACATGTTCTTGGGCCTCTTCTGTGCCTCGCAAGCTCCGTATAAGACCTTCCAAGTCGCGCGAAAGTTGTCGTGGAAATAGTTCATGTGTTCGGCCATTCTGTTATACTGGCGAAACTCGGATGGTGTGAGTTTTGGCAGAGGTTTCTCTTCTTTGGTCGCAGGTGTTGAATTGGGGTCATTGACTACAGGAGGGGCTGGCGCAGTAGGTCCGTCATCCCCTGAAATGGTTGCCATATTCGCGGGAGGTAGTGGTGATCGCAGTGTAGGGGTGGTTGTGAAGTGATACCTCCCAAACTGTGTCAGAGAAGGTCGAGGTGGAAGCCTGAGGACGGATGCCAAGAGTTGAATACGCTTCATACGCTGGAGAACGGAAATCTAGAAGGGCACTTGAAGACGATAAGAAGATATAGTTTGGGGTATCTATGTTCTGCATGTGGCACACAGCCTCGAAAAGCGGTTAGCCACTCGCGGCTTACGAATTTTGCCTTAGCAAGCGGGCAGCGGCCGGCAGTTGGACCTCCCGATCCCGGTAAACGCGTCCACAGGTTGGTCACGCGGTCACGTGTGCGCAACATCGCTAAGTACGATAATACATTCAGTTCTTTCGCGTTTTGGCAAACTTCTCGTGCCATTTACGCGCTGATGGTTTCATAGCCGCCACCGCATTGTCCGCACTGGAAGTTGTGGCGGCTTTGCTCTTTGCCTTTATAGTCGTATCAGAGGGGAAGTCGTAGATGCCCTCGATGGCACTGAGTTGCGCATCTTTGCGCCATGCCTCGGGCAGGCGGTCCTCCCAGGTGTCGGTGAAGTCGGCAATGAGGAAGTCACCACCGCGCTTGGCTTCCAGTAACGTCCTACCAGTGAAGGCAACCGTCTTTGCTCGATCAAGACATGACCATGGTCCGTTCTTGTCAGTATCGTCCGTCGACAGATATCCTAGCACAGCTTCTATGAGACCCGATGGATGTCCTTCCTCAGCTGCAGCCTTGGTGATGTCGTTGGTCAAGAACTGCGCGTCCATCTTGATGCCTTCGGCCAACGCAGCAGCGTTGATGGATCTCCACACTTGTGAGAGGGCATTGGGTGAAGGTTGGTACGATGCACCATCCGCCTCGAATGCCATCAGCTCATCCCATCCTACCTGGCACTCCCCATCTGACAAGGGCAGATGGCTGAATATGTAGGTTTTGTTACTACCATTGCTGGTCGCGTCGACATCTCCTGCAACGATATCGTATACGGGCAATGTCTCCTTCAAGAGGGCAAAAGCAGACGCGGTAGATGCATGCGCTTCGAGCGTCGCGGTGCACAGTGCAATGGCGCGTGTGGCAGGGGTGGGTATGTCGCTGCCATGGGCTTCGAGGGTGGGCTGGGTTACGAAGAGCGAGTTGGATGTTTGGACCTGGCGCAGCTGGAAAGTTTTGTTCGGCGTACAAAGTACTGCATATGCAGGCTTCGCATTCGACGTGCCAGAAGCAGCGGACTGGGCTTGGGATTTAATAGAAAGCCTAGCGTGCATGTGAGAAGAGTATCGGCATGGGAACGACCAGTCGGCGCACCTACAGCGGAGGATTGGGCGCGTCTATCAGCTCAACAATCTCTTGGGGAAGCTCGAGCAGGCGGAAGTGTTGCTGTTGATGTGCTATGGAGAAGGGCATACCGCCTACATCTTGCTGCGTGGCCATGTCTCGATTTACCACACGACTTCCAAATCAGACTGTTGGCACTCTGGAGATTGTGCACTACTTCAAGCCATGCCGGCAGCTGCTATGACGACGATGTTTTTTTGTTTGTGGACACTGCGGGGTGCGGCGATGTGCAACTAGCAGCCAGACGGATCGGACGATAAGCTGCAAGGGCACCATTTGCAAGCCAAAAATACTTGTCATTGCGGCCGCTTGCTGGGAACCCCATGCTTCTGCTTGTCGCACCTGTGGCAGACAGTGGCACCTTGGTTATTCGCGCTGCAGCTTCCCACCCGCGCTTGGTCGCAGCCGCATGACCGCTTTCTTGGTTCGGGCTTCAACAAGATCCATGGGATTTGTTGTTGTTTAGACCCCGGGACGCGCCTCCACAGTCCCTTCTCTACCCCAATGGCTTCCTAGCACGACACCGACGACAACACGACACCAACACCGCCCTCCCCTTCTGCTTCTGCGGCTGCGCCATGCAACCACTGTACTAGTTGTCCTCTTCACCCGTTTGACTGCTACTCGCCAACGCCGTCACTCGTTTCCGCGCAGTTGGCACCATGGCCATAATCAACCCCGAACCCGCGGCCCTCTCCGCCGAGGACCTGTCGCTCTTCTACACAACAGACGAGCTGCTCTCCAACTCCCCCGTGCTCATCTTCTACGGACCGACAGCCACCTCGACACAGGCGACACATTCGCGCATCCAGACCCATGTCTTCACACCGGCCGGTCTCCAGAGCTTCGCCCGTTTGATCATATCGCCGACGGCCACATACTACAACGCGGTAACATGTCTGCCGCGCGAGGAACAGGGCGACGAGATATGTCGCGGTCTCGCCTTCAGCCTGTACAAGTACTTCCTCGAGTTGCCTTCGGAGATCAAAAGCGCTTGGGAGAAGCGGTACAGCTCCTCCGAGAACCTGCCCATGGCGCCTAGGCTGTTCTCCGAGGCACATGCCGCCATTGTCGCTGCCAGGATGATCAAGGTCGAGAATGTCGCAGATGTCATAGTAGATGTGCGCCATGCTTTGGGCGAGCAGACGTTGTCATGGATAGACCTGGATGTAGTCCTACCCCAGGGAAGCATCCAGAAGCTAGAATTGCGCGAGTCGGGCCAGTTTGAAGACCTTGAAGAAGATCTCGCCAAACAGCGGTACGGACAGTACGCGCCCGTCGTCAAGCTATTTGGAGATGCCGCTTTCCTTCCCACGTCCAGACTCCGCCGTGCGCCCTCGAAACCCACCGCCCTCAACCGATCGCAGTCCTTCTCAAGGAAACAAAAAGAGACTCTCCGGCGGGAGATGTGCGAGCTTTTGGACACAGAAGAGAACTACGTGAGCAAGTTGGACGAGCTAGTCCACACCGTAGCCGTCGAGTTCCGTGAGAAGGCGAAACAGAAGTCAGGCTCGAGCTCTAGCCCCACCGAGCAGGCGCTACGAGGCTTGTTCCCTCCCAGTCTCGACAAAATACTGGAAGTCAACTCCCAATTTCTGGATGCCATACGTATAATCTTGGAGGAGTCGGAGAATGGCGCGATTGAAGATATCGAGACGGCGACAGACGACGTCTATATCGCACCGTTGCGTGGACAGAAGGACGCACCAGATGTCACTGGAGCTGCCGCTGTTGCCAGGGCTCTTCTTGAGTGGCTACCACAGTTCGCCGATTGTTATACTGACTACATGGCGGCCCACGGCGACTTCTCACAATTACTAAAACATTTCACGAAAGAACCAGCCTCCAGCTTCTCGAAGAGGGTCTACGAGACCGGTGAGCAGCGACTCACATCTATGCTCATCGAGCCTGTCCAACGTCTACCCCGGTATAATCTGTACATCGACAACATCATCAAGCAATTGCCAGTCAGACATCCTGCCATCAAGTTATTTCTAAAGGCGAGGGATATGATCTCGGATATATGCACTAGAGAAGGCCCTACAGCGGCGCAGATCAGAGTGTTCGATCGCTTGCGCAAGATGGTTACTTCATGGCCATCCGGGTTCAACCCTAGAGGTCGACTCATCTCAGTTATTGATTGTGTAGAGCTGTCTCCACCATATCATGGAGAGTTGTCTGGACCCGCCACAGTTTCGGGCATCATGATAATCTTCACAGATTTCTTGGTGCTACTTCAGAAGTCGGAAGACGGCTCGATCAATGCACGTGGCTTGCTCGCAGAGCTGGACAACCCAAAGTTCGCTGAATCGTTTGATGGTACTACGGAGCTCTCTTTCCACCAATATCTAAGTCTCAGCGATGTCTTCATTAGTGAGCACTCGGAAGGAAACATCCTACAGCTTTTATCGCCGGTACCGCTCGCCAACCAACCCGGACGACCGGGAAGTCGAGAACGTCAAAAGCTTGGCATTCGTATGTTTTACCTGCAGGGCGCCTATGAGGGTAAAGGGCACAAGGTCACCGAAGAGCTTACCAAAGCTCGCGTTGAGGGCAGGTTTCCGGAAGCGGAGCGAGATGGCGGCAAATGGGACGTTCGAAATCTGCCAGGCGATCTGAGTTTCTTTTCATCTGTGGCCGAAGAGACTGCTGGACAACACGTTGAAGGGCGCCGAGAACCTGCGAGAGTTCAGGTTCTAGTCGAAGGGTCAAAGTTCACTAAGCCCATCCAAGTGGGCGACAACGGCGTTGAGCTTACTGTCACGATCACCATACTTGGAGACGGACTCTACTTGCTGGAGTCAAACGGTGCCAACGGCTACACGTCACGCGACAAACTGACCGACCAAGAGTTCCGACCTGTCCTCACGAAGCGACTCGCCAACTACTTCCAGTTACGCAATAGTGTCAAGAACCACGTCCTAGCTGAAGCGTATCTTCTCCGGAACAGGCAAATACTCAAGTCACTTGCCCTGGAAATGTATGAAGCAGAACAACAAACAGGTAGCAAGAGCCGACCACACTCTCCAGTAAAGATGCTGTCTAGTTTCTTCGGTGGCAGCGTGGGCAACTTCAGTGGCAGTATCAACCGTGAAGGAGGGGGTTCTCGCAGGCTGCAGCGCAATGCTCATACGATGGGAGAGGTACCGCGTATGGCGCCTCCGGTTCAACTTGGGCCAAATCGCACGCACAGTCATGACGGAGAGATGTCACGCCCCACCTCGTCCAGTACTACCAAGAGCATTACCTACAACGGTACCGCGCCGACCGACCCCCTCGCGAAGCTCGAGGACACCTTGGCAAACCTGACTCTAGCATTACATGCACGCAAAGGCAACATTGTTGGGCGTTCCGTCCGTGCTAGAGCCGTGGCAGATGAGCTTGTCGTGAACGAGCTGTACAACACACTCCTGGAAAACCCTACCAACCTTGAACTTGCCGGTCAATCCTCGGTGGATGTTCTGTTCGCGGTGTTCGAGAAATTCCTGAGCGTTGGCTGGAAAGAGAGAATGGGTCCTGTGCTGTCGCATGCCACGCTGGTCTCTTTGCAAATGCGGTCAGACAGCATGCCGCCTGATGAGTTCGAGGAATTTTTCAAATACACTTTCGATCAACTCCAACCTCCGAACCAACGAGCGTTCCGGGCAGTCATCAATCTCTTAGCTGAGCTGTTGGATGGCACCAGTAATGACGGTGACCGAGGTATTCTCACTGCAGCATTTGCCGAGATGCTAGTGCCCGCCGGTAACGCAAACGACTTCATCTCTCTCATGGACCGCTTGGTACAAGATATCGACGCACTGTTCCCGCCCGAGACACCTGGGTTTAGTACCCCAAACTGGGGCTCTATGGACTCCAAGAGTCGATATGCAGCAGCTGGCTCGCTCAACTCCAACACGTCATTGAGGAAGCGTTTTGGGTTTGGTACCTTGGAACGAGAGAACAGCAAGTCAGAAAAGGAGTCCAAGGTAGGCTCGCTTTGGCGCTCTCTGAGCAAGAACAGCCACGGAACAGACCTCCAACCACCTAGCATGGGAAGGTCTGGGTCTGGGCACCTTGGTCGTTCTAACTCCATAGACGCTGCTGCTCGCCTATCGCCGAAGCGTCCGTCGTCTCGCGATCGTCCAACTGTTCTGGGTGCCTTCACGTTCGAGAACGCCAACTCAAATTCGAACTCGAACTCGAACTCAAACGCAAACGCTAATGGTCGGGGCTTCGTGGGCAATCTTGGGACTATTGGAGAGGTACCTCCCACTGCTGGGCCTCCCCGCAAGAAGCGCCGCTCTTCTTTGAGCGATCTCAAGACGCTGCAGGATGCTGACGATGTGCCCGCGTGGTCCCCACAGACTCCTCGCAAAGCCGATCCTTCACTACGCCACGAGAATCGACAGATTAGTGACTCACCCCTGACTCCTGCGGCCGCTACGATGGCGCTGCACAAACACACGTCGTCGATACCGACGCCAACGCGACTCGGCTCACCGTTGCGGGTAGAGAGGCCAGACAAGAAAGAGAACTTACCTGCTGTTGGTTTAGAGCGTCCAGCGCACGTAAGGGGGAAATCGGTTACTATGAGGCCAGATATCATGGATGAAGTCACTATCAAGTCAAACAGTCCTACGAAGAAGCGAAGCGAGACTATTTCCGGGTTGCCCAACCCCTTAAGTCTTCCAAGTAATTCGGGTATTCCAAGTCTAAGGCCAACTACGAGTGCGGGTCTACATGAGCGTAATGGGTCCGGCAACGCTGTCAAGCTGCCCCCTTCGACTCCGCGATCTCCAACCAAACCAAGCACTCCCCTGACAGGGGGCTCTCCCAAGAAGTTGAGGATGCAATCACCGCAGAAACTGCGTGAGCGGCTCCAAACTCAGCAGCGTGACATTGACACGGCTTCGCAAGCTCTGCAGAACGAGTTGAGCGCCATTGGCCAAGAGCTGAGTGCTAGAAGCGCCCCGCGCCTGACGACGCAGAGCTCGGCTCCATCACTGATAACAGGTGGGACGGGATCAAGGTCAGCAGAACATCGCATTGCCACTCTGGAGAAGCTCAAAGCCACATTGGATAATCTCTCGGCACGCACATCAGGAATCTCCAACGATGTCACTTCGTCGCTACAAGTATCGGAAGCACGATGCAAGCACCTGGATCAGTTGTACCGTGACGTAAATGCAGAGAACGAGGCACTATACGCGCGCTTCAACGAAGAACTGGAGAAGGTGACCAGCAGTGCTCGCAAAGGAAGGGCTAGCGAAGAGGTGGAGCGACGATTGAAGACGAGCGAGGAGGAACTTGCGCGCCTACGAAAAGAAAACGCACGATTGAAGAGAGAGAACGCTGGTTTGAAGGCGCAAATCAGAGAGTGAGTGGTCATCAAGACTGCTCTGCTGTGTTTGACTTACACTGATGTGTCAGGCGGGAGCTCGATATTGACGAACTTATACAGCGTAATTAATACCACGGCGGTGCAGTCGGCAATGCTTCCACACCGTCGTATCATGGCTGGCATGGCGCGGGTAGAGCAATTCATGTTACATGCTTGCATCATGGTCGTCTTCAAGGCCGTTTTTCCTTTACTTCTTTCTCTAGGACCAGGGCTGGTGGTGCTTGAGTTTTCAGGCCGGAGTGGAGGGCGTGATAGGGATTGCTTTATGATGACATGACACGGCGTTGAGTGGTTGGGATGCTGCGTTTTAGAGCAATATACCATCTGCTTTTTCTTTTAGTAAACAAATTTATCCTCAGTATTGTAAGCTTGACACGGACATGCGACGCTTCTTAGCACGCAGACGTCTGTTGGTGGCCTCGGGAGAAGACCAATAGCTTCCTCAGCCTCGCAGCCTCGCCAAGGAACATGGCAGCCTCAACCCCGCTAGTTTATGCATGTGCTGGCAGGGCTTTGCAGATAACACCGACTGGGGGAATTATGCCGCGGTTGCATGCATGCTGCAGGTTGGCCTCGGACGGAAGGTGCGAAGGCGCAAAGGTGTTGGTATGCCTGCCTGTTGTTTGCAAGTAGCCAGGGCGAAAAGGACATGTGTTTCATCATGTGTAAAGTCAGGCTATTCATGGAGATTGATGTGCGCTAGAAACAAAGTCAACGTTTCGCGCTCAATCGGGACGGTTTCCGCTAACTCGGAACTGGGAGTGCTGGACGACGATCGCTGACCAGTCTCGTCGAGCTTGTGATTACTCTTCGTCATCTTCACCATCGATCAAAGGCCCAAGTCAATTGTCTGCTTCCATGGCAATGCCCGCGTGTTAAGAGACGTGATCCCAGAGCCCCCATCCGGCCGCCAACTTGCCCAGACGTGTTTATCGTCACTCCTACTCCACCCCGGCCGGAAACCGGATCCGTGGACCGCGCTCGCCCAAACCAACGACGAAACGTCGGCGCTCCACTGCGGTTGACCCTTTCCATACACCTTTTGGAAGCCTCCACGACGGAGAGCGGCAATGCCTCTCCATACTGCATCGAAGACCGAGTGCTTCTGCGCCTGCGACCTTCTCCTAACCCGACCAACACCACAACGCGCGTCCAAATCCCCGCTTGCCTCATCCACTCGTACGCTACAGGTTGGCTAGTATATATCATCGCCGACATGGCCTGGTTCATGAGAGGAGTTCAGAGTGCCGTCTTCCACTATGCCTCGTGCGCACCCTGCACCGGCTACTCAGACGGCAGAAAGAGGCGGAAAGCAGCAAAGGCCGCGCGGAAAGTGAGGGAGAAGCTGGAGCTGGAGCAGCCCGATGCATATCACCATCCCGAACCGACTGGCACCAATATATACTGGCAGGAGGAAATCGCCATGGGCCCGGGACCACCACCACGAAGAGCGCGGAGAACCAACACGGGCACTACAGGCAGCACAAGGGGCATACCGACACGAGGAACACAGAGCTCGGCTTTGAGCAAGGGCGGAAGCAGCATTGATGTCGATCAAGGTGGCAATATGCGCCTCAGCGACGATACACTCGAGGACGACGAGACGTGGAACCACAAGCGCTATCAGAGGGAAGATGAGGATCTATGGGGCCACGACGAGCCTTCAATACATCTCGAGCAAACCATGACTGCTTCGTCAGTCGGAGGCGCTGGCTACCAAATACAGAGACCAGGCACTTCGAGGTCTGGAAGCTATTATACCGCGCGCGCACCACCAGTCAACGACCTGCACCCTCCTGTCGTCAGTCTCCCATCTCCAGACCCGATTGATAACCGATGGATGCTCCAACCCCCACCCAAAGCGAGTGTCATGGCTGGGAAAGAGCGAGCATCCCACAGGAGTCGGAGTGGTAGTGGCGCAAGTAGCCGCGTGGAACTGAGCTTGGGTCGCCAGGTCAGCACAAGGCAATTGATGCACAAGCTGGAGCGAGGCGAGACACCTGAGGCACGGTCGACATCGCCGAATGGTTCGTATTCCAATCCATCACGGTGCAGGACGCCACAAGCTCGACCGCCTTCTGCCACCAGCAGTGCACGTCGGAGAAAGAGGAGAGACACCGCCATGGCTCGCGACCTTGCCATGGCGCGGACCGATACAATTAGCACCCAGCATTCGTCTGGTGACTCCAGTGACACCATTGTCCGAGGCAATTCCGCACCTCGTTCCGCAGCCATTCCGGATATCAAAGTAAGACCCGCTCTCTCCACTGTGCTGTCCAGCAACTCGAGTAGGAACGATACGCTGGTCACAACAACAGACACAAATGGTAGTGACGAAAACACTCTTCCCATGCCCACGAAACCCAGTCTAGCACACCACCGCTTCACAACCACATCGACCCCCGATTCCATCCCCTACTACACAAAACACCGTGAACCTCTCAACTCATCCGATATATCCTCCCTAAACTGTCTTCAAGATCTCGTTTCGCCACGTGCTCTTCTCAACTCGCGTTTCGTCTCCGCGCCACTCGTAGAAGCCAAAATACGATTACCGCCTTCAGAAGAAGACATGGCAGAAAGAGCGCGACAAGATCTGTTCAACAGCGGCTTCACCATATCAAGAGACTGGGACGAAGAGGAAGAAGGCATCGTAAGAGTGCCTTTTGACCGGAACTTTGGACCGCCAGAGAGGGACCCCAGGTTTAGATGGAGTGTCGACTTTTGATCGCATCATCCCTACCTACCACTACTACACAGTACGTTCACAGACCCATTTACATTTCACTTCTCCCCTCGCGTAACTTCAGCGTTGGCATCTTTTTTGCATTGCATCGCATAGCCGATTTCTTTTTTTTCCCTCCAGGTTCTTTTTCTCGCCTACTTGTTTCCTTTGTTATTAGCGATGGCTCTTTTGAAGCAAGCGAAAATTGCATACACGCATTGCATTTTGGATAGACACGACACCTTGATGACCTACACCAAACGGCGTTTTGGGCGGGTCACGATGGCATTAAGACATCGGTTTTTTTTTCTCCCTCTCTTCTGGGCTGGCTTTGGTATTGTTCTCACCCTTCACTTCTTCATTCTGGACTTTTTGTGTATATCATTGCGTAGATATATAACTATCAAAGAGACTGAAACTAGCTCCAAGAGTAGAGCTCAAGTTAACACGCCTCCCTCGTTGCGTAACTAGTTAATTTATTGTTTGGTTACCAGGCCCCATAACTCAACGTCACTCTGATATGGGGTGTTAAGTGACTTGACAATATGTGATTGCTTGCTTGCTTACTATGCTGTCTATCACGTTCCAAAACCAGTGCACGCGCATACTACATAACCTCCCATTTCCGACTACTATCTTACAACTGCCTATACTCGTCTACCTGGCGCCTAAATCCCACAACCTAAGCGTCTCGCCCATTCCTCCCCTCTTCTTGGTGCCCTTCTCTTTCCCTCCCTCTGTCAACTTCAACATGCACTTTGACACTGCCGCCAAACACTCCAGCACTTCGCTCATCCGCCCCGTCTCAAGTAGACACCTTTGAACCCACTCATTGCCCTTGTCTGCTACTACAACAGCGACCTCCATGGCCTTGATCGCAGGGTCCTTGTTCAAGAACCAGGATGCTGCTTGTAGGACAGAAAGGTACGCAAGTATCATGTCCGGGATGTACGCCTTCATCAAGTCCCAGGTTTTATGTGTGAGGTAGTATGGGTCTGTAGCCGAGGCTTGGGAGATGGCAGGGATAAGGGTATCGAAGACGTTGGATATTGAGTCTAGGAGCGCCTTCGTGCGTTGAGTATCGGGCTTGTGTTTGGTAGAGGCGCCTTCTTTCTTGCGTTCCGCGCGGATTCTGGAGATGTTGTTAGTTGGTGTACGTAGAGGGATGGGAGAGAGGGGTGACTGACTGGATGAGTGTTTGTTCCTCTTCGCGCCATTCGCGGAAGAGAACCAGTAGGCGAACAATCTGCTGGAGCGTGTAGTATGCTGTGCTGCTCTTGCGTAGATTATTTACAATCTCCCGGTGCTGATCTGCGCTGGGCAGTTGGGCTATAGGCATAGCAGCTGCTCGTGCGGAAGTTGAAAGGTTATCGCGATGTTCGTGGAGCTGTTGCTCATCTTGTTCTTCTGCTCCTGCCGTTGTAAAATCGAAGGGGTAACCGAGCAGAGCTTCTGTTCGAGACAACGACAGAGACTCGACACTGAGATCACTGATGACCTTCTCAGCAGCTGCAAGGCGGCCGTTGACTAGATAGTATGTCAGCAAGTTTCTGTCTGTCTATGTAGGATTTGACTTACGCAGGAAGATGGTCAGCGCGCTCTTCAGATGTCCGAAAGTGTTTTCGTAGTCCTTCCCGACGTAGTTGTACCATTGTACCGCATCAATAACGATCTCGTCTTGTGCACTTATCTCAGCACCACCGAACGTCCGCTTGATACGTACACCTGGCCATAAAAGCTGCTCAGTCGGAAGGGTAATTTTCTCTAGGATGTTGAATCGCTTGATGGGATTCGTGATAACGCCGTAGCCCTCCTTGGTAAAGTGTGTAAATCCACTATCCCGCGAAGCAAACGTAAAGCTCTGGGATATGACTTGAACGACATCAATTCGGTATGATTCCATAAGCGCAACAGAGTGTCGTTGCTCAGAGCTGTTCTTGATGTCAGGGAGGACGCGCGCGAGACTATAGGCTGCTCGTTCGTCAATGAGTTGCGCTGCATATAGCGGTATGGTGTCGAATCGTTTGGTCAAACGTAGGAACTCGATGTAGGCTGTGACGACGTTGTCCATAGCCAAAAATATCTTGTCCTGATGTGTATCATCAAAAAGCGTATGTAATCCATTGCGAAGGACAATGAAGATATGCACCAAAATGCGGAAAGCATGCGGATCTTTCGCGAGGGTCTTGTAGTGTTGTTCTGCATGGAATGTGCGATGGTCTCCAGCAGGTATCGGGCTCCGGTCTTCTTCTAATGAGTCTGGGTGTATGATGAGGCTGTGCGGTCGATCGTCCTTGTCGAACATGTCCGCAAGAGCCACACCGACCTTCAGCATCAGATCATCAGTGTCTCTGCCAATAAGTGCGCTCTGGATAAGCTTGATTGGGGAGACGGCTTGGGCTGCTGTGCTCTTCTGTTGCTTCAAAAGCTCAATCACCTTCTCAGGTGACTTCTCCCAGTCTCCGATATTGGCGACTGCATCTTGGAATAGGAACTTCTGGGTTAGGCTCTCTGTCACTCGGTTCGGGTAATTCTTCTGAAGATATGAGTCGAACCGGGAAAGTAGAAGTGCGTTGTAGTGCGCATGGAGATGGTCGTCCCAAGACCTGCAGACTGCCTGTACTTGCTTCAAGTCTCCACTCAACAGACCATATACAGCGCCTTCATATGGTATCCGAGCTCCCCTTGCAGCATAGAAGCACATGCGGCGAAACAAGTAGCCGACGGTCGGGCCTGCGACATTTGGTCCGCCTTCTGGATGACCTTCGTACGCCGCTCCAATACTGACACCGCGCCACGACTCGTTTCTCTCGTAGCACCAGTCGACAATTGTCTTCCAGGGTAGTCCGCGTCGCATCATCTCGTATGCGACCATCCAGAGAGAGCGCTCATAATATTCATCACTCCTCTCGAGTGCGCGCTTCTGCCGTGAAGGAGCGTCCGGGTCTAGTTGGGTAACGAGGTTCGCGGTCCTGTCTGACGTCTTGAGATTCGAGTTTATCGGCTTCAGAGGCTGCTCTGTGTCGTCCATGCGCTTCGCCTGCTTGATCTTGGTCTTGGTCTCCAACCAGCCACTCGTCCAGGTGTGTGCGCCCTTTCCGGAATGCTCCTCCAACCCTGTAATGATCGCCTTCACATCGCTGTCGCTGTCGCGGGCCGTTTGCTCTAGCCAACGAAGGACGAGCGCCTTCTCTTTCGCCTGGTCATCCTCCAACAGAAAACGATCCCAGATCTCGCTGTTCTTGCAGTATCGTGCAATTCCGCCAACCTGTTCCAGCCGCGCCTGCTTCTCCGCCGCCACGTCGGTGCCAGGTTCGGGGTTGTAATGCTCGATAACCAACTCCAGCAGCTTCCATGTCGCAAGCTCTGCCTGCCATTCTCGTAACTCTCGGACGTTCGCAGAAACGGGGGCGGTGCTGGATTCGATAGATGGAATGACCGATTGGGAGGACTGGCCGAAGACACTCTGACCTGCATTGTCTGACGCATCTGCCATAGTCTGTATTTGTCGACGAACAGTCTTGCTGAGGCTTCCCTTATTCTCTGCTTCCGTCGTCCGCTTCAGCTCCTTCACATGTGACTCCGCAACGTCTTGAAACTTCCCGACCAACTTGACCGTGGTCTGGTATTTGGCCTTTTTCGATTCATTGCCATGAACGTGCCAGTGGTCCACTCGCTCCGCGAACTTCTCCACCTCTTTCCCTACACGTTCGGCCATTGCACGCAGCGGTTGTAGCGGATCCTTGGCTTTCGTGCCGTTGGTGGCTCGTGACGTTCCCAAGGAAAGCGCGTTGCTGTTATGGGACTATAGAAGGCGTGAGTGCCTATCATGAATAGATTGAAAGTGTCACAGGAGGCAGTTGAAGCTCTTGATGACTTACCTGAGCTGCAGTCGGCTGCGACTGGCGCGATAGTGATCGTGAAGCCATGATGAAAGAAAGGTGTGAATCTTGGGAATGACAGAAGAAACGAGACAAGGCGATCTCGGAAACAGTTGATTAAACGCGCCCCAATGTCGTGTTGGGAGCTTGCGATGCTCGTGGTTGACAGCCCTAAGCCCATCACAAAACAGAAGTCGCGCCCGGACGTCCCTGCGGGTTAGCGCGTCGCCAAGACCCGGCGCGCTAGCGAATATAAAACTCAGAGCCTGCCCTTACCCAGATTTTCTCGGTACAATGTTTTCACAGGACGGCGCCTTTAGAGTCTCGTCAGGAATCTTCAGTTTCTCATGACGCGCTCGTGCTGTCCCAGATCAACACGCTTCCTGGTAACCTGGCTGGACTCCCAAGTGGGGATTGACAGTGCGGATGATATAGGAACTGTTACATCCCATAAACTAACAACCAACCTTTTGAATGTCATGAGAATCACTCCGGACACTACTGTCGTCTGACAGCATTCTGCCTTCTGAATGCCGACGCGTTAAGGTCGTCTATCGACTCGCTGGCTTTACAGAGGACAGCGTTTCTCAAGACTATCCTGGTTGAAATGGATCTTACACGTATTCGCTATGTTTTTATGTTGCTGTATCCCTGGTCAAACGATGGCGAATACCTGCAGTGTGTGCAGTGTGCTGCAGAGAATTGCTGTCATTTCGTGATAAGGGCAGGGATATGAACTTTACCATGGAGAGATGGAGGTCCTAGGGTTCACTCCAGGACAAATCTTCGAATGTTTTCATTCATTATGTTACATGGCTACAATTACATGGGGGTTTGAGTCCATAACAACCAGTCTGCGATAGAGGCTACGATATACCCTTGGCACGTTGCTCCATCTTTAGTCTGAGGTCTTGTCAGAGTTGCCGTATAGTGGAATGTAATCGAAAACTCACTTCAGGAGCGAGTATTTCGGACAGCTAACAGTGCTGGCATTCTCTCCTTGCTCTTTGTAGAAGGCGTTGCAGCACTCGTATAGGGCATCGATCTGACCAAAGTCAGATCGTGTTCAGATTTCACATGTGTGTTTTCAAAGCTGTTTCGGGATGCGAAATGCGTACCTCTTTTTTGCACTTCGCTTCATTGTAGTTGTTTTTTTGTATGCAATCTATCACTTAGTACAATGAACCATGAGTTGACTGGACTACACACTCTGAATCGCACATGCTCTAGGATGACATGGTGGATCTGTCTTCAGGTCTTTGTCCATATCCCCCTAAGAGTCTGTCAACTTTGTGTTTCTCGCCAGTGCCATAAGCGTGACATCATGAGCATACCATCGTGAACCACGCAAGGAGCCGCAACGCAGCAGAAATTCGTATGCAAGAATTGAGCAGATATCAATAAAGTTAACCCCAGCAATATCGTGAGCGCTCAGGTAAGAGGAATTGTGACTTGCAGGTGAAGGTAATGAAGGTGTATCCGGTTGGTTAGATCTGGCCAATGCTTTCAGCGCGAGACCCCACTAATTCTCAGTGCTTCCACCTCGTCGTTGCGCTTTCCTCCTTCACATAATCCTTCACGCGTTGCCACCGCTCCTACAAACCCCCCCGACGCGTCTACGCAGCCTCACGAGAGCCTTCTATTACCCGACGTAATTTGCACTCAAAGCGCCGATATCAAGGTACGGCTATCTCCGCACCACATAAAGCAGCCTCCCCCCCACGAGAAAACGTTCCTTCCTAACCTCCAGCGCCTCCGCTAGTACAGCCGACTGACCTTGCCGAACAGCCTTACCCTGCTACTCTACGACCCAACATCTCACTCAGCCGCCTACGAACTCTTTACACCCCAAAATGTCTGACAACGGTTCGCCCAACGTGCAGCAGAAGCCTGAGGATGGCGGCCAGAGCGAGCACCTTAACATCAAGGTGACCGATAACAACAACGAAGTCTTCTTCAAGATCAAGCGCACCACTGCCCTCGGTAAACTTATGAACGCCTTCTGCGACCGCCAAGGAAAGAATATCTCGAGCGTACGATTCCTGTTCGACGGTCAGCGCGTAACAGCTGCAGACAACCCAGACACGGTATGTAGGAGAGCAGTAGTCTTCCGCAATTAGCGCGAGACTATGTTTCTTGAACCAATCGCTGACACGACACAGCTCGACATGCAAGACGGCGACACCCTTGAAGTCCACCAGGAGCAGATTGGTGGCTGCTGACCAGCGACCACCTGCAACTTTGTGCAGAGCTCCCTACAGCTGTACCAAACTTCGACACCCAGCGGTTAGGCCTCCACCTTGTGTACCCACGAGCACGACCTGCCGAAGACCTACGAGTACACGATTGCTTTCAGCGACGGCGATGGCGGAAAAGAGGCATGGGTTTTGCTTTCAGATATGATTCTATGGGTTCGGGCGTCACGGATTTACCAAGCCCGCCTTGCGCGGCGCTTTTTGTGTCTTCATGTATTAGCTGATGGTGCGCCATATGCGAGGAGGATTGAATTCACTACATACTTTCCACGTCTTACATGCACTTCTTATGGACCGACGAGCAACGTCCGGAAACTGTGGGAGGGTTGATGCTGCCGGTACGACGGATGAAGCAACGATTTGGCTTTTGGTCGAACACGTCCGATACCCAATCTCCTTGTTTGCAGTGCATGTACTATGCTAGCACTCCAAATCTCGTAAAGAAAGGACCAGCTTGTTACATCTAACTTATACACTTCCGTAGACTATATATACACAATAGTAGCAAAGGCTCTCGTCTCATACCATACGTCTGGCAAAGCCTTGACATGAGAGTAGCTGACTCCTCTAATCATCCCAAACAGTCTTCTTCCTCGCTTCCCTCTCCTCTGTCTCCCTCTTCTCCCTCTCCCTCTCTTCGTTTCTCCTCTTCCTCTCCTTCTCCCTCATAGCACGATCAAACTCCCGCTCCTCTTCCGTCCTCTTTGGTGCCCTAACACCCAATGCGCCCGCAATAAGCCTGCCCGCTACGGCTGTTGTCTTCTCCGGTCGCTTATCCAGACCTCCACCCCCTCTACTCGAGCTCCTACTTCCACTTTCGCTCAGACTCGAGTTCAAGCTATACGGTACAGTATCCGGGTACTCAAACTGCGTTGGGCTGGCAGGTGTAGGCGGCGGCGGATTCGGCGGGTTATCGCGAGTTGTCGTTGTGGAAAGCGGTTGTAAAGAATCGTGTGGTGAGCCCTTGTCTTCTGACTTGCCGAGATCTACATCTTCGGTTTCGGTATCTGAGCCGCTGAGTTCGGCTTCCCAGCTTTCGGCTACAGGCTTGGATTTGGGCTTCTGCGCGGTTTTCTGTGGGTGCGAGGTTGAGAGTCGGAGGTTGCCGAGCGTACTTGCGATTTCTGTTGGAAGACGACATGTTAGTCGGTGCGTCTTCAATTGGGAGATTTTTGGTGTACGCAAGTGCTTGGAGTAGGATATACGTACCTTCTTCGCTGGGTGTTTTGTGCATAGATGCCATATTGTTTCCTCCGCTGTGCGTATGTTGTGTGTGTGTGTGTATGTGTGTGTTTGTGCTGTAACCTTGAATGGGTCGCGTGAGGCTCGAATTGATTTGCGGGGTAAAACGTTCCAGTTTCCTTGAACAAAGGGTATCGGATGCGGGGGGATGATCAATGGCTTAACGCTTCTGACTCTAGTAGATTGGCAGTAGCGACTTGTCAAAGCGATTGAAGGTGCAACTTCTTGAATTTAAGAGTAAAGGATTCAATTGAACTTTCAGGAACTAATTATGGAAATCCACGGATCACTCCAATATACGAAACATCGAATATGCTAGCTCTCCCCTGCGCCGATTGCCCGCAGAATAAGGTGCTTGTGGGGAAAGGGTGCGCGTCGCAACGCACGACATGCCTTCGACGTCAGATCGATGCTTCATTCAGGTGTGAGACCCACTTTGTTGATTCTAGAACGTCTGCTGTCCGAACAAATATAGATGTGGCTATGAACCTGCCTGCAGGAAATGAGGTGGTTTGCGCAACACACACATGCGTGTTCTTGCATTTGTACGTATAGAAGCTAGGCGTTATCTCGTAGTCTCTTCTATGTGATATTCAGGGGAACAAGTCTAGACTCCTACTCAGACGTCCAGATGTTCTCATCTATCATTCGTGGGTATTGTTTTGACTTGCAACATAATGACCGCTGCAGTCCGTACTTGGAAATATGACATGTGTCTATGAAGACACGCTTAGTTTGCACAAACAGCCATTGTATCATACTTCCAATTTACTCAGCCCCTGCTTTTGCTCGATCTTCTTCACTCCAGCTCGAACATCGTGCTAGAAGATAAATGGAGAATTGGGAGACTTCGATCAAACCCCCAAGCCAAAGTCTAATCTTGGTTTTCTCAATAGAGATTCCGAATAACGAGGTGTGCGAAAAGAAGGCAGATGCGTAGCGTCCGGCAGCCACCTACACGTCGCTGTCTTGGCTGAGGTTCCGACACCTCAAAGCAGCCTCGATTTCACTCCGACATCCACATCTGCACTAGCGCTATTGCGCTTATTATCATTATGCATCGCTACATAGTCTGTGCAGTACCATGATTTAGTAGCAGCAGTGAGGCTCACTTCCGACATCTCAAACAGAGTTAGTAGAAACTAAGCGACACCTAGCAATTCGTTCCGACACTAGAGTTTGGTATAGTCATGCTTCAGCCTCGCTAGATGGCCATCGATTAGGAACTCCGAATTACAATGAGCGACACTATATCTGTTCTACCAAATCCTGATTGGAATTGTCTCAATTAAGACCCCAATCATTAGGTTACCAGCATTACTCCATTTGCATATCATAGTGTTTCCAACACCCTGGACGCGAAGCGAACTCCTCGAGCTCCTCACCCTCATCACGATGATAATCATCTCTACCATGTCAAGATTTGAAGAACGAGTAGAGCCTCTCGGTACTCCGAGACCAATTTATTCCGACTAGAAATTACGATCAGACTTCGACAGAGACGACGAAGACTAGTGATACAAAAGCAAGACACAGACGATGCATTCTCGCCGAAGCAGTTAAAACGCCGCTGATCAGACATGAAAAGACCCATGGGGTATCTTGTCGAAACAGTTATGCCAGACCCAAAACGACCAAACGCAAGCCATGCAAGATAACCATGAAAACACCGAGATATGCAATGCGCCACATACGGCCTCGTTACTTCTTTATAGGCTAGAACCCATCCTTGGCTCTTCATCACTTCGTCTAATGCTCATCTTCTTCTTCGCTTTGCCCTTCTTCTTAGTAGACGGCTCGTTCGGCGGCGAGTGGGTACCGCGACTGCCTACCTGACTCTCTCCTTGCTTCAACCCCTTGACTTCTTGAAGCATATCGCGGAAGCCTTCTTCAAGCGTGGTCATCCGCGCAAGCATAATTCTGCTCATACGGTTGGAGTCCGAGTCGTTGTCGCTACCCTTCTGCATCTGATGCGCCTTCATTCTAGCAGCCATCTCAAACTGCGTGGTGAATGACGCGGGTAGTCCATTAAGATTCCCAAAGTTGGGGTTGAGGTTGTTGTCTCCAAGATCTGATGCGAGATCTAGAGCAATGGCGTTGAATGAGGGCTCACGTGTCAAGTTGTTCTTAGACAGTAGGTCGGATGACATCCCACGTGGTGGCATAATCGCGCGAGGACGAGAAGCCACACCGGGAGGGGGTACACTAGCACGCTTCGGAGTTTTGGCGCCTGTCCCACTTGAACCGTCCAAACGTCCGGGAGTAGCTGTACCAGTGGCTGTCCCACTGCGAGCGCTTGTCCTCAGTCGCTTTTCGGGGGAGGCAGCACGGGAAACGTTCATAGTCTCCTTGACTGGACTGAAGAGAATCGTGCTTGTGGAGGTGTTGCGGTTGTGCCCTGATTTGGGTCGCCTCTTGCCAGGTGATAGGGGTGCTTTCGCTTTGAAGCTGGAATCAGAAGGCGAGGCCACAATGGCTGGTGTACGGCTTTGCGACTTGGGCAGGATAGTCATTGGCGTACGGAAAGATTCATCTTCGGAAGACTCATATCCTGTCTGAGGCGGCTTGTTTTCTTTCTGACTTTTTTCAACCCGCGGAGTGACCTGCTGGTCGGTACTTGCGTCGTCGTCTTCGTCATCCCCATCGGCATCAGTCTGCTGCGGCACCTCTTCCATGGTCATAGCTAAACTCAGGTCTGGTTCTTCTTCCTCTGCAATAGCTGGGGTGAACGGGGTCGCGGCGTCGTCGGGATCGGAAACCACCGTCCTGGTAGCGAGCGGGTGCCGGCGCCTGGGCTGGCCGACGGTTTTCGTTCGCCGCAGATATGGCCGATTGGGCCCCTCAAGTCGGTCCAAAACTGATCGTGAGTCGTCCTGAGGTGGTGTGTTCTCATCATCGTCGCCCATCTTCCTCATCCAATCCGATACAACATTACCCGAGTTCCTTCTAGGTGTCGGATAGCGAGGGGTAGGCTGGAAGCTGGGGTCGCGAAAAGGTCGTCGGAACACCTCCTCGAGTGCCTGGTCCTTCTGAAAGGTAGTGACAGAAGGCTCACGCAGGCGAGGGCTGAACAATTCGGTGGGGCCTCGAATGCTGAACGCGGGTACGGGTGCTTTGGATTCAGCCCGACCCCGATGTTCGACCAGATCGGTTGGACCGTACGATAGATGCGATAGAAGAACACGCTCATAAACGAAGATTATGAACAAGATGGGAAGATGTGTCAGCTTGATGACAAGCCGATTCATGCGTAGGAACCTCTTGAAAGACATGGTGTACTTGAGAGGGATCAACAGCCATCCAATGATGTTGGTTGGCGGGATATAGGAGAAGAGCGCATCCGACTTGACCATAGAAATGGTGTTGACTGCGAACAGGAACTGATGCTCCTCATCAGCATTCTTAACGACTGCCATGAAAGAGTTGGTCAGAACCGTGACAAGAATGGTGACGATGAGGAAGTGACAAATGAAGAGGAACAGAGCAAGTAGAGTTTTGCCAAGAAAGTTAACCTCGCCCCAGAGATCCCATGCGGCAGGTGTGAAACCCATCACCAGCTGGAAGATGGCGTATGCGGCATCGGAAGCACCGAGATCTCTCTTGAAGGCCAGGCTGAAAGCGACGAAGAATCCACTGCAGCTTATGACAATAAGGACTAGAATTGCAACCAGGTCCATAGCCATCATCTTGAAGGCGATGAGCAGTTGCGAGAAGTATCGGTAGTGATCCAGTGCCGAGAAGAGTCGAGGAAAAAGCAGGACCGCGGTAGATCCCAGCACATCATAAGCCATAGCAGCTACACCATGACGGCTGACATCGGGCATGAGGATTCCGTAAAGACGTAAGACGTAATAAGCCATGAACATGAGGAGAATACCTAGATCAAAGGCATTCCACACACTCATAATGTATAGGCCGAAGCCCTGTTCGGAGAAACCGACCACTTCGTCAAGCATGTATCCGGCACTCCAGAACCAGAACAGAACCTCGAGTGCTGTGATATCGTCCGACTTCTCAGCCAGCACAGCCAGGAACAGGCCCAGCATGATGGCGAAGGAGAGAGTCGAGAATAGGTTGCGGTAGCGAGGAACACGCAGACGGGAAAGCTTGAAAAGGGAGGCATCGTGGGGATCGTAAAGGGTCACTGTACGCCGAAGAAGCGCGGCAGGTGGAGGCAGGGGAGGCGCAGGTTTGGTAGGCGACATACGACGAGAGGGGCCCGTTCGTGGGGAAAGGTCGTCGCGGACGTTGAACCCGCGCTCTTGGGGAGAGTCTGGCTTCCGGTGTAGGCTGTCGGCTGCGGAGTGGAAGACGATAGTGCCCGCCCAGATGGCTTCGAGCTGGCGTACGACCAGAGGATGGGCAAGAAACTTCTTCGCCTGGGCGCGAATGGCAATCTCGAGCGTGGAGATACGCGCAGCACGGTATGCCTGTCGCGACCAGTTTGCGCCGCCTGGAGTGTTGTTACCCCGTCCCTGCGCCATCATGCCCTGCAGAGGGTCGAAGTCGTAGGAGAGGGCATCGATGAGTTCCCGCGTGGAGAACTCCTTAAGCAGCCGCATAGCCAGCAGCTCGCATATGAGTGCCCGTGTCTTACTGACGCCCACATTGCCTGGGTTCTCCTCTCCCTCCTTCTTGAATTGTAGGCAGTTGGCGAGCAGGCAGTAGAGCAGCCCACGCGAGAACTGGTCGGAGCGAATCTGCTGCTGGATGGGCTTGACGAGGAATTGCGACACTTGCGGGGAGCGCAGTTGGTCCCATGACAGCGTGGTTTCGCATCGCTGGACGAGGATTATGCGGATTGCGTGCGTAGTGTTGTAGATGGGGATGCGATCTGTGGGCATTGTCAGTGCTACAAACAAGCAAGCATTCTTCTCCGCCTACCCAAAACTTGTGAAGAAAAGACGGGCAGCAAGGGCCCGTCTCGCTGGCGGTCTTCGTCTTCGTCGTCTTCGTCGCCGTCGTACTGCGCTATGCCCTCTGGCTCGTTCTCACTTTCCGAGTCCTCTCCATTCTGGCGCCGACGGTAGCGGTTGATGGCCGCGAGAAGTGGCGTCGTCTCAGATGGCCGACGAGACTTTTTGCTGAAAAATGAAGCGAACATGGAAACTACCTCGAGCCTCTAAAGGAATCGGGATTCCTCGTCAGCGTCGGCGTAGGTAGGGGAGAGGGTGGTGGTGCGAGTTGGGTGGAGAGTGCTAGGTTTCATCACGGGTGGGAAATGAAGCACGAGATGGAGGATCGTGAAAAGCGCTCTTGCCTACTTTCGTGCCACACACAGTTCACCGCCTGAGAACTCTAGCCCGTCATGCGCCATCTTCGCCGTCGAGAGAAGATGCAGAAGGGTAAGACCCGATCCTTATCTCGCGTCGTCCCTCCCCCAGACGCGTCTGTAGCCAATAGACGCGGGCATGGAGCACATGCAGACAGGGCTTGCAACGAGGGGCGCCGCCAAAAGCATGTCCCAAATGCCATGTGAGCCAGGCTCGAGGGGAAAAGGCGCCATTTTCAAAGTCGTCATCGAGTCGATTGCCCTGAAGTGGATATGTTTAGCACTCTGGGGTGCAGAGTGCATATAATACCTCAGATCCTCCACATGCCTGATGGACGTAGGCGAAACCTTGTTCGCGACTCTCTCCCCATCACCACATCTATGGCTAGAGACGAGCTGATGAGGCTTTCCACTACCTCGTATCGCGCCATAATCCCGTCTGATCCATCGCTCAGAGCCCCCAGGATGCGGTCAAAAGGTCCGCGATCTGAAGGCATCTAGACGATCTCGATCAATAAATACCCTGACAGCAACCCTGCCTTTTGCTTCTAGGGCGAGGCTACTGGCCCTGCATGACATTCAGATAATTGCTCCATCTTATTTGTCACCTAGCCGCTATCGGACTCGAAAACACCAACACCAGAGCCTGCGGTATATGCGCATTCGCACACATGTCTTTGCGCGTAGAGGCAGAACAGACGGTGATGTCGTCGTGCATGAGCCGTTGGATCCTGCGCTGATCATAGCTCCACCTCGTTAAAGGTGTTCCCGCTACTCACGATTGGCAGCTTTGGCGATGCATGCCGCTTCGTCTTCACACCGCCTTGCGAGCCCTTGCAGGAGAAAGTCTTTGTTGAAGGTTTTTGATATGCGCAGTAGGTGCTGATCTCGAAGAAAGTGCAATGGAGTTTTTTTCACTTGTCCGAGGCCGCTCACTTTGCTGTAACATCTAGCATAGTAATAATTGGAATTTAGTACAGCTTCACGCCTCAGCTTCTCTCGAACACCACGATGAGGAGACCAAGACGTAGCAGGCCTCGATGTAAGAGGAATATTTTTTGTTGCTCTATGATCGAGAAAGGCTCTCGGCGAGGCACAGAAAGGCCGACCAACTCGTCATTCGCTAAGGTGGGGTATTGGAACCAATCAACCCCGCCATACAGCGGCAACTAGACTACTCACGTTTTTTCGTTAATGTGAGGCTCCGAAACTTTTTTTTTTCCAGGCTTCACTTCTTCTCTTCTCTACAATTGCCTGGCAGTCTCGCTTCATAAGGGTTCCATAGCCCTAGAGCTGTCACTTATACCTTCAATTATGGCTCCACAGCCCGACCAAAGCCACAACTTGGCTCTTGAGCTTCAAGATGGCTACGTCTGCTTCGGAAACAGCTTCGGTGCTGACAAGAGCATTTCTGGAGAACTCGTCTTCCAGACGGGTATGGTTGGCTATCCTGAGTCAATCACCGACCCCTCCTACCGCGGCCAGATCTTGGTCATCACATTTCCCCTCGTAGGCAACTATGGTGTGCCATCGAGAGAAGAGATGGACGCTCTTCTCGAGGGCGTTCCAGCTCACTTCGAGTCCAGCGAGATTCACATCGCTGGATTGGTTGTCGCTACATACGCTGGAGAGGAATACTCGCATCACTTGGCCACCTCTTCGCTGGGCGCATGGCTCAAGGAGCAGGGCGTGCCCGCCATCACCGGCGTCGACACGCGAGCGCTGACCAAGCGCATCCGAGAAGAGGGAAGCATGTTGGGACGTCTCATGCAGAGGACCGGACCATCCCCCTCCTCTACTTCCCTCACCAATGGTGCAGTCAACACTCAGACCCTCGCCGACGACGAGGTGGACTGGAGAAGCAGCTTCGAGCAAATTGAATGGCTTGACCCCAACAAGAAGAACCTGGTTGCTGAAGGTATACAAGCCGCCAACTTGTACAGAGATCTGCTCTAACATGTGCATAGTTTCCATCAAGGAACCCAAGCTCTACAAGCCCGATCCTGCCACTGCCCTCCAGCACCCCTCCGGCCGCCCCGTACGTGTCGTCACTGTTGACGTCGGTCTCAAATACAACCAGCTCAGGTGCTTGGTGCGAAGAGGAGTCGAAGTCCTGCAAGTTCCATGGGACTATGACTTCCCTTCGCTTGCTGGCAAGGACTACGATGGTCTTTTCATCTCAAACGGTCCCGGTGACCCAGCTATGATGGAGTCTACCGTCAAGCACATCAAGGCAGCCATGGATGAAGCCCGAACACCCATATTTGGTATCTGTCTTGGTCACCAATTGCTCGCACGAGCTGCAGGCGCCGACACAGTCAAGATGAAGTTCGGTAACCGCGGTGCCAACATCCCCTGCACAAGCTTGCTTACTGGCAAGTGTCACATCACATCACAGAACCACGGTTATGCTGTAGATTCCAAGACACTACCAAACGGCTGGGAGGAACTCTTCGTCAACGCCAACGATGGCAGCAACGAGGGTATCCGACACGTGCGAAGGCCCTACTTCAGTGTGCAATTCCATCCCGAGCACACCCCTGGTCCCCGCGACACCGAGTACCTCTTCGATGTCTTCATCAGCACCATCCAGAAGGCCATCGCGTCATCCGAGGTCTTGTCAAAGCCAGTTGAATTCCCCGGTGGTACCTTTGAGGAGAACAGGAAGCTCACCCCTAGGGTCGATGTCAAGAAGGTGCTTGTTCTCGGCAGTGGAGGTTTGAGCATTGGACAGGCTGGAGAGTTCGACTACTCTGGCAGTCAGGCGATCAAGGCTCTGAAGGAAGAGGGAATCTACACCATTTTGATCAACCCTAACATCGCTACTATTCAAACTTCCAAGGGTCTTGCCGACAAGGTCTACTTCCTGCCCGTCAACGCAGACTTCGTACGCAAGATTATCCAGAAGGAGCGACCTGATGGTATCTATGTAACCTTCGGTGGTCAAACCGCCCTACAGGTTGGTATCCAACTGAAGGACGAATTCGAAGGCCTTGGCGTCAAGGTGCTCGGTACTCCCATTGACACCATCATCACTACCGAGGACCGAGAGCTCTTCGCTCGGAGCATGGAGTCGATTGGCGAGAAGTGTGCCAAGTCCGCCTCTGCCAACAATGTAGAAGAGGCTATGCGCGTCGTCAAGGACATCGGCTTTCCTGTCATTGTCCGAGCTGCCTACGCTCTTGGTGGGCTCGGAAGTGGTTTCGCAAACGACGAAGCTGAGCTGCTCGACCTTTGCAACAAGGCTTTCGCTGCCAGTCCTCAGATCCTCATCGAGCGCAGTATGAAGGGTTGGAAGGAGATCGAATACGAAGTTGTTCGGGATTGCCGGGACAACTGCATCACAGTCTGCAACATGGAGAACTTCGATCCTCTTGGTATACATACGGGAGACTCCATTGTGGTTGCTCCCTCGCAAACTCTGTCCGACACCGACTACAACATGCTGCGAACGACCGCTGTTAATGTCATTCGCCACCTTGGCGTTGTCGGTGAGTGCAACATCCAGTACGCACTGAACCCATTCTCGAAGGAGTACTGCATCATCGAGGTGAACGCCCGTCTGTCGCGTTCTTCCGCTCTTGCCTCCAAGGCAACCGGATACCCCCTTGCTTTTGTCGCAGCTAAGCTCGGTCTGAACATTCCTCTCAACGAGATCTCCAACTCAGTTACACGTGTCACATGTGCTTGCTTCGAGCCATCGCTCGACTACGTTGTTGTGAAGATTCCTCGCTGGGACTTGAAGAAGTTCACGCGTGTGTCCACACTCCTCGGTTCATCCATGAAGAGTGTTGGTGAGGTCATGAGCATTGGTCGAACGTTCGAAGAGGCCATTCAGAAGGCTATTCGCGAGATCGATCCTAGCAACCTTGGTTTCAACGAGACCCCAGCCCTGATGGAGATCGACCAGGAACTGCAGACACCTTCCGATCAGCGTCTGTTCGCCATCGCCAACGCTATGAAGGCTGGATACAGCGTCGACAAGATCTGGGAAATGACCCAGATTGACAAGTGGTTCCTCAGCCGCCTCAAGTCTCTTAGTGACTTCGAGAAGTCGATGGCGAGCTACAACACTGTCAGCATCACTATGCCACTGTTGAAGAAGGCCAAGCAGCTGGGTTTCTCCGATCGCCAACTCGCCAAGTTCTGGGCCTCCAACGAGCTTGCCGTGCGTCGCGTGCGTGTCGATGCTGGAATCTTCCCTGTCGTCAAGCAGATCGATACAGTCGCAGCTGAGTTCCCTGCAGTGACCAATTACCTTTACCTGACATACAACGCTGCGGAGCACGACATTAGCTTCAATGACAAGGGTATCATGGTGCTCGGGTCAGGTGTGTACCGCATCGGATCGTCGGTCGAGTTCGACTGGTGCTCAGTTCGCGCTATCCGCACCCTTAGAGAACAAGGCTTCAAGACCGTCATGTTGAACTACAACCCTGAGACCGTCTCGACTGACTACGACGAAGCGGACCGTCTCTACTTCGAGAACATCAGTTTGGAGACAGTCCTTGACATCTACACCCTCGAGAACTCTAGTGGTGTGATTGTTTCCATGGGAGGCCAGACGAGCAACAACATTGCTCTACCTCTGCACCGCATGAACGTCAAGATCCTCGGCACCTCCCCAGAGATGATCGACAACGCAGAGAACAGATACAAGTTCTCTCGTATGTTGGACCGCATCAACGTCGACCAGCCCGCCTGGAAGGAGCTTACCAGCATTGACGAGGCGATGGAGTTCTGCGATCGGGTATCCTACCCTGTCTTGGTTCGTCCCTCATACGTCCTCTCCGGAGCCGCCATGAACACTGTCTACTCGAAGCACGATCTGGCGAACTACCTCAACCAGGCCGCCGATGTCTCCAAGGAGCACCCAGTCGTCATTACCAAGTACATCGAGAACGCGAAGGAGATTGAGATGGACGCCGTCGCTCGCAACGGAACCATGATTGGCCATTTCATTTCTGAGCATGTTGAGAACGCTGGTGTTCACTCTGGTGACGCTACCTTGATTCTTCCACCTCAGGACCTTGACCCAGAGACTATCCGCCAGATTGAAGATGCTACTCGCAAGATTGGCGCAGCCTTGAATGTTCGTAACGCCCCTACACACACTGCATATGAGACTTTTACTGACTTAGTACACCAATCTGTAGATCACTGGACCGTACAACATTCAATTCATCGCCAAAGACAACGAGATCAAGGTCATTGAGTGCAATGTCCGCGCCTCCCGATCCTTCCCATTTGTCTCAAAGGTTATGGGTGTCGACCTTATCGAGATGGCTACCAAGGCCATGTCAGGCCTACCTGTGACTGAGTACCCACCCACCAACATTCCCGCGGAGTATGTAGGTGTCAAGGTTCCTCAGTTCTCCTTCTCTCGCCTTTCTGGTGCCGATCCCGTCCTCGGCGTAGAGATGGCTTCTACTGGTGAAGTCGCTTGCTTCGGTCGCACCAAATACGAAGCTTATATCAAAGGTCTTATTGCCACCGGCTTCAGGCTGCCGAAGAAGAACATCTTGCTGTCCATTGGTTCATTCAAGGATAAGCTGGAGATGCTACCTTCGATTGAACGTCTGCACAAGATGGGCTACAACCTCTTCGCCACTGCTGGAACTGCTGACTACATCCAAGAGCACGGTATCCCTGTCAAGTTCTTGGAGGTACTGTCGAGTGGTGAACACGACGAGCAGAAGCAAGAGTACTCTCTCACTCAGCACTTGTCAAACAACCTCATTGATTTGTACATCAACTTGCCATCCAGCAATCGCTTCCGACGACCTGCCAACTACATGAGCAGAGGATACCAGACCCGTCGTATGGCCGTCGATTACCAGACCCCTCTGGTGACTAACGTCAAGAACGCGAAGTTGTTGATTGAGGCTATTGCTCGTCACTACGACATGGAGATTAGCAAGGTGGACTTCCAAGAATTCGCCGCAGCTCCAGGTGCGCATGATTCATCTTCTGGGCCCCTGTCTAAGCTCAACGGCTCGCTGTCACTGCAGCAACTTCTCGCAAGATCACCTTTCAAGAGGGAACACATCACCTCCGTCAAGCAGTTCACTCGCGCCGATCTTCATCTGCTGTTCACCATCGCTCAGGAGATGCGTCTTGGTACCCAGCGCCAGGGTTGTCTCGACATCCTCAAGGGTCGCGTCCTTTGCACCCTGTTCTGCGAGCCATCGACTAGGACTTCTGCCTCGTTCGATGCCGCCATGAAGCGTCTCGGTGGTGAGGTTGTCGTCATCAACGAACTGGTGTCGTCGACACAGAAGGGCGAATCCATCGCCGACACTATTCGCACTCTGGGCTGCTACGGCGACGCCATTGTCCTGCGTCACCCAACTGAGGAGTCGATCAACATCGCCACCAAGTTCTCAGATGTGCCCATCATCAACGCTGGTAACGGCAGCCGCGAGCACCCCACCCAAGCCCTTCTTGACATCTTTACCATCCGAGAGGAGCTTGGTACAGTGAACGGTCTCAACATCACTTTCGTTGGTGACCTCAAGTACGGCCGAACAGTACACTCCCTTTGCGAACTCCTTTCCCACTACGACGTCACCATCAACCTCGTCTCACCCGCATCTCTCCCCATGCCTTCTGGTGTCACTGATGCGCTCAAGACCCGCGGTCAGTTGAACAAGGTCACCACTGAGCTGACTGACGATATCATCGCTTCATCGGACGTCATGTACTGCACCCGCGTGCAGAAAGAGCGCTTCCCAGACGTTGCCAGCTACGAGGCCGTCAAGGATGCGTTCGTCATCGACAACAAGCTGTTGAAGGGAGCCAAGGCGAACATGATTGTCATGCATCCGCTACCAAGGAACAACGAGATCAACGAGGAGGTGGACTTTGACCCTAGGGCAGCCTACTTCAGACAGGTAAGTTTTACAACGATGCAGAGGAACATGTCAGCTAACAGTATCGTAGATGCGATACGGCCTGTACACCCGTATGGCGCTTCTTGCTATGGTCATGGCTCCTTAGTCAGATCATGTAGCGCACGACTTCATGGCAGGCGTTTGACGGTTTTCACGGAAACGAATAAAGCAACAAAAAGTTTTCCTTTCGAGTTTATACCATGACATAGACGAGCATCAATCAGCAAAGATTGTAGATAGATACTCAAAAGCATTTCCACGGAGTTTTGGTCACGGGCCATGGGCACATGTATGATGTAATATTATCAACATCAGGATGGGGGGAAGCTATTTCATTTTTTCTGCAGCATTTTTTTCGGTGTTATTATTCTGTATTTCAAGAGGTGGGGGAAGTTATTTCATTTTTATTTCGATTTCTTCTGGCGTTTGGGTGGGTCCTCTCATCGAGGTTGGGAACTTGGATCGGTGTTAAGAGGGATGATCGGTACATGATCGGACTGGGAAACTATCGGCGGTATTATGGGAAGGCATCTGCATGGTTTGGAGTCGATGGGACGGTCAAATCAAATGGAATGGGATTGGAAATAAAGGTAGTCATTACTACTAGTGGGAATAGGGAAGACGCCAGACGCCTCGCCCTTGGTGTATACAATGGAAACAAATTCCCCACGTTGCGCGAAGTCGTCGAACTTTGCGCAATCGCATCAATCTCTCTGAACTCGTCGTGTACGCTTCGTGAAGGCCTTGTCGCATTTCGAAAAGCAGTCATGTTATGCTTGTACTGGCAAGAGTCTAGTGACCGAGGCATCGTCCCCAACCTGTTGTTCGTTAGCTTTCCATTCAAGAGATTCCTGCCATGCCCAGTGAACTTACCAGGAAGACCACAGCCGAAGCCAACGAACAGGTAGATCAAGAAGATGACGACGAGGGTCAACAGCACCATCAACTTGACGTTCTTCCACCACATCCTCCTCTTGAGCGTCCGTGACCTAACCCTGAAGTCTCTCGCATTTTCTCCCAGTCTGCCAGTCTTATCAACCAGCACACTCATATGCTCACCCCTCTCCAATACACGCTCAATGTTCTCCGTCATAATCTCCCTCACACCCTCGATTTCTCGCTGCGCCGTCCTGAGCGCATCCTGCTGGCCAGCCTGAGTACCACCCTGCTCCACCATCATCCTCTTCAACGCGCCATTGAAACTCGCACACCCATACGGCGGCAAATCATGGAAATTGGTGCTTCCAGGCTCAAACTCGGCAAAGAACTTCTTTTCGAGATTGGTCAGGAAGCCAAAGGGTATGCGCTGGCCGAGGTCGCGTTCGGCGATGACGAGGAAGGTGAGCCCGCCGGCCGTAGACTGGTTGTTGGGGAAGTCTGAGGGGGATTTGACGAGGCAATGGATGAAGAATTTGGATTGATCAATGGTTTTGTGGGCGGATTTGTCGTGAGCGATGCGTGGGAGGACGAGGGAGACGAGAGAGGAGGCGTTTGAGGAGGCAGAGGCCGTGTGTTCAGTTAGGACGGTTGTGTTGTGGGCTATGCATGCGCTGTAGTGTTGTTAGCTACTATCATTCGACGTATGTATGGTGTATTAGGGGAATCGTACTAGAGCAGAGGCGTGGAAGAAGACGAAGACGAAGACGCCATGTTGAAGGGAGCCGGAGGACGACGAACGGTTCTGCGCTTAGCCGGGGGCGCTTTCGATCGTTTGCGTGACTTGGGGTTTGAAGGGGATTTCGAATAGGAGATGAGTCCTCGGGAGACTAGAGCGTGGTGATGGTGTGGGTCTGTTGTAGTGATAGCCGTTGCTGGTGTTGGTGCTGTTGCTGCGGAAGGAGAGGCACTAAAGCTGGGGATGCTGCCTCTAGCCATGTGCGTCATAGCCAAGGCGGTTCACGCCTCACACGCTAATGCATGGATCGCGCTTGCGATTGACTTATGGGGCCTTGCTTGTGATTTTAGTGACTTTCGCGTCTTCTCTGCGCGTGCCCCAAGATTGTCGCAGGTACTAACTGTGAGGACTTTTGATTGCCGTGGCTGCAATCGCGTGGCGCCGAGGGTTTGCCTGTCGTTTTATTTTCAAAATTCCGTTTGCCTTTCACTTGGATGCCCCCACCTTCTTCCGGCGAAGGCACTTGACGGTTACACAAAGACAGACGACATATTTTAAGTCAACATGGTGCGCGTCAAGAATCGCTACTTGGTAGTAAACTTTCTATACCCGGAACCTCCCGCGAAGAGCAAGACGCAGCTCCCAGATGTCATTCAGATCAATTCGCCGACGCCTGATGCTCTTAAGCAAGGCCTCATTATCCGCATGATACGAGAGGGAGTCGAAGAGCTATTTGGCGACTATGGTGCTGGCATGGTGTCTTCGGGGCTGAAAGGTACATAGCTCCTCGTGTATCACAATCGCCTTACTGACGACAAGCACAGTCAACTACTGTTCTCCCTCGACCAGCACAGCCATAATACGATGTCCTCGAGATCACTACGGAATGGTCTGGGCAGCCCTCACATATATTACCCACCTTCCCAAACCCCTCGATATACCCGTTGTGATAAGAGTCGTAAGAGTAAGCGGTACGATTAAAAAGGCGGAAGAGGAGGTTATCCGGCGGTCACGGCACATCATCAAAAGAGCAAGAGCTTGGGATGGTGCTGGGGACTTGCCGATGCTACAGAGTGTAGAGAAGGCGGTAGACAAAGAAAGGAAAAGCGAGAGCGAGGTGCTTGCTGAGATTGACGATGGCAATGAGAGTGAAGACATGAGTGAGTAGGTGGTACTCGCATCTTCCACTTTTATTCTCTCATCTGCTACGCCTGGCATATCGGATACTAGGCATACGTCTGGAATGTTGCTAGACGCTGGACCATGAACCATGGACACCATATTCCTACTTCCGGAATTCCTTCTATTCTGCCTCGCACATGTGTGCTCCTGAGTTTCGGAATGACCACAAGATTGTTCTGCAGAACTGATCACAGCAACGTCGGCCCCTCTCCGCGATAACATGCTACACAAGCCGGGAAGGATCTCAGAGGTGGCTGCCTGCTTAAAGCTTGGTGTTCGTCTCGAGCACAATTCAAGGTCTGCCATCAAGTCCATGGCATTTTCCCACGAGAGCACCGCACAAGTTTGATGGCAGGTGCGCTCAGAACCATGTGTGCACCGATTATCGTAGAAGTCAGTTTCCTAGGTTATACCGTCTCACCTTGGCACAAGTACGAGGAAGCTCGGTTTCTTTGAGTTGTACTTAGAGAAACACGCACAGGCCACAAATACGGTACAAGGAGGCTGTCAAAAAGCAGAAGCACTTGGAGCTTCGCTGGATAGATTATATACACTTTTCTAATACAGAGACTATTCGTACACAAACTACATGGCTCAGTTCGGTCTCAATACGGCGATTATACTCGCCGTGATGACAGCTCCCGCCGCAGCGCCTTGGAGAATGGCGCTCGTGTAATCAATTCGTCGCATTGAAATGAGGCGATCGCTGACGATATCATGTGCTATGAAGCTGGCCTTTTGCTGCCAGCTTTCGAGTTTGGAGGGAGGAGTGGTGTGTGATGGTGAGGCTTCTTCAGCGATGATGACGCGTTCCTCGGGTGTTAGGGTCTTTTCTTCTGGTGTGAGAGTTTCAGCTTCCGGAGTTACAGCGGGTTCAGCGATGACTTCTGGAATAATTTCGGGTTCGACTGGCGACACGATATTGGTTCCCGCTGTCGGTGACTCTTCGATGACCTCCTCAGGTACCACGGGCGTCGTTTTATTTGCAGACGCATCTGCACGATCAACAACCCTATCGATCTCTTCCTCGATTGCTGTAAGACCTTGCGTGGTTGACGCAGGTGCAACTGCAGCAGCTGCAGCAGCCGATGATGTCGCAGCATCCATAGCAATCTGATGCTGTGCTTCCAGCGCTTTCTTGATTTCCCTAACCATCCTTCTCCTTCGCCATGGCTCCAATATCGCCAAGCTCAACAACAGCAGGAAGATATTGACACCCATCAAGCCAAACGTAACCCATGTACTGTTTCTCCGGATAGTGTCACTCCAGATTTGCTCCTCGTGGTATTGCGCACGTTCTCTCTTTTCTAGCTGTGCTCGCGCGTCTTCCAAAGCATTTTCAGCGTCCGCGACGGCGTCCTTGGCTTCCCGGACGGCTTGATCGTTGATGTGTTCGGAGCGAATGAGAGCCATGTAACGCTCGAGATCGCCGTTTGACCATGAGTGTTTGCGCTCAAGTAGAGCGACAACTTCTTTCTGCGAAGTAGCTTGGTGGGCGAGGGCGGTGTCGAGAGCTTGTTTGGCGGAATCGATGGCTAGACGACGAGCTTTGACGAGTTTCTCTGCGTGATGTTAGATGTCATAGAAGATAGCAGAAGATTTTCGCGTGTATACCTTGCTCCTTGATCTCCCTCCTAAGTGCTTCCACGCCGGAGTAGTCAGTTCCGGTGTATGTATTGACCTTTTGCGTAACCACAGCAAGCTTCGGTAACAGCTCATCCATGGCCTCGGAGAAGCGTTTCGAAAGGCTCCATCGCTGCTTCTCTTGGTGCGAAGGCAGATGTTCATCCGGTACACGAGCTATGTTGTCTAAGGGCTCATCCTTTTTGGGTTGTTCTGGTTCTTTTGGAGGGGGCTGCTCGACTTCAGAGACGGGCGGGTCTTGCAATGCGGCTACCGAAGTTTCCGCGGCTCTTTTGATAGCCATCTGATCCTCCAGTATAGCATTGAGTCTTCTTTCTAGTCGCTCCTGATCTTCTGGTGATGGTGGGGTTCCTGATAGTCTGCTCGGAGGTTGCTGTATAGGTCGCGCATCGTCTGTAGGCGGTGGCATTGCGATGGGATCCGATGACTTGGGCGGTCTTCCTTCTTCCCTCCATCTTGTCGAGCTTGTAAAGGCGCGTCGCGACCATTGTCCTGATGGGCCGGGGCTCAATTGCGTCTTTGCATCCCACTTCAGCGCACCAGAAGCTGTGCGATACCGACACCTCCAATACACCGACGACGCGCTGCGAACAACATTATTTAAAGATGGTGACGAAGGTGCTACCGTACTGGCGACAACCGAACGTGAAGCATGCTGAAGCAGTGGCCTCATTCTTGTCTCTACCCTCACATGAAGAGCACCTGTGCTGGATGACGAATGACGAAAAAGGGCCAAATTGCGGACCTCCGAAGCGGGCGGCGTCGCATCGAGCGCTGACGTGCCAAGGCGCGTGGGGTTGCGGCATGACGATGACTGGCTCTTTAGCCACCGTTCCTTACTTGCAAGTCTGCCGGCATTCCGATTAAGGGTTTCCCTAGTGCCCCTCCATCCAATCTTTTAGAAGTTGTTGATATCGTGGAATGCTCCTTACATCCACTTTCAGACCCAAACCATAGAACCAGCAACACAGTCGCTCGTTTCCGTCACATATACCATGGGTTCCACACAAATTGACCTGGCAGAACTACCTGCTATGAAGAGTAACCCAAAGGTACGTTCCTCAGCCATGTTTGCTACATCTCATGCCAACAAATATAGTTCATCTTCTTCACAGACTTCGACGGCACAATCACCCTCCAAGACTCCAATGACTTCATGACCGACACCATTGGCTACGGCCGCGACAAGCGCCGCGCTGGAAACATCGCCTGCCTCAACAACGAAATCTCCTTCCGCGACTCCTTCCAAGACATGATGGACAGCGTCACAAAGCCCTACGACCAATGTATCCAATACCTTGTCGATAACATCAAGCTGGACCCTGGATTCAAAGGCTTCTTTGAGTGGTCATTGGAGAACAATATCCCGGTAGTAGTGCTGAGCTCAGGCATGGAGCCAGTAATCAAGGCGCTGTTGGAGAAGTTGGTTGGCCCAAATGCAAGCAAGATGCAAGTCCTAGGTAACCACGTCGGTCCACGGGAAGGAAAGAGCATCAACGAGGAGGGTGGATGGCAGATTCTGTTCAAGCACCCAGACTCTGGATTCGGCCATGACAAGTCCATCGAACTGCGAAAGTACTCCAGCCTACCCGAGCACCTCCGGCCAACAATGTTCTATGCTGGTGACGGTGTATCCGACCTCTCTGCGGCACGCGAAACAGACTTGCTCTTCGCCAAGAAGGGTCACGACCTAATCAGCTACTGCGCACGGGAAGATGTACCATTCACAGTCTTCGAGGACTGGTCTAACATCCTGAGCAAGTGCAAGAGCATTGTAGAAGGAAAGACTACCGTCCAAGCGGCCGCCAAGGAAGGCTACGAGGCGTACAAGAGTGGCGCGGCCGGAATCGAAGTTCAAACGAAGAAGTAGATGGGACTGCGGAAATTGAGTCGGGGAAATCGTTCCTATTTCCTATTTCCTGGTTCCTGGTTCCTGGTTCCTGGTTCCTGGTTCCTGAGGGTTGGGACCCTTTATGCTGCGGCGCAGTAAATACCAGATCCTCTTGATCATGTGCGCACGGCAGTGGCTGCGGCGTAGATAGATTATGTGGGGAAAGGAGCCATCCCCAAGGGATTACCAAAAACGGAAATGCTGGACGACATAGAAAGGCTATAGATATGATTACACGATAGACATAGAATCTGATGAATCTATTTTTTACTCAAGAAATATTGGCCACATATGAAACGACCGTTACTACATATACAAACATTGCGCGACCAACAAGTGCTTTGATCAGGGGTATCTCACGCAACGCAACATGGTAATAATGGGCTAAACCGCCTATGTACAACTTCCCGGCATCCTCGCTCACACTATCTCGTGATGTTCACCTCAGTCGTCCTTACAATCGTCATACCCACAGGAAGCACACTCCTCCTTTGTCCCGTAACCACGTCATGATCCAGAATACTCTCATCGCTCTCTCCTGCCTGGCTTTTTGGTCTGCTCATTCCCCTTCCCGGTCCCGCCTCAGCATGATATGTATCCTTACCCAGCACAGCTTCCTCGGTATACGGGTCACGGCCAGTCGATGTGGAGTTTTCGCTCAAGTTCTTCATGGCGAAAGAATTACCAGGGCGCATGTCGTTGTGCTTCATGTACCCGTTCGAACGGAACGGCGTACTGTTGAGGCCGTTGGAACCAGTGGTGCGACCTTTTGAAGCGAGGGAACGCATTTGACCGAAGAAGTTTGCGAAGAGGGGTTTCATGGTAGGGAGGCAGGCGGCGATAATTCCCACGTGCATCTCGACTCTGTGGAAAGTGTTAGTCCAAGTGTATGTTTAGATTGGGCAGGGTGAGCACGTACTGTTGCCAGATGTAGTACCATGATCCATCGCCGGACCAATCCGTGATCTTGAAGAAGTTATACTGCATTGGTGTCTTGTAGATGGCTACTGCAGAGGCGAAAAGACCCAGACTTAAGATGACTGCCAAGCCTATGCGCGTTTGTATCGTTACCTGGAGTCTCCATACCATGGGGATGGGGATTAGGGCGAAGAGCAGATCCGTTGCAATGTTGATTGACGAGTTGAAGACACCGACGTTTTTGAAGATTCCAGCATCGTAGCATTTCGCAGTTCTGTGATTGTGTCAGTATGGATGATAGATCATACTGAACGTAGATGGGGTGCATACCCAATCGGTGGACGCAGGGTGTAGTCCCATCCCGCTCGCACCGGGATGCACTGGAAGATGATAGCGAAAGTTGAACCGATAGTAAAAGCACCGATGAAGACTGTCTGCACGTTAGTTACTTCATTCTCGCAATGTGAATCTGTCAAACTTACCCAGCATGCCGATAAGAAACGGCCGCCACTTGGTACGGTCCGCGAGTCGTAACAAGAAGAAGCCGATAGAAAGCTTGATGAAGCTGTATGCGGCGATGATAAAGATTGAGTAGAAGTACATGACCTTAAAGAATGGGAATATGTTGTCCAGTGGGAAGGCTTCCGCATGTTTTCCAAGTCCCAGGTCAATAACCTTCAAGAACAGTCCTAGAGTGGTGGAACTCAGAGCCTGTAGAGCTATGGTTAGCAAGGACTGCCTTTCGGTAACTTCGCACAAGGATACATGTATCATAAAAGTAATGGCAACCTACCAATGCGATCGCCATCATAATATCTGTTACAGTTAGTCATGTCTGATACGACTGTAGATCAGTGGATTGTACGTACCATCCCAACCAAACGTCTTCAGCATGAAGATTCGCACATAGAATCGCAGCAGTACAGTGGTCGTCGATAATGCGAATAACGAACCTTCCACCGCCAGCAAGCGTCCAGCCTGGTTCTCAGCCATGTACTCTGGTGACCGAGGTGGCATCATCGGCGGTCCCCCTTCCTGTCTCGAAACAAGAGCATGGTACTCCATGTCGACGGTTGCGCAATCAAAGGGAAAGCAATGAGTAGATCGCACTTCTTGGAAGTAGGTCCTCAGACTATTAGAGCATTGTTCAAGAACGCTTTCTGCAGGCTCTTTTCCAAAGGAGCATCTAGGCACATGCAGCGTGCAAAGATCCTGAATTGCGAGCAAGCGAACTCATGTCTCGAGTAGTATTGGTTTGGACCAATAACTGCACGTCCGTATATGCATAGTATGCAACTTTAATATCGATATGACGGCTCGGCAGGGTCGTGCAGCTGGGGAATAACCGGAGTGGCGGTTTTAGTGCCAAACTGTTCTCGCAGTCATCAGTGGCTTTGCAGTTGCAAAGTTTAATCCTTCGTCCTCTGATGTGCCGCTTAACTGCTACATCTTCAGCATCAAGATGGATGCTTTCATTACTTTCGTCATGCAGAAAAGGTTGCGTATGCAGGGCGCGACTGCACAGAAACAGAACGTATTCGCGATACAACTTCATTCATCGAGTGCGGATGCCGAACGGTCCGGACCGTCCACTCAGTAATTCAGGGTTAAAATCACAATCATGGGCAAGGAACATATAGACTTGGGACGATCAATGCCAAATTTGGGAGACAGAGTTCGAAAACCATCCTCTCGTAGAAGTTACTCCGTGGAATTCGCAGTCTGAGTAGAAGTTGATGCGGGTACAATCACTACGCGTCGAAGCAATGCGCTATAGACGAAAAGTGGTGTTTTTTTAAAGGAATATTGGAGGTTCGTAGCGACTTTCCCTTTGCGTAAAGCTATCATGCGTTCCCGTCATGGCTCGTAGCTTCGCGTTCTTTAAACGAACATACCCTAGTCATGGGCCAGTCTCAGGCTTCTTTCTTCCCGAGTGGGGATACTGGTTCTGTGCCAATGACCATTACCACTGTCCTCCATCTATTAGTCACGAGGAACGTACAGCTCGGTTGCGTCGCACAGCGCTGCGCAGGTGTTCTTAGAAGAGCTGCGTGTTGCTTGCTCGTCGCAGGCCAAAGCCAAAGCCATGGAAAAGCTATCATCATAGTCCGCAGTCGGAGCATCAAGCGGACAATGTGTTAAGCGAAGTCCGGGCCTGCCGCAGGTGATGTAGGTGGTCGCAAGTCAGATGAGTTAACGGAATGGTGGTCGAGCGATGACAGGCGCTAATTGTTCACGCTAATCGTTCAAGCGCGACAAAGCCGCTCCCGGGAGACTCTAATTATCCGGTCTTTGACAGTTGTCCCGAGATAGTGTGATCAGGCGGCCCGCTCTACCTGATTCCCCCTCCCGTTCTTAGTTCAGAACTCCAGAGCTTCTTTCAATCGACAGGGCCTCCTATCAAACCTTTTATTAGCCCTCTTAACGCATATTGCCTAAACATGAATGTCCATCAAAGCTCCTGGTACCAGGTACCTATTGGTCGATCCCTCATGTTCATCGGACTACAAGCAGAATACAGCAGGTACCTGGTGTATCTCTAGGAACCTACCGCTCTTCCCGTCTATCCCGCACCCGGGCTTCGCACGATGCGACCGGGTAAAATAAAGTGGCGCCTAATCAAGATGAAGTTTTCGTCGGGATCGCGCTTGGATTTGTCCGTTCACTTCCCTGACCGAACAGCGTCATCAGATCGATATAGAAATCTTATCCAGGGAGAGACCCCAGTGTATCGATCGCATTCAGCTGGTATTCATGTTAGGATATGCTTAGGCGCTGATGTTCCTACCTCCGTGGAGCCATCTCAAAAAAGTGAAGTAGCCCACACGGCTCGGCATTCACCTGGTGCAGCCACTGGCACAAGTCTCCGGCAGTCCCGTCCTATCCGTCACCCTGTCTACCTTTGGTAAATCCGCAGCCGAGGGCTCCAATAACCCGGCATCCAATGATACTTCCCCGCTAACGCGTCTTACACTCATTTACGAGCGTCAAATCCGCGCCAGCTCCTTCCTTCTACTCACCTAAGGGGCGAGACTCATGCTAACCCACGTGTAGCGGAGTTTTGGAAACGCCTCGCCAAATCCTGCGAGGCGACCTCGGCATTTGCCATTTGCCAGACGCCTATTCGGTGATAGATCATGCACCAAGGAGCTTTTCGAACCCTTTTCGAACCCTTTTCGAACGCCTGAAGAATATTGGCGAATAAAACTTCAGTATGCCATAAGCTCAAGGGCCACCCCCAACTGACTCGATGTCTATCAATGCCTACTCGGAAACAACAGACCGAGTTAATGGGTCTGAAAACAGCACGATCTTGTACGGCACAGGTATCCTATACCAACATTAGACTAGATGGAGGCGAGTGTTGGGTTGCTTCCTGCAAGTATTTGAAGGCACATGCAGCCTCGAAACTTCAGACAGGGCATCGCCACGTTTTGCTCACGCCTCTTTCATCTCCTAATATTAATACAGTAATCGCTAGCTCGTGTTGGCCTTTCATCCGGAACCTTATTCAAAGTCCCCCACCGTTTCAGTCATTCGTTTGTCTTCATCCTCACAAGCCTTTCCAGACCTTCGACCTCCCATCTTTACCCGGTTCGAAACGGCATCATGCGTACCGCTGCACTACTTTGGTTTGCACCTGCGGCACTAGCCAGCGCCATCCCTTCCTTCGAAGAGGCTTCTCCCGCTGTCTCATTCGACAAGAGGCAGAATGTCTCTCCCAGTTTCCTCGGGGGAAAAATCCTGCAGGCTGATTTGTATGCCGGTGTTGCCGCCATCAATCAGCAGATATACCAGGCTACTCAGAAGCCTGACCAGTTCAAGAAATGCAACCCCCTGAACCTCATTGTTCGCAAGGAATGGTAAGTCTCCGGCAACCGATGCATCAACTGTAGCTCACAAAATTAGGGCGACTTTTACTACATCGGAGAAGAATGACTATGTCAAAGCTGTCCAGTGCATCTCTAAGCTGCCTCCCAAGACGCCTAAGTCTGAGTGCCCGGGCTGCCAGAACCGATACGATGATTTTGTTGCCACTCACATCAAGCAAACGTTCTCCATTCACAACACTGGCAACTTCCTCCCATGGCACCGTTACTTCACCTATGCTTACGAGCAAACCCTCCGTAACGAGTGTGGTTACAAGGGCTATCAACCGTATTACAACTGGCCACGATGGGCTGACAACCCGATGAAGAGCCCCGCTTTGGACGGCTCTGCTACCTCTATGGGCGGCAACGGTGTTGCAGGATGCAGCAACCAGACCTTCTATGGTATCCCAACCAACGACGCACCTTTGATCAAGATTCCCAAGGGCACTGGTGGAGGCTGCGTGACCTCTGGTCCATTCAAGGATTGGTCTGTCAACCTTGGTCCAGTCTTCACCGACTCTCTCTGCACTCCTCCTAACCCGATAACCGACTTTACTGACCCCAACGCGGGACTCGGATACAACCCCCGCTGCCTGAAGCGTGACATCTCTGCCTGGACTTCCAGCCAGTGGACCAACGATGATATGGTTGTCAAGCTGCTCAACAGTCCTGACATGAAGACCTTCTGGTACGACATGCAAGGTGGCGACCCAGCCTTCACTGAATTCATGGGTGTGCACACTGCTGGTCACTTTACCGTGGGTGCCGACCCCGGCTCGGACTTCTTCACTTCTCCTGGTATGTTTTCCTATCTTCGCTGCACAAGGACGCTCGGTTAACATTGAACAGGTGACCCATGGTTCTACTTCCACCACGGCCAAATTGACCGCGTATGGTGGTCGTGGCAGAACATGAGCCCTGCCGACAGGACCAACGCCATCTACGGAACAATTTTCCTCGGTGACCCTACCGCACCGGCGACCAAGCTCACCGACATCATGACCCTCGGACACGCTTACCCTGGAAACATTACTGTTGGTGATGCAATGAGCACTATGGGAGGACCCTTCTGCTACACCTACATCTAAACATGGTCTCTGAACTGTATCTGGCCCTTCCTGTATATACTTGACTTATACATATTGCTGTTGAGCTCAAAAATAGACCAAGCATGCGTATCCGATGCGATCGAAATAGACTAGCAATCAAGAGAATCCATTGCCATTTTCGTAACAAGTGCGTGACAAGTACAAGCCTTGTCTAGACCGCACAAGCATGGCGAATCAGAAAACCTTAAGTATCGCGAATCTTCATATCAGAATAGAACGTGGAAGCTAACACGATCTAACGCATGTTCCGCAGCGCTAAGCGGTCACCATACCTGGGCTGCATATGTCCCGCAACGAATATGAATGGGCGGGGTCTCTCCATCCAAAAGCGCGGAGACCCTGCAGTGCCAACGCATCACCGCTGAAGAAGAATCGAGGGCAGTCATGTCCTCCAATCCCTCCGACCACGCCCGTTTCAAACGCTGTTTGGGATTACAGCCACCCTGAATCGGAGCGCCCCTCGAACATTATTGGCATAACAGAGTCAGAGTTGTAGGATTCGCGATTCGTGATTCAAGTGAACCCTTACCCCGCTAAGATTATAGCTCCCCCCGACTCTCTGGATCCAGGGGGCGACGAAAGTTACGACACCTATCGCAAGAGACGACGAACATAGCAGAGCCCAATAATCACTCAACCATGAACGTCGACCCTGTAACTGGGAAACCCCTCCCCTCAACTGCCATCCAACGCATCCTCTACCTTGCGCCCAAAGTCCACATCTACCAGATCCCACCCGCAACCTCTACAAAGGGCTACCAAGCCTCTACCTGGACAGCCGACAACAACAAGCTGCAAATCTTCACCGCTCGATTGCGCGTCCTCGAGACGTCAATTCCACTCAATGACGAGCAACAAAGCAACGACGATGCAGAGGAAAAGGTCACGACAACACTCCTACTGGAGGACCCAAAAACCGGCGATCTATTCGCCGCAGCACCATACACAAGCGAGAGGACAGTAGAACAAGCATTGGACAGCAGCCGCTTCTTCGCCATCACCGTAGTAGGCGACGGCAGAAAAGCAATTCTGGGCATGGGCTTCGAGGAACGCAGCGAAGCCTTTGATTTCAGCATTGCGCTGCAAGACGCCCGCCGCGTACTCGGTTTTGAACAAAACCCCACTTCAACGTCGTCATCATCCCGCTCCTCGAAATCCGCACAAACGCCCGTCGCCGAAGAACCGAAACGCGATTTCAGCCTCAAGGCTGGCGAAACGATATCGATAAATCTGGGGGGCTTGAAGGGAAGGCGGTCGAGATCACATGAAGGGGGTGAGAAGAGTGAGGAGGGCGACCGCAAGAGCGAACAAGATGCGCTGTTTAGTATAAAGCCACCGCCGGGCAGTGGGGGTGGTGCAGGTCCTGGGTTTCTGCCACCGCCGCCTAGTGCGAAGAGCGTCAAGGAGGAGAGGAGAAGGAGTAGGCAGAACTTTGATGCTGCAAGCTTCCAGCCGCCTAAACAGACGGCCGAGGACTTGGGCTTTGATGATGGCGAATTTGGAGAGTTCCAATAAGGCAGAGTTAGGAAGAAGAAGTGGGGGGTATTTTGTGCATGTTTAGCATTGGAGTTTATTATTTGCACTGGTCTAGGTCTTCCACGCATGGGAGGCGTTTTGCAATTACGATATATCAAGACGTTAAAAAGGTTTCCGCATTGCAGAATGTGTGCGTGTGTATCGTGGAGTTTGAAAAAAAATACCGAGGTGCGTTGGGTATATCAATCTACCGATGCGTGTAGGAACCGCTCAAAACCAAACGCCAGAATTCCATTACCGGAAATGCCCTAATCGTCCCTCAAGAATATGTCCAACCCTGCGCCTCCTCGTATAATGTCTCAATATCCCGAATCAGATCCTCGGGCTTCTCTCCACCCTCGCAATCCTTAAACTTGCCCCCATCGGTCACACACCGCACCTTGTTATCCAGTCTCACGGTGCAGCTCGTCGTCACGCCTACATCGCTACTATGCTGTACGCTGTCCCTCAGGAGACCCATGCCATACGCGCCGTTCTCCTTGCTCATGCAATCGTTCAGCACGCCAAAGTCTAGGCCATGTTCCAACGCGCAGTCTTCGATGAGGGAGCGAGCGGGTATCTCGGAATAATCGTTGGTAAGGCAGTTGGTGAAGCCAAGGTATAATTTCAGATCGGGGTACTCGGATGCGGCGCAGAGCATGACGATGTCGCCTAGGCATTCGGTCTGGCCGTGTTTGCACTCGACGCCGTCGTCTGCCGTTAGGCTGTGTGTTTGTCAGCTACATGGTTTGCTTTGCGCGTGGACAATGTGACGTGCCTTCCTATCATGCTCAATCGGAAGTCTACCTTATCCGACACATTCGCCATGGCGGGCAAGACGAGCTTCTTCAGACAATCCCGCGCATCCGGGCACTTGGACATGATGTGTACATCTACTGGTACTTTGGTGTCGGTCTCGTCATGCATGTCTGTACAGGTGAATGTACGCGCCAGCCAGAAAAGGCTGAATAGCAGCACAAACGCCGCCACTTGGAGGCGCGTTTTCCTTGTCTTGCGAGATGCCATTGTCTCGTCGGGTGGCGGCGCGTTTATATCCTCGTGCGTGTTTGCGAGGAAGGGCACCTTCTCTTCCATTGCATGGAACGGTGTCGGGGCCGCCATGAGATTTTATGTAGGGCTTCGTCTAGGCGTAATAGGTGGTAGGTGGTCTGGACGTTAAGCCGACTAACTAGGGCTGTTGGGCTGGCTTGCTAGATACGATGGGCTTGTGATGCGATGAAAGTAGTCGAATGGGGAAAGATGGAACTGATAGGCCTTCGGGCTTATTGCTGATAGCGTGATTGACTAGGGCTATGAGTGGCGCATCTAGGTACCAACAACAACAAAACAAAACAACCTAAACTCGGTATCTAGTGAGCGTTGAACAAGTTGAGAAGACACATTCCTGCGTGGCACTATGCCACTCTCTAGATTCTGATATGTAATGCACTTGCTAAACGCGTGAAAAGAGCCGAGGGGAACAGAGCACGGCAGAACAATTAGCCGTCATGCTGGAGCCGTGTGGCGTTATACACGAATGCTACACCGAGCTTCGGAGGGGCTACACAGATCCTACCTCATGAACGACTGATCTGCTGGGCGCGTAAAGCTTGCAATCCCATGCCTCCTTTTCCCTTTCGCTTCTTTCGCTCATGATGGAATGACTCTTTGACTTGTTAACATTCTAATTACCCCACTTGGACATTGACTTGTTCTGCCACTGGCGAGGCTGCACCCAATCCCCTGTCCACCTTCCGCTTCCAGATTCGATAACACATGCGGTAGCCCTGCTGCATCATCTCCCAAGGTCCGTTCCTGAAGTCTGGCACCAACCCGAAACATGGCGTCAGATGATCAACAAGACGCGGCATCTGCTGCGATTCAAGCATTGACCGGCTTTATCAATACGGGCACCTTGCTTGATCTAGCCCAGCAATTCTCGGCAACTTACAGTCATCTGGCTAAAACTTCCACCGAGCACTTTCTAGTTACACCCGTCACGGCACTACCCACGGGGAAAGAGAAGGGCAAATTCTTGAGCATCGATGTTGGTGGCACGAATCTAAGAGTGGGATTCGTTGAGCTAATCGGAGAGCCAGATGGTGGCGCAGAAGATGAGCGGACACGGAGCAGCACGGTTGGGGAGAATGTATTTGCTCGGATCAAGAGAAGTCATGACAGGAATTGGCCTATTGGGGACCACCTGAAGATGGACCAAGCTGAAGACTTGTTTGCCTGGATTGGTGACTGTATCGCCGAGGTTGTCAAGAGCGCTCTTAAAGAGCAGGAGACTACGAAACATGTCACATCCCCTCTAGGTGATGAGATTCTGCTCGGTATCACCTTCAGTTTTCCGATGGCGTAAGTGTGAACTCGCATGTACACTAGGATACTTCGCTAATAGACATCTAGGCAAACCCGCATCTCAGAAGCGACCCTGCTGCCAATGGGCAAAGGATTCGCCATAACTTCAGACCTGAACCTGGGCAAGATGCTTCTCGCTGGCTATGCACGATACTGTCACGCGGATGATTCAGCCAGCCAACTCAACCATTCCAAGTCACAATTGCCAAGAATACGGGTAGCGGCCATTACCAACGACACGGTAGCAACATTCGCGTCTCTTGCCTATGCAGCCAAAGCGGCACCTAACAGCCGCGTAGCCATGGGCCTCATTGTCGGCACTGGCACCAACGCTACCGTACCAATGAAGCCAGAGAGTCTTCATCCTGACAAGAGAAGTGCACTCTCAAACCCCGATGCCGTGGAAACTGTGGTCATCAATACGGAGTGGACGATTCGTGGCACGGACAAGCCTTTGGTCGACCTGAACATCAAGACGCCCTGGGACATGACACTCGATGCCAACAGCGATGCACCAGGCTTCCAGCCATTCGAGTACATGACCTCTGGACGGTATCTCGGCGAAATTGTACGATTAGTGTTTGTTGATGTTGTATCAAAAGAGGAAGACGTGCAAGTACCGTCATCACTAATGCTCAAAAACTCGCTACCAACGCGCTTCCTATCGGAGGTCGTCGCACGAAAGGGGGGTCGTATCGTACAGCAAGAGCTTGAGAGTAGATACCCAGACGCAGAGTCCTCGGAAGACTTTTTCTGGACAGTCGACAAGGTGGAATTGATACGGGATATTGCTGAGGCTGTTCAGCAGCGCTCATCGGCGCTTATCGCTGCTGCTTGCGTCGGGCTGCTCAACTGTGTAGGCGACGTCGCGCTAGACAAGCCACAAGCCTCAACCAATGGTGCGCATACAAAGGGCAAACGCGAGATAGAAGAGCTGTTTATTGCGTATGCTGGAGGAACTATTTCACAGTATCCAAAGTGGCTCCAGACGTGTCAGCAGTGGATAGATATTCTGGTCGAGGAGGGTTCATCGGCGAACCAGAACAAGCAAGTCACGCTCAAGGAGGCCAAGGACGGAGGCATTGTCGGCGCCGGGGTACTTGCGGGCATGACCGATGAGATAGTATGAGAGTCAGTCAAGAGCATTATCATAGTATCATCAGAGAGAAGAGCCTCATAGCCAGAACAAAGCTACACAGGCTTCAGACACATTCCAAGTAGCCAAAATGAAAGCACACGATACCCAGAACCACCTCTAGCTCTACCTTTAGCTCTACCTCTAGCTCTACCTCTATCTCACAGGTAATTGTGCCTGCCACTCCGGATCAACCTTACTCTGCTTGAAGAAACTCTTGCCTCTCAACCACTGCCGGTACGCCTTGTACCTCTTCTTGGCCGTATCTTCCTCCTCAACATCCAATGGGTTCTCCTTGACCCTTAGAAACTCTTCAAACTCCTCGATATCCTCTTCTGGCGTCTGGAACTTGCTTCCAATAGACTGCGACTGTGGGGGCGGCTGCTGGATATCAGAGTAGACGTGTGGATAGAGATTGTACGTTTGTGGGTATGAGTAAGAAGGTGCGTGGGAGAAGGGTGTGCTGACTGACTGCGAGGTCATGGGGCGGGCAAAGGAGTGGTGGGCCGAGCGATCCATGTCTAGGCGAGGTAAATCAGAGAGAGTGATCTGCACGCCGTCTTCGTCAAAGTCTTTTGGTGCGGGGATGCTGCCTTCGGTCATGGAAAGGTAATCGTAGAATTCCATTGCGCTAGGGTCGTCGGCGCTGGGCATTTCACTGCTGATTACGAGAGGTAGGTTGAGTGGGTGCTCAATGTAGCGGGCGTATTCTTCTTCTTCGCCGTGGGATACCGATGGGTTCATGCTGTTCTCGTAGAATTGCGTTAATGTCCACTGGTGGACTAGGGCTTTATCGGCGGGCTTGAAGCCGGGCTTGATTGTAGATGAGAGACCAGTTGATGTCGACGCTGAATTTGCCAAAGACTGATATGCTGATGGCGGAGGGGCTGGTGGGTAGGTTTCGAAGTGTGGATCTCGGAGAATCGAATGTCGGACTGATGAATCAACGCTAAGATGTAGATCTCTCCTGCGATTGTTAGGAATGTGATCAGGTTTTAACTCTGTCTCGCTGGACGGATCAAATATGGTCACGCCTTTTCGAGGACCTTTCTTTCCGTCTCTTCCATGTGCGTCGTGATCTTGTTGCTTGGTGCGAGGAACAAACGGTGACATGTTTTCCTTGCGAGTTGGATATGTTCCATCTCTGCTATCCCGACCTGGCCGTGGCTTAGCTAAACGAAAGGCGAAGATCTTGAGATACGATGAGATGGCTAATGGCCTGTAGTACTCGAGCCAATAGTCATCACGAAAGCTGATAAAGTCAAACGCCGTTTCTTCAGTTGGTCGAGCTGGCATGACTGAAGGTGGTAATTTGCGCTGTTGAAGATGCGAAAGTGTATACCATTGAATATAATCGCGTCGCGTGCGTTCGAGGAATGCTTTTGGATCTTGATGATGCAGATAGTAATCTGTTGATAAATCCCACAACATTGGTTGGCGTTGATGGTAGACATAATTGCCTAGGAACAGATTGTAGGCCTCTTGACGCTGCGAGTCGAGGAAGGAGTTGTGATAGTAGCGCTTGAAGCTCTCAACCATGTCACGCGAACTACTTTGCCACTGATTGATCTTCCGGTACGTAGCCATCGTGTTAACGAGATGTGAGCCACCATACTGAATCGCAATGGTATCACCGTGTCCGTGGAACATCTGCGTGAAGAGTTCAACACAGTCGGAATCGTACTCCACTGTGTTGCCGGAGATGACACCCAACGCTTGCAGCTGTCGACCTAGCGCCCGCTTTCCAATGACAAATTGAGCAGCATTTGTTCTATCCAAGCAGTCGATGCAGTTTGTCCGCGCCACTCCATTTTGAACTTGAGGTGCATCAAACTCGTCGTCGCCGTTACGGAAGAATCCAGTCTTACGCAAGACCTTTTCGGCCAGATTCTCCAAGGTGCCAATGACATCTTGCCCTCTCGTCTTGGCCGCCCTTGACATGTCAAACGCTTCATAGATTATCTTTTTGTCATTCGGTAGGGACTGGTTGAGGTAGTCGATAGCGTGTTTGTACTCGTAGAGCAACTTGGATTCTCTCGGGGTTCGCTCTCGCGCCTTGATGAGGTTGAGGACGTATACAGGAGCACCATACCGCTCAAACAAGTTGTCAAAGTGCAGTCCTGCCGCGCTGTAAAAGGGATCCACGAGGCTCAGGTCGATGTCGGGCTTTGGCGTCACACCAGTATTGTCTTGAGTCCAATATAGCGGTATGCTACCACGGTGTTGGACATAGGATGTGTAGGACGGATTTGCATACAGTCGTGGCCCAGGAGCATGGAAGGACGTGGTAGTCTGCTCAGACACAATCTGTTCTGTCTCGACGTCATTGGCGACATATCCGAGGTCATTCGTCCCGCGCTTGAGGAAACGAGCACCCGCGAAATGTCTTGATCGCCGAGCAATGATGGTAAGGTACACGCGTCGCCCAAATATATCCAGCGAAGACTGGTCCACGTACCCATGTATTACTGGGTGGCACCAATCGTACACATTTTTCAATGCATCTCGCGCAGGGTTCAGGAGATGATGGTTCCAGACAAACATGTTCTGGAAATCGCGTTCAGGGTTGGAGATACCTTCACCAAGTGCAGTCCGTTGATGAATGATGTTCTGTTGCAAGCTTCTTGTCACGTTGTAAGAATAGCTAAAGTAAAAAGATCGTGTGAGGTCCATGTTGTTGAGGATAGACAAGAATCTCGCTTCTTCCGGGTTGCGGTCTTTCTGGTACCTTGATGTTGATCCAGTCGTTAGTGGAACCATGTCCGTACCATCGACCTGGTAGATATAATGGCCGCCCAACATTGCCACTTGTGATCTTTTCGATATCAGAAGCATGTAGTACGCTTCCGTGAACCGGATGAAGCCTAATAGACCCCACGTGCTGCACTTTAGTTTCATGCCTCCTGTGGCCTTGTTACCGTCAGCTATGGTATCCAGAAGCTGATGCATCTCTCGCCGATTGTACACTATATCATCTTCGAAGATGTTCAAGTGCCCAGGTGCAGCAGTCCGGTCAATCTTCAGCACGCGAAACTGCCTGTCTGTGATATCGGCACCGATGAGGTAGAAGCGGGTACTGGTTTCGTAGAGCGAGAATTTGTGCATTCTCTTAATCCCGCTCTCGCCGACATTCTGGTAGGTGGAGCCCTTGACCTTGTGAACAGTGGACGGAGAGGATGGTCTGTGAAACGATACGTTGACATTTGGGTTCTCTTCTTCACCGCCAAACTTGGTAGATTCCGACTCTCTGCGTGGTTTCCCGTGGCCAGGTAGCTTTTCAAGGTCGGCCTCCGGTTTAAATTCAAGTGGAGAGGTTTGCGGGCTTCCGACAGCAGTTGACGACTTTTCAATATCGTCTAGCTTTTCCTGACTGCTGGTGCGCGATGCCGTAGCCCTTGACGCCACGGAACTGGCTCGTTCTGGAGAACTCAACCTTGACTTTGACCTCTCCATCATGCGCGGTTAGTGACTGAGATATAGCTTATTAACGAATGAGAGAAGACAGAACTTGTCACGCGGTCACAGCGTGGTGGTCGGAAATTTGGTGCGGTGGCGCGTGCGGATGACACAAGACAACCACTGGCTCAGGCTTAGTGCTTCCTTTTACACACCGTTTCAAGATGCAAAGATGCAAAGGAAGCTACAAAAAGAAGGAGGCTTAGTTCTCTGGAAGGGGCCGTGTCGTAAGCCAAAAAGGCAAAGTTGCTGTAGCTTCCCGGCCTATGCCCCACTTGGCCATGCGAGGGCTTGGCGTACGTCAGCGCACCTATCACTTACGAGTGACGCTGAGCTACAACCTTCAGAAATACGGACAAATCAGAACGCATATGAGTATGTACATTGAGCGATGATTAGCGCTACCTATAGCAAGCCTCTTTGAAACAGTCTTTGGTCTTGGGTTTGCAGACAGGTTAAGCTTCTTTTGTATCTAGGTAGTATTGTCACGAAGTCAACGACCGCCGAACAGACCAGCGAACGCTTGAAGCAGTCTCGCAGCATAACAGATGGTTCGCTATACGCTGGTCGAGATTTGTAATAGTAAGCTCAAACAGCATGAGCCAACTATCTACATATCAAAGACCATGTTGCTCTCGCCAGCATGTTCATTATCATTCCTTCCTATGTAGATGTAACTTCATTCATAGCAGCCTCGTTTCCAAAGCCATGGTGAACGACAGCCCCTTAGTCTCCGTCATCATCGAAACCATGCTATCAGTGTCCGCTATAGTCGTCAGTATCGTCTGGGTGATCATTATGCACGACAGTAAGCACTCGTCCAGAGCCGCTCGAACGAGCTGGATAGGATACAGGATTCGCTCACTTGTTTAGACGAGCAAGGCAATATGGTTTTGGAAGGATCAATGACACGCGAATAAGACTCCAGGTATTAAAAGCCGCAGTTTTGCCTGAGTAGCTAGGCTGTATCCCATAAAGAGAGAGATATATATATCAAAAAGTCTATTTGGTGATGTTTTGTCAATACTAAACAAGTGCAGTCTTCAAGTCGTCTCTTTGTGCAATCCCACGCGACGCGCGACGCGCGCATGAGTCAGTGTGAGTATTGTTCATGGCAGCACAGCAGCCCTCAAGTCGTTTTCAACGTAGGATGAGCAAGGATGCTTGGATTCAATATCCGCTGACGACGAAGGGTAACCTAGCAGATATTCGGCTGCTCCCGGGTCTTAGATGTATTACGTGGTGTGTGCGTTATTCTCCGAGAGTCCCAGCGTACGGGAGGGGCGGCAATTGCGATGGTTAACAGCATGAGCATGAAGGCAGAAGGAAAGGAGGAACGACATGAACCGACGTTATGAGGACGCGTCGGAACATGGCCAAAAGCAAACGTTGATCAGTTCTTTTGAGGACATGCATGAGTGAACATGAGTCGTGAAGTGCCTGTGCATGAGGACCGGCAGCTGAACGGCGTGCATGTTCAAGCAGACAGTCAGGCATAGCAGCAGCAGCAAGAACAGATGATAGGCGGAAGGTTTTACAATCGCAAATGAGCAAAGGCAGGGTACAAACGTGGGATGTCGAGAAGAGGCGTTTCTTGTCGGTATAAGAGAGATGGTATGCGAGGGGTTAAAGTTCGTGGGCGACTCAACTGAGACTAGCACATGGCCCATGCCGCAGCAAACCACGGCATCGCGTATCCCTGAGGAGGTTCAATTCGCCTCGGGCGCCCGCTGCCCGATGTGCAATTAAACACAGGCGTCCCATCTCTTCGGCGAGTTTTTGTCTTTTTGGTACCTTTCTGGATCTTTGGGCCCTCTGGACGTCTCTGCAGTTTGGAGTCTTGTTTCGCTATTTACACCCACCGGCTGGAATTAGACGCGCATGATTACCGGACCCGGGGACTCTGCATGCCAACCATGCACTGATCATCAACTCTGCAGCATTCCAGACAGAGTGACATAGACGGCATACCAATCTGGATTACGGCCTTCTCTCGTGCAGCACGCGGCGGAAATGGATAACCACCATCCCGTGTGCTCTTCCCCCACCGGTGCAAGTGCAGCCACCGGGGCCCCGGCGACCCAGACCTTGATGTCGCGACGGCGCGACTCCCTCCCATCGTCTGTCAAGACAACGGATGCTCGACCGACCAAGCGCACGCCTAATTACATACGCACTACAGCCGCCTCGCCCCAGGTTATTTCGTCCCTGATCGATCAGCTGTCGGCTATATCCATTCCAGCGCATAATCATTTCGAGAACCTCCTCGTCGGCTACGACAACGGCCTCTCCGTATCCGCTGCGCCCAGTGTACGCACCCATTCGGAGAAGAACTCGATCGCAGGACATGATGGAATTTCGGTGGACCATGGCAACTACCACAGTTCAATAAGGGACCAGAACGACCTGTACCCCGACGACGCATGCGAACCGCCTGTCATCCGAACGTCTAAGCCGCCATCCGGCCTGTCGCCCCTTACCGCCCCCAAGAAACCAAGCAAAGCGCATTCGCTCAGCAGTTATATTGGACGCAGCGGCGGCAGCTCGTGCTCCCTACAATCGACCCATTCAAATAGGTCAGGGAGCAGTTTCGGTAACATCAGTGTCGAAGCAGGTGTACCGCGCCAGTCGGTTGGCAGCGCCAGATCGTCCGTCGAGAGCAAGAGGAGCCTGAAGGGGCACAAGAGCTTAATGTACATGAGCTCGCGAGAGCGACTACGACAAAAGGAGACCGAACGGAAGCGCGTGACCGTACACAACCTCGACGATATCCCCACTGGCTCCCCCTCGAAGAAGATTGCGCTCCAACTCTTCCCCTACGAGGACACGATCAGCGAAGAGCCCTCCTCTGCGAAAGAAGAACAACGATCACTGGAGACAGTAGCCGAATCATCGAGATTTGCCCAGCGGCATCCCAGCAGGAATAACAGCCCAAGACGACTACGTATGAACCTAGTTGATGCTCATCATCTCGAAAGCCCATCAGACAGCGGACTCATCCCCGAGCGCGGGTCATCCCTGAAGCACACAGGCAGCCCCGCGCGCAAGAGCAAGAAGCGCCGACCGGGGGAGAAGAGCCGTCCAAAGTCTCAGAAGACGGATATGGTTCCAGAAGTGGAGAATAAGATGGACCCCGAGGCACAGAGGAAGAAGAATATTTTGGAAGAATTGGAACAAGAAGAGAACGAGGTCGCTCAAAGGATCCGAGAACTCAGAGACCAAAAACTGCGGAGAGATAAGTTAGCCGGAAAGATGCCTGTTGATGCACACGCAGGGGCAACACCACCTAGGGTGCCTCGCGTTTCATCCATTCCTAGTCCCGAGTTGTCGCCCACCTCGACGGTTTCAAGCGTGTCAGAGGACGAAAGGAGGGTGCAGAACTCGACAAAGGCGCATAGGGTGCTTGGAATATCACAAGAAACGGCATTAGCAGCCGAGAAGCTAACGGAAAGGCCGATGGACAGGCCGGCCGAAAAAGCAGAAGGTGACAGGCCTAACCTCTCGGTACCACCACAACCACGCAACCTGCGCCACTCGCGGCACCGAAGTCTGACATTGAATGACGGTGATGAGCTTACCCCACTTCCGATCGATTACACGCTTGCGCTCCAGAGTCTGGACGAGTCTGCGCCGACGCCGACCATACTAGACCCACGGCTGTCAAGATCGCCCGGTGCTGCAAGCATCATCTCGAAAGCAACCAAGTCAAGTAGCGAATCCTCTGTCCCCCAACGAGCAAACTCACTACTGGCCGTCGGCGGGAGATCTGCGCTCGGGCGTCGAGCGGCGACTAGTTCGGTCATCATGGGCAAGTCTTTAAAACACAAGCACTCCTCCAGTGTGACCGAGGATCCAACAAGCAGACTGGCACCACCCTCTCGAGCGGCCAGTGAAGAGCCCATTACTCGACACTGCTCAATGCATGTTGTGTCTCCTCCGCCAGAGTCGCACAGTATGCAATTGCAACGCAAACGCACAAGTAGCAGCAAGAGGTGGTCGCACCCCGATCTGCCGGCCAAGGCAGAGAAAGAGCACAATGACAAGATCGATCGGAAGGAGGAAAAGTCCAGATCGGCCGCAGTGCAAAGTCCACCACACCCGATAATCGAGGAGCGACCTGCAAGTTTAGATTCCATCGACCTGGACGTGCACCAATACCTAGATTCAGCACGTCTCTCACAGAAGATCCGGCATCCACAAACGGGGAGAATTATTTCGTTCTCAGAAGTCGGTGACCCTAACGGCTTTGCTGTTTTTGTCTGTGTTGGTATGGGATTGACTAGATATGTGATGGCATTTTACGATCAGCTCGCTGCGACTCTGAAGCTGCGTTTGATTACACCAGATCGTCCTGGTATTGGAGGCAGCCAAGCTGATCCGAACGGGACGCCTCTCAGCTGGCCTGGTATGTGGATACTTGTCATCCCAAGAGAAATTTTGAGCTAACATCTATCAGATGACGTACTCGTGATATGTCAGTCTTTGAAAATCAGCAAGTTTTCCATGCTTGCGCACTCCGCAGGCGCCGTTTACGCATTGGCAACATCTCTACGAATGCCACAACATATCCGTGGTCGCGTACACCTTCTTGCGCCCTGGATACCGCCATCGCAAATGGCACCCATCGGCATCAGCCAGGATTCACCACCTACCCAGCAACTTCCGCGATCGCAACGCTTCCTTCGCGCTTTACCTCCATCTTTACTCAAGGTGGCAAACTCGACCTTCCTCAGTGCGACAAGCGCCAGCCTTCAGCGTACCGGACCGAAGACCTCGCCCAAGACTAGACGGAAAAGCATGGCCCCTTCACCAGTGCCACCACAGCAACCGTCAACCCGCCCATCACTAAAGGACACCCACCGACATTCGATGATGATGATGGACCAAGTTTTGCCGAATGCAAGCACGCTGACCTTGTCAAACCAAGACCCCAATAGTGAGGAGTCACAACGCATGCAGGAAATGCTCAGTATGGCCGAGCTCGAACGCCAACGCGCCTTTGACGAACGTCTGACTTTCGCCATCTGGGACCGTGCAACCGCAAACGCAAACCCCGCAACCGACCTAATTGTTTGTCTTGAAACCAAGCAAACTATCGGTTTCCGCTACGAAGACATCAATAGGCCCGTTGTCATCCACCACGGATCCAAAGACTCGCGTGTACCAGTCGACAACGTCCGATGGCTCGGCAAGCTCATGCGCAAGTGCGAAGTCCGTATTCTAGAGGGCGAGCAACACGGGCTCATGGCCAGTGCACAGGTCATGGGCAACGTGCTCACAGAGATGGCATCTGATTGGGAAGACTGGACGAGTCTTGCCCAAGGCAAGGGAACGGGCGAACAGCGCGCTGTTTCGAGGAGGAGAACTACGGAGAAGTTGAGAAGCCAAATGAGCTTCACTGGCTGAGCTTGTACACACAACACGATAAGAGCTGCAACTTACCAGCCTGGATGACAATATCTGTTATTGGATGATTTGCGACGGCCTGGATGTTTCGCAACCCTTTGAGAGCAAGCGTATGCGGTCTTCTTTTTGTTCCTTCTTTTTTTTTTTTTTTTGGTGGCGATAACACGACCTGAAATACCCCATACTAATCATCCCGTTGCTTTCTATCTCATTTAATTGCCTAGCTACTTTCTCTGCTTCTTTTTGGTTTCGTTTCTTTGGATACCCATTAGGTCTGGAGCGTTTTTTGCACGGACAGGATACATTTGGCCGGATATATGACGTAGATAGGATGGGGGGATACTAGATGACAAGGAAGTCTTGTGTGATATAAGCGGCTGTAATGAAATCGTTATACATCGCCCATTCGAATTCCACTGACTGCAGTTGTACGACGCATTGATAACGGGAAGCACAATGATGAGACCGTGATCAACCCAATACCGCGTCGATATCCAACTACGCACGCAGCGAAGACATCAGTGACACACGTCATTCTTGATTCCCACTTCAACCAACAGTATACGCGTCACTCCCCTTACCAAAAAGCAAATGCGGCTTCCTTTGCGCCAAGTCCAACACTGTCTGTGCAAACACCGAATTCGCCCACGCAAACCAACTCCGCGTGTACGACTTCCCAGACTGCACATTCACACTCTCATGCACCAGGCCTAAGCTACTCACATTCTTGACCGCAGCAAGACACGTCATAATCTCCTCATCGTCATCCGAAGTCATAGCTTGCACAAGGACAGCCATGGGCCACGCGTTTCGCACACCGACGTGGGGGCCGCCGATACCCGCGAAGTCGGAGCCAGTGAGGTAATATGGGTTACCGTTCTTCTCGAGGATCATCTTACGGGTGTTTTTGTAGATTTTGTTGTTCGCATCTGTGAAGCCGAGAAGAGGTAGAGCGAGTAGAGAAGGCAGATTAGCGTCGTCCATCAAGATGGAAGATCCATAGCCATCGACTTCAAATGCAAAGACCTCGCCATATTTCTTGTGCGTGACTACGCCGTGCTCCCACACACCCTTTTGGATTGTCTCGCCCCACGTCTGGACTTCATTTGCAATGTGTTTCTTTCCTGCCTTCTTGAGGATAGCAGCTGTGCGTAGGAGTTCGACGGCTATCATGGCGTTGGCGGGGATGAAGAAGCCGAGTATTGTGGCGTCGTCGCTGGGGCGGAAGGCAGAGCGGATGAGTCCTGTGCCGCCGTTGAGCGGGTTACCGAGACCGCTTAGGCTGAGTGTTTCGGTGCCGATGTTGGTTTGACGCTGCCATGTGTATTCGTTGCCTTGGTAAGCGCCTGTTTGCTCGTTGAACGTGGGCTTCGACTGCTCCTGGAGCACGCTGAGTAATGTATCGAGCGCGAGAAGCCAGCGTCCATTGATGAACTCGGTCGAGTCGGTGTGGTTGTGGAATTGGTTCGATAGGGAGAGGAAGTGAGCGAGCGAGTCTAATTCGTACTTGCATTCGAAAACGAATGATTGCTCGTAGTTTGGGTGTACGTTGTCGCCATCGCCTTGGAAGGTCGGGTTCAGGCCGCTTGGTGGAGGTGGTTGGAAAGCATTGCAGTACGGCGAGCCAATGACGTACTCTGCCTGTGTGTTGATGGCTCCCAAGATGAGCTGATGTATATCCTTGTCTTTCTTCGCTAGCAGCTGGTATTGTGCTAGTTGGTTTGTAGAGTCACGTAACCACTCGGCATTGATATCGCCTGTGACGATGAAGCTCTGCGCTCCCTTCCACGCCGCTGGATCCCAGTTTCGTTTCGAGGTCTTGTGTTTAACAGTCCCATCGACGTGCCATCGTACGGTCGTGTCTAATGTGTTGGGGAATGCGTTTTCGAAGAGACGAGCGAGGTCCTTGTCGACTATCTTGTCGTTCATGTCATCAATGACCTTTTCGACGAGAGGCGATTCGAAGGTTCGGCAGTACTTGGATGGCCGTTGGAAGGGTAGTTCCATGGGGCCTGTACTGTACGGTGGGCTGTCGGATGCATCAGCATGTGCCGCTTCTTGTGTGTGAATTTACATACTGTGGTCGCATCGCATAGTTCTTGTAGTCTGGACATGCTGCTTTGTACTTGAGCGGATCGATGGGAGGTCGTAGAGGCTCTTGCTCTCCGGCGTTATTTAGTCCCGCGGAGACGGATGAGAGGGTGAACAGAGCCCCTAGGGACAGAGATGCTATTGAAGACCTCATAGTCTATAAGAGAAGTCCAGACTGTCAACGTGAGGACTTGGAGCTCCCGCAAGTAGGGTCAGATTCAGTCGCGCGACGGTTATCGGGGATGGAGGAATATGAAAGTTGACAACACCAAGGGGAACGCGTTCAGCCAAAGACGTTACGCATGACTATACATAAACGCGACTCAATATCCGCATCATCGAAAGCCAGATGAAAGGATGACGAGGTTCAATTGCAGTTTAGATTGATGAGCTTCCTACCGACAGGCCGGCTTTCATGGGGACAGCACCCCACCACCTCCGCCAATAGGCTCGCGTTAAGTCCGCAGGGCTCGAGCTTCAGCTCCAGCGCTTCCTGCATGCGATTGCTGCTCGAGCGCGGTCTCTCATACCAATCACGTCGCCGCTGCGACTTCACCATTCCGACACTATCGACTGACCTGCGCCGCTGACTCTCATAGTTCTAGGTGCGCAATACGCGACGATATTGAACATGATTTCTCTACCAGGCCTCAACTTGTCCTCGCAGCCCGCCGAAGCCCAAAATGGTCCTACCTCGACGGCCACACGAACCCAAGACCTTGCTGCCAACACCGAATATCGCTTCGAGGTATCCTTCTCCCGAACACTCACAATTAAGCTGCAATCGGGAACCGCAGAGTTTTTCGGTACCGAGCTGGCCCCGTCCACCACGTATACCTTCCAGGGCACCAAGGGCGCCATCTTCACATGGCACGGCTGCAAGCTCGATATCGGCGGTGAAGTTGAGTCGGATTATGTCGCTGAAGAAACACCCATGCTGAGCTGTGCGAACCTACACTTTGCGCTAGAAAATCTGCGCGACAAGAGCATCGCCAGCGGCAGCGTCGAGATGGGCCCCAGAGTACTCGTCGTAGGGCCTGAGAATTCGGGCAAGACTTCGCTCGTCAAAACCCTCACGTCCTACGCGGTCAAGACGAGCAGGCAGCCAATGGTCATAAACCTGGATCCGCGCCAGGGTATGCTCAGCGTGCCCGGCTCCTTCTCAGCAGCTGTGTACTCGTCCATCGTAGACATTGAAGAGGGCTGGGGTAGCAGTCCAATCTCAGGGCCCAGCCCTATCCCGGTGAAGATGCCGCTGGTATATCACTACGGTCTCAAGGACCCAGAGGAGGGCAAGGTGTTCAAGCCGTTGGTGACACGCATGGCACTTGCTGTTACAAGTAGATTGGAGGAGGACAAGCTCAGCAAGCAGGCTGGCTTCATCATTGATAGCTCAGGCGCCATCAGCCAAGGGAGAAATGGCGTCTACGACAACATAGAACATATCGTTTCTGAGTTCTCTAGTACGTGTGATGTCTTGAATACTATTTCTGCCTTTTTCCCTTCCACCATCGCCCATGTCCACACATACACAGCGTCCAACACCCAATGTCCTGGACGACAGGCAATCCATTGTATGTATAAACACATTCAGGTCATTCGACTAACACCGCCCCTAGTCAACGTCCTCATAACCCTTGGCTCCGAACGTCTCTACTCCGATCTTTCTCGCAAATTCTCAACCCGCACCAGCGGCGATCCCTCTGAATCCGTCTTCGTAATCCGTATCGACAAGTCCGGCGGCTGCGTGGACCGCAGCGAAGAATACATGAAAACCCTGCGTCACTCCCAAATCAAAGAATACTTCTTCGGAAAAGGCGAAGAAACACTCGCTCCTAGCAGCCAGATGGCCGATGCTGCCGACCTCAACATTTTCCGCGTCATCGAAGGAGACGTCAACGGCGGCGTGGACGAATACGGCATGACTGTCGAGCGACAAATCTTTGAAAAAGTGATACCGTCTGAGGCAATGCAGAATCAGCTACTGGCAATCACTACAGCGAGTCCGAATGATCCGCAGGCTGTTATCCGCGACAGCAGTATCAAGGGGTACATTTACGTCGCCGACGTAGATGAGGCGAAGAAGAAGGTGAAGCTCCTCAGCCCACTACCAGGAGCAACGCCAGGGAATGCCATGATCTTGGGCAATTGGCCGGAAACTGTGGAGGGGCTAGTTAACTAGGGGGGTCATCACCTGGATTTAACAGTATGAAAGGAAAGAAGCGAGAAGATCGAGGGATGATACATTGGCACTGGGGGCGTTTATGAAGAGGACGAGAGGTAGGATTAGGAGTCTATAACACAAGTTTCAAGTAATAGAAAACTCTCAAAAAAAAACCTATTTAGCGGTCAAGATTGCTTGTCTGCTTCGAAACCTGCTCAAAATCCGTACTCGTAGGTCCATGAAGGATGCTCTCTCCTACATCATATCTAGAATTTGCGACGGTATTAGAGAGTTGTGCCCTAAATGTTGAAACCTATTTTAAAGGTATAGACCGGTACTTTTTCTCGTGTTACTTCTCCATCCCACGTGCGTAAGCAAACGTCCAACTAAAATTTAACTAGCAAGAATTGGGTATCCATAGCGGGCTGATTGGCCACCATCCCGCAGCAGATAGTTCAACTTATGCTTCCTAAGTTCTTTCATAATGTTATCAGCGGATGAAAAGCCCGATCACGCTACTTCACTCCTCTCCACCCTGTCATCTCTTGACGTCTGTCTACCACTTCCGTCCACGCCCAATTCATCGCGATATTCTGGAAGTTTTCTCAGATGAACGGGCGATGAATAACAGAAGACCTCTCACCTATCACAGCTTGAACCCGTGGTCTAAGGAGCTTCGGCTTTTGCACTTTGCCCCTAGTTTACAGGGCTCGATTTGCTCTGCATCGACGCCGTGAGTATCTCGAGGTTCCCACACCGTGCACCGAACTGTGGCGGAGGGACCATTATCCTGCCCGTGGCAATCATTTTTCAAGTTCCAGGCTGCACCCGACCTGTGTCAAGTGCCCAATAATTCCACTACATTTCCTCATCCCGCTCTTGCATCTCCTCTCTTTCTGCCACCTCAGTCATCCGCTCCCTAACGCTCCCATCGCGATTCCAAACCTTCCACCCCATGTGTGGTTTAATCGCGTTAGCTCCTGGTTTTGGTGGCCGAGTGACAAATGGATTCTCAGCGTCGTCGTCGCCATACAAAAAAGCATCCACTTCCTCATCCACAAGTTGTGAGTCCTGGCGAGACAGTGGTGCCACAACCGTAAAACTTGGTTTGCTAACATTGATTTCGCGATTGTAATACTCTCGTAGTTGTCGGAAGAGCCATGGCCATCCACATCCTGGACGCATGCGCTGGAAACAATCATAGAATGTAACGTGCTGTAAGTTTGGCGATGTCGTAAGCATGTTGCAGAGGTCTTGCTCCGACAACTTTACATTCCGCAGAGTGAGACTCCGCAGACGCGATCTCATAGTCTCAGGGATGGGATTGAATCGCAGAAAGAAGCGCCACGTCCGGCCTGATCTACTGTCGTTGAAGCCGAGGTCGAGATGCTCGAGATACTGTAGTTCTGCCAGTAAGGACTTGAGATTGGTCAAGCTTTCTGGATTCATGATATAGTCGTTTGGAGGAGTGACAATTAGTTTAAGGTGCTTCAGGGGTGTCCGTTGGAACATTTGTTTCGTGATTTGGTAGTTGCGTGAAGTTTCGACAAGGAAGCAGTGGTGATAGCAATTCGCTTGGTGTTCGGATTCGATAACGAACTCCTCGATCTGTGGGTTTGGCATGGTGAGTACAGCTGAAACCACAACGCCATAACTCCTGTGTTCTCCTGGCAGGAGAACTCCGTCCTTGGTGAGCTTGGCATTACGAGAGCGCCACTGATTCAGTATAGTCTCTGATTCCTCCCGAGGTCGAAGCCATGGCCAGACAGCTGGTTTGCGGAAACCTAGAGGCAACGAACGATGATAGGGCGTGCTGTATCGAGGTAAGATGTTCCACGCGGGCCAAACATCGGTCGTGAGGGTAACTCTCCTTACGTTTGGAAAGCCAGCTAGCGCTTGATGTAGTGCCGCTGCGTCGATTTGCTGTTCCACAAGCTCCTGTTCTTGACGATATAGCTCCTGGTATAGCACATAGCTGTCTTCAATGCTCATCATTGTGGCATTCCTAGCAAGGATGTCTCTTGAGAACTGATCGTCATATCGCAGAAGAATTCCCTTCGCAACCTCAGTTAGTCGACCATCTTGTAGTAGGTCTTCCATCTCCAATGACCGGTACTCAGGGTTCTCATCACCATAAATCTCCATGGCTTCCTCAAGTCGGCTTTCGATGGCCCTAGTAGTCTCTCTTTCGTCGGCAACAATTGCGGCGCGAAACTCCTTCAAGGTTGAATACTCGTTGAGCAGAGCATCGTCCCAGACAATCTCGCGCACACGACCTCTGTATGTAGGATGGGCCTGAATCTGATGCAAATAGTCCAGATTAGCTCGATTAGGCGAGACATAAATGCGATCTATGCGCAGATACACGCTCGACGCCAAATGCTTGCTCGCGAGCCGCAATCGCTTGATGTCGAGCTTAGAGATATGTTCGCATACGATTTCGAGAAGCTCTGTTGGCAAGTCTGTGATGGTCTTCTTGTTCTGAGCCCCACTCCCAAAGGCTTCGGGGAACTCATCGCCGAACAGCCCTTCCATAAAGCTCATCGATGGCACATTGCTAGCACTCACTGCCGACACAGTCGAAACTCTGCGCTTTGTGACGCCAGCGCGGATGGATAAGCTAGGCTTGCGGCGTCGAGTCTTGGCAGGTGCAGGTCGTATCTGGAGATTTGCGAACATCGCATTGATATCTACCCAAGATGGTAGGCGGTGTCTGGAAGGACTTAGACACAGGCGGATATTGTTGTTGTTGACTCGTTGTGATGATAGGCGAGGTTGTTGTGGTCGTCTGCTACGTTGCGCGTATAATGTCCGAACCTGGACCAAATATGTAGACTTTTGAAGTTGTATGTCAAGAAGTAAATATAATCATACGAGGAAGAAAGACGGGTTAGTGATGCTCAAATTACGGTGTCGAAAGACAAAGGTTTATGCTAAGGGTAGTGAAGCGCCAGCGCTTGCAGCGCTACCAATGCATGGCTACCTGCTATCCGATTTGAGCGCAGCTGAGCGGGCGCTATGGGCGTTTTTTTCGCGTTGCGCATGCTGTTGTGCTAGATGCGGCACATGCTTGAACAATTCCATCAGGCAGACGCTGTTCATAGGCCATGTGTGAAGTCATTTCCATCCGCGGAAGCCGCAACGTGCCTTCGCTTATGGGCAGCGTGGTGGAGAGCTCCAGCTGCCCGCAGTGGGTCCCGCCCCAATCGACGTCAAAAGCTTTACAACAACATCACAGCAAGATCCGAGAAAGGGATTCACGATAACCAGGTCTTCTCATTATACCAGGTGCTTTCCAGCAACCCAAAACAGTGCCCGAGAGAGCATACATAAGCAGATGCTGCCTTTCCAGCAAGCATCTTGCAAACGGTTCCACGACGCATATCCACCGCTCGATAGCCCCAGCCAGTAGACCGCCTACCTTTACAGGCATACAGCATACCAGTCATGCCACCGCAGCAGACGCGCTCGCTCTTCCCATATCGATATGAAAATTGACCAGCACCCGAGTGCATATCCATACCCCGCACATACCGATGCCGAAGCACGGAAGTATGACTGAGGCTGTGTGTAGAAGTCGAAGTTAGGGAAGGGGCGAGTCGTTCATTTAGGAACCCTCCTCGCCCTCAGCCTTGTTCTTCTTCTTCTTCTTGCTTGAGCCGAAGTCGTTCTTTACTGTCGGGACGGCCGACTGGTGGACGATAAAGCGGGTGTAGCACTCCTCTGGGTCCCATTCAAAGCCCATTAGGTATGGCTTCTCGAACTCGTCGTCTGCCTATGGGAAAGGGTCAGCTATGCTCTTCCACACTAGCCGTAAATGACAAGGGGTATCAGAGTATCAACAGCGATGCCCGAGGGTAAGATGCAATGATCAGGAATACTTACGCGCTTCTTGAACTGCTTGTGGATGGCATCTAGTGCATCCTTGATAGTGACACCCTTCATGTTCCGTGCGGTGACTTCTAGGCCTAGCGGGAAGTGCAGGGCGATGGACTTGAGCTTGGGCTCGGTGAGTGGCATCTTCAAGACTGATGGGTCTTCGACAGTGGTCGGTGACTTGTTCAGCTTCCTGGAGGTATTGCGTTAGCATGATGCAAAGTATCGGAGCTGACCGGAGCTATCCGGACGACGATGAGCGGGTCGACACCGCTGTTGGATGATTCGCATCAATGAACCAGTGAGAATCACTTACCAATTCAGCTTCTGGGTTTCGATTGCGATCTCGATCTTCTTGCCTTCCTTCTCTGTGGTGCTGTCAGCCCGCCTGCCCCTCACGCACGACCCCTCATCTGGGCCATCATCACAGGAGGTACTCACCTAGATCCTCGATCCGGTAGACATCAGCAGCCATGGAGCTGACTCTGCGGTGGCCCTTCTTAGCGGCGCCATCCTGGTGGTCGGTCAAAGAGTCGACCTTCTGGAGAGTGTTTTCTGTCTCTGCGGCCATTGTGGTGGTATACAGTTGCAGCTGAGCTACTGAAAGATTGGGAAGAGTTTCAGATGATGAAAGAGCTTGGGAAGCTGTATAGGGATTGCTTAGAGCTATGGGAAAGATGTGAGATGTTGAGGCACAGTGGAGGCTGGGAGGAAGAGCAAGAAAGGGAGGAGGATGCAGCTTATGAGGGGTTCAGTCTGTCGCCGGCAGGCACAGGAGACGGTCACTTGATCGATCACCACATTGTGGTCCAATCGAACCGGCGTGAGACGTGAATGGTCGAGCCAATGCGGGGAAGGGGAGCATCGCCCAGAATGCGGGGAAGGAACAAGATGCCAACGGGGAAAGCATGCGTGTACACCAGGTAGCATTAGTTCACAGCATGGGATAGAATTTGAAAGCTAGCAATTGAGCCTCTTTATTTACATTTCGCTCGCTTCAGCTATCTGTCGTCGTTGTGCGGTTGTTCCGGAAGATCAGGTACGGTGGTGAGATAGATCGCGTGACCGACGTCATTGCGCTCGGCGACTTCAACAAAGCGCGCATCGACGCGTATCAGCTCAGCTCCAGGCCCTAATGCGGACCGAGTGTATCAGAGGTCCACTTGATTGCTGCAAGGGCTCATGGTCCACGCGGAGATGCATGTAAGCATCCTACTGGACTATCCGCCTTTCGTAAGACAACCTGAGGCTACATACATGAGGCGCATGCCGCATTCAACGTTGAACTTCAGAACTACTCATTCAGAAAAGCAATATAGAGAATTTCGGTAATTCGGTATATTCTATAATGGCGCGCATCCATGTCTTGCTAGTCAATCACGCGCACCTATCTAGAGGTCATCGCGTGACTTCTCTACGAATGTCCAACAATCCTGACGGGCTCGTACAGCTCTTCAAGATACTGCTCCTCTTCCTCAGTCAATTGCTTACCTCTTGCTGCAAGCGCTTCATCCATCCTCTCTGTACTGGAGAAACCAATAATGGGACTCGCAACACGCTTGTTGATCCATGCGAGCGCAACATGGCTCATCTTCCAATCGTGCTTCTTCGCGATCTCTTCGACACGGCCGATGATCTTCTTGTCACGCTCATTGTTACCAGATGTCTGGTTGCCAGCTTTCTGTTCACCTTCTGAACGGGTGGTCGAGCCAAATGCGGAAGGAGGCCGAGCAAGATGGCCACGACATAGCGGTGCCCACTATCGGTTGTTAGCAAAGGGATGACTCTGTACTTGAAACTGAAGCATACCGGAATAAGACCAACACCAGTGTCGTTGCAGAACCGATTCATTTCACGCTCTTCCTCGCGGTACAGTAGGTTGTAGTGGTTTTGCATGCTGATGAACTTGGTCCAGCCATTCCTCTCAGCAGTAAATTGCATTTGCGCAAATTGTACCGCCCACATGGAGCTGGCACCGATGTATCGCACTTTCCCACTCTTGACTAGATCGTGCAGCGCTTCCATGGTCTCCTCAAGAGGTGTGTTTGGATCGAAGCGGTGAATCTGCAGAAGATCGATATACTCCAGATCGAGACGCTTGAGCGACGCATTAACGGCGTTGAAGATTGCTTGTCGGGAGAGACCACCTTGGTTGACGTAGTCTTTCAACTGAGGCAACTCCTTGCCGTACTGGATGGTGCGCAGACCTGGATCTTCACCAACGTAACCGAAGCACTTTGTGAGGATGACGAGCTTCTCGCGAGGCAGGTTGTACTTTTTGATTGCTTTACCGACAAGTTCCTCAGAGACGCCGTTGGAGTAAACATTGGCTTTGCGAGATATTAGTGAGCTATCAAAAATTGGCATGCAGCCTATCAAACATACCAGTATCCCAGGTCGTTAGACCGCGATCGTACGCAGCCTTCAGCAATGGTAGCGACTCTTCCTCCTCGATAACCCAGGGTTGCCACTTGGAGCTACCAATGCTCATAGCACCCAAGATGGGTACTGATACTTTCAGGCCGCTCTTTCCAAGGCGCTTATATTCAGCCTTGGACTCCTGGAGGAGACCTTCTACATCGAGCTTGTCCGGCATGATCGCAAATCAGTGGATCGTTTGCGAATTGATGTTTAGTGGGGTCCTTGGGGTTCGCAAGGCTGTGGTGGGGCGAGCAACTGAGAGGCGTGAATGAATCACCCATTTCTAGGGCAGCACCCTACTCATATACTCTGCAACGACGGCAGTTTCTCCGTGCCTGCACTACATGCTTGCCAATCGAGAGTATAATGAGCCGTCAAGGTCGGGCTTTACGGCGATAGCTTCATCATTATCCCGGTGGTAGATACTGCAACGAGCCACGATGCGGGGTTTAGGCACGAAGAGCCGCCGTGTACGTCATGTGGAAATATCATATCCGCGGACTGTACAATCGCCAAAATGAGGAAAGATATGCTTGTTAGTACATGGGTATCAAGGGGTGATGCGGAACGATCATCACGCCCATTATTCAGTCCCGTGTGTGGGGCATGTTGTTAGTAAAAGCAAAGCCATGGAAAGAGGCTGAGGGTCTTGAAACGAGGACTCATCACAGAACCGAATCGTCAACAAGTGCATGATGAAACCAAAGCTCGCCGTAGTGTTGAAGTAAGTTCAGATCATTCATGTCTCTTGGCAAGTACTGATCTTATTGACTTCTCATCACCTCACACTTCATCGTGAATGTGTCGGCGCGATTCCATCAAGTCATGGTGGTATTGTTTGAACATCGTTTTTGATCTTAGACCCCCAGGCGCCAACCGCATATGATGCAGAGAAGTTCATAGATGCTCATTGCCCGTAAAGAAACCCGTACTCCCCAGAACCGTTTACGCGTCCTCGACGATGTTACCGCGCTCCGACACGTACAGACCGTCCAAGAACTTTCGGATATCCTTGTTGCGGACCTTGCAGATTTGCTGGATATCGGCGGCACCTTGGGAGACGTCCTCGAGCGACTGAGTGATGTTAGCATTGCTTGGCTTAGTTGTTGTGCCGCGGTCCTTACGTTTCCGGACAGCTCGAGCTGATCCTTCTGGTTCTTTGATGCCTCAACCTCAACACCGGGCCTCATGACGACCCTTCGTACGAGCTTCTCGCCAATGAAGTTCCTGATCTCAACCTCCCAGCAGTCGGTCTCCTTGTTCTTGTCTAGGTTGACGTTGATGGGGAAACTAGGTGTGATGTTAGTCGTGTCCGACCCTGTGTATTACCCTCGCCTTGAGCATAAACCATTCTAGCGCTCCCAGCATCTCACGTCTGAGCCAGGAGTCCTGGTTTGACCCTTTGAAGACATTGAAAAATCGTGTCGGACGGAATATGCTCTGCGGCGGGTTCTGAAAGAGTGTGCGGCTGGTGCAACATACTGGGCATATACGTAACGCATCTTGTACTTGTAACCCTTGGTGACACCGATGATCAAGTTGTTCTACTTCCAGTCAGCCCAGTCCTTCCTTGTTTGCCAGTGTAGAGAATTGAGGATGTGCGCGACGTACGATCAGAGTGCGGACAGTTCGGAGGGTAGCGACGCTCTTGCGGGAGCCGTGGTGGAGCTCGATCTTGATGACATCCTTCCTGGGGTGCGTGAAGCTGACCGCCAAGTGACCGAGAGACTTTGTGAGTTTTCCCTAGCGAGTGTAAGAATCGGTTCGGTATCGTTGAGGCTATCGCGATTGGCTTACTCGGGGACCTGTTGGAGATGTCAGTGTTATATTCCCAAGGGTCTTCTACCGTGCGCACTCACCCTCAACAAGAACATTCCTGTTCTTGATGGCGACCTTGACGCCCTCGGGGATGGCGAGCTCTTCCTCAGAGTGGCTGTTGCGCAATTGTTAGCAATAGTCCCGGATTTTGATTATCGGCGGTGGAATTTGATATCGAGGCGCCCATTGACCGTTCGGAAGCGGGAAAATCGTGCGATGCGGCAATTTGAGAGTCGTGTGATCGAGGGATAAACGTACATGTACTTCATCTTGACGGTTGCTGCGGGTTAGCGGTGTTGTCGAGAAGCTGAGGTCGAATTGTCGAAATTGTGTGGGAGGCAGCGGAACAAAACGATAGCCGAGCCACTGGTCTAGCCCGCTTTTGTGCGCGCTAGTGCCGCCGTCTTCCTCGTCATGTCCAAGAACACCAACTTCATCCTTTCCGAGGAGTCAGGGTTTTAGCCACTGTGCATCTCACCGAGGCTTACCGAAGTCCTGAAATAACCCTAGACGACGATCTTACAAACAGAATGGCGGACGTTAACCCACACATTGCACAAACCCTGCTGCATCGCGCCTTCTCTCCTTCGACTGCAGAATCACACTACCACGAGCGCGTCCTGAAGCGGCCTCTCCACATTCGCGCAACCTCCCCTACATCTTCTGCACGTGCAGTCCGCCGCCGCGCCATCAATGAACGCAAGGAGACTGCACGGAAGCGCAGCAAGAACAAGCCGCGTCCGTTATCCGCTGCGAAAAAGCGTGCACTCTGTCTTAACGAGATCCCCAAAGAGCAACAGAAGTACGCAATCTATGAAGGACTACACAAATTGTGGGTTGGCTATATGAGGGAAGTGCTAGGGTTGAACGATGCTGCGAGGAGCGTCCTTGTCACGCCCAATGCGAGTGGACAACTGCTTGCGACTGCCGACATGCACGGTGCGCTCGTGACTGTGGTAAGGAGCCGATGCGTGAGTCGCGTAGGCTTGGAGGGCATCATTGTTCGTGACACGAGGTTTACTTTCGAGATCATCACCAAGAACAACACTGTGAAATGTAAGTCTAATGGGTCGGGCTCAGGTAAGTGGTAAGTATCTAACAAGCTCAGCTATCCCAAAGGAGCACACCATCCTCCGGTTCGAGGTACCGCTTCCTGACGAAAATGGAACGATGGCCACGAAGCCACTCGTACTTGAGCTCAACGCCGAGCAGTTTCAGACAAGAGCGGCTGATCGCGCAAATAAGAAGTTCAGGATGCACTATCAGCCCGACATATGAACAAGGAGACACGTCATCTATTTTTCGAACACTCCAAGGCCTGTGTGGAGAACAAACACCCGGCCTATGACCCTATAGACCTCATGGGTCGGTCCACAGCGACGCCGACCATGAAAATCCGATACAACTCGAAGCTCGAACAATTGACAAGACGGGCTCTGCACAAAAGCACGTCGTATTGTGCGAGACGTGTCTAGGGACAGAGGACCATTTTGGTGCGGAGAAGGACTAGGATGAAAGCGCGAGTCGACTTACAAAGAGATCTCTACCGCTTACGAACACGCACGGGTCAAAAGACTCAGCTGAAGTATGCATGCAACTGTATCATTGAGTATGGTATCATCCCAATAAAGCCACCAAACGCCATCCCGCTAAATGCAATGGTATCATGAACAAATGGTCTTTTCCTCCTCGTCCAAATTTCTACACAGTCGTCGCCGCCCTTTCAGATTGGAAGTCCTCAGGCTTAAAGTCTCTCAACCCAGTGTCCTGTGCACCGTTTCCCCCGTTCATCGAGCTGATCTCATCCTTCTCTTTGACAGCCCTGCCTTTATCCAATTTGCACCCCGTATAGCTTCTAGGTAAATAACGACCTGGATGCCACACAGCAAACACGACCAGCACAGCAAGTACTGGCGCGGCGTCGAAGACCCAAAAGCACCATTCGTGGCTCTGCAGATACAGCAGCCCGTAGTTGCGATCATGTGGTATCTCGATAGTGCGGTACAAGGCTCGTATGGCGATGAGAACCGAGGAGAGGTTTATCGTATACCCCAACTTCCGCCAGAGATGCAGATCCCCCAAGTCATGTGCAGCCCAGCGCCGGCTAATGTAAAAGTATCGCATGCTGATGATGGAGAAGCTGACGAAACACAGCACCTGCAATACTAACCCTAGGATGAGGATAATACGACCAGGTAGCGCTTTCCGTTCCGACGAGGCAATAGACCGGTTTCCTTGCACGTCTTCGTCGTACTGTCGGCTGATTTGACTGGCACCCACGAGTTGAATGATGAAGCTGAAGAGATCGAAGGACACAAAGGTGGCGGTGATATATCTGGGGAAGCACCACAACGTTTTGAAGTTGAGTGCGTGGGTTGGGCAGGAAAACCATACTACGCGGCTGAATGCAGTGTAACATGCTGCAGCGAGGAAACTGGGCGCCAGCAGAATCATGAGCCAGGATGCGAGAAAAGGCGACTCTTCGTGCTCGTCATAGGCGGATACTAGGCGGCATATGAAACCCAGGTCGAGCATGACGATTGCAATAATGGCTGCCCAGAAGAAGTACGCTTTTAAGCGGATGTACTGGTAGAGAGAGTATGCGGAGAGCAGCAGTACGACAATTGTCCCTGTTATGGCGAGAGGGTAAGAAGGGTCGTAGATGTAAGGATTGAGGAAGTTTTGCGCTGTCATAGCAGTCAGCAACCATGTTGTGCTATGTTGTTAGTAGGGAAAACTAGAGACGAACATACCATGTTGAGCCCGATTCGGCAACCCCATGATTGATCGCGTTTCTACGACGGCGGTCGTAAATTGCATCCTAGCAGACATGTCCCGCTCCGCTCTGTGGTCCACCTCTTTTTAATTCCCGACCCTAAATCGTTCGTCGATCACAGCAGCCCGCAGCAGTGGCAATATTCGCTCTTTCGCAATGCCGAAGCCTTGTCACTCATATCCCAGTCGCACTTGTAATCGCAGCACCACAACGTTGTTGTAAAGCAGCACCCTCGTCGTATAGGCGCATAGTCGAGTGATCCAGGCAAAGAACCAGCGGGAAAAGGCGAACTCAGATAACAAAAGCCCGGCGGCAGTAACGCACGTTTTACCCAGTGAAAGCCCGCCTGCGTTCTCCGCTTGCTAAGAGCACTCAAGGCTCTTGGCAGTCCCTTGCCCTTTCCACTCCGCACACGCACTTGTAGCAATCAACCTTTATTGCGCGTCCCCTTTTCTTACCATCATCTCCCACGCCTTCAGTGCGTCTCACGTGTGTTGGCTAGGTAGAGCCGGGGTAACTTGCGACAGATACGTCCCTTATGCGAGACAGGAACGGGTAATTCGGTACACAACGCCATGCAAGCCGTATGTGCAGTCAATGTTTTACCTGCATGTGCGTATCTGCCTTTGACACATGTAATACAGCTCGTAGGTACACGTCCAATTTTCACTCTTTCGATGCTTGTGTGAGGACCGCGTCACGAATCCGCGCACATGATCCGGCGGCGTGGCCTTGGCAAACCAACGAAAGCCATGGCATGTGTCTCTGCCAAGATGTTGGCAACGAGCTCGATCGCCGAAGTATCCGCATCTCGGAAGTTTGCGTCTTACCATAGTGTAGGGCGTGCGCTGGGCGTGGTGTTGAACTGTCGTCCAAGTGTCTTCGCGATGTTTAGTCGTTGCCCGCCAAGCGCTGCCCCAGACGCAGGTGTAAGCCATGGCATTGCTACGTTGCGCGATATTATTGTCGGATAGTTCGGCCTTGGAGCTGTATGCCTTGGTTGTTCGTTGCGATGTTATCCTTGCTACTAGTCATGAAGGACGTTGGTCTGAAACTGAGGCGTACGAGTGTGGCGCAGGTGCTTGTCAAACATAGCGGGCAAGCGCATCCCCACGGTCTTCCAAAGCGGAAGAAGGCACATCCTTTTGTGATGATCGCTACTCTTCAAACACTGAAAATGCACTATATTTGTAGTGTAGATGAACTGAGATGTTTTGTACCTTTTTCGCTAAATGAGAGATAAGATCCGCATCTACGGCAAATCTTACTACGTTTGGAAATTCATCGCGACTTTGTCCTTTGAGACCATACTTTCCAAACCAAACACTGTCAATCTTGCATCGCACCAAGCGGCTCGGCACAGATCTGACCACTGTATCTCGAACTACCGTTTCATCACATCTCTGCCACGAAAATATACCGGCTTGTCCTCTATCCACTCATTCACTCGTCATCAAATTCGTCATCGGAAGCATCCTTATCCGCACTCGCTTTGTTCTCACCATTGATCTCAACCTCTTCTTCCTCGTCATCGTCAAGACCCATGCCCTTCTTCAACCATCGCACTTCCTTGGGCTTTCTCTCCATCCATAGCTCATTCGGAATCCAAGTATAGAAGCTGCACATGGTCTCCTTGATGTCGTCGAGGATGGCGAGACCACCGGAAAGGAGTAGGATGTTGGCATGCATCTTCAAGCCCACGAAACAGTCCTTAAGAACGCTCTCCTCGATCCAGAACTCGTACTCTTTGCCATCACCAGCTTTCCGTGGCTTGCCGTTGAGGTACTTGTTCTTGTCCTTGGGTAGGTCGTAGTCGTCGCAGTCGTCCGTATACCAAGTCTTGCAGACAAGCTTGCCGAGAGGTTCCAGCTGTCTGAGCTTATGTTTGAAGACCTTGCTCTGCTCTGCATAGGCAGTCCTGATATCATCATTGGGGAGGCTAATGGCAGTGACCTCAAGATAAGCAGTCTCCTTGCTGAGGACCTTCAAGTCTCTAGACTCAAACATGTCATACTGCGCGTCTGAGCCCAGCACGGCAATGCCGGTGCCGAATTTGATCCTGGCTTCTTCATCTTGGATACCGATCTCGGTAACGGCCAGGCCGTCCTTCTTCAGGTCTTCAGCCCACAACTTGTTGCCAATATACATGCCAGCCTGAGCACCACCGAAGACGACGCTGGCAGACTTGTTGAAGTCTCCGGGTAGAGCAAGACCTACGGAGTTGACTCTGGGAAGCTCCCTCTCAGCCTGGTCGCAGATTTGAAGTGCAGTGGCAAGCTGATCGTCGAATTCGGGACAGACACGGTGGAAGCGAAGATACCCGAGGAAGGAGCGGGGGACTTGACAAGCGTTCTTGACAGCGTGCGACGCATAGCCATAGTGGGCAGGGTACCAAGACGATCTGTTGTAGTCAGTATCGTGTTTGTGAAGTAGAGGGAGAGTTGGACTCACAGGAACGCTTTGCAGACAGCTACGAAGTCTACGACCCACTTGTTCTCATCAGAGCGGTTCCAGGGCACGTTGTGGATGGCGAGAGCCCTTGCCAGCTCCTCCGGACCCATCTCGTTCATTTCGTGCTTGGAGAGTCCTTGGTACATGCGAGGGCCGGATTCTACTCCACCGAATCGCATGAGCTTGTTGAAGACATGTGCATACATCTCATGCATGCGACGCTTTTGCTTGAAGCGCTGGATAGCGATCTCAATGCGCTCGACAAATGACTTGGTAAGAGCGTACATCTCTTCTTCTTCTGCAGCTTCAGCAGGGGTGAGAACAGGCTCCACGTAAGCCTTCTCAAACCCAGTAGCTTTGAGCATATTCTTAGACACTTCTTCGGGGTGCTTCGTCTTCGTCTGGGGGAGTAGTGGTACTGGATACTGAGCTGGTCGCTGGGCTTTGGCCCTTCGAGAACCTGGGGCGTAGGCGATATCATTGTCATCTTCAGCATCGAAGTAGTCTGGATCAAGGATGTTCTTTCCGGTCAGAGGTACCTTGCGCTTGATAGTCTTTCCGTCAGCAGAGACTTCCAGGAAGGCGCTCAAGCGGAGAGCTGCAGTAACGAGGGTCTTGGGCTTGTAGTGTCGCATCTTCTGAAAACCGCGGATGCGACTGATTGAGACAGGAAGGTTCTCACGCCCACCACAGCATTGTAGTAAATGTCTGTCTGTAGGAAGGTTTTCATCAGAGAAGTAGAACTCTACCTTGAAGGTTGATTAGTATGACTGCATGAATTACTGGGAGGCTGGGAACTGGGAGACATACTTGACGACGGATCTCTGCGCCATCTGGATGGTCTTCGATGGTAGAAGTGCCAGTGATCTTACTAGAGGCTGCATTAGGAGATCCTGGATCTACTATTGGCGCCATAATCGCGGTCACCATATCTGCTGCTCTCTGTACTGAGTATTGGGGGTTGGGAAAGGGATGCGCTGAGAGAGGATTGAGAGGTATAAGCAGTGATATATAAGAGATTGGGCGTAGGAAGTCGACGCCCTAGTGAGGCGGCAACAAGCGGCCGGGGTGCTTCGCGGGTAACTGCGTTTGCATCTTGGGTAAGAGAGCGCGATTATCCAAGACTGGTAGTGACGACTCTCGACCTCAGATATCCTGTGCTCTTAAACGCCCTAACGGTGAGTTCATCGGCAAGGTGTGGATTGTGGTAAGCCACGCTGTAGACCATATTTGTTGGGCCATTGGCAATGAGATGTGCATTTTGATTACGTTGGTATTGGGTCTTCTGAGTCGAAGTTGATAGCAGTAAAATGGAAATGGCATAACGAAGAATCGTACATCCGTGTTAATCATTTGTACTGGGTTCACACGAATCACAGTACACTGGATGACGGCATTCGCTGACTCGCGAAGGACCCTGGAACACATGTCGTGGGGCCTCCAGCCTGCACACCATGTATCTTCCACCTAAACACTAACCACGCGTCCAAGCACGTTGATATCCTAACCAAACTCCTTGTACAAATCAAGCATCATGGCAACCAAGGTCTATGACGCGTCTAATTTGAAAGCATACGGCAGTGCTGCTGCTGGCCAGTAAGTGCCCCACTGCCGCCTGTCAGCCTCGTCTTCCATACTAACTCAACACCCCAGCGATGGTGTTCTCAGCGATGATTCCGGTGGTGTAGTAGTAAAGCCCTGCACTCTCGCCGAGATCACCTTTTACGAATCCCTCACCGACCACCCAGACCTCGCGCGTCATCTCCCCACCTTCATGGGCCAACTTTCCCTCTCAGCCGACCAAGCCGCCGCCTCAGAATCCGTCGAAAGCGGCACTATACAAACAGCCGATGGCACGATCGAGCGTTTGCACGGCAAGAAACTCGCTACAGATCTTCATATCGTGCTAGAGAACATTACGCATGGATTCAAGAAACCAAATGTTCTGGACCTGAAGCTTGGCGCGCAGCTTTGGGATGAGGCTGCGAAGCCAGAAAAGAGGGCGCGGCTAGATGCCGTGAGTAAGGAGACTACAAGTGGTAGCCTAGGCTTCAGGATAGCAGGTATGCGCACGTACAAGGGCAGTGACGTACCCAACGTTCCCGAGGATCTGAAAGAGTATGTGGAGACGGATAAGGAGGGCGGGTATTGGGTGTACAACAAGATGTATGGACGCAAGTTTAGCGCCAAGAATGTGAGCGACGGCTTCACAGACTACATTTTCCCTGGCGCCAAGTCAGAAGCGGAGCTTGATCGGGCGAGAGAGGTGCTCGCGTACTTTCTAGGCGAGGTCAAGGATATCCAAGAGGTCTTTGAAAGCAAAGAGAGCAGGATGTACAGCGCAAGTATACTGCTAGTATACGAGGGTGATGTAGAGGAGTACGCAAACACTAAGCAGAAGCTACGATCTGCGCACCCGGAAGACGAAGATGAAGACGATGAGGAGACTCTGCCTAAGCTGGCTGAAGTCAAGATGATTGACTTTGCGCACGCGACGTGGGCGCCAGGGCAAGGGCCGGATGAGAATGCACTGCAGGGTATGAGGAGCACGGCAACGATATTGAAGGAGTTGCTAGACAAGGCGCAACACGACTAGGAGCACATATAGAGTTCATTTGTTGGGAGCGCAATATTTTGACGATGTATACCCATGAGTACAGCTTTATATCTTCTTGGCGAGTCTGACCACTACCTGGTTGCTCTTACGATTTCGATTATGCTGACCTTTGTACATGGCCACCACAGAGCCCACGAACTGTCGAATGCGGATGGTGGCCAAGCATGTGACATTCTGTCTTATCGCACACACTCTCTCTCTCTGTAACCCCTGTCTCGCGCTCATAACCGTTTCAATACACTAGGTTAGGCGACAGCCAGCAGGTAGCCTAGGACACTTTAGATGTTCTTGCAACACATCCTTAGACATGATCAAAACCTCCTCTGTGACATGGTTCTCGACACGATGAACAAATAGCGACGGGTGCGATGGCGAAAGAAGATATGGGTTCAGGCCGAATGAACAGGACATCATATCCCCATCCTGCAAAACGTCTCTTACGCGAGCGCAGATCGGCAATCCGAACGGATTCAGGATCAAGGTCTGTCTGCCTGAATTCGATGCAGAGTTAGACTTTTCACACTTTCCAGCTAAACCCAAAGTACTGTAATCAACAAGAGAGAAGAAATTGTTGCAGACATGGTCATCCATGGAGACACTCAGATCCCCAGTAGTGCGTCTTCCCAGTCCCCCGCTCCCCTCATCAACGAGTCAAAGAATGCTGCGTCTACACCTTGGAGCGCCCAGTCATTCGTTCCAGCGGTCAATCCAGGATATTGTTGCGAGTGGTTGAGAACATCAACAGACGCTGGTATGGATCCAAGCGTTTGATACTGCTGCACATCGGACACTGTCGCAAGGAGGTCGGATGATCCATCATTGCCAATGTCCTGACCAAAGGTGGAAAAGACGTTGTCGTTGACGCCCACCAGGTTCGGAGAAGACGGCACAGCGGGGGTTGTAGTATCAGGAGTCTGCTGACCGGGCCACTCCTTCGTGATGCCTTTTGTGCAAATCTTGATGATCCCAAAGTATGGTATCGAGAGCTGAAACTGCTCGCCGCAACCCTCTTCGAGCCGATCAACTGTGTTCTCACTGGTATGATTCAATCCACGCGCAGCGTCGCTTTCAATCTCAAGCAAGCTTCGAAGCTGCTCAGCACTTTTGCCGGTGAGGACATCGTTCGTCTGTGTCGCGACGAGTTCCAGTTTTTCGACAAGCTGCTCAACCATGGCGCGATCGCCAGGTCGTTGATGCACTAGGAATCTATGGCCTTGCCAGCGACAGCTGTCTATGTGCGCAATCAGTATCGTCATACCTGCCATTAGCGCGAAGAAGTCGGCTGTATGGCAAGACTGGGTCGAGATTGGTCGAAAATTATGGAATGCGACAAATCTTGTAAGAACCTCCCTGGCCGCATTAATGCAGGTTATCTTGGCGTACATGTGATAATCGGATTCCTTGCCGCAGCGTATGAGGAAAGGCAGGTGCAGAAGATGGAGCAGATTGTACTGATAAAGCTGATCTCGAAGCCGCATTAGCTCCTCAAAGGCTTCCTTCGTGGTTGGCTGCAATCTAGTGAAATTCGGTGCGAGCCAATACTTGTCTGGAAGCGATTTTGCCACGTTCTGGAGCTCGTGGTCCAATTTACGGGTAGCCTCAATGTTTTGATGCGGGTCCCCTCGATTGCGGTCAACGATACCACGTGCGATGAGGGTATGCGCTCGGTCAATCTTGCAACTGAGGCTCTCTCCAGGAACAGTGTTTTCCATATTCGTCGGTTGGCCCCCATGAGGCAGACCAAGCATCAGGCTAAGATAGCTGTCCATGTGAACAATTCGAAACCATAGGAACTTGGGATCCACCCTGAACTTGTTCTCCAGAAATTTGACTGGTGGAGGGTTACACGTATCTAACCTCATCAACTGCGCAAACATCATGGCTCTTCTGAAGGCTATCCACGCTCGCCGAAGGTTGCCGGCATTGGATTGGAAGATGGCTTCGTAAACAATGCATTCTAAACCCTCGATACAGCCCACAAGCTGGTCGTTGGTGATTACTAGACGAACAGCCGCTTCCATCATGCGCACGGCGAGTGCGTTCGGATCTTCAGATAGGCGGTCGACACCATTACACCGAAAGTACTGCAACATAACAGCCAGGATAAGCATATGCCTAGCCACCAGAACTGGCGGTGTAGTGGAAGCGTCGGGGATCGTGACCAATTCTTCGACAACATTGAATGATTCGTGCTCTAAGAGGTTGTTGGATCTCGTGAGACATTCGTAGCTATACAAGGTCGCGTTACGATCCGATCTGCACAACAGGTCGAGATCTCGTTGGAGAGGGAATGTTTGACGTAGGCTGATTGAGATGTTTTCACTGTCTTCTGTCTCCAGAAGACTTTGTTTCGGTGTCAGTGCAGCCGAGCTGGGTGTTGGAAGTTGTACATGGCTGATTCCTGAGTCGTGTCCTAGATTTTCTGATCGCGCAACCAATGCTTCCGCTCCTTGTAGGCGCTCGAGAAGTTGCTCATATGTGAGATTAGGAGCTGGGACGGTCCTGTTGGGCCCATCGCTGGAACGAAGCAGTGACAATGTCTGATTGCTGTCGTCTACCCGAACCAGGACTTCATCCGGCTGGTCCTGGCGAACGCATGACGCATTTCGACGACGGCAGGCTACACATATCGTATCCGATGTTGCATCGAATGTGCATTTCACCTTTCGTTTCTTACAGTCCCAGCAGCTTGTCGTGCCCTTTCGAAGTTTGCGCCGTTTGCTGTGAGGCTCAAAGCTGGTCGTGTCGGCGTCATTGATGGCCGGCCCCAGCAAGCCTTCCATGGCCACTCACGCTAGCCTGATTTGATGGCACGTAGAACTCCACTTAGGGAAAGTAATTTGAAGTCTGGCAGAACAACACCAGTGAATGCGTTGTAGATTCTGCGATGGAACTAGGTGCGATATTGGTGATACGAGTTGAGTTTGGTAGCACGAAAGGAGAGCGCAATGAGGGCAGTCAGGACCGAAAACCAGCTCGGCGGAAGAGGCCTCGGACTCCGAGCATGTTACTAAGGCCAGCCACGCAGCGTAAGGCCTACCACGCAGACGGACGAGTCAAAGTAGGCATGGACGTATTCTTGGCTGCATGGGAAGGTTTTGGTGCATTGTTTAAAATGTATGGACATCTATACTCTTTGAAACCGAACACTGCAAACGACACCCAAGCGTAGGAGGATGCTACTTGCCCAGATGGCTAACAAAATGAAGCTCCTCCTGAGTACAATAGATGCATCCCGATAGACATTGGGGTATCGAGCGAATACCATCAATGTGTCATTCAGCCCTACCAGACCTCAGTGCTTGAGAGCTACGCAGCTCCAGCTTGAACCTTCTCCATGTTGAGTTTCTTGAAGGGTGTAAGTACAGCAGCTAACACCGCTGCACCAGCTAAAGCGGTCGCAATTGCGAGCGCGACCTTGATACCCGCCATGTATGCCACCACGATGCCTGGTAAATCTTCAGCAGTGAACGTCTGCCGAAGTTGAGTGGCACCAGTTCCAATTACTGCATGTGGGTCCACATTTGGTGCTGTGCTCGCAATCGTGGTAATCATGCGGTTCACAAAGCCAGACTGGGCAGCAGTCAATGAGAATGCGCCGCCGATGGTTTGGAAAACTGCAACACGTTAGTCCTTTGGATCGAATTAGGATTTTTGTACATACAAAAGACTGTTGCTGTTGCTGAAGACATGTCTCCTATTGTTGCATTGGCCTGAGCAGTGTTGATAGCCATTTGGAATCCCAACCCGACTGCGATACCATAAAGAGCCTGATATCCTATCCACTTGCCCAATCCAGTGCCGATATCGAATGTATACATCAGACCAGTAGCGACAGTCGCTAGGATAGCACCAACGTTCATAAAAGGTGCAGCATAGCCCGTCTTCGAGACAACGCCACCGCTGATGATGCTGCCTATTACCATTGCGAGGACCAATGGAAGGTTAAGCACACCCGAGTTGATTGCGCTTCGGTTGTCGACGCTCTGAAAATAAATCGGCAGGTAGTACAATAGTACGAGATATGCTGATGAATAGAAGAAGATGAAGGCAGATGGCTGCCATAGGGTTCGCTCACGGAGGAGCCGGGGTGGAAGCATTGATCGCTCGCCATTGAAGATCTCCCATGCGATGAAGGTAAACAGAATGACGACGAAGCCTACCAGTAGTCCAACGACAAGACTGCTGCCCCAAGGCTGCTTCTGGCCGCCATTTTCGAGTGCCAATATATATGCGACAATGCCACCCATGACAAGTGCAATGCCAAGAGGATCCATTTGCAAGACCTTTTCTTTCCAAGTCGCTTTGACAATCACAACTTGCGGTGGGGTCTTGTAGGTGAACAAGATCAGGACTGCAGAGGCTCCGCCGATAGGTAGATTTATGTAAAAGCTGTATCATGGTCAGCTGATCAGCAGAACGTCCACGGAAATGTGTCTACATACCACCATCGCCAGCTCACAGTGTCTGCGAAGACACCTCCTAAGAGCGGACCTACAACACTAGACAAGCCATATACGGCGCCCACAAGCCCCATGAGAGCTGGTCGTCGTTTAGGCTCAGCAGACAATGCAGCCATAGTGAACGCACCCGTCACTACGGCGGCGGAGCCGACACCAGCGATTGCGCGACCGACGACGAAGGTTGTCGAGTTCTGAGCCACGGCACAGATCAAGCTCCCAACTTCGAAAACGAATATAGCACCCAAGAAGGACCATTTGAGCGGGAAGTAACGGTAGAATTTACCAGACGCGGACTGAAAACCACCAAATGTCATAAAGTACGCGGAGCCATACTGGGATCTGTTAGCATTGTACGATCTGGAGATATAGTAAGAAAGCTTCAGGCTTACCCAAGAGACCATGTTGAGGCCCTGGAATTCATCGGTGATCTTAGGAATCGCAGTTCCAATGATGGTCATATCCAGGGCAGTAAGAAAGACTGCGCAGAGTATGGCGATTAAAATGGGAACTAGTCGTAAGCCTCTGGGATATTCTTCTACAACCTTGTCGATTGTCTCGTCCTGAGCAGACTTGACTTCCTCCTCCATACACTGCTGGTGCTGGCGCTGCTTCTCTTCTGCTAGGACATCTGGTGTGGTGATACCGCTAGCAAACTGCGTATCTGTATCAGGCACAGCTGATGCGTCGATTTTATGTGAGTCCATTGTATGTGTTTATTGTAACTGAGATCGGGGAGTGGAAGCGATATTGGTATCAAAAGTGAACATGTATTGTATAACAATCATGTGGGCGATGTCATATAATGTACGAGAACTCTTCATACATATAGCATGCTACGGAGAAAAGCATTCTTAATATATGTGATCGACTGTCCGTCTCCTTTGCTGAATAAACGGTATTCGGAGGGCGAACGGATGGCGAGGTCTTGGCACGCTCTTCCTCCGAGTGCTTCGGAGAGGCAGCCATTTGTCTCGTAACACAGACATGTCAATACTATCTCTTCCCTCCGCCGAGATGTGCCAAATGCGTCAATTTTTGAGTAAGGTTGTCGTGCAATGACAACGTTATTCCTACTCTTATCTCACAGTGCATTTTCCTTCTGCGGGAAGCCTCCAGAAGTCGGTGAATCGACAGCTCCACAGGTCTTCACGAATACCATTCAAATTCATCTTTCTTTTGAATGATGTACGAATCAACGCTTCCTGGGTCTTTTCCGTGCATCTAGTATTCCGGTAGGTTTAGATGACACCAGACTTTGGGAAGCTTACGCCTGTCCAAACTCGTCAATCTATCTGGATTCGAAGACTAGCATAGAGAAAGGAAAATATTGAGCAACAAAAAAAAACCCCCCCTAGATAAGCGTCGTTGTAGGTGGTGGGGCACAATTGAGGCGGCACCTGGGTGGTTGAGAGGTCATCGGAGAGAGCCCCTCTCAGCCACTCGAAGCGGGGCCCTAGACTAGGCATATCTTGGGCTAGCCCAAAAAACAAAGTTGGAAACCCCACCCTGTTCAGCATCTGCGAGTAGTACCTTTTGTTGACACGCCCTTATTGAGGCATATGCTTATGCATCGAGTCGTTCAATTTGAGCCCTGCAGAACCATTTATGTGCAAAGCAGAGCTGTCTATGGTTTCGAATAGCATGTTTAAAAGATCTAACCCGAGGGTTCCAGCATTACTACCGGGTATCTAGATTGAAGGGTCGAGGTTTTGTTCCTGAAAGGCGTAGAAAGGTTGCTGTGGATGCGACCTCAGGAGGAATGCGAAGATCCATAACCTTAACCCATCTTGCTGACATTGACCGTGATGTTTCGCGTTAACCGCTACGAATTTGGTCTATATATTACAGCTGGTATCTCTTTTTCAACACCGTACATCTAGGACCTCAGTATTCGGAAGCGTGTTGATGCGCATCTTCTTCGCAGCACAGCCCAGTAGATAGGTACTACGTGGTAAGAGCAGTATATAACAGACGGCTATAAGCGATTAGTCAGCGCTTCGATGAGACCCAAGAGGACAGTTCTACCACTTTGCGCATCAACTCCATCCTGATAGCCATGTCGCAGGTTCCCCAAACCAAGGTGCTCCTTCCACTATACATCTACCCACATCCCGGTGCATGGGATCCTCTATACACAACGTGGTTTCTCCTCTGCTGCTGACTTTGTTTCTCACTGACATCTCCCAGCGTCGCCGCATACCCGTGTATTCAGTTTGTCGTCATCATCAATCCAAACACCGGACCGGGTGCTGCACCGTGGTGGCCAAATGAAGACTATGTCCGGGAGATACCACGGCTGAATGCACTGCCGAACGTCACGACCCTGGGTTATGTGAGAGCAACCTATTGCAAACGGCCTGTTCAAAACGTTCTGGAGGATATCGGAACGTATGATCGAAGGGGTGGGGAGGATGACCGGCTGAGGGTCGATGGCATCTTCATCGACGAGACGGTGAACTTGTACTCAGAGGAGGCTAAGAGATACCTCGATGCTATCGACTGCAGAGCACGAACTCTTATCGGTGTCGCAGAAAGGAGAACCGTAAGTCTGGACGTCTTGTAGATCGGTGAGAGCTATCTGAGCTGACAGGGACCAAGATAATCCATAACCCCGGTACAGCAGTAAGTGCTGAGCTTGCGGCTCCTGGACCAGATGTCACGGTGGTTGTAGAAACATCGTACAAGGAATTCATGACTGAAGAGTACCAGGAGTGGCTTTCTACTTCGCCGTACAAACGTCCTCGGACTGCGTATATAGTACATTCTGTTCCACAAGATAATGTCGAGGCTTTAACGAAAGCACTACGCGAGCGAGCGGAATACTTGTTTGTCACAAGTGCGTTGTGTGGCTTTTACGAAAGTTTTGCTGCGAGTTGGCTTGGGTTTGTCGCATCGCTGGCGGGACCATGAAAGTAAAGGCAGCGACCTCCGGGGCGTTCATGGAGGTGCAGAGGAATTGTATTGTGAGACATCGAGTAGGTCGTAAAGCTCCGCGATTCTTGTTCTCACAAATAGGTGCGTTATGCTGTCGGAATGGATCCGAAACACGAATTCGTTTGGTGTCGCGATGTCTCAGAGGTTTTCCGTAAATCTGGAAAGTTTCAAGACCTTGCTCTTGAATGCATACCGCTACCGCTGCAATGTGTTACATTGCAACAAGTTCTCTTACTCTTGTAACGCTTCCTCAATAGTAGCCCAGATCCTACATCGGTTCCAAAAGCCATCAGGTACATCAAGCAGACGGTCGTCGCATCCACTGATTGAGAAGCGTTTCGTCGCAAGGAGCTTTGCAGCAGCTTTCCAATCCCAGGAGGCAGTCAGATCTAGGAGCCTTGCATCAGGTTTGGACAGATGATGCTCGATCCACTTAGTGTCTAGGTCCCAAATATGCGGATGTAGACTTCCGTCCCGGAAGCTGTTTCGCCAGAAAGCAGAGTCAAGCGGAATACGTTGAGCCAGCACTTTCGAGGTGCGGTTTAGTGCGATGATAGATTGGATTGGAAGATAACTGCAGACCGCGTCCAGCAATTCTGTTGGAAGGCGCTCCAGTCTCTGGGGTTCACGTGAAGACTTCAACGCGTACTCTGGCTCGTCTCTTCTACGCGGCGAGCTTTGCAATACCCTTCGTACGAAAGATGCAGTACTTTCTTCTTTGATGGGATCGGTGTAGAATTTCTGCAATTCATCAGTGCTGTGATTCAGGAACATCCTGTCGCTTCCTACATCATATTTACCGCCCCACCATTCCAGCCTGCTCAAAGCCAATACGCTTCTAGGACCGTATTCGGAACAAGAAGAACACAGGTCGAAGATATCGTTTGACGTCTCGTGTGGTTCGTCCGTGCGGGATTTTCGTCGAATGAAGCGTGTATTCAATAGCTCATACAACATTTCAAGAGCGGGTTTGGGTTCGACCTCCCTTCTCATCGAATAATGACGGTCAATAGCTCGACAACTCGTTACAATGCACCCTTCGTGCAACGGAAACAAGGTTCCGTGATCGCGTGTGTAAGAAAGAGCATCGAACCAGATATCATCTTGTTCAGCGTCGCCGATAATTCGAAAGTAGCCCGAGCCAGTCAAGCTGAAGGATGCAATCTCGGAGAGGTAGATTCCAGGCACTTCAGATACGTTGATCGGACTTTTCGAGACTTTAGCTGATGAAGAAGGATGGGAGCCGCTCCTTCTTACATCGATCCCTCGCTGGCTACCATATGCTCAGCTACGTCGGCGATGCGACCAAGGAGACGGAGACTGTACAACCACTGTATGTTTTATTGAATTAGTATTACGGAACGACTCCTTGAGAAGATACCTTACCTGAAACCGAATGTCTTTTGGGTCGATGTTGTAGACATCCCCTTCGATATCGAATGGGCCACCACATACGACGCAAAACGTTCCTGCCTCCATAGCATATCGAGCGTCGCTCTTCCAGTCGTCTTCAACCTTCGAGGAAAGCACACCGCCCATGTTGTTACTGCGCGATCGGAGTGTAGCAGGTGCAGATCTAAACGGCGGCCGAGGTTATCGATCTGCAAGATGAGAACGCCCCGTTCCGTTCACCTAATTTAGTCTGACAGGAGGCTGCATCCGCGTCCCGATGAACGAATCCTGGCGAAGCAGGTGCGAGACGCCAGCTTGAATGTGCGACACCGGACAGGTCGGTCGCGATGAATCGATGACGGTAGTTCATTCCGCCGTAAACCCAAGGGGGCATAGCGCCCCCCCACCACTTCCGAAGCGGTCTGAGATGGCGGACTCTTGGTGTTCTTGTCCTACAAATAGAGACGTGTTTGTCATATGCTGACGCTCGTCATTGGTTTGGTTTCGTAGTGAAGATTTCCATTATCTATGAACGATTGCGTGTGCACGGAGGTCGGAATTCCGACAAACATACCAGCTGCATCGGAATTCCGGCAACCAAAAAAGTTGCACCATCAGGCACTAAGACGTGCTCACGAGCTTCAAGCACCGTATTACGAATTGAAATGATGTGTACAATGTTGGCTCCTATGTCCGATAACACGCGCGCTGTAAGCCGAAATGTACACATGGTATTCTCATTACCGTTCATTTTCCGACACGGCTTCGAATTCTTCAAACATATTTAAATCATCTTCGAGTGAGTAATCTTTTGTTCCAAACTAAAAATTTCCCCAGTCGATGCTCGCACACCCGCATCCCTCCCTGGGTGGCTTGGGTCGTAAGGTTGTGCTCTACCTGGCTCAGGCACATAGTCGTGTTCACTCCACTTTATACGAGCCTTTTCAACGCTTGGTCTCTAGCTATAGAAGCTCGTCTTCAAAGGATCATATACCTACATAGTATCTCCAACTTTACACGCAATCGGCTGTTTGCATGCGAATCGACAACTTGTTGATCCTGCGCAAGCGCCGAAAGCATTTCCTTATGGTGAGTCCGGTTGCTCTTAGGTGAGTCCAATCAACAATTCTTTTGATCCAAGTTGAACTCGCTCTTGAGATGAGATGAGATCCTGGGCTTGGCTGAGATCTGCCGTCATGTCCTCATCGGACGGATGTAGCGACAAAACCTCTAAGAATGAGCACGCGAAGATTAGGTAGCAGAGCTAGCATAAGTGTCACCAGTGCATCTTCATGCCCAGCACGCGGATACCGGCAAAACGTGAGATTGTTTGGGGCCCATCATCGTCCCGTGCATCTTCCACGAGATCTATGAACCACCACTGTTCACATATATTCTTGTTTGTGGTCGCTTGCGCGGCCCCATACAAGAAGATAACGTCAATAACCTTCACTACCTCTGCAGCTTCCGTTCGTCTCTTGTAGTCTTCTTTAGATAACGCTTTTGGACGGAGCCCCGTATCTTTTGTAACCTAGGAATGCAGTGCTAAACTCTTGACATATTGTTCTGCAATTTCGGGCCTTGCAATGATCTTATCGACAAACAAAGAAAGTTCAAGCAGAAAATATCGACTTGTGGAAGAAACTACGCGATGTGTTGGATCACTTCAGCGGGTAATCCATCGAGCTGGGTTGACATGCATCATAAGGAGCTTTGGTGGTCGGGAGGGATGTTGGCGGGTCGCTGCTCAAGGCGCTATACAGACGCTGGAAAACAGGTGTTGCTAGTAAGAATGCAACGAGATTATAAATGTCATGAAGACTGTTGAGAGGCTGCGCTCAGTTCCTAGACAGCCCCACCAAAGGGGCACAACGACGCGTTGACGAGAAAAGAGTCCGCGAATAGTAAGGAGGCGTGCGGCATGAGAGTAAGTGATTATAACCTGGGCCGTAAGTCAGTATGAACATGATCTTTCTATGCATTTAGAGATGCTTGTAGTCTTGTATTGGTAATGTCGCGCAGCTGCAAGAGACCTGTTGATGACATATTACTAACGCTAAAGATTGATCTGATGCTAGCGTGACATTCTCGCGTCTCAACACTTTTGCGGCTGAGAGTGCTGCGCGTGGTCATACCTCCACTAGGACCCCTCCACAGGCCTAAGACCAAGCATTAACGTCACATCATCACGGCGGGTGTGAGCTATCATCTCGAGTTTTTTCTTCATTCTCTGTTGTCTACTTGAAGCGTTTTTCTTCAACCTACCATGGCCCAGCACTCGCGGAAGCAATTTGCAGTCGACAATCTGTGTAAGAGCAGCGACAATCCTTATGCCTCAACGCCAAGATGACAGCCACCAAATTCCAACGTGATCCGAGGATGCAAAGGACTACCTGAGGTCGAACGACAAGCATACCTGTAGCGCGGTTCTGCGATAGCATCGCCACCTTAGATCCGTTTCTCGAAGCTGCAACGGTCTTCGGGCTCATGCATTCCGTGGTACCTCTCATGGTATCGTGTATTACTTCCTGAAGTTGTACCCTGCAAGTCCTCACCATTTCTCGCTCTGCTGAATGTATCCATCTCATAGAGACCGCCAGGCGCATCTCTGCACTTTTCTGTACCAACCCACCCGCCTACTAGCGTTCCTTTGCGCTCGTCCCTACGTGGGAAAAAATTCGTGTTGTACGTCTGCAGCCCGGTACCGCCAGGACTCATGGTCCTATTCTGTACTTGAAGGTTGCGTATGGGAGGCTGCAGGGTGAGGTCTTCGGCTGAGCTGTCTCGGGAGCTACCTCTGAGTGCTGAGCGGATATTTTCCTTCGAAACGATACGAGTCATACCACGATCAGATTTATCGCGCATAAGCTGTTGAGGACGAGAACTGCTGACATAGCCCCGGGTGTTGTTCCGTCTGTCGGGACTCTTAGATGGTACGGACGGAATCAACTCGTCCATCCCAGGCCATGCTGTTGCATTAGGAGGAGAAGTGCCTGGCCAGGCAAGAGATTTGGGTGTTTCCTTGAAGTGGCTGTCCTTCGAAGCGATACGAAGATTGCCGGCATATGCAGCTGGGTTGATGGGAACAGGAAGCCTTGTGGCTGGTTTTGCAGGCTGAATACATTGCAGATTACGAACAGCATCCTCACGCACAGTGTGAAGCTTCGTCAACGAGATCTCGTCGTCCCAGCCGCTGCCCTCATAGCTTGGTACCCGCACATCTGCGTAAGAACTTTTCTCCAAGACCCGTGGTGCAACCCGTACACCACATCGGTACTCACGATGTAGTGGTTGCGGTACAGCATCCAATTGAATCTTCGGCGAAGATTCTGACACGTCCGTATTATGATGTGTTTGGTTGGTTTGAGGGCTATCGGATAGGCTGAAAGGATTTGAGTTACGGATCAAAGTGAAGACGCTTTGCTCGGATGGCTTGCGCTCTGTATCGGGACGCGGCCATGGCGTGATCATGGTAGTATCTGACGACTCGTATGAAGCGAGGCTCGCATGTCTCTCAGCCGATGAGAGCTCTCGAGCGCCCGACGGGCGGCGAGCTGGACCTTCATTAGGAACATGGAGCTGTCGTGTCACACCGTGCAACGGACTCTTCGGCTCCTCCTTTGATGCCATTCTGGTCACGCCTCGAGACAGCGAGCGACGAATACTATCTGAGTATCGTTTAATTGGGCTCTCGTTGCCGTCTTTGCCTTGTCTGTTCTGGTGTTTAGCAGGAGAGCTCTCCTTTACAGGGCTTAGGCTACCGCCGCGATTCAACATCTGGGGCTGGAAACTCTTCACGTCACCAGTGATATCTGCCGCCTTTCTACGGTCGGCTCGCGCTCGTTGTTCATTCAACCATTCCTCCATCTTGTGTTTGAACTTGGGTCGCTCGACCAAACCGCCGTACTGAGGGTACACGTCGCGAAGTTCCTTCTCGGTTTCGTCGTAATGCTTTCGTGTGAGCACGCCGGCACTCTCAACACGCCTGTGGAATGTTGCGCCGTCATCACGGATCACTTTCTTTGGCATGGAAACGATACGATAAGGAGTGGGCGACATCAAGCTTCCCTCAGGTACCATTACGTTGCCCTTCGGGAATGCGAGAGCGGATGGGCACCGTTCTTCGATGTAGAGTGCAAGACGACCGTAGTGTCGTCGACCTTTGACGCTATAGGAAGCACGCACCGCGTTAACGATCGGTACGAAGACTGCTTCCCAGGCAATGCAGATGTTGCGAAGCTCGAAGTAGTCAAAGCTCCATGGGTTGCGTGATTTACCGACCTTGAATACCTGCAGCAGCCAAGCGAAGAGATGCTTCTCGTACGCCTCCACATTCCAATCGCTCTTGTCGATCACACCATACACACTTGAGTTTGTTGTGTACTCCACGCTATACTTGTTCGCGCGTGGATCGTAGCGGCGCATCCCTTCGTCGAATTGTGTATAAAACCACAATAGATCCGTGCGCGATACACCATCCTCCCTTTCTTCCGTGGCTATCATTGTCGCGCGTGGCATTGCATCCGGTTGCAACAGGAAGATCGAATCGCGGAATACAGCCCATGGCTCTAGGAATGCAGCAGTCGCGAGGAAACGCTCTTCGAGGCTGTCGAGGCCGGATAATTGCAGCAGTGACAGGGTTCGTTTGAGCTCCGGAGAGATCTTTTCCTTGTCGCCGGACGTAAAGAAGTCGCGTACATTTTTAATCCCTGAGTCGGACGGAGAGTGCACCATCTTGAGTTGAGTTTTTCGCGCAACGATTGCGGGCGTTTGGTCGTGGTGATGGGCAATCTGGGTTTTTACTGTTTTGTAGAAAGCAATATTTCTAGCGCCGCTCCACAGCCAAATGCAAGACTCGCGGTCCTCTATCGCGCTTGAGTGAACGCTGCTAGAATAAGGTGTATAATTAAGTGATGGTAGAATGACATCTGGCCTTGAAGGATAGGGTGGCAACCTCACCTTCACTACGACCCCGACAGTTCACCGCCATAGCTCCGCTCAGGCCACCACAGATACTGTCCCCAGCTCAGCTACTGCTATACGTCAATTTAAGATCTACTGACCATGTCGGTATCTTTTCATGAAAAGACTGCGTCCAAGCATGGCACTTCTACTGGTATTGTATGTTTGGTCCGGCCATCTCGCTGGAGCCTGAAACAGCAGCAGCCACCATCAGCGATTTCTGTGATCATAATGGAATGAGACATGATAATGGTCGTAATTCAATCAACACACAACCCATGTTCAAAGCGTCGGCGGATTGGATCCTCTACAGTGGGAAAATGTAGTTTGTGGGGCAGCTGCAGTGAGACCGGTGCAGACGTCTGATCTTACTTCGGAACGACTACCGCCTCTCTAATTTTCGAGCTTCCTTGGTGTACTTTTAGCATTCAGGTTTCTCGGTTGATGCACATCGATGACGCTCTACTCCGTATATGTGCCAAGGCTAGCTAGTCGGTCTCACCATCCACTATCACAAGCTGTGAAGTCGTTGTCACCCCTCATCTTCTATTTGGGTTGGCGAAGGGGCTAGCGTTCAGACCATCGCACATAAATTTGGACATATCATGGATAGGTCATCAATCGCCTAATTTTCTTGAGGCCACGAAGCTTACAAGATGAAGGAACGTTGCAAGAACAACAACGCTCCGATCGCGACACTTACATCCGTTACGACTGCATGAAGCTCACTGATTACTCTACCGCTCTTGCACGTGCTCGCGAAACTGACCCTAGTGTGACAACCGCTGAGCTTTGCAACGACGTTAATATCGCCGCGAAGTGGGCAATCAAGCGGAATGTCCGGTGGCAGTATATAGGGATAGTACGATCCACGACAAGGGGTTTGAGATGATTCCTATGTCGTTCGAACCGAGTCAGTGGGATGCTGCGTGGATCAAGGTGCAGTATGGATGGTCGGGTTGCTGTGATAAGGCTGACATGGAAGGTGCATTGAACGGCGGTGAGATTGGTGAGCCTTTGCTGGATGAGCTTCTTTGGCAGGTGCGAGAGGATTATTTAAAGGGTCAGGTGTAGCTTACACAGGCGATTTTGATGATTGGCTTTCTGTATGACTAAACAGCGATCATACGCCATGTTGAGAAGTCGGATGAGACAGGTGCCTGTCCGGAGATTGCAATCATGGACGAAGAAGGCAGACTATGGAACTTCTCTTTATGGCATGATGGCTACAATGATGCGGCCGAAGAGAGCCACCAAAAGTTCCTCATGCAGTGCTTCTCACTCTCACCTTCACCTCATCTATCTAGCGCTTGGCACGTTTAGCACTATATTCCCACACAGTCACAATCGCACATTTGATTTCCTCAAGCATCTCCACCCAAAACTACCTTCTTACACATGATGTGCGAACCAAGGCGCCCCCTTTCAAGGCGCGATCACGTTGAGCCGAATGCATTCGAGCAATTGGGAGGTAAGAGATCTGAACCTGCAGCGTAACTGTTTTCAGATCTGACTGTAGCTAGTTGAAAGTCAATTATCTTCACCTAGAAAGTCAATTATCTTCACCTAGAAAGCGCAAGACCGAAGACTCTTCCAATGCTGAGCCCAAGATGCGAAAGCGCCACCAGGAGGAGGCAGCGGAGCTGGCGCGGCTGAACCACGAACTTGCGACCCTCAAAAGCGACACTATAGTCACAGCGTAACTTAACGATAGGATGGAGGAGCTAATTGGAGATATCAAAGTGCTTAAGGAGATCAACTACGATCTAATTGTAGAGCGGTCTACGCATTGCGATAGTGCTCGGAAGATGCAGAAGTCAATCGACGACACAAAGAAAGAAACGAAGGCTATGAAAAAGTCAGTCGAAGATGCAAAGGATGAAACGAAAGCCATGAAGAGTCGTCTTGATGATGTAAGGAAAATTTACAACGAGTTGATATGAGACATGTATTATGAGAGAGGCAAAAGAGTGCAGGCGGAGCAGACTTTACAGGAATTTCTGGCGGCGCAGAAGGCTATCGCTGAGAAGTTTGGTGCCCGACGAGTTTGATAACTTCTTGTAAAGGCAAGCCTATGGAGCGAGTATGGGTTCTAGGCCATGCATGTGAGCAGATATGAAGTGTCATAAGTACTGGGTCATCTTCGGCTTAGAAGTCGTGCGAATGGTCATAGTCTCAGAGCATGTGTTCTGTTCACGGTGAAGATTCCGGACTATTCCTTTCCTTGGCGGGACATGAACAATGAATGGTGAATCTGCAGGTGAGTCTGAGAGCATACCCCGCATATTCTAGAACTCGCATCGCGGATAACAACCACGACGTCGCACATTGCTTTCGTCGACCGCAAGAATGGGTCCCGATAACACCGCTACCGCGATGACAGCCGCGAACATCGATGATGCAAGCGCGCCTATTGACATCAAGGACAGCAACAACCAGCAAAACGGTAAAGCCGAACCCATCCCAGCTACCTATCTTATCAATATTACCGTACTTACCGTTGAAGGAACAAATATCACTTCCAGCTATCCAAAACACCTTACACTCGATATTGGCGGTCGCAAGTTCAAAGTCTCGCGCGACACACTTATGGCCGAGTCTGGCTTGTTTGAGCGGCAACTCTCCGGCCGTTTCCGCCCTTGGGAGCCTGAGGTAGATGGCTCGTACTTCCTGGATGCCGACCCTGATCTCTTCGAGCATCTTCTTCGTTTCATGCGTCGTCCTGAAGTCTTTCCCCTCTTCTACAGCAAGATGAACGGCTTTGACTATGATCTGTACAATCGCCTGCAAGCTGAGGCGTTGTATTTCCAGATCGATGCTCTGCATGAGTGGATCAAAGACAAGGTATGTTGTATGAATCAATCAGATGTACACGATATTGACGTGTACTTAGAAGTACCTTACCGCTATCAAAGTCCAAACATCGAACCCGAACGTCCGCAGCGTCCAAGACATCAGTCTGATATAGCCGGAGGTTCTTCCCGTCCACAAGACCGAAGAGTGGCACGTTGTTCCGCGAACCCGCAAAGTCTACCTTTGTCCTCGCCAGATTGGGGCCCATAGAGGCCGCCCAGAATTGTGCGGCGCGGCATGCCATAGGAGGCAGGCGGAGAATGCGGTGGAGTACGATGACGTGAATTTTCTGGAGATGGTCAGCCTGCAGAAGGAGATCGTTTTCGACGAAAAGGCTTGTAGAGTAGAGTGAAGATACTCTGGGTGCAAGGAGTAGGTGGATGGCGGGCATACGTTATGAACACGAAATAACAGGTCAAGGCTTGGTGGTGGTAGCATGTTGCAAAAGCTGTCATATATGATTAGCGCGCAATAGTTGTCTAGATTTAGCAGTTTTCTGGTACCCACGATCAACACGTTGACCTCATGGTGTCGAAGTGGTGTAGTTTTCAAGCCAAGATAGATTTAGTTAAGAAGTAATTCATCAGAGGGTCCAGCAATGTGGATGACTCGCGTATTTGAGATAGAGTGGTGATGGGTAGTAGTTATATTCGTAATCCCCGTGGGAAGTCGCAACTATGGTACCGAATCATAATACGCATCGCAACTTTACGACGTGGCTTGTCTCCAACATTCACATGCGCTGCCATTGATCTTGTCCTGGTTTCCAAGTCGAATCAGTCTTACCACGAATACCGGCCGGAGCAGTCGAACGCCTTATCTGCAAGGAGGCAAATGATATGCGTACGGTCTCTCTACGCCAGCAGCTACAAGATTGCCTTTGTCGTCGCCATTAATGATATAGGTCGCCTTCACAGGGTCGATATCATATTACTCTTTCGCTTCTCGATTTTCATCTTGGTCTCAGCCTGTTTCTGTCTCATCTGCATGCACACATGCGTCTGCATAGCTTCAACTCCGCCATTTCCCCTTCCGCTCTTCTTAACATGCTCATGAACCAGATCCTTGAGTATCGCGTCATCACGATCCTTGTACCGTTCCCACAAAAATTAACCCTCATCGCCAAGGCGCATGTGCCCTTCGAGAGCTTCGGGATATTCTTCCAGCCGTGCCCAGAAAGTGACCTTGACAAGCCTTGGATCTGGGAATTTCCCCTTGGCGATGAGTAGGTGATCTGGACAGCGTTACATCGAGCATGTCGTAATGGTCGCCTCGATCTCCACGATACTGGGTGATGCATTCATAGACGGCGGGCTTCCTGCTGACAGAGAAATGGGTTTCTTGATAGGCGGATATCTTGCGGACGTTGGTGAACCAGATATGTGGGCTGCAGGTCTCGGCGTGAGCGTCGCTTGTGACCGCAATTTGCATTCACAGTCTTCCATGCGCAGGTCGAACTGCATAGGTGTGTGCCTTGAGAAACTAAACGGATCAATACGTTGCATCCATACTCATGCTCGATTGAAGTGGTGGCGGCATCGATGGGTCGGCGGCCGAGGATGGGTACGTGGAAGGGGCGGACATCGTTCTGCCATGCCATTCATCATGCTCCTCTTCGGGCGAGGAAAGCTCAAGCAACTTTTGTGGCGACCCGGCAGAGAGCCCAAGCATAGTGAGCTTGTCCTGTAGTATGCTAATGACAGCGGGGTTGCCGCCACGAAAGGAAGCGAGCACTTGCGCTAGTGAGTGAATAAGATCTCTAGGGCTAACACTAAAGTGAGATTCGTGATTGAGCGAAGGCATAATCATCATGACGTCGGCAAGTGAATTTGCAACGTCGAAGAGCTTGGACTCCTATATGCATGTCAGTGATATTCTGTGCTCCTCAGCGATATGGTACATACCATGCCTGGACCATGCGCCTCGACGCTTTCCCGCGAGAGGCTACTTAGATTACTGAGAACGTTTTGAGCTACTTTGGCAGGAAAGCGGAAAGAGAACTCCTCATCTTGACTGGCGCGGCTGCTCAAGTTGGTTACATTGAGAGCATGTTGCCACAAGAAGATACGCATCCATTGCTGAGTCATAGTGATATCTGCGCGCTGAAGCTCGTTCTCGAGACTGCGAGGATCTTCGTCGCTGCTCAGCTGTTGCTGAGCTAAAGCAAGAGCATGGCGTGCAGCTGCAGGTTCTGCTGTTATGGTAACATCGAGGATGTTAAAAAGCCGACAAAGCTGGACGAACGCAGGTGTAACCGATCCATCATGTAAGTCTTCCAATCTAGGAAGGCTAGGGGCTCGCTTCAACGTCGTTGGCACATCGTGTTGCAGGGAGTGTGCTCGCTCCGTGATGAAGAGGAGCCAGTAGACCCTCAGAGCGTACTGTGTTTGCTCGATGGTCATAAGCTCGTAGTGCGTCGGCTTATGTAACCCTATGATGTGTGCCTTGAAGATAGCCTCCCCGAGGAGGACTGTGGAAGCGTTCATTCTCCCAACGTTTGCTGAGTAGACGTGTAGGAAGAAGCTGCTTAGCAAAGAGAATATGGTGACATTCTCCAGGTGATCAGAATCGTTCCTCGCTTTCTTCGCTTCCGATTCAAACGTGTTGCTCGGGACGCGATAGTGACCCTCGAGTGGACTCCCTGGGTCAGCATCTATAGAGAACTGGCTCACTATGGCAGCACATATCGCGGTGGCTAGTGCGTAGGCTTCCAAGTCGTCGGGATGAGTCAAAAGCCGTGCAGTAAGTGCTTCAGCATCGACAACCGGCCATATACCGTATCCGCGTGCTTGATAGATGTCCAAGTAGTGCGATAGGCAGGCAGTCGATATCCTCTGAGGCTCTTGGGGGATGGCGGACAGCGTGGGACTCAATATATCTGGCCAGGCCTTGGGGTCCACATCAGAGTCGCTCATCAGGGGTATCGGGTCCAAATAAGGCAAGTCAGCAGTTCTTGGGCTTCCAGCATCAAAGCTTGTCTCGCTGTTGCTTCTTGACCCCTCATCATGGGGCCCCTTGCTGCGTTCTTGCAGTCTCCTGATAGCAGCTTCTGTAGTCCGACGTGGTCCTTTTGGTCCGCTTTTCCCATGCGTCTTCAAATAAGTGCAGTCCCAACTAGCCGCTTCGCACCTTGAACATGGCTGATTGCCATCACATCGCACTTTTCCTAGAAAAAGAGAGCACAATGTCAGTTGTGTCACAATTGTTGACCTGCACCTAACACTCACTGACAGAACAAGGGTCACACGCTCGTCGCGTTCCTTTCCGTGGGGCCATGGCCATTCTGGGGCCAAGATACTAGCCTCTTTGGATAGACAGTATTTACGAGACTCGGGATATCGTCATTTCGTCATTAGACGGATGGGTCGGGTTTCACGCACCAGCAGACTGGTGGCGTTTGTGGGGAGTTTATCGGAAGCAGACGACAATCAAACGAAGTACAGAGATATAAAGTCCATACAGAATGATGTCGTGGGAATCGATGCGGCTGATGCTGGGAACAAAAGGTGGAGATGCGGCTGCAGGCCGGTTGATCCTTCCCAGCAGGGGTGACGACATCAACCAATCATGGCTGAGTGCCGCCACTGACCGCCGGCGTCCCTGACGCGAGTTAGTCTGCCCGAGAATCTTCACGGCGCTAGAAGCTCCATGGAAGAAAGGTGCTTCTATGGACAAGCCGGCTGTGCGCGGTATAGATAAGCGAAAACTTATATGATTCGATTACTGACATTCTAGAAGCTTACCAGGCGTGTCGTAGTGAGATTTCTTTTGGGCATGGTGTTGCACACGGGCCCTGGTGTCGTGAAAATTTGTGTTGAGAGTGTAATGCAATGCGCTGTTCGAGCCAATCGACCAGGAATATCTTTAATAGCGCATCCAGGGTTGGAAAAGGTGACGACGGCCACCCTGTTGTAAGCCGCAGCCTTGCGGCTACGTCCGGTGCTGTGAATAGAGGTATGTGAGGCTGACTGCCTGCTAAACTGCGCATACGTGACGTAATGCGCGATTTTTAGCGTGTCCGACAGCGGGCGCACCAAATACTGCGCCCAGGCATGAACTATTTTGGTGCGACTGCGGTCATGTACAAGACAGTGGCACATCCCTTAACTAGGTCTTCCAACTCTGGTTGCTCAACTCGTACTCAGCTCGGCGGAACCGCTGGTCGAATCGGGCTCGAAGTCCGTCAGGAAACACGTCGAGGACTTTTCGCTGCGATTCTGAACTAGCTGGGGCTCCAGGCCCGCAAAAGATATCATGACATTTTGCTGCAAAAGAAATCGAGGGGACGAATACCGGCATGCGCCTCAACGCCTCGAGCCGTCTCGAACGTTTATTTGTGAAAGGTCTAGACCAATGGTGGCGCATTGTGTTCCTGTGCTACGACATGATCAGGCCACACGAAGGCTAGGAGTATGTCGAATCCCAATCGACCAGTAAGTCAAAAAACGTTCTCTGGAAGCACAGCATTGTTGCTAGCCAACCAGAACATCGAAGACGCACTCGATACTAGCCAGTGGATATTTAAGCGTTCCATTCTGGATCGAATGGCCAGCAACTTTTGCGTTGCACGATTGTTTGGCAAAGTGACTATATATCAGGAGCGAACTTGGAGTAGGGATCCAACGGGGTGGAAAACTGGACTTGCCGCCGTAGTTATCACTGACATCCTTGGACCTTCCACTTCGACAGAATCGTATGTAGGGCAACACAACAGAATCCAGCACCAGACGCTACAGCAACGTCATAGCTGCCTAATAACCGAATCGGAAACAACAGTACGGACCTCTTCATATGGTAGAATGTCTAGCTCGCGTGGTGGACCTTATCAGACGTTCTGGGGATACGAGAATCTGGGGAAGATATATTGAGTTCCTCGCTAAAGGCTGCGATGCAATTTACGCATATGAGCGCTATCGCGAAGTCCACAGGTGTGAGCTCACATTGGCCCGGAGCACAACCTGATGATATCTCTGCTGGGGATATGCAGAACTAAATGCGATCACTAGTGGTCGTGGGATTGCCTGGATTGGACAAACCTTGCGATCTTGTATTCGGCCGGGCAGGTTCAGCTAATTTTGGCTTGTAATGCAGAGGACATGGAAGACTGTTGTATTCCACAGCGATGTCAGTGGCGTCGCAGATACGAGTTTGTGGTATATATAAACTGATGGGTTTCGTGATCACCGGAGCGGTCACATACCGAGACATCAACATACTCAGCTCTAAACATCCTCGTGAGGATCACCATCAACGTCTTCTCTGACAAACACTGCACCAACGGCCATCACAGTCCAAAATGAAGGTCCTTGTCGTCATCGCTGCGATCACGTCCCTTGTTCTTGGTGCACCAAAAGACCCGTACCCAGCGCCTTGTGGAAGATCAGACCCATCGGGTATCTGCACAACAAAAGCGACTTGCTACAAGAAGGGTGGCTTCTACGTCCAGCGCGACTGCACTTTCTACAACGTGCTCGACATTGGTTGCTGCTACTCCATTCCTGATGAGAAGAAATAAAGGATCACGAAGCTGCAGCGAGCTGACAGGGTCGGAGCTCATCGGAACCATATGGTAGGAGATCTGACTAGAACAAAGGGGCTTGCGACCTAGTTAATGGGAGAACCTCGAATTACTAGTGTGGTTGGGTGAGGAAACGGAATCAATTCTTGTGCGAATCTATCTACCCCCATCGAAGCACTCGCCAAGTGACATTGAAGTTGTTGAACAGAAGCGTGGCCATATTCAAGGCTCTTCTGATGGAATCATTGTTCTGAGTGATTGTAACCAGAAAAGGAAGTTTTGGTATGACGCGTCGCGTTAACATACACTGCAAAATACTTCGTAAGATGACATGCCACGATCAGCGGAGGAACGAGATGGGTAGCGAGCAGCACTGAAGGGATATTACGCGATTCTTGTGAAGCGTCGAGTATTGCAGCAGTATACCAGAGTTGGTTGATGGGTGAGAGGAACGGAAAGAAGGAACGACCGAGGCATCATTGTGTCATCGCCGCTCATTCGTCGATCGGCGGCCATCGGAACATAGTCCCGTAACTCTCCGGCACCGCACTTTCCATTTCACGATACACAAAATAGACGAGACAAAGGACATTCCCATCTTCTTTCATGCTCACCGAGGCGCCCTGCTTCCCAAGTCTACGCCCCACTTTACTGCTAAGCGTTGGTAACACAGCGCTATTTTCTACTTCGTCCCGCTCGTGCAGCTTCCCCACAACATTACCGCCTACATAACACCAGGATGGATCCGGATCTGACCATTGTAGGTTGCTAAGCGCTATTGAAAGCGCCGGAGGCTATATACACGCTGTGGCGTGTGAGACAAGTACGTCGCCTTGAGATGCGTTTCCCGTCGTCGTGCGGACTTGCCCGTACTCATGAGCCGGTACTCTCATCACGGATTTGCTGGCCCACGATGACTTCAACATAACTGTTACTGTCCTTGTTATCCCGCTCATTGTTCTTCAGAAGCATCAGGATCCTTACGGCCACTCAATCATTGGACCACCACTCGTCAACCGGTAGAGCAACAGAAGTAGAGAACATCAGAAAGCAAGATTATCGCAACTGAAAGATTATGGAGACGCTGAAGCGCAAGAGGTCAAGGGACAAGCTAATCGAGACGCATAAAAAGACCCGAAACAGCACTCTGTCCGAGTCTAGGCAACGGTGTCCACTTATGGAAGTCTTCCACCAGTATGGCTTACTGGAGATGATCATATCCAACCTATACCCAGACGACTTACTGGCACTACTGTTATGCTCAAAAGGTACCCATGAAACGATTGTGCCACGACCTGGCAGCCTAGAAAACTTGCTGGGAAAGCTCAAATGCTCTGGTAGAGGTGTACAGATCCGCAACAAGCGTCACAAGAAGTCGAGTTTCTTCTACGCTTATGATTGTACTGAATCCATCAAGTGTGGTGCAAAGGAATCTGACACGGAATGCCGTCCCTGTGCTAGATGCAAAGTTAGCACGTGCGATGAATGCCGCATTCACTGCGTCTACCAGAGCATATACGAAACACCTTGCGACGAGGACGAACTGCCCAACTTCAGCGGCTTCATTCTTCTGTCACCTCTCGAGATACCCATCCTCAGCCCACATCACATGGCGAGTGATGACGCCGGGTCGCAGTGGCAAGACCCTTCAAACAGTCCACATGCGCCTTATCATGATCAAGGCTTCATCGACGTCCCCTTCGAGGAAGATAGCTTTGGTCTACCCGAGAGTGTGGAAAACCTTCTAGAATTAGACTTCGGCAACCATACGTTGGCCGCATCAGCGTCTTCGAGCGTTGCTCATCCCTCGCCAGTCCTTCGAGCCTTGTACCGAACCACGGAGCAGAGGAAACGATGGTTCTGTAATGAATGTTTGCCATCGGACGTGATCCAGAGTCGAAAAGGTCTTCAAGCTTCTCAATGCCAGTGCACTTTACGCAACCGATTCCTTGACCGGTGGCTGTGCCTGCGCTGTTACGAAGCGGAAGAGTACAACCTTGACACAGCCTTCGCTGATCAAAAAGAGCGTTGCGCGTGCGGACGACAAGATGGGATCAAGACATGTTTGTGGTGTTGGGGAGAGGTGACGCATCCGATGCTCGAATTTGACGAAGTACTGAACGAGGACCGGGAAGAAAATACCAGCTAGCAAAAGCGTGCCGCTCTGGGCTCGGAATCCTCTGGTATTGCATCATCTTGAACCTTGTATTATTGATCTTTGATCTTGGTACCTTGCTACTTGTAACATCACCTTGTATACAACTGTAATCTCAATCTTCTTATTATGACCGTTGCTCGCTCAGTCCCATCCCAGTTATCGGATTTCAGAGTATCCTTCCTCCTAACGAACTCTGGCGTACAAAATATATCCACAATGAGACAGGATCAAGCTGTGTGTACTGCTTGCCCTCATCTCTGTACTACCTTTAGTGGAGCTCGTAAATGTTCGAGCAGCCCAAGGCATCACTACGCCAGACACGATTCGCTTCTTATTCGAACCCACTGGACGCACATCCCAGTTAGTCATTCTTTCAACGCAGACAGACTATTGTCCTCTCCCTCTCCATATATGTCCCAATCTCATTCAACTGCCTCCTCGCCATTTCTGACCCATTCCCAACCACCGTCTTCAAGTTCTCCTCCTCTCTCTCAATCTCCCTCTTCTTCTTTCGTTTTGCATCTCTATGCAACAACAAGTCCTCTTGCGCCCTTTCCAGCTCTTTTGCAAGGTACGGGAGGCTCGATTCGTCGCGCTCTCGCCGCACGCTGATCTCGAGGTCGACGACGGTGTTCATGAGGTCGCTGACGCGATTGCTATGCGATGTATAGGCGGATATGAGACTAGTTTGGTAGGTGGTGAGGAACGTGGGTGGGGTAGAAGACGATTCCGTAGACAAGAAAGATGAAGAGTGGAGTGGCGTCATGCTGGTGTCCGTGTCGCTCCACACGTCGTCCATTGCTGTTGTGCTGTGCGAGTTGGGGTGGAAATACGACGGTGTAGGTAACAATGGCGATACGAGAGAAGCTGCAGTGATCAGTCTTCATCTCACCTAGCTCAGCGTTTGCTATGGTCTGTGGGTGAACAGTACGAATTTCGTGTTAGAATGTTCCAAACTTTCATTTCGAAGTGAATCAGGGTGAGCGCCACTGTGATCTTCAGGCAAATTTGAGAAGAGGCAGGAGACGAGTCTTTTGCTCCCTGTAAAAGCAGGCTTACGAACGATTGTGATCATCTTGCGGGGTTCTTGCTGTTCGTCGCTCATGTTGTTGTCGCTCTCTTGTGAACATCCTCATCACACCACCATAGTGTTTCTCGAACACCTAGCGTAGGGACACACAACTAAGTAGAAGTCTTTCCAAAGCAAGATTTGATTTGAAAAAATAAACGAGAAGCTAGATGTCGAGATGAAATGCAATGTAATGTAAGAATCCAGCAACACGAGGAACCACAACACTGAATAGACCTGAGCAGGCCATACGCGCTCCTTAGAGGGGATCAAGAGGCTCGACACGATCGCGTAGTTACCACAATTTTCTATGAATGGATTCGATAAAGAGACTCAATAGCTTCATTGATCTTTCCAGATCTTGAGAATGCACTGTCGTGGGGTGTGTAGAAGCAGATACCGACTGAGGACTAATGTCATCTGACCATGGATCAACCTCGGCTAACCATGGCGCTAGCCGGATTCTTGCCGCTACTGTCTAGGCCATGGTCAGATGGTTAGAAATCATGGCAGGTAAGTATAAGACCGTGCGCGCACATCATCTTGAATAGAACTCTTATTCCGTAGCGCTTGTCCGGCACATTCTACACTAACTAAGTTCTAAACAAGTTCTGAACATTATAGACAGCCTTAAGTCACAGTTCTAGGTCTTTAATCCTTTCCTAATTCGCGACTATAATTCTGAGCAAGACCTTAATCCTATCCTAAGTATGGGGGATGTGTTTAGGCAGTCTGTAGATAGGACAGTTAAAGAGGTTATAGACCTTACTGTAGTAGGCCAAGCTGAAACATGTTTCAACCATCTTTGTAACAACATACAGAACAACACAACACTTTTTACTATTGGTAATAACCGTGGTCCCTCACTTGGGGCTACAGAGACACTCTCTGTATCCCAACTGCCTTCATACCCAGCTTCATCCTTAGGAGGCATTGCCTACGTTGTGCCTATTACAATGACAGAAGAGGGTAGAATGCCTACTAAAGATCAGGTACTAAAGATCAGGTACTAAAGCAGGCAACATCAGTAGGCACGTACAGGCAAGCTTCAACAGCAACCTTAGTAGCCAACTCACTCATATTAAAGTAGAACTGCATCATAACCTTCGCTATACATTGTTCTTTTCTAAGGCAGAATTTAGTTATCTCCGGTAGACCCTCCAAACGTAACAGTAGTTCATCCATACCATCGACAAAGCTGACTAGTCTATACTAAAACCGCACCGAGAGATTGCTGGCTACCAAGAGCGTATGCAGGTGCTAGCGGATTTCCAAGCAATGGGTCGGATCTTGTCGTTGAGGCTGAGGCTTGTGTTTACCTTACCCACGCCTCGCCTCCGATGTCGCCAATGCATGACTAGCAAGGGTGCGATGCTGCGGAAGGACGCAGAACGGGCATGCAAGGTAACGGCAACCTAGAATTTCAGCCCTATATATACACATGACCCTCTAGTAGCATAATTGAGGCAAGTTATCTTCAATGCAGCAAAATATGGCATAGCGAAGAATCAACATAAAAGGAAGAGGTATTTTGAGCTAAGTGAAAGACTCGTGTATTAACTAGCTTCCAACTTGTAAGTCAAATAGGTATCACCGATCATAACAAATCAACCACATACAGCCACCCTCGGTAGCCGCATTCGTAAACATCGACGTGTCGCATCATGCTGTGCACTACCACAATCTAAGTGCGCACATGCGCTTCGACATTGTGGCCAGCAACACCCTCCTCGTCAATCACAGGACCGTGTCTTCGGTCCTTGCCCACATAGTTGGAGTCCGGAAGCATGTTGAGGGTGTCCTCCTGCTTGTCCGTCTTGCGCTGATGGAACCAGAAGAGGATACCACCAATGAACGCCAAGATAGCCACAGCTGTGTAGTTCCACACCAACAAAGGATCTTCGGATAGCGACACAAACGCCTGACCAAGCGCGTTGGAGAAGGCAGACATGAAGTGCCAGTACGAAGTGACCAGCGAACGCATGTTCGTGGGCGCTTTTGTAAACGCAAACTCGAGTCCAGTGATGGATGTGAAGATTTCAGAGAAACCGACGAGCACGTAAGGGACGGCTTGGGTCCAGACGTTGATTGGGGCTGGGTCGTCGCAGCTGTTCATGTACTCGCCGCATGGGCCCTCGGCGTAGATGTAGTGCTGGATAACAGCAGCAGATACCATGGCGAAGGACGCGAGGATGAAACCGAATGCGATACGCTTGATGGGAGTGAAGCGGATGTTTGCCTTGCGGAGAGCGGGGTAGAGGAAGTTGTCTACAATAGGGATGAAGATGACGAGGGAAATGGGGTTGAGGTTGGTGATGAGGTCGTTGGGAACACCGTTACGTGTCATTGTAGCGGCTTGCGAGGTGAGATTGTTGTTCATCTGGTTGTACGACCTAAAGATTGGTGTACCAAGTCAGTGTTTGTCTCACATACAATTCATACAGGAGTATTACTAACAGCCAGTAGAGGGGAATCCAGGTAAAGCAAGAGCATGCACGCATACCACGAGCAACCTGGTCGACCCAAGCGTCATCGAACTGCATCCAGCCAGGCTTGTTGGCACCGAGATGGCTGGGCTTGACGTCCTCCCAGAAACGCTCGCTCTTGAAGTTCTTGCGCGTGGTGACGGGGTTGATAGACCACTTGCCCTTGGTAGCGAGCCTCAAGACTTTGACTGCACGGATGAGGACGGAACCGGTCGGAGGAGTGTGGTGGTACTTGTTTCTGCAGACCCAAAGAACGATGGGACAGAAGCAGAACATAATGGTGGGTAGCAGCCATGCACACCAGAAGCCGACGTACTTCTCGACGTACACCATGGAAATTTGTCCAGTGAGGGAACCGATGTTGATGAACATGTAGAAGTCTGGAGAAGATTAGTGGGCTGATTACAGTATGGCAATAGGCGACAACCTACACAAGAAGATACGAGAGAGCGTAATGTTAGGGTCGGAGAGTACGCGCTCGCCTGTCTTGGGGTCCTTGATAACACGCGGCTTGGTTTGACGATATTGCTCAGCGATCAACGGAGAGATGTTGGCCTTGAAAGCTCCGGTACCGAAACCGGGGGTGATGACACCTAGGATGAAAGGACCGATGGCATTACCGCTGGTGAGCACGGGAGGGATGGCGGAGATGATGAGCAGGATGTGACCTAGGATGGAGAAGGCGATGGCGATGAAGATTGTGTTGAAACGACCAAGGTACTCGTCGGCAATGATGGCACCGATGATGGGCGTGGTATAAGCCCAAAAAGAGTTGAACTGGCCGATACCAAAGGAAGCACGCTGTCCCATGCCTAGTGCACCTGGTTGACCCGTTTGACGCGGGTCGCGACCAGTAGATTGTACAACACCATCAATTATAGGGAGATCCTTCTGAATGAAGTTGGTGTCTTGAAAAGGTTAGTGGGTTTGAATACTGATGGCGATGGACGGCAACATACACAATACTTGGCAACCGTAGTATCCGAATCGCTCGCAAAGCTCGACGAAGGCGATGGTGAAGGCAGTCCACGGAATCTTTCCTGATACACGACGGAGTGTCTTCAGATCCTCCTCGGTAGGCTCCTCGCCTTCCAAGTCGGCATCGAAGACATCAGCGTCATGGGGTTGATGGCTGAGAGTCGACGGCGTGTGATCATCTGAGGGCACGCTTCTCGTCAACTTCAAACAGAGGCATAGCAGCCTTAGCGGGCTCGTTGGACATGGCCATGTCCACGGCGTTGGATGCAGCGTTGGCCGTCATGATTAGCAGACAGGGAAGAGGTTGAACGGGGAAAAACAATGAGCTACTGCTGAACCGTAAGGAACTGGGCAATCGACCGCAATTATACTCGTAGCCCACACTTCCTGTAACATATGAGCGGCAAATCTGCTCTTTCCAAGCGCCGTCTTGGTATTCCTTGACTGTCTCTCTTTTGAGCAGGTGTCCTGGGTGGATACACTCCACCTCTTTGCCAGGAATCCGACTAGTTGCCCCAGGCCTGTGGTCGACCCATACAGATTCAAGAGGCCATTTTGCAAGGCCCGTCTTATCACCAGCCGGTGACTGGGCAAAGTCTGAGCGGTTGGGAGACGCCGAAAGCAAGACTAGAGTTTAGAGCTTCGCACCCGTCTTTGCAGGGCTTCGGCTGGCCAAGCTCCATGAAAATGGGTATTTCGGCGCACGCGACGACATCGATTAAGTGCTTCTCTACTTGGCAGCGTCGCTGATCACGCTTTGCATTGATAATTCCAGCCATTCACACCGGTGATACCCCTAGCTCTTTCTTATCTGGACGACATGCTGTACCATGACACCACGCCGCAGGGCGATGCACAGGGCGATACACACGCACACAGTCATACACATGTGGGAGTGAAAGGTCATGAAAATTCATCCATTGTCGCGACAAGGTAGACGCTGGCATCAGTAACCCAGAAAGAGGTCGGTCCGTCGAAGGTGTCGAAAAACGCGTGTGTCATCGCTCATCACCGCCGAACGCTTGTGCCGCTCCGCCATGGCGCTGAGCCTTCCGTCCCGCTGGGCGTTTTCTCGCCTCGGTTGCTCCCCACATAATGAAACAACCTTCGCATGCATGCGATGTAACTCCACTAAACTCGAACAGGCAGTTCAGCGACGCGGCAGCATATTTCCGTAGAGGTTTACATTAGCACACCAATCAGCCATCGCGTTGTCATACCCACTTCAACATGGCGCGGACGCCCCATCACCTTCTCGAAGACACGGCATCGGTATTGGCATAACCACACCATAATCTTATCTCCTGGACTAGGCGAAGACGCGACCAAAGAAGACAAGAGCACCGAAGAAAGCACATGCTGGTTGGCACAAGGCTTCGCCTCTATCGGCGGAAGCTTTACCTCGCCCGGTAATATGGCACATTCTGCATTTCCATCCAACCCTCTGAACATCCCACCGTTACTGACCCGCTCTTTTCCGCCTTTCCTTGGCGTTAGCTGTTTGTTGGAAGGAACCATCTGACGATCCTTCCATGCACATACACACACCAACATGGCGAGGCGAAGTAGGATCTCTCGACAATTACAGAACAAAGGAGGATGCGGCTTGGCGGATTGACAATTGGCGGCTGCTTATCTTTTCCGCCCCAAAACAGCTGTAGACTTCACGAAGAAAGTCGCTGGAAGTTTGGGGTGTTGTATCGAACCACGCACACGCCATCGGATAGTCGAGTCACCTTTTTTTCTTATCAACATATTGTCTAGACACGTTCATCGCTACATCGTGCAGTTGCTGCCGGGAACCGAAAGTATATCAAAACGCCAAGATAGGCCAGCAGACTACTCATACCCCGCCCGGGAATAGATACATGCCTGAGGACAGACGCGGATATCCCTGGATAGTAGAGCCGCTGGATACCAGCCACCGGGTAGCGGGAGCGGCGCTTGATACCTACGACCTATGCTCTTGTGCATGCAGCGCGGACGTGTACATGGGCTGTGCGACTACATCAACCCGCGAAGTATGATCGGTAGCCGGGTCCAGGGACGACTGGGTTACTGGAACTCTTCGGATATCGGCATGCGCGTACCACTACCCTGCGTAGCTATCGAGCTTAGTGACCTTAATCTTGTGGGCTATGTAGGCGCCACTGGAGATTTGATCTTTTCCATGCATTGATAACGTGCATGTCGGGAAGCCTCTGGCTAGCAAGGCACTACTTTGGTTCGGGATTAGTATCCGACCTCGATCACTGTCGTAGTAAATGGACCTACCAGGTCGAGGAGCTCGTAAATGCACATCCAAGACACAGGCACAAATCACTGCATTATTCGGTGAGACCAAGTTCTTTATCAATGTATTATCATTAATCGTTCATCAATATGTTTTCATCAATGTTGTCATCAATGCTACGAGAGCAAAGTCGCCTTCGCAACTCCCCCTTGTTCCGACAACCGCGCGATGATAACCATTTTAGTTACCAATGGGCAGGTCGTCCAAAGGCTCACCCTTCGACCAGTGGTTAATCCAGTTGAAGATCTCGGTGTGCCAGAACAAGCTGTTCTCTTGCTTAAGCACCCAGTGGTTCTCGTCGGGGAAGTTGAGGAACCTAGATGGGATACCGCGAGCCTGGAGGATGTTGAACAAGCTGAGACCGTCGCTCTCGGGCAGACGGTAGTCCTTGGTGTTGTGGATGACGAACTGGGGAGTAGACCAGTTAGCAATGTGGTTTTGGGGGTTCCACTCGCGGTACGCGCCAGAGTCCCAGATGCTGCCGTTGTAGTCGTGACGGATGAACCAAAGTTCCTCAGAGGCCCATGCACCCTCGGTGTTGGAGATACCGTCGTGGGTTACGAGGCACTTGAACTCGTTGCCGAGGTCGTTGGCCTGGATCCAGTTGGTCATGTAACCACCGTAAGAAGCACCAGCGGCGATACCGTTCTTGGTGTCGACCCATGGCATGCTGGTGTTGACGTAGTTCCAGGCGTTGACCAGGTCGTGGTATGGCCAGTTACCCCATTGACCCTGGATAGAGTCGGTGAGGAACTGTCCGAAACCGGTAGATCCAGTTGGGTTGGGGGCGACAATGATGTAGCCCTGGTCAGCCCAGACCTGAGGGTTCCAGCGGTTGGACCAGCTGTTGCCCCAGTTACCCTGAGGACCACCGTGGATGTAGAAGGCGAGCGGGTAGGTCACATTCTCCTGATAGAAGGTGGGCTTGACGACGTAGGCGTGGAGCTGCTGCTTTAGCTCGGGGTTGGAGCCGTTGAAGAAGATCTCGGAAACGGTGTGCGATCCGAGGCCAGCGAGGTTGGCGTCGACCTGGGACGCGTCGAAGAGGGTGTTCTTCTTTCCATCGGCAAGGATGTACCACTCGCTGGGAGTCCAGATGGCAGTAGCGGCAACGAACAACGAACCGTCGGGAAGGAGCGCGAAAGTCGAGACGGAAGTGTTCGAGGTCATGGGCTCTGGGACGAAGCTCTCGTCAGCGGTGACGGGGAAGTTAAAGATCTTGACGCGAGCGTAGTCATCGGCAGTGACGTAGATGGACGAGTCGTCGTGAGCCCAGGTGATGGGTCCCTGAACCCAGCGGTCGAAGCCAGCACTCAGAGACTTCCAATTGGTGACGGCGACACCAGTACCCTCGGCGGCGACGTCGACGGTGTACAGAATCCACCTGTCCGACTCGTAGTAGTCCTCATCCTGTTGGACGTAGGCGAGCTTGCTGCTGTCGGTGGAGAAGGAAGGTAAACCAGAAGCACCCTGGTGGCCAGCCTTGTATGCCTCGGAGTCGGGGCCGTTGAAGGCGACAGGGGCGTCAGAAGACGCGAAAGCACCAACGTAGGTGTATGATGCGGTATAGTTGGCCTTGTTCAGCTGAGGGGCCTTGCTCACGAAAGCGTACAATGAGCCATCAGGGCTGATGTCGTAGTCGCTAGAGTCACCGAAGGGCTGGATGGGAGTCTCGGGCTGAGTGGTGGTGAAGTTGATGCCCTTCTGGACGTTCCTCATTCCAGCACCGGACAGTGCGTAGCTGGCATTGGCCGAAAGAGTTCCGGCGAAGAGGTTATAGCGGTTCTTGGTCAGCCAGGTGTCCCAGTGACGGACGTAGTTGTCCGAATAGTAGCGGGCAGTAGTCACTGGGGTGACTTCGGTCTCGGGGTTGACAGCTGTACCATTGGGGTAAGCCATGCAGTTGACCAAGAAGTGCATGTCTCCGGTCGAGGTGTTTGCGACCTTGAGACCGTTGTATGGCGCATCCAGAGAAGCGACCATGGTGCTCATGTTGGGGCTCTTGATGTCACCAATCCACAGGGTGACACCACCGGGAATCTCCTCGTTGGTGCCATTGATGTAGATGATGCCAGTCTTGCTGCCGGGAATCCAGGCGACTTCGTTGATCTCGCTGGCGTTGAGACCAGACTCGGTGATCTCACCAGTCTTGAGGTCGATGAGGTTCATGCCAGAGCCCGCGCTTGCATGCTCCTCGAAGGAGTATTGCGAGTACGAGAACAGGGCGACGGAGCCATCAGGACTTGGGTCGGCAGCGCCACGTCGGACGGTGCTGAGAAGACCTCTGTTTCCTTGTTAGTAGTTGCACAAGGAAGTAGATTTGATGGTCAACTTACTCAGGTGTCAAGGCACAGGCGCCGGTGGCAGCCAAAGCTGCGGCAACACTGAGGTAACGAGCCATTTTGTATGCGACCAGCTTCGTAAAAGCTCAATTGGACAAGGTCGATGGTCAAACGAAGCTCAGGACGGGCATGCAGCTTATTTGTAGAACAAGCTGCTGAGTAGCTGCAGACCCTGGCTACACGATATTTTGCCTGTGGAGTTCACGTTGCATTCGGGACCGGTACCTGGCTGTGAGGGAGCTCCCCGTTGGCTGCGCACTCGGTGATGCCATCATGCCGGCCCTGCATTGCGGTAGTTGCTATGTCAAACGTGTAGAAAGATGGGCGTTGTTCGCGATGTCTCCTTCCTATTGGGGTCTAAGGCTGCGGGCGCACAAACAAGCTCGCCGTCGGTGGGTTCCCAGAAAGCATGTTTCTGCGTCGTCCTATCGCGATACGGCCCACATGTCCCGCAGTCGTGGCTCAAGCTTGGCGGTGATGTCCATACATGCCTCACGTGAAGCTCTGGTGAAGCTCTGACAAAGCTCTCGCCGAGATTAGTGGCGGCCGTGCCAAGTCGCGCCGTCTTAGTCGAATTGGTGGCGGATAAAACGGCGCACCAAAACAGGCAGGTCGATAAAAAGTCCAACACGATTATCCTCCTAATTCTTACTCATCGATAGCCAGTTGCGGCGTTGCTGTGTCGCTTGTACGCTGCCTTACGAAATACAGAGGCTGGAAGTGCGGAAATCGTACGGGCAGCCTCGGTCTGGCTCGGGCCTGTTGGCGGGCCTAATATTCATATATCCTTCACGAGCAAATTGGTGATCTACACCTGCCTTGCCTGGCTTAGATAGGCAGACTCCATCCATGCAGCTGCTTCTTTGAGTTGGGTGATGGCGCACGTCGTGATGGGTCGATAGCATCGAACGAATGAGCTGAGCGACAGCCTCGTATCGGAGCCAATATACTATGCACCTGCGCCTTGTAGTACCCTGCTGTCCGGTCCTCAAGAAGTAGGAAATCCCGATGGTCTCTGTAGGTTCAATCTCTTCTCCTTCTGAAGGGCACTGCCCGATACCTACGAGCATGCAAAAGCACCGACAATCCGGAAACTGGTATTAGCGTGTCCGCAGTCTCGGAGGCAGTCCACTATTATCATGGTTATCGCGCCCGATACATGTTCCAGTGGTAAATACCGACCGCCATAATGAATGCATACCATGGAGGTTTGCAAGGTGCTCGCATCCCTAACTCGCCCTCGTCCCGCACCATCACATGGGCTCTCGTGTGAGCCAATATGAACAGCCAGACACATGTAACATCGTCTTTACAAAATCCTGCGTCTACCCTTCAGCAATATCGGATAGTGCAAATGTTTCCAGACCCTCAACGATCGCATCAAGCACATCGGGGCGGTAGCTCACTAGACAAATATAGCAGACTGAGATGGTTCGCGACTCTCGTAGCTCTTGCGAACGGTTCGAGCGCCTGGCAACATGGACTTTGAGAACTCTAGGATCTTCCGCATGGACAAGCTTCGGGTGAAGGCTAGTATATAATTTGCTGACAATCACCATCCTCTTCCAGAAAACAGCAACGATTGATGACAGTCAACCACCAGATTACCTCCACTACCAACTTCCTTTAGTGCTGTACCCACAGTCTTGAAAAGCCCGAAAAAATGCCGGATACCGAGTATTCATGGCCACCAATAAACTCGGTACCAGCCAGCAGCCACTCACGACACCCACATGATATGTTGTTGTTACGACATCTCATATTCAACTACCTAGTATCTTCCCGTGGCTTTATGCTACGCGGGGTCGTAGAATTGACGGACGGTAACCAAAGTCATAGCATCGCGCACAACATGTGTCAGGAGCAAAACAATGATCACTCAGCATCCGAACGAAAGCCTGAAAACATAAAACTTCTCCCGAAGATCGAGCACAATAACGGCCAGATCTTTAACCGCCTTTTTTCAATTCTTACCTTGCATCCTGTACTTCTGGTTTCAAAGAATCTTATCGTGAAGGTAAACGATGTCTCGAATAGTGGGGGTGCGGTCCCTCGGGGTGGAAGCAAGTCCGCTCATGATGTGGATTGTGATGGAAGGGCGTAAATGAGGCTTGTATTATAGACCTTGTGGGTTTGCTACATATGTTTGCTACATCTGAGTAGACGGTCCGTCAAGGTCTGGTGTATGGTGCACAATGAGTATGACAAAGGTAATAGGGTCGACGATCATGGTACTTCGACTTTTGGGATCGCAAGTATCAATAAGCTGGAGTTCAATGCTTGTACACCGAAAAGACTTTTCCTGTTCAAAACCAACGCCAGCGAGTGGTTCCTGACTCTGACTTCCCATGAAGCTAAGATTGAAGAACATCGCTCCCAAAATCCCGAATCAATTTCCGAATAAAATTGCCCAACGCCCACCGCTTTTGCTATCCTAGCATTCAAAGTCATTATAGATGACCGTAACATGCACTCGCTTTTCCAAGCTAACGCCCTTCATCTGAAACAAGGCTATAACCTACACATTCCGCAGCAATCCTTTTCTCCTTTCTCGTCAGAGAATAATATCATCTAACCCTTCTCTTGCTTCCCTCATCTTTCGTTTGAGTCGATCCGCCTCTGTCTCTAGCACCGTCAATCTCTTCTCAGCTTGTACAGAACGTGACTGACTCTGTCGGAGCTGCTCGCAGAGACCCTCTCTATCGTTAAGCGCGTTAACGTGTTGCACCCTCAAGTCATCGTATTGAGCTTGCATGCCACGATAGGCGTCCTGGCTGAACATTGATTCGCTATTGACTCGGTTCACTTGAGCTGTGAGGCTGGTGACTTGTGCTTGAAGCTGACTGTTCGCTGTGACCATTTTCTGGTAAACTTCGAGGGATCTGGTCTGCGTAGCGATCTCTGCTCTCAACTGATCATTTGCTGCTTGGCTGGCTCTGAGCCAGGCCGCTACACTTGTTGCCATGATTAGATACTCTGGGTTAGATGATCTAGAGATGATGGCAGGTGGTCCCTGTATCTATAGAGAGAGGGTCAGCTTAGGCTTGAAGCGAGCTATCGTTCGTACTCACCACGTAACTGTAGTAACAACGCTTAATCCTCGCTACAGTATGTGAGCTTTAGTTGGCAGAGAGGGCAAAGATATCGTAGCTGACCTGGTGCCACTTTGAGCTCTTCGCCGCCTGCGCGTTTCTTATATGCAATAGTATCAAGCTCCGGGACAGCTAGATCAGGGACGCTTAGTCGAGCTTCATGTCTCTATACTTTTATCTTCAGCTTTTGCGGATTCCCCATATGCCCAGCTGCTAAGAGATAATACAGAATCACCGCGCGTATCCTGTTGCGCACTGTCTGTTCGCCAACTGTACAGTCTCCAAGATCACAAAAAGGTTCTTCGGCCTCGACAACGCGCAGATTATGCTGTGACACCCAAAATATGCTCAAGTTTAGCTTGATGAGGAAATACCCAACTAAGTTATTCTTCGCTCCGTGTACGAAGGCATAAACGAGTTGCTCCATGTCTGACGAAATACCGTCATGTATGCCTACGACAAGTACCACGGGTGATGCCTCTTGGAACCAGTTGGCGATGACAGTTGGGCCAAAACTTTCGCAGTGGCTGAATTGAAGTGTCTCAAATGCTGGAATCTTTCTGATATGATCGGGTATACTCGAGAGTGCTTTTCGAAATCGTTTGTGCCTACCAGTTTAGTACGCTCTCACCAATGGTGATAGGGTTATTGGCGCTGGCATAGTCCATGGCGGCGGAGTAGATCCCTCGGTATCCAGAAGTGCGGGAAATGATACATGTTGCTTGTAGGCTAAAGTTTGTCAGTATCATTCCGATTTCTGGAACAATCTGTTGTACGAACTGAGTGTGTTGTAAATTTAGTATCAATATTGAACGTGCCTCTTCGAGTACGATGACTGAAGCTGGCGAGGCTGCTGGCGATAATTGAATGCTATGGCTGTGGTACGATCTACAAGTGTGGATTGTATATGTATTGATTTGTAAAAGAATGTATGACTGAGGTGGACGTATGAGCAGAATGATGATGTATAAAGTACCGTTCGATTTGTTGATGTTTGAACAAGCTAGTTAGATGGGCCGAAGAGTCGAAAATTGCAGACGTAGCGGAGGAGGCTGCCCGATCCCGGCAGAATATGGTGATAGAAGGAAGGACAGAAGGTCAGTGAGCGAAAGCACGAGGCTATTAGTGCTGAGCAACCATGGTTGCGATGTAACACTTATGGAACCGAAGTGAGATGAGTCTCTATCTTTGTTTTCATAGAAGCCACTGGTGAGCCTGACAAGTGACTTCACTAAGGCTTTGGTAGTCATCTACAACATGCCTGCCGCGCTCCAGGATCATGGTTGTCGCCGCTACCCACTACGTGTATCTGGTGTCAAGAGTCATCTGAATGATCCGATCTCCAGTTTGCAAGATCCGAGCTAGCTCTGTACTTGTCTTTGTTGCAGATGGTCGGATACAGAGTTATCGATGGATGACGTTGGAATTCCTCTCAGATGTCGCTGGCTATCGTCGTTCCTGCACGACCAATACCCATCAACGCCACCACCTCACTCCCGTGGTCATCAACGTCGAACACAACCATGAATCCTCTCGTATGAAGTCGAGTACGCGTCGTTCTCGTCCACGCGTCCGCGATAACCATGATGCGCACTATCATCGGTCGTTCTTCGGTTCGGCGGATTTGCTGAACCAATTGATGCCGATCGTCCCCCAAACCCCGCCATTCATCCCCACATCCAGCCACCAAAGCTTAAGCCGCCCTCCGCACGCTTAACTGGTCTTGTTCCCACACCGGGCTTTTAGGCTGAAGTACGGTACGACTCTCCCTCCTCGTCGTGCATTCTCGGTAGGAGATATCACGACATTTGCTGCCGTAAGCATACTAGTGACGTCTTGATCTTTGATCATGAAGAAGCTATAATGACCTATAAAGCACCTTGAGAAGGGCGGCACCTAGGTAGAGGACTGACTAATCCTCCATGAGGTCTAACATGCGGCTAACACTCACCACACTAGTCTTCGCTGTTGGCGTTGCTGTCGCTGAAGATGGCTCACAGGGTTGGCTGCGCTACGCTCCAATACCGGACGGGCCTGCCGCGCAGTCAGTACCCTCCGCGATCATCGCACTGAACAGCACAAAAGTGAGCCCCGTGTTCACCGCCGGCCAAGAGCTTCAGAAAGGAGTGGGAGGTATTATTGGAAGGAAGCTCAACGTCAGCGCAAGTGCGACCCAGAGTCATTCAGCAATCATCGTGGGGACTAAAGACGCGTATACGGCAGCATACGGCAACATCGATGAATGCAAGGATCTGGATGTTGATGGCTTTTTCCTCAGCACAACTACTCCAGGAAAAGTCATCATCGTAGGACAGAATGAGCGAGGCGCTCTCTACGGCGCATTCGAATACCTCTCTCAGCTCGCGCAAAATAATGTCACATCCGGCTCCACAGTATACAACCCGCAGGTACCCATTCGATGGACAAACGAGTGGGACAACATGGACGGTAGCATCGAGCGCGGTTACGCTGGCCCTTCGCTCTTTTTCCGAGACGGTTTCGTGGTAGACAACACTACGCGGGTCGCTGAGTATGCGCGTATACTCGCGTCAATCCGCGTCAACGGTGCGATCATCAACAACGTCAATGCGAACGCCACCTTGCTCAATGACCGCAATGTGGAGGGTCTTGGCAGGCTTGCTGATGCGATGAGGCCATACGGAGTACAACTTGGCATATCGCTCAACTTCGCATCTCCAAACGCTACACTAGGCACATTTGATCCGTTAGACCCTAGGGTAGACGCATGGTGGGCAAACATCACGAACCAGATCTATTCCAAGGTTCCGGACATGGCAGGTTACCTTGTCAAAGCCAACAGTGAGGGCCAGCCAGGCCCATTGACGTACAACCGAACACTTGCAGATGGCGCCAACATGTTTGCAAGGGCAGCCAAACCACACGGTGGCGTGGTGATGTTCCGTGCTTTCGTATATGATAACCACATCAACGAAACAAACTGGTATAACGACAGGGCGAATGCGCAGTTAGAATTCTTCCAACATCTCGACGGGAAGTTTGACGACAACGTCGTTGTTCAGATAAAGTTTGGACCAGTATGTGCATACACGCTACTTACAGAAAACGTAGACTAACGTATGCCTACCTTTGTAGATCGACTTCCAGGTCCGGGAGCCAGCATCGCCATTATTCGGATCTCTGCGCCAAACGAGCACAGCCATCGAACTCCAGATCACACCCGAGTACCTTGGTCAAAACTGTCACTTAGTTTACCTTGCGCCGCAATGGAAAGAGATACTAGAGTTTGATATGAGGGCTGAGAATCGGTCATCCAAGGTCAAAGACATCATCACTGGCAAGCGTTTCAAGCGACCTTTAGGTGGCTACGCAGGTGTAACAGGAGTGGGATCTAATGCGACATGGCTGGGCTCACATCTAGCAATGTCTAACCTGTATGCTTACGGACGACTAGCCTGGGATGCCTCGGTCGACTCGGAAACTATCCTGCAAGACTGGATCCGATTGACGTTTGGATTTGATCAGGATGTTCTCGACACTATCACGGACATGTCCATGAGGTCGTGGCCGGCATACGAAAACTACAGCGGCAATCTCGGCATCCAGACGCTGACAGATATTTTGTACACACACTTTGGACCCAATCCAGCATCGCAGGACGGTAACGGGTGGGGTCAATGGACACGCGCCGATGCATTCAGCATCGGAATGGATCGTACTGTGAAGAATGGTACTGGCAACGCCGGACAATACCCGCCCGAGATCGCCCAAATCTATGAGAACATAGAGTCGACGCCGGACAACTTGCTGCTCTGGTTCCATCACGTACCATATACGCAGCGATTGAAGTCTAACAAGACTGTCATTCAGCATTTCTACGATGCGCATTATGAAGGTGCCGCTACCGCTCAAGAATTCGTCAGACAGTGGGAATCCTTAGAGGGTAAAATCGACGATGAGCGATACGAACATGTGCTGTTTAGGCAGATCTTCCAAGCTGGCCATTCCCTTGTGTGGCGCGATGCGATCAATGAGTTCTACCACAACCTCTCGCAAATACCGGACGAGAACAAGCGTGTTGGCTTTCATCCATACCGTATTGAGGCGGAAGACATGATGCTTGACGGTTTCAAGACCTACGCCGTAAGCCCATTTGAGACCGCATCCGGCTATACGGCTATCGTCACCACATCAAACTCAACGACGGGCATCGCGACGGCCAACGTCACATTCGCATCGGGAACATACGATGTCGCTGTCAACTACTACGATTTGATTGGAGGTAAAGCGAAATATGAACTGAAGCTTGGCGATCGTACTGTTGGTGCATGGACTGGGGATCTCGAGGACAAACTGGGACATGCGCCGTCCATTTATCTTGACGGGCACTCGGCGACACGCGTAACGTTCAGAAATGTCGAGGTTCGGCAAGGGGACGAAGTGCGGCTGACAGGCCAAGCTAATGGCATTGAGCCCGCACCGATCGATTATCTCTCTTTCTTGCCACCTGGCATTGTTGATTGAATCATTTGTGGGTAGACAGTATGTACAAAAAAGCAAAGCGATGCGAAATTGATGTTCTCGCATTCGGAGAAGCGACAATCTAACGTTCCACTGCCTAGTCGGCTTCATTTCCACGCTTCTCCACTGCCGGGGTCCCCTGCACGTCTCCCGTAGCGCCTAACCCACATTAGCGACGTGTCTCCTTTTTTACCAGCCATGGCAGCACACCACAATCCAGCCGTTGGTGGCTTTCGGACGGGAAATCTCATACTAAGCTCCCGCAATTTGAGGTTCGTCGCTTGCATTAGCTACTGATCTGGGGATGCAAAGCCCAACGATATCCAGCTCTTTCTCGGATTACGTGCTGCGTACCTCCTTCGTGGATTGATTGTGATTTGTGTCTCCCCCCTTTTGCGTCCAACGTCGTGGACCACCAAGTATCCGGTGGGCACGCAAGAGCTTGAGATCCGTGCCGTACGCCAGTACTTCACGATGTGACAAGCTTGTCAGCCTCGACCAACACAGCACGCCTTTCAAAAATCGCCGACAGGCACCGCCGTCTCCAAAACAAACACGCCAGCGACGACAGCCCGGCAACGCCATCCACGTCTTTTTCAAAGTGCATATTAGCATCAATTTTGTCTTCGCGCACCCAAACTAATGTCGCGTCCTAGTACAGTCGCTGCACGATGCGCTGCACTAGGGACTTCGATTGCGCAGGTCAGAGCCGCTCCAGATGTTCGACTTTGCAGCTACAGACGCTAACGCCCAAACCAGGTCATTCCGGACATCAGCGGTTTTGCCCGCAAATTCCGCGATGCGCGTCACGACTTGAACATCATTAATAGTGATCTGCTGGTGATCAGGACCGGCCTTGGTATTGCGCAAGACGACTTTTCAGCTAAGTGGTCCCAGTTACCGGCGTCCCTCGTTGATGCTGTATCACGAGTGCTGGACTCATGCGATGACACCAGTGAGCGATTGCATAAAGCTTTTCTCAAGCTTTCGTGTAGTAGCAAACCAAAGGATGATTGGCAGGTGCTGAAGGACGGACCCTTGGTAAACCTGCGGCATGATCTTGATGCATCCAAGGTGGTACTAGAGCTGAGTCTGGATTATGTCGCACTGTAAGTTGTTCATGCTAGATATGACTGAGCAGAGCATGAAAGCTTACTTCGCTTAGATTTGGCCAACAAGATACGCTGGATTCCTTACTTCAAAACTATGTCAGCGATCTCATTACGCAGAGTGATGAGCTACTAAAGAGAACGGATACAGATGAGATTTACGTGAATCAAACAGCACGCGATAGGCTGTCTTCACTACTTCAGGCTGTTCGTCTGCTTCGTTCATGTATCACAGCCATATCACGGGAAGGTGCGCCATCAGCATCACAACTAGCAAAAAGGACAACTCTTCCTCGACCAGACTCCCTGGAGCCTGTTCTTGGTGAAACGCCCCGAAGCGGGAGGAAAAGCCCTAACGAGATCTCAACACGAACCAGCGCGAATGACGGCATCGGGACCTGGCTCGCTAATGTTCCCTCCTTTGAAGACGCTCAACCTCTCTCGTATTCTGCAATCGAACAGACATCCGTTCCAAGGCGACTTCTGATACCGCCATCGCGGAACGACATGACTCCGTCGCGCGGCACATTCTACACTGACGATGGGGCGGCATCCAGCCCTACCCTGGTACCGCCAGAATCACGACTTAAGAAGTCCTACAGCTGGTGCACTGATCTTTCGGGAAAGGCGAGCACTCGATTGCAACTTGCATCCAGGCACGCATCGAAACAAGTGTCAAAGTACACATCAACGATATCTAGCTCGGACGTCTCCATCTTTCAGAAGCAAATTACCTCGGACAGGATAGCTGTAACAAAGAGCAAGAGAAAAGAGTTGGAACCGAACCAAAGGGCAGCTGTAGATCGGATTTTGGCAAACATACCAGCGGAAGCGACGGTCACTGAGGTGGAAAGAGTTATCTGGGAAGGTGCGAACCCGATGGCGACGCATCCAGAATTTGGGTACTTCTTCATCCGAGCAGCGTACGAGATGTCGCCTGATATTCTCACTCTCCTTATGGATTTCGGGGCCGACATTACACGCAATAATCCCGCACCCTCGTCATATTACTCTGCCATGCACGCTGCAACCCTAGGACGACAGCTTGGCACCGTCCGCTACCTTGCTTCTTTGGGTCACTCAATTGACAACCCCGATTACAGCGGAGAGACACCTCTCCATCTTGCTTGCAGGACGCCCGGCGCGTCTGCGATAGCAAAATACCTCGTTGAAGCTGGCGTTGACGTGAATTTTGAAGCGAAGAATGGACGGACACCACTACAGTCCGCCCTCAAAGCGGCGAGGTTAGAGGGTAAAGAGAGAAGCATGTTGATCGAGCTTTTGCTTGCACACGGGGCAGAGGGCGAAGTGAAAAGGGATCTGGACTGTGGGAGAGGTAATGAAAAGGGGAGACATGTGCTTGGTTTAACATGAACCTCCGGCTTGACCAGGACAGAACGATAGTTCCTATTTCCACGCACCATGATGGACTTGATCAGCTCCTAGTAGCAAGCCATATGCTGTCCAGATTCGGCTTTGAGCCACGCATGCAGGATAGGGATCTCCTTTTGACACTCCGCTTTGTACCCACCATAGGAAGTTGGTCAGGCGCCGTTACAGCAAGTTGCCACAAGCGGGTATCGTGAGATAGAACGATATACCCGAAGTATTGTATTATAGTAATTGATCATGCTGGAACCCTTCGTTAAACACCGAAATCGCTCAACATTGATCAGTTTGTCATGAATCTGGAAGGTGATCTGGATGTCAAGATGCGAGGTGGTCCCTGGCGTGGTAAGCCGCCGCTAACTTATCGCGATCCACTCTTCGTCGGCGAAGTCCGCAATCACCGACTCCCTCATCTAAAGTTCCAATCCTCCCTTTGCTTTTGTGTCACACGATTGATCCTTACGACGTATAACATTGTTATTATGGAGAACGCTTACAAGATGTGGGTAGAAGGGAAAGAGGTGAAAGGTGGAGCGGAGCAGTCAGTCAGCGGAGCCCCTCATTCGTGACCCACTGCAATTGCTAACAGCATCGCAGAATCGCCGTTGAAGACCCCGCAACTGGAGAAGTGTTCGCACAATGCCATGCAGCATCCGCTGCCGATATTGACAGTGTTGTCAAAACTGCACACAATGTCTTCAAATCGGGCGTCTGGTCGAAAGCGCCCCGCCATGTTCGCGCGGACACGCTGGACCGTATCGCCGAACTCCTTACGAAAAGTCTCCCGCGACTCATCGAGCTGGAAGTACAGCAGACGGGACGTGCGATTCGCGAGATGAATGCGCAAGTTCCCACCCTGACCAAATGGTTCAAATACTACGCCGCCTTAATACGAACCGAAGAGCGTTCCGTTTTGCCTACTGTCGGTAAATTGCACAACTGGATCGATCGTAAGCCACTCGGTGTTGTTGCGCAAATTACACCGTTCAACCACCCCATGTTGATTGCTGTTAAGAAAATTGCACCTGCATTGGCTGCTGGCAACTCAATTGTGCTGAAACCAAGTGAACTCACGCCACTCACCAGCATCGAGCTTGGCAAACTCATGAAGGAGGCCGGCTTACCCGATGGCGTGTTCAACGTGTTGCCAGGTGACGGCAGCACGACCGGGAAAGCGCTTGTAGAGCATCCGCTCGTAAAGAAGGTTGATGTAACCGGCGGCACACCAGCTGGGCGCGCCATCGGCGCTATCGCAGGACGCAACCTTGCACACTATACCGCCGAGCTTGGTGGCAAGGCGCCCCTCATTGTCTTTGAACAAGCGCACGTTGACCTAGCAGTGAATGGCATCGTCTTCGCTAGCTTTATTGCCAGCGGCCAAACATGTGTGGCAGCGACGCGCATCATTGTGCAGAACGAGATTCTCTCTCAGGTAGTAGAGAAACTGAAGGCCAAGGTGCAAAGCATTGAAAGGCGAATGGGCTCACCAAAGAACGTGGAGTCTATGATGGGACCTCTCATATCCGCGAAGCAGCTAGGTAACGTTGAGACGCTAGTCAATGACGCAAAGGATGCAGGTGTGACCGTTGTTACTGGTGGCCAAAGGATGAACGGCAAGTCTTCGCTGGACGACACCGACTTCTCGAAAGGCTACTTCTACCCACCAACCATACTTACAGACAGCGCTTCAAAGAAGATTGTCGACACACGTATATGGAAGGAAGAGGCTTTTGGCCCCGTCATCGTTGTCGTGGGCTTTAACACAGAAGAAGAGGCGCTAGGCCTAGCAAACGATAGCGAATTTGGTCTGGGCGCGGCCATTTGGACACAAGATCTTTCGCAAGCTTTCCGGGTGTCGGAAAGCATCGAGAGTGGCATCTGCTGGGTCAACACGCATCACCGTAATGACCCGAGCTCGCCATGGGGCGGCATCAAAAGCTCGGGAGTGGGCAGCGAGAACGGCATCGACGCTTACAATGCGTATACGACATCGAAAAGCACCATCATCAACTATGCCACTGCAGAAGAGGGTCTGGTGAGCGATGACTGGTTCAGGGAGGGCACCGGTGAGGTCAGGTATGGTTGAGTGGTGCTGGGCACCAATACTATGCAAGTCCGGCCTCGTTGGTACGAATTGTGGTACAAAATTCAATCACAATCTTCTTTTTCTATCGCGGGCTGTTTACATCGTCAGTATCGGTCTGGCCGTAAAATCTTCGGATCTTCTACCCTCACATAGCTTTTCACCATCGCCCCGCCCCGTCAAATCCTGACAGCAAACCACTACAACGTCCTGGTGAGAGTCTACTGACCCGCAAGCCTCGTTCCGAATGATCGCTAAAAAGTATGTCCTGGTTAAGACTCACAGCCACGCTGACTCTGTGTCCTCAGGTAATGAGCATAGGAAAGGCCTGCCTAAACCCTGCTATTGCGCACATCGACTGTCGCAGTGATAAGAATGGCGAGTCATATTCGGAATGCGAACGTTTTCCTGGGATGATCCATCGCGTTCTGAAAAAAGGACCAGCTGGATCGGAAGAAACTGAAGCACATGTCGATACCTATATAAAATTTCCTTATGCCCGCCCCCTAGCCAGCATCGCCGGTGAAGAAGACACATCCATCTACGCTGACCGCACAACCTGGCTCCATGCCGAAATAGACGGTCAAAGGCATGCAGAGGAACTTGGGGATCGCACTGAGCGACTGAGGAGCGAAAAGGATCCAATAAGCAAGCACATTAGTTGCTTGCTTGATCAACCACATGAGTCAAGCGCTGGACCATAGAAAGCCCTGGTCGAAGCATTATCAATTTCTAATGAACGTGGTTGTTCGCTCGTTCGATGGCATCCGCGTCTTCTCTTGTTCAGTGCATATATGGTGATGCAGCAGAAGCAAATATGTACATTGAAGTCTGCAAGATAAATCTGCCATACATCCGTCAGGACACGTTCGGACTGGATTTTTAATAGACCTGTAAAGCATTCATGTCTTCGATGGAGACGCTAATACTTCATTTCTATTCGCTACGGCACTGATAGTGTCAAACACATGACATCCTGGAAGCGACACGCAAGCGCCTTAACACTGAATGCGACTCTTGTCCTATTTACGTATCCCAAGTGGCTTATCTTGTCGAGCGTGTAATTACCTCCGCATCATGCTGATCCAACTTGCTACGTCGTCTTTGCTCTTCGTACCTCAAGGCTCAACCAGCTTTTCCAGTATCTCATCCATAATCCTATCTACCTTGTTCGTCTTGTCCTCTTCGTTATTCCCAGGAAGCTGCCATACAAGGCTCGTCTGCAACCCGACCCAGAACTCCAGGTAATCTCGCATTAGCTGATCTAGTGCGGCACTGGATTCATCCTCCGGACTTTCGGCGTGTAACCTAAGGAGCTCTGCCGCCGTTTCAATGAGCAGTCGGGTCATCTGCTGAGAGTATATATCGATCATAATAGGTGGTACGGCGAGAATTACTGGCGTTGTCTCGTGGCGCATGCCAACGCGGTCGGGATCGAGCGATAGCTCCTTCTCCTTGAGAATGTAGTCTTTGGCCAGGCTGAGCTTGTCGCGAAGCATCCCCAGGTATTTCGTCTCTTCTTCGAGGCCGAGGTTGGCAAAGTCTGGCGCATCGATGATGTTGGTGCCGATCAAAGGCATAGCCGCGATTTTGAGATGCTCAAAGCCGTTGTCTTGTTGATTGAAGGCAACTCTCAGATCAGCATTGCGCGGATTCCACACATCGGCAGAGACCCAGTGACGACAAAAGTCATCCTCTGAGAAACCAAGAGCGCTCTTGTCCCTATTGTTGATACCGAGCTTACGGGTACGTGCGGGCATTCTAGACGTGGCTTTAGGCAGATATCTGGGGTCCTGGTGGGGAATTGAGGCTGTAGTAATGGAGTGGCTGATTGAACGCGAATGAAACTGTCGAAATGATTAGACAGGCAGGGAAAAAAGTTGCCAAGGCAGTATCAAGCGAAAATAAGATACTATTGATGATAAACGTGAACTGGTAAGCACGGATCACAACTCTCGTTCACCACCATGTTGCTTTGGGCCTCCAACTTACAGGTGCACTTCACCTTTCCAATGCATAACGTCATAGCCACTCTGAAATTCTATACGGCAATGCGTGCGTGCGCCACAGACTCAGCCAACTGTGTTTATTGTTGCAATATCTCTGGATTGTTCGTATTGCGAACGCGAGACCAAGGTTTTAACCATCAAGATCCACCCTAATGAACAAGCGCGCTTCTTAACGCGACCTCGCCTTGTCCGGGCTGCCCACATATCCAAGACGGACCTCCACACCACCAAGAGTCTGTCCCGTCTCTAGGAGCTTTTCCAGATGCTCCAAAGCAGACTGGGTCGCATCGCTCAGACGCCATGGCACCCTATTATCTGCGATCACCTCCATCAGATCCGCGTCATATTGCCATCTGTGACAGTGAGTGAGTTCGCTCTCATAAAGGCGCTTTACCAGACCAATAAGTGCAGTTGTCTCTCCTTCAATGATCATCTGGAGCGCAGGGGTGGTAGAAAGACGGACTTGGTACAAGAACTGTTCATTTCCAGTTTTGCCTGCTTCCATCAATTGATCGCTCTCTCTATCTTCAGTCTCTTCAGGGTCTTTGATGTACATGTTGTTGTCTCCATTACAACCATATGCAATGTGTTTAAGCTCTTCTATAATCAAATTCATGCCGTTCGCACTAATGCATGCGTGCAATCCAGACGGTAGATGAACGGGCGATGCCTGCGGTTGGAGAATGATTCGAGAAGGCTTCGATGTTGCAACATATTGGCTGGATGCAGTTGACACTTGGAAATGACGGAGCCTTCTCACTGCCCTTGAGTATCGGAAGATGTCACGACCGATTCGCCGCTTGACTATGTCGAAAGCTTGCTCTTCAAAGGCCTTACTGGCCTCTTCCCGTGTCAATACCCGCATGACTTTATCGTACATACAGCAGGTACATGGTGATTCGATGAGACGGTTGGTCTTTGCTTCATTATAGAAGTCATGGAGTGCTTTGTGTGGGTTCAGCTCGGACCAATCAGGCTGGTACTCGTCGTCATGAGTATGCTTGCGCTTTATGCCTGCGAGCGGGGACGTGACCCATAACTGCCGCTCCATCTTCATACGTTCAACTTCCGGGACCTTTCGTGGTACTATACCGGACAGCAGAGCCGCCGCAGTTATTCCAGATTTCTCATCGGATATCTCACCCTCTTTGTTCGCTATAATGGGGGTCGCATGGCTGCCACAACTGTCCTCTTGCGTTGGTTCCGATACTTCTTCGCTAATAGCTGAGGGTGGTAACAAAGTGGTCGGAGCGACCACAGCAGATGCAGAGTCGGTATCATTCACTTTTCGTGTCTTGATGTGGGCTAGTAGGGCGGTGATGATCGCATCGGCGGATACCCTCTTGCCCTTTATGCCCTGTAAGGGTGCGATGTCGTACCCGTCGTCTTTTAGCAATTTCAGTCGCTCGATGTTGCTTGCTTTCTGCTTCCACGTCTTGCGGTCCCAGACTTTGTCCAAACTCAATGCTTTATGAATAATGCTTTTCTTCGCGATATCTTCCCAACTCTGGCGGTCTGCCAGAGATTGCGCGCTTAGGAGAGGCTGTGAAATGGTAAAAGATATGTTCGGTGGGCAGAGCTGTGGTGCGGGCAGATTGCTAGCGAACTGGTTAATTTGCGAAGACAATAACGTCGATGATGTGGGCAATGTGGATAGTGCAAAGCGCTTTCCCGCTTGATTGAACAGAGCGGCATTCCTTTTGCGCATCTTCTTGATCAAGCCTTCGTCCGGGCATTGGTAATTCAACTTGATGTTGGCAAGCGCTTGCGCTCGATCGAGCTGTTCAGAAGTGAGTTCCCGAGACTGATGGTCTCTAGCTTCCTCCATGCGCTTGTCGAAGCTCCCTACATCGGTGGCAAGACGAGGCTCATACGAGGTAGACCGATAAGAATCCTTGCGCGTCCGTTTTGTAATGTGAGACACCATATGTGCCGGACGTCTTGTTGTTGTGATCGATGTCTCGCAAAAACTGCAAGGATGATATAGTATATTGCTTTGCTCTGGTAATATTTACTGATCTATACGCTCCAAGATACTCGCGTTTGAACCGGGAGGTTCTTTTGTGTGCCAGATAATACCAGCCAAAGAGAAAGGAGAAGGGTTGTGGAGAAAGCAAGAGATTGATGAAGTGTATGAATCATCCTTACTTGTATCGGAGGGAAGTACGTCTTGTGGCGCAGACGACCTTTGCTCCGCGACGTGTGACCTGATTTCTGGCGCGTGAAAGCGTCAGCGTATAGCTTTCACCCAGTGATATTCACCAGGACGTTGGTGAAGAAAAGGATACATTACGTCGCCACTCGTATGGGTGACGCGAATGCGACTTCCCATGGCAATTACGGTGGGAAGCACTAGTGGAGTCCTGTAACGGATGGTATAAGAGGTAAGAGCGTGACGCGTTGTTCCAGAAAGGCCAATCCAGTTGAATGAACTTCGAGTCAAAGACGTAGCAACTTGCTGTCAAAGAAGCCGTATCGTTTTGAGTCCATCGCGACCTACAAAATACGACGTCCGGAGATTGCCAACCCGCAAAGCAAACCATTTCTTATGTTCATCGCCCCATAGGAACAGGGAGCTTGCGGAAAAAAATTGACAGGTAGATATGAGCCAAATTCGTATAGACTTTCAAGGCTCGGAGTCCTCGTAGTGGTATCTTGGTGTAAGAAAGGGAACGACGGCGACAAGATGGCGTGGTCGAGCTGATCGGTAATGTAATAAATTCAAATATGCTTAGCCGTAGTCCGCAGAGAAAGTAATCAGGCCGCCGGCCCTTGAGATTAGGGTGTTGGAGTGAGCAAGCGTCTGATGTGATCTGTGCAGTGTGCAGTTTGGGCCATAGGCTGGCGGGCTGCCAAAGCTGGAATCCTGGATAGGCTGCCGTGAGTGACGACTAGCATTGTGTGATGGTGTCTCACATTTCCTTCGCAAGATGTCTTTTCCGGGATGGCGTCGATGCTGTAGGTGATCAATGTCGATGGTTGTGGGAGACGCATCGCGATGAACCTCGGAAGTGAGCGCGTGGGAAACGTGACACGCTAACTTTAGCTGCGTCATTGACTCAACCTCCATCATTTCGACCTCCTGATCTCTTCTGTCAGCTCTCCTGCAAAACTCGAATTCTCCAAACCTGGTCTTTATGATAACATTAGAAGGTGAGGGTACAGCTCACACCGCTCACGCCGCTCAGAAGGCACTCCCATCCGTCTTACACCGTTAATTGCGGCGATGCGCGACCATTTGCATTGCAACTCTGATAAGTTGATCCCATAAAGCAACACACGTACTCACTAAGTCATAGCTTGTATGTCCAATACTGTCTCAGCCTCTTGTGAAGTATACCAATATCATGCCCCTTCCTTCACGCTCACCACCTTTTTGTTCACGCCATCGTTACTTCCCTCGCTTCCTTGGCGGGATGTGCAGATGCGCCTCGAACCCTAAATGCTCAGTCGGCGCATTTTGATTCTGTATTTAATCTTGCATACGCGTATACGCGCTATCATGCATGCCGATGCTCTCACCCGTTTCGTGCCACAATGTCATGTGATAGGACGCTTGCTGCCTGGCTGCTTGTTATTGGCCATCCTTGCTAGCCGTACTAGCGGCAATAACACAATCACTTCTATCAACACAGCAAGCTGGTCTGATACAGAACTATATTGCTGACGCTGATCCCGTTTCCAACATCGCCGCCGCGAACGAACCATGGCTGCGCCCGGCCACAACCGCTATGCGATGTTCGCTAGCGCAGACGGAAACGCAACCCCCGTGCGCAGTGCCGCTGTTGATCCCGCTCAGAATCCGTTTCTTAATCAGGTCGCCGATGACTCCATACCGTGGCAAGAGGTGAGGAAGCGTGGCCCTACCGCAACACAATCGGCGCTACCAGTTCGCCCACTTCCGCAAGTTGTGAAGGACCGCACCAAAGCTATTCTCAATCACCCTCTCGCTCACCGAGAGCGAGACCGGGCCATCTCAGGCTCAACAGACAACGGCAGCGAGAAGGCATACGATCCACACGAGAACTGGTGTGGTGTCTGCTCGCATAAGTTTCTCAACAAGGCCGCATTACTCAGTCATATCAAGCACAACACCGGGCACGAAAACTACTGCAACCTTTGCAAGCGCGTCTTTGTAGACCGCAATGGTCTCAAGAACCATGTCGACCATTCATGGAACCATGATACCTACTGCAACCTCTGTCTTTCTGCCTTCAAGGATGATTGGGGTCTCAAGAACCACTTCGAGAACAACTACAGTGTTGGACATGAGTTCGTGTGTCTCACCTGTCTGCTTGGCTTCAGAACCCGCAATGAGATGGAGCGCCATCTCCAGACCGCTCTGAAGCACACATGGTGCGCAACATGCCAGCGCCGCTTCCGTAACCAGGATGAGCGCGATGCGCATTGGCAACAGACAATCAGTAAGTGTGTAGAGAATTTTTAGCGTCCCTTTAACCTGCCTTTGTGCTTTATTCAAACCTTTCTTGAAGCCCCATGTCAACCACTGTATCATGTAGACGTGGCTGACCCAGGTAAGAACACAAGCATTGCCTGCAGCCAGGCTGTGATTTCGATGGCCCGGATCAGGCCGCACTCACACAGCACCTCAAATGCGATCATTTTCAGTGCGAAGGCTGCAAGCGCGTACTTCCGAGCTTGACGAAGCTCAATCAACATTATGAGAGCTGTTCTTTCGCACTCGCCTGTCCTCAATGTGGCGACCACTACGCCGGAAAGGCTCAATTGGCCCTTCATCTCGAGCACTGCTTTCTCTGCGAGGACTGTGGCTACCGCACACACCACGAGGGCAACTATCACATTGTAAGTGATCTGCCGTGCGACTGCCTCGTGGCTGCCACGCTAACAACACATTAGCACATGACGAAGCACAGCTCCGTTAGCATCGGCTGCTGGGGTTGCGACGCACCGATGCGCACCTTCTCCAGCCTTGTCAACCACCTAGAGTCAGGCAAGTGTCCCAAACTTGCCGACCCAGCGCTTCTCATGCGCTGTCTCGGTAAATGGTGGTATTCACCGCTTTACATGGATCTCGATATGCATGCATCCATTCGGACTGGCCGCGTCGACATCCACGAAGTACAGCATTGGTCAACCGCTGGTATCATACACCCATTCATGTGCCGTGATGAGGAATGTGGAAAGGTTTTTGGTCATCTCAGCTCGCTGGTGTTGCATTGCGAGAGCAAGGCGTGTGGCTGGGATGTTGATCGCTTGAACATGCCTGGGCTAGAGAAAGAGCTCAAGCTGACGTGCCTTCGGAGGGATAGCGCCACTGGCTAGGATCTAGTGAAGATGCTGAGGTGGTTACTTAGATACCTATGAAACTGAATTCAATGCAGTATACAGTCAAAGTTTTCTATCCTGTGAATCATTGTCTTAACCAAGCAAGGATGTCCTCAGCTCATTGGCGGGAAGTATCCACCCAGCTGATGGGCCATGGTGGCGGCTACATCGCCCAACCTCCCATAACCTGGACTTTTGTTTTAACCTCAGTATCCTTCAAGCACCGGGTTGATCTCTTCATCCTTCTCACTATCCTCCACGTCAGCAGCAGCCCAGCGGATGATGGTCGCAACCGGCTGCTCTTTGGCCACAGTCTCCATCTCACTATCATAGCGAGCTTGCCTCGCCTGTATCCCCTTCAGCCGCCTCTTCAGCTCTTTCTCGAGCTTGGCCTCCTTCTGTTTCTCGAGCTTAAGCTTTTTCCAGTGTTCGAAAGGCTTTTCGTCAGCGTCAGCTTTACGCTTCGATCTACCGATAATCTCTGTTACCGAGTCAAGCGCGCCTAAGCCCAGATTGCTCATTCTCTCCGAAATAACCGTTTGCATATCATCCTCTTGTGTGCGACCGAGCGGAAACGAGAAAATATCAGGCTTGGCTATCTCCTTCGATTTGGAAGGAGCCTCTGCCAATGCGGAGGCGAGGGCGTCTGGAGATACTCTGAGCTTTAGGATGAGATGGGCAGGATAAGCTCGAGTTGCGCGAGCGTTTGTATGCGGAGGGAGAGGAGTATGATCATCGTCACAAGTGGCATCGTTGAAGGGGCCGGGAAGATGACAATCGGGCATTGCCTCTACGCCACCTTGCGCAGGTTAGTATTCAGCTACCAAGACAGCACGTTGAGACTTACCTTTGGCTTTGTATATGGAAGCTATGGTGCTAACCGCAGCGATGAGCACCTCCTCTGCAGTTATCAGACTCTGTGGGTACACCTTGTCCACTTTGCCGGTGTATAGGAAGACATATTGAACGAAGTGGGACAGATGGCGGATGCTCTGGCCGAGGTTCTTGTCTTTGAAAGCCTTGAAAGGGTACATCAAGCCCATATGTGAGACGTCCTTGATGGTGTCACTGTCTCCGTAACGGTATTCGTTGACGAACAATACCTCAGATCCCTTCTTCACTGACATAGGCCAGTGCTTGAGAAAGGCCCAGGTCCTATGAGTTGCGTTTTGACCCAGGTATAGTTTCATCGGATGTGTGTTCTTGTCGAGAAATCGTGAGACGCCGATCGCAACGAAGTGATAGTCTTCCACCGGAGGGAGATCATCGAAATGGTGCTTGACTTTGCGAGTCTCGATGATGATATCAACAGCACTGAGCTGGCTGACGGTTTTGAGCTTGCGGTATGGCTTGCGCGCAGCCTCACTGTTTTTCCTGACTCCAGTCATAGTGAGGCTAGACTTTGCAGAGAAATCTGGATTCTACAAGTGTTGGCAGGGTGGTCGGATCCGGCGAGTAAAGACGAGGGGGAGGGGGAGGGGTAGGGGGAGGGGGAGGGGATTGTTGTTTCAAGCAAAATTGCGGTGTGAGCTCGGGACGACGGCTCACTGACGAGAGAGCAAACGCTCTCTTGAAATATTGCACACTGTCTAGTACCGCCCGCTGGTAGTTTTGTGAGATTTCTCTGTCGTCATGTGGAAAAAAGGTAGTGATTGCGCGCAACATATGGAAGAACTGATGCAGAAAGCGGAGGGACAGATAGTCAGAATTACCACTACCCTATGGCCAATGCTACTGTGAGATATGGGAGACGGTAGAACACCGGACTACGACAAAAAGCCAGCCAGATATGAAAAGATGATATTAATCGGGATATACGGGATCCTTAGCCCTACTTGCAGCCCTCTGGACGTTCCATGGTACATTCTCCTCACAGTCTCCCAACTATGCTTCGTCACGACCCTATCGCCTCCGCTCACCCTTCTCGCTGTCCTTACCCTCTAGATTCCCAGCAATCTTCTTCTCAAACTCGTCAGGGTGTAACGTCCTACCAGTCTTGTCCCTGAACCGCCAGCTGACCCTATTCCAGACCATGGAGCAATCCTGTTGTAAGATGCGAGCGATTAGACGTAGATCATCAGCGGAGAAGGTGTCATCTGGTTTGACTTCGAGCTCTAGAGGACGGACCGTGGTGGGCTGGATGTTGTTGTCGTTGCTGACTTTGTGTTGAGAGTGGGACTTGGAGGGAGCTTTGTTCGAAGAAGGCCTCGATGTGGGTTTGATCGCAGCTGGCGAGGCCCTGTTGTCAGAACCCTGGGATATACCACCAGCATTGTTGCTACTCTGATTGTTGATCGTATCCCGATTTGTGGTGGCAACACCCACTGCAGCAGTGGGTCCCCACGAGTCTCCTGGATCGAAACCGGTGCCAGCATCCTTACTCCAACCGAAGCCGCCTGCGCCAGTAGTACCTCCGTCTTCGACCTTATTGCCCCAAGTCTCAGTGGCATTGTTCGACCCGCTGTTGTCCGCGTTATTGGCCCTGCCAGCGTCATCCTTCTTATCATCGTTGGTGCCCTCTGTAAAGCCGACGCCGCCCCACGTTTTCCATAAGTTAACTGAGTCGCTCTCTTCCTTCTTTTCTTCCTTCTTTTCTTCCTTCTTCTCTTCCTCTTTATTACCATCTTTCTTCTCGTCCTTCTTGTTCCCTCCGTTGCCTTGATTCTGATTGTGGTTCTGTTTCTTCCCTTTAATGTTCTCCTTCTTGCCTTCACCCCCCGTACCCCCTCCACCTTGGTTGGACGCATTGGGCTTCAAATCCTTCGGCTTGATCTGTTTGAAGCGTTCCTTACATTGAAGATCCTGCTTGTCGATGTCCCCTGCGAAATCAGCCCAGGGTTTGTTGCTGTTCTCAGCTTTCCACTTGAGCAACTTCTCGTCCTGTTCTTTGGTGAAGCCATGGGGATTGTCGTCACCTGCTTGCTTGTCTTTAGTGTCTGCGATGACTGGAGCATCCGCAGTGCCACTGGCAGCTGGCCGTTCCTCTGCGGTTAGGTTCTTCGTGCCTCCGTTCTTGTCATCGCCACCTAGAGCATTTCCAGTGTTTCCCCAAGTGTCCGCGAGCGGATCGCTGATACCATTGGCTGTGCTATCTATGACCCATTCATCACCCTTCTTTGAACCCGACTTCTTCGTTCCATCTTTCACGGAAGCGCTATCCCAATTGGCATTGTCACCCCTCAAGTTATCTCCATCAACGGCGGGCTTGTTCGATGGTGCTTTCTTCGATATACTCTTCGCGCCTAGTACTTCTTTCGTTGATCGCCTTTTGGACGGTACCTTCGCAAGACTAGCTGCAGTGAGTCGTGGCTTGCCGGCGCCGGTGAGTTTGCCTTTACGTCCGTCGCTTGCGGTCCACTCCATGATGCGGCCAGGGGTAGTGATCTAATGACTGTCAGTCTGCGAGCTCTACCAAATCTCTTGGAGGGTCTCAATATGTTAGTTGGCTGGCTAGGCTTTCTAGGTTGCGACGGAGGCGGAAGTGCGGGCGGCTTTACCTCCTTGTACGGCTTGTCGCTGAAGCCTAGAATGTAAGCCATGGAGACCCTGCGTGGAGCGCCATTCGCATTGGCCATCGTGATGGATTATGTGTAGGCGTTGTGTCTGGAATGCGAGCGTAGGCGTGTCGTGTGATGGAGGTTGTAATCCGCAAGCGACGAAAGCAGAGAAGCGAAACACGAAGATAAGCGGCGGATTGAGATGATACCACAAGAGGCTACGATTGACTGTGTAAGATAGAAGTGCTGGTATTGCGGGAACCATGTGGGAGCGTGCGGTCTGGCGGTTGGCTTGGCGGCGAGGAGGGCCTATCCAGAATGTCCAGATTCTGACAGCGCGCCTCTAGCGAGTGACGACAAAACAAGAAAGACCCTTTTGAAAACACGACATTAAAACTATGGCTCAAGCCCGTGAGACCAAACAAGTGATAGCGGCAAAATTGGGAGACATGAAAGTACATGGGTATTACCTTTCGCCACGTCTGATTGATGAGAAGACTCCACCAGCTACAACGTAAACTAACTTAACTTGCGAGGGCATTCTCAAGACCCTCAGCTGCTATTGTTACAACCTCAAACCAGCACACAGTCATGACGTTGCAAGACCTTCGATGGTAGCGGACGTCAGCGCGTGCAGACCCAGTGTACTGCACGGCGAGTCACAAGATCACAACTTCTATGATTGACGTCCGTAGAGATAAGTGTTGCATCTTGTCTCGTTCTTGCTAGATGAAGCACATGTTGCGTTGATCGACGACACTATCGTGAGTGGGTGGAAGAGCAAGACGCGGTTCGAAGGAAGTTCAGACGAAGCTTTAGCTGACTAAGCTGCACGCTAGTGCTCTGGGCCCTTGGATTGCGGGCAAGCTGGCATCTCCGTGTATGTAGCTTGGCGCTCCACGAAACATACGAATCGAACACACGACAGAGCAGCATTCCCACACCTACACCATGCTGTTCCCGTCTTTCGCCATTCTCGCTGCGGCGAGCAGCCTGATGTCATTTGCGACCGCGCACAACATCCAAATGAAGGCTCACCAGCGCGAATGCTTCCACGAATCCCTCCACAAGGATGACAAGATGACGGTCACCTTCCAAGTCGGCGACCGCGAGTTTGGCGGTAGCGGAAACCTGGAGATTGACTTCTGGGTGCGTCAATTGCGACTCGACTATCACCTCTAGAGGGCGTAGCTAACTTTCCATGCTCAGATCGAGACGCCCTCTCGAAGCTACCAGGTCCACGAACGCGGTGTGTCTTCCGGCGACCACTCCTTCGATGCCAAAGAAGACGGCAAATACACATACTGCTTCAACAACGAACACTGGGGCGCGAACACGAAGGAGGTCTCATTCAATGTGCATGGTATTGTCTACGTTCCCGAATCGGAGGCACCTCAAGATCCATTGGAGAAGGAGGGTAAGGAAACTACTTGGGTCGTTATAAGAGGGTTATACTGATGGAACACAGTGCGAACAATGTCAGAACTTGTCGCGCAAGTCAAGGATGAGCAGAGCTACATTATTGTGCGCGAGCGGGTGCACAGGAATACTGCTGAGAGCACCAACGCGCGCATCAAGTGGTGGAGCATCTTTCAGCTGATGGTACTCATTGGCCAGGGCTTCTTCCAGGTGTGGTGGTTGAAACGCTTCTTCGAGGTAACTAGCACCTGCGCACTCCAGTCTGCCACCTCTAAGTACTCAACTGACATATTCGACAGGTCAAGCGTGTTGTTTAGCTTCCCACGACTCCTCTCATGGACTGCATGCGACGCAGCATGTCTCGTTTTTGTCTCTAGTTCATGCCCTTGTATCTGTCTTTCCGGCGTTGAAGCGCAAGCTTGGGAAAATAAGCATAGGGAAAGGATGGGAGTATGGTGGATACCTTATATGACTCATCAGCGAAATACTGGGTAAGATTACATTTGCATATGCATTTTCCACCCATTTTGCCCCAAGTTCCCCAACAGTCCACAGGTCTTGCTTCTGCCTACAGATGCTTGGCACAAATTGAGCCGTCTAATGGTTCGTTTCGATCAGCTGCTTCAAAGACAGCCCGGCGCTTTCGTGAAAATGGGTATATAAGTGGTCGTCGGAGACGAATGTTGTGGATGTTTGCATGGTCAGCCTACGTCAGGAGCTTCTGACTATTGGCTCATGTCTGCTCCCATCTCCAGCGTCTCTATATAAGGTGATCCTCTTCCATTGCCTCTTTCCAGGGTTCTGGCTCTATCCTCAGCTCATCAGTCGTATCTGCGTTTGTCGTTGCCATCTGCCAATTCATCTCATTACGTCACATCAGGACAGTCAGACAGCGACGTTGCAGCCTCAACGTGTCGATTGGCCAGTTCCATATGGTGAAGGCAGAAGACACGTCGCAATTTCCTTCTATCAGTGTGCTATAGTCTGTTGTTGGGTAGCGCACCTTCTATCACTCACCGCTGGCGCCTTCCATACGTCCGTCGCCACGAGCAACGGCGGTATAAATAGTCAACAACCCCCGCCCGCCTCCTTCATCACCAAATATGAGCCGCTTGACTCGACCTGCTGCAAGCACTTCAGATGGATCTTTCTCAACACGCCGCGCCTGCCGGCTGGCCTCAGGATATGAATTTGGATGACGTGCATGGCACTGCGTCGATGCGCAAGCATCTCATCGGGGCTACTTTTGGCGCTCCCTCAGAACATACGACTCCAACAGTTGATTCAATCCCAACTCTTCCTTCTCCTGATCCTGAAATTCTTCACTGTCCGCAGCATAGGTACTTTGTACCTATGTCACACTGGGTAGATCGGGAACGACCACCTACTCCGCCTATTCATTACCGCGATGATGCTCTCCAAGATCAACGCCAATTGGATGCCTCATTATCAATACGAGGCCCCCCAGGTTATGCTCAGCTACCAGAAACCCAGGCGGACTACACGTCTCCTTATGGCACATACACACCAGCACATGAACACCTCCCGGGGCAACCCAACTTCCAAAGTGCCCCGTCACGCCGAAATACTATTCAACCTCCTCGTCTATACCTACCCATTAACCTCTTACGTTCATCGCCCCGGCAGCAGACTACTCGCCCGGGCCCGACTCTCATAACACCCTCTATCCAGCAATGGCCAACCCACAACCTCAAGGTCGATGCGGAAGCTAAGAAGAAGCAAGAAGCATACAAACGGAAAAGCGAGGCGGTCAGAAGGAAGACGATATCATCGCAAAGCTCAGCGCCACAATATACCCCAATGCCTGAACCTGCATCTACACCTCGTCGTAAACGCAAGGCTAGGATTCTCGATGACCTAGTCATGTCTACCCCGCCTCCGCCTCTCCGACGTCTGCATCTAGCGTATTTCCAGCAGCAGCAGCAAAGCGCCACACGCGGCGTATTGATGAACTATGACCTGGCCCTTCAACAGTCACCATTCTACGGCATGAACTGGACCGGTCAAGAGCAGTATCATACACCACCCCCATCCTCCTATTATCCGCAGTATGAGGGCATACCTGACACACGGCTCGCTCTGAACCCGCCTCAGCATCCAACACATACACCCGCACCACATCCACCGTCACCTCCCAAGGTCATCGACCCTAAGACCATACCTCAGCACATGACCAACAACTACGATGAGTACAGGTGGCCAGTCAAGCTCTACGAGCTAAAAGCCCAAAATGGCTACAACTTTGCTCAGTGTTTCTTGGAAACCCACTTCGAGCGGAACATCTACGATTCGGAGGAGCATAAGTGGCACACTCACACAACCAAAGGCTTCATCAAGGAGGGCAATAGACTGTCTATCTTGGTCCTGCATAACGCAGCGAACCCGTTCGAGTGGGATGTGCCGCCGGTATCTACCACCAGTATTGGTGTATATGGATTTTATGCTCACGAGCACAATGAAATCCATTGGACGACCATTGCGCCGAGTATCCCAGAGTGGTTCAGCTCGTGTTTGGATCAGGGCTTACTCACTGTCAAGCAGAAGTGGCATCCCGACATGAAAGCCTCGGACAAACGATTCCATCGCGCATACTGGCTCGCTGCTAACATGTTCCCGCTCAAGAGCCTACTGAACAGTAGTCCGATGCCTGAGAAGCTATTTGATTCACTTGAAGACTGTGAAGGCGATGGATTCACGATTGTAGAGAAGGACCTACAGCAAAAGTGGATTGGAGAGACGGTATCAGTGGAGGAGTCGGAAAAGACCTGGCGGAAGCTTGTCCAACAGGTGGATGAATTGAACTTTGGTTCGTTTGATCCTGAGCATTTTGCTACTGGTGGATCGGAGAGGGCATTCATGGTTGACTGAGATGTCGAGCAGAGAGTACCTTCGCTGTAGGATGCCATGGACTCGCATGATGGAGAAGAAGGTATTCGGGAAAGGATCTAGCTTGGGCGCGTAAACACGACAGTCACAACGTAGACACAAAAACAAGTGAAAATGTCAAAGCACATCTGACTTTCTGCCATCATCTGCAAGCGTTACCCAGAGTACTACTCTGTTTCTCAATTACATCAAGCCGAAGCCCAAAATCTCACTAAAAATAGTCTACCCTAACTCTTCGTCGTCAAGCCATGGATATGCCTCTCTATCAACTACACCTGAAACTACTCATCAATATCTTCCTCTTGCACACTCAATGCATCCACACTGTCTGCAAGACTCAGACCAGTGCCAGTAGCTCTCAGAGAAGGTTTCTTCCCTTTTCCCTTTGTCCTCTTCTTGTTCTTTGCACCGCTACTCTCGCCCACTGGTGGCGCATCCCTAACCCAGCGCGAAATGGCTTCTGCCCGCTCTGTACTGATGGGGTACTCGCGACCGTCGTCCTGCGCCCATCGCTTGGGCGGTGTAGGTTGTGGCGACACGGGATTTCCATCTGCATCACTAGGAGGAGATTGCTGTCTCTTCTTCTCGGCCTCCTCGTCTTCCCTATTCCGGCGTTCGCGCGCGCGAACAGCACGTTGGAAACTCTCTTCATCGACGACGCGTTCGTCGGCTAGGGCTTCGAGGATAGCTTCGTGCTTTTGGCGTTCGCGACGTTGAGCTTCGGTTTCGCCGCCACTGGATCCGTTCATACCGTTCTTTCCTGCCATGTCTGTTGAGCTGTTCTTGCCACCACCGCCGTGGCCGGGTAGGGGGGCTGGGCGGCAGAGGTTCTCCCAGGATGTGGATAGGCCGATCCAGTTTCCGGCTCGACGGAGGACTTCGATCCAGTCTGCGCGTGCAGGGGAGCGCGCGGCGAGGAAGATGGGGTAGCCGTCGCAGACACGGGCAAGGCGAGCGGCGTTGTGGGCATGGCGGAGATGTTCTTTGGGGGGTGTTTGGATAAGTGCATGGCAGAGGAGAAGACTATGAAGGGCATCTGTAATGAGGGGATGGTAGGTTATGCTCTCATGGCTATCTGCGAAGGCGGTGGCTGCTGCTGAGGTTGGAGACTCAGAGGAGTTGCGAGGCGGTGGGTAAGGAGGTAGGGAGGTCGGAGGGGCAGCGTCGAAGAGCTGGGAGACTTTGAAGATTTCTGGCGGAGGGAGTTTGGGCCATGATGCGCGGTCTGAAGAGGATTTGTTCGGACCGCGATGGGGAACGAGAGCTTCGGAAATGGGTGACGAGGCGCCGTTCGTCTGCTCTATCAGACGATTCATGTTCGGTTTTATCTTATCATTCGAATAACCGTTCGTATTGCCGTTCGCCGAATTACCCAACCTACGCAGGAAGCCTTCGGCAAGCTCAGCGGAGATGCCGGGGGTATAGTCGAAGTGTGAGAGGAAGGCGACATAGTCTCGAAGGGCGCGTTTGGCGTTTTGGCGGACTTGCTTGCGGGCTTCTAGACGGAGATGGTTGCCGTGCGCTTCTTCTGGTGTCACTGGATCTGGTTCTTTGCCTTGAGCGATTTGAGCATCCCGCCGCGCCTTTGCCTCTTCGGCTGCCTGTAGGCCATCTAGTGCAGCATTGACGTGGCCGCATGCTATTGTAAAGTATACGCCAGCGCGATGGAAGAGTAATTGAGTCTCGAGCGAATTGGGGTGGTCTTCGTCTGGGATCTTGACTTCCTGCCTCCAATCTCTCCCATACTGCTCCTGCAGTGTCTTTGCCAGTACTAGCTGGTCCTTGCCTGCTCGATGTTGTGCCATGATATAACGTGCCGAGCTCAAGGCCTCACTCAGGTCCTTGGCTGAGTTTACATAGTCTTCCTTGAATATCCTTGTCAAAGCGCGTGTTCGCAGGGGGCTCCCGTCGTTGGGTCGCTCGGTGATGATTTCATTCAAAGTATCCAAAGGTGTACATTGCGCCATCATGCGACTGGGAATCTTCTCGTGGAAGAAGTGGACGTACTTGGCATCCACGTTGTTGGGCTCTCGCTGCAGCACCAAATGCGCGACGTCTTCCAGCGTGCTTGCGCTCTGCATAGTGGCTACACTGGCCGCAATCTCGTCCAAATGATATGCCTGACTCAGCTTGTTCGTCGCCAGCTCCCGCATGCGATGTTTTCGCTCTCTACTCAGCTTCGAGGTCCCCCCTCCCCCATAGCCTATCCCCAGCGCCGCCGCATTCCCAAGCATACTATTCCCATTATTGAGACTGTTGCTGAGGGCCGCTGACGTCAAGCCAGACGTTGCGCGCACAGCAAGATTGGTCGCCTCATCAACAGCCTTGCGGATCTTGACGAGATCGTAGAAGACGGCGGGGTCAATCGGGTGTGGACGCGGCGAGAGGTAGTTGCTATGGGCGAGCGACTCGAGGACTTCGGGCGGAAGTTGGAGCCAGGGGCCGTGGAACGAAGAGATGTAGCGCCAATGCCTATAGTGCCGCCATTAGGGTATTGTCTCTCTGCATCAAGACGGCAGTACCCGCCCACACTCACTTGTTGCGACAGATGATGAGGGCAGACGTCGAGGGCTCGTTGGCCGCCTTCTTCGCTGCGGCTGCGCCGTTGGTTGCGGGCGGCGGCGTCGAAGAGGCGCTGCCGCTGAGTGCCTCGTCAGCCTGCGCGCTCTTCTTCTTGCGCGCCATGTTCCAATGTCTTCGATTTGCAACTCTGGCCAGGGACGTCTGCTTGGGCCTGTCTTGAAAGATGCCGTATCGATAATAAATTTCGTCTTGGCGTTAGCGCGGAGACGGAGCTTGCCTCTTCGTCTCCGACACGGCACCCTTCACCACCATCACTCACCTCCGCTGCCATCTTCTCAACCATTCTCTATCACGTCGCGCGGCTTTCCGTCTCGTACGTGTCCTTCGTGCAGTGATGCATCCCCTTTCTTCCCATCACCGTACTGCTGGTCGCTGGATTGCGGCTGCCACGCCTCTACGCGTTGATGCTTGACAAGGGGGGAATTAACGGCCTCCTGCAGCGCGCTTCTCTAGCCTCGTACCCCACTGGTTCTTTGCAAGAGCGTTCACGACGACGACGCTCTCATGATGTCACCCTTCCTCTACTCTATGCTCCGTTAGGCTGGATATTTGATTACCCGTTACAACGAGCAACGTCGCCGCCACATACATGGCCACCATGCCCAACCCCTCTTTCGTTGCACATCGTACTTCACCAGCCAATCACTCACATCCTCAGCCACTATGGTGGTGTCGGCACATGGTCTAGTCTTTGGCTTTCTCGCGGCTTTCCGATATATCGCCGTTATTGGAGGAATTAAGTCGCTCAAGGGGATTGTGTCCGGAATATGTACGAGAGTCGCAGGGTGAGACTCGTTATATTGCATAGTGGCTTTGCTGTGTCCCACACTAACCAATACGCTGGCACCTTCTGCCCCTCCTGACTGCATCTTCAGATCGATGCGCAACCTGGACCCGGTTTGCTCATTGTCAGGACGACGTGATGGGCATGGGCAGTCTAGGCGCAACCATGGCTGAGCCATGGCAGGACTACTCAGTATGCCGTCTCTTAGCTTCAACAAGCATGCTGGTTCCGCCTTAACCACCAGCCAAGCCAAAGAATGCGGGGTACGCTGGAAGGACGTCGGCCCTGATATTGAAGCTCTGGCGACAGTCTTCAATCATCAAACACTTCTTATCAGCGGAGGTCGTTTCTACATGGGGAAAGAGATTGTGCTGCACCCAATTTTGCAATCAACATGCCGTATGCAACGATATCGTGGCATCCACATCCTACACCATCATACAAGTCGTTGGGAGGTTGTTTTGACCTCTACCTTCCGGAACGGCTTAGCGAGAGCCATCTTGCAGGAACGTCAAGGTCATCCTTATTGGCCCAAAGGTTGTTGGTCACACTGCATGCGTCTATCGTTTGCGGCAACTCATCCCGCTTGGCGCGTGCATGTGTAGATGCACTTACACTCAGGTCAAGTTTGCACTACATTCTTGACATGTAAGAGGTGGCTGCTAAACTAAACTTATGTGTATTGCGCATTGGCATGATTTGGCGATCCTAGTACCAGTTTCATACGATGTCCTACAGATTGGAGACTGAACATTCACTTCCGTCGCTGATACACCTGGACCGCAATGTAACCACAATTGCGTGTATTGCTGACGAATGCATTGCCGATGAACATTGCCAAGTTGTTGTCGCATGTGACTGGTCATCATCCCCATCTCGCGAGAACGGCAATTCCATGTACGCCACTGAGGCTGATTGGAGTTGCGTAACAAGTGCGATGCTTCAGCAAGGCCAGCGCAATTCGGTGTCTAGGTCGTGCCGCCACCAGCTGAGGGGTAACAACGGTTAGTCTTCATAGCCAAACTGGAAACACCTGTGTGTCATGATTTCGGCAAGTTGTGCAAAGTCTCCCTATCCTGGTGGTCATCGAAACAACTGCCGGCTTGTACAGATTGAGGCTGGTGGGATCATCGCTGTTGCGGATGTTTCGTCCCAACTTCGATCGTCGGCTGCACTGACACGGCACACGCTCTGTTCGGGAGATACTCCACAAGGATTCTTGGCCATCTATTCGTGGAGCTTGACACAAAGCTTAATTCAATGCGCTAGCGTCCGTCTTCAACCAGGCCTGCGCGGGGTGGCTGACGGAAGCTAGTACAGCGTTGATGAAGTGTATTGCGGGGTAACTTCATTCCCAAAGATATCGTCTCCTGCAAACAGGCAACTCAAAACTCAATAAAAGCTGGTCCGTACCAACTCATCAAGTTGGATACAAGTAGGTTGGACAGTTTCGTGAAACTTCAGATGGGCTCGGGGAAAATGTCAAGTGTGACCGAACCCTGGGTTCGCTCTGCTTAGGCATATCGGCAGTGTGACAAGCGCTTGTCTAATCTCTTACCGGCCCCCTGCTGGTATCGACAGCGTGACTATGTCTTTGCGTCTCAGTGGTGTACTACGAAAATAACGTCGAATCACCACTACGTCAAAATCTCCACTCGTCCTACAGCTCGCGCCTCGGTCTCTCAAGACGGCAGGTCGAGATTCGAACAGGGTATCACGTATGCCAGTTGCAGTTCCCTTCCTCATTGGATATCGCTGAACCGGCACGCTGATGTCCCATTGGTATGATTGGCAGTACCCCGACGCGAGTACACCTAGACGTTCTCAGCATGTTTCCATGCGAGTAAGCGGTTAGAAGTGGGTGTGCTGGCCAGCAATCTAGTAGGTCCAACTCCAGGGCTATGGCTTCAAGACCTGGTTTCATCGACATGAGGCTACCTCGTGGTTGATAATGCCGCTTTCTAGGATGCGTGGGGTATATATTCGCTACAAAGTGCACTGTGTACCCCTCAGTTGGCCTCATTGACTACTCAACGCTGTATCGTCTCAGTTGTCGAGCATCCGCCCTGCGCTTGTAATTTGTTGGCTTCTCGTCAATTCATTATGGAGTTTATTAGAAAGAAGGCTCAACGGAGTCGAGAAGCGATAACCACCGATACCACCCTCCAACGTACAGTACGGTATGGCAGCAAGGCTGTTCGTGCCGCCCCTTCGGTCGCAGGTCAATACCTACTTCAAAAGGCACCAATCATCCAATGGTTGCCAAAGTACAATCCACGATGGCTTCTCAACGATACATTAGCCGGGATTACTGTTGGCGTGCTACTCATCCCTCAGTCTCTGGCATATGCGAAGATTGCGACAATACCCGGACAGTATGGACTCATGTCGAGCTGGCTACCAAATTTTCTCTACCTGATCATGGGTACATCTAAAGGTGAGTCGTCGTGACTGGTATATAGCCTAACCACTAAAACGGTTGATAGATCTGTCGACTGGTCCCACTTCGCTTATGGGTCTGTTGACGGCGGAGATAATCGCAGACGTTGCTCAAGAGGGATATTCACCACAAGCAATCGCTTCCGCCGTTGCCATGTCCGTTGGTATCTACTCCATGGCGCTAGGCTTGCTCAAGCTTGGTTTCCTGCTAGAGTTTATTTCCGTGCCCGTTTTGAGCGGCTTCATCTCCGCAGCCGCCATCGTCATCATGCTCGGCCAGATCCCATCGCTGTTTGGCATCACTGTCGGCTCCGGTACGGCGAACATCATCCACGACCTCTTCGCCAAGATACCCCAGTACGATGGCCCGACATGTGGAGTGGGTCTTGGTGGCCTGCTGATGCTATACCTCATGCAGAAGATGGGACAGCGCTGGGGCAAGAAGAACAAGGCTATCTGGCTGCTAGCGCTTGGCCGCAGTGCTGTAGTACTCGTTCTCTTCGCCGGTATTTCGTACGCGGTGAACAAGGACATTGACCTCGAGAACGACGACCCTGTATGGGCACTCAGCAAAGTCAAATCTGATGGTATTGCAACACCTCGAATGCCCGACTCAGCTCTTATCGGCAAGGTGTTTGCTAGAAGCATTGCTCCCTTCATTGCTGCTGCACTTGAGCACTTGGCTATTGCCAAAGCCTTCGGTCGCAAGAATGGCTACGTGACTGATGCTGCACAAGAGCTAGTCTACCTTGGTTTTACCAACTTCTTCAACTCCTTCTTCTCATCCATGGCAGTGGGTGGCGCCATGTCTCGTACTGCCGTGAACTCAGAATCCGGTGTCAAGTCACCAGCATACGGTTTGATCGCCGGCGGTGTCGTCATCCTCAGCATCTTCAAACTTTCGCCAGCACTATACTGGATTCCCAAAGCCACATTAGCAGCCATCATCGTCACGGCAGTTTGGCACATTGTTGTCCCCCTCAAAGTTTTCTACGGATACTGGCGCACTTCACTCGTCGACTTTACCACCTCAATGCTAGCCTTCTGGCTTACCCTTTTCGTCTCATCAGAAGTCGGCATTGGCACGGCCGTCGGCTTCAACATAGTCTACCACCTCCTTTTCATGGCATTCCACCGTGTCCACCGCATCACTTCTATTGAGGTGACCTCTCACGGCCGCCAAGCAGGCATGCACGCTACCCCTCTCGACACTCAAGTATTCCGCATCCACCAATCCATGCTCTTCTACAATGCTTACCACATCAAAACGCAATGTCTCGACGCAGTTCAGACTTTCAACTCTGGCGATGTTGCTACCCTTGAAGCTGCCCACGCAAACCGCAACTGGAGCGTCGCAGGCAAAGATCGCGCCTTACGTTTACGCACAAAAGCCGAGATTCTGGAAGAACCTGTTCAAATCCGCAGTGTGGTGTTGGATATGTATGCCATGCATAACATTGACACGACTGGCCTTACCCATCTCAAGGATCTTAAAGCGGACATTGAGGCGTATGGCGGGAAGAACACGCAGTTCAGACTTGTGGGCTTGAACGATCGCGTCCGTGAGCGCTTTGCGAGGTTCGGGTGGCAGCTCCGTGACGTGACTGAGGTAAACAAGAAAGGGACGGTGGTGTACGATTCAGTTGAAGAAGCTGTGTTCCGCCGCTCGAGAACATTTTCATCGGACGAGATTGAGGTAGAGCCTACTGAGGTGTTAGTCGTTGGAGATGAGAAGAGCAAAGTGTAGAAGAGTCGTTTATGAGACACATGCTGGGTGTGCGATGTCTTTTCTTCATTGTTCTTTCATTATGTAGGAGTAGTGTCATTATGTTATGATGAGCTTTCCATTGTTTTCCTTCTTGGTTATGGCATTACGTACTTATACACAAGTCGTGTTCCGCACCCGAACGGGCACACATTCTACCTCTGCATCGCCGTGCCAAATCCCTACTACTTTCTCCCCTTCACTTCCTTGTTCCTGTCCGTGCGCTTTTCTATCTTTCGCGTTCACCCAAGGCTCTAGATACTATCGCTTGTCTCCGCGAAGTCGCCGAACACACCTCCACAGCGCTTCCTGTTACGCACCTTCTGCTCTGCCTCACTCAGCAACGGGTCGATAGCGGTCTGAACGTTGGATCATAAGTCCACTGAGATGGCGCCGCGCGAACCATACATATAAGTCTCGACGTTTATCTCTCGATCGGCTTCGTCGGGATTGAGAAAAGTCTCTGGCCGCAAGGTCGCGAGACAGTGGTGTGTGGTCTCGGTGGTTACTGGTGGAGATGGTTCGAGAGATAGAACTGGGAGGGAGTGACGGGGATGTTGGACGAGGTAAGGGACAAAGACGAATGTAAGTCATCGTGAGCATTCATCTCAACAGCCCGCTTCCGCTCTTCTGCTTGCATTAGCGCCATCCATAAATTGACGCGAATGTAGGTTGAGGAATGTAGGTAGAAAGACTCTAGCAGTCTAGCTACTTTACCCTTCTCAGCGTCACTGTATCGTACAGAACCAGGAGGCGGCGGAACCACACCCTCTGCGAACACGAGGAAAGAGTCGCCTGCGAAGAAGACCGTATGTGCGTAGGGCGCTACAAATATGTATGGCTGTGTTTCTTCCAGAAACTCTTTTCGAGGCATAATGACGGACGAGGAGGTGGTGGTAGACGCCTTGGGGAGGCAAATGGGGTTTGCATTCGTTGCAGTAGTAGCATTTGAAGTCATATTTCTGCGTGGCTGTCTTGGAGTAGAAAATCTTTTCGTGGTTTGCTTTGGGGTGGAAGGCAGGGCGAAGCAAAAGGGTTGTCGGGTTCTTCTTGTGAACAAACGAATGTGATACCTGGGAACTTGCGCACTGATCGTGGGAGCGTTGCTATTTCTTCTTGTGGGCAAGTGAGTGCGATGGTTGGAAACTTACGCACTGATCGCGGAAGGATTAACGCTCTCTCTTCTAGAAAGGGCTTTGAGGGCGCAGGTATTCTCGACAGCGACCGCTTGACCTCTTCTTTCGGCTTTTTGAGCAGAGTCAGCAACGTCTGCCGATTGCCATCGAGGTCACCATGGCCTTGCGGACATGGACGCCGTGTTATTACTTGGAGACGCGCCATTGGCATCCTGCTTGCTTGATAGAGTTGCAACCATCGAGACCGTGAATGTCTTCTGCGTTTGTCATGGATGACTGGGAAGTCCTTGGAGGCCGCACTTTCAACTGGCATCTTTTCCCCGGGAAGAAAAGTAGCAGCAAAAGGCTTAAGCACAGGCTTCAGCGGCAACTCGGTTTTCCATTGATAGCAAAGCTTACTCCAAAGCGTCTTCGTGTCAAAGAACTAGACTGTCTCCATCACCGCCTTTCTAGTCTTTTATTTCTTTTGCAGTTTCGATTTGCGGGGAAGGTCCAGTACGGAGTAGCTTCACAGCTTGAACAGATCGAAAGGAATTATGTCAGTTACTTCTTCCTCTTCCCATCTCGTAACCTCAATCTCCGTCCCACTATGCGACCTCCTCGCAGGTAGAATGCTTTGGGAAGTCAGTAGCGGCGAGCTAGGACTACGATATATTTCGTCCCGCCGCGCCAGTCCTAAATCCATCTTGGCCTCCATGTTAGCGCGATGTTTCCGAGTAGTCCATTCCTTCTTCTTTCCAAACACGTTTAAGAAAATCCTTTCAGCAACTTCGATCAGGTCTGCATAGCGGGAGATAAGGCTAGAGTAGTTATTCTGCGCCGTTAGAGACAGAGTACAGGCGTTGTGGCAGGCGAGTAGGTGCTAGAATATGCCATAAACCTCCCAGCTAGTGATCTCGGGTGAGTTTGGCTCTGTAGGTGGCTTCGGGATCTCTGTGAATGACTGTTTGTAGACTGGACAGTATGGTGGAGAGGGGTTACGAAGGCAGGCAATGCGGTGGTCGAAGGCGTCAGGGGGTTTCATGTTCAACAAGCCTTTGTGACACAGCAGGCAGGAAGTCGTTGGAAGATCTGTCGAGCACGACAGTTCTGGAGTTGACGATTCTTCCAGTTCGGCTAGTGCGCTGTTGATATCTGGCGGAACCTCAGTCATGGCTTCATCGCTCTTTTCATGTCATGGCTTCCCGATACTCTTCTTGCTTCCTTCTTCTCCGCAGCTCTTGCTTTGTCTCTCAACACGTTCCAGTATTGGTTGAAGTGCACGACGGCTTTGGCATCATTTTTGGGTTCTACCCATAAATAGCAGACGCCACATTTGAACTGATCGGCGCGTACAGTCTTCTTAGGGACGGCTGGTGGTGGGCGAGTCGTCGGATCTGAGGGGTTGTCAAGCTGCACTGGTCGAGTAGCCGGTTATGAAGGTGCGGTGGGAGCTTCCAGATCCGGCATTGCTGTCGATCTTTTCCCAGATTTCTGTTTCAAGAGCTCTTGGTGAGAGTTCAGGTGCTTTGGTGTGATGGCATGTCTTTTGAAGGTCAAGCTGTGGTCAAAGGGTTGAATACCGGTAGGGAAGAGATGTTGTGCCTGGACTGTGTATATTGAGCAATGAGTGGAAGATAATTGGTAGATGGTAGAGCTACAAGGCTAGACCTGTTTGTGTGCCTGGAAGTCTATTGCTCCGCACATTCACCAAAGCAAACCCCTTTTTGTTAACCGCTAAGGCACTAGGACTTTCCGTGTCACACACGCTCGTTGACTGTATAGTGATCTCTCTAGATATCATTAGGCAACTCTCCGGTATAAATCATGCAATGCTTGGGATACAACATGTACTAGAAATTCTGCTTCACCGCAATCGCATCCGTCAGCGACAAATGTCTGTTTGAACGACTTAAAAATCCGGTCAAGGGATCTAGCGCAGTTTTAGCGCCGCAGCTGCTGTGCCTCAGCTGTGCCGCTGGAGTCGCTGCGCTGGCCGGTTGAGTACATAGGTAGTGCATCGCTTCCCCACTGGATAATGATGCCCATTTCCATGCGACAGTATTTCTTCTATCGTTCAACGTTGCAGTCACAAAACACATCAAATACAGCCTTACCAGAAGTGGTTCGAGATGGAGCATTACAATGGGAATTACAACTATCTACCCTTGAGAAAAGGTAGGCGAGCCTTGTACAAGAAGGACGGAACGTTCCCTCCGCGAGATGTTCCTGTTGATGCTCTATGCCTCACCGCTTCAACTACCAACTACCACATGGAGACGACTGGCGACCTTCGAATCCTTGAACTCCTCCCCGGGTCTTTCGGTGATTCTTTGAAATGCCGATTGCGTGTTGCGGCAATTGAGAGCCACCCAGTGTACGATGCACTTTCGTACATGTGGGGAGATTTATCACTTAAGGGGGAGATAATTCTCGATGGTGAAGCCTTCCCTGTTACTGGATCTCTCGAGAATGCCCTGAGGCATATGCGCCTGCAGGACAGTGTACGCTATCTTTGGGCAGACGCCGTATGCATCAACCAATGCGATATTAAAGAACGCGGTAATCAAGTTCACTTGATGAAGGAGATTTACTCTCGGTCCAAAACTGTGAGGGTCTGGATCGATGTGGATCTTCCTGCTGAGGACCCCATTGTTCGAAAACTCTTCACTCTTCAACTACAAGGAACTGTCGATCAACTAGGCGATGATCCCGAAGCCTGGAAGCTATTTCTCCCACTTCTTCAAAATCCGTATTGGGACAGACTCTGGATACAACAGGAACTTGTCTTCGCACCAAAATTGGTATTTCACTGCAGAGGAATGGCTATCCCCGGGGACTGCTTAATGGCACTCCAACTTCAGATTTTCCGGAAGTTGGCTCGTGGCGGGAGACCTTTCGATGCCGATAATGCCTGGCGCCCATTTAGACCGCTAGTATCAACCACTAAAGCTCCTTCACGGAACTTAGCTTGCTGGCGGGAGATGATGAGAAGCAAGGTGCCAGTCGACCCATACACACTCCAACCAGATTTGTCTCTCCTCAAACCAAAGGCGGAGTGGCAACTTGATCCTCGAAAATGGGGCCCATGGCTGAGCACAAATCCAATCTATCTATTGGGTATGTTGCGGCAATCACAGGCCTTGAAAGCAACGGAACCAAAGGATCGGGTGATCGCCGCTCTAAATCTAGTCATCGACTATAATGACGATGGTCAGGAAGTGGACTACGAACAAAGCCATGCCGAATACTGCCTACGTGTTGCGCGACTACTAGTATTTAAATGCAACAGTCTCCAACTTTTGACCATGGCCAGAACCCAGACTATTCCCGATCCTGCCGTCCAGGGTTTGCCTTCATGGGCTCCAAATTGGAACTCGCCGGGAAATGCGGAATATTTCTCAGGTGCTTTTCATGCGGCAGGCGATTTGTCCATGTACAATACGCCCTTTGAAGAAGATATCGAAGACGGTATTTTACACTCTAGAGGATTTCTGTATGCTAAAGTCGACCGAACGCTCTCGAATACCGACAACGCTGTCTCTCCGCTCTCGGTTTTGTCAAACCTATTCATTTCCGCCACAGAATCCACCGGATGTTGCTATACCGATATCAGAAAGCTTGCATTCACTCTTACCGGCCCAGCTGTTGCTGAGCTCCGCATAGGCTGCAGTTATTTCAGCGAGATTGAAGCGGTTCTTTACACAGGCATCCTGCTTGGTTGTTCTTTCGTCACTCCCGGACTTCGCATTATCGATCTGCTTCCTTACACAACGAGCGTCTATGACCATTCTCAGAGGGATCTAACCGTTGTGCTTCGAGCTTTACGGAAATTCCATAATCTTCGCTGGCTCGACCTTGAAAGATTATTCGCTGCTGTTCAGGATATACAAGATCAAACTGAACGCTTCGGACATTTCGTCCAGCTGGTACACAAAACTCTATCTTCCGGATGTCTGTCATCTATCTCTTGTACCAGCGCTCTTGCCATCACGGAAGGAAAAGCCTCGGTAAAATCCGGCGACGAGGTATGGATCCTGTTTGGCTGTGCAACACCCATGGTCCTTCGACGTACTGTTTCACACTTTCTTGTTGTCTCCCCGGCCTATATCTCTGATATCATGCATGGAGAGGCGATGGGTGGGGTAGTTACACCCGATGAAAAGGATGGCGGCTGGTCCAGGGCCCTGGAAAAAGGAAGTTTGAGTCCCACTCCTGTATTCTCCTATATATCAGGAAGAAGAGACTGGTTGGTGGAAGTGATTCGCCTACGATAGGTGCCTGTCAGCTAAGGTATTGTGGTACGGAGTGATAAAACTGGTAGTAACAAGATAACCCCCGATTTGAGAAAGAAGTTATAGGGGTACACTACACGGGACTATCATTCGGATTTCGTTCTTCAAAGCTCCTATGTGTACGTCGCTTGCGGCTACTAAACGCTGAGATGGGTATGTACTTAATGCGGACCAATTGTTTGAAGCCATTCATTAGCAATATCAGAGCAACGAGAGCTCTCTCCTCTTCGAAGGTAAGATATTGTTGGCTCTGGACCCTTTCCTCTATCGAGCGTCTCCTATGAGCACGGTTGTACGGCGTAGTGAAAGCGATATCGCTTGCATCTGATAGGGCTACCTATATTGTAGGTTCATGAAGTAAGGCCTGAGCCAGTATCTTGCTGCCTTGGTCCACCTCGTTAATCGGGGCGGTACAACCAACACGAGGCACGTCTGACAGATCTGATAACACTGCATGCTCAATGGACTGCCTCTAAGAATAGTCTCTCTTCCTCGAGCCTCTCTCTGTATATACGTGCTTCCAGAAGCTGCGCCAGAGTTAGTTGTTTTTGCGGACTATTGTAGGTTACATTACGACATGATCTAGACCCAAAAATATGTGATGTAGGCTCGTTAAGCTCGACCACTTTGCGCCGACTCCTCTCCATCAATCAAGATCATCTCGGATAGCACCACCACAGGGCCTGGTTGTATGGAAAGTATACGGATTATTCTTCATACAATACTGCATCATTTCGATCCACCAAGCTAAAGTCTAGAGCAGGCATCCAAAATTTAGCTGGTGTACATCGACAGCGCCCGCTTACGCAGTGTGTACTGGATATTCGACAATATGGAAAGACCACTGCAATTCTAGCGCCGTACATATATTTGGGACGTGACAGATCTTAAAGAATAACTTAGCTTTCATGATATACGGACAGAATATGGGCTTGAGAAATGGCATGCTAAGATAGAGAATTCGTCCTTGCACCCTGATGTTCCCGGGTCATATGTGGGATATTACAATACATGGCTTCGATAATCTGTATCCAGAAGGGCAGATACTTTCGCTCGTAGGTTGAAGTTCATGGAAGCGGTGCTTCATATTGAACGTGTTGCCATATGACACTAGGCGAGTAGATACGTACTTGTGTGGGTTCATCTCTCCCCATATCAGCCGTCTGTCTTGCTTAGCAATATTGAGGACAGGTTGGAATCGCGAGCTCCGCTCTTTTACCTCTAACTACCAGCAGTCGAAAGTGCTGAAAGTCGTAACCGTAGATCGAAGACATTATCGTGCGCAACCTTGAGAGCGTCCCATGCGCGTTGCATCTCTATTCCTGCAACAAATATATTTTTGTGGGTCGTTTCCAAGTCAATGGCTGTTCCAGATGAACGTGGCGTATTGCTTTAATATGAGGTTGCTGAGTAGGGGGCCTTTGTTGCGCAAAGGCCCTGGGATGCAACTAGTACATTGCCAATGGCATAATGCTAGGCCCAACATCGTTCGGCACCAGGAAACTTATGCTTACTGCCATGTTTCTGATCAATTTCAGTAGGTTTGATAAGGCGTATATGAAACGGCGCGCGCCTTATCCTGACCGCTGTCATTGTCCACGTCGCGTCGCATTACTACATTTGATAATTTTGAGAACCAGTTGCCGATCTCCGACTCGTAACAATACTACATCTCCCGGAAAGTGATGACATGCCTGTTATGCGACCTCACACATCCCCTGCGATGGGTGAAGCGATGGCATATGTCGGCTTGAGCGCCCTTTGATGATGAAAGCTAATGGTTACAGTAGCCTTTGCAGTGCCGGATGACTTTGCAAGTCTAATAGCCCGGCGATCCTGAGCTATGGGGAAGGTCGATGGTTGGCATTTGGTTGGCATTCCACAACTTTGCATCCGTGCTGAGACCTTCTCCTGTGTTCTGAGGCGAGCGTGCTGGCGCAAGATGGTGTTCATGTTAGAATTAGCGCGTACTAATCACCATCTCGAGTGCGCGGTAACATCTTAGCAAATATGGCCGTTGCGAGAAGTAAGTTCTCTTGTTCCTCAAATAATGGCAATCCTTCCACGAGACACGAAAGACGTTCGATAGAGGCGATACTGAAGAGCATCCCTAATCAGAGAGGCGCCGGAAGGTAGCAAAGGTAAAGAAGAAGAAATCGACTGCATAATGCAAGACCAAAGTGTCACAAGACATGAGATGGTGTTGCGGGTGGACAAAGCCGACCGGTAGCAAGAATATGTTGAGGGCGGAGAATACGTCAGTGGCCGTACACTAGTACGAAGTTGGAATAGCAGACGGGCGATCGGTGTGCTTCGGTGTGCATGAATTTCATTGCTCTATAACCTTGGGTATCAATAGATCTTGTTTAGTGGCATAGATCAAAGCCAACTTGTAGGGTATACTTGTGCTCCCTTACTTAGAACATCTGCCTGTTCTTCATTTCCACAGGCAAGAAGCACATCAGCAGTGCAGACAGCCAAATACCACCAGCACCTAGCCAAAGGATACCGGAACTGTTGTCAGCGAGGAGCTGAGCACCAGCATAGGGTGCAACAATTCCTGCGATACGACCCAAACACGAAAGCATGCCGCTGACACTGCCGCGATAAACAGTGTCGAAAAGCTCTGGAGCAGACGCATATAAGACGGCGTTGAAATACTGGAATGCTATCAGTGTTGAACACATTATGCTCAGCTTTTGCACTTACTGTTTGCATAATATACTCCAAAGCGTTCAAACCCACGTAAGCCGCAGTGTTAGACACCTGAGTATACATAGCCATAGAAACACCCTGGCAGATGGCGGAGAAGACCAGCGACCATTTTCGGCCTATGAGAGGCAGTTGAATCGAAGCAAGAGCAAGGATAGCGCCAATGATGCCCGGAAAATAGATAATTAGGTACTGCTCGTAGGTGTCGCTGACGGTTCCCCGGCCTTCATCAACGTTGTTTCGTAACAGGATAAGCGGAAGGAAGTTACCCGCCAGGTTGAAGGACCAGTAGTCTCCCTGGCCAATGTTAGCGAATACTGGGCTATTTACGAGATATGATACTTACCATGTAGGTGATAGCAAGTAAGACAAAAATGAAAGCGGACAGTTTGTTAGTAAAGATACCCTTGAGGCGGGTCAACTCCTTGCCAAATCCGCTAACGACTTTCTTGGTAGTGGCCTTGGTTCCTTGAGGGCCATCGTCTGACACTTGTGCGCTTGATGTGGCATTGGAAGATGCCTCATCTATAGCGGCAAACATCTCAAGGGTCAACGTCGGGGCTGGTTGCTTGTTGAACTTCGCAATCCTGTGCAGAACGTCGAGAGCCTCTTGTTCTCTTCCTCTCGCAAGCAGGAACTTGGGCGACTCATGGAAAGTAAAGATGAAGTAACGGAGGAAAAATACCGCCAAAGTCATGCATCCGAGGACGATGACAGTGTATCGCCATCCCATGTTGCTGCCAACGGTACAGCAAGCTTCTCCAGAATTGACATGGGGACAAGCCGGAAGTGCGGGATCGCAGCGCCATTTGGCTTGACCGGTGGTACCGTAGGCGATGCAAGATGCAATGGCGACGCCGATGGGTTGCCACATGGAGAGAAGCGCGACAAGGAATCGTCGGTTATGGGGCAGAAACTCAAGCGCAATGGTTGCATCAATCGGGATGTTACCTCCAAGACCGAGCGACGCGAGGAAGTAAATGGCACATATCGCAGCGTAGTTGTACTTGGGGGCAGCCTGATCACCGGTCAATCATTGATGGTAGGAAATATAGTTTCATGAACGTACCAGCAATAGTCCAAACACTGAAGTGATGAGGCAAGTCAGATTGAAAGCCCATTTGCGGCCAATAATGTCAACCGCAAGACCAAAGCCAAGCGCACCAACAGCCAGTCCTGCATTAGCGATTGCAAAGATATCTCCAGTATGTGAGTCCGCGACTCCCATCTGTGGATGCTTTAGTACGCGTTACCCGCGCGTGATGTTGAATAACTCACCTCCTGGTATATGGCTGAAGCAATCAGACCGACACCTTGTGACCATGCGAGATCAAGAAAGTATCCAAAGCCACAGAGGAACCAGATGCAGATTTGATACTTCCCCATTCCGAATTTATCAAGTTCGACGTTGATGAGAGCAGCTTTCTTCTCGAAGGTGTTGAGCGGGTTTGCGGCGGTGCCTTTTAGAATTGCAGCAAAAGACAAGTCGGTTTGATCGACACGCTCTACATCATTGTAGATGGGAATCTCAACCTCAGGGCGCGCTTTCTCCGGGTGCTCAACTGGTATCTTCTCATTCTCAGGAATCTGTACTGGTATCTTCTCATCATCGCTGAGGTGCGCTTTGCTGCGCTCTGACTGGTTGACATCCATCTCGACTGTAGGTGGGCGAGCTGTCAAGTGCAGGGTATCGTCAGGTGACTTCGCGTAGAGTGGGCGAAGATGAGTCGCCTCGTGGTGATGGCAGTTTACAGGGCCGGGACCGTGGGACCAGGTATTATACGTATGCGCGGGGAACATCTAGCCTTCTCACGCTACCACCGACTACTCGCGAAAACGGATCTAAGCGATAGAGGCGCTACGATCTAATCGCTGATCGAAGCCTTGTCCGCTCAACGGCCCCTGTCTCCAAGACGGCAGAGGTCTAGCTCATTGGATCTTATTGGTTGCCACCAACTGATGACGGCATTGCAAGCGGGCTCGTCGCGCGACCTTGTCTGGCCTTGTCTTTGCATGGGAGTGTAACTTCGGCATGGCCGTGTAACGATAAGTTTTGAGCGCAACTAACGGGATGCACTAACAGCTTAGGTACATCAAACACCTGATAGGTTCACAATCCTGTTGTAATATGACGGTAGAACCCAAGTGGCGCAAACAAACGATATGCACTACGCAGTGCCCAGACCAAGTCCTCCGCTCAAGGCTGAGGGTTACGCAGTCTACTCAGTTGCAGCGTCATTTCCTAGCACGCTTATTGCCAACTTTGCTCCACTCCCCTCCACTCTCAATTATTGCCGTGGAGCTCCACTACTAGTTTTGACATTGACATCCACAAAACCGGCACTGATACCGAAATCTCGTTCTTTGCCATGGTCCAGCCTCTCCATTTTTCCAAGATCTTGAGTTCGCTCTCGGAGATCGTCTATACCAGATGTAGTCTAGCGTCGAGTCAGATAACGCCACCCTGAAGTACTCGCATGGCCCACCTCAGTTACCTGGCAGCCATCTCTCACGTCATGACCGATAAGTTTTCTCATTGTACCCACCCCTAGCCAAGTGCAACTGACACAAAAAAACAAATTTTATACTCGTCAGAAGCTCATCATCAACCTCCCGTCAATCTTTAGAGCGCACTTCCTTCGATTCCATAAAGTGCATCGGCTTTCGACATGGCTATTGCTGCTGCTTGCACGCCCGTTGTCAACACGAACGGCCTCTACAATCGCTCCCACAGGGACAACTCATCTCAGCAAAATTCTACTATCGGACATACCTTTGTTTGACGTGATGTTGTTCTTCTAAGTACGGGCGAAGGTATAACACAAAGCGAAGTTCGATTGCTGGCAACCAAACTATCGCACGACTGACATATCATCGCCTATTCTTCCGAATGGATTGTTATCCTACCAAAATCCAGAGGTGGGGCGTAGGTAGATTGTGCAGCACCGAGCCTACAGGCTAGCTTTTCAATGTTAGACTTCATTCGACAGCTCCGTCAATATTTCTCCCGAGCCATGCGGATGTACGGAGAGCTGATCTTGGCAAGCTCAACATCATCCGGGAAGCCTGTTTTGAGTTTACAGAGCTCCGCAAGCGGTACAGTGCGGAATCTGTATTATTGCATCTCACTTTTCCTGTACGCTTCAAAGATAGATCTGGGGAAACTGGACATGTCTACACTGCATCAAAGGTGATGTCGAGAAAGATAAAAGCTATCTCAAGGGTCGTTCTCTGGTAAAGCTGATGCTGGCACGCTGCCGACTACATTGGTCATGCAAAGCTGGAAGTGTCCTTGCTGCTCTCCATTAAGCGTTGGCGGCAATGTTGTCGTTATGTGTAGCCGGTACGATGGTCCAATCGCGTACGGTTCGGATACAGGTCACGTCGCGCCGTGACCAATTCTCCAAGAAATGGCAGATCATCCATGTTTGTGCTGTGGTCATTGAATCTTGCATTCCTTGTCCTCGGCAAAAAAAATGCGACGGCACTTCAGAGACTCATCCATCAAACTGCAGGTCGGTGCTGCAAAATTTACCAAAAGGCTTCGGAGGCTTGTGTAGCGGCCGGCATATGCGAGTACTTTCTAGAATACTTCTATCCGTGCTATTGAGATAGTTCTGATGAAATTTTCCACGAGCCGCTGCTTGCCAAGTCACTGCTTGTGCAAGGTAGCTGGTGGTAGAAAGGAGGAGGCGGAGTTTGAGGAGTAAATGGAGATCAGTTAGCCTGGGCCAATTCGAACGTCGAAGAAAATTAGAGGTTTGTCTGTTATAGATGGATAGGGATGCAATGATATATATGTTGGAAGCTCAAAGACAATGTAATCATGCTGTCAAAAGGACGTCTCATGAATGGCAAAGTGGAGTGGCACCTGATACTTTCGAACCTTGACAACACTATTGGCACAGAACGGCAGGAATGATATACGTGCGGTAACCCAATCGTATACTTGTTGCCGTATACGAGTGGCATATGAGATATCCGACTGTGATATGTTGAGTAAGCTTAAGTGTCTTCAACATGCTTTGGCTCATCTCGCATAAGCTTCCGACAAACTGAGGGCCTCCCAGCTACCTCAAGGTAGTGATGTACACCTGCTTACATGCCGGTGTGTTGGCGCAGGCTATGAATAAGGCAAGGCGAACAATGATAGAATAGTCTCATTGAGGACCTCATTTCTCATGCTATCTACTCACATGTCATCCTTCATACATGTGCCCGTCTACCTTCGCAGTCCCATCACTCGACTATTTCGACGATGTTGTTCCTCTTAGGCAAAGACATTGCAATATCCCTCTGCGCAGCAAGTCCAGATCCACCCGTGGACGCGCCTGTCAACGCCTTCCGCAACTGATTCAGAATCGTAAACTCGGTTCGAAGCTTGACAGCGTACACAGCGACCTTGTAGAAGCCTTGTAGGAAGAAGTACCCTCTAAAGCACAAACCCATGACGCTACAATCGAGGACGATGATGAGGACATTGACAGCGATAAGATTTCGAAGATTGGTACGCGTGGTATGACGACAGTTGCCGAGAAGTTCCATATTCTTGAGATATTTGGCGGTTTCGTAGATGTAGAGAATGCCAATGAGGGTTTCTTGGACAAAGAAGGCGGTGATTTGCACTTTGTCCCAAATCAGATTGGTGTTGTGAAGTTGTGCGTTGAAGTGTGGGTGGCGCTATGATTAATTAGTATGGTACAGTTGCTTGCGACGAACGACGTGCAGCAATCATTCCGAGCAAAACTGTAGTGAGGCCAAAGATGACCGAGTCAATGATGATCATGTAAAGGATGTAGCGTCCGATTTGCACGTTCTTCAGTACGAGGTTGAGGCGTGAGTAGAGGACAAGTGACTGAGCGACCACGTATGCGAACCATGCCAGTTCAATAATGACGATGGACGAGTATGCTGTCCATTTGTTGAAGTTGGCTAGGAGGATGGCAATGCTATGCACGATGATACCCCAGCTGCACAGCAAACAGCTCCAGAAGTACAGGCTGCGACGTGCGGCCTTAACGAGTAGGCGGATGTTGAGGTCGATGCAGATGAACCATGCAATTCCTAGAAAAGCTGCTGCGGACATAGAAGATGCAAGGTCAGCGACGTCGGTTGCTGCCGCGTGGCTGACATCTGAGGTTGAAGTCATGGTGGCCAGGCTGAGGAAGGTGGGCATCGATGAGGTCTGCAATATATACTGGGAAGTTAAAATTGCTGAAGTGTGCGAAGCAAACCAGGAACAACGAAAGCTCTGACTGATGTGAAGATGAACGTAGGTCGCCAAACGAGGTTTTGCAGACTGTGCCTTCCTCAGTCACCGTCACCGTGACTGCCATTTGGGACTCAGCACCAATAAGGCAATGTTGCACACGAGCACGCCACACCTGCTAAGACGCCTAACCATGCGTGGCATCCTTGTCTTATAGTACCACAGGATGCTGTAAAAATGCTACCCTCTGGCAAGCAGGGTGGTGAAGTAGCCTTAGTCCAAAAGCAGAATCGTAAACAGAATGATAACTTTCAAGATCTACCTGTTTACTCGGTGCAACAGATGACAGACGATCGTGACGGCCCTTTAATGTGCTGTAAATATCATGTGCCTTTTGTCTTCTATACCAGATGCCTCACTTCTTTGCAGAAGTGTTGACATCGGCGATGTTCTCCTGCCTGCTCAAGACCTTCTTAGGGCCCCAAGTACCGGCTCTACCACCAGAATCAGCACGGCCCTTCTTGGGACTCATCCTCTCACCACCGCCAGTACCTCCACCGATATCTTTGATGTTCTTGGGTACGGCAGCCATCTTGAAGGTGGACAGAGGGTTCAATGGTGTCACAGGAGTGCTCGCAGGGCCACTGCCACCGCCACTCCTCTTGCCCTTTGGCTTCTTTCCACCTGAAGTCTCGATCCATGTACCTCCCTCCTTCGTTGCCCTGCGCTCGGCCTCTTCTTTTTCGCGCTTCACACGTCGTTCTGCCTCTCGCTCCCTTGCCGCCTTGTCGCGAGCCTCGCGTCGGACACGCTCCTCCTTGGCCCTTAGCTCTGCCGCCTGCTTCTCTCTCACTGCACGTTCACGAGCTTCGTAGGCTTTGGCAAATTCGTGTTGCTCGAACCGGACTTGGGCTTCTGTCTCAGCGCGAGCCTCGAGCTTGATGCAAGGGTAGCACGGGAAGTGCGACAGACGAGGCTTGTTGTCTTCGCTAATGTCGGGGCATACCGTGTTGGAGAGAAAGCCCGGCCGGCACATTTCGATGTAGGGACGGTCGGAGAGGTGGCTGCATGTGTGCAGCTTCTTCCAGTAAAGACACATGTTAGACAGACCTGAATAATGTCAGCGACTTGCAGAGCGTATACTTTCTGGTTAGTACTTACGTGGTCAAGGTGCAACTCTAGATCTGAGAAAGCTGGTGTTGATGCTTTGGGGAACACTGGAGTAAAAGCGGATAAGAACGTAATGTTTGTCACCGTGGGCCTAAACAGAGTTCGGAAAGCGCATCGGTGAGGTGAGAGAAGATCAAAGAGTAGCTCATACTTCGCGAAGGTGGCTTGTGACATGTGACTGGCAAGAGCGCCCAAGGGAGGTGAGAGAAGAGGAAAACGTGTGAGGCAGGAGCGGACTTCCCTCACCAAGGCAATAACAGAGCTCAAGGACTGGATGGAAATCGAACGGGGACAAATTCTGGTGCATGGCTAAGGCCAACGGTACAAGATATTGGAACTATGAGGGTATATCCATCGCAATATGCAGACTGCCGGGATCTGATGTGCGTTTGTACACACGCCCTGCGTATCCTGCCTACCCTAAACATGCGTAAGATAGCATGTCGGGCCCAAAAGGCGCTGCAAGGAATGGCGTGAAAGTATACTGAGAGCAACAGGGGACGACGCAGAATCATCTACGCTTTCATCTTCCGTCGCATCTCAGGCGCGGGCGCCCCGGTGCTCGACCTCGGTGATGCGGCTACCGCCTATCTCTTTGACCTTGGCCACAAGGGTATCGGTTTCGTCGAGCTCTTGAATATCGTCGCCGCCTCCTATGCTCTTGCCCATCAGTAGAACGTTGGGTACCGTTCGTCGACCTGTAGATTTGTGTAGGAATGCTTGTAGTTGTTGGCCTATCGGGCTTTGATCGAGCTCGACGACGTAGGGTTCGGGTTTGATGTTGTACTTTTCGAGCAGAATGTGTTTCGCCTTCTTCGAGTAAGGGCAGTAGGATTTTGAGAAGATAATCACTGTGGTCAATTAGCGACTGCGCATGGATAGGGGTAATGCAGGAGCGGCGTACTCGGGCTCTTCTTCAGAATTGCATTGAGCTCCATCTCAACTTCGTGGTCTTCCAGTGTCTCATGCTCCTTCATCGCCGCTTGGTCGCGCGGTCTACCGCCCTGTTGCGCGACTCCAGGAACCTTGTCGCCGTCCATCTTGACTCTGCCCGCGACGCCCTTCTGGTCCTGGCCCTCAACCTGGACCTTGTGGTCTGCGTATTTGTCCTCGGCGTTCTTCTTGGCCTGCTCCTCGGCAGCTTTGAGTCGCGACCCAACGCTCTCTGCGTCGCGTTGCTTCGCCGCTTCTGCATATTCTTTCTCTTGTAAGGCTTGCTGCGTCTTTGTGTAGAAATCCGAGGTTTGTGTTTGGTGTGCTGCTCTTGACATGTAGAACAGTACAACAACTGTGATGACGATGAGGATGCCAAAGAACCTCATGCGACGTTGTGACGGCATGATGGCGATGTGTGTGCGGGTGGGATATGTGCCGTGTGGTGAGCGGGCTCGATCGTGTTCAGAACTTGTCAGGCTGATGTATTGCTCGAATTCTACCAATTACCAGTGGCGTTGGTATTATGTCGTCTTGGGTATATGGGTCGATGAGGTGGTGTTGGTAGAATCTGTGGCTCGAAACAGTTCCGCGTGCTGCAATTGTCGCACGAGCAGCGGATTGTCGGGCGCGGGAGTATAGACACGTGCTGTTGATTAAACGTTTATAATACGTGTGGTATAATTCTGCGAGAAAGACGTGTACAGAAAAGAAGCACACAATAACTGCTATTTTGGCCGAGGCAGTGCGGTGGTTTAGAGTGTTGGAGGGTTGGTGGGCCCACGTTGGAAACAATGTGGAGAGATGGTGGCCCTGGCTCCTTTTGGTTCGCGTCATGCCGCTTTCCGCAGTCTACTCAACACCATCCTTGTCACCAGACCGCCTGCCCACGCTGTGATTCGCGATTCTACGCCACGGTGCCTGCCTAAATCCTTCTTTAGTCATGGCCAGCCCTAGTTGTGATGGATTCGTGTTGGCTTCTTCTTTGTTCGCATACTGCCACATGGTTCCAGTGTCTGCTTGAAAGAGGTTTCCGACAGCGCGTTTCCGGCACGCATTACACAGAATTACGTCAAAATGGTTAAGTTATCTTGACGCAATGCGATACTTGGACGTGTCCCTTATTCAAGGCCCCCTATCAGGCTTCACAGGTGCACCACTATCGAAGGCTCGGATGTTGTGCTGTGCCCCCTCTGACCACCCATCCCTGACCGGTTAGACTATCGAAATGCGCCCGGTATCCCGTCGGCGCGTGACAGCGCGTTGAACTCAAAGACTTCAGGGCTTAAGCCCAAGAGAGTCGGATCGTCTACTCTATCAAAGCACACCGTCTGTTGCTTGCCGGTTTAGTGTAGGAGCTATCTTGTGCTCTCTTAGATTTTGCTCGAAGCATAGAGTAAGCTCCCCGCATCATGCGTCTCACGAGGACATGCAGGCTGCAGCCAGGTTCTCCACAAACGGCTACAGTGCTGTACTGAGTTTAGCGTGTACCCATACCGCTTTCGTACATTCCGCTATTTGCTCCAGAGCATGATATTATAACATATAAAGTCGATGAGTCGTTGAACTACTTGCTCTGGCATCGTTGCGCTTGAGCATATCACGCGTCCCTTACAGCTCCACGCCTTTGGTCATTACGTCATCTGCCGACCCACTATGTCTCCGCCGACTCCGCACCTCTCATCAACACCAATATCCATTGTACCCTCAGCGTCCGAAGTGAAAAGCGGGAAACTCGACCAACGCAATCTTGAGATTGCAATTAGGGCGCTGTCTCGAGATGGCCTTGTGGTGCTAGAAGACATGGTCGACCATGCAGTCTTGGACCGATTGAACAAGAAGATGGTTCAAGATGCACTCGAATTGCAGGCAAGGAAGGATAGCCCTTTCAACTACAATAAAGGCAACATTCAGCAGGACCCTCCAATGACCCAGGAGTGGTTCAGTGACGAAATCTACGTCAGTACGTGTTCAGTCCAGCTAGATTCCCAGCTGTCCGAACGCATACTAACATCACATCACAGACCCGATCGTTACGCAAGTCACTTCGACTGCGTTAGGTCCTGGGCCGTCGTTGCGCTTCATGTCTGGCAACACTGCGCTGCCACCAACTCCTTCATCGCCACCAGCCTCTCAGCCGACCCACAACGATGCTGACTTCGATCACTCCTCAATTCCCTTCGCTCTTGTGGTAAACGTTCCTCTCGTAACAATGACACCGGAGAACGGCTCGACAGAAATCTGGCTTGGTACACATCAAGGAACTACTATCGCCGATCAAGAGGGTGAACACGGCGATCGTGCTAGTGGAAGGATAAAGCAACATCTCCTTGACGCTCGTCGCGAAGTCCGACCACCATCTCAGCCTGTTGTCAAGAAAGGTAGTATCGTCATTCGCGATCTTCGGCTTTGGCATGGAGGGAAACCTAACTTCGGTGAAGATCCGAGGGTGATGCTTGCAATGAGTAAGTCCACTGCTGACATTATGCTTTCTTCCCATCTGAACTCTTGCAGTACACTTCGCGTCATGGTACCGAAACGCGATGGAAGTCGAGTTTGCGGAAGAGCTTGCCGAGCGGCTATCCTATGAAAAGACTGGTTTGCAGATCGCTGCCACTTACGTGTCGCGTGAGCATTTGCTTAAGAACTACCTAAACAGGCCTTACGGCAACGCGTATGATTTCGACCAGACCGAGAAAATTGAGGGCATCTTCTGATATGAGCTCGATCGCCAATGGTCACCATGTTCAAATTTGTTTCATCATCAAGATCCCGACGCACAAATGTCTCCTAAATATAGCAATGCTCGCACTCCGCTCCGCCCACTTGGCATCGCAAACTCACATATTTGGTACCCCACGGTTTTGCAAAATACCGCTCACTGACAGCTGGAGGTGTGTCAGCACCACCGCCAAGGAACTATATGCGCGCATGGCTGGACTCACTTTCCTATTGGTAGGGCGCCTTATGCGATATGCTCAGTAAGCTTCTACAGGCAATCAAAGCACATGTTAAGGCTTGGCGACCGTTGAGCGAACATCAACATCAGCATCAGATCACCCCACCGTGTGTCCTCCTTCTCTGTTCTTGGTTTTCTTTTCTTCTCGTTCTGCTGGTGGTACTTGACTTTGTTTCCGCGGTCCTAGACCGATCCTGTCAATTCTATCCTTGGTTGACTGCGAAGCCGCTTCGATTGCATACGACCATGTACGTAGTACCGGACGGTCGGAAGTATCACATTACAATAGCACAACCGATAGTCGAGGTAAATGCCGGGGATGCCACAATGGGCTTCAAAACTGCATTGGCAGTGGAGGTGCCGTTGATGGTTTTGGCTCTGAGCACTGTCATCCTGAGAGTGTACTCGAGGCTAGCGATCAAGAGGAAAATAGCACCTGATGACATTCTTATCATGCTAGGTACGGTATGTCGATCTTGAACTTCCTCGTAGCTTTGTGCAACTCAGTACTTACTGGAGCTAACCTCGACCAGGCCGCGGCTTTCGCACGTACCGTCATATCTTGTATGAGCGCAGATGACAATTGGGGTTATGATAGAAAAGGGTGCGTATGTGGTGCAACTGTGTGATGAGATCTGTGCTAACTGTTATGCCAGCCCTGATAGAACTTCGGAAATCCCATTCTATCAAGTACGATTCTCCTCTGATACATCATACTGTGCTCACATGTACTAGCATATATTCGAGCGCCGTGTTGCGTACATCTTCGCTGTCACATTTACACGTTTCTCGGTTTTGGCGTACTACCTTCGAATCTTTCCACTAGGAATGGTATCACTCCGAAGATGCTGTTACGTCCTCCTCATTCTGGCTCTTGCGCACTTTGTTGAAGTCCTCACCGTCCTCATAGTCTTGTGCGAAGACATCAGCAAGTTATGGACCAAGAACTGGCTCGAATTCACCGGGTCACAATGCTTCAGCTCCGCCATATACAGCTACTCTGCGGCCATCGGCGATAGTATCGTAGACAGCATGATATTCGCATTGCCGATCCCATACGTATGGCGGCTCTCCAAACTGAGGATCCGACAACGACTTGGTCTTGTACTTATTTTTGGCCTGGGATTCATCGTTTGTGTTGTTGCACTTCTCCAGATTCCGTTTATAAAGCGACGAGAAGACAACGTGCAGTATTTCGGCAGTGCTGTCAACATTTTGATCGCTATCCAAATCTCGTTTGCCATAATTGCAGCGTCGCTGCCGGATCTACGCGCGTTGATTGCACGCAGCTTCTCGAAATTCTCGCCACTTCATCACCGCAGTCTTGCCACAGCCTCTAGTGGTGATAGGGAAGGACGCCCGGTCAGTTCACATGATGCTGAGCAAGGGTGTACACATATGGGAATGGTTGGAGACCCTTCTGGAGCGAAGAGGGTGTTCAGAAAACCGGATTGGCTGAGGAATAGCATACCTGCAAGTTTGATGTCGACGATGATTACACACAACGAGGTCACCCGGCTTTCGACCGAAGAGGTCTCCAGTAGCCCTCAACGGCCAGAGAAAGCAGCAAGCTGAGAGCAATCTTTGGCGCAATAGTGGCCGTGCAGTCTGTGAGGCTAGACTATATAAGGAATGATGCTGCATGACAGCTATAATATCTTTCTTCAGATCCAGCACTTCATATAGAGGGATGTGTTGGCGGTATACGTATGTCCCCAAACAGTTTTGTCGAGTGGAGATGATGCTAATAACATGCAGGTGACTTACAAGAGAGGCAGAGGAACCCAATGTACGGACTACTCGGCTGATCATAAGCCCTAGTTTAATATCATCGGCTGCGCCATGATAGACGAGTAGTATGTCGACATGCCCACTCATCCGCATCTCTTGCTATCTGCCTGAATAACCAAGCTTTGCTCGGTAGGCCATGTGCATGGGTGTTAGATCAGTAGTAAGATAACACTGCGAGACATCCAGCATCTAGAAAGCCCATGACCAGGGAATTTGGAATATGACACTAAGCTGAACTATCAGCTGAGATGACTGCTAGTATGTCTCGCAACATGCTTATTGTGACGGTGGAATTTTCCGGCGGGAAGCACCTGACTACCAGACTCGGCTGATTTAGCTGGTCGACAATCTTTATCACGACGTACTAAACAGCTATTTGTCGAATCGTCTATCAATATATTGCGCTAGGCGTCTCGAGTTTTTATATAACATGTCTACCCAAAGTACAGTCAGTACGCCGAACTAAAGCTTATAGTTTGAACTATAAACCTAGCTAAAGGATCTGCTTATCTTAACAATATTGGGAAGTTTCCGACTCTGTCTACAATTACGTTGCGTCACAGACGATTGCTTACACACCCCGCCATCGCTAAGCTGAAAACTGCCAAGTCAGCTTACATGCAAGCGTAGTGACCAGATGCGGCTAGACTGACCGTATGCTGCTTACCTCGTACTTTGTTCCAAATCCTCGGGACCAATCAAGCTACTAAGCATGTGGGTAGGCTTCCCGACGGCAACGCTCTGCGTGTCCTGTACCTCGATATTGCTGATGCATGAAAGTGGAACACAGGGTGCATGCTACTTGCATTGAGCGATGGGAGATATAAGATGGTTCAACTGCGCAACTTGGAGTTTGCATCCTACATACCAGCTGTTTACTTGAACCCCGTACCAAAACCTGTACAATGGCACCTAAGTACGATTTCGTGATCGTTGGCGGTTCGTTCTCGTTATCCTCCCATACACCCTTCAAAACTAATCCCTCTATCTTTAGGCGGAACATCAGGCTGCCTTCTCGCTCATCGACTCTCCCACTCCGCACGTAGGCCTTCTGTTCTTCTCCTTGAAGCTGGCATCAACCCCTCCGGTGACTACCTCCGTGCGCCTTACCACCGGTACTATGCCCAAGCTCTGCGCCCGGATCTAGACCATGGCTATGTCTCCGAGCCTGAATCCGCTTTGAACAGCAGAATCATACCATATACAAGAGGCAAGGGCCTAGGCGGAAGTTCCATCCTGAACTTCGCCGTGTATCTCTACGGCAGTAGTGAGGACTACAATCGCTGGAGCGAACTAGTCGGCGATGATAGCTGGAAATGGGAGTCTGTCAAGAAATCCTTCCAAGCTATTGAGAATTATGACTTTTCAGGCTCAGAAGATTACAAACACCTCGCTGATCCTAGCGCCAATCCCCATGGTACCGAAGGTCAGTTGAAGGTTGGTCTTCCGCCTGTGCTTGAGCAGGGTGTGGTACCCCAGATGGAGGGGCTGGCTGCGGCGGGAGAAAAGATCAATCTCGATCTTAATTCGGGGGATCCGATAGGTATTGCGGTTTTGCCGCATAGCTATAGTAAGGAGGGGAGGAGTACTAGTGCGATTGCGCATCTGGTCGATCCACCAGGTAACCTTGAGGTATGGACGGATGCAAAAGCGGAGAAGTTCGTATGGGATGGGAAGAAGGTCGTTGGCGTTGTCACGGAAGATGGACGAGAAGGTAAAACCACTACCTGAGATTGATCCAGACATAGCGAGCACTAATATGATACAAGCGATGGCAAGCAACGAAGTTATCATCTGCGGCGGTTCAATCGACACGCCCAAACTTCTCCTTCTAAACGGCATTGGACCGAGACCCGAGCTTGAAGCTCTCGGCATCGACGTCAAAGTCGACTTACCCGGCGTAGGCAAGCAGCTAAAAGATCACGTCCTCACCTTCATGACAGTAGAAGTCTCGGGCTCAATCAACTCCAAGTACGCCTTTGACAACAACCCGGAACTCATCGCGTCCGCCCAGGAATCTTGGACCAAAGACCAAACCGGCGCTTTTGCCCTCCAGCACTCGTCGCTCTGGGGCGGCTTTCTCAAACTACCAGATCTGGAATCGTATGAAGAGTACTCCGCGCTTCCGCCCGACGTCCAAGATTTTCTATCCAAAGATCAAGTTCCAGCGTATGAATTTATCAACAACTCTATCCTTTGGCCACCAGGTACACAGCTCGATGAAGGAAACACGTACATGACTTTCCTTGCCTTTCTCATGAATCCACAGTCCAGCGGCTCCGTAACACTGCGGTCAGCGAACGCATCCGACAAGCCAATCATCACATTGAACTTTCTTACGCATCCCTACGACGTCCGCGTTTTTCGCGAAGCTATCCGCAATACGTGGCAGAAAATGACAGGGAATTCTGCTGTCGCTCCGCATATTGTGCGTACAATTCTTGGTCCAAAGTCCATGGAAGATGCGGAGTTGGATCGTTTTGCAAGAGAGAATGCGAGTACAGTGTGGCATGCTTGCGGTACGTGTAAGATGGGGAGGGAAGAGGATGCAGAAGCGGTTGTGGATAGGGAGTTTAAGGTTAGGGGAGCGGAGGGGTTGAGGGTGGTGGACATGAGTGTTGCGCCTGTTACGACGAACAACCATACGCAGGCTACGGCGTATTTGATTGCGCAGAAGGCGGCGGAGAAACTGGTTGCCGAGTATGGGTTGGATAGAGTGGGCTGAAGAGTCAGAGGTGGATGCACGCTTTACTGTCATAAACGAGAGACAGGTCAGTCGTTGAGAAATCTGAAACTATGCGGAGAACCCCCTGACAACGCAGATTTGACCTTCCTCTTCGGTGACATTGACAGTTTGCTGCGTACTTGTCATCGACTTACGGTGTAGTGGTTGACATGTGCAAAACGGAAGATCCTTTGCCAGCACAGCAGGCGGGGCCCACAACATCACACGAGCCCTGCAGGTACCGGCGGAAGATATTTATAGCCGGCCGGAAATCTGGAGTCTGGATCTTGACAACGAGCACGACAAGTTAACGGTTTTTCGGATGCTGCAGAAAGAAGGATAGCGATACCAAGAAGCTATGCGAGACTAAGGCAAACCACTGCACCAGCTTGCAGGCTGCATGCGCAGAACCATATCACTCTGCGCTGCAGAGTGATTGAGGAACTACTGCCCGACGCCAAGACAAGAATCTGGCTTGGACCAACACGGGGCCGGGCATATCCTTCTGGAGGAAATTGCTATGACGGAAGGTGGTCGCTGAGACAAAGAGGACGCCTAGGTGATCCCGCGACGGTCGTTGCTGGGTGAACCGGAGGCGGAGCGAGCGCTGAACATGAGTGTAAACGACACGCCTCATAGAGTTGCGAGACAGCACACATCTTCTCACGTATAGCGGACACTCTTGATTGACATCACGAACACGACACGACTTACTGTTCCCACTACTACTAGACTCTAGCCAAGTTTCAAAAATCCCGCAAGCGCAGAACCCCGGTGTTGTTGAAGTTGGTGAGGAAAGGTCGCCCAACCACCCCCAGCCTCTCCCGCGGCTTCCAACCACACGATTATTCTAAGTGTACCCTTTTCTTTGCGCACTTCCTCCTGCACGATTACACACATCGTACCATCCTTTCTCTCCTCCATAATTCAAGTTCAATAATAACTGACTTTTTGTGGTTCCAAACTTGTACCACGAGCGGAACCAGTCATCAACGCCAGCAGACACACGAAAGACACGCTAGCCAACGGATCGACCCCGCAGCACCGATATCCACCCATTCACCGCTCCCAAGCCGACTGCGCGATATCTACGAATTGCAGAGCGCTTCTTCTTTCGCTTCTCCCCCCGTTTCCTGCAAACGGTCCTATCTATTCCAATCGCAGTAAACTCGTTCTTACTGCGTTTGGTACCTCCAACATTCGCCTTTAATCATGTGGGTTTTCAACGCTCCTCCCGCCGTACTCGGCCTGGTCGCACTAGCACACCTGCCCTCGGCCCTCGCAAAGCCATACCCCGTCCACATTGAAGAATTCCAAGAACTGCACAACGCCTCGCAGATCGTCAAGAAGCAAGACTGCGCCAACCCTTGCGGATATGGAGGCTGGTTATGCTGCCCTTCCGGTTCAACTTGCTACACCGATGCAAGTAACCAAGCGCAATGCGGCTCTGCTGGAGCAAACACAGAAGCAGCAGGCGGTTACTGGCAATACCACACGACAACATACGTCGAGACAGTCGGTCTCCTCACCAAAACCGAAGTCTACAGCACCTATGTCCCCGCCGTAGCAACAAAGACATGTAGCGACTCGCAAAACCCCTGCGGCTCTACGTGCTGCGACTCGGGTTTCTACTGTCTCTCTTCCAGCGCAGGCACATGTGCGCTGATTGCCGGTGGCAGCTCTGGAGGTATATCACCCTCTGCTCCTCTGCGGCCAACTAGCTCAGGTGTCGTAGTCATCACCTACACGGGCACCCCAACCGCGACCGTCCCCTTCCAGACACCCATCCCCACCGGCGCAGCAGGTAACGGCCTCGTCCCAACCGAAGAGAGCAACAGCGGCCTCAGTGGCGGTGCTATCGCCGGTATCGTCATCGGTGTTATCCTGGGTATATTGCTGCTCCTCCTTCTCTGCCTCTTCTGCTGCGCTCGCGCCCTCTTCGACACTCTCCTCGCCATCTTCGGCATCGGCAAGAAGCGCAAGCACACACACGAGGAGACCTACATCGAAGAGCACCACCACAGCGGTGGCGGCGCTGCTGCTGGAGGTCGCTGGTACGGAGCCGGTCGCCCTGCTCGTCCATCGCGCGCCGGCTCTGAGAAGCACAGCGGCGCGAAGAAGGGTCTGGGCCTTGCGGCCGGACTTGGTGGTCTCGCGCTTGCGTTGGGCCTGAAGAGGAGACACGATGCCAAGGTTGACGATAAGAGCACCACTGTCAGTGGAACTTCATACATGTACAGTGATTACACAAGTTCGAGTAAGTAAACCCTCAGCTTCGACATTACCAGCAAATCACTAACAATCGTTCAGGCAGCGCAAGTTCATCAGACCGCCACACACGTCGAACACGCCACTCGTCAAGAAGATAAACGTCTCACTAAACGGAATCTTTTCAGCAACTTTTCAAAAACTGTATAAAGTCATTTTGCTTTCTTCCTCTTTGTGTCTAGCTCCGTGCTGATACCTTATGGCATGGGTAGTTTTTTATCGTGGGTACATGGGGCCTCGTCAATCTTGACGTTTTTGGCGTTACTTGGGCGTTTCTAGCGGAGTTCGCTCACGACTGCAAAGCGACGAATGTGTTATGTTTTAGTTTACTTTTCTTACTCTCCGGACGTATGCGATTAATGAGGAAATGCGTATGCAAGGATATGAGACATGGGATGGTAGAAAGATGTATATGAATGGAATGGAACGCAAGTGCAATCAGGAATTGTGAATATGATGTTTTCTTCCCAACTTGATTTGTGATTTGGTGATGAATGTGTGTTTTAGTATTGCGTCTAGGGAAACTCGAAAACTGGGTATAAGAGGAGTCGATATCCATGTCGATGTCTGGCACACTGTCTGGAGAGAGCAGTGACCTTGTGCCCCGTGATCCTAGTTTCGACATTGTTGCATAGCTCACAGCTGAAGGGGTCGCTATGCTTGTTAGCTTTCTGTGATTGAAGTGGTACGTATAAAGCAACTTACAAGCTGTAGGACTGGGAGCATAAATCATGCTCTCTATTACATCGTGTCTCTTCATCCATCTCTCAATTTTCTGCGGCTCAACTCCTTGGCCTCTCACGCCGAACTTCAGACCACCCCTGCCTGTTTCGACGAGGCCTCGCTGTAGGCGGTGTCGGACTATGGCCTTCATCTCTTCTGGTTTGATATTTTTGTCCAGTTTCCATTGGGTCAGGCGACATCGGTATTGACGAATCCTGAGCATCTCGTCAGTCCAAGCATTGTGTAACAACAGGACGCCCAACATACTCCGGTATGAAACCGAATTCCTCTTCCGTCATCAATTTGACTTCCGGAAGCGGTCGTCTGTCTACAAGATGCAACTGTATCACCTTGGAGAGTCCGCGCTTTCTTCTTTCGCGACAGAAGTACAATTCATGCAACCGACCCTGGTCGCCGGGATGCGCAGATAAGCCTCCTGCACGCCGTAGGCACGAGAGGTGGGATACTGAGCCAATCACAAAAGTAGCAGCAAAAGTACAATTTTGTGATGTAAAAGTACAATTTTGTTATGTAAAAGTACAATTTCAGAAGACATATAGAAGGCGATGGGGATAGATCCTTCTGCTTTCATGTCGATAGACAACATCAAGCCTGGTCACTCTTGAGCATATTCGCTGTTAGTCTTACATGCTAATGCCTTTCGATAGCCAATCTGTGGGAACTACCACAGCCATCATATTCGGCCTGCTTCAACTGGCTGTCGGGCTCGTGTCCCTTTGGCAACAGCAGCAACTACGCCGAGCATACCGTGAGCTTTATATTGAGCTACTTGGTTGCATATGTTGACAAAATTATAGAGCAAGGAAGCAGTGGACGAAGATATACAATCTAAGACGCGACAGATGCAGGTATGTAAGTACTGTTAGTCCCGGGACAGGGTGTAGGTGGCGGAGCTGACTCAAATAAGCCCAGAGAGTCGAGATCAGAAGTCGTTTTCAGCGGATTCAAGGAGAAGCAAATCTTTGGAAACGTTCGAATAACTTGATGGAGGATCAAAGTCTTCTACGGAGCAATATGCGTTGATGAGGGCCTTGGTTGCTTGACCGATGGGTATGGTGGCGATATCGGATGCATCTCACGGGACAGTCGGGATCAACAAGAAAGCTTGCAGATTTCGCGAATGGGAGTGTACAGTCGTGTCGCGAAGTCTAAAGCAGGCACCAGCTGTGATGTTGTGAATTCGAGGGTCGTCCGGAAGCGCAAACTCCAGGCGGAAGTGACGATTGTGCCAAGATTAAAGTGGGATGGCGCTAGGGTGGAGCTCCAGCACCTTCGTTGTGACAAGTACTCACGTAATAAGCTCCTGCCCGCTGCGCCTTCTGCCTTTGCCTTTCTTCCATTCACACCCTCCATACTCAACCCAATCTAGCGACGAACTTGTTGATCTCGTTTGTCCTTCTTCACAACTTTAAACAGCAGCACTACCCCGCGACACTCGATCCAGGCGCCTGCGACCGCCACACCTGAAAGCGTCCAGGCTTCACTATAGTCGGCAAACTGGGGAAGCGGAAAGCCGTCGGCGAGGACACTCGTCCCAGCAAGAAAGAGAAAGCCATGGCAGTAAGTTCGCCCAACGATTAGTAAGAAGTGCTTTGTGGGTTTGCGCCTCCGCGTCCGTAACCCAGGTGTCCGGCGTCTTCAACGCCTCTCCCATACTTTATATGCTTCACTACCTCTGCATTTATTTGGCCTTCATCTAACATGTCTAAGGAAAACATGCAGGTCGACAGCCCTGCCACTGCTGTCGAACAACTCAAGGAAGCCTCCGGCAGCAACGGCGACATCGATGAGTCCCTCTACAGCAGGCAGCTGTACGTACTGGGCCATGAGGCTATGAAGCGCATGGGCTCTTCCAACGTTCTCGTTGCTGGTCTGCGAGGTCTCGGTGTCGAGATTGCGAAGAACATCGCCCTGGCCGGTGTCAAGTCGCTGACACTCTACGACCCTAAGCCTGCCGCTCTCGCCGATCTATCGTCGCAATTCTTCCTCACTCCCGATGATGTGGGAAAGCCGCGCGCCTCCGTTACCGTACCTCGCGTCTCCGAACTCAACCCATACACACCTGTGCAGGAATTCAGTGGAAAGGATCTGACGTCAGACCTGTCGCAGTTGAAGCAATTCCAGGTCATCGTCCTCACCGATACTCGACT